TGGACCAATTTCAAAAAAGGCTACAATGTTGTATATAATACTAGTGTTGAAGAACTTCATCGTTTTAATATTTTCGTTAAACATGTCAAAATGATCGTTCAACATAATATCGAACATGATCTTGGTTTACATACCTATCGTCTCGGTATTAATAAATTTGCGACATTGGTAGGAATTTGATTTGTTTACATGATAAGAAGACTTTTGTGTTTCTCTTCTAGACAAATGCGGAATTTCGTGAGCAATTCAATGGATACAAACGTTCGAAACAATCAAACCAATTGTATTCGGAATTCCGTCGACCACATGTTCCGGCATCACCATATGTAGCTCTTCCCGTATCAGTTGATTGGCGCGATCAAGGAATTGTGACACCAGTCAAAGACCAAGGCCAGTGCGGCTCATGTTGGGCATTCAGTTCGGTACGCATAGATACTGGTAGAAAAGGAAAAAGTGTTCAATATGAATGTTTTAGACTGGCGCACTGGAAGGTCATCATGCGCGGGCTACAGGTAAACTCGTTAGTTTGAGCGAACAACAACTTGTTGATTGTTCGACCAATTGGGGAAATAATGGATGTAACGGTGGTCTGATGGATAATGCATTCAAATATGTCCATGATAATAAAGGTATTGATGATGAAAAGACTTATCCATATGTTGGCAAAGTAAGATCGATTTAAAACTATTTTTTATATGATAACACTTGATTGGTATAGGATGAAGCAGCTTGCAAATTTCGCCGAAAATCAGTTGCTACAACTTGTGATGGTTTTGTTGATATTCCGACTGGAAACGAAACAGCATTGCAAGAAGCTTTAGCTCTTCAAGGTCCCGTTTCAGTTGCTATTGATGCTGGTCAATCGTCATTTCAATTCTATGTTTCCGGTAAGAAAATTCACCCCAATAAACATCTTCTTGGTGTGTTAACATTATTTATTTTATTGAGATGATATAGTTTAAGAAAGAAAAGGATATTTCACGTAGGTTTTTCGTTCTCAGCTGCTGAATTTATGTGTTCAACTCCCGAGAAAAATAGGATTTACCATTGTATTTATTTAGGCGTTTACTCTGATCCTCAATGCTCATCGGAAGAACTCGATCATGGTGTTTTAGCCGTCGGATACGGTATTGCCAATGATCCCGTCAAAGGTCAACAAGAATACTACATTGTCAAAAACAGGTAAAAGAAACAAAACGATTTCGAACTGAATATAAACGAATTTTGCTTTTTCAACAGCTGGTCAGCTTCATGGGGTGACAAAGGATACATTAAAATGGCACGAAACAAGAACAACATGTGTGGAATCAGCACTGCTGCTAGTTATCCAATTGTTAAAGATAAATCGTTCTACGAAAACGAGTTATTATAAAATTAGATGAAATCGAAAGTGAAAAAAAATATTATTCAAGAAACTTTTCTCTTCGAGCTGCTTTTGCCTTTGCCTTCTAATGTATACTTTTTTTCCATGTTTGACTTATTTCATTCTATATGAGAAAAACAAATATGCGGCTTGTGTACGTGTTGTTTATTTAGAAAGAATTTCGAATGGATTGTACATAGTATAGCACATCGAAATTTATCTTTGTAGATTTTTGTTTTTTTCCATTTACAATTTGTTTATATGCCTTTGTTTTCTTTGCAAATTCTCAAAAATATTCTAAGCATGAACTATCAAAAATACATTTCCAAAGCAATTCTTTTGTATCTCGTGATGATATGGATATGAATATCTTTGCCAGTGTTAAGCCATAATCATTGCTATTGTAGTTAAACGATTTGCAGCAGAAATGACGAATTTCGTTTTTTAATCCGACGAAGAACTGAAAAACAATTTCAATGTTTTTTCTTGAATTATATCAAATAGTTTTGCTTAAAATAAGAAGCTTTTTATTTGTCAATATTGTTTTTTTTCTGAATCGATTTTTATTCACTGTGCGAATGATCGACTGATGCCGATTGTAACTACGTAATTGCTTAGATTCATAAAGATAAGGTTAAATCTCAGATCAATGAGTTTGAAAAGTATTTGATGTCTTAACTGTGATAAATCATTGAAAGGTATTGATTACATCTGTCTTGCTTTTCTTTCCAACAGAAAGGGGAATATATTCGTATGACTCATTTGTCATGTGGGATATACCATACACTGCTTTCTATCCAGTGCTGAGGGAAACGCAAATATAATGACGTTTGTCATGGATCTTTCCATACTGTGGTTTTCATGTCTCACGGTTTAATAAGATGCGATATTTTCACTGAAAAAGAAGAATATCTATGATATACTTTCGCAAGAACAACTATCAGTGTGTGTGGTTGGATATGACCATAAGAACAGAAGAAAGAAATGCTATATCGTACTATACGAAGACCATTGACTAAAATATGTGAACGCGATCTTTACCGATAAGAAAGCTCTTAGATTTAAACACTTTGATATTAAATTATTTCAGTTAAATGTATGGTATCGTTTGTTTTTCGCTGTATGGATGATTGAAGAGAAAATGAAAAGCACTTTAAGTTTTTCTGGCGTAACCATGACTACTTGTGTATTTAAAAAAAACATTCATGTTTAAGTGATGGGGAATTTTTCTTGTGTGTGTTCATCCCTTCAAGGGTTGTGACCCTCATTGTTATCCTTATGAAAGTGTGCAAGTGTGCAGAATGAATCAAAATAAACGGGAAAAAAACCAGTCAATTGCTTGAATTTTCTCTCTGAAGAATTAGTAATCTATTCAATGAATTTCTAGCGGAAAAATAGTTTTTTGTCAATAATCGATCAAAATACGTTTGACGACGAATCATCGACGGCGATGTGTGTTGAACGTTATTTTCCTTTGGACACACTCGACAAATTTCATCATTCATTCGCTTTTGTTCCTTCTGTTGAAAATACCCAGAGAATTATATATAAAAATGTTGTGAATGCAGGAATAGGGCTCATTTTTCAGATAACAGCTATTCTCTTCGAAGACTGCCGATATTCAACGGTATTTCAAACAATTGTTTGCATTGGCTTGTGTAAAAACCTCATCTGTGTTGAATTAACTCACCATCACTTGTGTAAGTAATCATTGCGTTTTCCTATCAACATTCCTATATATTCATCACCAGTATTCAACAAAAGCTATTTTTTCGTAAATCGTAGACAAATTTATACGAAGTCAATATAGTAACAACGATCATAGCGACTTTATTGTTGCTATAATCAATGTGTCAGACTTGAAGTTAAGCATTACAGAGTTTTAAATTTTACCTCTATAAAGTAATACCTAATTAATCTTGCGTAATTAAAAGTGAGAAAATACTGTGATATGTGGCAAAGAACAACCATGTTTAGATAGGATCTGTAATATTTTTAGACTCGCATAATTCAATGACAGTTAAGCAACATGCGAAGCTATGATTACATTTTGAATCGGAATGTTTTCGCGTCATTGAAATGAAGTAAGAGGAAGTAGCAAAAATAATCTGTAAGGAAGTACAGGAAAGAAACATTATATATACTTGTGCATCATACTCTTTGGCCGAAAATGCAGGCATAAGTAAGTTACACTTGTACTAGAACTGTTCTTCGGCGTACTTTGAATTAATCTTGAAACTGTACTTGACAGATGTAGAATTTTCTTTGAAATAAGGAATATTCGGATGAAGTTTCCGATGAACCATTGTCATAACACAGAACGAATACAGATTTAGTTTACGACAGAAGTATTCGACAATTTCTTGTGTTTCCTATTTCAATGATGACAAATAGTGGAAGAAAATCGGCATTAAAATTGCAATGATTTATTACAGACCAATTGAATAGCTTCAATGCACGCCAAAGACGTATACAAATCTAATGGAATATAGAGATCATGGACAGTTGACTCAGTCCTTTGCTAAAAGTTGCCTTCCATACAAACAAGTGCTATATGTCACGTATGATATCGGCATTTTATGTATTTCCTTTACGTCGTGCATCACTCTCCTCTTCCTTCTTCCTCCTTCTCATGACCTATTTACCTGAGAATTTATGACATATCGCAGTTGGAACTGAACGCATTGTTTTCAAAAGCTTATTTCATTTTGTAATATCTTATTTAAGAATGAGTTGCCCAAAAGTCGTACATAGCTTTATTATGACATTTTGCAAATATCAGGTTATAATAGTCTTCTTAGGAAAGACAAATTCAGTCCGGCATGACTTTTATAAAAGTTTCAACGAACTTGTGTAAAAACATGATGAGATTGGTATTTCATAATATCACACGTGTTTAATGTTACTTTATAGTTTGAGTCAAAAGCATAGCTGTACTCCATTTTTTGTCAATATCACTGAAGATGTTTTCGATTACAATGAAAACAAACTTACTTTTACTGTTTTTCGTTCTCAAAAAAGAAATTACCTGTATGACGCGTGTTTTTCTTTCTCTCTACGTAACCTTTATGTAAAAATATGCAAAACATTGAAGAAAATCATAAGCTCGTTAGCATCACTATGATCATATAAAGTCATTAAGTATTTCTGAGGGTACTGGAGATTTTCGACATAAGATATATATCTATGACAATATGTTATATCCATATTATAATCAACAATTTCCCTTATGTGAAAGTAGGTTTTTTTACCACATTTATCATACCTACTTTGGTTTTTTCCTCTTTCTAATGACAAATAGCGTCATATAAAAAGAAGATGTCGTTTTATTCTTATCATTTACGGTTTAGAATCAACTAGAAATTACTACAAAATCAATTGTACGAAGAGTATGGAAACTGATCTTATTATAACATCATGCTGCACTTCGAAGCGAACGCTTCCTAATGATTTTACCTCGGAAGCGTCGGTGAATTTTATGCCAGAAATACGACGATTGGCAAGCTTTCTGAATTGCGAGTTAAATCTTCCTCTGACAATTTCCAAAGGTCATCTTGCAAAAACCGGACTTGCGTACGATCAAAATGAACACAAGCTGAAATGTGCAGCTTGTAAATTTGAATTCGATTTGAACGAAAAGAACATCAATCCAATTGAACAACATTTGAAACAAAATCCAGAGTGTAAATTAGCTCTAATTCAAAATGAAATTATTCCTCAACTTGGTATGTCAATCTCCTCTTTTCCGAAGGAAATTTCTCAATGTGAATATTTTCAAAACTATTTTTAGGGCAGTTGCCAATAGGGATGACATCAAGTGTTTCCAAAATAGAACTATGCAATTCAAACGATCCTACTTCTATGGAAGTGGATACGAATAGTCAAAACAAAGAACTATCTCTACAACGAGCGTTTCTTGACAAATTATCCGATGTCGTTATTCGTGAATTACAAACAAATACGTTCAGCAATTGGCCATTGATCGCACCAAATGCACAGGAAATGATTAATGCAGGGTGGTCCTATACCAACATTACTGATCGTGTCGTTTGCCTCTATTGTAATACAATATTCCATAAATGGACAGCTGACGATCAACCGTACGAAATTCATCGATTGAAATCTCCTCAATGTCCATTTGTATTATCATATGAGAAACACAATTCATCTAAATACAGTTCTCAAATAGCTATAAGTGCACTACCTAATGTACAAGCAGTTGTTGGAGCTGTGAACAATGAATATTCACAATCATGTCGTAGACATGAATCATTTCAGAACTGGCCACACACTGAAGAAAATCCATTGCCTTCAGTCGAATCATTTGTTAATGCAGGCTTTTACTATACAGGTTAGATATTTAATAGAATCGAATACAAAAAAACGTTCAAATCTGCTTGTCTATTATAGGTGTTAAAACTATTGTGAGATGTTTCTATTGTAATAATGCCTTGCAAAATTGGCAGCCAAATGATGATCCGAAAATCGAACATGCTCGATTTTATCCCCAATGTGCGTATATTCGACAATATATAGGAGAGGAATTATATCAAGCAGTATTGCATAAAACTCGTGAGCTGAATGGTGAGTAAAAGCGAAAAGAGGAAGAAAAAGAAAGACTCAGCATATTTTTCCGTTTTACAAATAGCTCAAAACGCAAGTCAGATCAGTAAACCGGAGAAAAAGTTGGACATCGCTTTATGGTCGGATGACGAACTCGATCGAATGGTCAAAGCTCGTCTTGATCTGCCAATCGTTGAAAAGGTTCGAGAACTCGGTTTCAAGATTGCAGTCATTCGGTAAGGAACTCTCAACAAGGTTCTGTATTCAATCTAAAGTATTTTTTTTAGAAAAGCATTAGAGATGCAACTGAGGTTTAAAAGTAAGTTACTGATAATCTCAGACCAATCTCTCAAAACACGACCTGTTCTCATTTGTAGAAGACGATTTCAAGACGGACAATGATTTTCGTTATGCATGTCTTATCCTAAATGCACAAGTCGTATTGATCAATGGAATGAGCCATGCTGTACTCGTGCCACAAGAATGGATGAAGAATTTCACGAATAATCCAGAAATGAACATTCAACAAACGAACCAATCAGTCACACAAACTTCTCAGATATCCGATGAAAGTACGTATCCTACTTTATTCTCGAGAATTTTCTACTTTCATTCCATTTCTTGCAGAGATTGAAGCGTCGAATTCCATGACATCTAGTGTTCCACAGTCTAAACCGACACACCAACCAGGTATGATTAATTCAAAATAGAGAATTTTCTATTATTATCATCTTTTAGATGATGATTCAATACTATGCGTATTATGTCTACAAACTGAGCGTCAAGTAGCATGTTTGCCGTGTGGCCACCTGACGAGTTGTGTTGCTTGTGGGCACAGCTTGAGAGTGTGTCCAATTTGTCGAACGCCAGTGAAGGCTTTCGTCCGCATCTACGTATGACAATCGGCAAAGCGCGCATCTTTACCCAAACAACTTCTCACATACTTTATATATTTTTGAAAAAAAAGAGACTATATGATTCAAAATTATTTTCATTGTACAACACATACTTGCTGTTCGTTGATTTGTAAAATTGCATCTGCGACATAGTTAAGGATTCACCTGTCTTAGCCAACAATAAGTTTTTATATTATGGAGTGATGGTTTCAGCACAAAGTTGGCCACTATAAAAATCAAATTATTGTATTCGAAAGACAAACATAGAAAGATTTTCTGAAATGATTCACTGGAATTCGCAGTGACGGAGTATAACATTTTAACTTTTTTTTGGATCAGATACTATACTTCAAATAGTGAGCTAAGGCTATTTTATTTCGCGCAAACTCGTTATATCATGTGAACAGTCGTTATAAACTTATTGGCTTCTAAAAAGTTTCTTCTATTTTACTTCTTGGAACGCACTAACATTATTAATATGATCATATTTTTGCAGAAATTCCACTTTGTTATTGGGATGCAATCATTCGTATCGATATTCTGTGCAATGAAAAGAAATTATCCGCTATATCTTTCGTTTTTTACAGTTCCTTTTATTTTGCATTACTCCAGAACCTTTTTCGAATTTGACAACGTTGGGTTTTTTCTGTAATCAATGATTCAGATAAATCCTACACAATCGTTCGCATATTCTTACCATATGTTTCACTAGCGACTCGGTGAGTAATGAGCAAATATAATGATGAAAGTATCTAAGGTATTGCAAAGAAGAAGAGAAAGTTACTCAATGCAACGAGTTTTGTGATATGTAACTGTGACATGAAAAACCCGATGACGAATGGTAGACTCATGACTGTATATTTACTAGTAGATAGAAGATATTCATATCCGTAAAGATCAATTTTATTAGAATCATCTAATGTAAAAATCAATTACAATGGAATGTACATGTGAACGGAAAAAAAATGTTTTGCCATTCTATGATTGACTTTCAACACCATGGATTTGTACATGTTTTTGATTTTGGTTATTCCTTCCATCACAATGATATCATCGACAACTATTCGTTGTTTATCAGCGAACATTATAGTATTCATAACCACGTGCCTTAATAATTCATTCGATCTAATCAAGGGCATGTGATGAATACAGTGATGTTGCTTTGTGTTAAGAAGAAGAGATGTATTTCAGAAAAACGAAGAAAACTTACTTATATTGTAATTGTATCGATTGACTAGATCTTGTTGCTTTCTATTCATTCAACTATGAAACTTTCATAGAATGTTGACTACTGACATACATCAAATTGATTTGTGACGACGACAACGAACAAATCGAGTTTGCTACATATGGTTCTATGTCTTTTTTCTCTTTCCGGATATCTACAATTTTTTTTTCTTCTTCTTCTTTCAATCAATCGTTCGAAATGAGATTAACGGTCGTTGTCGTCTGTTCACTAGTGACTTCATCTATTTCTCTCTCTCTCTCTTCTCCCTTAAAGCAAAGATGAGCTGAACACACTTCATTTACTTCACTTACACGACAAACTCTCCATCATCACCATCTACATAAATATATATACCATCGCCGATCCAATCCATATTGATTCGTGTATGTATATATTTTTGAGAGAGAAACGGAGAGAGAGAAAAAAACTGAGAGATTACAATTTAGCTAAAGAGATTTTTTCAGTAACAAGAATATGAAAAAAGGCGATCGTGTGTGTTCGCTTTTCTCCTTTGCTTAATTGACAAAATGTACAAACATAATAAACACGCACATATATGCGCAACTAACGATGCTAAGCTTCTTAATCACCAATGTACACACATACGTACATATATCGACACTACTAGTCATTAGAGTCCAAAATCAATAAGAAGGTACCGAGTATAAGCATTGCATTCTCATTATGTGTTCAGGAAACGCCTTTTTCTATTTTTAAAACAAACATTGTCATGATTGATTAGAACAAAAAGAAAATCTCGTATCGAGAAAAAGATCAAGGGTAAACCTTGACAAAAAAAACCTGCTTTTCAAATCATACACGACTTACAGATTTGAACGTGTGGTTATTCTGATTGGTTGAATACACTCATAATTAATTATCCACCTATGCGAGACGATGTTTATTTGCTTGATCTCTCTTTGAAATTCTCAATTAACCAATAGAATTGTGATTTTCGATCAATGATCGAATCAGATGAGAATGTATACTGTGCTTGAATTTTCTTTGAAATTTATGTGAAACAAGCACTTTCTTCTCCAAGTTCGAAATCAAGCTTTACTGGTTTTTCACGCAAGTACACCGGACAGTGAGAAGATTCGCAGGCATTTGGATTTTTTTCTTTATTGAAATTATCAGTTTTGACATTCACTACAATTGCTCTTTTCAAAATCGATCAACAGCATGAAATTTAATCTTCAAGTGATTGATCTTTGATGCTGCCATACACTGTCTTACATATGCATTTCGAAATTCGCTAAATGAAACGCTATGTTAGTTCCATTGATACTTTGAATTCTTTTCATAGTATCAAATATGGTGCATTCGATCTTTGTTCTATCTATTTTATGTGATATATTTGCAAATAAATCAATATTTAGCTAAAAGAATAGAAAGATTTTGATGGCAATCAATAATAAATATGCGGCACAACTTGTACAATAAATCTTTTCTATATGAAAGATGACGATTTTTTCGTTTTATTTGTTGCTAAGATTAAAGAGTAGCAATAAAATTCTATGTAATCTGACCTTTTTAAATGATTGTTTTATTGATAAAAATCTCGTATTTTTTCCTTCAAGATGTTTGATCTGGATCAAATTGATTTATGAATAGTTTTTAACAGTGTCCATTAATTCTACATTTATCAACTAATTGGACTGATGCAGTACGAAAACATTCGTATCTTGATGCCTGAAATGCTTTCTTTCCGTAATGCCGAGAGAGTCATCAATGGATCAGACTCTGCTGATTACACATTGACGTAGTGCTCATATCAATATTTACCGGATGAATCCTAGTTCTTCCACTCACGTCTCAATGGTAAATAGTTTGATGACTTAATTTCGGTGCAATAATACTCATTCATCTTGTTGTTTCTGTTTGAGAAGCAAGATATAGACGTTTTTGATCTGGAGATGTTGTTCTCGTCGCATGGGATGAATTTCGTAGATGATTGCTATGTTTTTGATATTTTCAACTTGGCGAGTTAAACAAGGCATCGAAATGTTGAAAGGAAAGATGAAGAGAAACGAATGTAAAGAGCACAGAAAGAAAAAGAGTACAGCGAGACAAACGAATATAAAAACCGTTCTTCAACTCGTCAATCGATGAAGAATATAAGACATTAAGCTTCATTTATTATCACAGATAACATCCTCTTGTGCGCATTGAGTAACAAGATTTAACGATAGGCATAGTAAAAGAGACGAAAACGCTTTGTGAATATGATATCCAAGGTAATAGCTGATTGCGAATAGGAAAACTAAAGCTAATGTGACAATTACTTCCAGGTTTTTATGATCATTGCTGCTCTAGTTGTTGCTGTTGCACTGGGCGTCGGAATAATCATCGGTCATTTCGCAATAAAGAAAACAACGACTACAGTAACTTGGAAGTATGACCGTCTTACGCGAGCAGCAGATCCACAAAATTATCAGACATATATCAATTCTATTCAAGCATCTAATATTGAAAACAATCTTAAGTACGCCAGAATGATATTTGAACTTTTGTTTCATTGTAATTTAGAGATTTGACATCACGCCCTCACATGGCTGGACTTCCTGAAGATCGCGAAAGTGCTGAAGTTATTGCACAGCGATGGATCGCTGATGGTCTACAAGTAACGAAACCCAAGTACAATGTTCTGCTTTCTTACCCGGATAATAATAATCCAAATCGGTAAATACTACTGTCAATCAATAGATAAATTAGAAGAAAAAAAGTCTTTTTTAAGTGTAACGTTGACGAGTGATAGTACGGTTATTATTCAAACGGCTGGTGTTGAACGTGTCTACGATGAGACACAGAATAAGACTGTCAACCCATTTCTTGCTTATACGCCCGGTGGAACTGTTTCAAGCGTAAGATAATACTAGTACTATTGATGAATCGACGTATGATCTATACTTCATGTAATAGAGGAGATTATACTACGGTAATTATGGACAATATCAAGACTTGGAAAAACTAGCGTCTGAAGTCGGAAAAGCTAATCTAACAGAAAGTATTATCATTATGAGGTATGGTCGTATTTTTCGAGGCGACAAGGTATGTAATGAATTGAGTTCTGGTATAAATGCGTACCGGCCTGGTTTGTTTAGATCAAGCACGCTCAACAGTTTGGAGCTATTGGTGCTATTTTATACAACGATCCAGCTGATTATGCACCATTGGGTACATCACCCGATCAAGTATATGATAAAAAATGGTACATGCCGCCGAGCGGTACTCAGCGTGGGTCAACATTTTATGGAAATGGCGATCCTTTAACGCCTAATTATCCAGCTACAGGTTTGTAACGGGCTAAATCATTGACAATTGTGGAAATAAATTATGTGTATATTCCATAGATTACATGACTAGACTACCAGAAGAAGGTATTCAAACATTGCCAAGAATTCCAGCTCAACCGATTGGTTATGATGAAGCAAAGGTGATTCTTCAGTAAGAAAGGGCGAAGAAAAAGGTGAAGGATCTAATGAATAAAATCGTATTTTGAGATACTTGTCGGGTAATGCTGTTCCAAGTCAATGGAGTGGTGCACTATCCGATGTAAACTATCGTTATGGTGGAGAACTTCTCAATTCATCGTAGGTATTCTACAATAATTTACGTATCGATGAATTGTTTTTTTTCTCTATCAGTATAATCGAGATTAAGTCACATAATCGAAATGAGATGCGAGACACCTACAATGTTATTGGTATAATGCAAGGAGATATTGAACCAGGTGTGTCTTCTTTATCGTAACATTTTTCTAAATGTTATCATTCTTATGTTGTCAAAGATCGTTATGTCGTGATTGGAAATCATCGGTACGTGTTTGGTTTATGTTTTGATAAGATAGTTATTGCTCAGTATTGTAGAGATGCTTGGAGTTTAGGTGCATTGGATCCTACTAGTGGTACGGCTACTCTGCTTGAAATCACACGCGTACTCGGTGAAATGTACAGAAACGGTAATGTTCGGTATTTAGTTTGTCTAGAAACATGCGAATCCAAATGTTTACTATGAATAGGATTTCGACCACGACGTAGTTTAATGTTTTGTTCATGGGGTGCTGAAGAGTATGGCTTGATCGGATCGGTTGAATATGTAGAAGTATGCATTACCTCACCATTACAAATATATCTTAGATGATCACCTTTTTAGGAATATGTGAAAGTACTAGGTGCACGTGTTGTTTCTTATCTGAACATGGATATAGCTGTCGAAGGTAGTTTTGTCATTTGAACAGAAATAATATGGACATATTCTTATTCAATTAGGAAACTATACAATTAAAGCAAGAAGTGCACCGATGTTATTTGATATTATTGTTGAGGCATCAAAAATGGTGAATACAGATTTGTATATCAGCTTGAACTTTGTTGTTGGTCTAAACTGTACATATAGGTTCCAAGTGCATATGATACACCAACACAAACCGTCCATGATAAATGGATGAAAGTCAATCGCAATAATAAAACCAATGAACCGATGTAAATTCTAAATACTTGGATGTTTTTTAATTTATCGCCTGTACATAGTATAGGAAACGGTCTTGGGTCAAGTAGTGACTTTTTTGCTTTCAATCAATTAGCTGGCTCATCAAATGTCGATATACGATATACATTTAATCCAGCCGATCAGGGAAATCTCGGATCATATCCACTCTATCATACATCGTATGAAGTATTTTCAATGATGAAAAAGTTCATTGATCCTGACTTTTATGTAAACTATTTCTTCGAATCCATTCTCTTTCTTATCTCAGTTCTTCTAGGCACACAGAGCCACAGCTCAATTTACCGGTGTTTTAGCATTACTTCTTTCAGAAACACCTGTCCTGCCATTTAATGTTAATCGATACACAATTGCTCTTCGAGAAGCAATGAACAGTCTTCAAACGAGCGATACAAGTGTTCTCAGTAAACAATATTGAATTGCTTTGTCGAACGAAAAACAAAATATAACCTGTAATTTAGATCCACTGACTAAAGCCATCGATGATTTCGATAAAATCGCTCAAGACTTTGTCGCACGATCAAAAACAATGGATACTACCAAGTAGTTTATCCCATTTCATCAATACACATATTGCAGAGCTTCATTATTTCTTTTCCCCGCATCTTTTAGTCCTTATGTCATTCGTGCTTATAATGATCAAGTTCTGCAGTTAGAACGAGCCTTTCTAAATCCATTGGGACAAGGTGGTGACTATGCAGAGATGAAGTAGAAAAGAAAAACAATCGATTACGTTTCTATTATTCTATGTTATCTTTGATTATTTCAGGCATGTTATTTATGCGCCAGCGAAGACTAATCAATACGCGGCTGATGGTTTTCCAGCTATTAATGATGCAATTAATGGTGGTAATCTAACAGAAATTAACATGGAAGTGGCAATTACAGCATATTTCATTCGCGGAGCTATATCAACATTAAAAGAATTCAATAAATTTATCGTTGCGTCAGCTTGATTTTCCTTGGAACTTTGAATCTATTCAAATAAAATTCGGATTAGTTGTTTTCGTCCTAAAATTTGCTGTTTCAGCCCTGGAACGACTAGATCGAGATATAATCATATATATAATCGATATCAAATAGGTGTAGAACATATGAACAATAGCAGAGATGCATGTAATCAGATTTCTTTGTCTTCCCTGGACAATAAAACATTGTTTACATATACATGGTTGTATTTGAATCGAGTCCAAATGAAATTTCATTCGTTTCCTTTACTTACGAATCTTTTTGGATTGTATATGTATTTCGATATATCACGTGACGAGTTTGCAAGAAGAACTAAAATGTAAGAACGATAAGTATGCGAACAAAAGAATAGACACACAGTTTTCTTTCTCTTATTCACTCTCTTTTCTCTTATTTTCTCCGCCGAGATCCGACGCACGTTGTGTTGTCTACAAAATGGGGGCACCAACTCGTCATTCAAATGTGTTAAAACAAGAACAGCGAAAGTCCACATCGTATTACCATCGTACGCGCCCAGAGCGTCTTTTTTTCATATTAACTTAACATCCAGCGCAGCAACAGCACAAAGTATATAATCAAACGTTACTGTCGTGAACCAACGCGCTTTTATTTATAAATAAATAAACAAATCAATTAATTATTCAGGTTAACATGTCAGCAGTCGACGTGACAACAAATCCAATTCAAGGATCGGATCAAAAAACTGATTCCAGTCAAAACAAACCAGATCAAACTGGATCAGGTAGTGATGATCCAAAACAAATCAACGGTAAAAATGTCGTTGGTACGTATCCTTTTTGTCCGAACGAGTAAATCGTACGAAAACCGCAAAAGAAAGGCGACATCGCCTTTTTTTCGTAGTTTTACTATCTATCTGTTTGCGATAAGATTCAAATGTAAAGATTCATTTTGTATTTTAGCAACAAAAGTAACAGGTACAGTTAAATGGTTCAATGTTAAGAGTGGTTATGGTTTCATCCACCGGTAAAATTGTAAAACTTATGAAGCTTTGTTTTTTTTTAATGCTTCTTTTTCATGTAGAGAGGATACAAATGAAGATATTTTCGTTCATCAAACAGCAATTGTAAAGAATAATCCACAAAAATATTTACGTAGTGTTGGCGATGACGAAAAAGTTGAATTCGACATTGTTCAAGGTAGAGAATATCTGTGCATATTTATCGTACAGACGTAACAACTTTGCACTTCTACTTCTAGGCGAGAAAGGCTTCGAAGCTGCCAATGTTACAGGACCTAACGGTGGTAGTGTACAAGGTTCAAAATATGCCGCTGACCGAAGACAATATAACACATCGGGCGGTTTTCAAAGAGGCCGAGGTGGCCGACCACCATTCCGTGGCCGTGGAGGACCTCTTCGTGGCGGTACATGACTATTTATATGAGGATAGGGATTTGCTATCATAACATTTGTGTGTCTTCAGGTCCAGGTGGCTTTGCTCAACCATTCGACAACTTTGGTCCACCAATGGGTGGACGCCCGCCTTTTGGTCGACCACCACGTGGTTTCGGTGGTCCAATGATGAGAGGTAGTCTAACATCTTGTATCACTTCCATCTGCATATCTTCTTGTCTTTTTCTGTCTAGGCCGTGGACGACCACCAATGCGTGGAGGTTTTGGATATGACGGTATGTTTTAAATACAATATCTTCATGATTGAGAAATAGACAATGGTATTGTTTTTATTTTAGGTCGCGGACCACGTATTTTCCGTGGTCGCGGCGGTCCAATGCTAGGAGGACCAATGGGCCCAGTACCAGGCCCAATGGGCCCATCATTTGGTACGCAGTTTTGTTTTCCTATTTCGACATGATAAAGAATCAATATGTAAACAATTCCTTCTAGGTTTCCGTGGTCGTGGTGGATTTCAAGGTCGTCCCCGAGGACGTGGCCGTGGTCGTGGTCGATTCTTCCGAGGAGCTCGTCAAGGCAATAACCGCCATGATTCAAATGGCAACGATGTATGTTTCCATCACTACGAACAACAGTGTATCTAAATTCTCGCATTTACTTCTTGTAGGATGGTGAAAACAACCAAAATGAAGGACAAAATTCAGACCAATGATCAATGAAAATTATTTGAAATAAGAACAAAAAAAAAGAAAACTCTTCCTATAACAACGTAGAGCATGGTTTTTCCTCATAGGTTTTGTTTGTTTTCTGTTTTATTCTTTGAGCTTATCTATCATTTCTGGTTCTCATTCTTGTGTTTATGTTTTTCATGTCGGTTTTTCCCATATATCAAAAACCAAAGACAAAAAAAAAGAAAAGAAACATTTCTAAAACATAAAAAAGCGAGAACTGCTGTTTTGAAATCCTTTTTATTTTCACTCGATAACAAGATGCATTGAGCATCAATTATCATTATTAAGATTGTAATATTTGCTCTTACTCGTATATTGTCTCTGTTCGAGATACCTGACATACTAGAAGTAAAAACAGAAGAAAATTTAACTAACGCTAAAAAACAACATATTCTTCATTCCCTATTTGCTTAATATATAACAAAAAAAACTCATTAACGTCATTTTCTTCTTCGACTTTTTTCCATTAGTTTCTTCGTCTATTATTTTCCGTATTCACCACTCAATTGGCTCTATGTCATTTATTTCTCGTTTTTCTTTCTCTATTTTTCTCTTGTTATTCAATAGTCATTTATTTTACTTGAGCAATCTAGAAAAAAGAACTCATTTCAACAGTTTTTCATCTACATTAGACACTTTTATTTAAAAAGAAAACAGCTATTTTCTGCGAACCAGCAAAAAAATGCCGACCGATCGTGCAGCAAATCTTGTTGCGCCTCTGGCGGATAAAAATGCCCGCCAGCAATCATTTTACCGTCGATTCGTTCAATTTCTTTTTTCGAATCTTGGGCTCGTTCTTGTTGTCGTTGCCTACAGCATCGGCGGCGCTTTTCTTTTCCAGTTACTTGAACAATATATCGAATTACAAAATTGTCAACAAGGAGCCCGTAAGTGTATTTCTTTTCTGCTCACTTTGTTCGAAAGTTCACTGCTTTTGTTGGCAAACTAGTAACAGAAAACATATCAATAACAAACATTTCGGAAACGAGTTACAATTATGTGATTCTCAATGATGACACGGTCAATGACAGTGTATTGTATGACCAAATCAGTGCATATATCACAAATTTCACCGCCGATGTCTATGAACGTCGACTAAGCTTACGTTACACCGGACAAAATTGTACTGATTCATCGGGATGGAATTTCCCATCGGCTTTACTCTTCACTATAACAGTGATCACGTCCATTGGTTATGGTTACATCACACCCGTATCCTGGTAAGAGAGCGTATTCACTGAATTTCTTCTTGCGATTCCATTCATTTGTAACAGGGAAGGACAAATCACGTGTATTTGTTATGCTTTGATTGGTATTCCTATTTTCCTCCTTTGTTTGGCCAATATCAGTTCAGTACTCGGTGATATCTTTCGATTTATGTATTCGGGTTTGTTACATTGCTGCTGTTGTGCTTGCCGTGCCTATACTCGAGCACGTCGTCGCCGAATTCGTCGAATCCGTGAGCAACAAATCAAGAATCCTTCGGGCATTGATTATACAGGCACAGCGCCAGTGGACCCAACATGGCCGGAAACATCTCGTTCGTTTAATGACAAAATGTATGATGACGACGAAGAGGAAGAAGAGGATATTTGGGACCGTATGGAAGGCCGTGTACCGTTCGGCGCTGTTATTTTAATTATCATCGGTTACATTTGTTTGGGTGCATTCATGTTCAACAGATTTGAAGGTTGGACAATGGTACAATCAGTTTATTTTTGTTATATTACACTATCAACAATCGGCTTCGGAGATTTTGTATGTACAAGAACTCATGAAATCGAGCTAATATTAATTTGTTTTCTAGGTTCCTGGTATAACGTCAAGTTCAACATCGGGTTTACGTTTTCTACTGGCTTGTATTTACATTCTATTTGGTTTAGCTATATTAGCAATGTGTTTTGATTTGATAAAAGAAGGCATTGTGGATAAATTTCGCTGGTTTGCGCATAAGCTTGGCATTATTGCTGATGATGACGATCAGATCGACGAAGACCATACGCGATATGCCAACTTTGAATATGATTCACCGAGTCAACGTACGATGCAATCTGATACAAATAATTCGAGTGTCAAACGCTTGCATGCAAAAGCCAAATCGATTGATTCTTTCAATGATCCACCTGCTTATCAACATGAAGCATATGATGACGAATGGTTGAAAAATATTCCAGACAAATCCGAACGACCAGAGAGTATCATAAACAAGAAACAGGAATGGAAATAAATGATAAAAATTGACATAAACGTTCTTTTAGTATTTAATTATTTATATCGTCTTTTCTCTCGTATATTCTTTCATCATGCTTTGTATATTCTTTACGCATTTCTTCGCAAAGTGCTTAACAAAAAAATAAAATATATTTTAACTTTTGAAAAAAGTAAACAGATCGGTTTTGTATTTGTTTAAAATATTTACCTACCCGATAGGATCCTATTCCGAGAAAAGAACAATCGACAAGATTGATTGCTATGAAAAATCAGGCAAGCTAAACTTTCCAAGAGTTTACTACTGGACACATACGTGATAGACGTAATTAAATACGCATCGGACAAAAATATCACAAATGACTTTCCCAGAATTGAGAACCACTGATAATTTTGCCAAGAAAATCTCCTTGTCGATCCGATCAAGGTTTTCTCGGGAATTTTTGTTCTATTAATGCATCAATAAACTTCCGAACATGTCATTAGTTCTTGATTATTGACTATTAGCGTCATCTGCTCGTACTAGACTTTGACTGGTTCTTAATGTCAATCAAATAAAACTGATGTTTACATACGAACCAATGTTTTGTTTCATGCCACCGAACTAAACCCAAAGTTCTTTCGCACTATGAACTCATCAGGGACGTCTGATGATCCTCTTTTTCTCCATTGATCATTTCTTCCATATGTTTATCTGAGAAGATCACGATTGTTCTTGTAGATAATTCAAGAATGAATTATCGTCTTCTTGCTTATCGACTTGTAAATATATATAGACGAGATTTAGCGTTAGTTAAGCATAATCCACAATTAGTTTCTCGTTATATAACAACGACACCGACAAATCCACAATCACGATTAACTGCATCAACACAGCGATGGGCAATTAAACGTTATGTATTACTCATTGGATTACCGGTCACCAGTTGGCTTCTGTATCGCTTTTCCACAAAGAACGATACTCGACGAAAGCATCGAATTGTTTTCGGAAGTATTGGACGAGCTATCTGGTAGATCGTATGACTCATTTAAATCGTCATGTTTTGTATTCGTTTGCATTTCAGTGCCATTTCCATTGGTATTCGATCTGCCATTGATCAACAAGTTAGTTTATGGTTTAAACGTGAGGTAGGATATTCCGACTAAGATATGTTATTATCGATTAAATAGCCATCAGCAGTCTCGATAGGTTTGATTCGTTGATATAGACACAGGAAATTAATCATTTTTTTAAAGGGTAGTGATGAATACATGTCAGCATTACAAGCTTGTCGACGACGAAATGCTAAACGTTTTGCTAATCTATGTATTGATCTCGGTGGAGTTTACATCAAAATTGGACAAGCTTTTGTATGTATTTTTGCAAGAAAAATTAATGCTTATTTTGACTTGTTTCTCTAGATAAACTTACCCGAAGTGATTCCTTTAGAATACTATGAAGAACTACAAATTCTTCAAGTATGTTATCGATAAGCTTCAGAATTGACGTTAATGTAACTTCTTGGGTTTTTTGTAGGAACGAGCATTGCGTCGTGAAAAAGGCGAAGTAAATCGAAATTTGTTATTAAGTCTTGTAACGAACGACTTCCTCCGGTTAGATCGATATCCTGTTCAAACGATACTTTCGGGATACTCCTGAAAATGTTTATAAAAAATTTGACCGTGAGCCCATCGCCGCTGCTTCGCTAGCAGAAGTTTATAGGGCTGAAACCAAAGATGGGCAAGAAGTCGCCGTTAAAGTGCAATACTCTGATCTACGCGAACGATACGAAACTGATATAGCCACGGTAGATTAGGAAAATCAAGTCGCCTTCATATTCATTGCCTTTTGTTTTCTCTTTTTCGGATGAGAGTTTTATTTCATCTATTAGAATGGTTTAATCCAACATGGACTATGGTAAGTGGAATTTCTAAGCTGTGTATCATTGATTTGTGTCATTTTCTAGGCTTGGTTGTTAGATGTAAGTTAATTTTAAGAGAAGGAGATGAGAAATCAGGCAATTCTTTGGTTAGGAATTACACGATGATCTCGCATTAGAATTAGGTAGGTGAGGGTATGTGTACTGGTTGACAATATGTTGGAAAATTTAGATTTTTTACATGAGGCAAGAAATGCTGAACGATGTCGTGAAAATTTGAAACATCTCGATTATGTTCATGTACCTAAAGTTCATTGGAATCTGACGAAAAAGGTAAAGTTTCTTCTTGAATATCACCTTTATTTTCATTTTCTCGCTTCGGATAGCGTATCTTGACCTATGAATTTGTTTCTGGTATTGCCATTGATCATGTTGACGAAATGAAAAAGATGAATCTCTCATTAAAAGATGTAAGTACTCTTCCTCTACCTACAGCCTTACGATCGATCGCGACAAGATAGATAACCTCTTGTGTTAGCATTATTGATCCACATAGAGATTGTCTATTACTTGCGTATTTATACATACATTATATCTCAACGTCATCAACAGCTTGTCATATCAGATCAGTTGCATTTTCATAGATCTGTGCAGAGAGATTCTGTCAACTGATTTTAAAATAGCATGTCCGGCTATTTCCTTCGATGTTTGCTTAGATTGACGAAAAACTCATTCGCATCTTTGCTGAACAAATATTTCGTACTGGATTTGTCCATGCTGACCCTCATCCCGGTAATGTTCACGTTCGAATCAACAAAAACACTAAATCCAAAAGTGCTCAACCAGCTCAAATCGTACTGCTCGATCATGGCCTTTACGAAAGTTTACTCAGTGAAGAACGTAAAATTCTCTGTGATCTATGGATGGCATCGATTACTAATGACCACGTACGAATGAAACAAGCTGCAACAGCACTGGGTGCTCCGGAGAAAGATTACGAATTGTTTTGTACATTAGTTACAATGAAACCATTGCCTGATACTGAACAATACGAAATACCTCCGTACGCAAAAGATTGGGATCCGTTGCCGTCAGAATTACAGATGATTGCATTGAAGAGCGGTAAATTTCATATGCCGAGTGAAGATGAATATAAAAATGAGTTGAGCGAAGAGCAACGTTTGACAATTCGCAAACACTTTCGCAAATTAATGGATAAGAAACGCATTGCATTGTTACGTATTCTGAAACAAATGCCAAAGACGATGTTTCTTTTATTAAGGTTTGTATATATAACAGAGAAAAAGAACAAAACATCATTCTGTCAATCCTTCTTCTCTTTAGAAATCTGAATTCCGTGCGAAATACATTAAAAATTCATAATATTTCCGATGCCAATCGAACAGCTCTCATGACGGAAGGGTGTCAACAAGCTTTGAAAGATTTTCAAACAAAAAAGAAGAAAATTTAATTGGACTAAATCAAACGCGAAAAACATTCATGCATATTTTTCTCTCCTGTTTCTTCGTTTTCTAATTTTTATCAATAGATGATTCATCTATTGCTTCGATATATTGAATATCATCCGTATTATAAGTAAGAATAGCAGTTATTAACGAAACGGAAATAAATAATGTTGCACCACAATGAATTCCATATGCCCATTGGAGAGAATAGATTTGCTGATGATGACTAAGTGGAATAAAAATAATGACAAACGAATCGAGTAGGAAAACGATTAATAATAATAGAATTGTACATAACCAGTAGAAACGTCGTAGTGTAAAGGATTTTTTAATGAACGAGATTGTTGAGAAAAGAATGGCTATTAATGTGAAGATAAACGAAAGAATAATCACTATGGCGGTGATTGGCATCCATAGAAGATTGGCCCGATAATGTGATCGACCAAAGAGACATTTGACTGTTATTGACGATATAAATGATTGTTTCCAGTTGAGATGGTTTTCACAACTAAATAGTGGACCGTAGTGGCCATATTTAGTTTGAATCCAGAAGGATGTTAACAGAGCAATGAGAAGAAAAAGACAATGGAGAATCATCAGGAATACAATTGCAACTTTGATAGGTGAAACAATATAAATACGTTCGAATTTAGCACGAGGAGCATACATGATTTCCGTTGATGTTTACTGTAAGTCAACGGCTGACAAATGGGCGTCGTTTCTTCTTCCCTGACTCTCTGTCCCTCTTCAAGCAGAATTGTTATACATATATGATTGCAGAAATAAGCGTTTATATTCTCTTTTGCCTTTTTATCCATTAGAAAAACAATGTTTTCTTTAGGCCTTCGGACGAGAGTAGAAGAGGAAAAGAAGGAGAAGGAGAAGAAGAAACAGAAGAAGAAGAAAGAAAAAGTATACACAATATCCATCTCTCTTATTCTTATTTTCCTCGACCTAATGAGTACAGTTGACGGAAAGAGATTCTTCTGCTCATGTGGAGATATGGACAATTCGAGGACGTTTGATATTTAACCAAGGACAATTGGCAAAGCAAAGAACACTCTATAAATTGTATAACAGGTGTATCTCAATTAATACAATTACGAGAGCCTTATGAAAGTCGATAATAGAATTTGTGTACCAATGCGATGAAAAAATGTAATGATTATTCGAATTAGTAGTGATATAAAATGTTTGCAAGTTTCAAGGTCAATGTAGAGTGTGCTTTTTTTCTCGAAAGAAAACAACACGACGAGTTTTATGTAACGTTCGTCTCTTTCGTTTTGAAGATTATTTAACTAAATGGGCAAAAACGTAAAACAAACGAGAGTTGACAAAGAGAAAGATACAAGAGTAAAAGAGATATTATTAAAGAGATAACAATCAGCATATGCCGTGCTTTTTTTGAAGTCAAATATTGGCCAGTTTCGAAAGAGAGAGAGAGAGAGAGAGAAATGACTTGCTCCGTTATTTAGTAACGCACTTTGCAGAGATAATACGAGCAAACAAACACCCTTTTCTTCTTCTTCTTATCACCGAAACTCGTCTTATTGAAGTTATTATTGTTGTTAAAACATTTGTTGATACACTTATTTTGATTTAATAAGAGAAAACTACACATCGACAACAGCAGAAGAAGATGTTTCGTTTACCAACATACCTCTTAGGTATTCTTTTGATTTTCGTGTGCACAAACTATGCCCAAGTGGATCCTGGCTTATGCCCCGAAGGAGCCACTTCACCAGTTCCAGATCCAAAATGGCGAACTATTCCACCTCGGTTCGAGATTATGACCGAATTAATATCAGACAAAAGTATTACCGAATTATCTCAAGCGTTTTCAACAACTCGTGACTCAATTTTCTGGAACGCGAATGGCGGTAAGTTTTTCATTTTCGAACCATAATCTCTTTCTAGCTTACTTGCCTTTTATATCTAATAGGACCCTATCAATTCTACTATAATTTTGCTACTGATGAAGTTTTCGATGTGCTCATCAAGCCCGGCGCCAATTCAATGCCATTCTGTCTCCGACAAGCACTAACTCCTGCTTCTGAGACTAGTGTTCTTCAACCGAAAACACTCTTCGTGAAACCATCCGTCCTTCTTGGCTTTAATCAACGCAATCAACGCAATCCAGATTGGGGTGTTCGTTATCAGGGTGACGGAGAACTACGTAGAATTCCAACGATGAAGTTTCAATCATGTTTCTATTTGAATGATATCCGAGCAACTGTTCGCGTCGATTTTCAAGTGACAAATCCCGACAGATTTCAACCTGGTTTAACTCCCCGCAATGAAAGTCTCATTCTACAAATGGACGTTAAAGTGAAAAATCAAACTACCCAAGAAAACTTCTTATACAATGTTTTCCGTTATATATCCGAGCCAAGCCGACGAGAGGAACGTCAAGCACTAGAAACGCCAACTGGTATCTATTGCCCAAATCGTATATCGACAATGCCGATACCATCAGATATTCCTGAACGTGTTAGTGCAAACTCGGAATTATTCGTCCCAAATGGTAACAGCAGTGCCATATTTAGTTCCCACAGCTTGTATGATACTGAATTTCAATTTGTACGTTTCGATGCCTGGTTTCCTGATCCCATGGGCAGCCCGTTCTGGTTACATTTTACCGAAATTCACGATTTCGCAGTTGGTCTTACTTTTCGTTATGATAATCGTCGACATCAATGCGTTGTCGGCAATATTACCACTGGATTAAACGATGCCGTAGCTATTGATGATAATCCCAGTTTCATACAAATGGGCAGTCCTCAACATTTATTCCTTATGGACGATATTACCTATCAGTATACCGGAGAAAAACCTTGTCATGATCGTATCTGGTGTCACGTATGGATTGGTGAAAAAGCTCTACCAAATGCAGCTGTTCAACATCGTGAATGGTATTGGTCATCAAGTATCAACGGTGAACCTACAACTCGTTCAAAACCAATGAAATTAGTATTAAAACAATACAACAATGGCGTCCCTAATGGAACATATGAAATGAGTGAGTAAAAACAGTTCATTTGTAAAAAATGAAACACTCTTATGCATCTTTGTGTTTTCCCTTTCGAAAGACTTTTTCAATTATCGTCGTCAACCAATGACTATCTTCGAAATTGATTTCACTCTTGCCGAATGTTACCGTGCATTAGGACCCGCAGGTAAATCGATCTACTCTACATCTGACTGTTCAACTTCTTTGTTTCTCATAGAAAATTACAATCTTGCCGTTCTGACATTCAAAATCATCAACGATAAGAAATATCCCGTCTATCAAAACTTGAACTATTTACGTTTCCACATTTGGGAAACCTTAGTTTTCACTATGTTCGCACGTCCAACACGTATTTCACATTTAATTGTTGATCAGGATGATGGCGAGAGTAATGATATTATCGTTACATTTACCTTGCTTGATGTACCACCCGTAACCGGACCCGTTGAAGATCCAATTCAAGAATCCTCTTTAGATAGACTAATTACTCGTTTGAGTAATATTATCGATTCGAATGGTCTTGCTTTCCGTGCTCGATATGGCAGCAAACAAGTTACTTTACGTGCACGCGGTGGCTCACTCAATGTTCCTCATACCAGCACGAAAACTATTTCGAAGACTTCAGGCCCAAAAATCACCGGTCTGTGGCTTGGCTTAATTCTTGTTGGTTTAGTCGTTGGTGGCGTTGCCGGCTTCTTCGTTTTGGAAAAACTTGCGAACAAATAAAAATTGATCGATCAAGCAACAATCAAATAGAAACTAGTGTTTTTCTATCTTTTCTTTCTCTTTTTTTTTATTCTTTAATACTTCTGCGCGCTTCATATGTGTACGTGTATGTATACATACATTTACATCTTTTTTTCTTTGACATCAATAAACAACAGTAGAAAAATGTTTCATAGAATCAATCATTTTACTGATCTGGAAAGAGAAGAAAGTTGAAATAAACAATAGTGAAGATAAAACTTCTTATCATTCTTATTTGAATAGGAATAAAATTGTTTTACTGGGCAAAGATAAGACTACTGAAAGTAAACGAAAAAAGAACTTGAAAATAACTTTAGTATGTTTCTTCTTTTTAAAAGCACTTAACCAGAACAATAACCTTCTATTATAGAATAACAGTCAATTGATCGAAGTTCGGTGATTTTCCTATTGAGACTTGATTTGCCTATCGTTCAATTAGTCGTATTTGTTATCCGATTCTCTTTTACCAAAACCTTCTTTTTATGTGTGAGTTTTCATCAACACCTTTTACCTATTAATTTTCTTCACCTACTCGTGTTTTTATTCTCGAGTCACAAGAACTTGGTGATCTCTGAAAAAAACGAAAGAAACCTTTGTTCTTGTCGACACATGTCGATCGGAAGTAAACACATAGGTATATAAGCGTTGGTGTTCAACTATTTATGAACGTAGTTAGTTTTCATATTGACATTTGCCTTTAAAATAAACTTTTCTCTATGATTTTATTAACTTTACGTGCTTTTTTATTGATCAATAAGTCTATTTTCCAAGCCCACTGGTAGAGAATTCCATGTTCCCCTCCCTTTTTTTCTCCTTTTATCGACAATATTTATATATGTACAAGCAAGACAACACATCCCCTGTTGTGCCTGCCTGTCTGTCTGTCTCAGGTGTTGTCTTTCTCGCTGATCGGTCTAATTTCGATAACCTATGTGAATGATTTTCATTAATCTATTGTTTATTTTCTTTGCGTCGTTTATTCAAGCGCACGTACATACAGATTGCTTTATTAGAACGAAGAAATAAATCAATGAGGTACGTATAAAAGAGAAGAAAGGCAGACAGAAGAGAAATGCGAATCGATATTCTTCGAACGCAGCATGGTTCAAATCATACGAATTGTCTGATTAATTTCCGCATTGACATATTCAAAAAGACTTTCTCAGCTTGTCATCACTAAGCTATTAACTCGCATTGGTTAGAATAAATAGATAAGAAGAAAACAAAAAGAAAGTATGCTTTTTCGTGTCATATGTGAAACTCTAATTAGTTTGATGAGACAATAGCAAATCCGAGTAGGAAATATTCGCAGATAGAACCTTTAGATCTGATATTCTATTAGACTTGATTATTACGATATATAACATCAAGAAAAATACATCGTGGATAATTATATAGTATGATTTTTCTTCTTCGTCCTGCGTTTTGTTTATTATTGATAGATCATCCTATCGAAGGCTAATGAATATTCAATCTCTAATCAGATTTTCTTTTGATATGCATGAAAGCTAAACGACTTGATCAGTTTTCTTTTTCTCGCACGTATTTTAAATCATTTCCATTGACGCAAAGGGCAATTAGCACCTGGTAGCTTTCTTTTACATATACATTTATCAATAGATCACTAAAGTCATATCGTTTATTGTATTATGACATCTGATTTGTTTTCTGCGTTACTATCAAATATTTACCTTCGAAGCAAGGAAATTGATCTGTCATATATACAGAGAATGCAAACGAGAAAAACAGAAAGAATTGATTTGACGTTAGAACTAAAAGCATGTCACTCATTAAATACATTTGAAATCATCGGCAAGCATACTCATTGACGACAGTCAAAAGAAAAGTCTATTCAATAGAGACAGTCGTGATGTGTACTTGCAAAACTTTTCCCATCGGACTTATTGAAAAAGATCTAGTTGTCGGACTGACAAATATCGATGTATTCATGGAGGGAAAAGGAAAACTATCAGTATCATTGAATCAATATGAAAATAGATAAAGAGAAAGAGTATTTCCGTCATAAGTCACGCAGATCAAACATCATCGACTAAAATAAGGTCTGTTCAAACGATGACATACAGAGAGAATATTTCTGTTTCTCTCATCGTCTTCGTTTTTTATTCTATTGAGTTGCTTTTTTTTGTTCTCCTCTTTCTCCAGCAATTCAATGTCTAAAGTAGAAGTTGTCCTGTTCTTTGCTATCAACATCGGAATAGATCGAAATTAAGAGGTAAACGCGGATAGTGTGAAAGAACAGAGAGCAGTATGAACTCGAGCGTTCTCTCGGTGAGTTTTGCAGATCGAACGGATATGTCGGTTAATATACACACGATTATATTCTGTTCCGATATGATTTAGTAATTGGGTGTTATTTTTCTGTATTTTTCTCGACATTCATTTACAGATGGGGTGCCGATTGGTTAGTAAACAGACATCGACAATATGCATTCACAAATCGTTCTATTTCAACACCTTTTCTGTCCTTTTTCTCGTCGATATAAACTAATAATCAGACAAAGATCGACAATTGTGATTGACTATAAATAGACTCGATATCTTAATCATGTTTTCTTTTTCATCGAAATTCTACGAAGAAAACGGAATGAAATCGTTAGAATAACAATAGAGACGGTTTTCGTCGATGCGTTTTCTCTGAGATATAGGAAAGGACACGGTATACTAATTTTTTTATCGATAGAACTATGTTTTCTTAAAGAAGTATAGACGTGCATACGTATTCATATAGAAAGGTTAGTGACGAGAGAATTCTTAAGTAAACATTGCCGAAAGCAAAATAATTACCAAAGATCCTTTGCCATCTAAAAGAGAAAGAGAAAGAGAGAGAGAGAGAGAAGAAGAAGAGAGTTTCCCGCTTCTCTCTCTATCTCTCATTCTTTTTCTGTAGTACTCTCGAAGATACACTAGACATTTGAAAGTGATAATTTATTGGACAGTAGTGATAAATATAACTTCTTCTCAAATGCAAGTAAGTCTGATCAATTGCTTCTCGCTCTTTATCCACACACCTGTGCGAAATCTCGACATGTTCCTTCTCTTCGTGTCTGTCTTGATTAAAATATATCCGCATCCATATGTTTTGATAAGTAATAAAGAAGAAAACATCGAAGATGTGATCTAGTTCAATGACAAACAAATATCTTGCCTTATCTTTCGCTACAATAGACCGTCGATTGATTTGATCGAATCTGATTGAGCCTAATCAAACAAATCTTTAGTCCAAAAACATTCCCTACGAGTTGATGATGTTAGTCAACTCATCTAAATGCAAATTTATCTTCTCACTCGACTAGTTTCTTCTCTACTCGTATTCTCTTTGTTATTTTGATCTTTCGATCATAGTTTGTATCATATCATTAGGTACATCGAAGGGATTAACTGAGTAATTGCAGCAAAGAATAAATCGATTAGTCGGCGTCAAATGTATACTGATCGAAAATGAAATTTTATGATGATAGATGTCGAAAACTTCGTCCCGATATTCGAAAGACAGAATCCCGTGAAACTGATTAATTTCATTAATCGAGAAAACAATCAGCACGTCGATTTTCTTTCTTTATTTGTTTTTAGTTCTTCTAGTTTCCATCTCAATATGACTGACAATCACGTATGTACGCCATTTAGTAATTGTACGAGTCCATTCATATCAACATCTTCTCCTGCTTTGTATAAGACAATTCTGATTATCATTGGTGGAGCGATTTTAAGCCTATTAACAACTGTTGGTAATCTTCTTGTTTTAATCTCGTTTCGTATTAATAAACAATTACGTACAGTAACGAATTATTTTCTTTTGTCGCTTGCAATTGCTGATTTTACGATTGGATCGTTTTCTATGCCGATATTTTTCACTTATTTCGAACGAAATTCATGGCCGTTTGGCTCGTTTCTATGCGATGTGTGGCTTAGTGTTGATTACACCATGTCAAATGCATCTGTAGCAAATCTTCTATTGATCTGTTTCGATCGATACCTTTCCATTACTCGACCATTAACCTATCGATCAAGACGCACACCTAAACGTGCATCGATCATGATTGGCTGTGCTTGGATCATTTCCTGTCTTATTTGGACACCTGTAAAATCTGAAAATCTCGTCTACTAGACAAAGTTTTGTTCTGAATCTTTCATTTTAGTGGATATGGGCATGGCCGTTCATCGACAAACGAGGTTCTCCGAGTGAATGTCAATTGCCCTTCGCTTCGAAGGCCACAGGTAACCATCAATGATCGGATTAGTCGAATAACTTGATTTGTGGATTCTAGTGGCTATTCCAACTGCGATTGCTGCATTTTATCTGCCAGTTACATTAATGTGTTTACTTTATTTTCGTATTTACCGTGAAACAGTGAAACGCCGAAAAGAATTACATCTTTTACAAGCTCAACATCACAGTTCATATTGCCAAGGAATTCCAAGTACGACATCCAACGGTCGGTTGAACAAAGCGCTAAGTACAACTGGAACAACCGTGGCGTTAGATCATGATGAAAGTATCTCCACAGATTCGAATCGTTCTCATGGAAGAATTATGTTCATGCACAGTTGTTCAGTCAATCGATTCTTTTCCATAAGTAAAAAATCAAATAAGGAATATCGTGCGCCCTCGATATGGTACTGTTGTTTTAAAAGGTAAAAATACATGTGAATACACTTTTTGTCTAATCTTTCTTTTCCATTCGAAGACATCTTGATCGAATGCAATCGAATGCCAACCGAGCGGAAGACGAAGACACATCCAGTGAAATCCGCTCTGTCCTTACTCCAAATCATGATCGACATCAAACTGATACCGTTTCATCGCGAAATCCATGTAAACTTTCTTCTGCCAATGGTCGAATCAATTCAACACACGATGCTCTAGAAACAGAGAAGTCGACTAGTCCCTACGCTGATCCGTGGATTCGTCGTTGTGATCAACCGTCACCGATCGATTTTCTGCTAAAACAAAATCAAAAACAAAGACAAAAATCCATCCAATACGAATCTCGTCTTTACTATCATTCATTACCATCGACATCCGATGATCACATTTCGCAACAACAACAGCAACGTCAACCGTTATTACCAAACATTGATAAAGATATTGAATATGTCGAATCACGATTACGTGGTCAAACAACAGTTTCATTACCATCATCTCATTATTCACGTGATCCACCGACTTGGTTACGACTTCCTCATCGAGATTACATCAACGTCTTGTCAAGTTCATCTGATGATCCCCATCCACAGCAGGCGGATATTTCTGTTCATCAGAAATATTCCTGTCCATTGCAAAGTAATGATACAATTGTAATTCCCATCAAAGCAGTTACATCAAAAGCGTCAACAACTCTCTCGACAAGTACAAATGGTAGTGTGAAAACCGTAAAGAACCGAATGGAAAAAATGAAAGATCAAAAGGCCGCTAAAACTTTAAGGTACGTCAGTATGTTGCGTTTGTTTTGATAAGTCAAACTTCCTTGTTGATATTCCTAGTGCTATCCTAATGGCTTTCATTATAACATGGCTTCCTTATAATACAAATATAATTATTTCAACAATAAAGCCAGATGCTTTCACGCAAGGTTTTCCACTCTATTGGGAACGTTTCGGGTACATGTTATGTTATATAAATTCAACAATTAAGTATGATAATGCTGTTTTGATGATCGTTAAACTTTCGCTTTGTTTTTCCTTTTCAGTCCAATGCTCTATGCTTTATGTAATGGTACATTTCGACGAACATTTGCTCGTATACTTCGTTGCCAATGTAATCGTCGTCACACGCCTACACATGTGCAAAAAGCCTATCGTTTTCAAACAAAGAGAAGCCTACCAAATAATGTTTAAAAATCCAGCAGAATTTTTCTACAGAAAATTGTTATGTTTTGTTTTTTTTTCTTCTTCTTGTTTATGTAAATGTTCTTAACCGATCGGTCTGAGACCAGAGATCTTTCTTTTATTTTAAATGTCCGAACTTGTATTTGCTAAAAATGAACGAAATGTTGAAAGAAATGAATCACATGACTCAATCGACGGAATTGACGCTAAGTGATTTTTGAGAGAGACTTCTCACGTGTTTGCTTGAAATAAACACTTGTCACCGCGTAAATTTCCTGCAAACCAATGTCAACTTGTTCACCGACCGACTTTCAAAGAACGTTTCGTTGCAGAGAAATCAGTTCTTCATCAAGCACATACAGAGCTCGAATTTTTATCATGCGTAGATGAGCATCTTTGTTTAATGTTAAACATAAATCATCCAAAAGTATCTCTCTGAAAGGCAAACTAATGCCGATTGAAATGTGATCTTTGCATTAGGTCATCACATATGTAGAACAGAAGTTTCTCGAATGAGAACGGAATGAATCGAAGACACTCAACGTAAATTAAATTGGAAATACATTCGACTAACATAAAATTAAATAATCGTAGATCTTCATTGAAATGACCGTACTAAATAAAAGTATGAATATGCTGAACGAATTTCTTGTGTTATTTGTGCATCGGAATACGAAATTCTCTTCTCACAGTTCTGTTTTAGATACTAAAGTCACCGAGACACGTTTTGAAAAGTGAAGATAAGCAAATCAATGTACTTGATGTAGTCCTTGTTGCAAGTCGAGAATATATTTTGAATGGCTGTTCGCATTCGATTCTTCGTTTCTGATCTATATTTATTAATTCATAAAACATCAAATACCTATTTCATCTCTTCGAGATTTGTAATATAAAGTGAAGACAAGAAAGAAAAACCTACAAAATCACGAAAGACTGCATTTCATCTGACTGTTTGTTCCTTTTAGTTGTCTAATGACGATAAATGTTGACTTATCGGTGTGAGGTTCGCAATGAATTCATTCGATTGATGATAAAGTTGAAGTAAATCATCAGAGGAGATTTCAGGAGATGAATAGGGTAGATAACGAAGACAAATATCAATCATTGAACGAATTTTCTGGAAACGTTTGGCAATTTGCTCATGAGTTGGATGGATAGTTTCCTTCTGATGTTTGCAGTTTTCATCGATGATACAAATTTCTCGTAAAATTGCCCCTCGCTTTTCCCGATTGGCACTTGCTAATGATTTCAATAAAATATCTCTAAAACAATCGATGACACTCCCTTTGATCATCCGAAAAAGAAGATTTTGCAACTACCGCGGGGCTTTCGCATCGGATATTTGTCTTCGTTGAAGATCTAATTCAATAATAAAATCATCTTCATTGATATTGTTTGGTAATTCATATTTAATCATATCTGAGATGTAATCAATGAAGAACAATGGATTAGAAATACCAAATGAATCCAGGGGCATGTCACGATTGAAATGCATATAAAAAACTTTCGGTAACATCTGAAACCAAATGCCTTTGGAATGCGTTGAGAGTAGAACTCGGATGTCTTCACGTAAATTTAATAACAAACGAATTTGTTCGTTGTTATCCACTAAATTATGCAATTATCAATCGATGTACTTTGAATGAAATTCTACGTACAATTAGGAAATGTTGTTGAATTCATTCTTAAAGATCTGATCTAAAATTTTCACAATTCTTTTATTTATCCAAGAGAAAAAAAACTTATCTAAACATCTAAATTTTCTTCGAGAAAAGCTACTATTGTGTCAGTGTCCCATTTTTCAATGCCCAGTGATTGAATTTTCTCGTCTTTAGCGTTGTATAAATGAAGAACCGGTTCAGCACCAGGTACATGTTTAAAGCTGAATGTAGGAAAACGTTTTGGACGATCGCTGCGTACGAATGCTTCGATTTGAGGATATCGTCCGAATTTACACGTGCAAACAGTCAGAACAGCTCGATGATATTTCTAAATGAAATGAAAACATTGAGATTTAGGCAAGGAGACATCTTCGATCTTTACAATTCGAGGCTCATCGTCGTTATCTGTTTGAACACAGCATTGTTTACATGTATTTTCTAATTCATTCAAATGGAATTGTTTCAAATCATGACAGTTCGAGCAAAGTAAATTGTCGGATGAAAAACCACGATCGAGACATTGTAATGACGACAACGAATCGGATGTGACGACAGTCTAAACATAATTGTCGTTATACCAAATAGATATCTGAACAAAATCCTTACGATCAGGAGAAATATGAGAAATTTATTCATCCACATTATTGAAGTACCTAAGTGAACAAAATTTCACCTTTTTTGGAGTCAGTCGTGGAGAATAGCGATACGTCCGACAAATCAAATCGAGATCGTTTTCCCTACAGAGGGAGCTACTGTACAAGTCATTCGATGGTATGAGAGGCTTTTGTTTTATTAATTAGATGCGATCTTCATTCGATATTCACACATACATCAAATGGGCTTAAAAAGAGACATTCGTTATACGCATAAGACAAACTACAAAACGAAAATGTTCAGCGAATATAAGAAACCTATTAGTAAAAAGCTGCGCAAAGATTCTGATTAAATTCTTATTGAAGTTGAACAATGGCGTCTAATTCCATCGTTAGGTTTGTATCCAATCGGTGTGTAAACCAAATAATCTAGAGAAGAAAAATGCATAAGATTGAATTTCGAATGAGAGAATCGTGTTTTACTTGAGAAGTCCCTTGACGAATATGAATAACGGGTGGTTTTCGTCCACCGATTGGCAATGATGAAGCAGCGTTAGTTGATTTTGTCGTCTCGACAGATATACGAATATTTGAAGAATGCTACAGATAGAAATACAGATTCTATTATTAATTTCGAGTAATTTACTTTATTTTGAACGAAAAGAATCGAACCATAATCATCTTGATAATGAAAACAGTGAACAGATGGATTTTTTAATTGAATTCGATCAGATTTATCCTTCAAAAACTGTATTAAACTTCCTCGAATTTCGTTCAACTCAATAAAAGATGTCGGTTTTAGACGTATATCCGATTCATTAACATGAACCGTCAATTGAAATGGGCACATCTAAATCACAAAGAAACGAAAACAAATGAGCTTATTTCCACAATAGAACAACATTCATATCGAACCATATCAAGTTCCATAGCATAGTTAAATCCAACCGAATTCAAACCAATCCACAACTCCTGCTCAGTTGTCTCAGGTTCTTGAATTTCATAATCATTCAATTTCAAAAATTTCTCTTTCGAAACGTTTTCATCGACATCTAAGTTCACACTTTCTAAAATCGAGACGAAACAAATCATTTCTGTTCATAGCAACTAAATCAAACGGACTCACCACGAACAGACAACCAATCTTGATCCGAGATTTCGTCGCCTGTGATTCGCAATGTCCATAGATTGTACTCATTTCGATCGAGTTGCTTATTATCTACAATGAACTGAGTGATTTACAATTTAGATAGAGCAATGTCATTACCATCGAGATCGAATACATCGAAGACATATTCTAATGCTTGTCTAGACGAATGAAAGAGATAGGGAAAGTCTTGTTTTATGGATGAGAGTTACTCTTTTACCGATAGTCGTCGGTCATCGAGAAATCTTTGCCTTTTTTTGTCTTTCGTAATGTTTTGATTTTGCCACGTTCGTTCACTTCACGTGTTCGTGGTCGTAGAACACCACCAAGCGTAATAGGAACGAGTTCATAGGAACCTTTCGGCAATTCTTCGGATTCGAGGCATGTTTTCTAAATTCCATTTGATTCAAAGAAAATCAGAAGCAGAAGATGATGACGACATACGCTTCCCCACCGAAGAGAACTTATATCGATAAGACGTCGTTTCTCCGAATGAGGCGATTTTTCGTAAAGAAGAATTCGAATGTCGAGATTTTTGAATAACGAATCTAATTTGCGCATTATGTCCAATTCAAAAGAGAAAATATGAGAACGGTGAATTACCTTTATGATACCGTGAGAGTGTCGGTTCAACTATTGCCCATACAGGTGTAGGTCTTTTGATCTCAAATGAGTAAGCAATTGAAAAGTACAAGGCATCGTTGGGTGAATCATAATATTCACAAAAGAAAGCACCTTTGATCTGTGCTGTACGTGCTTTCTAAAGCGATAATAAAGATTTATTTGAATAGAATTTACCGGTTTTTTTAAACACAAACCGCAGAGATCGATGGTTTTATTTTCGATGGTGGAATAATAATATGGAGATTATTACTTCCCATTTTCGGAGAATTCGGTCGTGGTGATGATGCACGTTCAATTTCATCTAAGAACGAATGGATATTTAGATGGTCGAGAGTTAAAAACATACCTCTTCGTTGTTCTTTCTTTTCGATGATAATCTTCTCTCGGCACGTATTCTTGTTTTGCGTGATTGCTTTCGTTAACTGAACAAAAACATCGACATTGAAGTTTGGAAGAATTGTACTATCAGTCTTACCTTTTTCACATCGACTTTTCCTGATTCAGTTCCAAGTAGATAACGAAGTTTATTAAATTCTTCTTCCGTAAATGTATCGCCTTTCTATAACGGATAATCTTGCTTCAAGTGAAGAGATTTCTCCTGTTTTCCTACTTGAAGCATATCAGAACGAAATCTGTCGTAATCGATTGCACTCCAGTCTTGTTTTCGATCTTTATTATAAAGTGTTTCGAATGCTTCTTCGAGTGTTCGTTCATCAATCGGCTTTTCATCATTTAAAATACGTTGAAACGTTTTGAACGATATTTCTTCTAATCAAAACAACCAAATCGATTTCAATTCGTAGATAATCAAATAATTTACCATCATTACTCAACCATAGACGATCAATCGTTGTTTTCGGCAGATCGCATCCCACATAATGAAGAGCTAAGTTCGAAAAAATTGATATGCGTTTCTTTTTAAGCACAAGAAAACCTGATTACCTTGGATGAATTTGTCACGATTTGTTATGACGTCTTCTTTCATGAAATCGGTACACCGCTGAAAAACTATTCGATGATACTTTGTATCATCTTCACTGAAACTTTTCGCTGACCAATCACTCTTTTGATTGTCGGATTCTCGAATTGCAGATAATCTGTTATTTACTACAGGAGATGATGGTCTATTGGCAAGATTTTCATGTTTAGTCGCTGAGAAACTTGGCGATGCTCGACCAATATTTGTTTGACTTCTCAATGATCGATCCGAGTTCATCATTCTGCTTCTCAACTAAATCATCTTCGTTCCTTCTACCCTTTTGTTATATGTCGCTAGGTTCTCACCTCCACGCTATGCAAAAGAACATGCCTTAGTGACGATCGTTTATTTCACGCTTTAACATTGGATGAGGTGCGCGGCGCGATGATCAATGCAAAATGGTATCTCATGAGTTTTTCATTCTCCGTACTCATCTTCACTTTTTATGTTTAGTATGTCGTGGCGAGAAGGAGTGAATAAACAAGCAGCGAAACCAGCTGCACCGAAACCAAAGTTCGAGACAAAAGATGATGATTGGGAAACGGATACTTCTTATGAAGTAAAATCTCTAGGATATCAACTGTATTTGAAACACTTTATTTTCAATAGAATACTGTAACGGAAAAGACACAACGTTACGGTTCGAAAAGTATTCCCGGCTCTGGTCGAGTCGATCATTTCGATCTAAGTACAATTCAAGACAAAGCCAAAACAGCGGATGTTTCAGTGACAAGTGTCTATCGGGAAAAGAATCCAACGCGTGGCTATGGTGGCAAATATGGTAATGAGCAAGTCATGGATAAGGTACGGTAATCTATCTGTTACAAAATGTAAACATGCAAAGAGATTTATTATAGAATGCAGTGGATTTTTCGTACAAAGCGGATGTTAAAAAACATTCGTCACAAACAGGTGAGTTATCTTCTACAATTGTGGCGATGGTGGTGGTAGAGGGATTTCTACGCCCTTATAAAATGCTGACGAATAGGCTGGGTGATTGATGAAATATTCAGTGAAAGCTTGTTGAGGCACCAGTCCGTTTTTTACGCCGTGATTCGATTCTAGATTTCTCCAAACTTGTTGATAATCAGTATTAACACCGTATAGATCCGACATGTCTTGAATGACACGTCGGCCCATGTTCGGTGTTATGTAGCCATCGTTTTGAGAATAGTGATTCAGAAGGAAATCTAAGCGTGTCTGAGGACTAATTGAACTTTGTAACATAATGTAAGCTGATATAAATTCGTCGAATGTTAGACGACCGGTATTGTCTCGATCGAATGTTTTAAATATTCGATCAGCTGTTGCATTATTCAGTCGATTCTCTTCGTAAGCTGATAAGTGTGACATAGTAACATTATTCGGTGACTGCTGTATTAAATCTTTGTAAATTCGACGAAATTCATATTTGTCGAGGAGATAACCTTTGGATACACGACGAAAATCTCTGTAAATGTTTTCTAATTGATTACGAGGAATACCAACTAAATTGGATATCGCATCGAGTTCCCATGCTTGCGTTTCGCGGCCTTTCTGTCGATTGCCCATGCTGTTTCAACAAATAGCGTAGAGCAAATTAGTATTTATACATTCGAACACCTCCACAAGACGTATTCATAGGTAATTTGTAATAAAGAATAGATCGCTATTGATTGTATCGAATAAAATGAGTAATATCTTACCTTCGCACATTATTCATCGATTTGCTTGTTTATTCATAGATGCAAAGAAAGGTTTCGGTGGTGAACACGGTATTGATGAACGTGCCAAGGACAAATCAGCAGTTGGATTTGATTATAAGCCAACAAGTGAAAAGCATTCATCGCAAACAGGTTGAGACATAGCGTAACGAAAAGAATCGATTGTATTTTGACAAGTAATCAATCTGTATAGATGCTTCAAAAGGCTTTGGCGGTAAATACGGTGTCCAGAAAGAAGAAACGATTACACCGGTAGCGCCTGTTGCTACTCGTAGTCCATCACCAAAGCCAGCTCCAAGTATCGTATATCCACTATTCGAATTATACTTTTTTTTTAAATTGAACTACTTTAGAGCCTAAAGTGACAGAAGAGACCGCACCATCTGCTAGTGCTAAAGCCGATGTTGGCAATATCCGAGCAAGGTAGAGTACTTTGAAACGTTGTTATATTTATTTCGTTTTCGCGTGTATAGATTCGAAAATATGAGAAAACAAAAAGAAGAAGAAGCAGCACAAAGCGTTGCAGAGCAACGAAAGAAACGAGCGGCGGTTGACGAGCACCTTCAGCAACAAAACGCAAGTAGTAGTGCTAGTAAGAATCCCGAGAAACCTAAACTTCAAACTAGCCCACCGGCATCGGTTCCTCGACCAGAAACACCACCGCAAGTTTCAACTACCGACACAGATGTTGATAGCACAGTTCCATCCAGTTCTAATGAGAATAATGACACTAATGTCGAAGAGAAGAAAGAAGAACCAGAGAAAATTGTTGGCGGTATTAATGTAACTGCATTATTACGGCAACGAAAAGCTTCATCATCATCATCAAAGAATGAAGAAGATGATGACGAATGGGCTGCTGAACCAAATTAAACAAGAAGACATTATAGATAATCATATGCATGCGAAACCAAATGTATATTTCGTAGATTCTTCAAGTGCAATCCGCAAATCTTCTATTCAAACAAGATTTATTATACGCTTGATTATTTTTCAAATATTTCCGAGTAATTTTTAGTAATTTTTACTTTTACATTTATGCGTTTTACATGACGAATGATTGATTCATGTATTTGTTTCGATGATAAATAGCGAATGATATTTACAGGAGAATTTTTAAAAGAATCGACTTATTGTCTATTGGATTATACGTACACAATCACCATTTGATCGTAGGGTGACTAATATTTGCCACGGGAAAGGACATTTTCGAAGATCAACAAGCATATGAGCAACTGTATTAACTCGATGGTGTTCGAATTGAATCATTCGATTCTCGCAATCTAAAACTAAAGTTATTTCATCACCGGTTCGAACTCCACGATCAGTATGTACACGGTGGCCATTGACACTCTCGATTGCTTGATCAACTTCCCACCAACCGTAACTACAGGTTCCAGTCCATGTTCGTACTGGTAAATCATCAGACGTAGTCTTGATACCAAAGAAAAGATCATTGCTTCCTTTATGGTCGATTCGAAAACGGATTTCATGCTGACCGGATGAGTATAAGCGAGTACCATAGACAGTTGATCCATCCCAATAGGAACCAATACATGTTGCAACATATCCACCTTCTGATAATACTAATTTTCCTGCAAAATTTCGAAACAGTTCGTTCACACGAGCAATTCCTTCTCGATTATAATCGGCAATGTCATGTCGACGGAGAATAGAAGAATTTAATCCTTGTTCTTCGGATATCTTGATCATAGGCACAGAAGTAGATTTTGATGGGTCCTCAATGAGTCGAACATGTAACTCTGCAGCAAGTAACTCACGAAGATGTTTTAATTCTTCCGTCCACCGAAGTAAATCGATTTCGGTAAAGTCGTCCAATTCTCGGCCTGCTTGCATTTCCTTCGTTACCTTGTCCATCGATTCTTTCAGTTGAGTTTTGTTCTGTTCAAGCAACAAACGAAGATCAGCCCGGGCAGTTTCTGCTATGACTTGAATTTTCGTAATTGATTCTCGTTCCCACTCATCAATGCGAACTAACAGTGGATGTACCGAGGTTTCGTGCATTAAATCCTGTCGAAATAGATCATGTTCGTGTCCAACGTTATCCAGCTGACCGGTCAGTTCTTGTCGATGTTCAATGATATGTTTGATGCAAAATGTTTGTTGACAACCATCACATGTTGTAACACCGGCACCTTTATCGCATTTTAGACATGGTTTTTTGGTAATAACAGACGCCATTTATTCGACATAGAAAAGAAATGAAAAAAATTCTTACCGATGGTAGAAATAGAAAACAATCCACTTCATTTCACGTTCAATGACTCAGAATATTTTCATAGATGTCGGTGATGCTGCTCTTTTAACTATTCAATATGACATTCATTACATCAGTCGATAGTTTAGCATACTCCACAATATTAACAGTCTGTTTAAACCTAAGAGCATTATTAAAGACTAATGATTCGCTCATTAACGTCCTTGTCACGCTTGCTTGGCTCTTCTGAAAAAGATAGTGACTATTCCTAAATACGACTACGAAGGACAATGTCAGAAGAAAGTTTTTTAACACAAATTTAAAAGATTAGTTTTATTAATCTTTTCAATAACAGATCCTTCTATGAAATAAAAAAGAACACCAAATCTTATCTATTGTACACACTGAATTGGTTTCTGAGATCAAAGTATTCGAATGGAATCGCCTGCTGTTAATAGTCGAACGAGTATCTTCCATGGATATGGGCAAACGTCATGTTTAATTTGTAAATGTACACGTCGTTTTATTCGGTGATGTTCTAATTCAATTTGTCGTTCGCCACAATCGATGACTAAAGTTACTTGATCATCTTTTTCGAGTGATTCGTCGCTTTCACCACCTTTACTTTCTCCGTTGATAATCGTATGATCAAGATTCCACCATCCGTGAACCGAGTAATCAAATGTTGGCGAAATGATTTGATGTGATGAAGAGATGATGCCCAAAAAGATATTTTTATTTCCCTTATTTTCAATACGAAATGTGATCGAATGCCGTCCGGATGAGTATTGATTAATTCCAGTTGTTTGAGATAAACCAGCACGATAGTTCGAATGTGTAACAACCTGATTATTGTCTGATAATTTACACGGCCCGAACATAATGACAAAACTTTCGGGATGAGATTCGATTGCTTTTTCCGGACAAGCATCAGCTTTGGTCAATTCTAATAACGAACTCGCTGCGGACGGTCTTTTTTCAATAAGTTTTATCGTTCGAATAACTGACCATGGCTTTTCGTCTTCGACAATCGACACATTCGATGGTTTTTCGAGTAAATCGCGAAGTTCTTCTAATTGTTTGTTCCATCGTGTGAAATCCAATTCCGTATAATTGTCCGTTTTCTCACTCGATTGAACTTGTTCGTCGATTTGCTTTAACGAATCTTGTACTTGACCTTTTGTTTTCTCAATCCATTGTTGAAGATCATTTCGCGTTTTATCAGCGATCTCTTGAATACGACTTATTGATTTACGTTCCCAAGCTTGAATGCTTTCTAGCAAAGGATGTTCGAATGTATCTCCAACGAGATCCTGGTAAAAAATATCCTGTTTCTGATGGAAAATTTTCATTTGTTGAGATAAGTGTGATCGATGTTTAATAAAATGTTTCGTGCAAAATGTTTGTTGACATCCATAACACATAGCTGTGCATCCAGTCTTCGAACAAGTTGCACAAGCTTTACGTTCAGCTTCTAAGGTCATATTTTCTCTTCTATTTGCTTCGTTTTACCTATGTTAATCAGCTGAATCTCGATCGAACACCACACATATTCTGTACAATGATCATTGTCATTGTTATTTGGTTACAGTTGAATGATTAACTCGATGTGCACATTCGATTCTAAAGGCAAACTAGTGCGTCGTCAACGATTGCGCACAAACCGATGACGATGAAAGTGTCGATAGAAGGGAGAGGATTTTGTTTAAACAAATGATGTTTGATGAGGAATAATTAATTTATTCTACAAATTAAAAAATTCCTTTTCAGTATAGAAACTTATAACTAAAATCGAGTTATCAACGCTGGCGATGGAAAACTCAATGTTTGAACAACAGAACGCTTTTCTAATCCCTTTTTCTTCTCAAATTGTTCTAATAAAGCCAATTGTTTCCAGCTTTCAATCAACGTTTGAGCACTGTATTCAATCTCTTCTTGATCTTTCATTGAATCAAGTAAACCTCGATGTCGTCCCATGCACATGGTTAAAATTAAAATGATTTTACTTGGCACTGTTAGTACTGTCGCAAAACTCGATGACACACCATTATAACCCATGGATAAGCCGCACCCACCGAACGCACTGATAACTTCAAAAATAACGCGAAAAACAGTTATTTGCTGATCGATCGGTGCCATGTGATATGAGTCGAATGAGCAAATCAGAAAGACAAATATAAATAACCATGTTCGAGTAGATGTTAGCAGACTAAATAGACTAATCACAGCGTGACGACAGAAAATGATTAGTAGAAGTTTCATTCGTAGGAATGAAATTCGTGCTACACTTAAACTTCGATCGTCTCTTAAATCGTCGTAAACGTCTAATGATAGCGCACTTAGTCGATGTTGAAGATGTTTTTCATTAAGTTGATCAATGGTGCTTTCGGCTCGTGTCGACCGCGCAACCGATGAGAAATACCTTTTCGCTTGAGCTTTTGTCAATGAACCTTGTCGTGATAAGAAATGCTTCATTCGATCGAACGGTAGAAAGATCTGGATACTTCCACGACGATTGTTAGACGACACTTTATCTTCCAATTTTTGTTGAGTTTGAATCAAGATCCATTCCATTTCAAACGGAGTTTCGTTAATAGCGCATAACTATAAAGAAACAAACAGCATGTTTGCCTTTTCAAAAAGAACTCACCATTTGAGGTTTAACACCCATTAATAGAACAAATATAATCAGTGTTCCAGATGCAAGTAAACTTAAATCAATTGTGGCATAACCTACATATTATACACATGAATTTTCATCCGATTTATTATTCATATTGAATTACCTGCAAAACGAGTATTGGCGGTTTCTAACATGAATATCATAAATCGTGTTCCGCCGCTATAGAGTGCTAAATTTTTATTGTTATAGTCAAGTATTAAGGCTACCACGACACCCACTAAAAATTTTCCGGAATTGCATATTCGACTGAAATATTCGTCACTCACGTATTTGTAATAGAATTGTTATTGTCACATATAATCTCGTTTGAATCGATGGAAAAATGACTGTTGATAAACGATGATTATTTAAAAGAATATAGTCAAAATAGATTTTATAACGCCAACTAGAATACATAACAATGAGTATTCACTGATTTGTTCGTAAAAAGAACTTACGGTACGATAAACTTGCAGAAATTGACAACACCACGAATGATAGCTGGAAATAATGATGTACCGGACATAACAACAAAGATGATAAAAATATTCATGAAAACATCATTGACTAATATACCGATTCCACCAGTCCTGAAGAGAAAAGACGTTCGAGATGAAATTCAAGACAAAGAAGTTCTATTTTTACCATGGTGAAAGACCATTTTGATTAAAACCAGTGATGGTAATAACGATGGATGCATAGAATGGATTGATCGTTTCATTTTGCTGTAATAAATATTGCGGATCATAATGATATTTCAGCCAGATCCCCATGGAAAGAAACGAAATTAGATAAATAAAACAGCAAGTTGACAAAATGAGAATGATCATCAAGACATAAGCGGTGAATCGTAAATGATGTGCACTTGGTAATGATTGTATACGCGCATAAACATCGGAATCGATCGTTTCGCTTGGTACGAGCCGTTTAATAGGTAAGATATCATTATCAGGCGTCGTTGTTGATTCTTCGGAACTCTCCATTTCATGTTTAACTCGATAGATTTTGATCACAATAGCTGGAATTGTACTTACAGTAATTCCTAAATATCAATAATCAATCTTTTCTGTTCATATTTATCGCACTTTACCTGATATCCATGTATAAAACAATAGCACACTTTGTGATGAGCGTTTCAATAGCGCGAAGTCATACGTTTGCAACCCACATGTGAACACACACGTTGCACTAACAAACCAACAGTCTATATACGGAACTTTGTATTCCTCAATAGCCCAGACAATTGCACCACAAATCAGTGTATTACAAAAGAAAACAAACAAATGGATATAGAAATAATGTCTCATTCGCCATCGATAATTGCTCCAAAGTGCACAAAATTTCCGATACCAATCGTTCAATGGCAGTGCCACATCAGCAGCAGCATTGACTGTATCAATTCGTGCTTGAATAACATCTTCTTGTATACCGGAAAGTGTCACAAACGAAGCATCACGTTGAAAGCCAGCGTTATCCATTTGTTTTTCACGCGAATATTGATCAGTTGTCTTCTTTGGTGAAAAAACCTTTTCCTCAACTGTCACACGAATGCGAAGTTCTTTTAGTACTTGTCATATATATCGTTTTCTTCTCTCTATTTTTCTTCTCATAAGTGATATTTTGATATTCATAGATGGTACAAATCATTAAATAACAAAAATGAGGGAGAATATTTCGTTCTTCGTATTTATTTATTTTTCCACGTCGCATTTCCTTTAACTAGCAATAGAGATGTCTTTTTATTAGGTCTAGAAGTTTTGCCACTGGCGTCGAACTAACACCGATCATGAAGGAGTGATAAAAACATTTCTTTGTCTTTTACTTAACCTAGTCGTGTAGATGTTGTTTTTTTCAAATTGATGAAAAAAGCCATAAAGTAAACTATCGAAATACATCCACGATGGTTCTATGTGAGGATTATCGTCCTTGATTCAGCAAAGATTGTGAGACATAGTAATTGAAAGATGTTGATGTGACAAAATAGGAATTGTTTACCTTGAGCTGGAGACTTCGGTTGTTGTTTTAGAAGGCAAAGATCATAAACAATTCATTCAAATTTTGCTTTTCTCTCTGCCAATTAAAATTGTAACACGTTGTAAGGAATTCAAAGCAAATCTGTCTCGGTTTACTCAATAACTTTTCGGCAGTACAAAACGCAATAGAATGTGCCAGGTACTAACAACATCGATCCATTTGTGAATTTTATAATAAATATTGAAGACATTCTCATTTACGTGTAAAGAATTCTCCGTACATCTTGATATTCAGTAGCATACTGGCGGGGAAAAAAATTTCAGAAATATGGATTCCATTTCAAGTACATTCTTTTTGTACACTGTTCTGTTCGAATACGAGAATGTCATGTTTGTTCTCTTGGTTTTCGCGTACTTATATATTTGAAAAAGAAATCAAGGCGTTGAATAGGTTAAATTTATAAAAAAAAAAGAAAAGGAAAGAAACGCCGTATCACACATGAGTATTCGTCGAGCACCAGGATACACAATTTCACAAATTCAATTCTTGTTCTCTGCTTCTGTGATAAGAGGTAAAACGCGTGATTCTTGTTGTTGTTCAGTCAATGCACGTGATTCGTGTAGATACACAGCAAAAGGAACTCCCTAGAAGGAAAAAAGAACGCAGATCATCGTATCGGGAAAAAAACGAATTCTGTTCTCGGTAGGAAAAAAAACGAATTTTAACAGATGATCGTAACAATGTCCTGTCTCATCCATGATGATTAATCTTGTTGTTTATACGAACGAACAGCATCTGACAAAGTTGGATTTGTTTTGAGAAAACCTCGGAATGTCAATGGTATACTATCATGGGTATAAACATTGAAACGAATTCCCTGGAAATAAGACGAGATGCACCCAGTTGAACGCATTCGCAAAACTTACTTGCTGAGCAGCTGCTCGGACAAAACCACGATTAGATGTCATTGTCACAGCTCGTAAATGGTCACCGGTGCCAAATATGATCTTTGTTCTAGCAATGAGAAACGAAGGAGTTTCAGTGAAATTGTTTTGTTCGTTAACAATACCTTGGCTTGATTTTGACACTTTCTTGCAAAAGATTTGACCGTTCAGAAAGACAATCGGGAACAACGGTTAGCTAAAGAAGGATTTCATAGAGAACTGAAAGGGTCTTTCGAGATTTTTACTCGAGCAAATAGTTCTTCCGCTCGCTTTTTCTCGTTAGGACCACCGACGATATTCACAATTGAATTAAACTCTTCGAATGCCGTTTGACAAACATATAAATCTTTCCCTAATTAAAGAAAAGATTATTTTACTTACAACCAACTCCAGTAACAAAATTAACCTTTCATGTAATTTTCTAATTTCGGCGTAAGACGTTCAGCTCGTTCCAACTCCGCTGGTACTTCAAGCCATTTATTTGGATAACGGTAAATATGACCGCCGTGTGTCAATTCCGAAACGAGACATATCAATGTACTGACATCAAGATTGATTTTATTTGGTTCATTAACTGGAATCAATTCTGCATTTGTATTCAAATCATCATCATTGTCATTATCGTTATCATTGTCATCATCTCCTTCGCTTTCGTTTTCGTCGTCACTACTACTCGAACTAAAGTCATCCATGATTTGCAAACGCTTCTCCACATCTTCAGTGACCTCCACGATTGAACCCTATTCGACAAATCTTTCTTTCATCAAAAATCACTTTCAGATAATCATGAGTTTACTTTCACAGTCACGCCATTTTTTCTTAATAAATTTGCCAGAGGTTCAGTAACACCTTGAACAAAATAGAAGACTATTTCCGGAATCTGATAACGAATTTCATTGCAACGTGCTGTCTCGATATATTGTCTCATAGAAATCAAAATCGTCCGCTGTCCATAATGACCATTGCCCTACGATATTTCGCTGAATATCTTCACCTTTAAAAACTCTTTGTTGAGCTTACTTTCCAAATTAAATGTAAAGCTTGTGCGTTTCTCGCAACGATTTTCATCCATGTTCGATTATCGTTGTATACAATGTCACAAATTAACAATTGATGACGATCATCTTTATATGGAACTAGAACCTATTAATAAATCAGTCGACGTTCATCTTTCATTGACGCTATATCAATGAACATACTCCGTTTACATTGTCTATGCCGATGTCCTCAATTTGTTCGAGCACCGCGCGTAAATGTGTAAGATTCGAACTTTTCAAATGATTTGCATTTACGTTACATGCGCCAGAACGAAGCTAAATATACAAATGATTAGTAAATCACACGAACCATTACTTATTATATGTGCAAATAAAAGGCTTCGTCGCGTACTCTTATCTTTAGTTGACAATCGAAATAGAAACTAAATTTTATGACACATGAGTTTAGTTAAATACATACGCGTTTGAGAAATCTATCTTCTGCGCGAAATTTTCTTTCGAGTTTACCAATCCCGGGTATTTTATGATATTGTCGGCATTTGTCTATGCATAGTTGAACATCGTCTAATAAAGTATCTAATTCCACGGTTATATTTGTATCGTCATTGTTTAGGTTTGTTAAATCTGTCATCTAAAACAATAAACATATTATTAGAAAAGATAACGTCTACGAAAGGAGAAGAAAGGACTTTGTACCATGCTGACATAGCATGACTTATCAGCGTGATTCGACGATATTCAATCGTGTATATAAAGTCACTTATAGTACCGTGTCAAATATCTGACAATGACAGTCTACATTATTCACGAAAATGATGCATGGTTACCACCATTTCGAGAAGCATTCGAAGCTCTCCAATTGCCATTTGTCGAGTGGAACTTGAGTAAAACACATGGGTATTCATTGACTCAATCGCCAAACCCTGATGCAATCTATTTCAACCGTATTTCACCATCGTCACATACTCGCAATCATCGTTTTTCTTGTGAAATTACAAGTCAAGTGCTCGAATACCTTTCACTACATTCTTGTCGAATAATCAACGATCAACGAGCACTTTCGCTCGAACTATCCAAGGTCAAACAGTATGTCGAATTAACAAAAAGTGGTATTCGTGTCCCACGAACGGCATTTGTTGCGAGTGCGACATCACTTAATCAGACTGAAACTGCGCAAGCAAAAGAAAGCTTTCTTCAAACATTAAGGGAAACAGCACGTGACAATTTCTTCGACGAATCAACGCAAAAATGGATACCATTTGTTAGTAAACACAATCGAGCAGGTAAAGGGCTCGGTGTGCACCTCTTCACTGATGATAAACAACTAGAAAAGCAGTTCGAAACTCTCCTAACCACAAACACTGACGCTGAAGAATTTTCCGTTGACGGAATCTATCTTCTGCAAGAATATATTAAGTCACCTCAACAGGTGATCAATCGAGCGGAATTCATTGGGTACAAATTAATGTATGTGATCGAAGTGGACACGCGTCAAGGTTTTCAACTGTGTCCAAGTGACGCTTGTCGGAAAACAGCGGACTCGAAACTTGTCAAACAGAGTGCGGACGAAATCAAACATGGGTTCGATATTCGGCCGATCGAGTCATTGAACGAACGGGAAAAGCAACTTGTTCAACAGCTGGAAAACTTTCTCGAACAACGACAAATTGAAGTCGCCGGAATTGAGTGGGTTGACGATGGAACAAATGTTTATGTGTATGATGTGAACTGCAACACGAATTATAACGTCGCTGCTGAAACACGCTTTTTCGGTTCCATGCACGGCACAATTCAACTAGGACAATATTTTCAAAAAGAATTACAAAAACTGAAATAAATTTCTTGCATAAAAGATGAACAATTGATTCGAGCTAAGTTTATTTGTAGTTGATGTTGGTTTAGATTATCATCAAGTCTTGACAAGCAAACAGACAGACGAAGACAGAGAAAGAGAGAAGATATGAACGACAATGTCTAGGAGCTCGCATCGAATATAGACCATAAAAATCCAGATACAAAAGAAAATGAAGTTGCAGAAGAAAAGAAAAAATGAAGAATCGCATGCGCTCAAGGATCTATATACAATTCTTTTTTTTCTGCTAACAAAAGAAGAAAGAAAACCACGAAGTGAGAGAGATAGAGGAAAAAAGAGAAACAAACGAACACATACACATAGACGCGTATGGCACACGCCGCTAGAAAGAGATAGGAGAAGAAAATGAAGATCAATCACACTCACACATACCATAGAGGGAAAGTGTCATCAAACAAACGAAAGAGAGAGAGAGAGAGAGAGACGAAATGGAGAAAGAGTTTTTGTTGTTTTGTGTTGGCAGGTGGAATGGTTAAATCGAGGTGAGAGAAACTCGTTGGTTAGTTTTGAAGAACAAAATCATAACTCTTACATTCAACACCATGTTCAGGAGATTTTCTATGTCAATGTAATTAACGTTGAAGATTTGGAGTATGGAGAAGGCTTTGTTAGTATGCTTTTTCATTCAGTATAATACACATTCAGAAAATGGAGAAGAAGAAGAAGAAGAAGAAGAACGACCTGATTAGAGAAAATAAACAAGAAAAAAAATGGTGATCTACACACGCGTTCATTCAATCACTGTTATCAACCGCCGGAAATGGATAAAAAGATTTCAAGATGATAAACCAGTTGATGAACCATCTAATCAAATATTTGGTTTTCAAAAAGGAGGAAACACTCGTTTAGCTTTACAGAGTCTTACCATATGAATTTTGAATATTAGTCGTTGATGTTGCCATTTGAGACATGGTCGTTTCACATCGTCTCATGTCATATTGTGCCTGTGAAGGTGTACAGTAGATCGCCGATGATGTTGACTGAGCATCCGATAGATTAATCTGTTGCTGCTGTTGAGGATAGTAATGATTCGGTCGTATTCCGTTAACTTTCATTTTATAGTTATTTGAATGATCAATGTAGGATGGCCAAGAATCATGATGATGATAGTTATGCATCTCATTTCCAATCCCATTTGATAATGCCGAATTCGTATTGTCAATTATTGATGAGGACTGATATAGATTCGAAGAAGAAGGTACTGAAGGAAGAGGAGGAGCAGAAGATGGAGATTTACCGCCTAAATGAAACAAAAAGACGACACTGTTTTAAACGAATGCACTTTATCAAATAGAGTTAACTGTTTAAATAAGTGGTATGTGTGGATGAAATACTGTTTGGATGAGATAATCGTCCATAGTTATTTGTTGATGTATGTGTTGGAACTGAAGATTGCCGATGAATGACTGGTGATGTTTGTGTTTGAAGATAGTGATTAGTTGGATGTCCACTAGTCGACGATGGTTGCATAATGTTACCAGTCGGCGATGATTTATATGGAAAATTGAATATTTGCTGATCATTTTCATTTTCTATTTTCACTCGTTTATGTCGATGATCGTCTGGCGGTAAATTTGCAATGGACGCTTGCGGAGGAACAGATGACTCGAAAGAATCATTTGAAGATTTTATCGTCGATGATGCTGATACAGATAAATCTTTACCTAAAGAGAAAAACAATAAGAATTACTTTCGTGAACCAAGAAGAGAATTAATTTCTAATTTACTGTTCGTTGCTGGATTAGTTGTTGCTGCTGCTGTCGCATTATTGTTCGTATTATTATTATTATTATGATTACTCACGACAGTAGCATTTGGTTGCCCAACGATTTCTACACTGAGTATTCCGAGTTCAATGAGGCGTACATTTCCTTGCACTGCAAGCAAATGTAATCGCTCAGCTGCCTCTTTCGGAATATCAAATGTAACTTTAACGCTATTCCACGGCTGCACTTTTTTTAATGCAAATCTTCTTCGACCTGAAGATACATTGATGAACAAAACACCTATTGGCGAATGGTTTTTCTCTTACCAGTGTGAAGTATTTGTCTTAGTTTATCTTTTATTTCATGTAATTTGACTTTCAATTGAGGATCGAGATAATCTGCTTTACATACAAGTCGAATTTCAACAAATTCATGTGGTGCCATATTGTGTTTAGCATCGCTGAATTGAAAGAAGAAAAAAAAACAACAACAAGTGATAAATATGTAAACAACAATGATTTTGAGATCTTTCATACCTTAGGATTACCGGAAATAGGAAAACATCGATCGCGGCGAATGAATATCAAATATCGACGAGTTCTTTCATCGTATTTTATTGTATTGTTGATTAGGAAATAATGATTGGCATAGAAGCGAAAAAGAATAATTGAGAATTGATTGGATGTTGATTGGTTCAATTGAATAGCCACTGGCCAGAATGAAAATTTGTTCGTTAATAAGCCAATGAAGTTTGCGTATGGAATTCTCTATAGATGGTTTTCTTATGAGAAATTGTTTTTTTCTGATTCCGAAAAAATCGATTCTTACGCGAAATCTATCGAAAATATTCGCAGAATTCCTTCGTTGAAATGCCGTTTTTCTTAACATTTATCATAGCTCTTTGTTTTTCTCTGATAGATGTCGTCAGGTACTATAGAGGCATTCGAACTGCTGAAAACCATCGCATTAGTTCCTTTAATAATTCCTTCCTTTTTTATTACATAAATATACAGAGAAACAGAGAGAGAGAAAAAAACGAATAAAACATGTGTGTTGAGTTCTCTATCTCAATAAATAACGAATACTCGTAGAATAAATAAATTATTTATAAAGTGAAAGAAAACGACGAACAAGTATGACGAAATTGCCTTCTTTACAAAACATGAAGCTGTAAAACGAGAGAAAAAAAGGAAAGAGTTCACTGGAAACGAGCAAGAGATACATCTATATACAAAATATATCTGTATACATGAGGAGAACATTTACATAAATCGCGAAGAGAATGAGGGATCTCTTCGAAGAACGAATTCAATTATTTCGATTTAACTTTAACGCGTTCACCATAAAACGAGACTGTCTTATCACTGTAAGGTGAGCCAGCACGATTCAAATTGCTAGGTTGAGATTGTTGTTGATCGACACTAATCGATCGCGCATAATCTGATGCACTGCTTAGAAGACTTGACTTGCGCCCTGTTGTTTCACCAATACCAACCGATGCGGCATCATGGTTATATTCGACACCAGGTACAGCACAAGCATCTCTAGAAATAGAAAGGCAACGTGAATGGCTTTTTCGAAAATTTTCGTTTTATTAGTTTGTATTTGTGTGGATAACATTAGCTATTTGGGAAAGATAAATAATCAGCAATGCCGTGTCAAATTCGCCTGACTAGAGATGTACTCATTTTATGTAAAACTGATTCCGCTAGGGTAAAAAGTAGTTTATTGGAGTGAAATTAATTACATAATAATAAATTAGTCTTGATTTTATTTGATGCATATCCTGGAGAAAGTCGGAAATTAACAGGAAAAAAAGTGAGTTTGTGCGCAATCAACTTTTTTTTTATGTCCACGGGAGATATGTTATTAAATCTAAAATTAGAACTTACTTGATAGAACCAGCCAACGCTTTGAGACTATCCATCGTTTTTGAAGACTTTTCACTGATGGTGATACTTTCAAGATCAAAACTTTTACAATCGCTGACTTCTGCTTGAACTTCAAGGCTAAATGAAGAAAAACAAAGGGTTGTATATGAGATTTTTGTTATGAAAAACTGACCGATTCGATGCTGGTATACTTTCACAAAGTGATACGGCGCCAGTACCAGGCAAAGCTTTGGTACTTTCATTACTTCGATCGTCAATCAGATGGACAACACTATTCGATAAACTATTCGAATCGCCACCAATTGTTGGATGTGTCATTACACTCTGCGTATCTTGAAAAAGAGAAACCAATGACACTGCATCGACGCTTGTTCAAGCGAATCAACTTACCATTGAGGATAGCTCTGGCAATGGCAACTTCCCGTAGAGAGAACGGCAGGAAATTATCGATATTTGGACTATCACCTTCTAAGATATCATTCCGTGTGCTAACACCACAACCACCTGTACGGCATAGTGAAATGGGAATAACCTAAAAATCAGAAATTAACGGTTACAAAGCTTATTCGATGATGCGCTTCTGCAATTCTTACTCCGTAAACATAGGCAAGAAGAATCGGCACGCCAATTCCGACAGCAAGAGCGGCGATTATTGGCGAGGCAATAACACTTCCGAGAACTCCCAATGTTACAAGAAGATTTCTTTTCATTTTACTATTTTCAGATTTATTGTATTTCTTGAATATTCTTCTTCCAGCCCAGATCGGTACACCAATAACTACACCAGGGAGAGCGACGCCAGCTATCAATGCAATGATAACCGGTGCGCCGATTAAGGTAGCTACTTGCCAAAGAATCACTTTCTTGCGACTCCATTGCTTCTTTCCCCAAAATGTACAACCCGACGGACTAAAGACATGTACACATCAATAAAATGATATTGAATTCTTCTTATTTACCTCAAGTAATGTAGATCAGATATTTCACGTCCACATAACCAACAGAATTCTGCTTCGCATATTGGACAAGTCATGTGGTTCTAAACAATTTCTATGAATAGAATTGTTCGAAAATGAAAACACTTACACAAGAACCATCGTCCATTTTAAGTATAGATGCTTCACACCTTGGACACTGTTTTATTTCGTCTTCTAAAAGAAACGAAACAAGTAAATACATAGATCTTAGATTCCAACAGCATCATTTGCGTACTTTGTTGAGCAGCGGACGCAAGACTAATAAATGATCCTGAACGAAGTTTTCTTGACGTCTTCTGTCGTGCTGCATCTTCACACGTTTTATTCGGATGCCACGTTGCTTTACAGTGATAACAAAACGATGTATTACATCCCGGTCGAAGACATTGAATTTCCGGACATGATGCATAACCAGCAGCGATAACAGCAAATCCACAGTCAGGTGCTGGACACCATCGTGTGTCAGCTATTGATTGCAAAACACGTCGAACCATGAATTGTTCATACTTTGAAATGAGATCGGGTTGATTCTGTAATATACGCGATATATCACTTGGATGTATACGTTCAGGACAATCATTCTGTGGACAATTGAGTGTCACGCGTCCTTCGGTGATTTCGAGTTTCAAATAACTCTTCAAACATGTTCGACAATATGAATGTGAACATAATGATAATTGTTCAAAATGTTCAGAAGAATATTCGTGACAGCATAGCAAACATGTTTCTAAAGAATTTTCATTAATGTTGACTGTCGTCGACGGCGATGAAATTATGTTAACTACGTGTTCATTCGCAGATGCAGCTACGGATTCGATTAGATCATCTTTAATCGTAGTTGGAGATGATGATAGTAGAGTTGAAGTCGCATTCTCATGAGTCAGTGATGATGCTGTCAAGTGCGCTTGTTGTTTCGATGACGCACACGAATTAGTAGTACTACGTTGGCGAGAAAAACGAACTGCTGCTCCTGGACGACTGACAGTGAAACGAAGAAGATTGAAGAACCGACGGCGACGCGTGTTTCCCGTACCGTTCAAATTTGACGATTCTAAATAACACGAATATTTTGTTTTCGAAGATATGACCTTTTCAATATTATACTTTGACTGGAAATTTGCGCTGATGTGTTTGTAGTTGTTAGTGGCAAAACAAAATATGAGTTAGTTGACGGCGAGGGTGTTGGAATTGTATTCGTAGACGAATGTTCTCTTGTTGATGATATTGCTGGTTCATTGTTTGTCGTACGTTTTAATGACGATCGCGTACTATTTGATGATGATGTTGAGGAACATTGCTTTCGACTTTTCGAAAACATTGCCAATGATTAGATTGAATACCTAGAAGAAATCATAGAAGTTGAGATTCGAAATCGAACGAATTATTAAGATAAATATTGCTACAAATGATTGCATTGATAAGAACGAATTAAACATCTGATCCTTTCGTTGAAAGATAAGACAAAACAACTGATACTCACCTGAAATCGCTAATGTTAATCCATTGAGAAGAAAAACCAAAAAGTTTCAATAATTATCCGTCTTTTTTGCACAAATATACCCCAAGAATAATTCTACAACGAAAGATAATCAAATTACTTCACAAGCTCATTCTACTTGTTGAACTTAATACAGAACAGGGTGAATGAACAACTTTACAAAAGAAAAAACGCTGGCTACGATAATTTTATTTTTCAAATTACTTCCAGCATTGTTTTTCTTTCTGTTATTGTAATGAGTTGTTTTTTTTTCTTCTTCCTTTCTATATCTGCCCTCGCATACCCAATGAGGAACGAGTGTGAATTTGATTGGTTGGATGCAGGTCGCCAATGACAAAGAACGACATATCGAGCTTTTTGTTTGAGAATATCAATCAATTCATTTTCATTATCTCTTTCTCTCCGAATAGACACATCAGACAGCAGACATGTTGGGTTGCTGCATCCCTCGCGATCCGTCAAAGCATACGAATAAAATAATAAATGAAGCATTGGAACGTGAAAGAAAAGAACTGAATGCCGAATCGAAGTTACTATTACTCGGTAAGAATTCACCGGTTTGTCTGATCGAACAAAGGAATTGTTAATTGTTTTAGCGAGAAAAGATCTTGAGAAGGTGAATATTCATACGTAGGTGCTGCTCTGGGTGACACTTCGTTGCTTTTCCTCAAAACTAACCGTGTTCTTTGATGATTTCCTATTTTAAAACTGACATTTCATTTTAGGCGCGGGAGAATCCGGAAAGAGCACAGTGGTGAAGCAAATGAAGTAAGAAGATAACTCTTCACTCGTGAAATTCCGTTATTTCTTTTTCGTAAGGATTATCTTTAATGAAAATGGCTATACAACTGAAGAATGTCTTCGATTCAAACCAGTTATTTTTTCGAACACGATTCAATCAATGCTGGCCATCATACACGCCATGAATCGACTTCAGATATCATTTGAAGATGCGAATCACAAAGTACGAAGATTGCTGAGAAAAGCAGAAATTCGAAAGTATATATGAATATATTCTAGAAAGATGCAGAAGTTGTTTTAACTCATGCAGAAATTGAAGCTAATCATGAGATTTTACCTGAAATGGTTGGTAAATCGATTCAAGCTTTATGGAATGATAATGGTGTTCAAGCATGTTTCCTACGAGCTCGTGAATATCAACTGAATGATTCAGCTGCCTAGTAAACTTACTTGTTTGATTTGCTACAAGAAATTTGAATTCGTTCTTTTCTAGTTACTTGAATTCACTTGATCGGCTCATTCAGCCAGACTATATTCCAACTCAGCAGGACGTGTTGCATACTCGTGTGAAAACTACGGGCATTGTTGAAACGGCATTTACATTAAAAAAACATAAATTTCGGTAAAAATGATCTTTGCCATATGGAACTAACTGAATAATTAATGAGAAAATATTTAGAATTGTTGACGTGGGTGGTCAGCGAAGTGAACGTAAAAAATGGATACATTGTTTCGAAGGTGTGACAGCTGTTATATTTGTCAGCGCTCTCAACGAATACGATCTTGTTTTAGCCGAAGATGATAGTATTGTACGCACTTTGCCTAAGATTTCCTTTCGAAACGTATCTTTATTTGTTTAGAACCGAATGACGGAAAGTTTGCAACTATTTAAATCGATTTGTAACAATCGATTCTTCCGTCAAGCTGGAATGATTCTATTTCTTAACAAGAAAGATCTCTTCGCTGAGAAACTACGTTTCTCATCGATTAAAATATGCTTTCCAGAATATACAGGTTAGTTCAAAACAACTCAAATCTCGTCGCACATTTGTCTATTTCTATTAGGTCTTAACACGTATGAACCATCGTTGAGCTATATACAAGAACAATTCGAGAAAATGGACTTACGGGAAAAGATTAACGGTCATCAACGAGAATTATATACTCATATAACATGTGCAACCGATACTGAAGCCATGCAATTCGTCTTCGATGCGATCTCGGATATGATTATCCAAACAAATCTTATTCACGCAGGAATCTTTTGAAATTTATTAACTGTTTAGATCAATGTACATAGATGTATGTAGTTGAAAATGCAAACTTTTTGGTGCAAAGCGAATCGATTCTATGAAGACGATGTCTTCTATTTATATATATATTTCTTGATGTTATTATTTTGGAAATAAAATACAATTAATAGATAATCTTCTGTTCGGTTGAAGTTGTAGACTAAGACTAATCTGTTATCGAAGTATACGTATGCAATCACCGGCTGATTGTAAGCGAATGACAATTTTCCATGGAAAGGGGCATTTGTCAAGATCGAGTGAACATTGTGCTAGGCGCTTTGTTCGATGATGTTGTAACTGGATCTGCTTATTCTCACAATCCAAGATTAATGTCAGTTCATCACCTGTTGTTACAATACTTCGATATTTACTTGTTTGAGTTTTACCATTAACAATCGTTTCGTTGAGATCCCACCAGCCATAGAGCGAGAAGTTATTATTGTTTTGTGCTTGACCTGATCGACTGATGTTTTCGAGTGAGCGAATGACTCCAAAGAATAGACGTTGATCGCCCATCTTCTCAATTCGGAAACGTATTTGATGTTTACCGGTCGAGTATCGATTAACACCGTAGACAATCGGTTGTGTTAGGATGGATGCTAAGCAACAAGTCACGACGAGATTATCTTCGGATAGGACAGCTTTTCCGTCGATTTCTTCGAATTTTTCCATCGTCGTTGAGTTCGACAGACGATGATCCAGTGGTCGCAGTGTAGGAGTTGACGGACGCTGTTGTTTATCGGCGAGAGTGGGAATGTGATCTCTGTTGGAAGGATGACGATGATCACATGTTCGTAATATAGGAGTAGATGATCGTTGTTGTCGATCGGCCATCGTATGATTTGATTCTTTAAGGCAATGACTTCGATGATCAGGTGTTCGAATTGTCGGCGTAGAAGGCCGCTGTTTCTCGTGAATTCGAATCAAAGTAATCGATGATTTGACCTCATCTTCGTTATCGATGGATAAAATTGCTGGAGTATCGAGTTTCTTTCGGAGTTCTTTCAATTTTTCAGTCCATCGCTTTAAGTCATTTTCGGTAAAATCGTCCGATTTCTGAGATAATTGTAATTCTGTTGTCATTTTTTCCACTGAACATTTCAGATCACTTTTTGTTCGGTCTACATATTGTCGCAGTTCTATCCGAGCATTTTCTGCTGCTGCTTGAATTCGACTGATTGATTCTTGTTCCCAGTTATCAATACGAGTGAGAATCGAATGTGCTGATGAATCTTTCGCCAACTCATCTCGAAGAATATCATGATCTTGACTGATCGTATCCATCTGATGTGAAAGTTCCAAACGATGTTCAACGAAATGTTTAGTACAAAAGATTTGTCGACATCCATTACAAGTTGTCACTCCTCCACCTTCTCCCTTATTACATTTAGCACACGGTTTCTTTCCAATCACAGCTGCCATTTCCAGTCTGATCTAAATATAGCAAGAAGGAAAAAAAAAGAAAGCGTTCACGTATTACACTGTGGTTAGAGTGCTCCTGTCAACAGTCGGTGCAAAAGAAAAAATAATACAATAGTCTATGTAGATTAGTTTGAAAGAGTGAAGTTACTTGATTTTTTGTCGTGAAGCATCAGAGGAAAGAAGGAGAGAGGTGTTGAGAACAAGGTAAGGGTGAGAGAGAAAAAAAATGCAATGTTTGTTTATTTCAATGTGAGAATGATTTCTTCTGTTATATGTGGCGACTGTCGAAAATGACAGAATTAGCTTTCAAGGAGAATGTTTTATGCTATCTATTCGGCGAAAGTTCTTTCTTACATAATTATCATGACCATGAAATGTTAAAATTGTTTTGTCAAGTAGAATGTCTGCAACTGTGAAAAATTTACAGACCACTTCGCGGCTTTAATATTTAACATACAATAGATTCTTTATTTCAACAAAAAAAAGGACTTATTTATGACTAGGTTTGATTGTCTACTGAAGAATATGAACACAATCTCCGTAAGTTGGCAATTCGACAACTATTTTCCATGGAAATGGACATAATGCGAGGTCAATTACCAAGTCCAACACTCGTTTTGTTCGATGATGTTCTAATTGAATCTTTTCTTCATCACATTTTAGAATTAATGTTAGTTCGTCATAAGTTTTGATATTATTCTTTTCCTTGTTTCGTTGCACTTTGCCATTAATTACATAACTATTTAAACCCCACCAGCCGTAAAGTGACCGATTGTCTGTTTCAACGGAGATCATTCGTTTCACTTCTTCGCAGGTTGTACCAATTCCAAAAAAGCAGCGTAAATCTCCTCGTTTTTCAATTCGGAACTTGATTCGATGTGTTCCTGTCGAATATCGTTTGTAACCGTAAAGTATTGGATACTTTCCTAACGCTCGGTAACAATATTTAGCCATCAGCCCATTCTCGTACAGAGCAGCACCTCCATCGACTTCACAAAACTTTTCTTTCGATGCTGAAGTAGATTCTTCATTTGTTGTCTCATCCTGAATGAGAAAAGAGAAGTCAATTTGCACTGTCTGATGGCATTTTCTTACCGTCGCCATTACTTTCGAAAGCGAAGTGTTTTTTTTACTTTTGATCGAGTAGAACAAGTCAGACTTTTGAGTATGTGTAAAACAGTGACCTCTGTTCGCGCAGAAGAACGAGATCCATCAGAATTGGTTCACAAATGTAAAATGAACAAAGACGAATATCTTTTGTAAAGAATTCTTGTTCGTTCGTTCGTTCGAAGCATTTCGTTTTTGGTTAGGAAAATATGTTTGGAAATAAATCAGTTTATCTTTTAACAATTGTTTGGAATGAAAAACATTTTCTTGAATCAAAGTCAGCACGTTACGCAGCTCGACGATGTGTATATCGAGCAGCGAATGGTACGTATACAATAAACAATCACCATATGATCAATGTTGATGGATTTTAGTTCAACTACATATCGAACTGAAAAATCTTCTCACTCGAAATGAAGAGATTCTTCAAGAAATCAAACGATGTAACACAGACTTACAGAAATATGATGAAAAACTACAAGTACTTGATAACATGACTCAGTTAGCAACAGAATCTCTGGAAGCTTATTTTCAAACAGTAAGACATTCATAATTGTAGGTTAGTTCTCGTAGTAATATGTTGTTTGATATGTAGCGTATGGAAAATTTACGTACATTTGTAAGTGAACAATGTCGAATTATATCCGATGGGATACGCGAAGAAGCTGATCATTGGAAAGAGATTCACGCTATGCTACAACAGTAAGATTATAGATCAAAGATAAATGTTTTCAATTTGAAGGTGTTTGATTTGACAGGAAATTAGTCGTTCCAGGTGATTTAAAATCATATGGCGGTGGAAATGGTTTACCTCGAACAGTTAAGCAAAGTCCAGAATTTAGTCGAATTATTGAAGAAGACGAAGAAGAAGAAGCAGAAGAAGAGGAGCAACAACAACAACAAGAAGAGAACGAAAATGAAGTTTCTGTTTTATTAGTAATATTTTGCTATTTGCCAAAAACACAGATCTGACTATCGATTTGCTTCTGGTTTCATTTAGCAAGCACGAACGCTAACACCATTGATAACTCAAACATTGAAAAGTAAACTATACGGAAACGAACGGACTCCACAGTATCCAATTATTTCTGGTTTTCAGAAGCTCGACTACGCGCCTCAAAATTGACACAGGATTCGTCGATGATGGTCCCTTCTCAACTGAATATGTCTACAAGCATTCAAGAACAGACATTAATGGAAGAATGTCCATCACCATCTCATTCGAAGGAGCCAATCAACCATATGACATTACGTGATGTCTCAGCTATTGAAAAAGAAGCAGAAATGGAGACTGACGTGCTCAATCCTGATCTATCTGTTTCACTGTTGCCATTTATCACAACAGTCAACCCAGATGATGAGAAAAAGAGTCAGAATAAATCAATACGATCGACAATATCCGATAAAACCTTTGTCAAAACATCGCTGAAACCATTCTCATCCGAAGAAGATATGGAAGACGATGATGAAGAAAACGATACGCTGATTGAACAAAGTTTTCTTACTGATACTAAAGAATCCACTCGACCTTTGCTACTAACTGCTGATCAATCGATTCGAATTCGAGATCAACCATCGCGAAAAGAAAAAGTCTCTTTACCAAATAAATCCTTAGAAGAAAAAACAAAAATTAAACGCGAAAAAGTTAGTTTTCGCGAACCCATCAAAATCCGTAAGTGATCACATTGTATCCTATCCATACTAATCGATTTCTTACTATTCAGACAATGCCAACACCAATCCTGAACGAAATCGTTTAGGCAAAACATATCTCTTGAATAATAACACATTCGATGCTGAAACGTCAGATTACGTTCGACCAACAATTGTTATCACGCATGACACTTCTCGATTATCACCCATAGCATCTGATGAATCGTAAGACCAACTAGATCTTTCAGATTAAAATCGACATAGGACAGCTTGGTCTTGATTTAGTGAAGAAGAAGAAGAAGAAAAGCGACAACAACAAACAGAGCATAAAGATAAACGAAGGAAAACAGAGAAGAAATCAACGGATGAAACATTATCAACGTCGACATCTGCTAATCGAAGTCGAACATTGAAAAGTCCAGTTGTCACTCAGTTGCCTCCACCTGTACCTACGACGAATCTTGAAACAAGCAATAAACGACGCACAACGCGTCGAACAACAATTCGACTACTTCAAGATAATCAAAACGGTAACATTGAAGTCATGTATGACATTGAGTTTTCTGCATTTATGTGTTTCAGTTACATCACAATCAGCTGAAGTTCCATCTAAATCACGCTATCAAACTCGATATTCCACGCGATTAGCAGGAGCAATGGTCAACGAAGAAGTAACAGTATCCACAACAAGTCGACGAACCACACGTCTTACTTCAGAATAGGCGAAGTATTCACCCATCCCATTCACATGTGTAGAAAAGCATGGAACATTTATTTTTGTATGAATTTTTGGGCAATAAGCGGAATAAATTTAGTTCTCTGTTACGATGTTCCTACTAGTCAATGATTTTATTTTCTTATATAAAATAAAAGAAAAAAAAATCAAGCAAACTCTCGTTTGATTCATTATGCACAGTTCACACACAGAAATCCACTGGGCCCTTTATAAAATGTTTTCGTACCAATCGGCCGACGACATTTAACACAAACAAAGCATTTTTCATGGTAGGGCTTATCAGCAACAATCGTACCACGCTCGCTGCTCGGAATAATCTTCTTACATTCATAACAACGTTTAGCAAACAACTCATCATTGCATTCCACACACAATGGTTCGCCATTATGTGCACAGAGTAGTTTCTCATTTTCCAATAGCTTATGACAGTTTGAACATTTGAAACATGCAACATGATACTCCTGCCCTTCGTATGTGATACCCGATAACAAGATCGGTTTGGCACATACTGTGCAATATTTCGTATCGATTTCACACTGTTGGCACCATGGTTGATCATTACGCAGGAGGAATGTTTGAGATGGATCCATTCGACGGCGGCAGATAGCGCAAGTGAAACATTCGGCATGAAATGAACGATCTTTGAAGTCAATACGACGATGGACGTTCGGCTCAATCGCTGAGCCACATCCAGTGCAGAATTTAGTCGAAGAATTATAATTCTGTTGAGGGCAACTTCCACACTAAAATCGACATTGCAACGAAAAGATTAATCCTCATTTGAAAAAACCTATGCTCTTACTTTAAATTTCGATCCATCGGGACTGATTGAGAAATTACCATCGATTGGCTGCGAACATCTTTCGCAACGAAAACATTCATAATGATATTCTTTGCCACATGCTTCAGTAATACAACTACCAGCATGGAATGGTAACATACATGCAGCGCAACTAGAACAAAGTTTATCTTGCTAAGTAGATGAAAGCTTCTAGACGAGTAAAAACTTACTAATTGATTTTTCCTGTGTGTGTTCTACCTGCCATTGGAGGTAGATCATCGTCTCGGTCTAGTTCACCTCGATAGTACGCGGCTAGTTCATCTCGGTTCAATGTTTCTGCTAATTTCTCCGCAAAATGAACGGACTTTTGCTGGTTTTGTTGTTTTTCTTGCTTTTGCTTTTGAAAACTTTTCTGATCACGTTGTTTAAAACATGACGTACAGTAGATCTTATTCTCTTTGTCATCTTCATAGATTTCGCCTTCGATCGATGTTTGACACGATTGGCATTTCAAACAATTATGATGATATTCTTTATTATTATATCGTTTCGTTATGTGACGAGAGTCAGGATTAAATGGAAGACCACATCCACCGCAATGTGTAACACTAAACAGATGAACGTACACCTAGAAGACGAACTTAGTAGATTACATACGCCGCTTTGGTTTCCACAGGTTTTGTTTGATTGGCTTTGGCGGATTTGGTTTTCTCCGCTTGTGTACATTCGAGACAAAGTGCTTCTTGGTCGAGTGCATCCGGTGTGAACGATCCATCGTAGGGTTTCGAACATTTATCACACGATAGACAATCGGAATGGTACGTTTTTCGATTGATCGTTATAGTATCCTCAGTTCCATGACGAAACGGTCTTTCGCATTTAGCACAACTAGGAATTCATTTAAAAATGGAAGAGATTGGTGTTTTATTATGTTGTTACCTCATTTTGTTGTAGACACGCACAATCGCAGAGGAAAAAAAGAAATGTTGCTTTCACAGGAGAAACAATCTTTGAAAAATAATAGTTTGTCTTCCTACTTGCGTTTCATTTTTAAATACTTTCGATGAGAAAGGAAAGAAAAACGTCTTTTTGCGTTCTTGCTTTTGTTATTTTGTTAAAATTCATTCTCGTGTCAACAGAAAAAGAACTCATATTCGACAAGATGATTTGCTACTATTGAAAGGATTGTAAATGTAGCGCGTGCCATGTAATGACTGAGAATTGATCATCGTCGAGTCGAATTCTTGTTTGCTGTTTAGAACCATTTTCTATAAAAACGAGACAGGGTTTTTCGAGTTAAATCAGAACAAAATTCTTCTTTTGTACTTTGGCAATTTCGAAATGATCGAGAAGTCGTTGGAGACGCGGTGTTTTTGCGCAATCATTCACCGAACCGGGGTATGATTGGACTGGATTGATAGAAGACATTCCTCTATTAGAATCATAGATCATTAGAAACGTTTCCGTTTAAATCGTCACTGACAAATATTCATGTGGAACTGTAACTGCGACCATTTGTTCAGCTAATTCATCGGAGGATAGGTCCGGCTAGATAACAAAAGACATTTTTCAATTTTCGAATGTTAGATTATCTGCATGTGACATTGTTACATTCAACAAATGAAGTTCATAAGCCACAAGCTCCAAAACATCACATGATAGTTTAGGCTAAACACATGTCTGGATGTGATTTGATCTTTCATCGCACTGTCATACATTTTTTTCTTGTTTATTTGCATAGATGCATTCAATGAATGCTGCATAGGCTTTCAAAGTATCTTTGAGTATCAGCTGTCTTTCTTCGTATGTCTTCGTTGACACATTCATATATTTCATCTGAAGGCGTGAGATAACCGGCTAAGCAGACGATGTTCTAATCTACAGCATTTCCGCAGTCGTTTGTTTTTACTTGAGATCTCTTCTTATTCCGGTGAACAATTCTAAATTATTGACAATATACAGGTAAGACGATCATCCAACTGCATTACTGAAAAGAACTGTGCTTCTAAAAGAAACACAAAACCTAAAGTATATTCGATACAAGAGCTTTCATACATCAAACATAAGATCGTAAGCGATCGATGGCAGTTGGCGGCGTTCGTTTCGAATTTGATCATTGGTCATCAACTCACGTGCTACTTCATCGGCAGTTTTCTTACCATGCTGTAATCGGCCAGAATAGAACGACCCATAATCTCGATTTGTCGTCAGATATACATTACTATCAGACCTTTTCATATTGGACTTCGAAATGAGAATCTTTGGCGCGTGAAAAGCATGGAACATCGAATTGAAAAATGCTCGTTTTATTTCAAAAATTGGCAAAAACATCTATAGAAACTACGTTCGACATTGCGCGATTAAATAAGGAACTTTGAACTCATTTCGAAGGCCACCATGGTATGAGTCTCGATGTTGTCTGTTGATATTGTTTATATTTCGGATATTTTTGTGCGCTAACTGATTCCGTGAATGTTGTTGAACCGTTGATCAGTGCAGTTAAAGAAATCGTACCTAAAATTGTCCAATTGATGTAAGAAAATGGTTGCGCAGAGAATGTAAATGCATAAAAGATCCACCAAAGACAGATTTCCGAAAAGAAATTTGGATGTCGAGAATATCTGAAGAGTCCTTGTTGAAGAAAACCATCTTTTGTTCCTGGCCGTTTGGCTTTCTTATCACCGTGAAAGTTCCACTGTTGTTGATCTGCTGTTACTTCCACAGCGAAAAAGAATAGAAAAAGTCCGGTACAAACAAAGTCCCACGCGTTCAATGGGGCGGTTCGATGTGATGCTACGTAGTAGATAGGACAAGCAATGAATAACAGAAGAATGTTTTGAAAAGTAGAAATAAAGGTTAAATTAAATAGTTCAAATAAAAACCGATTATTCACTATTTTGCGTAAAATTGGCCATCGGTAGTCTTCTCCTGCCCATGTATAACCATCTTTTCGAGCGAAATTATACGATAGACGAAGGCCCCACATCCAGGCAAGTACAGTCATGATTAACACTCGAGGTTGGAATGGCGAACATACGAAAACGATTAAGCAGTATATCGGCGGTAATAAACTCCAAAGTTTATCCACTTGTGAATGGTTTTGGGTTATGAAACCAAGAACAAAGCATACGATGGAAGAAATACTCACGACGGTCAATAAGTACGTTCCACCGTGACCTTGATCGAACCATGTTAAAGGATTCATCTTGAATAAAGAGATAGAGAGAGAATGTAAGTCAAAGATTGTTGTGTGATATTCAGGTCAGATTATTTGACAAGAGAAAGAAGAGAAACATTTTTATTTATCTATTGATAACAAGAATTATTCAGTCAAACAGCACCGGATTCTTGGAAGACACAGCAAAAAAAGATAATGAATTTTTAGATCAAATAATCAACCATGTTTTTTTCCATCGACATTCTTCAGAATGCGTAAACAACCGCGAACCATTTTTGAAAACCAATACAAATTAATAAGATCAAGAACAATACAAACGTATATGAGAACGTATCGAAAATGGCCCATGTGTGACCATAATGGTGTGATCGCAACGGTATACACTTTCCACCAATAGATCGGCATTGCCACAATACGAACGAAAAAGAAAACTAACGTCATCAGAACACCGTTGAGCACGAAAGCTTTGGAACTCTTTGGATACTTTAATGTATCGAGAAACCATCTAAATGAAACATTTCTATCGAACACTTCAAGCAGCTTTTCATTTTGTTTACCTTATATTCACCAATGGTGTTGACAGTTCCGCCAGTAGTCGAAAATTAGCAAAATATGGCATAACATTCAATGTTAAAACATAAGCAAAAGCATACATCGAAACCAAATGATGAGCCATGGTGAATGAATCACCAATTTTCTTGTAATGTACAATACTAATCACCGTATCTAAACGTACGAAAGCCATAAACACAAAGCCTGGAAATTCCTCCGAGTCAATTTCACACAATCTTGATTACCCAGTCATGCATACAAACATTCAAGAAAAGGAAACGACATATTTACCGCTCAACAGATATCCGATAACAAAAGACAGATTTGTTTTCAATAAATAGCTTTTATATCTAAAAAATGAAAGTAATTAAATTGATGTTGAGTTATGTTTAGTGTATTCTGTCTTACAAAAGCGGATTTGCAGCTAAACCACGATCGGCCAACATCATATATACACAAATAATTCCAACTGTAAACGAATTAATCGATGAATTGACTCTAAAACCACAAGATCTTCATTGATTTTCCCCCACACTAATTTTACCTTGTACTCCAATCGACTTTTTGTGCGTCAGTCAATGTTTGAAAGGTATTCACGAGCATTTTTGAAAAATATGGATTAATAAACTTGTAAAGTATAAGAAAAGACGTAAAACTTGTCACAACGACAGGCAGAAACGTCGGGTCGAACTTTAAGTTCGTCACCCGTTCTAAATCCGCCGCAGAGATACCCAATTTCGTAGTATTCGTCATTCTTATTCCCGTGTACTGTAAAACATTCTACAAAAGGTAATCGTATTCAGGTTCGAGTCAACATTATTAACGAACAAAGTGCACTCTTTCTTTAATCTAGAATAAACAACAATTTTAATCATTGATATTTTTTCTCATGCAGATATGATTCGCAAAAGGTCCCTTCCAATGATTAACATACAGAGGTCGTATATATATATGTATACCAAATTCTGGATTCTTCCCAGTTACCTTTTTTTTTCTTTTTTATTTCTATCTGCTTCAGTTTATTTCATGACACACACACTAAAAAAACGTAGAAGATGAGGAACAATTAAACAGATTTCGAGTATAGAAATAAAATAGTTTCTCTTTTTTTTCCTGAGAGACTTCATATTCACACACATAGACATATATTAATGTGTTGAGTTCATTCAAATAAATAGAGAAGGCAAAGATGTATGAATACACACACACACACACGCGAGCGAGCAAAAGATTGACAATGAATAAAAAGAAGAAATTTTCATTAAGTTGAGAAATGTTCAGTTGAAAAGAATTAGAATCTGACGAAAGAAAAGATTTCAATGTCGTATTGAAGGCGTTGGTTCATAATCAAGCATTTGATCAAGCTCTCGATTAAGATCGGAAAGCATTGTATCAATATCAGACAAAACATTGGTCGTATCATTTCTAAGCAAAAGACGATTTGGGGTGAAGTTCAACGACTGGCAAGTCCAATCTTACCTGACTATTTTATTTTGCTGATCTTTTTTCATGATTTCGATATATTGCAAGCGTTTCTCTCCGGTCAAAGTAGCCGATTTACGCGAATTGACATTGTTTGGAATATATCGATCATTATTATCGTAAATAGCTGTGGTCATTGCATATGAAGGTTTCAGAAGATGAGTATTTGATTGTTCAATGAATTGCATTGGTAAGGAACGTTTCATTGAATCAAAAGAGGAATTATATAGATTGTTGCCTTGATTATGTGGTGAACGTTGTTTAATTGTTCCGACGTTTTCATTGGCAAATGGAATATTGTTTGTTGATTCTGTACTTGATGAAAGATTAGCATCGCCTAGTGATTGAAGATTGGTTGGTTTCGTTGGACGTTGATTGTAATTCGAAGAATTTCCGTTGGTAAATGATGAGTTCGACTCGATTTGAATCGATGACGAAGGATGAGGTTTCTCGCTGGAATTGATATTTTCCAAACTACGCGTCCGTGATGATGAGAGAGAATCCGGATCGGACGAATTGGTATTATTCATCGTTGATGATAGTGGTGGTGGCAAACGAAATGATGATGTACCCACAGGACTAGCATATGATGTTAATTTTGGTTTATTGAAAGAACCTTTTGGTGATACAGGAGGTTTGCGAAGTGTGGCATAGTTCGATGAATCACCGTTCGAACTGACGCGTGTCGGAGAACGAGGAGCTACTTGAATTGATGGTCTAAAAGGTTGACAATGAGTTACAACGAGAAGTAATTCATGCGTTTGAATATTACTTTCGAATGGATAATTGTGGCGGTTGAATACTATTATTTTCGAGCGAATTACAACGTTCAAGCGTCGATTTGGTTTGACGTATTGGAACAGCAGGTCGACGATCGTGACTGACACATGAAGTTTGTCTTGATGGTGTCGAGGGTGGTGGCAAACGATGATTATTCGGTGATGAAACAACAGTCGGAGATTGTAATGGAGAATTTTGATTCGCTTGGTAGAGACCTTTTTTCATATCCTTCAAACGTTTAACACCGAGCATGAAACGTTTTTGATGTCCTAAAAGAATAACATTCAATAGCCTTGGTTTCCTCTCGAATATTCATGAGTAATCAAGATTTCCATGAGGCATATACCCTTCAATAAATCAATCAATCAATCCATCCAACACTCATCATTTGGAGTAACAAGTGTCATGTCATACTCAATTACGTTCTCTCGTTCATGATCAAAATCTCTTTACCTAGACGCGTAATGCCAATATCTTCGAGATCTTCCCAAGCGATATCCATGATATCTGATAGTTGTTTATAGTTTTGTTCATTTAACAATGGTAGATATTGACTTAGACGAAGACAGCATAACCAATCGTAAAGCGTATCGGGTTTGGCGTCTGGCAAACCGTCAGGTAGATGCAATCGAGCAATTTCGTTTTTCAATTTTCGTCGATGAGATGGATGAGTGATACCAATCGCTGTCAAATCCTTGAAAATAAAAACGATGAATACTTATCAGCATTTATCACAAATGAATTTACTTCTGGTGTCATTCGAACAATCGTTTGGATATCATAACCATTTGATAAGAAATTTTCGGCATAATCTTCGTATTGAAACTCGCGTAACCAAGATAAGACAATTTCATTTTCAGGGACACCGTTGCGTAATAATGTATTAATATTTGTACTAATATTTAATGAATTTGACTCGTCTAAGCGATCGAGACTGCTGTTTGAACTTCGATAACTCGTTTTGTCTTGATCGGATGATTTTGATTCACTACTGCAAATCGAACGAGCATCACCAATAGTTGTTTGATTTGCCGATGATAATGGACTGACTGTTGACGAAACGCCCATGAAACTTGATAATGCCAATGTCTGAAACAATCACACATCCAGCTCAGTTCTCTCTCTCTCTTTTCGATTCACAATTCGCTCTCTCTTACTTTGGGGCTGTCATATAAAGCCGTGGAACTCCTTCCACTGTCAATACTACTTGCAGCACTATGACGGTAACTATTGCTTGTCGGACTGTCACGTCGAGAACGTGAGCTCCAGCTCGATGTAGTTACCAAACCTGAATCAGCTTGCGATACACGAGACATGGAATCACTATCAACAGGAGACAGATCTCCATTATGTGTTTGCGTTCGATGGATATCATCCGATGTTGTATGACGCATTTCTTTGCCGTTAATTACTAGAAAATAAGAAGACATCGAAGTTTATTACGTGATTGAAAGGAATAAAACTTATGAAAACACACAACTAGGACGATGATGTCTTAAAACAACGTTGTTGCTGGTGATTGACGTTGAAGCTGTCAATAATCGGCTGTTGTTATTGATATTGACAGGGGAAAGATGAGTTTTTCGAAAAGTGGACAAACCTTGACAATAAACATACATACAAACATGCAATCATGCAACAATAACAAAGTCATATTTGAAAAAAGGAACTGATAGAAAAGGCAAAGTAAATGTAGACATTTCTTTGTCTTTTCTATCAGTTCCTTTTTTCTCAAATATCTATGCTTTTCATCACGGCAAAACTATGAGAAATCTCACTGCTAGTGTTTGATTGAACGTATGTACTCGGAAAGTAACCCATTCGAGTAGTTAGATCTTCTTGAAGAATGAAACCACGCCATTGACCTGTTGGATTTCTTTCCAAGACCTAAAATTGTAAATAACAGATAGTTCATGATCTTTTCTTCACAATCTCGATGATCAATCAATAGCTTACGGTAATACAATCTCCTTCGGAGAAATTCAATGCTCCAACATGGTTATCTGTATACGAACGAATTGCACGAACCAGTATCGCATCGGTAAATTCTAAAAGATGACGTTTTTTGTATGTTTTCATCAGCTCTGAAAAATTTCATCGAACCTTTGATCAACCGTTTAATATCGTTTCCAGTTTTCTGTTTAATAACGACTTCCGATGCTGTTTGCTCATAAGAATTACAAAGATTCACATCAATGCCGCATTCCAACAATAATTTCGCTGTGTCATAACGTCCATTTCTACAAGCAACATGTAATGCTGTTCCATCATTAATTGTCACACGATTAATATCCATTCCGTTTAATAATAACAAACGTACAACATCCGTATGTCCATTTTTGGCTGCTAGATGCAGTGAAGAATTTTGCTCGGAATTGTTCAATATCATTCGTTGACATAATGGATTTTGTACAAGTGAATTAACAACATCAAAACGTCCATTTTCACAAGCTAGGTCTAGAGATGTCAATAAACGACGATTCACTATAGTTGAATCAGCTTGATGAAACAAAAGTAATTGTACTATGTCATTATGGCCATATTGACTGGCTAAATGTAGTGGCGTATCACCATTGATTGACTGTTCATTAACATTGGCACCACGACGTAAAAGAATAAAAACAGGTTCAGTTCGACCTTGCCATGCTGCATAATGTAATGGACGTAAACCTTTGTTATCTTTTAAATTTACATTGGCACCATTATCAATGAGCAGCTTGAGGATATCCACATTACCCGCCACGGCTGCTTCGTGGATCGAGCTCATTCTAGAAAAGTGAAGAGAAAACCTTCAATTGTAATTATGGAAATTGACCACAATGAAAACAAATGGTCATATACACTTTGCTACTCTCGTTGTAATCGTCTTTTTCTTCTTCTTCTTCTTCTTCTGCCGCTGCTTTTAGATTGTTATGTAGAAGAAAAGCGGATGCAATTACACAGCTATCCTTTTTTTAGCTCTCTAGCAAAAGATAGATGCACACGCGTATATACACTCCAGATTACGTAAACTTTTGACACTACATCATACAACAGCGAAGATTGCGTGTAGGAGAAAGAAAAGAAAAGAAGAAAGATGTTGATAGGAGAAATAGAATAATGATCAGATGAAGGAGATGATCAATTGGATCAGTTCTATTCTACATATATCGATGTATACGTTCAAATGAAAGAAAAGAAATATCACGCCAGTAGCGCATGAAAAGACTAATGTGAACATTCTGATAATCTTATAGAAAATCTCTCTTGAGACAACATGATCATCATCACCACCATCGTTTGTCGCCACTTGACCTCTTCCTTCCGTTTCCTTAATGATTATTCATAAACGACATACTCAACTAATTAGACAAACATTTCGATGAACAATTCCTTTTCTTTTCATTCCAATTCCACCGAGTATCGCTGTGTTCGTTCATTTAGCACCAAGCTTTCAAGTGTTTGCTAGCAGAATGCGAAGAAACGCAAGTTTAATGATAGCCACTTGTCTTATTTTCAGACGAGACACCCGCTGATCACACATTCAGCTGTATGTGATCGAACGACTGGAACGTATGTTCATAGAAAAAATAAAAGAACTCAAACACACTAACTATCAAATAATTAATCAAATGAATACCAAATGAATATTTCGTTCATTCTCACTCAGTGGTAGGTAATGAACGATGTGTCATTTCTATTCTTTCTCTTCTTAACGCTAGAAAATATCAGTGAAAACAATGATTTATCGATTTTCTCTCTCTTCTTCCATGAAGATAATGGTGAACTCATAACTGCGTTTATCTTTATCAAATATTTCTCCGTATTTTTTTTCTCATGCATATCATCACGATCATATATATTCACATCTCTAGACACATGAGAAAAGTAATCAATCTCATTAACATTTATTTCCGTTCGAATCATTCTTCATGAAATTTCAACTGATAAAATATGCAAAATATCTCGAATCTAATTTGAATCTAACGAACATCTTTTCTGTATTGACCCCTATGACAATCTCGATTCTTTTCTCATTCGGGAATCACACAATAGTTCATTCAAGGCAAACGAGGATTGACGTAAGAATAATCGTTCAAACTCAGACTCGAAGATGATCGACATTCGGAAGTCACGCATGTTCGTCTCTTTTTTCTTTTGCAGCCGACGCTTGCCTTGTGATTTATCATGATCAATTATAAAGAAGAATGCATCATACTGACTTTTCATTTTCTATTCAGTCTTATCTAGATGTGAACACATACGAAACAAGGAAGACGAGAAACGAATGAACAGATGATGATCAACGTCGAAAACAATCATCAATGAAAATTAGCATTTCTACACACGCGACACCGAAGTGTGAGAGACGAGAATTAAAAAAATGCCTTTGACCTTATCTCCGTTCTCTTTTTTTTCAATCGTGTGATGACAGACTTATCCTAACAAGGTCTTTCACGGAAATGAATGTTCAAAAGAACTAATTATTCAAGTGATGATAAGAGAGTGCGAACAGAAACAAGGATAGAAGAAGTCCTATCTCATGTGTTAATTAAAATTGATTATTTTGTTTTCTCTTTAATCATTTCAATTTTCGTATAAGCGAATGAATTAGTCGATGACGGCAGTTCTATGTCTTCCAATCTTGTACAACAAACGTCGACCTTTTAGCTTAGAGGTTATTACTACTACTAGTAACATCTCGTTTTCTTTCTCTTCTCCTCTTCAAAGTGAGCAAAAGAAGAAGAAGAATGTGTTCGATCGAACGGTTAATCTCTTGACCGTCGTAACGATATACCAATAAATTTATTGTTCACTTTGTTGTTTTTCGAGATCAGCAGTGAAAAAGACTTCGCCTCAATCTCAATTCTCTTTCCCCAAGATAGAAAAGAAACATCTGTAATCAGTAGCGGTAAAGCGTGTAAATGAGAAGCAAACGATCGAACTGATAATGGTGCTTATCTAATGTTTTCCCCAATAAACATCAACTTATTATTATCTTGCTCTTAGCAACAAAAAGTGATGCAAATAGGAAAAAAAATTTGCTCTTGGAACTTACCCATTGTCGTCTTGAAAATTGAGATTGATTTTTTTCGGTGAAACTATATCTGAACAAAACGATGCGTTTCGGCATGCGTTCAATCACATTCCAATAACTTACTCGTCTTTCCTGAGCGACATTTACTTAAAATTCGTTGGACTGAAGACGTATTGGACGATTTCACCGCATCTAATAGTTCGTTTTCACGTTTCATACTTTTGATTGATTTATCCATGAATACGCTGAGATTTATCACGCATGCTTAGGTGTAGTTGAACAAATGTAAGAAATGCGAGAGAGAAGAAAAAAAAAGGCGAAGAGAAAGATAGTCGAATAATGCCAATGCACCAAGTGTCAATCAGAGAAAAAAAAAGAAGAAAAGAACAAATAAGGTGAATATGTTATGATTCTCAAGAATAGAATATACACATGAGAGAGGAAATTTTCTAGTGGAACTTGATTCCTCTTTAGGGAACAGCGATTGAATGAACCTTACCACAAGCCACCATCTTTGTTCTTTGTTCGATATAAGATTTTTCTCAATGGTTCGTTTGCAACCAATAGAACTTCTCCCTTGCACCTCAATATGGATTCTCGCATACCGTATATATCAGAAAAGGATAGGTGTCGCTAGTGAATTTGCTCATGTCTTGTATTTCATTTGCTTATCAGTAGAATCTTTTGTGAAAAAAGTTTTGTTTTTCTTCTATATGAAAATATCGATCGAATAAACATGGCATCGTCTGCAACAAAGCAAGTGTGTGTACAATGTGATAAGGGTGGAGGTATTGCAATGTGCAACGGCTGTCAACAGTCATTCTGTATAAAACATTTTCTTGAACATCGGCAAGAACTTTCTATACAAATCGAAACTATTGGCCAAGAACATGATCTTTTACGGCGAGATATGGATCGTGATCAATATATTCAGTCATTATTAGAACGAATTAATCGCTGGGAACAAGAATCGATCAATACCATCCAAGAAAATGCGAGAAAAGCTCGAATTGATCTGCAGGATCTGTTCGAACAGAATAAAAAGGAAATGAAAACGTCAGTTGATCAACTTACGAAAGAACTTCGCAGATGCACTGAAGCAGATGATTATACCGAAACTGATCTGCAGCGATGGAGAGAGCAATTGGAAGAACTTCGTCAAACAGTATCGGATACGTCGATGATTAACATTGACTATGATCATAATATGCGAGCTGCTCTTTCACTAATACGAATAAGCATCTCACCTCAACATCAACAACGACAGCAGTTATCATCTTTTGTTCAAAGGATACACGCAAGAGAAACTAATCATCTTATTGCCGATCAATTGACAGGCTTTGACCACGAGAAATTCCTTGATATCCACGGTAATATTGTTCTGTCATTGGATAGATCCACAGCATGTTGTTCTGAATCTCGTTGGGATGGTTTGTGTGTGAGTGGTCTTCGTCGTTATTCATCGGAACAACATCAGATTCGTTTTCGAATCGATAAGAAGAATAGTGTCAATTTATTTTTTGGTATTCTCACTGCTTCACAACCATTAATAGCAAGAATTACCGAGGCGGAATCTGCATATGGATGGTTAGAATTGGATTTTCCTCTGATGAATGGAAAAGCAGGAACAAAAGGTTGGAATAAGATTATTAATACAGGTGATGAGGTATCATTAATCTTGGATTGTGATCATCGCCGCATTCGATTTCATCATCACCGAACGAACATGTTAGTTGATCTACCAGTCGATCTTAGACTATGTCCATTTCCATGGAAAATCGTTGTAAGATTGGATACTCTCGGTGATACCGTTCGAATTCTCTGATAGAGTCAAACAAAAAAGGCTCATGTATTTCTAAACTTTGTTTGCCATACACTGTCGTAAATATACATTTGATAATCATAGTTTCTAATCCAACGATCGTGACAGAAGAATCCTCCTATATAATTAAATATTACATCATATGTGTATCGTTGAAGAGTAAACGATAGATTAGACAATTATAAATGGAGTAAAACAAAGTAATATGAATGATGATATAGTGCAAATAGACGATGAAATGTCATTGATTATAGATACAGTTGCCACGTTCAAGTACGAATGAAGATGATTATTTAACAGTTCATCTTCATAGATACTCAGTTTGTTCTCCTACTAGGAAATTTGACATTAATCTTCATAGAACAATAGTTTTCCTAAACGAGCGAATTATCCGATTGAAATCTTAGTCATCAGACAAAGATGAGCAGGTTTTATCACAAGACCGTAAGAGATATTTAGTCAAACATGTTCTACTTACATATTAGAAGATCGTTATGCATAAAGTGCACTCGATCTGAACGTAATACTATTTACTCTTTTACATTCACTATCACAATCAACGACTCGACAATATTGAATTAAGATGCATAGCCATTGTCCGTTTTCAGCGTTTTCTTCTTTTTAGAGTTCAACGAATTTGCTCGATGTAATCTATTATTCATGTTTACACATGCATAGAAAACAAAACAGAAATGTAAATCACAGTTCATCAATTGCTTTTCATAGGACAAATTTTGCACCAAACTTCACATCTTCAGTTCAGCTGCTTGTCACATGTCCAACAAAATCGACTACTTGCTCTTTTATTTTTTGTGCCATGTCCGTACATAAGTTCAGAATAATTCTCGAATCATCCATAGGTGTGATTTGATCATTATCTGGCTCCAGTTTTAGTTCACCAAAATTCAGTGTCGAATTATCATAAATGAGTTTTTTGTCCATCGAATGTTGTTCTGTTCTTCCTAATCGAATCAAGCGAAATGCTCGACGAGATAGAATTTCAGCTATGAAGCGAATATGTCAAGATAAAGAACACATACTTTTACTGAAAAACGAAAAAAGCTCGCTCTGATCGAATTGTCAGCATCGAAATACCATTTATGTTAAATAAACATGATGCTATTTTAAGAGAAATAGTGCAAAACACTACTCTTCAAACAATTGAAAAACACCTTCGTCGTTTTCTGTCATAATCGACTGTTCACCTCGTCGATTCGATCAACAAGGAGATTTTGTACTTAAGCTTAATGAAACACAAGTTTTAGTTCAATTAAATACGCAAAAGAGACAAAAGGAAAAGTAAATACTGATGGAAAAACATAAACTCAAGTATTATTCGTCAATTTCGGAAACGATGTCTGCTCATTTATTTCAAATTGATGATCCTTTGAAATAGAACAAAGAATTCATTAAGGAAAGATAGAAGGTTGTTCTACCGAAGAAGGCAAGCTCAGGTGGTGTTTCTTGTTGAATGATGTTGATGAAAAGAATTTGTACTTTGTTTCAGAAAAAAAACAAATTCTCTGGGAGTCAGTTTAATGAAGAATTCACGTGATCGTTCTCGTTTCTATTGCCAAAGTTAAATGAGAAGAAAAGAAATGAAGAACATGTCATGGTTATAATTTGTCACAATTGATTTTAGACACAGGAATTGAAAAACAAGATTGTTGATTTAAGAGGAACTTATGAAAACATCAAAAGTGTTTAAACACAAAGAGAAATCGAGTATTGGGCGGATAGTGTAAAAACCAAAAAAAGAATTAATTAGTAGGCGCATTGACAATTCGTGTAGAAATCCTCCACAGCATATTTGAATGAAAAGGAAAAGTGCAAATTTTCCATATGCATAAACGGATGCCGTACTGTGTTCTTTTATTCTCTGTGACAATAATTCAATTTAATCCTAGCACGCCTTTTTTGACTTTCACGAAGCGGAAGAGTAAGAAATGAAATGATTGATTAGGAGATTTGATCAAATGGTGAACATTAGCTACACTGACCGACAATCTTGACACCATTTTTGAAATTATACTTTGGTCGAATGACACAACATCTACACCGTCAGACAAGATTCTTCCGGAAAATGACATTTCGTACCGCTTTATTTTTTTGGACTTCCAATACAGATGTCCGTTAAGAAGCCTGTGACAAAAAAATAATTGTAAAGATTTCGTCATGGAGTCCGTAAAAGGGAAACCCTAAGTAAATCACCAGCGTTTTGTTTTCGAGTGAATGGGAATGTAAAATAGGCGCTCAGATTAAGTGATGGTGCCTAAATCTATCCAGTCTTGCTTTTTGGTGAATTTGATTCTTGATTGTCCGCTGTGAACAGTATTTCTACTTGTTTTGAGACCATTTCTAGGCAAGAGATTTCCAAACATCCGATATTTCGGACTCCTGCAAGAAATTTTCGAAAAATTGTTTCAATTCTGACCACCCGGACACGCTGCTAGATGCTTGGAAAGAGTGGTACGAGACGTAGTTCATCCTATACATCGAAGAACATGCTTTTTCTTAGCAATGAAACAATGTATTGAATAATTTTACACTCGGAAGATATTTTTACTGCAATTAAAAAAAAACTATTCAGATGACAGACAGATAAATTAATCATAGATTTGATGTTCCGAGATTTTGAGTCAATATGTCACACCTATAGATATCGAAAAATGATATATCTCCAACAGCAGAAATACTGCGTCATTGGTTTCTCGGATGAAAGAGTAAAACTATAAGTCAATTACTTTTGTTCGACTCATGTTAGTAGAAAGGTGAATAGTTTCACTGCATAATAAAAAGAAACTTCACATGTATTCTTGGAGTGTTTTGAATTTTTTGAAGAAATCTATAAATGAAAACATTTTCCAGAGTTTCACATACAAAATACAAATATATTGCCGATGAATGATGTTTTCCTTCGTCGAAATCCGTCTCAGAGTATTCATTAGTCTTATTATCGCACAACTACCAATTCCTCATTAGTCTATATTCATTCGAGAAGCTTGAAGTTAGATCCGATCGTGATATTTTCAAAACACTTTCTTCCAATTATAGCGAGTCATATTGGCAAAGACTACTAAGAACGAAGGATCTATAAAGAAAACATCTTTTAGCATGATAATCTATTTCAGAATGTATCAAATACTGATTGAGATCGAAGCACTACTGGATTTTCTGTAATTGGAGGACGATGAACGAGGAAAACTACTCGTATTTATGAATAATCTGGTGCAAAATTCTGTTTCGTTGTTTAAACATGTATTTAACAATATTCCAGAAGGAAAAACAATCTTACTTACAAATCACATAATTCATATCATATCACATTGAAAAATATGACAAAACAACATCGTATTTACGACATTATCCAGTTATCATTCTGATTTTTCTCATATCTATGACATTGACTCTTCGAATTCCAATATTCACCAATGCGTTCAAGTAATTGTTGTTTATGATCTCGATCATCGAGAAATAATTTCAAACAAAGTTCGCACATGTACTTCGGAATTTTAACATGTAGAGCATATTGTCGCCATTGGAAATATTCTAAATAAGCGGTGTTATTCTTATCCAAATAATCGATATACTTTGCTAATTCGCGCGCGGAAGAAAAGTTTCGTACGTCAATATAACCAGTCGATGGCATATAATGATCATAACGTGCCCAGCCAAGAACAACGGGTACAATTTGTGCACTTTGTAATGCAAAGAAGAATTTTTCTGTGACATATTCATCACAGAGACTATTCTCAAAAGATAGATAAAATTTATAGGCGGAATAAGCATATTGTCGACAATCGGATACATGTGGACATGTTTTACCGCATTTCCCAAAGACGTCAACAGAGATATGTTGTTGCAGTTCTTTGATGTACTTCAACCGACTACTCGTTCCGCCACAGTTAGAAATGATAGCGACGAGAAGTTTCTGTGGTTTTTTCGTTTTCAGAATCGATTGGAAATCGTAGTCTGGGTAAATTTTATAATCGAATAGCCAAAATAAGTTTCTCAAGGTTGTTGAGGTGACATCGGAATCCGGACGGTATGTTTGAGTATAATTAAATATTCCGCCATGTTCTTTCGAAGAGAAACTTGGTGAATGTACAGGTGATTCTTTTAAGAAGAAAACCAAACGTTGATGCGAGCGTCGAGGTAGATCAGCCAGTTTTCTCAAATTGACTGATTCACGAAGATGAATCAACGAGGCATCACTCTCAGAAAATAGTTTCTGATCTGTAGTTATGCGACATGCATTCACAGATAGAGGACAGTTATTGAGATTGAAATCATTCGCGTAAACTTCAGCGTGGTTTTTGTTGTACCAATAATCATTACCGAAAAACTTTGTGTAGTAAAGAATTAATTTCGTTTGGTTTGACCATGACTGATGAGCGAGTGTTGTTTCAATCGGTTTTTGTAATGATTCAAGAATTGTATAAAGAACGGAATTGGGATCGATTTGTTCATCGAATTGTTTTATTTGTTCAACCCAAAATTTTTGTTTACGAATAATAGTTTCCGTTTGATTCTCAGCTAAGATCGTATAGAATCGTATAGGTTGATTATAATAAAGTTTCATGGTTAATGGGTAAAATATCGCACGTGAGTTTTTGGGAATTCGATTAAGTACACCGAATAATTCATGTTTTTCTCCTGATGTTTCGTTGGTAAATAGAAATAGCAAACATTCGGGACATTGCTTGACATGTTCAAGAAACAAATTTTCCGTTGGAAAACTTACTTTTTCGAGAAAACGATCGGCAAGTCTATGAGTATAAACAGGTATCACTATTGGTAGAAAACTTCGACCATTTTCATATAGATATTGTAAAATGGACAGAAATCCGATTAATGCAAAGATATATATTGTGCAAGATAAGTAATGATGAGAATTTTTTTGAGACATGGTAGAGCAAAGTCATTTGACACTATCCATCAGTGTCACTTCTTTGTCAACGGGAATGACGTTGTGAAAGTTGTTCGCTTCACCGTTGTATATCGACCATAAACGTGGAAAAGAACAAAAAAATCCAGCGTCTAAAAGCAAACGTAATAAAAAAAAGTCTTTACTCGTTTTTCTCGCACGCATGTGACAGTTGTTTGCAAGGAAAAAATACCGATATATAACTGCAGAAAAAAAACTACTGGCTCATTCTGCCGAACACTTTATCAAAACAAATATTCGTCAACAATCGGAAAATGTAATGTTAGAGTATCCTCATGTCCAATGTGTTACTAAATAACTTGCGATGAAAAAAAAAACTTTCGACAGGTTAACACGTGGATAAGTGATCGAAAAATAGTTCTAGAGAGGTATAATTCCAATTACTTGCGATTAATGTTTAGTGTAGAAAAGGTTTTTAACGACTCACTGCATTAACGAAAAGAGAACAACACCTGTAAGGACGTTGTACAGAAACATAAAAATACTGAGAACGTTTTTTTAATGATTCATATTAAGTTAAATTCGTACGAACATTTGTTAAAATGTGCTAGTATTCTGTAAACTACGCCAGCTAATCACACATTGTTTATCCACTACAATCAATTGAAGAAAAACTATACATTATAATCCTTATCGAAGTTTTCCTGAACTAATTTAGATAAACTTCGCTCTAAATCGCGTGTTTCATATACGAAGAGAGGAGTCTTATTTAAATCTTGAAAAAGGCTTCTTGATGCTTCATCGAAAAATCATATCCAAACAAAAGCGCATTTTCTAAGCCTTCCTCGCAGAAATAGAAAACAATGAAACAAGGCCGTTTTAACAACAACGAAAGAAAATATGCTTATTTCCGCCAATTTCACATTATTTTCATGTCTACGTATACGTATAGTTTTGATTGTTGAACTCAACTCATTCAAATGAACAAAAGTGACTTTACTAAATAAAACTCTGGGAACGTTTTCAAACAAATAAACTCTGATTAGCTCGTAGCGTGTCTGAAACAGTGAACTTTTTTTTCTGTAAGAAAACAAATGTTAACAGATTTTTAGCCATGTATTAATTTCACATGAATGCGCATGACAACTCTCCTCAACATTTTCTCAAATAAGACTAAAATCTATCATTATCGTTATAAACACATCGACTATTCTTCAAAATTACGTGCACTCTTCTCCTTTACTCGCAGAATAAAAAGTATACTGGCTTTCTCTCGACTACGATATTGAATTACAACTGCATGCAAAATGATGATTTAAAGTATACGATATCGTTCGAAACATAAGAAAGCTTAGAATCTCATTTTATGTACTATTATTATTGCTCCTCCTCAAGGTTCTTTCGAGAGAGCAGTATACTCGGGTAGATTGTAAGTTATTGTTTCAATATCTTATCTATCAGAGCAAAGGAGAATGCATGCGGATTGTCATATGATAAGTAAGTTATCTAGTTTGCATTTTTTATTATTGACATTCATATCAAAATGAAATTTGTTCAAAATTCCGACAATTTACAAGTAAACTGGATTAAACATCAATAAATGACTATCTATTGAAGATATTTGATCAGTCGTTCTCTGTCTTACCTACATATGTGCTTACACAATAGCCAAATGATATACAACACTTGCTCGTATATCTATGGAAAGAAAAAGTACGCTCTCTTCTTTCTTAGCAGGTGTTCTTGATCAGCTGAACTATCGATTGAAACAAATTTTATGAATATGAAAACATTTTGTAAATCTTTTCGAGTAAATTACCGAGGAAGAATTATATAATTTTCGGTAACTACTATTTACTGTCGAATCATTTTGTTTTATGTTGATTGAGTGTCGTATTTCTGATCTGAAGAGAGTAAAAACGCAAAATATCACGTTAATGAAATTACGAGAAGTGAATATTTCCACCAGATATCTTATGTCTACCGATTAATTTTGACACAAATGATGAGAAAACTTTCCACGAGTGTTTCTTTTACAATTGAGAATAGTCGTTTAGTATTGAATGCGTTCGGTATATTATCAATAAAGAAAGACGTTTTTTCTTCTCCATTCAGCGCACTTTTTATGAGCGAAGAAAGTCAATATTCTGATCGACATGCTTTTTGAAATCTACAGTATTGTTTTTCTTCTCAACATGTGGACGTTGAAGCAAAGACGAGCGACACAAAAGATTATTAATTGAACTGCCATCTAATTATTACAGTTTAAGTATAATGACTCTTTTTGACAAAGAGAACGTGAAATACCACAATGATCATAGATGTCGGTGCAATTTACATGGAAAATAAACTCATGAGTACATTTATTCTTGTACTTCTATCTTTCACGAAGAAAATGTCTCCCACTTGTCGGAATTAGATAACTACTAAAAAAGAGAACGAGTTTATATATCTTTTCGAATTCTCCTATGTATTGGAATAGTGGACTAGTCAATAACGAAAGCACTCATATGTCAGAACTGATGGGAAGACTAAGCTTTGTCCATTTATAATGACTCTCTGTCAAAATTTAGAACAAAAAGAATTTTGTCACGCTAATAAAATTTTCTAATATTGAAGGATTCTGCATTCAGCCTCAGTAAAGATGTGTTCTTGCTAACGGAACACTGATTACCTTGAAATCTACTAGATTAGTTGCAAAACTTGTCAAATCGACAACAGAAATACAACTGCTTGTTGAAGTCAAACGAATATAATGAATTATAAATAGACAGACGTGAAACAAGTTTTTCAAAGACATTCAACTCGTGAGCACGAGATGTTGTTATTGGTATGAGTTATTTTTCCAAATTAAAAATAGAGAATACTACTCGCTGAACGCACATTCAAGCGTATTTCTATCCAATGCAAATTCATTTTTAGCAAAGATTCTCCTGAAAATACACTATTGACGTCAGTCAAAAGTCACCTATAAACTTTAAAAAAGTTAAGATTTTATTTATATCTTGTGATTAATTAATCATGCTAAATAACTGTGAATAACATTGTTTGATCCTTTTTATTCTTACAATTTATTCAAATTTACTTCATACACAGAAGTTAATTTCAAAATACGCCACTTGTGCTGTAATCATGTTGAATTTACAGTTTCTGCTCACGTTAAATGTACTCATTTGTTAAAAGAGCGAACTTTTTCCAAGTGAATAACTTTCAATCAATGCTCTATTTTGTCGAAAGACTAAAAGCACATCAAGAAAGTTCGATGGTAAAGTGCAATAAATGAAACATGTGGCAGCAAACAGAGAAATAATCTATTTTTACGATCTTTCGAATTATACATATCGATTTATGGTTCGTCAATTCCTACAATAGGAATCTACTCGAGATGACATCGAGGTTTGGTTTCAATGTTCTAACCTTGTCAAGAGCGAAGTACATGATTTGAAAACACTAGAAACTCATGAATGTCAATGTAATTTATTAAAATTTGGAGAAGAAAAAAGCCGGATTGTGCACCTAATAAGTCACGCATGTGTGCTGTTTACACTCGATTGCATGATTGATTTTATTGCAAGATTTATGTTTCTGATTGGAATCACACCGAATGGGTCAAGTATACCTGCGAGAAAATGCACACTATCGTCTCGACAACTTGAACTTTCGAGGACTGAGATAGACAAGTGGATTTATTCTAAGACGACTCAAAAGTCTCTCTAACATTCATTTGGCTTAGATTTCTAGATCGCATATTATCGATAATGGATGCATGCAGTCAGAGACTACCAACCACTGTTTGTCTGCCTGTCGACTTGTTAGATGATAGATAATGAAATGAGAATACTGCCGGTCGATTAGAGTAACACACAGCATGATTTAGTAGCAACTCAAGACTTGTCACCTAGGAATATGCCTTCACTAAGTCAAATCAGAAAGAGAGACAGCATAGTGGAATGGAAAAAAAAGTATCTATTTATATATATATATATATAATGACAGAGGGGGAGAGAGACAAAGATAGTTTTCCTATCATATATACTCGATAGATGTTTTCTTTTCCCCCGTTGCCTTATGGTCGCCGTCCAACAAGAAGGTGATATCGCCTTCAGTGAAGTCAACGGTCTCTCGCATTTCCCTAATAGGCTTATACCATCATTCTGATGAATCTTGTATCGTTAGTAGAAAGTCGGAAAGAAAAAAAAGAAGAAACAAACGACAGACAAATTGATTGTTGGTGTAAATTTACAAAACAACACCTGCTGTTGAGCGTATCGATAACAATATGAAGTTGAAAACTAAACAATGCTTTGCTCGCGATTGGTATGTTGTGAATGAGATGAGAATTATTCTTGTAGTGTGAATGTTCATTTAATGAACAGATTTTATTAATATTCTTTGGCCACTTTCATCCATGAATCTAACAAGATATGACTGACAGTTGCAAATAGAAGATGAAGATCGTCGATCGTAAATTGATAAGAATGTTGTTGTCGGATGTTTTCTTTTTCTACTAACATCTTACATAAATGCAATTAGACGTTTCTTTCTCATCAATACGGCACCTTACACTCTAGTATCTTTTTCTATTACAAACTTTTTCGAGCTTTCTCTCGGTTTGCTTGTCTGTATGCATGTCTCTCGTTTTCTTGCTCTTCTTGTTCTCCTCTTTCACTCTATATTTTTATTCAAAAAGCAATCCAAACCGAACAGAGAGAGAGCAGCAGGGAAAAGAGTAGAAGGAGAGGAGAAACGCAGATCTCTTTCTTGCTTATTCTGTTCAAAAGCATGCATCTATTCTTGTTTTATATAATTTTCTCGTTTTCTCATTCTCTTCACTAGTTTCATTGTTTTCGGATAAAAATAACAGAAAAAAAAGAAAGAAAAACTTCACACATATATTCACACTCACACAAATCTATATATAATCCGTCTATATCTCAGTCAAGTGAATATTTTTATGTATATTTCAGTGATTGAAAGATTATTCGAGTGGAACAAATCATTGGGGATTGTGGAAACAATGTCAGAACTCCTTCTTTCTTGCTCTATTATTACAGACATTTGACCATGTCGAATACAACACCAACTGGACGCACAACAAATCTTCTGTCGCATTCATCTGATAATCGCGAACCGTACCGTACAATAACATTGACTCTACTTCGTATCTATCCGATTCTATTCATATGTGTGGGAACAGCAGGTAATCTACTATCTGTTTATGTTGTCCTACGTTCGAAATTGCGACGTCATTCAACGTTCATCTATTTGGCATTTTTGTCTATTATCGATCTTGCTGTTTTATATACATTTTGTGTTAATTTTATACTTCACGCTTGGTTCAATATTGATCTTCAACAAGTTTCCTTGACCGCATGTAAGATTTACTCCTTTTCAATTTACTTCTTTCCTCAAACAAGTGCTTGGATACTCACGGCTGTTTCCATTGACCGTGTCGTCGCATTGACGCGTGGAGTTCGCAAAACTCGCAAAACCCGTCAAACCTACGCAATTCTCATTTCGATCTTCCTCATTCTTTTCCTACTGAACATTCAATTTCTATTCTACAACAATACCTACGTACTATCTCTACAGAACGAACAACAAACCAATGTGTCAACAAATACGACTTCAGATTTGACATTAACGTCATCTTCGGTCTACCGTATCGTCGATACAGACGTGGACATCAACGTTATTCAATGCTCATCAGAATACAGTAATGAGTATAAATATTTCTATAGTAATTATTGGGTTTATATCGATGCGACCGTTAATGTCTATCTACCCTTTGCGCTAATGTTTCTCTGTTCGACAATTATTTTTCTTAGTGTCCTACGAACAATGCGCGATGCACATAATTCAAATAAGCGTCTCGTTGCAAGAAATCTGAGTACAATGTTACTATCAATCAACGCAATGTTTGTTCTATTGACAGCACCGATCGTTTTCTACTTGATGTTCGAAAAGCGCACGTTCAAGTCAGGAGCCAATCAAAGTGATACGAAATTGAAAGCGCGATACAAAATGATCAAGTTACTCTTTATTATTTTAATGAATGCCAATCATACAGGAAACATTCTTGTTTATTGTTTAACCGGTACGGAATTTCGTACGCATCTATTTCACGTTCTACACGCATTCGGTTGTGGACAAAATAAAAGTTTAATCCGAGGAAACTACCTTGCGAATCGGAAAGGAACGTTCAATGAAGGCCGCCGTTTATCTGCGGCGATTTTAAATAAAGACAGTGTACATAATCAATCTCAAACCTCACGATCGTCAAGTAAAAAGCAAAATCAAAGAACTACACCGCCATTAACATATCAAACGACTCGAATGAAAAAAGTAGGTTTTGACAATGAGATGAGTTGTTTCAACGTTGATGTTCTCGTTATTTTTTCTCTGTCTCTCTCTCTCTCTCTATTTTCTAGATGAGCGGAACGATTGATGATGATCAAGCTATTCCTATTTGTCTCAAAGCACGAGATGATGCTCAATATATTTTATTAACAAATAAATTAGGTAACAAACAAGCGACATCAACAATTGCAAGCATTTAATGCACATCGAAAGACACATTTTTCTTGCATATTTATAATCGTTTTTCATGATGAGCATATGCCAGTTATAGTTCTCACATAAAAGAAAATAATAAAGAGACTAGGACGGAACAAACAACACTTCCGAATTCCCTCGACATACTCGATCCGCCACGACTAATCTTATTCTTAGACGATGCATCGCTCTCTTTCTTCAATTTTCTGCTATTTCTATGGACCATATATATCTAACGTCGGTATCTTCTAACTTTTATATTATCGTTAAATAATCACGGCGACGTCGTCTCGCACATCAGATAAGGCATACGCTAGTAATAATATTTTTATTGCTTAATTGAAGAGACGAGAAAGAACAAACAAAAGCCGAGAACATTGAAAAGAGGCCAAATATGTCTATTTCGCATTTCATGATGGATATGAATGAAACAAAGATTCTGTTTTCTGTTTACTTTTGTGCTCAGTCTCGTGCTTGCACAATACTCTGGAGAATGATTACCATTCCGTTTTCATTTGTCAGCTTTTCTATCATCATTGTCCATGTTCATTTTCTATAAATAACTCTTCCTTTCTTGTACTAGTCATTGACTAAATATATTCCTCAATGAACGAATAATCATCGTAATAATAAATCTTCAACGGATATTTTACAAAAAAAAAATTGAGATGTTTTCCACGGGCGGAACAAATCTTATTTGACCTTCGATGATCTTCTTGGCTTGAAAACGTCGGCGAAGTTTTCGGGCTCAATATGATTAGACGAAGAGTTTTGCGAATAAGTTTGATTTCCATGTACTTCTGACATCCGGCCGAGCCATTCAACTCTCATTATCTTTGAAATTACATAAGGTTCAATTTCCTCTCGCTCTTCTCGATATGCATACGCACACAGCAGATTGTCATCGGCTGAGGGTGTGGGCTGTTTTGTTTTGTTCCGAAAAGAAAAGAAAAGGGATTGTTGATTGTATTTCAATCTTGTTATGAAAGACAAATCGATGGTTTAATTTACAATAGATCCGATTTTTATTGAGACGGAATCAACATTTAGTCACTTTAAAAAAGTGTCCAAGGAAATAGAAAAAAAGTCGCTACAAAGAAGAAATTGACTAAATTTTCTGGATTATTGATTGGCAATGAGAAGGTAGAAAATCAACAGATCAACAATGACCTGAAAAGATTAAGTCCTATAAAGAAAAATGCACTGACAAGAAAGAAAAATGAAGAAGGTATTGATACCTGAGAGACAAAGAAAACAGGACAAGCACAAAGTACACGAACCGGGTTGGAATCCTATGGTACTTTCAGTATATTTACATACATAAAAATAAAATTCTCGCTGATTTTTCCTTGCGATACACAAAAAATTTTTCAAAATATGTGATAAATCGTTGAACTAAATCATCTCCTGTCGAAGAAATCACAAATTTCCATAATTAGCTATATACACAAATGCGTTATTTCACAAGAAATAAAACCTATTTCTCAAAATCATCAATTGAAATCATTTCACGTTTATGTTCATCATCTTTCAAAATGCCACGAAAGGAACTTATTAAACAATCAAGTCCATACAGATAACCCTTATCAGGACCGACGTGAGGATTTGATACTTCATCATTTGTGACTGTACCAAGTATCGTATTAGCAAAGTCAATCATACGTACATCAATCAGATTCGATTGCAGTGAACCATCGTAAACAATCAAAAGACTTCCACTATAAAATCGATATTTTAACAAAGAATTTATGGTTACATATAAAGATTCTAATCGCTTGATGATTTCTGGTAAGACATCAAAACGTTGAGTAGATCCATTATCAAAATATTGTCGTAATGACGAATGAAATTCTTCAACCGTTAACATCCGACCTCGGTACTTATCGGTAAATATGTACCGATCACTATCGGCTTGATAAACCTGAATGAGAGAATGCTTTACAGTTGACTTTCGCCTGAATGTTACCTGCATGCCACACAGCCGTACGCCTAATTTGGATGATGTCGACAATTCACATTTTTGTATCTTCGATTGCCGTTTTTTGTCCGAATCCACATCAGCATACTGACGCTTACCCATTTTCAAATCCAATATACATGGTTTATGAAATCGCGCTGTGACATTTTCCAGTAAAATGTACTCTGCAAATGAAAGAACATATTCTTTATTATGAATTATTGATAGGAACAATTACAACTCGCACAGTTCAATGTAAGTTTTCTAATTCATCAAACCTAAATTTTACATACAAAGACTATTCATGAATAATAGATCAAGTCCGGTTCTTTTTCATGTTATCTTATCTATTACTTCAATTCTTTGTTTGCACTGATCGTATTGCGATGAAGTATAAAAGTCCTGGATTAAACATACAAAATACATCCTAGGAAGGTATCGAATTGTGCTAAGCTATTCATCTATTTTAGTGGACCATATGAGTGCGGAGTTGTTTCGAGTAGAGAAAAAAATAAAGGTTAACGTAGATAACTTACTCTGCGTTATAGTCACGTTTTCGTCACCGATTAATTGTCGATGCAACTTCTCGGCTTGCTTTTTACACAATTGTAAACTCCAAGGATTGATTAGAACCATTGATGGTTTCCCTTTTTCATATTTGACAGTATCAATCCCCAAACTATTCGAATAATCGACGTGTCCATCTTTTGAACAGCGTAATCTATACAAGAGAAAAGAAGGTAATGAGCATTCCAATCAATTTTGTCCTTCTTCAGACACGAACTGTACTGATTTGTCCGCAATTGATGACTGCTCTTGCTCGTTTGACGACGGATGATTCTCGAGAGAATTGGTCTGCGGTCGAGCAAACAATTTTATATAACCCAATTCATCTTCATAGTATTGAACTGTCACGCAACCTAAAAGCGAAAGCAACTTTTCTGTGAAAATCACATTTACGGCGCACTCTCCAACCTCGAAACTCGGGTGCAAATGGTTTTAGCATGTCGGGTATCGACTGATAAAAATCGTATTCGGCAGGCGCCAGTAATTTACAGACTGTATTTTTGTCATATTGAAACATTGATGAATGACCGCCCACCTAAAACCACCAGACGAATGTATTGAGTAATTCAATTGAATATATTGACTTACTTGATGAATGAATGGCGACAGTTGGATAAGTGGTGTTTGAGAACATTCACAGTCGTTCATTCGGACCATTGAAATGAATAGCTATTCGAACACTACGCTGGATTAGACGTAAATACATAGACAAACAGAAAATCTTATTTGATTTTGTCTACAAAGATAAGAAATGAAAAAAATAAGAAAATAAGAAAAGGAAACAAAAACACTGCTGACACTTATTCAATGTAATTTTCTCATGGTTTTGCGTCAATGTATTTTGTTTTTTGTTGTTGTTTTCGTCGAAAGAAGAGAAGAAAAAAAAGTCGAATCGCTGGTTTTTTGTCGTCACGACATGAATAAATGTTATGATGTATTTTGATTACGTTTTCCTCAATATGATTCGCTCGAATGTATGTACATAGTGAATAATTGTTTGTCTTGCTTTGACGAAAACGAAGGAAAATACCAACATTTGACAAGGATTTTGTTCTTACAAAGTGACTAAATTGACTCATACTATCACACAATCTAGAACGTATTTGTGTCATTTCAGATGGATAATCGAGCGATTTCCAACAATTGTTCGATTCTATCCATTCGTACTCTTTAGATCGAAAGATCAAAATAACCTCTGATTACATATGTAATCCATCCGAAGACAAAACTCTTGATTAATAGAACTCTATATTTAGGCGAGAGAAATCGACAAATCATTTGTTCCAGATGCTTTCGTGAAATATTATAATCAGATGGTATCACCACTTCGCCTTTTTTCTTCTTCATTTGTTCATTCCACTTTTTATTATTTATCTGTCAAATAAGCACCAATCAGATTTCACCAATCATCTCCTAGAGGTTCGTCCTAAGCACTGTTCAATTCTCATGGCAGTGAGAATTTCTTTCCTGATCTCTGACATTCACTACTTAAAAAACAATGTATTTCTACGAATTATTTTCTCATTCGGATCGATTTAATTATCGTGCACACATAATATCGAGTGCGACATGTGTGTTGATTCTCTGCACGGCACTAACGTTTCTCTCGCCGTTTCTACTAACTTTTTATACGGGAGATTTTTGGATTGTGGATTCTGTGTATAGTGAACAACCAGAAATTGGTAATTACACGAATTTCCTCCTGCAAGTCGATAACGACGATACTAGCAATCGATTTTTTCTCTCATCATACTCAACTCTGAACGGAAACTATCAATCAGATCTTCTCTCGGCAAGCAGTGCTTTTGTTTCAAATGATATAGATGGTGATGGTTTACTCGATCAATATCGTGTAACATTTGATATTCTATTACCAAGTTCAACGACAAACGTTCGTAGCATTAATCTTTGGTTGATATTTGAATATAAATTACGGCAAAAACAACATATTACAGCCGAGACCATGGCATTAGCTAATTTCGTTCCACCTTCCACTCTTCAGCCTAGTAATAATCAAAATGTAACCATCTATGGTCAGCTGGTACTCAAACAGAGAAAAGTTATTCCAAATTCTGGTGAAGATTCATCCTACAGTGATGCAATAAGTAATTCATTGAGTTCTTCAACAGTTCCTGACCTTGATTCAATCCTCAGTGACTATTTTCTGCGAAACTATTACACATCATTCGAAACACAATATACATCGTTAACAACTCGAACGTCTACCACGACCGGACTAACTTTCACTGTGATTATGAATGTTGGACGGCAAGCTATTCATTATCAACCGGGATTTTGGCAAGCATTTAAATGGGGCTGGATTCAATACATCTGCACACTTTTACCATTCCTATTCGTATTTTATCGATTGACATTATTTGTTTTCTCTAATAATTTGGTTCGAACATGTGCTCCATTACCAATTCATCGTCATAAAGCATGAAAAACTGAATATATCGAAAGATTTCATTCGTTTGTAGTTGAATTCGTTGTTTTCCTTTTCTACGAATTGAAATAAAATATTTCAACTGATCTCCTTGACTTTGCTAATGCATATTCATGAATGGTTAAGCACATCGAACCCATCCTTATTTGACTTCTCTACATCAAATATCAATTCAATTGACATTGATAACGTTTTCTCTTGACAAGTGTTTTAACATTATTCATTTTTTCGAAAGAATAAAAGAAACTAAACAGAAAAATGTCATGTGAGCTTAGCAATATGTTACTATCTATGGTCAATTACGTCCTTGACTATAATACAAAGATAAACATATAGTCGTAATCGTTTTCTTCTTCTTGTTTTGTTTTTAAACCATTGCCCGTCGATAATGTTCAATTGGCTGAAGTGATTCTTCATCGATATACGTGATATCATAATCAATACTTCGGTAACTACTATTATTTAACGAATTGCCTTCGTAATTTCCTACAAAGGCACGTGCGATCATTGGTTGTTGAAATGGAATGTTTTCATAATCATCATTTCGTTGTTTTTCGTCGTTGATGTTTTCGTTCACATGATGATGCTGATGCGAATGATTGCGAAATGAAGATAGATTCGAATTTGATTGTTGCCGAGCAATGGTATCACAAACTGAACAGCGCCGAGACATATTCGGTGTTGATTCAATCTGCTGTTTTTGTTGTTCTTGACGATAACGATACGATTCATAGAAGGTTTTCGCTAGTAAATCAGCCAGTATTTGTGAACTTTTGCTTGTCTTACAAAGGACTACATGGCATTCGAGTTCATCAGATTGTTGAGAACGTGCAATCCATGCGAAGATACGTCGATGTAAAGGTTCAGCAACACAGTACGAAATGTTTTCGATCGCATCGAACCAAACGCTTTTATATGTGCCATTCGCGATCTCTTCGTAGAGACATAAACCAAATGGATGGATGGATATCGCACAGCGGTTATGAAGCGTCCCTTTCTTCGAACGTTTCCATACAATACGCACAGATTCCTGTGAAAATAATCAAATCAAAGACTTTTCCCAAAGAGATACACCATCGTACTTCACTTACGATAGCTACATTGATGCCATGAGGATGTAAAGCCTGAACTTTGCCGAGATATTTGACGGGCTGAAGAGAATCTTCTGTTCGAAGTTCAACCTCACTCATTTCTTTCAAGATTGAGTCGAAGCAAAAAAAGAAACCTCGCTTCTCCAATCGACCTTTTTACAATTGTCTCTCTGTCTTATTGATGGCCTTTAGAATATCTTTTTCTTGATCCCAAAGTAAAGCTTCACTCGAGGCAAGAAGAGAGAAAAACGAAGAGGGATGTACAATCGTAGCGCGAATAATTATATGTAAGAAGGGCGCTAAGCTATTTAACTATATATCTTTATATATGTATATGTTCGTGAATAGACACAACGGATGATCGATGAAATTCAACTTTCGTGCTCGTTTGCAGAAGAACAACCAGTTTAAAATGTCGAAATATCGATCAGCATTTGTTAGAAATGATTCTCATCAAATATCGAATAATATGTCCTATGTGAATGATGGAGGTGGTGACGATCGAAGTAAACTTTTTCAACAACTTCCTACACCTGTTGACGAACAGCAAATTGCCAGTGCCCAAAATAAAGTCAATCGTCTGATGAATGCTATTACTGATACATACGAGAGAACTTTAGTGCGAAATCTCCGTTTAGAAGAATTGGATATGAGATCAACAGATTTGTTTCGCGATGCGGAAAAGATGAAAAACATGGCACATAAAATGCAAGATAAATTCTTTTGGGAAGATAGTAAATTCGTTCGAGATGAAAATTCGCGATAGGACTTCTTGTTGGTTTACTTTAGAATACTTTCTAATCGTCACAATTGCATCGATATCTGCGATTGCTCTTGGTGGTCTTCTCGCGTTGATATTCATGCCAAAAATCGGGTAGCTAAAGAGACTTGATTCATATTTTCTACAAACTCTTCGGAGCTTTTGCTCATCGTGTCTGCATTGAAATTCAGATCAAATTTTTCTCAAATGAATAAAGCAAAGAAGAATGGAAATTTATTGAAAAGAATAGATCAAATAAGTTCGTCTAATCAGCTTGTGGATGTGTTGTTGCTTCTGTTGATGAGGAGGATGATGATAATGCTTCTTTTAACTGATCGTAATGATCACGTTGTTCATCTGTCACTGAATCTTCGTCAATGGCATTCAACAGATCAAGACCAGTTCGTTCACGCTATAAAATGAACAAAAACAAGATTTGCAAGAAAGCTTTTTGTTTGATTGATATTTACGATGTCTTTAATATTCGATAGTGCTGGAAACTTGTGTAAAAGATCTAACGCGACATTGTAATGACGATTTTCAATAGCATCATGGACTGATGTTGAACCTTCAGCATCTCGATAGAGTGCAAGATTTTTACGTTCGTGCAACAGTTTCTCGATCGTTTCCTTATTTCCTTCTTTAACAGCGTGTCGAAATTCTTTGATTTTCTCCTAGGATTACAAGGCAAAAGATTGTGCCACTGAGCAGTAATCTTCGAACTTACTGCTAATTGAGGAATGTCAGTATGAATGAATTCAGCTGTGTCTTCATCGGTGTCTTCGTCTGCCTTCAATTGATTGACAATTTCAGTATAACCACAAATAAGCAAATCATTAATTGCTTTTGTCTTGCCATTTTGTAATAGCTGCACACAATAATTATCTAATAAGAGAATGTTTTATAAACGATTCTTCTTCAAAGTGTACACTGAAACGAACCAAGTTGTTCAACATTTTCTTGAATTCCAGCTTCGACAGCAACCTCTCGAGCTGTTTTTCCTTCTGCATTACGTGCTGCCAAAAGTAAAGGATTATCGCGAAGTAGTTTCGTTAGATCGACTTCTGGAAGATGAAAAGAAGACATATTATGATGAACCATTCAGTTTAGTTTTACCTTTTACAGCAGCTTGTCGATGAAGTTCTGTTTCACCGAACTCTGCAGCCAAAAGATCGTCTTCTTCTCGAACAGCTGGTAATGCGCGTGCCTGTGCTGCTAATTCTCGATGACTGAACAGAAAATTTCGATTTTCAAAATGAAACCAATGAGGGTTTTCATTACCGTCGAGCTAATTCTTCAGCTTCTCGTTGGCGTCTTTCTTCTGCTTCACGTTCTTGTCTTGCTTTTTCTTCTTTTTCACGCAATGCTCGAATTTCTCTCTTGAGCTGCGCACGATGTTCCTTCTCTTCCGCTTCTTTTTGCCGTTCAATTTCTAATTGTTTCGCATCATGTTCTTTCTATTGAATTGAAAACCAAGAACAGCTGACAAAAGTTCTTTGCAAAAAAAAAACTTATCTACCTGTTTCTGAGCACGTGTATTTTCAACTTGTTTATACAGAAATGTTGCTAAATACTCAATCGGATCGTTTGGACGACGTTCGACAATTTCGGCTAAACCACGAATCAATGCTGGTCCTATGAAGATATCCGTAACAAACAAACAACAATCATTAAGCCTACATACCAACAGTAGATGTCAAATATTTAGCTTCGATTGAGTTTTGGTCTGGTGGTGGACGACGTCCCGAATTAGCTCGATTCATTCTGATGCGATGGGAAACAGCGAATACAATGAAAAGTATTTATTTAAGTTTTTTTTTTCAAACTCTATCTGCCATTCATGTCTCTTAGCATCGCTTAGTTACGGACAGAACAACAGTTTTTTTTTCTTCAATGAATTTGTTCTTCTTTCCTCTACTCCCGACAGAAGAATGGCGTCGCTTTTGTCACTCAATGCTCCATTTCACGATGCATAAACTACAAGTTTATTGAATTCTTTTCGTTTGTTCCCGAGTTTATTAAAATCTACAAGAAAAATGCGTTGTGTTTCAATCTAAAATTCGCACACAATCTCCAGCACTGTGTAATCTGACGAGTATTTTCCACGGGAAAGCACAGAGACCGTCTTTGATCGATATAGACATCGATTGTTTTGTGCGATGATGCCTTAGTTGAATCTGATGATGATCACAATCGATTGTGAGTGTTAGTTCGTCACCCGTTTCAATTAGATCATGTTGATTGCCATCGCCTGTACTTTCGCCGTTTATGATCATATAATTGAGATTCCACCAACCGTGAAGAGAATGATCGAAAGCCGGTGAATGATTCTGTTTCGCTGAGGAGGAAATGCCAATAAAAATGTTTTTGGAATCTTTCTTTTCGATTAGAAACCGAATGGAATGTTTACCAGATGAATATTCATTTGTTCCACTGATCTGCGATAGGCCAGCACGATAATTCGATTGGGTAACTACACGTCGATCGTCGGATAACTCGCCTGGTCCAAAAATTAATCGAAATGATTCACGAGGAAGTATCCAAATTGGATTCTCATTCGATGTAGTAATTTGTATGGCGGAAATCAATGACGGAGATTGTTTGTCCTCGACAATCGATACACTCGATGAATTCTCAATGAGACGTCGAAGTTCAGCTAACTGATCGTTCCATCGAGTGAGTTCAGTTTCGGTGTAATTATCAGCTGTAGCGCTGGCTACGAAATCGGACACGACTGTTTTCAACGTCGTTTTCATTTCATTCCGGATCTTCCTCATCATTTTTTGGAAATCTTTCCGAGCTTTCTCGGCTGTCTGTTGAATTTGAATGATGGAATTTCGTTCCCATGTGTCGATATTCGACAGAAGCGAATATTGAAAATTGTTTCGAGTTAAGTCTTCTTGAAATTGATCGTAATCATCGTGAAGTTTGTCTGCTTGTTCGGAGAGACATAGTCGGTGTTTAATGAAATGCCGTTCGCAGAATGATTGTTCGCATCCGGAGCACGTTGCATGACATCCCGCTTTTGTACATTTCGTGCAAAGTATGTCCGATAAACTTGAAACCATACTACTTCGACGTTTTGATAACTATTTACGAAACGTTGACACTAAACTGCACAATATTGTGCAAGATCATTCACCTGTGAAGAAAAAATGTAGCTAATGTATGTTGGTGTGTATACTTGGGAAAAAAGAACAACGTATCCGAGATAAGTCGTTGTAACATGACAGAAAAATTGGTAATACTATGGGAAGTCAATGTATAATTCTATGAAGAAGGTAGAACTTATAAGACGTCATATAGGTTAATCAACTACTAAAGCTTCTTGTTTTGTCATCCGGTGCAAAATGATTAATTGCCGATGGAATGTACTTTTAACATTTCGGGTTCTTTTTATATAAATCAAAGGTTGTTTATCATACAATGTATTGATTACCGCCCACGAGCGATAAGCTGCTTTGCTCAAAAGTATAGAGTAACAGAATGACGTAATTTTTTTTTGTTTTGCCGATAAGATCTTTCAGTTATTTCGAAATCGAACAAATTTTGTATTATGACCATCTGACGACAAAAATACAGTTGACGATTTGGCACCTCAGAAGAACGGAAAAGAAAAAAAATCAGATGGTGCAATTCTCACTCGATTAAGTTCGGTGAATATAACAAGAAAATGGAGAGAGGGGGGGGGGGAAGAAAAGCAAGCATAGCATTGGTCATTCATCTGAGATGGCACTGAAAAATTGGAATACTATTCATGAAATGGATCAAGTATTTGAGCGAATTCATGCACGTCTGGATCTACGCTTTCAGCAACTTATCAGACAGATCCATGCTTATTCTCATAAAAAAAGTAAATTTTCGAAGGCAAAATTGACTGATCGCTTGACGACCGTGTTTCAGCAAAACCAATATTGAATTTTTCTCCAACGAATCAATTTCAATTGGAAGAAATCATCGCCAAACTCGGCCATATAACAGTATCAACAACTCTCAACGACGTTCGATATTGTGAGTCACTGTCTGTATGCATTTGGTATTTAATCATAGTTTCCTATTCTTTCCTTTCTCTATTCTTTCATATACAAAATAGTGAATAAGAAAAGGCCATTAACACCACATGCTATCGACAGGTAAATTGTGCAAAGAAAATGACAAATATATTTCTATAGCCGGTTTTGTTCTACAGCGCAACATCTATGAATCGATCATCGGTGAGAAAAACAACATCTGTAGCAGCAGCAAGAATAACAACAGTAACAACTACAACAAAGAATGAAAGTAATGTGAAGAATGATCACTATCAGATCATTGGGAAACACGGACGACAAAAAGGACAGTTGAGTAATCCGCAAGATGTATTCATTATCCGAACATCGCCGAATCAAAGAACACTTCTTGTTTCTGACACAATCAACCAGAATGTGCAGATGTTTTCGATAGAAACAGGTCTTTGTACAGGTACATTTCTTCCGTCGAATCCTCGACAAATTCCACTTCGTCGTCCCATTGGTCTTTCTCATTCATTTGCTGATAGTTCGTCATGCTTGGTTACTGATTACGATCAGCATTTCATTAGTAGTTGGATCATTGATGAAACAGGAAATGGCAAATTAGTGAAGAAATTTGGTCAACAATCATTGGTGGGCCCAAAAGGAATCTGTGCATCGAATCAATCGCAACGTATTGCCGTAGCAGACAATAAAGCGAACTGTGTTTGCTTATTCAGTTCATCCGGCGAATTTCTCCATCGATTTGGAACACGTGGAACTGAATTACATGAATTAGCTGGACCACACTACATTCAATTCGCCGAGAATGACAACGATCGACATGTTATTGTCACAGATTTTTACAATAATTCTGTAAAAATCTTCGACATCGAACGTCATGGCCAATTAGTCACGAGTTTCGGTTCTGGTGGAACAAAAAATGGTATGTTTCAGGCGCCTACCGGTTTGGCGATTGATTACGATCGAGGTTATATATTCGTTTCTGACTGGGGCAATAATCGCGTTCAAGTTTTCGATCGTCAAGGTGTATTCGTACGTATTATTGAACTGTCAACATCTGATATGCTCTATGGACCACAAGGACTTGACTATGAACCGATCAGTCAAACATTAGCCATTGCTAATTCAGGCAAACATTCAGCTGTTTTAGTGCGAATTGATTGACTAGCATGTCTGTTTATTGCATAAATATAATGGAAGAGAAAAGAAACAATTTGAAAGTGTTTTAACAAGTGTTGAAGTCAAGGCGACGTTGAAGAACTTGCTCCGCTTCAGATTCATTCAAAAAATAGATACCTTCACGCTGCAGAACGGAAGGCAATGGTGATGATTCTATCGATATCGATGTTTTCGTGGGACTTTCTCTTAAAGTATCAAGCAAAGAGAGAGCAGATAACTTTGGCATTGTAAGAAGCATGGCGGATTCTCGACATCTAAAATAATGTAGCGTAAAAGTCAATGATTGAAAAATATGAATGTTATTTACTTGTTGAGTAATTGTAAAACGTGATCAGTACCGATACGAGACCATCCTCGATTGATATCAAGAAGAAATTGTGATGCTCCGCCCTCGTTAAATTGATGCTTGTTGATAACCTGAAAATGAAAATGAGGATATCACACGAAGTTTTTCGTCAAGAATCATATATCATACAGAATTAAATAAGAATTCGTCGAATTGAATAATAACTCTTGCTCGTATTTCGTGAAACACATTTTTCAATAAATTATTTTTTAATTCAGAGAAAATTGCCTGTAAATCGACAAGAGGATCGATCGCACTTGATGTGATATTCATAATTAAATAATCTTTCGGGTTCGGCATCATCGACCACCTAAAACCGACAAAAAAACATATGATTTGCTTCATGAAACTTGTTTTGATTTCACTTTTCTTTGATATACGGTCGACATTTTCTTTCCAATAATCGATTGACATGATTAACGATCGTACTGCAACGCTGTTCTTGTTCATTTAGGTATTGTTCGAGCAGAGGATCGAATATCGTTGCAGTTGCTGAATGACTCTTTTTATTCAATTGAATCAAGTCAAATTGTTGAGCTAATGTTGAATCAATTAGAATTTTGCCAGGATTTTCCTCATCCGAATCCACTCTTCCGTATTTCGAACTAAATCTTCCATATTCATCATAAAAGTATTGCAAAGCTTTATAATGCTAAGCAAAAGAAAAACAATAAAACATCGATATTCTCGAGACTCAATTCTTACAGGTTGATCTCTCCATTGTTGAATAACATCAGCTATGTAAACAATGGAATTTAATATCGAACAGAATGTTTTCGATAATGGATCGTTCGTTTGTACATCAGATGTCGGAGGACAGATCAGACCTTGCAAGAAGTCATCGAGCAAATCAATTTGCAAGGAAAACAAACGAAGACTGCAAGATGGATATGGCACAAGCCGATAACGATCTAGATTGACATTGTTCATTAGAGAGTTTGCCGACCGATCGGATAGAATAGTAAACAATTTTTCTTACCTTCCATCGCATGTAGAAGTGTGAGAAATGTCTCCGCGCATTCGCTTATTTTAATCTCATCGGGATGACGTTCTAACATACGTTCATACACACTTTGATGTGCTGTCGGTGATTGAAATATATTGTTTAATTTAGTTCGAGATACTAGAAAAGAGGAAAAGAAGAAGTTCTCGATTGTTCATTTTAGTTCGAAGAGAAAAGGTCGAGAAAAGAATGAATGTCACTACGATAGACCGGAACATATTTGTTTATGAGAACTCTACAGACCGAAACAGGTGCCTTGGCCATGTCCTATCATAGCCCGAAACAAACGTTCTGACAATGTGCATACCTAAACTATGACAATATATCAAGTCAGACAATGGCAAGGTAAGTTTAGCTATGTTTTCCTTCTCTTCTATCTTGATACATTTTGATAATGGATAAGGCGTAGAATGAGTGGATTATTTTGACTAGAAATGCGTTGTACTAACCATCCTGTTCGACTTGAAACCATTTTTCGAAAACAATCTCGTCACACAATAAATTCATACAATTGGGAAGATAATTTGGATAATTGATATCATCTTGAAAGATTCGTTGTGAAAATATGAGAATTTCTTCGATATAATGCGTGAATAAAGGTGTATCAATCAATATCGATGTTATTTGACTATCAAGTTTAACAATTACCAATTCAATCAAACCACGAATGAATTCAACCTATTGATGATTGAAAACGGTACTAAATACAGTTCAGTTCGTTAGTTTTACTTTGGCATTCCATGGAGGAATTTCAGTTAATTCTTCAAGTAACGGTTGTAATTGTTCAGTAAGAAAATAATCGTGATCAAGAATCCAACTAATAATCTGATTGAGATACCATTCAGGCTGAAAATGAAAGTCTTATTCAACAGACGGTTAACTGACCAATTTTACCTTTCGGCGGTCATTTGTTTTCTGTTTGCCGTAAAAATGATAATTAAAACGACTGATTAAACCTGAAAGTAATATTTGAATAAAGAGTGGGATTGGTTTCCAGCCGATGAATCGTAAGCGTGATTGAACATCGACATGTTTCACGTGTTCAGGTAAATGCATTTTCAATAGATAAGATAGTTCTTCTTTCAATTGATTGCGATTAGCATCCAATAGTTCGCTTAAGTGACTGTCAGACATTTTTTGAACGTAGGGAAATTCGATTTTGTTTAGAATGTCCTCCATGCGTCTACAGACGAGAATAAAACGAACTGATTTTTGAAGAAAGAGGATCTTACGAAGCAAGAACAGTTTTCAATCGATTATACCAATAGAGTGTCAGATTTGCACTGTAAGAACGTAAGTGTTCAGTTGATGTGTCACGGACTAGTTCCGTAAGATTTGCTATTTGAGAATAGATGGATAACGATTCGTTGAGGGATCCTTCCGAAAGGAATTTCTCGAGTGCAGAACTGCAATTAAACAAAGAATTTTCAAAGATTGTCCTATTCCAGTTTTCTGTGTAATACCTTTGTTTTAGAAGTGTTTCAAGACAACGTAGATAATCGATAACTCTAGTTGTGCTATTTAAGCGCTTCACTGTTGTACGAAAGTCTTGTGCAATGACTTCTGCTTTATCTTCATGTGATTTCATTGCGATAGTTAATTTACGTTCTTGATTTCGCAGTTGCTCGTGCTGTTCGAGTAGATTATTCGCCATTGCGATTCCATTTTGTAACTGAGAGACTAACGAACGTTTTTCTTTCGTTGTCGTCGAGATTAGATTGAACTAGATGATCAAAAACAGAAAAGCGATAGGAGACACGCTTTTTTTTTTCGTCAGTAATTTACTTGAGCTTCAAGTGTCTGTCTTTCCTGATCTGCGTGTGTCAATAGATTCGAGAGAAGATTATCGACACTATCATCATCTGATGTTTCATTGCTGATCGTGTCCGAATACTGTTCTATTTGCGACCAAAAGCCCGACATTTTTCTAATATAGACAATTTAGTTGTAACATAAAGGCAAATAATCTATAAACAGAAGAAAATCATCCAAGTGGTAGGAATTATTTCCTTAGACGGGATTATTGTCTAATCAACATGAAAAGAACTCCAGTGTCTGCTTCGCAACTTGATTCTTTCGCCTGTAAACCATGGAAGATATTAAAATATAAAGAGGAAAACGCCTTGCGGACATTTATTGCAAATTTATTACTAAGACAAAGATTTGTGCTCTCAGATCATGTCAAAGAAATGTTGAGATACTATTTGCTGAATGCCACCATTCTCATTCTATTGGATAGTGGTAAAATTTTTCGAGAAATAAGAACCGAGAGAGTAATTTCAATGTTTTCTCTGATGAAAATCGTCTTTTTTCAATACTTTTCTGCTGCTTGAATCTGATTGGTTGAAAATTGCATCCTATGATGACATTATTTTTCTGAGGAGGATTTTCATCATAATCTTCATTGACAATGGTGTTTTGTCGGCTGATGTTTCACTGATTGTTTGATAATCAGAAAACGGAGTAATGTCAAAATGCAAACAAGTTTATTTCTTCTAGATATTCTATCGTTCTGGTATACGGATCATTACATGTGATCAGTTATTCTCTCAATTGAAACATTTCGTGTGGGCGGGTTTGCCTATTTTTTTTCTCCTGCTATTCGAGTTACTTTGATTTCAATTCATTGAGCGAATTGTCTATAGCACGTGGGAACATTCCTTTTATTTATTATGTCAATTCAACACATGTAAGTAGAACGGAACAGAAGATTTGGTATATGCGTTCTTTTGATTTATGCGTTCTATTTTTTACCTACTTGATCAACCACGAAAAAATAAACATGCTCGTTTATCCATCATAATTTATCACGCGTCGGTGCATTTGTGCAACTCGCGTTCCTTTTCCTTTACCTGTCTTCTATGTAGAAAACTTTCATTTTCTTACTAATCTTGTTTATTTATCTTTATCTTGCTTACAATAGATCAGTTAATTAAATATCAATGCTATGGACGACATCGAATTGACAAATTCACCAACAACTGGAAAGGCTCTTTCAGCAGTGTTGAACAATCATCGTCAACGAGTCGATTCAGCATCTGCTATTCAACAATCCGACGTGTCATCATCACGACCAGCATTACTTGCACAAGATGCGCTGGGTCCACTCCTTTTTGAGGTATATAATCAGTTTTTTTTCTTTCTTTCCCTCTCATAATAATAATCATTATCAGTTAAGCTCAAGTCTTTAGCTTGAGTCGAGTTCAGCTCGAGCTTAGCAGAAAAAGAAGGAAAAATTAAAAAAACTTCAGCAACGTAGTCTCGAGATGAATGGATGTAACTAGTTTTTCCTTTCTTTTACTGATGTTGATAATATTTACGCGTTGAACGGATGACAACGATGAAAAATTTATTACACACACTAACGCATATGCGTGTATTTGAAAGAACACTATATAAATGAAATAACACGACAAAGAAAAGGCATTTACAGACGCTACATAAGTTCTTACATTTTCTTTTTTCTTTCTGTCGTTTCAAAGCAGCGCTCCTAACCACCGTGTGCGTGTGTGGGCTCTCCGTTTTCATCAATGACGTACACGTCTCACAGTTACTTGCGCATTTTTTCTTCTTCACTGATAACGATGATTACGGGATTGTTTGTAAAAACAGGATGTAAAAAAGTCTTTAGATCTTTTTCTTGTCTGCCAGCTTGCTTGTCTGTAGTATAAATTAAGTCATGGGTATAAATGAACCGAATCTATTAACAAATATCGAAGCAGACATTCAATTGGTAAAGAAACGAATTCAAACGACGAGAATTTTGAAAGCATCGATATAATCTGTTTTTCTTGTTGTTGTTTCATTCTAGGCGCTCGATGGATTCTTCTTTACCATAAATCACAATTTCGAATTCGATTCCGTCAGTGATAACGTTGGACAATATTTAAAATATTCTCAAGTAAGAACGAGACTTGCGTCTCTTCTAAAGAGAAAAAAAGACTATTATTCTGACTAATTTATTCTTTTCAAGGAGGAACTTGCCGGAAGAAGTTTATACCACTGTGTACATCCGAGTGATGTTGATGAATTTAGTAAAGCTTGGGCAAAAAAAGACGCCGGTACGTTAATCTATTTATACTTAGTTTCATTAGACGTGTTTTTTCTCAGGTGATTCTTTGACTACAACAAGTAATAATGATCAATCACGTGGGAGAACATTCTACTGTCGAATGCGAACAAATGATGGTGAGTAGCAAAACAGATCGATCATTGTTCAGATCTACGTTTCTTGTTTGTTTGTTTTTTTTTTAAATTAGAAACGACACCGTATGTTCGCATGATCGTTTCCGTAGCAGTTCATCGTGATTCAGCTGGTAGCGAGAAAACTTTTCTGATCTGCATTGCTCGACGTCCATCGTTAAATGATTCAAAAGATAAACCATCGTTGCTTGGTTTTGACCAGTTTTCCTCGCGAATTAATCTAAATTATGACATTGAGAATTTAGATTCCAGGTAAGATATTTCCGAAAAAAAAACACATCCACTAACATTGTTTTCTTTCTAGTCATATGAAATGCGAAACAATTGATATGAATTTTGTCGGAAAGAATTTCCGAGACTATGTTTATGCTACTGACATTCCAACAATCGAACGGCACTTTCAAGAAGGTAAATATAATCTGCGCTCTAGTTGAAGTTGTATAATTTTACTCGGCATGAATGATCATCGCGCTTCGAATCGTGCAATTATTCTGTTATTGTATTTGTGCAAGATATGAATGGGTTTACTTTCGTTTTAGCTATTGAAAAAGGTGAAGGAAAAAGTAGTGTTTATCGCTTCTGCCTTCATGATGATATTTATGCATTTATCAATACTCGAAGTAAATTATTTCACAACTCTACAACTAATCAATCCGATGCTATCCTTTCCACACATACGATCATTCGGTAATGAAAGAGAGAATGTCTATCCGTTGATCTGTAATGTCATTCTATTCGATTTAGTTTGATTGAGAATGCTCAAGATCTAAATGGAAATGCCCCAGCACGTTTGATGAAGTCGATTATTACTTCGAATCGAGATTTACAGCGAAGTAAACAATCACAGCAACAGCCGCAACAACAACAACAACAAACGCCGAGTAAGGTTGTAAATACATCTCCAACAACACCTATCGGTACCCAATTTGCTCTGACAATGTTGGGAATGCACAAGAATGCACCTAATTCATTACAACAACATGTATCCAGTACATTAGGAACACTGATTCAAGTTCAACACTCACTTTCCGTACCGGCTACATCTAGTCCGAATGATCGAATGCAAACTCAACTTTTGTCGTCATCTCCTTCAGCCTCGCCAACACAAAATCGATTAGTTGCTCAAAAATCTTCTACACTCGATAGTAAATGCTCATTTTTACCTTTCGAAGATCTTCTAAGCATTCTTTCATAGGTGTGTCATCATCCGATACCGTTGAATTCGGCAGTAAACGAACACCATTCAGTCCTTCATTAGGCTCTGGTAATATTCTTCGACCAAATCATTTTCTCTTCTGACTTCTTTCTTGTCTTTATAGTACATTCCAATCATGGAAGTCTTTCTTCGCCAGTTAACTCGTTCGATTTATTTTTTTCGTCCCCTGCTCCCGTGCCAGTCAATGGCAATGATTTGAATTCTCTTCTTCCCTCGCCAACAAACGCCAAACCAATGTCACCTCTGTTCTCTAATTCTGATATTTACACAACAGCATCGAGCCCCAAGTCGACTCAGTCGACCGGCCGACATCCCGCTCGAAGTTCCAAACGTTTGCGACAATTGTTAAGCAATAAATCTCCTCAAACGAATGAAAACACGATGACAACTTTACACTATCTTCCCGATGCGAAACTAGAAGATCTTATTCAAGGATCCGAAAGTCCAACGAGTACGCGTCTATCGCCAACATCAAATCGACGTCGACGAAAGCCAAGTGTCAATCAGAATAATAATAGCACCGCTGATTTGTTACTGAAAAAACTCCTTCGACGACAGAATTCCACGTCAGCATCGCCAACTCGAGCTGATTCGAACCATAGTGATGATAGTTCATCAAGTACTTCTACATCAAACAAACAACGAAGCGATACTTTCCTCCGAGTAAGTCAATCAACTTCATTGTCGTAGATATTTACAACTGTTCTCTGTAGACATTACTTAATGATGATATTCGCCCACAAAAAGTCGTTGTCGAGGCTCCGTTTACCGTTGGTTCACGGAGCAAATCTGTCCGACATTCATCGGATGGTACAAACATCCTTGTTGAGAATAATAAACCGATTAGCAACAACGCTCGCGCAACGTTAAAAACTCAAGTATCGTTGCACATCAATCCTAACGAAGATCACTGGAAAAACAAGGGAAAATTGAAAAAAACAAGACAACATTCCAATAACTTTGATAACCAAAACAATCCTCAACCGAAAAAACCAGGCAGACCGAAACGAGATGTAAGAAAATAGTTCATCAAATCACGAATTAAATATGCTATACATACTTCTCTTGGTTTTTAGCCATCGGATTATCTTTTGGGAACGCTTAATTGTCAAACGCCACAATCCGTTTTCTCTGATGCTTCGCTTGATGCTTTGCTCGATTCTTCGGCTAACTTAGAGCAGCCCTCGCCTACCGTACTTCGTCGTACGACACGACAAATATCAGGCGCGAATAATTCAACAACAATAAATCTAAAACGTCCATTTGATAATGATGAATATTTACAGAATTCTCAAAAACAACAAAAAATTGGCCAACAAATGCTCAAAACTGATGTGAAAATTGAATATCAAGATCGTTCGACCAGTTCACCGTCGAGTGCAGTGACTGCAACAAGACAGCTCAGTCAGGTTAGTACTTTTAAATAACCGTGAATTTCTATTCCTTTCTCTGTTTCTCTCTCTCATTTTGAAATCTATACTGACTCATCCATTCTAGCCACTTCAACAAACGATCAAAGCTGAACCTGAAATCTGTGATCCAAGCGTTTTATTTAATAAAACTGCTCCAATGTCTCAGTCTCAAGCTCGTCGACCGAATCCAACTTCGTATTCTGCCAATTCACAATCAACTTTACTACGTACATTGATCGGTACTCCACAAACATCATCAACAATGAGAAAAGATGCACCTTTGTATGATCTGTTGCAAAATTTTGATAATCCATCAAATACAATGACAACAACCAGGTCATCATCGAATGATACTTCATTATTTCCGGAAATAAATAGTTCCATTGACCCACTCGAACAATATCTAACGCCAGTATTATCTCAAACACCAACCAAATCGAATGCTTTATCAAAAGATGATTACTTAGCGGCTCTGTTAAGCTCAGATCCACAAAAACCGAACGAAATTTCGTTTATACCCACAGCTAAACAACAAACAACAACAACGGCAACGACAAATGAGAATAATCGTATATCAGCAATTGCTAATGATTTGTTAAACTCAACCACCAATGCCACAACGGCTAATTCTAATGATGATTTTCTCACATTACTGGATAATAGAGATTTTCTCGAGTGTTTAAATGAGTCAACAACGATTGATTCAATTTTGTTACAAAATTCGACCAATGTCTTGGATCAAACAAGTCTCTTAACAAAACGTTCTGAAAAAGATGAGAAAGCGATTAGTGAAATCTACAATTCTCTAGTCACTTCATTCAATCCCGGTATGTAAAAAAAGGCTAATCCGATATGTACGTAAAAACGACTTATTTAATCACATTTCTAGGTCTACCTCAGCAATCACCATCAACCAATGTACCGTTAACAGACAATAATCTATTCAGTAAGACTATATTCACGAGAAAAACATCTTTAACTGTCTCTTTTTGTTTCAGACTCTCTTACCGGTGATTTTTTCCATGCGGAAACACCAAATCGAACAGTGAATCCCGAAGCACCACTCCCTCCCATGTATCGTCAACATTCAACTAATATTCCACCACAAGCACAACCATCAGCGACATATGCCTATCCACTAAACGTAATCCTTCGATTTCTATCAATCTCGTTCAACGTTGCATTTTGATTTTAGAATCCTCAGTTCTCCGACTGTCTTTCAGTGGATCTCCTCGATAACAATGATTCATTTCCTCCAAATGTGACTCTATCGCCGATGAATACCAATTATCCAACACAAAACAACAATTCGATGATGATGTATCCACACCAACAACAACAACAACCGCCACCACCATCACTATCTCATATCCAGCAAAATCGACAACCGCCCAATGTTCTCTATCGTCAAGCATCGCAACAGCAACAGCAACAGCAACCAATGTATAATAATTACGTTCAATCTGCGCCAAATCAAGTTGCACCTGGCTATTATAGTATGCCACCAGCAGCACCACAATCAGTGCCACAGCAACGAATGTCACCTGCTACTCATGTGTCTCCCCAGATGGCGAAGCGACAAGCATTACTTCATCATCATCAGCAACAGCAACAACAAAGAAGTTCAACGCCAGTGAATCAACAACAGCTACAATTACATATGTCTATGAATGTTACTTTGCCACACGTAAGAAACAAATGCGGACCTTTGTTTCCATTCAATTCACATTTCTTCTGTCGTTTCACTTTTAGATGGCACCAAATCAGCAGCAGCAGCAGCAGCAGCAACAACAACAACAACAACAGCAACTAACACATCGATGTATGTTTGTCAATACCGAACATTTTCTCCTCATTCGAATCTTCTTCATTTTAGCAATGAGTAATTCATACAGTGACATGATGATGCCAAATAACAATGGTCCACCATTACAACAAGACTTCCACCAATATCCGAACAATAATCCAGCCGATATGCTCTATAGCTCTGATCCGTTTATGCCACCAGCAACGAATATGGGACAACAGCAGCCAGTACCAAATCGTCATACAAATGTGATGCAATATCAACAGTCACCGTTACAGCCACCACCGCAGTCATCTTCTCATCCACAGAACCAAATGCACCAGGTAAAGTTCGTTAAAACTCTATAATAGGCTTAGCATTGCTAGGGAGATACAGTTTTATTTAACATTATTATGCTTACAGTATGACCTGTTGCTCTTTTTACAATGAATACTGACTGAAACAGACGTTTTTGAGAACATTAGCATTCTAACTAAAATACGCATTCGTATTTAGTTTGTCTATTGACTTGATTCTTCATATTAGCCTCACGACGCTTAAGAGAAAAGCACTCTGGCTTTGCGTTCTTTATTCACAACTAATCATCGATTACAGGTTATCATGCACTTGTAGCAGAGATAAGAAGCAACCTTTCTCTAAGCAAAATCTCTAAAGAACTCACTTATATAGAGAAAAAGAGGTTGATGATTGTGTATAATTCATTAACGATCATGGTGAGAAAGCCAGTACAAAAATGTTTCATGTCACTACGCGTACAAGTGAAACTCGTCTTGAAATCCAATCTTTGGACTTGACAAGTCGAACCACGGAAAGTATTATCCACTTGAACTTTACTTTTTGTTAAATAGTACAAAGATAAAAGAATCTCGTAGTGTTTATTGTCATATCAAGTCACTGATAAAAATAGTACCCAACGAAAATAAATGAGGACTAGAGTGTCCTTTTTTCTTAGTACATTTCACGTTTTTTACACAATAAACATGATTTTTCCGCGAGATTTCCTACGTGACCACGTTTGTCTACATGTAATAAATGGAATGTGACAATTTTCAATCCATTCGGTTGATTAGTTTTCCATATGCAAACAATCGTTCGAAACCGCCTATTTCTACATCAAACATTGCGCGCATTCATGGCTTTCTGATCTTAAAAGTACATTAGATGGAAGAATTTCCGGCAAATCTTCGATGTCAACGTATAAGCTTTCACAAACGACTTTCTTACGATGAAACTTTCTGAAGAAAAAACCTTTCTCTCTTACCTTCGATTGCCGTTAAGTCAGATCATTGCTTGTCAAGGACTAAATTGATTAAATATATCGAGCGATCTAGAAAAAAAAAAGTATACTTATCAAACGTTTTCAAACACCGAACAGTACTTTACATTTTATTCTTAGCTCGTAATCCTCTCCTAAGAGTAAACCGTCTACTTATCTCACGTATATCATACTTCGTTCCTTTTCTCTCTGTCTTTCTCTCGCGCTCTGCTATCTAAAGACAGATCGACAAACAATGCTGTTGATTCATGACATAGTGACGATGTTTGAAAAAACAGAAGTACACTTTGTATATTTATAGATCATCGGAAAGGAAAAGAGATGAATGAATCAGTCCTCTTCTGATTCGAAAAAAAAATCTATGGATCATTTCAACTCTGAATTTCTTTTTACTATGTGCTAGAAGAACAACGACTGGGGGAAAATTTGTGTCCTACATTTCAATATTTATCGCGCTTTCAGATGGCAACCTTACAGATAAGATGACGAAGAGTATTGACCTTGAAGAAATTCATAGGACACAATAATTGACAAGGATGAAAATCAAAATGTCCTTCTAACGTAATTTAATATTGTATATAAGTAGTTAAAGTGGAAGCAGATTTCATTATGGTGCTAATCAAAGCTGCAGGGGCGAATTCCTCATTGCTTTTGTCGTTGAGTGGAACATATCTAGCAAAAAAATTACCTGAATGGAAGATTTCGTCTGCCTATAGATTATGCAATAATAAATATTCAATGTTAGTTCATCCTATTCGAGTTGGATACACAAAGTAAGATGAGAGAATGAAAGAAGTACAGAGGTCAAGGTACTTGTTGAACGAGGAGAAGAAGAAGAAGAGAATCCGGATTAATCAATTGCATATGTAATCTTTTTTTACTACTATCGTTGTTGATAGTTGTCAGAAGTAAATATGCGCTGTAATCATAGGAATATAGTATGATAAAAACCTTGAATTAATAATTAAAAAAAGAAGAAGCTACTCATCTGCACGGAAAGAAGTTTGATCAGATGAATACAAGAAAATAGGCCGTTCAGTAGTTCTCCCTTCTAATTTCTTTCTTTCCTCCTTCCTGCTTATACAATAATTGTAAACATGAGCGAGATTGAGTAACTGACACAAGAATATTAAAAAAAGAAGGAGAAAGAAAATGAGAAGCACTATCCGCATTGAATGGCGGATGTCCTCGAATTTCTATTCTCTTCACTCTCTCTCTCTCTCTTTCTCTAGTGTGCGCATGTATGGATGAATGTATATATGTGCGCTTCTAAGTTCAAGGCGATAGTTCTTCTCTTCTCCCTCTTTTTGCTTCGTATTACATATTGGACAAGAAGACCTTGACACTACTCGGAGCAATATATAGCACAAATTAGTTCATGTAATGAGAGAAGAGAAAGAGAAAGAGAGGCAACGACATGATTTTCTTCTAACTTCTATATTGGAGTTACATACAATGAGATCAGAATTGACTAAAGCTGAGAGGTACGAAAGAAATATTCATAAAAATTGCTTCATTGCTTTCTTTTTTGTTTTAGTCATATTCTAATATGAGTGTGGCTTTATCGGCAACTATCCAGCAGAATCCACACAGTAAGTTAAACCTGATCAACCATCGAGTTTGAATTCATTTTATCTTGTGTAGATTCGAACAATATGATGAATCCGTCACTGCCTAATTTAACTGCATCGGAATGTCGACAGTCGGAAGAGCTGAATAATCAAATGATGAATTGTTTAAGGTATGAGCGAACTTCTTTCGAATGGTCAAGAAAACAAGTTATTATCTTTGAAATAGTTTTCAACCATCTCGATATACAAGTGAGTTTGTGCGTAAACAATTGCAAAATACAATTCATGGAAGACAAAAGCCAACAGGTGGAAAGGATATTTCAGCACATAATTCTCTCTCAGCAAATCTTGAATCCAGTAAGTTTTATATCGGCTTGAACTGAGGATGACGAAAATAACTACTTTTAATAGATCAAAAAGGAGCCTATTTTCGAAACCAATTAGCGTCTCAAATGTCAACACCTCCGTTGCAGACAAATCTTAGACAACCAGGCCAACAGCAACATCAAGGCAAAGCAACATGATTCGTTTTGTTGGGACATTGTCATATTGAATTTGCTTTTCATACTATGTATGGGAAAAGTCGCGATGAGATTCGAGAAAAAGAACGAGCAAGATCAGGCAAAAAGCGTTTTCTTCTTTTGTGTGTTTTTATTTTGTCTTTGGTTTCTTTTAGCTATTGTTCGTATTCTTTGTTCTTCTTCTTCTTCTTCTTTTTTTGACAATTCATGTATCTTTGAGAAAAGAAAGGTGATGTTACCAGTCCGACTTGTGTAAAAAGAACGTGTGTACGTGTATGTATATGTGAAAACAAGCAGAACTATTCTCTTTTTTTTGGTTTCGTCTAATTTTTAAATACAATTTTTAGTGAATACGATTGCAGATTGAACTCGTTTAGTTTTGATCCCCTTTCGAAAGAAATATTCCATACTTTTCTGACATCTGTCAAACTAAACCAATCAAACAGACTCAATAGGTCTTGTATGCAGAAATATATTAAACTCTTTGCATGGTTCTAAATTAGGAGTTTTCCGCGAAGGAAAAACATGTCCGTGCTTTCTATAAATATTTTCTCCAATGAAGTTGCCGACTGAAACGAACACAGAGATATGACTAAAGGTGACGAGTACTCTTTTCTTTTTCCTTTCTCATTAAACTAGTTGATTCATCTGCAGACGGTAGAACGAGTTTGAAATATTTTTGCAATTTCACTTAGTGCCCAGGGTATTTACCTAGCTTGCTATAGTCGTCTTCAAGCTCAAGACTGTTTTTGTCAATCATTCGAGGCATGCAACATTCATATGATGAATTGTATGAAAGAGATGAAAACTATCATTTATAACTGAAAAAGAAATACATCCATATGAGATTTACAAGATTTCATCATGAAAATTAACGTGTATCTATTATTTTCACGCCTTTTCCAGTCTTTTTGTTAATCCAATTGCGTATAATATAAAGTAATTCTTTGATTTGTTTCCACAGACAAATAACTAGAAGAAGAATTGTGATAGCACTAAATACAACGACGAGAACGATGAAAACAATGCCACCTGATGACAGCGTGCTTATCGTTTCAAAACAGATTTCAAAGCTTATGAATAACGGTGCGATGCGATAACTTGATTTTGTTAAATCAATAGTTAAATTCGTTTCATTGGTATTGAAATAATAAGCCCGAGTAAGTCCAGCAGGCGGAAAACTTGAATTTCTCATAAAGCACAGTCGCGGCTCACCGAGCGTAACTGGATCTTTCCACATGCGAATATCATTCGAAGATGTATTGAAAACATAAGCATAGAATGTCAGTGCGTTGAATGCTAACGTTGTATTACTGTTCACTGATAGTACTGTTTTATTTAGCGAGAAAAATGTTAAATAAATCGTTTGAGCAAGTGTAGACGATTGAATGAATGTCAAGAATACGTTTACATTCTGCGTCATCTCAGTAGAGCTGCCATTGTTCGAAGTGTTAAATTGTGGTTGAAAAATGAAATTGAGAAGTAACATACTATTGTTGTTTGGTACCTGAACATCGGATGTGAATCGTGCACGAGTACAATTACAACGAAAATCAGCTACGAATGGAGTCTGAATGCACATTTGTTCATTGTCGATGTCATAATCGATTGAATGAATGTGTGAGATGCTGAGAAAGAAGAGAAGGATAGATAATCGCATTTTTGTCTGAGGATGATATGATAGGAAGAGATGGGAATAGACGGGGTACATATACGAATGCTTCCGAGAAAAATCACCGAGCGTAACAAAAACACTCGATAAAGAGAAAAAAAGTACGATTTGATCGATGTTTTTTTTCATTAGAAGGAGAAAAACATAGGATATGTTTGCTCTTATCATAGAAATCAATGCGTGATTTTTCGTTTCAATGGTTTCTTATTCTCATCATGTTTTATTATGAAATACTGAAAAACTGTTCAAAATAAAAGCATTCACTAATATTCTCATATCATTACAGGAGAGAAAACGTAGATAATTCAACAATCTGAAGTTTGCCTTGCCGTTTGTTAACACCATATCCAATCAGGATGATCTGCTGGCCGGCATCTTTTCGGGCATTCCGGATGTTTATCAAGTGTACAATTCGGTCGACGACAACCGACGAAAAGAGTGGGTGATTGTTTTCGTATTGGGAAGGGTAAGGCATGAGTGAATCTTTTGCACAGAAAACTATCATATTCCAGAGTGATATCACGATGTATATTTGCGTATGGCCAGATATAATCTTCGAGGAACATTTGATCGCCTTTACCTGTATAGCAGCGAACGACATCGGGTGAAAGTAAATACTGACTAATATCTTTGACTAGCGAGCGTTCGCGGTGTGTTTTAATACCCCATAGACCTCCTAAGATTGGTACTGTATGTTCAGGATGATCGCGGATAATATGAATAGTGTGCTCTTGGGAATCCAGCCATGTCCGCACAATGGTTGTTTCGCGGTCAAGTATAGGAGAGTCGACATCGCGAGACATGTAGATATCAACAAATGGATCGACTATCGGAAGAAAACGTTGCATTTTTCCTGGTAACCATGATACGACATTTCCCAAGAAAGGAAGGTTTGTTGAATCGCACAGATCTACATTGGGATAGTATGTTTCGATTTGAAGAATTTCTTGTTGAGTTATATTCAAAGAAAAGTAGTAAACACGTACGATCCAATCGGGATATTTTTCTTTCGCTTCATCGAAATACTGAAATAGGTGCGTTTTCAAAACTGCTAATAAATCTTTATTATCTTGTTCTGACAGGTAAGCGGATACGCCAATGACATGTTGGTGTCGACCGCGAACTTTCGAACGTTGACTACATAGAGTTTGTTGATTTTCTTCGACCATTCGCGTTTCTGGATACAGAATTAACTGACGATCAGGACAAAAGAATAGACGTGTACAGTCATTTTTGGTTGTGCACCGAAGAAATTGAATGAATAAAAGAATTAACGTACAAACCAGTAAACAAACATATCGGTTAGGAGCAGGATGAAATGCAAAACGATAACGTCGAAATGATCTGATCATTTGTTAATCTACAATCAGAAACAGATCTCAATAGATTTTATTTCTTTTTTGAAAAATTAAAACGTCGTCTAAGATACATATTTCTATTTTCGTAAACTCGCTTCCAGTTTGCATTAAACTGTTCAAATATATTCATTTGTCTATTATAATGTATCGATGATGCACACGCATATGCATCGCGATCAGCTTCGCGAAAAAATTCTTCACAGTTGTCATCGGACCGATAACTTATCAAAATCCCTAAACGTTTTCGTTCGATACCAACATATTCAGGAATAATACCAGTAACATAAACATCGGATAGATGAAATGGTTGCTTATCTCGTAGGAATGTACAGAGAAGTTTCGAACGCGCATGACGATTGACTATATAACCGAAACCGCTCATGTATTCGGGATAAAGTCGACAAGGATACTCATCATATGTAACAATGTACCGCACACCTTCACGTATCGGATCGGTCGAACGGCGAACAGCTTTTCCATCGAGAATCGACACACCATAGATATTTGCTGATGTGCTCGATGCATCGCAATTCAATACTGTTTCATGAGTTTCATTGCATCCAAGGATTGCATTAATTACATTTCCTAATACGAATGTATTAAGGAAAATATCATCATCTGTTTTCACTGTTGTCAGTGCGTTGGGACAATATTTATCCGTCCAGTGTAAAATAGCCATGTCTCGATACGTCGATAAGATATAACTTTCTGGTAAATAAACTTGAACAATGTCATTATTTATCGATTGTTCAAGTTTGACACTCAATAAATGAGATTCATCGATATCAATGAGAAATAGAAGTTTAAAACGAAGATGAGAAAGTTGATCAACGGACTTCAATCGAGCAAAATCACCCCATGTACGACGAATTGCATTGCGAGAGTTAGCATTCTTTGATTTTGAAATCACAAAGATCAGAGCATCCACTGGTGAAGAACCACAAAAATTAGCATTGTCTATTTGATAATTGAAACCAGTGCGACGTGGTTTCTGTTGAAAGAGCTGTTCAGGACTAAAATTGTACGTATAGAGAAAATGTTTGTTTGTATTTTGACAACGCTGTCTGTGGATATAAGTTTGGTGGGTCTACAAAAAACGTCTACACTAAAAAGATGGTTACTACTTCAATTAACTCATCCTGTTGAAATTCTTGGAATCTCAATCGTACTTAGTTTTCGCATAAATCTGTTCTCATTCGTAGCACACAAGCAAGTTGAAGGTTAAGCTATTCGATACAACATATTCAAACTCTTGATGGCAGACGAAATATTATTGGTGGATGAGTTCATCGAATGTACTTCATTTTTCGTTCTTTCTCTTTTCGAGCACCTTTAAGTTTGAGTATTTCCTGCACGTCGCAAATGTATTAGCATTCCATATGTCATATATTCATATCCCAGGAACTACTCAAGTATAACTAACTGTTATATTTTACCTATTGTCTTCCATAAAATGTTTGCGAATGAGATCTTGGTCACAGTATTTAGGCAGACCTATATCTTCTTCAATAACATTCGTCCACCGTTGAATAAAAAATGTAATTGGGATAAACAGAACAAGTGAAAATAATACACTGAAACACACATGCAGAAATCGTCGTCGTTGACGCCATGTACATATATACATTTTCAGTTATGAATTGATCTACAATGATTGAATCATAACCATTTAGTTTGTATTCAATTATTAGAGCTCATCTTTTTTTATCGTTCTTGAAAATGAAGTGTATGTGTGCAAGATAAGATCTTAAATGTAGCTCTTAGAGCTTTCCGAAGCTCTTATAATCTGATGGAAAGTGCTGTTTATCATGAACCATGTGTTTCACAAGAATGTTCTGTATTTGGCGACGTCACATACTTTAAGCGACCTATAAACGCAATTTGCTGTACTATTGAGGTGTAAACTGTAAGAAGTTGAAAAGAAGCGAGTAATAGATTCGAATCAGGCATTTGAGAAAATCCTATTAGGTTGCTATTGCATATTTCTGACAGATTTCCAATTACCGATTCCTACTTTCTCAGAAAAATTAACGTCTCTTGAGAGCAAATCAGACACCAAGCATTTTTCTTGAATATATCATCGCTCAAAACGTTCTTATTCTCTCTTCACTAGACTCACTTTCACAGCAGTAATACATTAACAAAACGTTATCAATGATGATTAATGATATTTTGCGCTACGAAACGTACGGAGATACTTATTCTAATAAAAGTCGATCGTGCCTTCTACTCATTACTTCTGAAATAATCTAAAAGTTTATTGCCGAAATGTTTCTTACCGTTTAGTGTACAAACGGATATGAATAAAATCCGCAATTCATTTCCGATTGTCTCTCATGGTACGATTCTGGTTGTTCAAGACAGCGCTTCCGGAAATGAAGCAAAAGTCTTTTGAAACTATAAACAAAAAGGTTGAAACATCGCTGTTCTACTAGCAAACTAAAGAAATACCATACTTTTCATCGAATTTTTATTAAAATTATCAACTCAAGATCTATTTGAATATTTTCAGATAGTTGTTTTTACTTCTATGAAGAATATAGGTTGATGAAAGAGAACGACTTTTACGACAAAATGAAAGTACAATGAAAAATGCCTTTTTGCCTGTCTGTGCCACTACACAAAATTCCGGAAACAATCGTTGTTCGACACTGAAACGGGGAAAAGGCACGAGATTTTTACCACGAGTAACACTTTAGCGTGTGGTTATGTAAAAATATGCAACTGTTACAAATATTCGAATTATGGGTGGCAATTTACTTTTGGAAAGCAACTATTTCAGTTACAAGTTACTTCTATAAAGTAAACAAAGTAGCCAATAGTTACCAAAGTAAAGTAGTCAATAGTTACCAAAGGAAAGTAGCTAGAATGTTAGTTATAAAGAGAAGTGATTTTTACAGCAGCGAAAAACATAATTTATTTATGTATTGAATGTCGACGTTTCGACTCAAGTAGGCTCATTGTCTCGACAGAGAAAATATTTTAATCTTTGAACGTTATTGAAGATCAAACCACATCGACATTCAATACATAAATAAATAAATAAATAATGCTTTTCGCTGCTCTAAAATCACTTCTCTTTATTACTAAATTACTACCCGTAAATCATTGATCGTATAAAATGTTAGTTATTTCGAAAGAGTAACTATAATTATTCCGACCGGAAGAGAAGGTTCAGACACAAAATGACCGAGTCAGTATTTCGGAATAACTAATATTTGGGTTACTTTACAGAAGTAACTTGTGACTAAAGTAGTCACTTTAATTTAGTGAATTGTAACTATTTTAATTACTTGATTTAGATACCTTTTTGTAATGATAAAGTAAATATGCCGTCTCTAACTCGAATCTGAGAAGTACAAATAGCGTAGTGATAGTATCAACAAACCTTATATTATATATTTTCTTTTCCACATGAGTGACTAAGTCAGCAAAACATGTGACGAAAATTTTGCTCGGTAATGTAAGTAGAGTGCATCGCTACATATGAATATACTCAGCGCTTACGAAGGACAGTAATACAATAGTAGTACATATTTGATTTACACTGTGATTGTTATACACTGTTTCGTATGATTATCATGTAATATTTTATCTAACCTTTAGATCAACTGACGAACACATTAAATTTCTCCAATAACGATTATATGCAATAAAAACTTACATCACCCGTTGTTGGTGATAAAATGCAAAACGATCGATAGTCACGTGCTGAGAAATACAATCTCAAAACGTTGCTTTTACTTTGTATTGTATGACCGTTATGCATCACTAATGTTCATTGTTCTATCTTTGCTATAGCTGCATGACTTACATCCGTCATTCATAAGATTACAACCATAAAGTTAATATGAAATTGTACAGACTATATTTGATTCAACATAATTCTCTTAATGCGTAATTGTTAGTTAAAATTTCTTTCTTTCAGAGAGTGTAATCTATTTGACTCATTCCATAAGATTATCATCATCTTAACGGCGATTATCTTTTGTTGAAGATTTATCTCGCATATAGTATATCTCTGTTGACTCCGAGATATGTATTTAACATATGTGAAGAATCTTCGTGAAAAGCAAAAAAATTCCCAGTTCAGCTAGATGTCTCTAACATCGCATGATCCTCTAATTTACCCAGTGAAACTGAATATATAAATGGCGACTGTTACTCATAGCTGGGCATCATTTCCTTTTTTGTTTCACTATTGCAAAATACTTCATATTTGTTGTTATTTCATTATCAAAAGACAATCGTCTGTTTGCATTGTACAATGTCGAGTCGATCACGAAATAGACCTGAACATCAAACCGATTTGCGAATGATCGATCGCATGTACTCACTGAAAGTTGACAATTTAGCGTATCGCACTCGTGTGATTGATTTGAAACGATATTTCGAAAAATTTGGTCCTATCGGTGATATCTATGTACCTCGAGATCAATTTTCACATTCAAATCGAGGCTATGCTTTTGTTCGGTATGTATTTGACTCGTTTCCAACAAATTTCATGTTTCAAGCGAATTTCTTCCAAGGTTTCTTGAGAAACGTGACGCCGAGCGTGCGATCGATCGAATGGATCGTACTGATATCGATGGTCGAGAGATCCGTGTTCAACTAGCTCGCTACAATCGAGGTGCTGGTGGAAGTGGTCGCAATAAACTTCGCTCTCGCCGGTAAGGGTTTTTTTTTCAGATGAAACACACCCATACTCACATTCCGATAGAAACAAAAGAACTTTTTCGTAGAAATCATTCCCATTCGATTAGAATAAAGTTTGTCTCTCTTCATACAGGTGGTTTGCTGAACAAAGATCCTGTATTCAAAATATCGAGAATCTAGAAAAACATTCCTGGTCGATCCCGGTGTTTTTATCCGGCATTGCCGATTTGATTCATTCAACCTAAACAGAGCGAGATTGCAGCTATATTCCAGTTGTTCTAACAGATTCGATGTAAGATATACACGTTACCGTTGATGAAACAGTGTTTTCTTTTCAAATAACCAGTCTGCATATAATTTACATCGGAAAAAAGTCTTTTTGCTGCCCGTTCGGTGAAGATGAGTTTGTATGATGGTTTTCATCTTAGATCACGATCTCGGTCAACATCTCGACGACGTTCAAGAGATCGATCACGTAGCAACAGTGCTGACAATGGTCGTAGCGATCGTCATAGGTAAATTGAACTGAATTGTATTCAACTTCGTTCTTGAGTTGATTTTGTAATTTAGTTCACGATCTCGTCCAACACGTCGCTCACGATCCAGATCACGGTAAGTGTTTTCACACAATCGACATTCAAGTCAACGATTCCGTTTTTTAGCTCTCCACGACACGAGCATTCAGAATCTGAGCAAGACGACAATCAACACGAAAAGAAATAAACGAACTCATGATCATTTGAAACTAATAAACACAAATTTTTGTTTCGTCTTTTTTTTCCTCGTATAGTTGTTCAACTATATACATGCATACATGCACTAATCATTCTGACTGATTCATAAATAAATCTAATTCCGATTTCAGATAGAACACTCTCTCAATGACAACGACAAACGCTGCTGATCAGGTGTGCTTCCACTTCGTCTATAAATATGTATAATCGCCAGTTTTGGATATTTAGCAAAAGAAGTGTCGAGAAGATGCTGACGCCGTGGAGAATTTTTCCAAACGATACTATGACATATTTGATACTCAGCGACATGTAAGGGACATCTGTCAAGAACATTCGAAGTAATGACAAAGATTTCTTTTAGAACATTCACAAGTTTTATCAAGCACAAGCTAAATTAATTTGGAATGGAACGCCACATGATGGACGAGATGTCATTGCCAAACATCTTGTAGCATTACCTTCTACACGTCATCACATTTATGCGTTAGATTTCTTTCCCATGAAAGGTAAATAAATAATGTTGAGAAAGGCAAGGAATTGTCTTCTTCCTCTTCTCTATAGATTTATTTCCTAATGAAGAAACAACGTATCAAGTGTTTGTCAGTGGTGCAGTCACATATGGTGCAGCAGATAATCCATCAGGTCCAAAAGAAAAACGACTTTTCTCTCATATATTTGTGTTAACAGTCGATGTTGCTTCGTCTGTATGGGTGATTGCGAATGAATGTTTTCGTTTCCATGAATAAACTCGTGAGATATTTGTTAAATCTATTGTTGATCGTTGTTTTGTTTTATTAAACAAAAAATAAAATAATTATAGAAAAAAAAAGCAACAACATCTAAGAACATTAGTCTTTCTGTACAGCAAGTAATTTACTGATATCGCTTTCGATATCTTTAGCATCTTTGAATATAGTCCAACGCTCCTTGGGCACTCCTTCAAATGCTTTCTTGTACCGTTCTTCGCATGTTGGTAAACATGTTGGTGTGTGACACACATCACGAATGAAGATATAAACGATTGATTTAGGGTATTTCAGATACAATTTCGAGTAGATTTCTGGATCTAGTTCACCTGCAGAAATAAATCTAAAATGACGAATATATTGAAGGAATAGACAAACCTGAATCACCGACACAGATGTATTTTCGTAATGGATAAGAATCGAGAATTTCGGAAATTGTTTCAATTTTGTAAGTATCAGCTGGTTTGAAGAATTCTAAGCTCCATGAGAACTTTCTCAGGCTCATTGTACCCATTGGAAATTTGTATCTTTCCAAGAAACAACGAAGTGCAGGATATCTGCAATGAATTAGTTCGCATATTTCACATTCGTTTCCATTTTCTACTTACAGCTGCCATGGACTGGCACTAACATAATGAAATTGACATTTTTGATCGTGCCATTTTTGGTACAATTCGCTCATGCCTTCTACTGGTTTGAAATAACTGTAAAAGGTATGTTTCAATAACAATCGTTTACTGAGCACATTCGAGATCTTCACTGTATCATCAATATCTGATATAATACTAGTGCCATGTTGATGAAGAAGATAAATTGTACATGTGAACGTTTTATAATCATCAGTATTTTCCTTTATAGTCTCTTTCTCTTTCTCTTTCTCTTTCTCTTTCGCGACGTCAAGTTCCTTTGCTGGATTAAGTTGAATTTGGTATTCGAACTTTTTATCTTTAGAGCCTTCATGAGTTGTGCAACAAAGAGATTGAATTTCCTTATCGGAAAATTCAAGATCTTCTTCGATGAAACCACTTTCATCTGACGGTTTGAGAAGATGTTCAACGCCGTTGATAACCGATTTTGTGGCGATCTTAACTGAATTTCCAACGAAAAACAAACCTAAACGACCCGGACTTTCCTCTGGTTCACCGAACTCGTCTCCTAAAAACGACCAGAAATAATTCAAATTCCTAAGTAAAAAAACAGCTACGAACGTAAGGCATCTTCGTACATATCATCATCTGAATCGCTGTCACCATTATTTTTCTTTGTTTCATGGTTTTCTTCACTCGCTGCTGCAGCTGCTTCCTTTTTCTCTTTATCGACCTTTTCTTTGTCCTCTTTTGACGATTTATCAATTGAACGTTCATCTTCATTAAAAACAGTCTTCTTGCTTTTATCACCATTCGCTACATCCGTCGATTTGTCAGATTTTTCTTCATTCACTTGCTTTTCTTCACCTTCTTTCTTTTCACTTCCACTTAAAAAACTTGGCAGTGATGGAAGATAACTTGTGATTGACTTCGGTTGAAACGGGAGATAAACCCACGCTTTGATGTGTACTGACCAACGATGTCTATGTGTATCGTAGGTTGCTAACGTTGGAAATGGTACGATGAGTTCTTCATCAGCATAAACATGATCTGATGACCATTGTGCTATGTAATCTCTAGCTGAGGCAAGTGCAGTAACGTATTTTCGTATGTAAGAAGTCATTGAGTGTAAAGTGACATAGAAAAATACAGATATATTTTTATTTTACTAGGAGTAAGATGAAGCATGGAAGAAGAAGGAAAAAAACTAGGCGCGTCATTGTGCATGTGTCGTTTTTTTTTCTTTCTCTACGCAGCTATTCCTTGTTTTGGCAGCCAACAGAGAACATCAGATAAGAGTAACCAGAAAAAATGAACAGAGGGAGAGAGTAGACTATTGTGCGCAGATTTTCTACAAATCTGCTTTTATTTTAGGATATGAATAAATAGAAAAATGAATACAAAATTTTTTTATTGCCAAAGATCGTATACATGTCTCTCCAGAATGGAGATTTTTTCAAATGTCAACTGATGTTTATATACGGTTATTCATCAAAACCTTCAAGTGATAGCATTTTCAGGAAAATCGCCATCGGCGTTTGTTGTAAGCGACTGCGATCGAGATGATTCGAAATTTTGTTGGACAAATTACGTTTCCGAAGTATTGCATGACAGATGATCACTACAATATCAAAAAAAAAACGAGGAATGATCAGTTTTGCATGTAGACTAGAACAAACGAACCTAGAATAGGTAGCATAAGACCAAAAAGCAGCATGATTAATACGCCGACAAGACTTAATTTATAGTAGATGATGAAAATTAAGACAAAAGGAACGGCTTTGGTAAACGTATTCTTCGATCGAATGAGAAGACTAAGAATCAATGATAGACAGATGATAAAATCAACGAAATGTGTGATTCTAAATACGATATCGATTTTCTTGTTAATATTAGAAAATGAATGTAATTGTTCACTTACATAGTTAGGAAAAGGCAGACCGTTAGAAATATAATGTAATTCGTTTGATAGTAAAGTAAATTGCTAATGATTCGATTTTGTAGACGAGTTGTGTCTGTAAAATCGGGTACATTCCATGTTGCATCCAAGAGAAAATCGTTAAATGAACGAAACGTTGCAAAACGCGCGTCGTTCCATCTTGTTCGTTGGCTTCTCGTTGGATTCGATCGATTAGTAGAAGACACTGAAAAGAAAATTGGATTTTCCAAACTGACATAACTTCGAGTTTTTTTTTCAGGTCATTGATTACTTCGTGTTGTTTCATTTCTGTACATTGTCGTAGTTCTTTTCTGCCCGATCGGTGATGTCACGTCCTGTTTGGAAATGAATGACGTCTGATTATGTTCATATTTCGTACTATCATTTGACGGAGTGGACAGCACATCTTGTTCCGAAGGGAGCAGAGATGATAGTTTATCGGCTATAGAGTCAAGTGCCGTCTTCTGTACCACTTGAAAATGATGAAGTACATTGAAATAGGTTGATTCCAGTTTTAAAATCAACGACTAAATTTCCCAAAAAAAAGAATTTATTCTTAACTGGTTTCATATCTGGTACGACAATTTGACGTACATGTGCTTCGTCGCTCTGATTCGATGTTTTTCTAAGTTGAACAAACAAGTCGCTCGATTTTGCAATTAGATCAGTGGTGCTGTACAATACTACTTCACTAAATGGTGAAATCGAAAGCAATTTTTTGTCAATCTAATCATCGCACAAAACTCACAGGCGAGTCCAACCATATTTTCGTCGTTCATCTCGTGTCATAACTGCATATCGTTCGATTTCATTAGCTAAATTTCAAACAAATATGTATCGATATGAAGAAGTGAAACAGTACTATTTTCACGAATCTGGTCCGTGTTGGCAGTGATAGTTTTCGATAGTTGAGCAAATATTGGTTCCATCGTTCTGGATAAAAGCGTGAATCAAGTAATGAAATGACGCTGTTTTATACATTATCTCTCGCTACGAGATGTTTCACTTTCTTTACATATCTGCCACGTTTCGAAAGGTGTTTCGATAAGAACACTCTTTTGCATTTCGAACGTGGTATGAATATCACGTCTAGAGAAGATTCATTTCCGACGAATGAAAACATTCCAGTTAGTTTTTAATCAACCTCCTATGAAAATTTAACAAACAGTCGGTTGTGGCGCTCTTTTATCAAATAGTCTTTGAAATAATGTAACTTCGATCGAAATTGCTGTCCTATGGCAATCTTTCATTTGTCAACCAGGAGTTTTGCAGCTTCGTTCGGTTTATGTACAATTAAGAGCATAAAACTGGTGTGCGTGCGTGCCTTATTTTACCGTTGATGGTGCTTCATCCAGGATGATAAGAGTATCACATCACCACTATGCAATAATAGATTCGTATAAAATCCAAATATTTGATCGATATCTGATCACTAGTTTGTACACTTATGAGAATGTCGATAGCAATATATCCCACCAATCAAAAGCACCTTGATTTTATATGCCAGTTGTGTGAATCATATTTGTGTAATGTTTCGCATTCTTTTCTTTTCAGCATATAACTCTACTATACCTATTGACAAATGTAAATATTGACAGTAATGAAGAGAATATAAAAGCACGACGATAGAAAATCGCTACCTTCATTACATTTTACTCTCTAAACCAAAAACATGGCATCTTCATCAGAATCGACAGCAGCTGGTTTCGAACAAGCCGGAGAGAAACTTAATTCACCTGGTTTCGAACAAGCCGGAGAGAAACTTAATTCACCTGGTTTCGAACAATTCGGAGAGAAACTTAATTCACCTGGCTTTGAACAATTCGGAGAGAAACTTAATTCACCTGGCTTTGAACAATTCGGAGAGAAACTTAATTCCACTGATTTCGAACAATTCGGACAGAAACTTTATTCAACAGTTAGTCAAAATCAAAACGATCAAAATGTTTTTCTTTCACCAGCAAGTATTGCACTGGCTATGTCCATGTGTACAGTTGGTGCTCGACAAGAAACATTAAACCAGATGTTACATGCATTTCAAGCATCAACCGCAAATGAATTAATCCAAGCCGCTGAACAAGTTATGCAAGTCTTTAGTGCTGCTAGCCAAGATAAATTGGTTCAACTGAAATTAGCGAACCGTCTTTATGCACAAAAGGCATATAAACTTCAAGAAGATTATTTGAAACTTGTTCAAAGTTCATTTGCAGCTGATATTAAGTTAGCTGATTTTGCCAGTGAAGGTGCCGAAGTCGTTCGAACGATTAATGCCTGGGTGGAAGAACAAACAAACAAATTGATTAAAGACTTACTTTCACCAGATGACGTTAACTCCGATACGCGTTTGATCATTATCAATTGTATCTATTTCAAAGTCAGTTTTCAGCATCTCTTTTTGTTTTTATAAATTTGAATCTAATGTTGAACTATAGGGGACATGGGTTAAACAATTCGACGAACATAATACAATCAAACAAGCTGATTTCCACGAAGGAAAAAACAAAATTTCGAAAGTGAATTTAATGTATCAGAAAAACAAATATGCGTACACTGAAAACAAAGATCTACGCGTTCAAGTTGCTCATATGCCATACAAAAGCGAGAACAGAGACACTCAGTTTGTCTTTACAGTGATCTTACCAAACAAGGGTGTTTCTTTGTCGGATGTAGAAAGCCGATTAAAAGCCGAACCAGACTTGATGCGCAGTTTGTTGAGCCATACAGAATCAGCTATGGAAGAGCTTCTTTTATATTTACCGAAATTCAAAATGGAAGCCTCGTTCACATTGAACGATGTTCTGAAACAAATCGGTATGCAAAATGCATTTGATCCAAATAGTGCAGACTTCACTGGTATTGTCAGCGAAAGCGATGATGCAGCAGGTCTTTACATTAGCAAGGTAGACGGTTTCGTACCAACACGAATGATTTTCTATCGTCATATTTTAGGTGATTCACAAGGCATTTATTGATGTGAATGAAAAAGGTAAGTACATAAGTATTTGACATTATTATTGAGTTGCAGACGAAGTTGAGTTGTGCCAGATTAGGAAGGATAGAATTGATTTTAACATCCTTTGTTTTTCAAGGGTCGGTAGCAGCTGCCGCCACTGCCGTTGGCTATAAAAGAAAACGCCGCGCAGGACCTGAGCATTATCCAATAGAATTCAAAGTTGATCGTCCATTTCTATTCATGATTCGCGAATGTGTACAGAATCTAAATCTCTTCTCGGGAAGATTTCAAACACCTTGAGAAATTTCGTGCGATTGTTTTTATCTGAATAAAGTCTAATCTGGATGATAACGTTCATGCAGATCTGTTTTTCATTTTCTAATTTAATTAGGTTCAGAAGCTGCTGCCGCTACAGCAGTTATGATGCTGAAAGGTTGCGCAGTGCGCCGAGATCGGCAACCCACCGAATTCAAGGCTGACCGTCCGTTTTTATTCTTCGTACGAGAGATTAAAAAAAATCTTACTTTATTCACTGGCAAATTTTCAACATGTTCAAGTCTAAATTCATAATTTCCGCATTTTATTGCACATATTCAAGACATTTTCGAATAAAATCTTTTCAAAAACGGATTTTCTATCGAGATTTGAAGAATATCTATTTTAACCACCTTTCATAATTCCATTTAGGATCCGAAGCTGCTGCAGCAACAGCGGTGCTTATGGACCGCTGCTGCGCATCAGTCAAACCTGAACCGAAACCTGTTGAGTTCAAAGCTGATCGACCATTTCTCTTCTTCATTCGTGAAACTGAAGAAGACCTCAATATTTTTTCGGGAAGATTAGTTTCACCTCCATCAACAGCATAAATACTCCCACATTTTAATCCAGCTGACATTTCTATTTATCCGAGAATTATATTTGTATTTCGATCTTGTAGTTGATCTGTATGATTTAAAATAATATTTAAAATAACAACAAGGACAATCACAACGAAAAGAAGAATTCCGATTGCGATGAATTTCAATCTATTGAGCGTTTGATTTCGTCTGATTTCGTTTCGATAGTCCATCACACCGATTCCGAATGCTTGATTCTGATGTAAGAGTAGGTCACTTCGATTGAGAAGAACGTTCAATTTCTCATTACGTTGAAAACTCGAATTAATCGCTGTTTGAAGTTGTTGTTCAGTTTGATTTGCTAACTCGTGTAATTTACTCAATTCACTCTGACTGACTTCACTCTTCGTCGACGAATTCATGTTCAATGAAATGGCTCTTTCATCCATGATGATCACGTTCAAAAGAGTGAAAAGACTTATGAGATCGGAGAACTTTTCTTCAATAAGGAAATACGTTCGAAACACAATTCTACGAAAAAAACCGTCCATTCGTATTCAAAGAAAAAGTAAACAACATGAAAGACAAATGAGCGCAAGAAAATGAACTTCGATTTGTTTTTAATGAAATTTTCTCGACTAAATAAATCTAATAAAACGCGACGCGTTCCGATCCAAATTTCTCGTGAGACGTTTTAATCAAAGAACAGCACAGGCTGAGTCGCTTGTTTTCATCGTTTGTGTCACCGCAAGAAAAAAAGAACGAGAAGAAAGAGAGGTGCACTTAACGATGTAAACAGAAAATGTAAGAAAACAAAAATTTCACAATCATTCGCTTGTTTTTCTCTCAAAATGTATTTATTAATAATGTCTGCGTGTGTTAAGCTAAATGACAACAACATGAAGAAAAACACGAGTCATCCATACCATTAGAGTGAGGATATGTGTGTTCGAGAAAAAGATACGCTAATCGAAAAAGAACAACGACAATATCGACAAGACTAAAGAACAAAAACCGGCTGTGTCAAGAGGAATATTACAAGAAAAAAAACAACAGCATTCGCAGAGCGTTCGGATTTATTCAATGTCAAGTTTAGTACATCAAACAGTAGACGTCCTCGATTGCTATGAAGGGCGCGATGCTGCAATAACATTTACACTCTATTTTTGTTGTTTGCTAAGTGGATTTTATCCGCGAAAATCGAAATTTCACCGATCTTTACAACGAGTCTTCAAGCGCCTGGAAGATTGTCGTGTTGTTCTGCGTTTGTACGATGATTTGACAATCCTTCGAGATTTTTTCACGTATGAATTACGACCTGGAGTATGATTTACATGTATGATTTCTTCTTCATTTGAATTCAGCTCGTTTTTAGGAGCGAAATTGGTTCGTGCGAACATTAAAATGTTTACATTACATTGCATGGTTTTGTTATTATCCATCGGAGCACATCAGTTGGCTAGGCGAAATGAAAATGGTCGATATTGACAGTAAATTATGGGAGTTCTATACGAATTTCTTCTGGTCCATGGCATTATTGACATCTGCTCTCTGGAACGCGTACGTTGTTTTACAATACATAAGTCAAAAGAATTATCCGAAAGAAAAGGAAGAAGAAGAGTGAGTCGAAAGATCATTTGCCGCTTTGAGTTTCATTTTGCAAGTTTTTCAGGAAGAAATCGTTCATCCCATGGACTGCAGCTCGAAATGCAATGTTAGCCACTGTTCGTGATGGCACTGAATTCATGGTTGCTGTTAGTTATCTACCTCGAGGTTTTCTCTGGTCATCCACATTGACATATATTCAAATCGGCATGCTTGGCACTTGCTCAGCTTTCCTACGTCTCTATGCACTCTTCAAATTTCAAGAAGATCACTAATCCTTCACATCTCTTTTCTAACCTCTACTCCTTAAAAGTAAAGAAGTTATTCGACTTGTTTGTAAGACGCACTTTTTCTCAAAAAAAAAGTTTTAGTTTTCTATTCACTTTGTGATAGTTCTATTTTCTTGAATAAAAATCATTTACAAACAAAGAACACTTTGTTCTGGTCTCGTGCATCACTCAAATAGTTAGTATAAATGAACATCAGTCCACACATGCTCTCCTTTTCGCCGTTCGCTCGATAATTACAGGATTACGACAGAGCAGAGACTTAATATCATCTGATTGCACAAGCGTATTTTAAACAACAGACGACTTAACTGTGCTAATCACATTAAAAAAGGAAAAATTCAATAGCATTTATATTCGATACAAAAGAGGAAATCTTGCCATAGAAAACGACATGATGAAGATAGAATATTTATCTTTCATGTTGAGTTTGATTGTCTTGAGAACAAGAAATGATGTTGCCATAATTTTACATGATCGTGTCTTTGTTCGTTTTGGGGAATTTCTCTGGTCGAATGATTTCCCCAAACTTCTTCGTAGAGATGAGTTTTTTCATGTCTTGAATAATCGATCAATCATTCGATCACGGCAGTGTCATTCCCATAGTTAAACATCGTATGTACTACTATTTCCTCACTCTATCTCATCTCGTCTTTTTCCTGCTACTGTCATTATTGAATCTCATGATAATAGAATCATTCAGTCAACGAATCTCTTAGCAAGAGAGTCAGAGAAAGAGAAAATGTTCGTCATTCTAACACATCCAATGACATAGACGTTATCTACTCTTCTCGTTTCTTTTCTATTTCTCTTTAGTTACTGACATATTCAGTTATAGTTTCGATGGAGAGATCTTCTTCTGTCGTCCTACAAGTTGGCAAAAAAGAAAAGATTTTCTCTTTCGACAAGATGAAGAACGACAATGATTCTACTTGACATTTTCGATGACTTAATCGAACGATGCATATGGATGCTTGTTGCTCTTCTTAGCACGCTTCACGTCATTGTCTGTTTGCAATTGTAATCATTTGTTATTTTAGTCACGACATGATTCCGACAATCACACATTTCTGTGTGATTCTTTTGCAACTTTGTACAACAATTCGAACCCAAAACAATGTACCAGTGGGTAAGTCGATTTGACATGACGTTCTTCAATGGCAAATTCTGATTTTCGAAAAGGTTGGTTCCTTGATGAAACAGCGTCAAATGACACAAACGCAGAAACATTTGCCAAAGCCTTGGCAGCAGCAGTCAGCTTAACCGATCAGTTCACTTGGCCAGTTGATCAACTTAGTTTCCAATCAGTTTATGAAAACGTTACTGTATGTTATTCTCGGATATTTCTCTGATTTCATACTCCTTGTTTTTCAAAGGACACAAATGTTTACTCCGGTTTTCATCGTCGTGAGTTTCCGTTGATAATCATCGTCGTTGACTAAATTTCCTCTCGGTTTAGTTTGCAATCGATTAGAATCCGGTGCGATTGGTTCTATTTCGAGTATTGATCATCAGAAGACTCATCTGCTCGAATCATTTATGACTCGTTTACGTATCTCCATGGTTTCATTAAACTATTATAATTATAACAAACCAGACATGAATCCGCTGAACAAAATCTATCACTTAGCAATGAAAATTGACCTTTTGCCAGCTTTATCCGCGTTTATAAAACGTTATTCCGTTACGAAATTGTTCTATATCATTGAAGGCGAAGAAGCGTTCTCGCGTTTTCAAGCCATGATGGTCGCACAAGCACGAGATAAAAGCTATGACATCTTAGATATTCAAGTTCGACGTTTAACAGATACTAGTAATCCGAATCATACGAGAAATCTGCTACAAAGTGTGGAAATCAAAGATCGAGGCTCGAAAGAAGAACGCTACATTGTCTTGGATTTGAATTATATCAAAAGTTACATTAATCTACTGACACAAGTAAGAAGCGGAGAATTTTCATTGACTAAATCTGAGCTGTTCGAAACAATAACGAAGATTACAAGTGAAAATGTTGATTAGGGAAATTGTTTTATGACACCTCGCACTTTCTGTTGATAGACGACGCATGCAATTCACTAGGGAGGAATTGACAACAGAGAAAAATTAGTCGAATGATTAACTAAATATTGATTATTTAGATTCGGCATCATGGAATGACAACGCCTCATTACCATTATATTCTAATGAGTCTTGTAAGTTACATGTGAAATCAAAATAGTGGATAACGAATGATGTCGATTGGTTATTCTAGGAAGCTGATCGAATCGATATGAGCTTTTTTCGTTATGGTGGTGTTAATGTGACATACTTTCTTCCGAAATCCTCAAATCGAATGGATCCATCGATAAATCCTGCTACACAAGATCGATTTTCTCTGCCATCGGTAATTTCGACCTACGGTTTTCGAAGCACACAAAGAGGAAAAATTCTACTTCTAGTTCGAAAAGAAAGCTCTGGCTGATTCCTTGTCATTGTACATGCGAGCTTTGATGATGCTAGACGAAGATACACGGACTAAAATTATTCAGCCAGATAGTAATGATGAAAATTACGATCATTTAAAGATCAATTGTCGCGCAGCTGATAAACATTATCAACATGAAGATTTCAGTGAAAAATTAGCGACAATCATGCGATCGGTAATAACTCCAAACGAAGAATATTTTAAATAGGATATTGTTTATCTTTTTTAAGCTCTCCTTCGAAGGCTATACAGGTCAGATAACATTTAATGAGCGTGGTGAACGAGTTAATTATACACTACATGTTTATCAAGTCACAATGAACAAATTACCGAAAAATGTAAGCTAAGTCAGTTTAGTTTTGTGAACACTCGAAGCCGAAGTGTTGATTTCTAGGTCGGAAATTTTACTCATGATCAAATGGCGATGGATGATTTGAAAGTTTTCGAAGGCCGACAAGCACATGATTTTGACAAAGGACGGGAACGAATTATCACTACAATTATTGTTAGAACTTTATTCTGACCTCAAAAGACTAAACGAGTCAATGATCTATGTTTTCATTTAGGACGAACCATTCACGATGTTGAATCGAACAGTGCTTGGTAATATGACGGTTGCTGAAGCAGCCGATAAGTATTTTACTTTCGACCAATTGTATGGCTATTGCGTTGATTTGGCACGTTTAATCTGCGAAAAGAAACTTGAAATACGTTGTAAATTTCGCATTGTAAAAGATCATTCGTTTGGTAATAAGCCAGCCAGTGATCAACCATGGACGGGAATTATCGGAGAGTTAGTTCGACATGAAGCAGATCTTGCTGTTGCACCGCTGACGATCACAAGTGAACGAGAGAGTGTCGTCGATTTTAGCAAACCATGGATGAATCTGGGTATTAGTATACTGATAAGTAAACCAGAAAAGCAACCTCCCGGTAGGATTTGATATTATGTAGAAACGATTTGGTTTGAAAATGGTTTGTTAAAGGCGTGTTTTCGTTTATGGCTCCTCTGTCAAAAGAAATCTGGATGTGTGTAACATTTGCATATATTGGTGTTAGTGTTATTCTATTTCTCGTCTCACGATTCTCACCATACGAATGGAGTATCGAGGACGAAGTTACTCCGCAGCTATCGAATAAATTCTCAATCTTAAACACGTTATTCTTTGCCTTAGCTGCTTTCATGCAACAAGGCGTTGATTTCATACCCAGGTACATCGTCGAAATGTGCGAAATATATTTGTTTCTATCTAATTGACTATTCAGATCCATATCTGGCCGACTAGTTGCCAGTGTTTGGTGGTATTTTTCAATGATTCTTGTCTCGTCATACACTGCTAATTTAGGTAATGCTTCGTTCAATCTGATGAAATCTATAGAATATAGAATATTTCTAGCTGCTTTTCTCACCGTCGAACGTATGGTTACTCCAATCGAGAGTGTGGAAGATTTAGCTCGCCAGACTGAAATCAAGTATGGAGTCTTACGCGGTGGAGCTACCCAACATTTTTTCGATGTAAGATTTCTTTCTCATTCAACGCAAACAAGATCTATTATTCTAGAAATCTGACGTTAAAACTTATCAACGTATGTGGGCTTACATGCAACAGAGTGATGATGTGCTCGTATCTAGTAACGAAGAAGGTATCAATAAAGTCAGGTAAGAGAGAATGCTTTTGTTCTCACTCAATTCAGATCTGCATCCTTTTCCCAATAGAAAAAGTAAAGGAAAGTACGCGTTTTTACTCGAAGTAAGTATTCAGAATAATAGATGAACATTTGATTTGATTGTTCTTTTCAAATTCTCAGTCAACGAAAAATGAGTATACCAATGAACGTGCTCCATGTGATACAATGAAAATCGGCTCTAACCTCGATTCGAAAGGCTACGGTATCGCTACACCAGTTGGTTCAGAACTACGGTACCTCACAGTATTTCCTTCTATTGAATCTATATAATCTGATTTGTAGAGAGGCAATCAACATAGCTGTGCTAGAAATGAGCGAAGATGGTACGTTAAATAATCTCAAACGACAATGGTGGTACAACCAGTCGGAATGTCGTAGTAATGCGACGAAAGTATGTTTTTGAAACTGCATTGTTTTCCCATATTCTTCTCTTTGCTTTACAAAAGGAATCCAAACAGAGTAATGCACTTAATCTTGTTAATGTTGCCGGTATATTTTATATACTAATCGGCGGATTAGCATTGGCAATTACGATTGCGGTATTAGAGTTCTTCATCAAAGCAAATATTGAAGCAAAACAAACGAAGGTTAGAATATCGAAGAGATTTGCTATTTCTCATTAAAATATTTCTTTCAGCATAACTTTCTCGATGTTATGAAGAGAAATATGAGACTGAGGTGAGTTGTTTTTGAATGAGAACAACGAAAAATGATCCTGTCGATATTTCTAGTATTGCTGGTGTTGATCTCGAAGAGAAACCATCGGATATCTACATGTACAAATATCCTATACAAGAAAATTATCATGTAAATCAAACTTTCGCACACTGAAAATACATTTTGCGGTTTTCATTTAGAGTTCCGATCCATTATTCGATGACCACACTCGTGTCCAGAACAATAATCACATCAATGGAAACCAAAGTCAAGTTTAAGATCTACACATACTATTTCGTTCCAAACTTATCTTTTCTGTCTTTGTGCATATTTATTTAAAAAAAAACGAAATCAAAACTTCCGCCATCCGTATTTCGCATTCGCACAGTCAATAGAAGTTCATCTTACCATGATAAATGAACTTCATTTTGTCATACAATATTCCTTCTACTACACAGCTCACACGTGTAACCTTGAGGAAATGACAAGTAGCGAACATAATTATACATTTCTTATTCACATAGGTAATCATTCTGGTGAACGAAAGATTGTTGTGTCACAGTGCTAGTGATCCATTATTAATAGTCAAGAGGATTAGTTCTGAAACTTAAGCTTGTCTAATCGATAGAACGACACGAAAGATTAGAGGGAATTGAAATCTACTTTCTGTATAATCATGCAAATACAAGAATAGAACGACATTAACATACTATTAAACTTTCTAGTTAGTCATTCTATTGTTCTTCATGAGAAATGTTACGTGAATGTTGTGGATTGATTTCGATTATTTATTTCTTGTATGAGTAGATTTTCAAAACGAATTTGTCTTTAGGTTTCATCGATAAAGACGTATCACTCTGAAAGATATAAACAAAAAAATAAGATACAAAAGGATCGGAATAAGAAAAAAAAGCGCTTATGTATAGACACATTGCCTGTTCGGATGCTGAACATTTCGGAATTTCGGGAAATATCAAAGAAAGAAAACTAGATTCGAGTCGACAATTACAGAGGATTGGCATCATCAGATGACGTCTTCTGTTTTGTCAAAGTATCAATGTATTCAATCTGTGACAATGCGAGCACTTGTTGCATCAATGTTTCATCATCGCTGATCGGATCTAAATCGGAATGATTCACATGTAAGGAAAACAAATCTGTGCAATCCTTTACCAGAATTCGCCGATGGATCGCCTTCGTAATGAAATGGTAACGCAAACTCGCAGTTGGTCCGTTCTTCCAATTTGAGTGGCAAAGAATTTGTTGTTGAACTTTCTATGAGAAACATTCGATTGGAAATTGTCATTTGATAGTCTTGCGTTACCTTTGGTCATATATGATGCCGTTTCTGATGAGCTCGAAGCAGATGTCTATTGAATAGAAATCGAATGATTATCTATATCTTGTCTGAGTCGACATAGGCAAACTCATTTGACACGTTCTGTGATGAGATGACCTCTTTTCCTTTTCGATCAATGTTTAAACATACCGTTTGCTTATCTTTCGGCTGTCGATTTGTGTCACACAACCATTGTAAATACGATTCTCTGGCAATTTGTTGAATAAGTTCATCTTGTGTAGCTTCCCAATCAGTCGCAGCTAATTTGTCATCGAGCATCGTTCTTTCAATATGGCTGTCTTCTGATTGTTGCAGCGCTGTGACAATCAACGATTGTTGAGCATGCTATATATGCAATAGATACGAATACTTTGAAAAAATTGATTAAAATTTATTCATACTCCTGGTTCAAGATCAGGTAATCCAAGGCCATGACCAGCTGTTGGCCTCCAAGGGTCAACAATTGAATTGTAATGTACACCACAATGATAACTCAAACGAATCGGTTCATTATCAGTTTTATACATTCCATGAACAACATTTATGGGTTCTTGAAGAAGAAGTGTACGAATGAGAAATGAAAGTTAGAATCGAATAGTTACCTGTACTATACTCGTAGACTTCGATAGGACGGTTATATAATTCTGAAAGCGCAATGATTTCAATATGATTACCATGACAGTTTTGTCGTCGTTTTCTCGATACATAATGATCAAAGTCTTCAGTTATATATTCACAAAAGAAATCAGCATTTTTCACCTAAGAAAAACAAATCGTTTGTATGAAAATAAACGAAATCTCAATTATCTTACAATGTGATCCATGCAGTTTTGCCGTACTGTTGCGTGCATTTCTTCATCACCAAAGACCTGGTCAGCTAGAAGAAGAGATCTTTCAGCATATCGATTTTAATGTAATATTAGACTTACACACTGCACGAAATAGACACGCTCCATCTTCTTGAACCGGTTTGATAATCAAACCTTTTTTCTCTTTCAGATTTCTGGCAAATCGCATTTCCGTCTAAATAGATTCAAATGCATGTTTAGTCAATCTGAGCAGACAATGTACTTCATTGAGATTATTTCGGTCATATTTGACAGTTGTACTATGTTCATATTCATCTTCACTATTGTTCTGGTCAACTTCATTTGTAATTGGAATCGATGAAGTCGTAACATTGTTGTCGAGTAAATCTTCTTCATTCGATGAACTGTTATTCGAATTCGAAGATTGATTTCCTTCAGTCGAAGTACGTCTTCGTCTTGTTTGTCTGCTGAGTGTTTGTGACAATGCATGATGTTGATGATAATTATGCGACTTTCGTTTGGAGTTTGTTGAAATCGTCGGCGGTGATGATGTTGTTGTCATTGTCTGTGAGTTGTTCATTGCTACCGTAGCTGAGAGATCGTTCGTTGATTCATTTGAATCAACAACTGGATTTGGTTCATTAGAAAATTCATCATCTTGTGAAGGTCTTGTTCGATTCGATACAGTTGTTGGTTGTTGTTGATTTGTTGTCGAATCTTTATTGTTAGTCGACGGTTTTTTAGTAGATAAAACTGTCATATTTAAAGCTTGTGCATCAGAGATATACAATAGAATGATCTAGAAGACAGAATTACAGGAGAAAAAACAAAGTTTAGTTGACAATCGTGTTCTATGTAATGTAATCGACGACTGCTGTACGTACTACATATATTTGGATTTGTCTTCTTCATGCATCGATTCGCTGTTTGATTAGATTGTGATTTGAAAATGAAGAAAATCGTTCGAAAATTATTTTTCCTTTATTTTCTGTGAAGATTTGGTTTCATAAATGTAAATTTGCATGTTTTTGAAATATTTAGATGTCGCTAGATGTCAGAGAACGAACATTTTCAGTATTTTTTTCGTAAGAATTATTTCAAATATTTATGAAATACTGTCATTCGAGAATGGCGAAATTCGGTGTGAAAACCGATATTCCCATTTGTTCTTTCTTAGAGGATATCAAGTTAAGATCATGGTAGGAATAATTCTCTCTTTTCTCGTTCGTTCGCTCGCTCGTTTGAGCGCATAGAGATATATAGATAATTTTTTTTTTTGACAATTTCTTCTTTGGTTATTCATCTCATTCCGCATCTGCACTGATGTTATGCTTTATCGTTTTACTTCTCTTCAACTAATCGAATTATCTCTTATAACAATGAATTTATCATAATTGATATATCAAGTCGGTAAGTTAAACGTATATGTTACCGTATAGCATGTCTTCTTTGTATACTTATATGAGTAAACCCGAGTATTTGCCGATTCAATCATGTCTAACACGTAATATATACACACATACACATTTGCATAATAGTGATAAGCATCCACATAGTTCTCTCTTTCTCTTTTGAATATTATACACATACTTTTCAAACGGAATGTACATATGTATGTATAAATATGAAAGCGTGAAGCGTACACATATATGAATGAACTTGATACATTTATACGTATTATGTATATATTTATATTTATATTTATATAAACAGTTTTTTAATTGATGACGGTGACACGAAAGGAAGTCCAAGAAATGCTCTCATTCTTTGTCGTCATATATACATATATGTTCATGTATGTCACTTCATTATTTCCTTCTCCCCTGTTTACAGAAGAAGATGTCGAGACTCGAAATAAGAGAAACGAAGAACAGTCTGAATGTGTATGCGTATGTATGAATATATGTCTGTGACCTATCGGCATACTATGTATGCACGTAGCACATACTAACGCAAATGGGATCTTTTTATGCTACAGGCACAATCGTCCAACCAAGAAGAGAAGAATAAGAAAAGGATGGAGAGAAAGCACATCGTTCTTTGTTTATCGACAGACGCCGGTCGAAGCTGAGAAAGGATAGAGAAAGAAAATATCTGCTAGATATACGCCCCTTTATGCTCCTGTTCTGTCTATTGACGTTGGTATCAGATGCTGCCAATGCTGCCGCCTGTGTTGGCAGCAGCAGCGGCAGGAACATCAACAGTATATGAGCAGATCGAAGAAATCGGTAGGAGACAGCATGGATCTTCTCAATACTAATACAACTGTTATTTCACTCTTCATCACTTGTCATTGCCTCGGCATTCCTATTGATATTTCATCATTGTCCTCGTCTAATAATCGTGCTACACACGTGTGCAACGCTGCGAGATAACTATCGCCGCGTCGATCATTCTTATTTATCATCATTATTCTTACTATATTGCATTGCATCGCCCCCGAAAAAGGAAGACGACGACAACTACTGCTACTACGCTTTTGCTTCTCCTTCTTTTTTCTTCGATTACTTCGTGCGAGAAAAATCGGCGACAGTAATAACACAAACAACTAGTTGGTAGGTGCTTCATACATCTATTCGGTCGAGTTTTCTTTTGCATTCATTCATAACCTTCGCCTTCATCGCATTCTCACATACACATTGTCTGAAAACCCATGTCGACAAAGAGTATCTGCACGTCAAGGCATAAAATAAAAGAAGAAACAAAAGTACCGATCACGAATGAGCAAAGAAATAAATGATACCAGACAATAATAACGAAGATTGATTGTTTAGATTAAGCAAGTTTTAGTTCTTCCTTCTTCTTCTTCTTCTTTCAAACGAACATGAATTATCATCTTTTTGTCTAATCTGATTTCTAGAACATCTTGTTTATTTCTTTCGTCATGTTTTCATTTCTGAAGAAAAAGTAAGTGATTCAAACAACAACTCAAGAGCCGCACATATCTATCAAAAAACTCTTACTATTTCCTTTAGAAAAGTAAGAAAGCCCGATAGCAATCTGCAACAACAGCAGCAGCAACAACAACCACAACAACAACAACATCAAATTCCCATAATTAATGAAAACAAAGAAAATTTATTAACTCGAACTGTCAAACAACAGTATCATCGTGATAATGAATCAGGTGGTTTCGATTACTCATCATCTATCGTTTCACCCCAATCGATATCAAAAAAATCTTCCTGCTCGCCTTGTACATCATCACCTATCATACATGACAAAAATCTTTCAACATTTCGTGCAAATGCAGATCAAACATCGAAAATTCATATTGATGTTAGTCATAATTCATCAGATAAGCTTCTACTTATATGCAATTCAAGCGAATCAAGTCCACATTATTTAACAGATACAGTTTTGTCTAGTTTACCAGCACACAAAGTAAATATGCTTATTTTTTTATTCTCACTCGCATGTACAAATGTCAACTGGAGAATAAAAACACATATAACATTTGTTTAGACAAAAATCTCTTCTTCAGCTTCTTCTTCTTCTTGTTCTTCTTCGATAGAAAATCAGAAGGTGATTGGTGTTTTTAAAGGCTAAACTAATACATTAAACTATTATTTATGACTAACAAAGCGTGCTAAGTATCGGCGAGACAGATATTAATTAGAAGAACTGTAGACAAATCATTAGAAGAATTCTCGTTGACTTTCGTCTTTTCTTGCTTTTCCAGAGCTGCCATGCTAGTACTACGTTGGGTACAACGTCACCAAGTCAAATAGGTGCAAGTGATTTGAATCGAGTATTGACATCCGGATATATAAATGGTGAAGAAAATATGGGTTACATGAGACGAGCTGGTGATCACATCGCCTCACACACGAAATCGCCGCACTTTCATCGACCAAGTAAGTCTATCTATACTTTCTCTTTTCATTAGTGCGAGAAAATATTCTCCAAGGAATTGAGCTCAGTCAAACAGCACTTGTTTTCTTCTATTGAATGAATCTATGTAAGGAAAATCTGAATAAGATCTGCTTGACTGATCGATCTCGTTGTGTAATAATGATGTAAGCAAGAAGACGATGAACACAACAATAATTTGTCTCGCTTGAAATAGTGTTGATAAAATTTCTGTGATTACCTTATGGTAATGGTATCGATTACACGATTTGACAAAAAAAAACGAATGAATTCGATTGAATAATCAGCAAAGAAGAGTACGCCCAGTTCTTTTATTTTGATATGCTTAGTTTCTTTTTCTTTTTTCGATTGTTGGATTTAGTCAATGACGATCAGAGCTAAGTATTCAATCTGCAGCTGATGATGGAAAAATATTCTTCTTTCGCTATTCGTTCGTATGTTTTCATAGCTGAAGATATGTGGGAAGAAAAGCGAAGAAGAAGAGCGAGAGAGAGAGAGAGAGAGGCAAAGGAAAAGAATTAGTTAGAGTGTAACGATCCTCGCTAGAGAGAACAGAAGAATAGCAATATCTGTATGCATGCATCAGTCAGTTTGACGACCTTGTTAGAAATGAACAGCGAGCGAACCATATTTGTTCAAGAGATTCGAATATGTTAACTCTAAAATAGAGTAACGAGAACATTGAAGAAAACATTCTTAGTAACTATAGTAGATGTCAAGAACGAAACAAAAAAAGGCAAGAGGATAAAAGACATAGAGGAAGAGAGTGGAGAGGAGGGGGGGGGTACGAAGACGAGAAGAAAAAAAGAAATAGGAAAAAACAATTTTGTCTTGTGTCTGTTTGTACGCAAGTCGTATTAATAACGCAGCGATAAGACGAAGAAGACGACATTCATTCATTCATTCAAACAATCAATAATGTTGATGGTTCACCATCCTCATCATTATCAGCAAACTTCAGCACCACGAAAAGAAATGGGTAGGTGTTAGTGGAAAGACCTTGCTATCATGTTGCCTTTCATCATCAACCATGCTTGAAGCAAAAAAGAAAATAAACAACGGAGAATGATGCCAATTGATTATGCCACATATCGAACAGCGTTTTGCTTTTTTTATCCTTGCAAAACTTCACTCGATAGATCATGAGTCTATTATGAATATTAGTCCTATCGACACATCCGTATGCACGTATGTATTCACTTGACCAGTACGTTTAACTCTAGAGATGATAAATGTTGCTGATGATGATGTAATCTAGCGAAGCCTTTTCTTATTGCTTGTCGAAAGGTCCAAGAGCAATCGCTAAGTGGCACATTGTCTGCAGGCGATCATGATACACATACAACTGTATAATCGGCTTTACGTGTGTACGTATGCATGTATGGTCGGCGAAGAGAATGTGTATAAATGCATATGTTTATATATCACGTAAAGAGCTTCATTTAGTACAGATCAGGAGGAAACAGAGAGAAATTTCCGTTGATTGTTGTCTGATTTCGTAAAATATGACTTGACTAAGAGCAGAAATCGAATCAGACAGATGTTAAATGTCATCATTAGATATTAAAATTGGATCAATAAGATCGAAGAATAAGTTTTTGATAGAATCAAGATATAGAAATGTAACAATAACAACTGATTGATGTTTACAATTTTCGAGCCGAAAAACAAGAAATATCTGTTTGATCTTTATTTTAGTGGGCTTTTCTTACAATCGAACACAAGCATTTAGCGTACCGGGAACTAAGAAAGGCATGAAAGCTTTAGTGACGGGTATGTTTTTATCTTTATTGTTCTCATCGATAAAGCTTAATTGGAACCATGAACTATTTTCTCTTCTAGGTCAAACTAGAATTCGTAAAATACATTGTTCAGTACCTCACACAGTTCCTCCTATTTCATCGCCATCGATAACTTCCACGCCGAAAACCGCTATGCACGATCCAACGGCCTCTCCATCTCACCATTCGGGACCAACGGTCGAAGAAGAACCCATCGTCCTATCACGTTACTCAGGTGGGTTCATCCCTGATCCATTAGCACCAAAGAAAATTGAATCACTCGATTGGCCGGCCCCGATTGCTCTTCAAGCTGTGCCAGAATTAATGAAGCCCCATCGTAGTCGAAGTGAATCTCGCACCGAATCCCGTTCGAACCGTTCTCATCATCATAGTCACACCAATCATGGTACAGCACTTTCATTATCTCCGTCTTCTCCGCCTCCTCAATTGTCGGTCACTTCCAATGATCATGATCAACAGCCGACTACAGACGATATTACAATAACCAGTGGAAACTTCGACGACGGCGATGACGACTCGATCGCCGATGGTGAAATTCGTCATGACGTTCAGTTAGAAAAAGACATTGATACGATGGCCAAATTAAAAGACACATCGGGTATGGCACACGCCCTACTCGAAGACTTACGTGTTCAAGAGAAACTCATTTCGAGACAATTACCACTTGATCCGTGGAAAGCTTCTCGTTCTCCATCGGCAGCTGTTGAACCACCACGACGTTGCCGTTTCGAATCGCCGAAATTTGCATCACCATCTCGACGTGTACATACACATTCGTCATCGACAACTAATGCAGATGATAGTCTTGCCGGTTTATCAACATCATTATCAACGACACCAGCCGGTGGTAAACGTGTCACACTACCCAGATATCAACAACAAGGTATGTGAGACTTAATGGAAACATCTATTTTGTTCGACTTTCATCGAAAGAAAATTTAGGTTTCATTGCATATGATTTTATCAGACAGAGTCCAGGTTTGATCTGAGAACTCCCATTTCTTATCATTGTTCACGCATTTTGACACGCATCTTCTTTCCGTTTGATAAAAACAGCTTTTATTTCTTTCCTCAATCGTCCAAACTAAACACGAAATATGTTTTAGTTCTTCGGCCTGGTTACGGATTAACACCATCGCCTAAAGCGCAAACCTTGCCAACGTGTCGAGACATACAAAGAAGTTGTGATTTAGACTCGACCGACCTCGGAACAACCAATTCATACTGTAAATATAAACATTCTCCCCCGAAAGTTCTCCATTAACATAAATATCTTGTCATTTAGATTCAAATGATGGAGATCAAAATAAATCAAGCAAGGTAATGATCTAATTAAATTAGTTAATGAACAGAAAAACATCTTCAAAATATAATTTTTGTAGACAGTCGATGTGGGTGGTAGCAGTGATCAAAGGTATATCGATTCACAGCACGCTCATTCGACCCATTCGGCACCGATATTGATCAGTAATCCAAAATTGTATCCTTACGAAGAATTAAAGATAATGTCGAAGAAACGTTTACCGTCCGATGTCGATCGAGATCGTCTAGAGGTAAAGAATGATTCAATGACCTTGTACACATATGCAATCTTGATTTCTCTATAGCGTCACCTGTCTGATAATGAATTTCATAGGTTATTCCAAATGACACGATCGGATTTCTATCGTTTACCCGAATGGCGGCGGATTGATCTGAAAAAGCGCGTCAAACTCTTTTGAAATACACTTTTCTACATCCGACACCGTTTATCCCGAGAATGCTTTCTGCTTTACTGTAGATGCTTGTGTGCGTGTGTATTATTTCTCTTTTCTTTACTTCTATTTTATTTTATTTGTGTGTGTGTGTGACTGCGCTTAAAAAACTATCATCAACAGCTACTACAAACAAGAATTATTCAATCACTTGCTCTCGCTTCTTTCTCGTTCACTCTTATATGTTAAAATTTTCTTTCTTTTGTTGTTTGTTGTGTCAGATTGAAAAACTAGAAGAGAACAGACGAACAATCGTGGACTTCGATCGATGCCTTATGGATAGGAAAGACCATCACAACAACATGTACTTTGAACATTTCTTAAAGTAGTTCTTTTTCTTTCTTTTTTGGGTTGTTTTTTTGCCGTTTTTCTTTGTTGTTGTTGTTTTTTGCCAAGCGGAAAAAGAGAAAAGAAAGAACTCATCTATGAATTTATTCGATATCATTTTTTTCTCTTGATTATCTCATGTTGATTCTCATTGAAAACGCGAAAATTGTCTTTTACCAATAATTATTCCTGTTATTCTCGGGAGATAAACAAAGAATTCAATCAGTCTGTTCTTTATTACGCTATCGAATCGTATAAATGATCTTATTTCCTTTCGCTCCCTCTCTAAGCAAATGTTGTCTTGTTAATCTATATAAATAGATATTTATGACAAGGCGAGAAAGATGTTGGCCAAATAGATTCATCGTTTTCTAGCGTTGATATGATTAGACTTTTGCATGTGAATCGAAATCGAACAAACAAGAAACTACCGCTGCGGCTCATTGATTAGCTTTTTTCTGGTAATGTTTGTTTTAGACAGAAGAGAAAAAAAAGAAAAGAAACGATATGTTTGATCTATCAGAGATGCTTCATTTATCACGAATGTATCGGTGTAGAACAAAATAAAAACGAGACCTAGAAAGGAAAGGAATGTTATTCTTGTGATAAGATGTTTGTTGATGAAGTCAAGTGAAGGAGATATGAATGAACTAGACTTGTATCATTGCTCTTTTGATGAAGACTTCAATGAGTGAAAAAGATATTTAATCATCTCGCGTGTAGACATAAACAACGAAGATGTCATTATTCAAATCGAATGAAAAATGTTCGTTTCGATGATGGTTTATTATCTTGTCTTCACCTTGACTTCAATACAATATCCGTTTCGATTAGGACTACGAAATCGATTATCTTGCCTCTCGATCGTCGAAAATAAATGCCTTGAGGAAGAATAGTAGATCCAGCTAGTTATTTTCTCGTCTGATTCGTTTAGACGCCATCAAATTCATCTGGAATTCTTATTAGAGATAAAATGAATGAATTACTTCAATATTTATCGAAGAGGAATGTCTTATGAGAAAAACATCGCTTATCTTTGCAATTTCTACTTATTGGATGAAAAAAAAATGACGATATTGGATATCGAAAAGGAAAAATGTAGAAGATATTGTTTGTGCAAAATTATTTTCCTCCATAAACCTTCAATTTCCTCTCGAAGCGAAGAAGCAGACATGCTAATAAATGTCAATTCAATCTGAAATGATTATCTCATATTGAAACTGATCATTGATAATCTAGTTCGACTTGTTAATTAGATTATCACTGGAAAGATCTTCTTTGTCTAAATGTTAAGAATCGAATACATAACTGAACCGAATTCTGGAAAGAGAGGACCGTTACGTGATTGCATCGGATGATCACATCCGATTTCACTTGTTAGTAAAATCGATTTTGATAGGGAAATTACACATTGTCTGAGAAGACGATATATATTAATTTCAGCCGAATCAAATTTAACCACAATAGAGATCATCGTGTGCAAGTGGATACATATTTACATTGGATATTAAGTTTTGTTTGTATACATGAGTTTACTCATCACCGGTGGACTGTAGTTAAACTTATATGATGAGTGCGCATTTTGAACAGCAAATATCCATCATTTTGATCGACGAACTTGTCGGCTGGTGATAGACAGATCGTCGTCATATGAATAACTAAACCATTTCAAGTCGTGTAATGAAATTGCGACATCTAAGTTGTTTATTTATATAAAGTATTCAACTGTCACGGAGAATTGCTTGTAGACAACTTATTCATGCTGAATACACTCTTTCCCGTTCTCAAAATACAAAATGTCAGAGATTCATCAACATAATCGTAGTAATATGCAAATTAGTGACTTTCACCTTCTTGAACTAGACATTCATGTCATGTTCGCTGACTGACTAATATTAAATCTCTGGATTTGTGTACTTGCTGGAGATTCAGTTGGATTGAGAGAGAATACAAACAAATGATTTCAAATTCCGATTGAGTTCAGTTTATTATTCTTTGTCAGAGAGAAAAACACGAACAAGAAGAAGATATTCACAACTATAAGCAAATGTTCATGTATATGGTTACATAAGTTCGATGATATTTTTTCTTCTCTAACAACACCAACCATTAGCTGTCGTACCACTTGTCGTATTATTATAATTATCTCGATTGTTATTCATTAATGACATGCCCGACATTTTCACCATATCATTTAACGTAAAATGTCCATTCTGAGGATCTTTCCGACTCAGTTCCTTATCGAGCAGTGCCTGTGCCGTGGCCATGAATGCTAATTCAACATTTTGTCCTGTTTTAGCTGATGTTTCAAGAAAACTAACTTCATAATCTCTTGCTAAACGTTCGCCAGCTTCACGAGAAACGACACGTTGAGATTTATCAATTTTATTCCCAACTAACATTATAATCACACTGTCATTAGCAAATTCTTTAATTTCACTCAACCAAGCTGAGATATTTTCAAATGATGAATATGATGTGACATCATAAAGCAACAGTAATGCGTTGGCATCACGATAGTATGAATGCGTGACCGAACGGAAACGTTCTTGCCCTGCCTAGAAAACACGACTTAGAACAATTAACAAGAGCAGTTGACTTACAGTATCAAAGATTTGTAGTTTGATCTTTTTATCGCCTAATGTCACTAATTTATTTCGGAAATCAATTCCAACAGTGGCAATAAAACTTCCTGCTAAGAATGTTCCATCTTTGAATCGAACCAATAAACATGTTTTACCTATATATTAACAGTTCATCATATGAAAAACATCGAGATTTCGACATACCGACACCACTATCACCTAGTAACATCACTTTAAATTGATACTGATTGTTATTAATAGTGCTGTTTCCACTCACGACTTCCGTCGATGGTGATGTTGATAGAGATAGGTTATTTGTACTTGATGATTGGGATGTCGACGACTGTTGGCTATCGGCTTGAGAGGACGCATTTTTTGATAACTCTTGAATCGATTTCGCTTGAGTTTCATGGTATTGTGCAGGTAAAGGACCTGTATAAACACATCCTTCACCATAGGTAGTTGTAGATGAACGCTCGTTAGTACAAATGGGTGTAAACGATGAAAATGCTGTTGATTTCGAATAGGTATTAGAATGATCCATTGATACGTATGAGCCTGTTGTGTTTATAGGAGACCAATTATCACATTATAGTAAATTCTAAAAAAAAAGAAATGAATTTTTTTTTAGAAATGTTAAGTCAATCTCCTTCTTTATACTAAGCTCTATATCTATTAGCATAGGGTTATGCTTTTCATTGATTTCACAAATACACATTATTAATAGAACGACCTTGGAAGGTGTTTTTTTCAAGAACAATTTCTTTTGTGTCTATTGTAGAAAAGAAGTAGAACCGTTTCTCGAAGTAAGCATACTTACAACGATAGACCTATTCAGTTAACTATGAAAATCGAGCGAAGAGTTGATTAGCAGAGTTACTTTTTCTTCGTGGAAAAGATGTGTATCTACGTGTTTCAGAAATACTACTTCACATAAAGACCGGAATCATAATATGAAGAGAAAAAAAATGAAGTTGTGAGCGAGATCGTACTCGTCTCCTTCTCTCTCTCTCTTCTTTCTGATTTCAATATGACTATTCCTACACCCACTTTCATTTATAGATTTTACTCTGTTGTTCATCAACTTGCTCGTACTCATCAATGATGGCAGCCTTTCCAAACGGTTCTCATCAGATATTCTACTGCTTTTTATAGTCATTACATTGACAGAATGCTTGTTGAAAAAAGCGGAGAAGAAGAAAGAGACAGAAATAAACTATTAAAAAAAACGACAGTCAAATAACGAGGGAAAAAGCAAGTGTAATGACGTTGCTACTATTTGTGCTGTTTACGAACAAGAAAAATCTCTGTAAAAAAACCTAAACGAGAAAGTTCGTTCTAACACTATTAATTAACAATCTTTTTTTTCTTCATTCTTTCGTTAATCAACATCGAAGAAAACAGTGAAAAGCGACAATTATTATGCTTGACGATTTCTCCTGAAATATACATTCGAAAAGTTTTCCTCATCCTAATAGTCACCTAGGTAAATATTTATCTTCGTTTTCATATATCTGTCATCGACAATTTACCTCGGAGTCTATTAAACAGATTCATCAATGTCAGAAACAATATCATGCATATGTAATATGACAACTATTAGAGGACAGCGATGTGTTCGGAATAGGGAAATTCCAATCGAGATAATTTTGTTGATTTTATCAGTCGATGATTGGATCACGCTCCATTCTTCTAGTCGCAATCTTTTTATTAGCATGTTGAGAGGAGAAAAACACAACTAATGCACACACCCACGTACAAACACAATGATCGGGCTGGGGTTGTTCATGTTTTTCAACTCGGATAATAAGTGAAGACTGGATAGCAACTCATGCTCGTCAACTAATTGTTATTTTAGATGCTACGTTCTCTTCTTCTGCTTCTTTTTTTTTTCTTCAGAAAAGAAGTAAGAGTAGTTGCTATAGTCGATGGCATCTTTCCCGTCGAGCACGCACACTTGAGGCTCGTTCATTTCCGTCACGCTAAAATAGAAGACGACTTGTTTCTATTTCTTTTTTCTTCTCTCTCTTCAACTGGATCTTCTTATCTTTCAAGGGTCATGAACAGTGCGAGGCATATATTTCCATCCATGTTATTACGATCGCCTATCTATTAAGAACAATAAAACAAAAAAGAAGAATATGTAAACAGATCAAAATATTCGATATTCCAATTATTCGGACAAATCGTTTATGATTAGAAAGCATGGGTATTGAGAGTAATGAAGATGATATTTGTGTATTGTTAAAAATTCTTTCCATTGGGATAAATATGTAAAGGAACTAGTCTTGCATGTGAACAAATATGATCTCGTGTGACCGTTATTCTTCGAAGGAGATTAATTTAATAAGAATTGAGATAATGAAAAAGCTGCTTTCTAGACTAATCTTTTTGTTTTTTGAGGTAGGAAAATGAGGCAGGAGAGATAGGGAGACATATGTAAACTTTTCTTTTCCTATTTCTAATGAAGTTAACAGTAGTAAGAACAGAGTATTAATTTAAGACGAAAAAGGATCAATTGACATCGTTTCTCAGGATGAAAACATTCCAATGTTGATAAACCTTTGCAAGTTTAGAAATTCTTTCTCATTAGAAATAGATTAGCACACGTTGAGTGTGATGTGTGCTTAGTCTGCAGATTTAAGTCTATGTTTGTTCACACAAGTTCTACATAAGCCGATTATGTCATTTGATCATTGTGATACCAGAACATCATCTCATGTTCGTTGTTTTGATACAAATGGCCAGAAAGTAAACATAAAAAGAAAAAAAGATTTTTCTCAAGGTTATTTTAGTCCCATATGTTTTTCATAAGGGAAGTTCGCCTAATAGGAAAAAATCAGAATGAACGACTCTATGGTTAGAAAAACTAACTCAATTAACTACTATAGTATGACGAAAGAATCGTGGAACAAAGTTTTAACAGTATAACTTCGTGGATCATGAATAATGGTACTTATTAACATTACGTCGAAGTTATTTAAAAACAGACACTCTGGGAAAGATCATCTTAATGATCCAGACACGAGAATTGAGAAGGTTTTTATCGTAACTACTGCTATATCTGAATATTAAAGTTAATTTGGAAAAAACCTAAGCGCTGAGAAAGTAACTAAGGATCGTCATTCAGTTCATTTTTGTTGTTGTTTTTTTTCTCGTAATTTCTTCTGCAAATGAACATTCCGCATCGAAAAAATCGTTTATTTCTTCAAATTATTCATTGTCTCGGTGTTGTTCTCGGCACATGTCTATTTTTACGTGAATTATTCACATATTCCAGATTCTCGATAATCATATCTTACTTTTGCTATTTGTTGGCAGCGGGTGCTGTGCTCTATCTTTTGTATAGTCGCCGTAAACCAAGTAGAAAATTTGCGTATGGGGCATTCTACGCTATGTGTGGTGTAGTGATCTTGTTTGCTCTAACTTATATGTATGAATCGCTTACATTGGCTTCTCAATTGAAGCAGGAACTGATTGAGCATATCGAGAGAAATCAAGCAGCAGATCCGGCTTTGGAGACATTGATTCAATACACTAAGTAAGCAGAACGACATTAGATTTTGACACAATCAGCAATGATTGTTCCGCATAGGTGTTGTGAAATCGATGGTAATGCTCGTTCGAATGAAGTTTTCGAGAGTTTTCAACGAAAATATCCAAAACATTGTAATGAAACGACAGCTGATCAGGCCAAACCATGTCTAATGTATATTAAACATCAACGCAATATAATAACATTTTTCAATTTGATTTTGATCACTTGTCGCGTATTAGTATTATTCCTACTATGGAAATATGTCAAGGAAGAGTATAGTAATACGAACAATGAACTTATGGCTTCTCCGACTACGAACACAGAGCAATCGGTGACAAATACGGTTATATAGCGATAAAACGATCAGAATGAATTTATTGTCTTTTTTTCCCGAAAATATTTTGAAAGTTACGAGATCTGTTGACAAAAGATGTCTAGACTTTATCCTACGTTCTTAACACGATAGCTGCATTTATTTTCATACGCATTGAAGTCGTAACAAACAAATACAATAAAAAAGACGAAGGATTAAGTCAGCAAACTGATTATATAAGACCAGGAATGAATGCATATGGAACACGTTCACAATAAATCTTCCAATCTTTGTCATATTTACGTTCACATCGTGCCATGTCACGTGTGTAACGATGAATGATCATACCAGTAAAGAAAATTGGATAGAAATAAGGTAATAGACCTGGCCATTGATGACATGATAATGCCCAAAGAATTGACATGCAAATATCAGCTGTATATTGTGGTTTACGACAGTATTTAAAATAACCATCGACTAATAATGGTGATCCACATTCAGTTTTCAGAGACTTCGGATTCTTGATTACATTCCATGGAACTTGCGGAAATGCATTGCGTGTTATGTAAGTTCCCTGTTGTTGCATACGAAAACGAATCTTTTGTGATAGCGAGGAATCCCATACGTAATAAGCAACAAAGAGAACAATAAATAGTGTCGTTGTTAATGTCATCGATACACCTCCACTCAGATTTTGTGTTCTCAATGAATTTACCAAGATATAATAAGCTTGAAATGCGTACACAAATGGAACACCAGCTAAGTTCCAATAGATCAACATCCAGCCCCATTTTTCATAGAATATATCCCATGTTGTTGGAATGCATTCTTCACCTTTTATACAAGCATTGATGTACAGCAATTGCGCTGTTAAAATGAATATCATCGGCCAGGAAATAGCATGGAAGACTTCGTATTGTTTGACTGCTGCAGAAACAATTAGAAGAAATAGTAAGAGCCATGAGAGACGAACCTCAGCTATCATTTTCAAATCAACATCTTGTCCGAGAATTCTTATCCGTGGATTTAACCAGACGCCCATGAAAAAGTCGTAGATCGGCGAATTGGCCATTCGACAGGTTTGTTTTGTTAGCAGAGCGTAGAAATGTATGAGGACTGAGACAATATCACTACAAATCACTGCCACACATAAGACAGAGCCAAACTGATCAGCCAGAATCGTTAAACGAACCAGACCAGTGATATGAAGTACGGCCACGAGAACCAATGTAATATACCAACTAGCTAATGCATTGCAATTGTATGTATATTGTCGGTTGTTTTCCGTCGGTACGGGTAAACCTTTCACTTGTGGGCCAGGTAAAATCGCAGCGAAAATAAGCTGTAGAAAACAAAATCCAGTGTAGAGAAAAAATGCGGACCATGTTGGTAAACAACTTTCTTTGAGGTTTTCGATAAGTTCATCTGATGATAATGGCCAATAGAGTCCACCCGAACTATATCGAAGTGACAGAGCGAAATAAAATGGAACAAAATGAGAGAATATCATTAAACCAATGGCTCCAAGTGTACCACCGAATTCTTTTTCTTCTTTACGCATTTTAACCTTTGTTATGTTCTAAAACCTAAACATAGGAAATAAATAATTTCTCATTGATACACTTAAACAACATTGATCCTTTATGACTTTCGAAACACAAATCTGAGCATAATAACTTGATCTGATGTCCTACGAACAGTAACTATATCTTCATAGCAAAATGCTCAGTGATATTTTCTTCATTCATTCCTACCCTTTTGGTCGATCAGCACATACTCACGCCATACGAAAATGATTTTTCACCTTTATGTATACTTTTTCTTTCTTTTTTTTTCTTCGCGAATCTCCATTACAATTCTCACTATCTCTCTTGATACTTCTCATCATCAAAACCAGTAGCATTCTGCAATCGTAGTCAGTTAAAATCTACTACTATCGATATTTCTCTAGATGTATTCACTATAGAACAGTAATAGTAGAAACGCAAACATACAAACAAGTCTATATATACATAGCGTCAGTTTCTATTATATATAGGATCACGCCATATGCTTCATTGTGTGAAAATCATAAACTTAGATCGCGTATGAGTCATATACTGCAATTCCATAGGCGCATAGTTCGAAATATTCACGAAGCATAACTATTCTTCTAGTCAAGCGATTGCGTCAAAACGTTTATTATTATTACCAACAACGCTTACAAATCAAAATCGATGGATTTCGTTCTTGTCAAATAAAAAAATAAGTTTGAAATCGAATAAAAAAAGCACATACATGCATACATACATATCGTTTCGAAAGTACATAAAAATAGGAAAATCTCCAAGGTAATCATTTCATCTTTGCTGTTAGTTATTCTAATATTCACAGTGAAGGATTTGCACTGATCATGGAAAGTGCATCGACTAGACAGATAATTGTAATCGACTCGCAAAAACATACGAATGAACAGATCCATCATTGACACCGAAGAAGAACATTCCGTGATTATGCGCAATAGTAGTGATGGGTAAATTCTCACAGATGTTCAACGAATGAACTTTTTCGCATATCTTCAAATTCCAGACATCGCATGAACCATTGGTCGAACCGACGATTAACATTTGAGATGAATAGAATAAACAATTGAATAATTGATCATTGGATAAACATGCGTTGGTAAATACTTCAGTGCCGGATATAATATCGACTAGTACGACTGTTTTCGCAGATAAATAAGCGAGGAAATGTCCATCGATACGGAATGAGACAGAAAGAATTGGTGATGCCAATGGTGGTAAATGTTTTAAAATCTCTCCTGTTTGAAAATGACACAGAAAGACAGTACCATCTCCGCATCCAACAGATAAAAGTAGATGTTCTTCTAAAACACTCATACACGTACACGGCGAATCGAATGAAATATCGTATAGCATTGGAATCATCGATGGTCGTTGATGATTTCGTGCAAAAACATGTTTTTCCTCGTTCATGTCCAGAAGATGTTCTAATGACCAAAATCGAACAGTCGAGTCACTTGATGATGTGCATAACATTGCTGGTGTTAATTGACTAGTTACATATAAATCTGTAATTGTATCATCGTGCAATATTTGAGAGAACACCGATGTACCTGTGTCCAAATTGTAAATATAGAATGAATGATCGTAACCGCCGATAAAGGCTAATGCACATTGTTCATCTGTATCGTGTGACAGTTGAACAGCGATAGATTTTAAACAGGTTAATGGACGCGATGAGACATAGAAATATGCGTGAACTTTATTTTGATCAACGATATAGTTCCGCAGGAAGCCATCGTCACCAATTGTTAGCAAATGTGTTGTAGGTAATAATGGATGAGGAACAATTCGTGTGATTGCAGTCTTATGTAAACGACAGACGGAATCGAATTCAAATTGGCCTAATTCGTGTTCTTCAAATGAGGACAAGGACTGGATTCGTGGGCGGATGGAACTGGCTTCGATTGGATCGCTTGGCGTATCGATGGATACTGCTGGTTTATTTGTACTAGTTGTTCTTTCTTGATCTTTACCTAAGAGAAAGAATTAATATCGCTTTAATCGCAAAACTCCACTTACAATCTTCCAACTCCTGTTTCGTGAGTTTCCGTGGATGTGGTTTGAAAAACAACTACGAAGAATATGAGTCACTCGAAAAGAAAATCTCAGTTTTTGTTTCCAATTTACCTGCTTTGGAACTTGTCCGAACTCGAGAATTTGTGTTTCTAATGATAACTGATCATTATATTCATCGGTTGTTTTCGCCACTTGACCTTCCGGCACACCATACGTCAAATAATGAAATAAGTTATCGGCTTTCCGTGCTTCTTCGTCCCGTTGCTTGTAACCAAATATAAGATCGATCCATTCATGCAAATGTTGTGAAACATAATCACTTTCCAATGCAAGACGCATTTTGTAGATAAAATCACTTGGACTTTCCGCCCAAGGTGGAAGAATGACATCTCCGACAGGTACACCATCATGTCGAACACCAAAATCTATGCTAAATTGATTGATTAAAAACTGTCCGTCCTGTCGATGTTCTTCATCATCTTCAACTTCATCAAATTTCGATGACATGTAGAACTCCGGGATTAATTCTTTAACATCTGAGTCACTTGTGAGTACACTTTTCCATGTATCGATCAGCGAATGGAATAACCGATCGGAATGATCAAATCGGCCGTCGTTTAAACATAAACTAAATTGTGGATGGAGACGACAAAGAAAATAGACAAGAAAACCTGGATTAGAGTAAAAACTTCCGTAGAGAAAGCGTTGAGAATCAGCTGGTAAACTCATATTTATGTAACGTTCTTTCAAACGTTCTAAACGTTCGATATTCAATGCACCGATGGGCTTACTCAAATCACGAAAACTTTGAGGATCTTTTAAATCAAGATTATCAGCTGTATAGTTTCGTAATACCCATGGGAAGACGGGATATTGGGAACAATCATGAAAGGATCGTTCGGCACGGTCATTTAAATAGAGTAAGTAATCATAATTTGAGATAGTTCCTTCTTGCCATCGTAAAGTCATATTTTCGAATGAGGTCAAATCAACCCGAACTGATGTTTGAGCTTGAACAAGATCATAGAATTTCGAACATAAAGATTCATTGGCAAAAACCAAATAGAGAATTCTACTTTGATTAAGTTTCCTACAGACGAACAAATACTGAACATTTCCTCTTGGATAATCTTTTCTACTTACCGATCAGTTAATTTAAATTGTAGCTCACAACCAATATATCGGAATTTATACCGTCTTTTCGTTATTTTCACGAGTGTATTCAAATCATATTTGATAATTCGTTGTTCAGTAATGTTATTTAACGATTGGAAATAACAACATTGATCTGTTAACAAGCATTTACCCGGATTTTGTATCAGAGGTTTAATAACATAAGCATCCTCTTCGAAAAGAAGATGTTCATTTAAATCTTTCAGTTGTGTCAAATCAAATTGAAGCATTTTCAATCGTCCTTGTACGATCGATTCAATCATCATAACTTGTTCCGGATAGAGTAACGTGGTCGAACGATACAATTGTCCGACAACTGATAGGCAGTCTGCGACTTTAGTGTAGAAAAATTCGAATGAAAATTGTTGTTTGTCGTAGAGAGTTGTGTAAGGTTCAATTCGTCCAGCAATTGACATCAATGTTACTGATGAGCAGATCAAATTCAAACAATTCGCTGTTGATTTCGTAGGATTGGATATTGGAGAAATGATTGTTGAATCTGTCAGACTCAGTTCATTCTTTTTGCCATCTTCGAATTTAACTATTTGTTTATATAGAATTTTGATCATCGGTGAACGAATGTCATTGGGAACGAAAACGAGAGATTTCGAACAAATTTTCAAACGACCTTTGGTTTTCTTCTGTTGATATTCATTTAAAGTACTTTCGCATTCGACAGCATAATCGTCAAAATAGATTTCACTGGCGGAAAGATTATACAGTGAAAATGTATGTTGACGAACCGCTGATGTACGCCGCGAAGTCATCGAAAGAATATATTCTGAAACAAATCGAATAAGAGAGAAAATTATTTGTCATTATTTCGGAAATCAGTCGGCTTAAATAAAACATCAGCGAAAACAAAGAAATGTATTGAAAAGTTTGAGTATGTGTCTATTCTAGCGATTGTGTATCGTCGTCGCTGTCATATTCAATATCACTGCCGTAGAACTGTTGAGTCAACAATCTTCGTAATGTTTGCGGGTGTCGATTTAGAGAGAAACCAGGTTTTTTTATTGATATCGTCTTGGGATCGTCTGATGACGAGGAGATTGTCGATTCATCAAATGAATGTGTCCAACGAACATGTGCGCAATATGAGTCCCACTAAATAAAGGAATAAAACTGAAACAGTGTCTTCTTTGAAGTGTTTCTCTATCTTTAAAACCTATGATTTACACGTTTTGTGTTTATTATTTGCCATGATAAGGTTATATCATTCATTTTTCGTGTTCTATAACTCTTATCAGTTGAATCTGAAATGCGCGAGAAGTTCGATTGATCTTACCGATGTTGAAACGATATAATTGTCAAAGGGATGCCAAGCCACATCTCGAACGCATCGATCACGATTATCGCCGACATTATCAGTCACACGAAGACGTAATTCCACAGAACCCGTGAGAACATCGTAAACTAGTGCAAACGAATGAAAAAGATATGAAGAGAATATAAAGAAAACACGAACTGCGAATGCATCCATCCGAAGAACCGGTGATAATGTATTTCTGTCCGGTTGTAAATGCTGGAGAGAAATAACAACGAATCAATGTGAAACTAACAGAATGATCACGATATGTTCGAACACTTGGATCACCTGGAACATCAATTTGTGTTGCTAATCAAAGTAAACAAAAGATTTTCTTTCGAATATATAAAACAAAATTTCAACGTTACGCCGTGGACCATAAGCATCGTATCGATAATCCCATCTAGGATCGATATTACTAGCAATAGCATGACTTTTTCCTATAGTTGACTCATCGGAAAATCGGCGCATGTCCCATAATTTGATACTTTGATCTTTACTATTCGATATTAAATATCTGCTGTCCATCTAGTAACGAAATCATTCAAATGAGAACTAATTCATTTCTATTCGATTAGAAACTTACTCGACTGTGTATGAAAGTGATTCCTTTAGTATGACCGGCGAAAACACCAACAGGTTTGGGATGGGATTCTTTTAATGCTCGTCGATCCCAAACATAAACAAAATTGTCATCTGAACCACTAACTACCAAAGAATTCGAATTGTCAACAAAGCGAACAGCATTGATGTCATCGCCATGTGCTTGAACCTAATGTATACGAAAGATAACCTTTGAAATTCCATTGTTTATAATTAAAGTGTTTACACGCAATGTTCGTTTTTGTTTTTCAAGATCATAAATATATACACAAGTATCATTCGATCCGCCGATGATTTCTGAACCATCGGAAGAATACTGAAGCGAAAATATTGTGAAACTATGTGCATGTGGACGTAATTGTAATGGAATTATTTTTGATTCTGTTTGGTCGTCGTTTAACTTGACCAAGTAGACTATGAGTGAGAGAGAAATATTTTCTTGAACACTCCTCGTTCTTTCGCTTACTGCAATCCGACCATGTCGAATAAGCAATATGAGTTCGATTTGGAGATAAAGCTGTATCTAATATTGCCCATCCAACTTCATCAACTAGAATTTCTTCTGCACGTTGAAATGTCTTCGACGAGATGGTGTCAAACACACGAAGACAGTTATCTACGATGGAGAAGTCAATTGAGATCAATTACTGAATCTGATTCAATCCAACCTTGACAAGCACTCAAAAATCGTTGTCCATCTTCCGAGAATTGCCCACAAAATGTCGATCGTGGCATGGATGCAATTATCTCCCCTTGATTAGGTAATAATCTAAAACCATGGGAACGTAGAGATAGATACTCTACGTTTCCGATCGAAATACCTGTCCGTCAATTGATATCGTGCAGATGGATAGCGATGCAAATTGATTAGACCGATTTCACGCTAGAAAATCTTGATTTATACAAATATATCAGAAGTATCTCCTCTAACCTGTTTCAAAACGGAAACTAAATTCTTTTTATTAACAAGTTTTTTCGAACAGGTACCATGAAAACATTTTACAGGATGGACATATGTTGAATATAAATCGCGTAGTGCTTCCGTCTAAGTTATAAATGAGATTTATGTATATTTAAATGACAGATTTTACTTGTTCAGCAGATGTTGCTGGAGTATCTGGAATCGTTTCATCGACAGGTGTTTGTTCTATAAAGATTGAATTTGTTATTCTGCTACGAATTTTCTTCAGTACCTTTAGTAGAAGATTTTCTTAATTTTCTGTACATCGCTGCAAATAAACTTGAAATCTTTATGTTTTCTCGACTATTACGAATGAATCAAACCGAACAGGCTACTCAGAGACTATTGGCTGACTTGCATAGAGTTTGAACCAATTAGAAAACGATCACATATACTGTCTCGTTTCTATTATACAAGTCTTCATTCTTCTCAAAGGAATTGATAATGAAACGAGAGAAAATAGAATAAATTAAGCACTGGTATAGGGTATTTCTGATTTCTCACGAAACATTAGACACATCTTCACTATCTGCACACGAGCTCAACTTGTCGAACTAGTTCGAAATGGAGAATATGTTCACTGCAGTCAGAAATATTCTAGAGACTACTTAGATCTGATCATCAGATTGGATCTTCTGCGATACAATATATAACTACAATAATATCGCCAGAGTCGAGCATCTTCTTATTAATTTTGCACATAGAATAATAATTCATTTGATTGTTGATGAGTAGATATTTTTCATTTTCGCGCATTGCTCATAACAAAATATCATGCCACACTCTTTATGACACTACTGCCTAAATAACTCCTTACTTCTGAAACTTGCATCTACAGAGGAAATCATAGTTGGAGCCAATAGAATTGATCAATTCGCTTCGAACTCAATGTTGAAATCATGTTTGATGCTAAACAAGCAAATTTCATTGTCTCTACAAGGAGGAGAAAAGTAGAGTACACTATACAGCTAAGACCAACTGGTAGGGTACGACATCTAAACAAATATTATTTTTTATATATTTTTCTGCTTTACTATAGAGTACGCTAGTTAGTATTTCAGTCCTCTCTCATTTAATCATTGAAGACTTTCATTGGATGCATAGTTTATCGATTGGAACATACAATGTTGTTTTTTCTTCATTTTATAGAACTTTATACAAAAATAATGGAGTATTGATGCATAAATAGATATTTATCTGTATTTATTCAATTGATCTCTTTCCGTTCAGATCGACTTAAAGTTGATGTAAATTTTTGAACTGAAAACGAAATGTTTTTATTTTGTAGACTCACGTCATTGGACTCTTATCATCATGAAGTTGAACATCGCTTATCCAGTTACAGGTTGCCAAAAGCTCCTCGATATCGATGATGATCGTAAATTACGTCCATTTATGGAAAAACGTATTGCTCAAGAAGTCGATGCCAGCTGTTTGGGCGACGAATGGAAAGGTTATACATTACGTATAACTGGTGGAAACGATAAACAAGGTTTTCCAATGATGCAAGGTGTTTTAACCAACCAACGTGTACGTTTACTTCTCGACAAACGTCACAAATGTTACCGTCAACGACGAAAAGGTGAACGTAAACGTAAATCCGTTCGTGGTTGTATCGTCGATCAAAACTTATCAGTTTTGGCTTGCGTTGTCAGCAAACGTGGTGAACAAGACATTGATGGTTTAACCAACAAAACAATCCCACGTCGTCTTGGTCCAAAACGTGCCAATCATATTCGTAAATTATTCAACTTGAGCAAGGAAGATGATGTACGTAAATATGTTGTCAAACGACCATTAACCAAAGAAAGCAAGAAGCCACGAGTTAAAGCACCCAAAATCCAACGTTTAATAACACCACGACGTGTTCAACGTAAACGTCATGCATTAGCATTGAAGAAACGTCGTGCTGAAAAACAACGTGTTCTCCAAAATGAGTAAGTCGACATGAAGATTGTTCTGCTTGGTGTGATTTCATGCGATGTCTTTCTTTTCAGATATGCTAAATTACTCCAACAGTACGCCAAGGAAAAACGTGAACGTAAACGTAGCGAATCAAAACGTCGTTCATCAACACGATTATCCGAATCGAAATCATAAGCAAAGAAAATTTAGAAGAATAATTTGCGAAGACAACTGTGCACATGAGAACATACGAAAGAAAAAATGTTTTAGTTGTCTTTCCGATGTCATCGATGTTTTTCAAATAATGTTTTTCATCAAATAAACATATGATGACGAAGAAAACTTTTCACTTCTGGATGAAGACTCTCGAAGTAAACGTTGTGTATATCGCAATTCATGCAGTATTTTAGGATAGAAAAATTATATGAGCAAAGTGAAATACAAGATGAAATCAAAGAAAACATTCAGCAAAGATTGTCGATTTTGGTGTAATACCAATAATGACATCTGATTTCAGGAAGATATCTATTAGAAAATTTAGTCTGGACAGATATTTGATAAACCGAGCTCGTTTTTCTTTCTGTGATCGTCTTCGCTGTTGAAAGTGACCTACGATATTTCAATTTAGTTCCTGTATCAATAGCACTTTCACGAATATTCCCTTCCGAAAAGGTGGGATGAATACAAAATCCATTTTGCCATACTCATCCCAAAGTCGACTAAATGACTTTAAGATTCTTAAATTACGAAAACAAGATCCGTTGTTTTCGATGTTTTATCTTTTGCAATATCGATAACATCATCGACGTGACATAGGCTGACCGATGAACGTATTACAAATTGATATCTCAATCGAATCCGCATTAACTGTACGAAAGAACAACAATCTACTCGATACATATTCGGACTGACAAGCATTTTTTTATTATAATCACCTTCACTTCACAGAATTTTGCCTTTTTTTCATAGCGCTCAGATAGTCCAATGCGAGTTTACATTGAAAGCTTCGATTTATATACTGAACATCAACGAAAACGAATTCTACTGGTTGGCGAAGTTCCTATAGATCGAAATGAATCATCGAAGACAAGATCAAAAGGAAGAGAAGCGAATAGAATTTAATACTAATACAAATACTTATCGTTGAACTATGACTAAGCAGTTAAACCATAGGAGTCCATCCACAGATTTTATTATTTCAACAAATATATCGTGTGCAGAGTCTGAAACATTTAATCAGATATAAATTCACCGATGATCATTACTATTTTACAATCGATACTGTGACATCTCTTTTACTAAATTTCTAAAACTGAAATCGCATTACGTGACGAGATTATAATATTTCAAATAGTAAAAAGTCTACTATTATTATGAATACAACTAACCGCGAAAGTTTAGCGAAAAGCAAATCAATTATTCACTAAGAATTTATACGATTATATTGATTAGGGAAAGAAAAGTATTCAGCAGCACAAACCAATCAAACCAGAGTTAATTGGCTCGTCCTATTATGATAGTTGATAATAGATCATTAAATACTCTTTTGTTACACTTTAATTCATCATCCTTATATATTTCATTTCTGACATCTTTACTTTCAGTATTTTCTACCACACTATGCAAATGAAATCGATTTGAAATGACAATTTCACAAATGGATTTATACAACATTCAAACGTGTGCTCAATGAACGACACTGAACAGTTGATTTTCCACTGAATTAGCGTACGTTTTACTTGGATCTGAACAACAGTGTTCGAATTGAAATCGTTGTATGCCTCGTTATATCAGAAGCGAAAGAATTCTTCTCCGGATTACAGTTTGACTATTTTCACGAATAGAATTGTACTTTCCACGATGAGTTGAAGGTAGGTGTGTCAGAGATCCACACCTTCACATACCTCTTATGAGACATTTCAGCGGTCACGTGGATTCCCAAACAAATGTTGATCGTTTTGCAGCGATCGGGTAGAAGTTATTTTTTATATCTAGAACACTCATGCGATGTTTCTTTTCTGGTGAAGCGTGTAATGTGATGGGATTAAATGTAAATAACACCGTGACAAGTGAGCGGAAGTACACGATGTTAATCGTATATTTTTTCGAGATTCATCATTCAGTTGATCGAAAACAAAAACAATGCCATTATCTTTATGTGAATGTAAAGTTTCAACTAATATCTATGTCACAAATGTCCTTCGTTAAAAATAGCTGGAAATAATCATTAATCCGTATCCTAAAACTAATATATCCTTAGTTGTCTACTCAAGGTAACACGTTCAGTTATCAAATCTAATCTATTATACTAAAATAGATTTTAATACGATATTAACGCAAAGGAAAGACGTATTTCTCTACCGTGTCAAGAAGTTACTTTCACTTCGAGTCTGAGAAATGACATTCGATCAGAAAGGATAGACAGAATGCATGTAATTCATCAAATACAAATCAATCAACAATACAAAAAATATATGTCGAAGTGATAGAGAGAGAGAGAGAAAGAGAGCGCGCGCGTGTTCGTACCGAGGTTTATCTAATGCAAATAAACAATTCAGTACGAAAATACATTCCAATAGAAGCGTAAAGGCAAAGAATGAAATTGCGACGACGTAATTCAGCTTCGCGTACTTTTAACAGAGAAAAAGCAAATGCGGTACATTGACCTTGTCTCCTCGACTTCTTTAGTACATGAAGATACACGAATCCTGTTTTATCAACGATATACTTTTCGTTAGGACACGAAATGATGAATTAATATATAAGTCATTGTTGTCCGTCTTTGTTAATTTGACATATTTCTATACTTGATTGAATTCTGCAAAACATTCCCAAAGGGCACAGAAAAGGTGTGTTTTGTTTTCTCTTCCGACTGTATTTATAAAAAGAAATGAAATAATAATACATGTGAAATGCAAACTTGATTTTTTTCTCTCACTATTCTTACAGTGAACTCGCTAGCAGCACAATTCATCGTACAACACAAATACACCAAACAATCTGTGTATTTTCTTTCAATGACAATAACTATTTTAAATCTTAGTCTATTGTACTAAGTGCGCCTTTAGGCTATTTCTAATGAACATAATAGATTTATATCATGATATGTTGATAAGACTGATCGTTTATATTATCATTGTCGGGTAGACGAGGCATTTCTAAATATACATCGCTACAAGCCTCGTGATCCATATAGACGCGATGCACGACAGCAAAAATGCAAACGATATATCAAGTGGCGATATTATTGCCTTTTCTTTTTTGTTCTTTGTCGTTCTGCACGACGAACGCTTTGCTGCTGCTTGAAACGTGAAATACGAACGCTGCTTCGGCGATTCACCTACAACTATTTTCTCTCTCGTTCGCTCGTATAATAAAAAAAACCATAGTCGATATAAATACGTGAGAAAGCGAAACATAGAATGACATCCAGACTTTTTCGATAGTAAATACATATCAGAGCGTTTAACGATGTTACTGACATCGAGATATATTCATGGAAAAACGACGATTCGTCATTTAACCTTATGGCACAAGAATATAATTGGTAAGCAAAGTTTTTATATTTCGTGACCACGTGTTACTTGCGATCGAATTTGTTTGTAGAGATTCGTCGATCGGCTTCACTTTCCAATACATTCTCTACGTTCCATGTGCCATTGACTTCTCCGCCATTACAAATTAATCGTACAAGTCATCATGAAATACATACGTCTGCCGCATCATCAGCAATTTGGGCGTCTCCTTTGAATAATTATCAAAGAAAATCTGTGAATACAATACGATCTCGTTCGTTATCAACGGAAACGACGTGGAATGAATCGTCCTTACCCGAAAAAATCAAGTCATTAGATGAATACAAAGTCTTGTACGATTTTTCGATCAAAGATCCTAACCGATTCTGGAAAATGGCTGCTGAACGCCTAGACTGGTACCGTTTTCCAACGAAAATCAAAAATACCGAATTTGATTATCGTTGCGAACGCGGAGTCGACATCAAATGGTACGAGGATGGAATACTAAATGCGTGTTACAATTGTGTTGATCGTCACATCGAACACGACCACAGCACCGCGCAACAGGTCGCTCTCATATTCGAACCAGACACACCTACAGAATCTCGACATCATGTCACCTATGGCGAACTTCTACGCGACGTGAAAAAGTTCGCTAATGTTCTGAAGAAGCATGGAGTTAAAAAAGGTGACCGTGTGACTGTTTACATGCCGATGGTGGTCGAAACATGTATAGCTTTACTTGCATGTGCACGCATCGGTGCTATTCATTCTGTTGTGTTCGGAGGTTTCAGTGCGAATAATGTTGCTGAACGTGTTTCGGATTGTGATTCGAAAATTATCATCACAAGTGACTTTGGCGTTCGAGGAGGGAAATGTTCACCATTGAAGGCTAAAATTGATCAAGCCTTAAAAATGAAACAATGTAGTGCGGTTAACACTGTCCTAGTTTTTCAAAGAAATCACGGCATGCCGGAAATGAAAGATGATTGCGCAGATCTACGTTCGTCACTTGAATGGAAAGACGGAAGAGACTTTTGGGTACATGAAGAAATGGAAAAAGTCAATGAAATCTGTGAACCAGAAAGAATGAATGCTGAAGATCCATTGTTCATCGTAAATTCGAGTCACGGATATTCGATAGTTTAGCTAATTCTTTTCTTCTTTTTCAGCTTTATACAAGCGGCTCAACGGGAAAACCTAAAGGTATTGTTCACACAACTGGTGGTTATCTAACCTACACCAATTTAACATTCAAATACGTATTTGACTATAATCCGGGTGATGTTTATATGTGTACAGCAGATGTTGGTTGGATTACAGGACACTCATGTAAGTAATTCATGTTGGTCAAAGATGAGATATACAGATTTGATTTGGATATTCAGATGCTATCTACGGTCCAATGTCAAATCGAGCCACAACGGTTATTTTCGAAGGCGTACCTACATATCCTGACGTGTCACGTTATTGGAATATAATCGATAAACACCAAGTCAATATTTTCTATACAGCACCTACAGCAATTCGATCTTTGATGGCACATGATGATAAATATGTTACTCATACTAGTCGACAGTCATTGAAAGTTCTTGGTTCAGTTGGTGAACCGATCAATCCTGAAGCATGGGAATGGTATCACACTGTCGTTGGTAAATTTGACAATAATCACCTAGAAGTGATGCATAACCAAAGATTCTTCTTCTAGGTGAAAAACGTTGCCCGATTATCGATTCATGGTGGCAGGTAAAATGAGCGATTAGCAGTCGAATGTGTTGTTTTATCGTAAACTTGTAGACAGAAACAGGTGGTATGATGATAACACCTATCGCCCATGCGTGGGAATTAGAACCTGGTGTAGCCACTCTTCCATTTTTCGGTGTTCAAACAAAGTTGTTCGATAAAGCTACGAAAAAACCATTAAATCCGCCTAACTCAGGCGAGCTATGCATATCTGATTCATGGCCAGGTCAAGCACGTACACTCTACGGCGCTCATGAACGTTTTGTCGATGTTTACTTCAAACAATATCCAAACTACTATTTTACTGGTGATGGATGTGAAATAAAAGAAAACGGTTATCATCATATAACTGGTCGAGTGGTTCGTAGACAGACAAGAAAGCCTGTTCGAAAAAGAAGAACGGTCTATTTTCGTATTCTAGGATGATGTTCTCGTCATTTCTGGTCATAATATTGGTACAGCTGAAGTCGAAGCCGCCCTTGATCACCATGATCATGTATCAGAGTCAGCTGTCGTCGGATATCCTGATCCAAAGAAGAATCAGGGAATGTACTGTTTTGTAACATTAAAAGACGATGTGGAAGAGACGGAAGAACTTCGAAAACAACTAATCAAACTCGTACGAGATATGATTGGCGCACATGTCACTCCGGATTTTATACATTTCGCGCCTAACTTACCAAAGACGCGCAGTGGAAAGATCATGCGACGTATTTTACGAAAAATAGTCGAACCAGACATTAGCAATCTTGGTGATACATCAACGTTAACTGATCCCAGTGTTGTAGATGATCTAATTAAAAAATGTCCACGAACAAAGCGTGCATAATACGGGGGGAATTCTGAACTTTTCTGACTTCATTCATTTGATTAATAAACCTTTTCTTGTTTTAGTCATTAGGATAGCTGGATATAAACTTGTCTTAGATCGAACATTTATCCACAGACATCTGATGTCAATTAGTGAGCTCGAGAAGACGGATTGTTATCAAATAGTTTATTCGTAAAGAATATTCCGTAAAAGCGAAGAAAAACAGAAATTACTGTAAATACCACTGATTCAGCATAAATTATTTAAAGAACAAGGAATATCGGAATGCATCAGTAGCCAATAGCACGCATACGTACTGTTTCAGATAGAGATATTGTACTAAAACGAAGAACAAGATGAGATCACGCTAATTTTGTCAAGCCATTCTTTCGAAAAAGTTCGTGTGTTGTTCGTTCGATGATATTACATGATCGTATAATTTCGTCACTATAGACATTGATTTCGTCGGGAGTACGCTCGGTAAGCAACTTATTGATGAGATCTTGTCGATTTGGAAGACTCAATTTGAGAGCAGCATGGATTCTGAGAAACAAAAAACAAAAGACAAATCATACCAAAACGAACTTTCACGATGGTGCCCTACGTATATCTAACAGGCCATGAATGAAAACGGGCCATAGTTGCTGAGTAAGCAGTCCATGCAATCGATGCTGAACTGGCGTCATCGGGTGCAGTTCGCATTTCCGATAGAAAAGCAGAAATGAAAGCCAATGCACGATGTAATCGTAACAATGTCCGACTCCCGTTGGGTAAGGGCTTGCCGGACGGAAGGAAAAAAGGCGTATCTCTGGAGAGAACACGACCGGATTCGACTTCATATGCAATCATGGATTGAATTGAATGATAATTAACCGGATCGAGACGTTCGTGTTCTTTGAGAACATTTAATTTCAGTGATAAATCATTTGTTGCCCATTCAAAAATCGTTCCGAGAGAAGAAACAAATCTATTCACACAGAGTACATTACCATGTCTTGCTTGACAAGAAAATCGATCTTACGTGCATAATTCTTCATACGCACGAACGTATTCTCGGAGAAGAAGAGTATGATCTGATTGTACACAAGTAACAAATGCATCACGAAGTACTTTCAAGTCGAATTGGCGCTTGGTCTCTTGAGTGGGAAGTTCGTTCGTATTCATTACTGCATCAGATGGTGCGATCATAGCGGTTGTCATTTGTGTTTCGGGAGCAGATGATATGATTATCACAGACGAAATTTTTCTTCCAATAAAAACTATCTGAAAATAAATACGAATCATTTGAAATTATTTCACAGAAAATCAAGTTGTTCTTTTCAAAGATCGTCATCCATTTGATCACAAGCGTGAAAAATAAGACTGGATTGCATATCAACCGTACCATCGTCATTGCTTCCATTCGATGGCGAGAAATCGAAATATTCAGTTATGTACACGGCTGGTCTAATTGTTGACAATGACACCTGAGAATGATTTGCCGAAGATTCATTCACACTGAAATAAGAAAGAATATTCAAATAATATAGAAGTTTATTCATTTGATGACAGAATGATTCATGAAAAAAGTTTTTTTCCTCTTTTTGCAATAGTTATAAAGATGATTCATGAGTAATGGAAAAAGAAAACAAGAAGAAAAGCGTACGTCCGTCTCAAATGTCATCGATATTAACATTGTATGAAATTGAATAATTAAGACGGAAAGATTCGGTTTCAGATGACCTATTCACTCAAAGGTTAAGTTGTTCACTATGGTTTCAGGACTCTCGGAGAGAAAACATGTACAGTTTTCAATTCATTCATTCCTGTTCACTAGAATACATATATATAAATCGGACTTACACTGGTGTGCTGGGCTCGAGAATGAAGTAATCTGATTGAGAAGTCCGAATTGGTGAATCGTTACAATCGTTTTTCAGTTCAACAACTGTCAGATTATTGTTGTATCTTACAGCTTGGGAATAACTTCTAAAAACCGAATTGATTGCGAATGCGAGTCGTTGTTTTTCTCGTGTTTACCCACCTTTTCATTCGCAGAGTTCGTTTACTCGTGTTCTCAAACGGTTCTTCAACTGTGTACGGCAATGGTAAAAGTGGTTTTTTAAACACATGATCATCGCTTGCTTTTGGTGGAATCATTTTCGAAATTTCAGGTTCTTTTTTCTTCTCCTCTTTCTTCACTGTTTCATCGGTAGTACTCAACTGTGCTGGATGTATTGGCATGTACGGAACAATTTGCATAGAAAATCGTTTTCTAAAATCAGAAATGAGTTCAAATCTGATCGTTCGTCAGTTTAACATACCGTTCTAAATCGTACATTTTATGGATAAATTCATCCTGGAATTCATCTTTCCTCAACGTATCTTTCACGAATGTATGCAGTTCGTATTTCGTATCTACGTCCAACACATGATCTGTTTCATTTTGATCAAATTCGTCTTTTCTAATCGAATTCAATTGAATCAATACACAATCAACAAAAGTCTCATCAAAAGTCTTACTGATCTTCGTCGATTGGTTGATTATTTACAGATATTTGTAATGAAAGTGTGCGCATGTTTTCAATGAGTTTTTCTTCAGTTACAAAAATTTTACGTTGACTTCTAATTAAAAATAAATTACGACCAATGTCTTCGTGTTTAATTTTCATACTTGTCGTCCAAATAACTCGCGTCAACTTTACGCTTTCGAGTGTTGCCGTTCGGCCAGAGCTGAGATGTATTCTGGGAATAGCTACAATAGTTAAATGAGTTCTTCATTGAAAATACACCGAATTTTCTCACTTTAAATTATCAGACGTCATTAATGATGTCGATTGCATTGTGACACGACTGGAAAAATAAAAAATGTACAACGAAGGAAAAAAAAACTTATTGATTTGATCAATTGATGTATAACCTTTCTTAGCTAATCGTGTACACACATATTTATATACTTGTCATATTTTATTCATCAACAGTCTCAACTGACAGAGGGCAGAACATGACGGAAGGAGATTTTTGCTCAAGCAAAACTGAGGCACGTAAAAAGGTATAGGTTTCATCTTCTGGACAATAATTAAACAAAAAATAGCACTCGAATGGTTGATAATTGTAATTAATCGCAAGTTTTCGTTTATCTAAAGAATTGCGAATGAATTGCGCAAGACTGAGTCATTCTTGCACAAATATTTTGCTTGACATACATATATAAGAACAAAAGTACTCGAGCTTTTCATACACATTCCCTGCGCAGATTAGTTTTGAAATACTATGGACGATGAAAAACCTAATTTAAGGCCTACAAAACGCAATAATGCAAATGGAAAAAGTGTTTATTTGCATTACAATCCGAATCAGCCAAAAACTACCTCGTACATCCAAGCAACATCGAGTGATGCTAAGCAAGGAGTCAATGTGCTCTATTCGTTAGACAAACACCAACGATGGGAATTATTGGATGATTCCTTGCAAGCAAGTGGTAAGGTATCGAGTTCCTCATCTGACAGTGATCTATCAGAATCTGATCTAACGAACTCTGAACGTCGAAAGAAGAAAAAGAAGTCCGTACGAAAACGTTCAAATAAACATCAAGGTGTTGAAGTAAAATCTACGAGCAAAGATTTAAAGACAAACTACGGAAATAATGATGCTGATGATGATGTTACCTATGTAGCGGTAGTTCCATCGCCACGAGATAAAGTTTTAGCTAATGTTCGAGGACACCCTGGTTATAAAAGTAATTATGTCGAATGTTCTCGATATCTGACTTCTTGCATCTATTTGTTTCCATAGGCAAACGGATACTGACAGGTGTCAAATTTGATAAGCTAAGTCGAAGCGAAGGAGAACAGTCAGAAAAAGAAGACAACGATGAAAACTTCTCAACCGATGATGGTGAACTGGTAAATATTCATATTTCATCGTTAGTATGAAATTTATTTACTCATTTGTAGTATTCCTACATACCAAAACACAACAAACTCCAACTAAACGATTTCTATCCCGTCCAATCCGCTGTGAAGATTCTGAAAAGCAAATCCAAACCGACTTGTTCCGAAGATAATGATTCGCCAAAAGCAACTAGAAAAATCTTCTATCGGCAATTGAGTAACAAACAAGCAGCTTCAGAGAATCCAGTATCAAAGTCACCTCGACTACGAGCAAGTTCAAAAGCTAACACTACGAATATCACATCGTCAGTCTTCTGTTCAATACATCTTCTTCGATTGGATTTAACTCCTGAACATCTATCAAAAACGTACGGAAAGAATTTTATCGATGCTCAATGTTATCCAAGGAAATATTTGATTGACTTAACTGAGAGTCTGAAAACACTTCAGTTAGCCAATGATTTCGAACTATTTCCTATGGATAGTGCACTAAACTGTTATTTAGTGATTGTTTTGAACGACAGCAACAACTTTGATGAAAATGTTTGCCAAGGACAAGTAACTGTCAATATGGATTTGAATCTTGAAACCGTTGAGATTGAAAGTCTCTCGTCGTCAATCGAATCGGTCTACTCAGTTGAAGATTTGATTACTAACACGATTGAATTTATTGTGAAATTACCAAGTAGAAGATTTAAACCGAAAGAAGTCGCAATCAATCAGCGAAAGGTGCTAAAAAATGAAGATGAAAGCGAATTAAGTGATAGTGAATTCATGAATAAACAAATTCGTCAAATACAAATCTTGGATAAGAAGGCTTTAAGAGCGAAACTTGAGAATACCGAACAAAATAATCAAGCTTCTTCAGATGCAGATCATTCCATACGACCAGAAATATGTACAACTTGCTATTCAGACATGAATGAATCAACTCCCATGACTGCATTGAAATCCTGTGGCCATTGGCTATGTAATCAATGCTGGAAACAATATATCGAAAGTTCTATTGAAAAAGTTAAAATTATCTTATGTCCCGAATGGAACTGTTGTTCAATGGTCGATGTTGGTAAGATTAAAAATCCGAAAATACGAGTGAATCTACTTTGTTCATCTAGGTACCATTCTATCTTTGGTAAACGTTCGATATTTCAACATTTACGAACGAAATATTGAAAAATGTCTTGTAAATTTATCTCGTTCGTATGTCAAATGTCCCAAAATTTCATGCTCAAATATTGCACAGATAATCGGTAACCGTATAGATCAAGTCCGATGTCCTTGTGGCCATCAATTTTGCCCTCTCTGTAAACAAGAGTTGCATTTTCCAGCGACATGTATAGCGTATTACGGGTATATTGAAGAAGCCAGAAAACAAGGTGATCTCGGATCAAGCCCCCCTACAAGTGTGTCAGTCATTGGTCGAAATTGTGTATCATGTCACACTTTTATTGAAAAGAATGGTACGTTCTTTCTATGAAACCAAACTTCTGTGAAATATCTTTGTCTTTTTCTTCATTTCAAGGTGGTTGTAATCACATGACGTGCCGATGCGGTGCTGAATTCTGCTGGGTTTGCACAGGATATTGGGCTGATCATTATAAAAATGGCTCACTCACTTGTCCTAGGCAACCGGTTAATCTTCAGAAGAAAGTGATTGCTCGTGAACGCAATTCAACTCGAAAGTTCTATGTCTCAGCGATTTTTCATCGTCATGAGCGTGCCTATAAACATCAATCAAACCTCATTGAAAACTGTAAACGATTAATTGGAACAATTCCTATCGAAAAACTACCCAATCAATTCGACAGTTCGTTGATTAAAGTGCAAATCGATAAACGTGAAGCGCTTCTACAACACTGTTATCAAATGGCGAAATATATCAATTACTTGCATCGTATTTGTGAATTTGCAGCTGTGGCTGCGGATGGTTATGCCAATACTCCCATTGAATTTGTTAATTGTTTACCCGTACTCGAAACCGTTACTTTTAACTTATCGCAACTGTTAGAAGTCGGAAAAGGCTACACGACCATCGAGAAAATGGCCAATCTTCGCCAAACAAGCGAACGAATTATCGAACGTCTTCGTCATGCACGTCAAACAAATACACATGGATATGCGACATCGTAGTGGAGAATAAAGATGATGTTTTGCCTTATTTAGTATATTTTTTTCTTTCATTATTCAAATACATATATATTAACTAACCAAAAACACGCACACACATAGACACGCACATGCACATGAATCTGATGAATGTTAAGATAATAAAGCGAATATCACCGGTAGAAAGACAATGAAAAAATGAATTCAAACAACAACTTCGTAGAAGAGTTTCTTCATGCGATTGGGCGTGGAGTTTCCACTTGAGGATTGCTGCTGATCAACTGATATCGATCGCATTGATGAATGACCATTATTTAACTGCTGGTTTTTTAAAGACATTGATGCTAACGATGGGAAACCATAGTGTGAGACCGAAGGTGGAGTATGATTTGTATTGAGTTCGTTTGTACCAAATAAAATATTTGTATTCTGAGTCAAACAACTAAATTCTGATGATGGATTTGATCCTGATCGTGAACTACTTCCGCCGTTATTGATTAACCAATGTGGTGAAGCACGAATCGTTGCTGTACGATTCGCAGTACCATCTAGAAAGCGGAGAATTAGATTTATAAAATCAAAGCTCATATTGACATACATGAAGAACATGCATCATGAACAGAAAGTTCATCTTTGACTTGATCACGATCGATAATATCAGCTAATACAAAACAGATGAGCATTTTGATTAACATATCACGAAAGTTACCTGATAGTTTTCGTTGTTGATATTCATTCGTTGAGAAATCATAAGGAGAAATATGAGAATTAGTATTATTGTACAACATATAAGGATTCTGAAGACGTGGCTCAGATATGATTCTATATAAACAAAAGATGTTCAAAATGAATCTGTATTCATTACAACTAATCAACTTACGGTTTAACGCCTTTGTCAAACCCATTGATTCCAACTGAAATAGAGAAAAACAAAGATTGTTCAGTATTTCTTTTTCTATGTAAATGTTTTGTTCATTTGCATTTAAAAGGTGTCTGCTCCGATTCATTGCTTACACTTATTCGTTCGTTTTACATTTGATGTTAATTGTTTCTTTCTCCATCGGCAACACAATATGCCAATAATGATCAAGATGATTAAAATAAGAAAACACGTTGTAACAACAATACCAATGATCATCGGTGCTGAACTTCGATTCAATGAATCTATGTGAACAAAGAAAGAATACAAAGAAATGCTATTCGTTTCAATATCTAACCTTCTTTCATTTCGATTTCTTGTCCGCATATATTCGGATTCTTTTTCGAACAAATGGATAATTTTAAATAAGTAAATGTTTTCTCGATCGTCCATTTGACACGATTGTTGTGTATGGAGAGACACTGGTTAATAGGAAGGTAGATATTTCCATCCATTGATTGACGAATATTCAAACACAAATGTTCATTATTCATTTTCAGTAAACGATCATCACCAGGCAAATAATCGAAATGAAGATAATTCTCTTTGGAATTGTAAGAAACAACATGTAATTGAGGTAGATCTAATTCAATGAGAACTGTCGAAAAGATAGAATTCATAGCTAAAGTGTTCATACCATCTGAGGAAAGAATCAGTTCAGTTGTTTGAACAGGTATTTCTATACTCCATGGACTTTCACCGTAGATATTCATGGACTTGATTCGAAACATGTATGAAGTGGTTTCATTGAGACCTAAAGCACGAAAATCGACTTCTTTTTCGTGAATGTTTTGCAATCTACCTTTGACTGTATATTCGTATGTATTGAATGGTAATTGTTGGTTAATAACTGTCGAGTTAATTGTAGTATTCTTGTCATATAGATTGACTTCAATTATAAATCGTTGTGGTCCACCACCACCGTCAAACGAAGGTGAAAAATGTATTTTAAATGACGATGATGTTATATCCGACACTCGAATGTCGTGAGGTGTTTCAGGTTTACCTAAGTGAAACATCGATGAGAAAAGAATAACAATCTAGTGAACAAGAGACACTCTTTTTCCTGTCGAACATGTTCAAACACACTTGAGACAGTTTTGTATTAGTTCTATTCAAAAGAGCTTCATCGTCATCATCATCATCATCTTCAACAAGATGAGATATATCGATAAAGTAAAGCTTCATATTTACAATTCATCAAGCAGAAGGATCATAGCTATGAAGAGTTGTAATGAAGCGGAAAATATAAATAACTGACATCGAGATTATCATGGTCAAAGAAGAAAGTAATATCCTTGTGTGTCTTATCTCTCAACTTTTTCAATCAAGAAACCTGTCAATAATAACTTCTGACATTTCTATTAGTCCGCATTCTTACCTCTTGATACGATCGTATACGTCCATTCTTCTTTTCCGAGTAGATTTTCAGCGATACATTTATATGAACCAAAATCTTTGTTGGCGACTTTCGTTAATTTCAAATAGCATTTCTCGTCAATCAGTTCGTCGCAATCAAGATTCTGTTCGTTTCGTTTCCAGAGTATTTTCGGTTTGGGTTCACCGGAAACTCGACATGTCAATGTCACTGACTGGCCGATTTCTGCGGCAATCTTTGAATACGTCGTTTCTAATATTGGTCGACTTTGGACGATGACTTCAATCATACTCGAGCCATTCTGAGTCGAATTGTCTTGTAGTCGATTATACACTACACATGTGTACAATCCCGAATCATTTCGTTCGACATGATCGATTTGCAAAGCAGATAATTGGTTTTGTCGAAAGATTTCATAGCCATTTTTGAACCAAATGATTTCATACGGTAACGGATTTGAATCAACGTAACAAGCGAGACTAGCTGAATCAGAACGATTGACAACTAAACGCGATTCAACCGCACGTACACGAGGAGCATCTAGAAGTATGTTGTGTTTTGTTCAATTCAATGACTTTCCATGCAGCTAGCTCTGATATACTTACATTGAACATCGAGATAGATCGATTGATTTACTTTGCCAATAGCGTTTTCGACTACACATGTATAAATTCCACTTTGGTCTGATGTTAATCGCGGTAGGTAAACATTGATTTCGCCTAGATAACAATCGAATATCTTTGTTTGACCTTCGTTTGTTTTTCTATTCACTTACGACTAACAATATTTGTACCGTTGATTGTCCAGTAGACGGACGTTGCGGCCGGATTAGCATCTATCTGACAAGTTAATTTTTGTTCACGAGATTCTATGCCAACGATTCGTTCATTGTTTGAAGATATTAAAAATGGTTCAGCAACGATTTTGACATACGGACGATCTATGAAATGTGAAATCAAGGAGATTAACATCAGCGTTCTTTTGATGAATTCTTACATTTCACATGTAAATATTTTTCCACGCGAAGTGGGATCGCAAGTGCTTGATTCATGATTTGACATTCATATTTGATTTGATTGTCAAAACGACTCACATTGAATGTATAGATTGAACTATTATCTGTCAGAGATACTTGTGAATTCAGTGAACTAGAATCGAAGAGAGAAATCTGCAAGTGAAAGATCATCAAATGCTTATTTATACGTGAGAAGTGTGCCGTTGCGATACCATGCGTATTGAGGTGAAGGATTTCCATTGAATGAAGAACATGTCAGGCTGATAATTTGATATTCTTGAATATTTTCATCGTTAATTATTAATGATGGCATGTCAGGTTTGACTGGAAAGAAGAAATCGATTACGTAACAAATCTGTTTCGCCTTTTTTTATAAAAAGCATCTATCATCATGATTCTTATCTTTATCAATTACGATATCTACGCGGAGGAAAGAATAATGTATTCGATCTGTTTCTACTTACTAAGTACAACGAGATTATATTGACAAAGGATTGTTTGAGTTTCGAATGATTGGCAAAGATATGTGGTTGAATCATAACGATTGACTTGGAAAATATCTAACGCACTGAATTGATTGGTCAAATCGGTTTGATAGAGTTTTTCAAGATTTTTGGGAACTTTGCCGTTGATTGAAATGATTAAATCATCATCGTCGCCGTTGAAACGTAGTTTCTTCCATTGAATGATGTTTTCTTTTGGAGAAAAATTTCGAGGAAACTGACAACGAAACTGCACATGCTCGCCATGTGTCACCGTCATGTTTTCCAATCGAAGAAAGGCAGAAGCTGCTCGAAGAGAAGAAAAAATGACGGCTTGAATTCGATAAATAAACAAACTTACATGGATTGATGATGATAAAAGTAACAATAATCAAATAATTGTATAACATTTTGTTTTACACTTGTTATTATTCGTTTTTCTGTCGTTCTCAGCTTTCTATGTCCGACGGGTTAGTCAACAATCGTCATTCTCCTTTCTTGTGCTTGTTTTTCGATCTGACAATGTCTAAATTGTTCGATGTATATATGTATAGATGGATGCACTACAGTGCACTTTCGTTCTTCTTTTTCTTTTATTCTAAAATACAAACAATAAACGTTCACATATATATGTGTACAGATTGAATGAATGTCTCGTCTTTCTCTCTCTCTCACTTCACTAACTTCCGATCTCCTTTTCTCTCGTCGATAATATCAAGCAAAGAACTTTTCAAGCGAAAGGAGAAGGAGCGCGCGAGAGAGAGAGAGAAGAAAAGGTGATGATGAACGACAATTTGTACATTTCTTCTTTTCGCACATCAAGAAGAAAAAAAAACTGACGTCGGTCATTTTCAATCATAGAGTCTGTCCAATAGCCAACGGGGATAGTTTGAAGTGTATATGACTATCTCAATGTGAGATCGAATCCAACCCTCATTCAATTACCTGTTGTGTCGTCGTCAGATGGACTGTCTAACTGATGATGACGGACATTCGAGCATGGATAATTTTCCTTCAGGCTTTATACAGATGTTATCGAAGAGAAAAGAAGCTTGACCACGTAATCGCAGACTTCTTCTCTTCCGTATATACACACACATATATATGTGCTAGGAAACACACGTTCTCAATAAACGACAGGGGGACCACAACTACATCGTTAAATTAGCCGTTTCTCTATATATAACGTATGTTAGATGACATAACTCTTATTTCATAAGCCTATTCTACTGTCAATTATCATCTTGGCACCTGTTGTTGACATATTTAAAGGATTGAATGAAAAGAAAATTGCTCACGAAATGAAACATCTAACTCAAAAGAAACGAATGATTTCTCTCTTCTGAAATGATCCAGTATTTATTTATTTTGTCAGATGGTGAGAGGAAAATGACCAAAGAAGAAGAGAAAGAAGAAGAATAATAATTATGTTAAGAAAAAGGCACATGGCATTTCAAATGTTAACATACCCAAGATATCTTCATCAATGGATAGACATGTTTGAATCAATTAGATGTAGAACAAGGAGGAGAAAATGGACGGTTCTCGTTTTCATCATGATGACCACTAGAAGATGTTCTATGCCGTAAGGGCCAAGAGAGAAGACTCCTGTCAATCAACATGAGAACATTGAGATGTATGTGTGGAGAAGGAGACGGCGGAAAGATAAAATTCACTATAGACATATACACAGATGTTAGTTTCAAATAATTAAACTTCTATACTACTGAGATGACTTGCTCATTTGTAATCAAGTTGCCTATCGAAGACGAAATGAATTGAAGCAAAACAGAAAACAGATAATTTGATTCAATATAACCAATTGGAACTNAAGCGATTTTCAAGCGGATCGAAAAAGCGAAATTTTGTTTATCATGTTCATTCTCGTCGAATGTCACCGATGGATCAAATTAACGTTTATTGAACTGGTTAATCACGCTGTCCGACATCTCATTCCAAGAGGAAATGAACGAATATTCTATCTTTTGATTGAAACTAGTGCAATTGACCTATTTGTATGTCTTTGCAGATAGACATCTCACTTGATCAGGATAAATCTTCTCAATTGAATCACGTCGTGTAAATATCACCGTTGACTTTAATGTTAATTTTTGTCAACATGCACTGAATAAACGGTTCATTTGCTTATCGTCAATCAAGATAAACACAAAAAAGAAAGAAACAATCAAATATCCTCTTTAAACTCTGTGTGAAATCTTGTTAGAACAAGTTGTGTCTCTTTTTTCATTACGTCAATATCCGACAGTGACAATTAGATCGACAATATTGAAAGAAGCAGACAAAAACGACATAGTTGTCTTATCTTGCAATATAAAAGAGATTGTCCATCAATGGCGGTATCTGCTGAGGATTTTTTTTTGTTTTATTAGACTTTTTATCTCTCATGTTATCTACCGAGAAAAGAGTTCAAACGTCATTCTCTTCTATCGCTTTCTCTCTTTGGGAAATCTATTTTCTTCAAAGTTCAATTGAGATATCGATGGTAACATACAAGTGAGATGTCTATCTGCAAAGACATACAAATAGGTCAATTGCACTAGTTTCAATCAAAAGATAGAATATTCGTTCATTTCCTCTTGGAATGAGATGTCGGACAGCGAGATTAACCAGTTCAATAAACGTTAATTTGATCCATCGGTGACATTCGACGAGAATGAACATGATAAACAAAATTTCGCTTTTTCGATCCGCTTGAAAATCGCTTAGCCAAGTTTGTACAATGTCTTTGTGCTAATCTTTTCTCCCAATAAATCATTAGTAGCAATTGAAAGCACTTGAAATCAGCCGATGAATGAAATAAATTATTGTAAGAGAGAGAGAGAGGGGGGAAGGGATCGTCCCTATGGAACACTTCACAATGACGAGAGAGGAAAATTCTATTCTCGACTTCATTATCATTCGACTGAATAATCGACCATTTTTTTTCTATCTTACAGGAAGTCGAACATCATTTCTAATTGTACTTATCCTTGAAATGGCATTCATACTGAATAGATGTATGATTCAGTTTCATTGCATACGTATTACAACGGATATAAAAATCTTTATTTTTTATCAATGACATCTTTTTGACATTGATTTCGTTCATGTATATCTCGATGAGAACAACTCATAAAATTTCATTTGATCAATTAGTGTCAATGCCCGCACTTTCGGTGGAAAGTCTGCAGACAAAAGCGGAATGTTATTTTTTGTGCAATGCAATCGAACTGATGAAATGTTTTCACTTAAAATAAAAGCAAGAACAAAACAGAGACACGTCTCCTGTGCACAATTTTTCATAAAAAAAAACAGATGCCATTTTTATATTTACTGACAGAATCGAATTTAAGTCCAAATCATCCTGCATGAGGATGTGCTCTAGAACGACAATCTATCGAATAGTATTTATCGCATTGGTAATATTCATAAGTATTGTCATTGGATTTCAGTATGGAATTTATTTATCGGTGCGAACAACAACGAATAAAAGTTTACTCTCTGTGTTGTTGCAAAGTCAACCAAAATCGCCAGGGAAAAGTTCAGTACTTCCTCAACCACAGATGCCGAAAAATAATGCCAAACCCAGGAAAATATGCGAAAAATATGAAGTATCCGATACTCGACCATTTTTCGATCAAGAACCTCCTCAGACCAACCTGCCTCGGCGTATGTCCGCTATAGAACGTACTCTCATTCTTCCTCAACTTCGTCTACTTCGACTAGCCATCGTTGCATGTGCATACAATGTAGAACAATATGTCGATAATCTTCGTAAACATATCGAACCCATACTGGATCTATTTCATTCTTCTTCGCGTATATTTATCCTTGAAAGCGACTCGACCGATAACACATGGGAAAAACTTAGGCAGTGGTCTCGTGCTCACGTCGAAACTTATGGAATTCTAGCGAATACTGTTCCAAAACGTACCGAACGTATCGCTTATTGTCGAAATAAATTACTAGATAAAGCACGTGACATTCACCCTGATTATATGCTTGTTGTCGATGCCGATATATTTTCTGTAAATATAAGTTCATTTCTAACAAATTTTCAATATGAAACTCAGGATTGGTCCGTGATGACTGCGAATCTAATTGAAAAATACTATGATATATGGGCATTGCGAACTTTGTCAGAAACTATAGTCAATTATGATGTCTGGCATCTATCCTGGGCTATGCAACAGATTAGTGGTTATTGTGCAAATTCAGTGTCTAGAAATGTGATTGACATACACAAGCAGCCATTACGCGCTAATCGAAATCTTCTCGAAGTGCGGTCCGCGTTTGGTGGTGCTGCAATCTACAAAATGAATGCAACAAAAGATTGCTTTTACAGTGGTAAACCTTACACATGCGAACATGTACTGTTTCATTTATGCATGCGAGATAAAAATCAAGCGCGGATATTTATCAATCCACAATTCAGGAATGATAATCTAAGATGAACAGATATAAGTCGCCTGGGTTCTTTTCCTCTATGCAGAATGCATCGTCATCATGCTGACGTTCACAAGGATGAGAATGACGAAAGAAATTCTTCGTCTAGAAGATTCTAGCTTCTTTTTTTTGTGAGATTTAAGGATTCTTTTTTTCTCTTGTTTCTAATTAAAAACGTGAGAGCAACGAGCAGAAGTGAACATTCCGTCTTGTCTTTCTGCTCGAGTCCCGTATGCATCAAGAAAGAAATAAACTCCTACTTCGTCTTTTATCTTTAGTTTCTCATTGCATAATTTCAAACCAAATACACTTCAGGCTTCTGATTAAAGACGTCTAATCGCCAGTAGAGACATACTTATAAACGATGATTGATTGCAAGAAGAAAAACAAACTAAGCTGAATCTCGTTCACTGCCTTTTTCATTAAATTCTTGTTTTTTTTCTAATAACCGCTAAGTAAACTACACCGAAGAAACTTTGCATGAGAAGATATCTAACTGCGTTGTTTTTCATTATATTTAAGCGTAATGCAACCAAAAAAAATCTCATATTTTCTTCGATAGGTTACACAACATTAAGATGGCTGTTGATCCAACAATTCAAGCTCAATTCGAACGTGATTACATATGGAAACGTTCATGGCCACGATGTTTTCTTGGACTCATAACTATCGTAGAAGTACTACTGGGATTGGTAAGGTTTCAATTCGGAAAGTCTCGAATCTAGTTTTTTGTCTGTTCAGGTTATTTTTCTCACTGAAGTTCTTAATATTTTGATGGATTTTTGGCATACGAATATATTCGGTGGTATTTGGGCATCATTTACTATTTTAATCAATTGGATTCTACTCTATATGACAGGTAATGAGTCATAGTGCATGATCACCAGTGTTCTATTGATATTTTCGATCGAATTTCAGTTTGCTGTCGAACAACAGTGGGCGCATCGACATGTGCATTATTTTGGAATCTAATCACTTTAATCGCACTTGGAGTTTTGATCGCATTTGACATCATTTTCATTTTGAATCCTTACACATGTTTATTAACATCAACATGTTCAACTCAACCACAAGTGATTTCATTGAATTCAATTATGCAGTTAATTCCTGCATTTCACGATTATTCAAGTTACGATTCGAAAAAATTCTTTCTCCAAATTCAAGTCGGTTGCGCAGGTATGAAAATCAGACATTGATATACCAATATTTTCTTTCTTACTATATTTAGGTGGAGCATTTCTCATCTCATTGCTATATATTATAATCTACATTGTATGCAGAATGAAATTGAATGGACATGTACGAGACATTCCAAAAGTAGCAAGCGCACCTCCGCTTCCATCGGGTTTTCCCACCGCTCCACAACCATATTCAACTTAAATGTCTTTTGTCGTTTATTATTGTGCCTTAATAATGTGCTTAAATAAATATTCGTCAATGAATGTTGTGCGTTCTTTTTGACGTATGTCTTATTCGTTCCCATAAAACGAATAAAAAAATCATGCCGATTCCTGTCGGAATATAAGAGATTTGTGTTTATCGTCCTTACTTTCGATTCTTTTGCTTTCGCTACTGTTCTGCGACATGTGATATTGATTAAGTGCATAATGTAATGTACTGACATGGAACTTTTTTTTCTCGAAAAAGAATGAAGTACTGAAGTGCACGGATGTTAATAAAAACCTGCTGAGTAAACTGTTAAGAAGAAAACAATTGAAAATTGAAAGTTACATAAAAGTGTGAATCGAAGTAGTAAATCTCGTGTGAAATATTATGCGTTTAATTTCATACGTACGGTGTGTTTGAGAAAATTCTAATGTATTTGTCTTTCTCTTCATGTCTCTTTCGTTTCTTTTTTTGTTCTTGGTAACTCTATCATAAATACATAAAGACTTACTTTCTTACAAAGCAGGAAAGTATCCGATAAAAGGACATCAACATATACGCGTGTGTCTTGTCATGATTTGCGTTCAGATCAAATTCGTTTTAGATATGAAATTGATTCATTCGATAACAAATGATGAATTTTTTCGTTTATTTATCATCACTTCGCTCGTCTGCGGATTGGAATTTTGTATTGCATCGGCGTTTACATACATTCCACCGATATTACTCAAAGCAGGAATATCTGAATCATCGATGACCTGGTTAATGGGCTGCGGTCCCCTATTAGGATTTCTTCTTTGTCCAGTTGTGGGTAACGCGAGTGATCACTGTCGATCACGATATGGAAAACGGCGACCTTTCATTATCGGATTTTGTTTAACGATTATTTTCTGTTTGATAGTTATTCCACAAAGTGAAGCAATTGGTAAACAGAAAGATTTACCTAGTTTGAACTATTGTATGATTTTTATTTAGGTGAAATCTTGGATGCTCCAACGATTGGTCTTAGTTTATTAGTCATCACTTGTATATTATTTGATTTTGCTGCTCAAGCTTGTTTTAACCCATGTGAATCATTAATTTACGACACGTGTAAAGGTACATCTCAAGAATCGTCCTGTTTCTTTGTTTATTCATTTATGACATCCTTCGGTAGGTGATTTTCTAAGAAGCTCAATCACTTTTCATCCTTTCCTTTCGTATTCAAGGTGGCTGTCTAGGCTATTTGATTACCGCAACAGATTGGACAGAATCCTATTTGAGTCATTACATGCAAGGACAAGAAAAACTAACTTTCTACGTCATTTTATTATTTTTTTCGATTACACTTTGTTGTACATTGATATCTTCGAATGAAAAACCTTCATTGAACAATGATAATATCGATGAACAGTTACCATTCAAAGATATATATTTCGTTCATTGTTCATTTCCTATCCACATCGTGAATTTTGTCTTTTCTTCGATATCAACTTCAGTCAAAACCATCTTTACAATGCCATTTGTCTTACGACGCTTAACATTAGCGGAAGGCTGTTCATGGTTTGCTTAAACGTTATTGTTCTACTTTTTTCTAACTAAAATTTCTTCAAATGATACATTTAGGTCAGCTATTATGACATTCAATCTATTCTTCACAGATTTCGTTGGTCAAACTGTTTATTTAGGCGATCCAAGTGCTGATGAACTCTCCGAAGAACGACTCAGATACGATCAAGGTGTTCGCGCTGGTTCCTACGGTTTACTTTTTCATTGCGTCGTCGGAGCACTCTATGCACCATTACTTAAACCATTAATCAATCGTTTCGGCATTCATTTAACATTTTCATTCGGAATGTTCGTATTCGCTTGTTCAATGCTTGTTATGTACGTGTCAAGAAATATCATTATTGTAAATATTATGGCATCTCTGTCCGGTCTCGGAATGGCTTCGTTAACATCTATACCCTACACACTCGTGATGACCTATCATACGAATAGAGAGGTAGATTGTTTCGAATGATCTGCTTGATTACGAATTACAGTCAGTTGAATTTAGATTTATTTCTCAGATAATCCATTGATACAAACACGTGGAATAGGTACGATTCTAGGCATACTTGATAGTACTTATTTTGCTTCGCAAATACTCTCCTCAGTGATCATGGGTTATGTGATGTTGATATTCAAATCCAGTCTAGCTTATATAATGACAAGTTTTGTTCTGGCAATTTGTTCGATTTGTTTTATTAATCGAATTGTAACCAGTCGGTATCAATTGCAAGAATTAGTCAGAAATGATCGATGATATTTAAAGGATTTTGGTGGAAATAAACAAATTGAATAATTTATTTTGAAAAATCCGAAAATAGTATGACATTGTCGAATCAAAGTTCTGAAAACATCTTCTGTAACTCGTCGTAGATTTGTTTCGAGTCTGAGTGATTTTTATAATTATCCAACGAACTTTTAATAGCACCAAAACTATGATGTAAATCGCCTAGCTGAAAAATATGAATAGCAACGAAAAGGCTTCCTTTTTCACGTACGAGATGTCTGTTTCTTACCTGATACATCGATTTACCATAGTTAAAATACGGTTCGAACATATGCGGTGCCAGACTCTGCGCTGTTTGTAAATACGCATGACCCTAAGAAATACATGCAAATAAAACTTTTCCAAACGAAGACAATCAACGATTCACATACAATTTCACTGTTTTCTCGTTGAAGTTCGACTAAACCTAAATTATTATATGCTTCTGCATGATCGTTATTGTACACCAATGCCAAACGAAAGCATTGAATAGCAAGATTAATATCAGTAGTATACTATCAAAGAATAGACAAAGTAATTAAGAAATAATACAATCTTCCGCTTACTAATGCCATTTCACCGATATTGTACCAAATATCTGCACGTTCTTCATCGGTTGATGCGCATGCTAATGCTTTTAAAAAGCAGGCAATAATCATATCGTACTGTTGAGCATGAAAACAACTCAATGCGATGTTTGTAAAGATCGCTGCTGTTGCAACTCCCATCTGTAGAAGACGGCGATAGAATTTCAATGCTATTTCAGGCTGGTCGTTATAGAAATGATTGGCAGCGATACACGCGATTGCTTCGATATTGGTATTATCTAGTTTTAACACTTGCCGATAATATTCGATGCTTTGTGGAATCTCATTGAGGCCCTAGAGATGAAATTTCTCTTCAGAATAGCGAATGATTGCTCTTGTTATTGAGATTTACTTCATGAATACGAGCAATGGCTTGAACGAGGAAGGGCTCTAAGGGAAATTTTTCTAATCCGTCCTGTAGTCTCTTTATCGATGCTAATGGCTGGTCAAAACGAAGATATACTCGAGCTAAATATAGGTATACATCAACGGTTGGTTGAAGATTCAATGCGAGAAGGTAATGCTTCTCTGCATCTCGATACATATCTAAACTAAAGTGTAATTTTATCGACAGAATTCCTGGAAGAAAACAATTTAATTACCGATGATAACATTTACCAAGTTGTAGTAACCACCACCAATCTTGGCTTTGACGAATTTCATTAGCATATGTCGCTAACTGAAGTGCCTAGAAGTGGAGAAAAGGAAGAGTGTGGGAGCAATTTTCTCATGATTGTATTTGCGCACTGTTCGAATGTCATTCGCGTGATGAAATAAATGTTCGAAGAGAGATCGAGCTATCTCTTGTTTTTGTGCGTATTTCGAAAGATTTAATCGACCGACTTGAATGAATGGACCATCTGGCGTGCTCAACATAGAAGCCTAAAGAAACCGATATGCTTTCTTTTTAATTCCAACACATCAGTAATTCCACAACATTCAATTAGTAGTAGTTGTAACATTTGTTATACATGAATGATTAAATTAACTTACAGTTCCCAGCCGAACAAAACGACCTGTCGCTGTTGTTACTGGTCTGGCTGTTGCTGCCGTACGTGCGGTTTTTAAAGCATTTTCCATACTCTTGCCGCCTTGTGTCGATTGAGTATTCAATCGAAGCATGCCCGTTATAGGTCGACCTGACATTGTCACCGGTCTCATCGCTGGACTCGGTCCATTCATTCCCGCATTTGCATTGGCTGTTGGTTGTCGCATCGATGTGCCAGGCATGGGTGCTTGATGGAAGGCATTCTCATCTAGCATATCAGCCAGACCATCATCAGCCACTTCGGTTTCATCCACGTACAATTGTTCAGTTAACGCTCGCATTTTGAGCAACCATGCTACCTATGGTATTCGTTCATTGAAGGTTTTCGGTTTTCTTTTTCAGAGAAAAAAAAACAATCTACTTGATCATTTGAGTTTTTGTCCAGTAAATCCGTTGTGACTTCGACACACTGTTCAAATTTTCGTCGTCGATAATAACTTATTGCCTGAAATAGTGGATCTAGTTGCGGCATGATTCACTCGTGATATTGATCTTAATCCAAAGCGAATTGTACAACCATACATTGCATAGCATACCGTATCGTTGCTTAGAGAGACATATGTGGCGACACACCGTCGATCTCAAATAAAACCAACGAAAAATTTGACAAAACAATTCAAAATCATTCTGAATGGATTTAATTGAAAAATTTCTCAACATAATTTTCATTTGAGAAAAAGCTTTACAACATATGATGATGTGGTGGCTATTCTGATTGGCTGATGGAAATGATTTCTATTTGAAAAGTGGACCTATTCATTGATGTGTCATTAATATTTTCATATTTCGAACAATGTTAGGTATATCAGTGAACATTTTCGTCGTTTATCTTCTGTTTCTCTCCAAACAAATTGGTGCTAATGAATTGACGTTTGAATTACCAGATAACGCGAAAGAATGTTTCCATGAAAAGCTCAAAGTTGGCTCCAAATACACATTAGAATTTCAAGTTGTGACTGGAGGAAATTACGATGTGGATTTGGAACTGAAAAGTCCGTCAGGTCGAGTTTTGTATAAAGAAGCCAAGAAACAATACGATCAAATTGAGAAAACTGCCGAAGAAGAAGGTGTCTACGTCTTTTGTTTTAGTAACGAATTCTCCACTATTAGTCACAAAGTTATTTACATAGGTTTGTAGATCGACGAGGAAAGATGATTCTTAGATTGTGAGTTTTTCTTCGTATAGATTGGAGAGTCGATGGAGATCCAGAACATGAAATTAAGGGAAACAGTCCACAGGTGGCACAAGGCGCATTGACAATGGTAAGTTGTTTCATTGACGTCAGAGAAACAACTAATCGCTTTTTTGATCATTTAGATTGAATCAAAAGTTGGCGGAATTCATGAAAATCTGGAAAAAGTTATCGATTATCAAACTCATCATCGTTTACGTGAAGCAACCGGTCGTGCACGTGCTGAAGATCTACAAGAACGTGTGCAAATCTGGTCGTTAGGACAGTTTATTCTAATCATAATTGTGGCAATAGGAACTGTCCTTTTACTTCGCTCGTTCTTCACTGATCGTAGACCAGCATCCAGTATGTCCTGGCATCGTTAAGACAGTTTTATTCCTTGGTGATTGTTGTTCTTTCTTTCTTTCTCTATAAACGAATCTTTCATATTCAATTCTATTATTATTATTATTATTATTGTTGTTAGTCTTTTTATTATTGTTTCTCATCATTTATTTCAATGTATAGTTTAATTTCTATCTCACAAACAAGAACTTTCTTTCGAACAACATAATAACATACCGTGAAAATAAAGACAAAGGAACATTTGTATCTCTGTCGCTGAATTTTCCTCACTATCGTATAAGGATGAAGAAATCAAACTTCAATTCAAATTTGACAAACACTTTGACATTGAACAGTCGGGGTATTGTGAATGAAAACGTGTATAGGACACGTTTCTTTCTTATTCCTTTCTTCAAGACCATACCTGACTGTTAGCAATCGACCGTTCGTCTTTTTTCTCTCTGTTCTGTTCTTTTGAAATAATGACATTCTTTTTCTTTTCATCGGCTGAATGAGAACGATCGAACGAACATTCTTCCGTGTGGTTACGTCAAATGACGTGCACGAACACAAACGCACATAAATCAACAACATTGGCAAAAAGAGACGAAGGACGTCAATTTTCATGCATTTTTTTCTGAAACAAATACGCGATTTGTCCAAACAATCAATCCAATGGAGTGAAACCAATAACAGAAGTAAGCCATATAAAAGAAATCTAAATCAGAAATTCTCGTCTAAACCTAGGCCATAAGTTTTTATTGCATTCTTGAGAATCAATTGAAAAACAAACGAAGAGTTTTCTTTTGCTAAACTCACGTTCGTTATTTCTCAACAGAGTCCAGTGAAAGACGCTTGTTTCATATTACACTTAGTAGAAAATGTCGTCCTTATATAACAACGGGTTCGATGTCGTAGCTATTTTCTTATTCATAATCAATACTGATCCTCTATGCAATCTTCTTATTCCTTCTCATATTTTTTTTCTCAACATTATTTTGTTCATAGAATAGAATATTAACAGAGAACAATGCATGGATCATTGATTGATTCTCATCATCGATCGTCATTGAGTGGAAGTGGCCACGATGGTATCTTATCCTCATCTGAACATACACTTACCGACGATGAACTGATGAATAAACCATCAACAGATGTCGATCCGTCTGGTACGTCGGCCAGCATTCATTCGCAGAAAACGACAAGATCTATCGATGATACAAACAACAATCACAAGACATCTCCTATGAGTACGACAGCAGATTCGGGTGATTTTTTCCGTTGGACTCGTGGCCATCGACATGTCATGTTAACATTTTGTACGATCTGTTTGTTTGGTTTTATGACCGGTGTGGAATACGCAGTTATACTTCCTACCGCATTCGATTACGTTAAAACCATGGCCAATGCTAACATTTATGTTGGTTTAATTCTTTCCGCATATAGTATATCAGGTTCGATAACTGGAATCATTATGGGCAAAATCTCGGATGTTACAGGGAAAGTGAAGTTTCTTATATTAATCTCGAGTTTATTCGAAATCGCTGGAAATATACTTTATTTTGCCGGAGGTAATATTCAGCTTGTTCTTCTGGGACGATTAGTAGCTGGTGTTGGAATGGGTGCGGTGCCTCCCGTAAGTTCTATCGAAAACTTGGAGTTCTTGATTGCTTACAACTATCTGTTGTAGATTCTCGCTGATGTTGCCCATCGGACAACAGAACACGAGCGAACCAAAGCGATTTCAATTATTCTTGGCTGTCGACAGCTTGGTAGGAGCTTTGTATGAATTTATCACAGTTTCAGCTTCTCTTTTAGGCCTCTTAATCGGACCATGTTTTACTCTACTTATTCGTTTGATGAACTTTCATATAGGATCTGTTCGTGTTTATAACTTGAATGGTCCGGGTTTTCTGATGGCTATCATTTGGCTTATCTTAGTTATTGTTTGTTGGTCTTGTTTCCACGATCGAACAACAGGCCCGAACTCGCAAAATACTTCACATAAAGACAAATTTTCTAAATCCGATCATTACTCTCGACAAGACGAGCAGAAAATTTCCTTTAAAACCTATCGCGAACAGTACATACGCATAGAAATGATTGTTCTGTTCGTAGCAACATTTATAACCTATTTTAATCAAACCGCTTTAGAAACTATCGTTGCGGCGTACACAGAAAAACATTTTAAATGGACTGTTGTTCATACGTCTATTTTGTTTGCTTTTGCCGGCCTAGAAATTCTCCTCGTTTATTTAGCACTCGTTAAAATCTTCACCAAACGATATGAAGATCGCATTTTACTCGTATTCGGCTTTTTATCGTTATCACTCGCTTGTATAGTTGGTACTTTTCTCACATGGGGAACTCACTCATTCAACTTGTTCTCCCGAACAAGTGCAAATGGTGTAAATACAAATTTACTCGCGCTATTTATTACGTTTGTGATTCTTGATCTACTTGGTTTACCATTTATCGCAGCAACCAGCGTATCACTGTTTACGAAGTTGACAAATAAACAATTGCAAGGCTTTTCACAAGGGATCCAACGATCGATTATGGGAATCGGCACAATCGGTAAGTTCGAATAACTTTTGTTTTGTTTTTTATGCTGAGATATATGCACCAATCTTTCTTTAGTCGGTCCAATCTTCGCTTCATCACTTCTAAACCGTCTACATATCATGATGACCGCAATGCTCATACTAACATTATTCACTTCCATTTCAATCCTTATCGTTATCAGGCGTTTACTTCCATTAGCTGAACAAACTCAAACAGATGGATTAGAAGACATCAATAACAATATACACAATCATCATATACTATCATCGAAAACTGATAATAATCAATCGGAATTAGGACTGATTTTACCATCGAAGAATTCTTATACAACGCTTATCCAACATGACGATGATGATGTGTTTCTAAGAACAAAAAGTCAGTCGAATGGTGATCGCCAACATCGGACATCAAACCATCAAAATAAGATCTAAAATTCAGTATTCTTCTTTGTACAGGCGTAGAACACACAGTACGGGCAAACTCTTCTTAGGAATTCGTAACTATTTACAGTTTATTACGCATTTTTTCTTCTCTCTTCTTCTTGTGAAGTCAAAGCTCGAAATATTGACACTGTTTAATCCGTTTTCTTTTTATCAATCATTTCAAACGAGTTCAAATAGTTGGTTTCATCTTCCCTAATGGAAACATGTTTGTATCAATGAAATGTTATCATCGAAATGAAATCGTACGAATATGTGTCCATTAGATCCATAGCTTCTTAATTTATTTCTATTTCTAACTATAAAACACACGTTCGTCTTTATCAAAAAGAAAATCTACAATACGGTAAACATCAATGAGTAAAGTATCCTCGAAAAAAGATCGTTTTCTAACAAGAACGGTTAACTCCTGTTGTAGATTTTATTTGTTTAGCTGATGTTCATTGTTCAGTTAAACAAATAAAACTTTGATTTTGTTTCTTTTACTACGTGCTAATTTGAACATTTTTTCTAAATTAGTATTCATTCGAATCTATCTAAAACTTTGAAAGAGTAATCATTCATGCTTCGAACAATCGGCGAATATGGAATGAATAATAGTAAAAGAAAAGCTGAATTCTTCAGATCAAATCAGTTTGGTTTAGTAGACCGTTTTATATAATGGTTTTTAAGCGCTTCGATACCTCCTAGAATGATTTCGAAAGGATCTGGTTCGGTTTGAGGCACGAACGATGGTGGAGGTAATTGGGTTCGTCGAAGTATTGATTTCGGATATATTGTTGGAGGTGGTGGGACGTCTGGATGACCGGTATCTTGTTGATGTTGATTTAAACTTTCAGATTTAGCAAAAAGTCGATTACATTGTTGGCATCGATAATCGGATACGTAATGATTTTTATCTTTTTGATGCTGAGTTTGAGAGATTTCGGTAAAGAACGTATCATTACATACTGGACAAGTGAAAAGATGTTTTTTAGCTGATTGATGTTGTTGTAAACTTTGAATTGATTCGAAATCAGTTGAGCATTTGGGACATGGATTCTTTTTCATAACTTGATTACTACTTGCTACCGACGACGTCTTTACAGGAACATATGGAGACTGATCTCGTCGACGTAAACTTCGATTACGACTAGAATGACGTCTTCGACTATGCGTCGATTGTGCTCGTGATACGCGTACCTTACTTGTTGTTTCGGAATCATTTATTGATGCCACAGGTCGTTGTGATGACGGTAAAGTAAACAGTTCCCATGGATAATGTTCATGCACTGTTGCTTTGAGTTCTTCTTTAGCTGGCTTATTATGTATGACAATAACAAGAAAACCAGCTCGATGTCGAAGGGCACTGAGCGCTCCGACAAAATCGATATCACCGGATATTAAAACGATCGTGGCTGGTGGATGATGGATCCGTTCAAAACGGGCTAAATCGAGCATGATTTGTCGATCAGCAGCACCAGATTTACGATCAGGAACATGAACAATACGAACATTGGCGTGGCTTAAATTGACGAGATTCATTTCTGAGATTGTCGCACTATTGCAATAACACGAAAAGTCCGCTTCTTGGAGACCAGGTTCAATGACGAGTTTCTCTCGAATACGCTGGACGATATCGAAAGGTCTTTGCCCTCTAGGTATAGGAACATTTTCAATATCCCAAAAGAAACTGACGAAATGTCTTGATCCTTTGGGATTGTGCACTTGATGAGATAGCACAGTTGGGTGTCGGAAAAGACAAGTAACATTACGACAAGTGGCTGGCCAGCGTGAACACGTTTCTATTTGATTAATAGCTTCACGACAATGTCGATACCGACATTTATCATCTAATTTACAGTAACCGCTGATAAAATACATACAGTCAGTGAGATATTTTAAATCAGATTGAAGATGATGATTTATGGCCGTAGCCATTGAAGAAGAGAAATCTGAAAAGACGAAGAATTTGTTTCGCTTTATAGTCCAAATTCAATCATTCATCGACCAAATTGATTGACATAGTGATTTTATTTACTCTCGTCATATTGAAAAGCGTAGTTGTTGTAAAAATGGCAACAACGTCGGAAGAAAAACAGAAAAATAAAAGTTGTAACGTGAGAAGAAAAAGTGAGAAACTATAGATGAGGAGAACAGGGGCTTTTGGATGTTGTGGGCATATTAGGTAAAATTTAACGCGCATTCTTTGTCGAAATATTACTACAAGCAATGATTAGACTGGTACTCAGCTACGCACTTTTAATCCATGAAGATCTGCCGTTAGACGTATTCTTACGGTAGTGACTACAAATATAAGCCGGCGAATAGGCACTATCATCTCAAACAAAGTTGTGTGCATTTGTAGACAAAGTTTAAGTTTATTTTCTGTCTTTTTCAAATAGCAATAAAATAAAGTCATTTTCTAATATACTGAGTATCGACACTTTCACACAAGATGGCAACAGATTGTCGCGAGCTTAATCATGAATGACAATGCGAAGCAGCTGTGCCAAATAAAAGATCTGTATGTTCGACACGGCATAAGACATCGATTATTTCCAATGTTAGATTAAAGCTACCCAGTCAGATTTGCTCATATCATTGAGTGTTAATCTAGCATAATGTAATTGCGAAAGCAGCATATCAAGAACACGGATGACTCATTCGGTGTGCTGACGTGCTTCACAACGTGTCACTTTTTTTGTATTCAGTCTGTCGACTATAAATGCCACTTGCCAAAACGCGTTCACTATCCCATTTTTGCAAATTTCGAAACAATACCATTGCGTTCAGGACGATTTACTGTTAGACGTTTGTTCAAACCTCGAATGATCAAATCTTTAGTTCAATTGAATTAGATAACGTTGATAGTCAAATGGGTCGACGTAGACGTAAGGTTGCTTTTACTGCAAACTTCTGCCATATATGTCTAGCACCGCACAAATTATCATTCTCATCAATACCTCGTTGTCCTGAAAGTGTGAATGGGTGTCGACCTAATACTTGTGATTCATGTTTTGTTCAACATATTAATCATATTCTTTCACAAGATATCACCGGAAAAGTTATTTGTCCAGAACAGAATTGCGCGAGGTTATTAACAGAAAATACAATTCGTAGTGCACTGCTTAAATTTAATTATGATGAGCTGTGGACATCGTATTTATCGAAACATAACTGGTATGGAACAAGTGACGAATGGATCGAACGATTCTCAAAAAAATGTCCCCAGTGTCAAGTACCTATCGAAAAAAATGGCGGCTGTTCTAATATGAAATGTACCCAATGCTCATTAAATTTCCAATGGCATCTGGTAGAAGCATGGAGTCAAAGTAGAATTCCCATCTGGTGGAGAAGGCACAAAAATAGATACATACGATTATTTTTCGTATGTCTTGCCGTTATAAGTATGTTTTTCATTGCAAAACTTTGTTATCCTTTTCTGTCACCATATCTTCATGAAATTTCCCGTCGTCAAGATAAAGTCGCACTTTAGTCTAGATGATAAAGTTGTTTTGGTCTGTAAATTAAATAAAATCACAGGAAAACTGATTATTAAATGAGAGGTTTTATTTTGTTCTCTAATTGATCTTCATTGTTTGTTTCTTTGTAAATATAATATATACAGCTTGTTGAATAACCATGAATTTAATTGATAGCAATTGTTCTAGCTGAACTTCGATTTCTTTCTCATTGACACACATTAATGCTCTACGAACAATGTGTGTGTGTACACATATTACAATAATTGCGTTAATTATGTTCAGTTACCATGACTGAGTGTTATCTTGAACTACTAACCGAGCCTTGTCCGCGACGATAGTCGAGAAAGATGGAGAAGAAAAGAGAGGAGAAGAGAATATACTCTCGCTTTCTTTTTCTTTTCGATTTACTCTTTGTTTGAATTTTTATTCGTTGTCGTTCTATCGTTACCATGCATCATTGATTTCTCATTTATATTAATTGACAAACGTATAACTCCTCAAACATTCATTTTTCAATAGATCGCGACAGTTGAAGAAGCACGAGATAACATGTAAGTAGTACGACTTCTCTTTTCTACTCACCTTACACATTCGACGTAGTCTTACAATCGAATACTATCTTTAGGAACCCATTCGGCGCAAATCATTTCGGTGGTGGTTTTCCACCTCAGTATCCAGGTCCATTTCCTCAACAAGATTTCGGACAGTATGGTGGTAATCAAGGCTATTACAATGCCCCTGCTCCATTCCCACCCGGAAACGTCTATTCCAATGGTTCACCATTTGCACCTCCAGCTGCTTATCCACTTCCTCCAGCTTATGCTCCAACACCTGCCTATCCACCACCACCACCACCATCACTCGCAGGACAATTTGCTCAACCTCCTGCTTTTCCTCCTGCACCGGCATACCCTGTAGCTTCTGTAGGTGCTCAATATCCTCAACCTCCAGGTTATCCTCCACCGCGTAATAATTACGGCTTTCAACAACCACCCTACAATCCTGCTTATAACCAAGCTAAGCCACAACAACAGGCTCCACCACAACAACCACCGCAACCCCCAGCTCCTCAATCATCGGCTGTTCCCTACGGCAGCGTTCCTTACGGTCAACCTCGATCGCAATCAAATCGTCGTCAAACTGAGGCGCGTCGTCGATCAACTTCACATCGTCGTCGTCGATCCCCATCGTCCTCAAGTTCATCATCATCGGGTAGCACATACGATCCTCACAACCAAGGTCAAGCTTACAATGGTTACAACAATCCTTATGTCAATGTTCAGCCATATCCAAACATGGCACCGATATCTGGTGCACAAAATGGTTCGCCCATGATTCCTCCTCGTCCACCTATTTGGTAGTTTTTTCTCGTTCGTTTATTTTTTATTCGGATGACATAAACATTCCAGTAAATCTCCCTATAAACAAAGGTACTTTGTTGTTAATATCTCGTAAATAAAATAGAAAAGGTCTTGAAAATGATAGTCGTACTGGATCTTCATGCAAAATCATTCCTGAACGAGAAAGCATTTGAACGACAGTAACAGCGGCTGCTTCCGTGCCAGCTTCATCAACATCAATAACTGCTTTATGTAAAATTTTCGACATATATAATTCTTTCGATCGGCCCGAACTCATCAAACTGAAATCAGCTTTGTCGGCATCGAACGGTGCTTTAACATTATACAATCGTTTGAAATGTTCAGCAAAGTCCAATTTTGACTCAATACGAAATTTGGGTAATGCTAATTGCACACGTGTATTGCTAATGGTACGATTGTCAAGTGTCGAGAAGATATTGTTTAAAATCTTGGAATTACGTAAAAGTTTCTTTTCTAAAACGCGCAATTCGATATCTTTATCGGGCAGAGCGAGTGTTAGCACGTAACGATTATTTCCTTTGTAGGGTAAATTAATCCATTGTGATTGATGTTTTTTATCATGATAATAGGGGAAATGTGATGTCAAATGCATTGTTTTCAATTCAATTGTACGACCTGTGTTCAATGTAAAATTTTCCTTGCTTGTGATATCCGAATCGAACGGTTTCGCCCATGGTGCTTTGAAATGTAAAGTATTGACGAGCATTAGACTGGTCATCGGATTAATATCTCTTGCATTGAGAATATTTTTGATAATATTATTTGTTTGATTCGATATCCATTGATTAATTTTGTTGGCTGACATCTGTGCCTGACTAAAATCGATTAATTCCAATTGACTTTCATAAAACTTCTTCAAATTCTCATTAAATTCATTGTCTAAATCAAAATCATTATCAGCATACAAACGATTGGCGATATTCACCGAGATATTATATTGACGATTGTCTTTCGCAAGTTTTTTAACATCACTAAGATAACTTGTTGACCATTCTCGAGCGGCTGCTTTCGTTTGTAAATGTGTGATTCGTTGCATTTCAGTAAACGTTTCTCCACTAGCACCTTCGGCAACCATTAACATTGCCTCGTAAAGACTCAATGGTGACCAGACAAGCGAACGGCGACCCACAACATCCGGTGATGAATGAAAACGGGTGAATCCAGTAGTGAAATCCAATATCGATTTCGAGAGATCTTTCTCGCCGTGAACTGCATGATTCAACTGTAGTACGATAATTGATGACAGAACTTGATAGAGAAGACTTTCGACACAACGCATGTTGAAGGATTGTAAAGAGTGAATGATAGCGATAACATTATATGCATGTACATTTGTCTATCGCCCTTTCTTTCTCCTTCTCTCATATATTCGTTTTCTTTTTCATATTGACTTAACAAGATAGATCAAATATTCTTCGTTCTTCACATACGTTTGTCTTCATCATCTCTTTCTTCTAATCCACGATTCGTAGGACAAGAAAAGAAACGACGAAATAGATTGTATATCAATACTCATCGGTTGAAAATCGAGACAGACATATCCTTATCGATCTGTACACGAAGAAGATATTCTCTATGTTCAGAGCAACACGATAAGACACTCATCAGCTTGCATGAATCGAAATTTCGTTCGAATTGTTAATAGTAAAAACGTCATTTCATGTTTTCGAATATGACGGGAGGACGAAAAAACGAAATTAATTACCCGAATCAAAACTGTTCTATCACGCACTCGAACTATTTCTGTGCGCTATGGTTCTTTCGTAATGTATTGATATCATCGGTAAAATAGGAAAGAACAAATCAAATTTGTTGTTTATTTCATTATGTCACATCTAATCGTGTATACTAGTCGTCTATGAATAGTTTGCTAATGAGTCGCAATTATCTTTAACTATGACGTCGATTCGATATTTCTTGTCCGAACGAGGAAAACGAGGACGATTGAATCAGGATATAAAATACTTTGTTTTTGCTTTTTCGATGACTCACCTTTTACGAGAGAAAAAAATCCGAGTGTATCAGCGGAGTATGATTGCATTTCTCTTAAGTCTTAAGACCATGAAATTTGATTCGACGCGGATCAGTTTTCCTAGAGAAAAGAACTGATTTGAAACGATTCTTTCCATCGTTATACTCATATACGAGATTTCCCGTTTCGAACAAACGAGCAAATAGCCTGTGGAAATGATTTATATTGATTTTTTTATTTAAAAACAACATTGATATTCTTCTTATTCCAAAATACAGAATAATGAACGATTTTAGTTTCACCTTGCACATGTACTCGACATCTCTGGTTAATAATTCATCTAGATCGACAAAGCAAAATATTTTCCCCATCTATTTCCGATTCAAACAGAGAACATTCTCCGACGAGATGAGTAATTGAAATTTCTATTAGCATTCTCTCAGGTCAGTGAACCTGCGTTCGTATCTGACGGTCTGAAGGTGAAATGTCATCAAGGTTGCTGCGCATCGAAAGTTGAATATTCTAATGAATTCATATCGTAAGAGAACTGAACAATTGATATTCGAATATCTCACTTGACTGTCAAGGTTGAAGAGATGATGCTAACGATTGACCATCATCGAGAAAGCATTCAATAAATCTAGATGAATGATTTTATAAGTAGAAAGATTTCATTAAACAAAAAAAAGAGAGAGATATTGAACAAAAAACTATCTGTCAAGGTTTTCTTTTTCTTCATTATGATAAATGTTTTACATAACTAAGATCAAATGTACACATACATTATTTAGGCTTTTTTACTGTTCTTCATCAGTGAGAGCACTTCGAGTTGTATTACAAAAGAAAAACATCGATGCAATCTATCATCTGCTATTAAGAAAGAAAGAAAAAGAGAGAGAGAAAAAAAAACGAAGCGAAAGTTCTCAAACACACACACACATAGGCTAATCAAGTATATTAAAGATAAAAGAATGAAAAGTTCTCGTTTGCTTTTGTTTTTCTTTGTTGTATTGCATAGGATATCAGAGAGAATCAGTGGTGAAAGAAGAGGAGAGTATTTACACTAAATATCTATGAGATTGACCATCATCGGTGCCGAGAATATCGTTTTGGACGGATGAAAAACGCAAATTTCTCCTAATTTCCTAGCCGAAGTGATCGTTGACGTAGAAGAAAAATAAATAATGGTAATAAGAGAACATTTTTGGAAATTAAAATAAAATTCAAATATTTCATAACCATTTCTCCTAGAGGTTGTTGAATTCGTTGAATCAAATTTGTTGTTGTTGTCGATGATCCGGATGTAACAGGGGGTATCACAGTTATCTTGGGCGGACGAACACATTCCGGACAATAATGTATGCATCCTAATGGAGGACTGCTCTTGTATAGAGTGTAAATTAAATCATTTTCGGAATGGGATTTGGTGAGACGAGCTCGTGAAGCTTTGAAAATTTTACTTGAATGATCAAGGGAATGATAACCAGACGAGGAGAGAAATCTCGAATCTGTATGCGTAAGATCGTCGTCAACACTCGGAGATGTACCGATGGTTTTGTTATTGAAACGAATGGAATTCAAGTCGGAAAAGGTATCGAAATCTTCATTGTCGGTATCATCGAGAGAGAAACGAAAACCATTACTTGCCGCTAACGAGCGATTAACTGTCGTCGATTTCTGATGACAAGAATTAAGAAATGCGTGAATTTGAGAGTGATTATCTAGATCTGTTTGTATCGAACTGAAACAAAACATTGAATACGACTTTGTAAATACGATCCCCTTACTTTTTCGATGTATCAGTACTGACTACTATCGTGGGTCGTTGATGATTCACTTGTATTAATGTATTCGGTTCCTCTTCTTCTTCGTCGTCGTCTTCCTCATCATCATCGTTTTCTTCACTCGTAGAATTGTATTGTTCATTAGGAATTGACGGAGATGGCGAAGACAACAAGTAATGCTGTTGATGATATAATGGTGAGGGAACTTGCCGCTGCTGACTGGTATTTACATTTATATGTTTCGACAGAGATGATGTCGAGCCATTGACAATCGATGACGACATCGAATTTCGTCGAGAATGTCTTACTATTTGCTTTACACAATTCGCTAGTGCGGTCGGTTCAGTGCCACTTCGTAATCGACCATCTTCAGTAAACAACTGTTGATACATCATTTCGATAAACATCAATGGATCTTCAACATCAGGTAAATCAAGTGAAACGGACTGATGATTGTTCGATCGAGACGTGGTCGACCGTCGTGGCGAACCGTCGGAGCTCGTCGTGGTTAAACTTCGCCGACGACTATAATGCGTTGCTGATGAAAAGTCATCATCAGTCGGAATAATCACGGGTTTAGCGATGGGCGTCGGGGCCGTATTAGCAGTTGACAGTGATTTCTCCTGACGAGAATTAATGAACACAGGTTTGTAATTAACTACGATAATATTTTTATTCTTGTGAGATTTATCTTGTTTATTATTCATTTGATTTTCGATTAATGTCATTAGTTCTTTAAGATTGTTTGGTGACGATGGCACCGTTTCATGTGAGTTACTCGACGATGATGAATGACGAAAGATTCGTTTACGAGGTTTAGTTGTTCGTCGACGCCGGTGAACAAAGACACGAACATTTTCTTTACGTTTGGGAATTGAGTTTGATGGATGGTTGCTTTGCCTATCATTCATCATTGGATTCAACGTGCTCTAAAGTCATACGATGAGTACGTTATCGATACTAGTTAGGTGAGAAAAAGAAAAGCAGGTGTTCTGTACCTCTTGTTTTCGATGTTCTGCCGTTGTTTGTGCTGCAAAGCAAGTTTTCTCTTTTGCGGTGTTTCTCTCAATACACCCCAACTGCTCATAAGGATAAAATATAGCGCTTGTGTCGACTGTAGGACGGTCGCGAGCAGAAAACTGAAATAAAGAAGCTTCTGTTGCTTCTGCTCTGCTGGTTGATAATGGTGATTTTTTGTTTCGTTCTCTCGCTCTCTCCTTTTTCTTCTCCTTTCTTTTTCTACTCTCGGCTTTTCTTTTTAACCTTGTTTGTTTTCTACGTTGACGTTGAATAAGACAGTCTGCCACGACCGCTGCTGCTGCTGCGGCAGTTGATGATGATGATGATGAAGAACGGATGCCGTGCTCGTTGTTATCGTTAACAAGCAAGCCGAGACGAAAATTGTCATTATTCTGTTTCCATTGCCTTGTTCTTCTACTGGAAATAATCGAACTATTGTGCGCTGTCTTCAATGTTCCTTTATTATAATGATTATTTTCTGTTGTTTGACAAAATGAGTTGCAAAGGCATGTGAAATTGTTTTGTAATGACGGGGCTGATATCGAAGGCAAATATGATGAATTTACTTTTACCTTTTGTCGTCGTTGTTGTTCTTGTTTTTGCTGGTGACAACAGGTGAATAAATCGCGTGAAGATGATGAATGGTTTTCTTCGGATGATGATGTCATGGAATAACAGGAGCTTGTAAAAGATTTTTCCGCATGGTCGCACTCGTCATCTTCCATCATGGAGAGTTCGTCGAGATCCGATGAAGTTCCCATTCCATCTTCGTATTTCAAATCGTGAATAAGGGTTGAAGCAATAAGCGACGACGAATGTGAGTGTGAAGACGTTGATACTGAAGGTGATACGACTAAAGGACAAACAAATGAAAACGAAATCAAAACAAACATATGTAAATACAATCATCAATCGATATTTGATACGAAGAATGAAAAGAAAAGCGGCTACGTAAGAAGAAAATCTTGAAAAGGAATAAGATCGAAGACATTACAACACACTTCCATGATTATATATTGTTTTTTTGATTTCTAAGCGATTTAAATCATCACATCACTGTAATGAATAGTTTGAATAGAGACTCCTTATTGACATAACACTCAATAGCTGAAGGCACAAGCTGAGAATATACGATTTCATCGCTTTTGTCTTTATACTCTTATTGAACCTACCTAACGTTGTCTGTTGTTCAAGATTTCGATGTAATGCATACATCTTAAGTGACATATTCTAACGTAAAATAAACTGATCCCACAGCCAGATATATGCATATATAGGTATGTGTGTGTGTGTGCGTACGAAATGAAAATATCCCTAAACTGGTGCACTAGAAGAAAAATGAATAATACTTGCCCTGAGGGCATACAATCGTGTGTATGATCATCTTGTAACTAATAATAGAGATGAATATCATTAGACAGATGAAAATCATCAGCCATTGAAAAGACAAAAGAGAAAAATGAACTTGTTTGTACGAACCTGTTTGTGATCGAATATCATCGTCGTCAAGTTGATCGTCGATGTCTGTGATCGATGAAAGTCTTGATCGTGCTGATATGAACGAAAGTGTTGGTGATAATGATCGATCTGTCTGCATTGATCTTTGTCTGTATATCTAAATTATGGGAGAAAAATATGATGATGATGATGATAAGAAAGAGAGAAAGAATAGATTAAATACCGGAATTGGAGATGTGTTTTCTTGCTCGAGCGATTTCATCGAAATTAATGACTCGATCGGTCGAAATTTCTGAAATTGAATAGTGCGATTAACAGTCGCTCTTGTGTAATACAAAGGATTGATTTTCAATGGGTCTGCTCGTTTGAGCAATGTGACATTATATTCCGTATTAATTTGTGCTACATCTTCAACACTACTTGTCGGAGAATCTGTTTGTATTACATTATCATTAATTTCAATGACTCTCTCTAATGTTGGTCGAATCGATGTTTGGCGATAATTAGTAGGAAAGATTATTTGTTCTCGTGTATTTGTATAAGTAAATGGTAATGATATTGTTAGAGAAGAAGGTTCTTCGTTCGACTGATTGTCTTCAACAAGACTAATTGGTTCTGAAGAAAAGAAAGAACAAATCTTTATTTGAGAAGAAAAGACACACATAAAAATAGACTCTAACTTGCTGGAACTTCATCGACATCGCTTAGGTTTGCCGGTTCGATAGTCTCGTCTGAACGTCGATCGAAATCAAATAAACTTTCATTGTCACTGTCGTTGTCGTATATGGACGACGTTTCTAAACTATTTTCCGGTATTGATTCATTGAGGGTCGTCGTTCGAGCGAGACTGGTACGTCGTTCATTGGCCAAACGTTGTGCTTCTTGTAAGTATAAAGCACTTCGACGACGAGCTTCATTATTGCGAAGATGAGGATCAATAACGAAGCCATCTGTTCCATTCTCATCCGTTTCATTAGCAAGTATTGATGTAGTTGGACTACGATGAAGGTTGTTCTTGATATATTCTAATTCTTCAATTTGTTCTTGCATTTGTTTCTGTTGCCAATCGATCCAGAATCTAATAGAAGAAAGATTCATAAAGAAAAAAGATCGTCAAGTCGCATTTTCTTTGCTGACCTCTCCGGAATATCGTGTGCTCGTTCGAGAATTTTCGTTGATAAGCCAAATCGTTGATTAGGCACGAATGACGTTGTCGAAGCAGGCGTGCTCTGTTGGCGTGCATAGCTTGGCAAACTGGCGAAACTATTAGTAGAACTCGGTGTTATTGACGAAAAGGGAGAGTACGGTGATGTGATTGGATAGAGAAGAAGATCTGGCACGACTTCTTTTTGAAGTTCTCGAACGCGTTCGGCTAATTGTTGGTATTGATGTTTTTGAGATGTTTCGTTGGCCTTCGTCGCAACTGTCGATATGTCAGCTAATGCGTTTCGACGCACTGTTCGCTTCGATTCGATATGTTTCGGTACCGTCTGCTTTCCAAGTTCACCCGATTGATAAGCTTTTCGAACACGTGACCATCGATTAGTCGCCATTAACAAACAATATCACGCAATGAATACAATCGTATAAATGAAATGATAAGAAACTGGGACACACGATTTATCTTCTCTGCTTTTTACAACGTCGACAGGTAAGTATAATTATCCGATTGTAAAACTCACGAAATACCTATGTGAATAACTTACTGTACTTAAATGATTTCTTAATAGACGAAGTAAACCTTCGTCAGAGTCTCTATTGATAAAAAAATATGTAGTACTATTTCGTGTTTCAACGTGGTCCTATTTTTGCCATTGTGTGCACCAGATGGGATTTATGTGTGGTTAACTAGTCGTTCTTTTTTTTTATTTATTTTTCTTTTTCAAAAGAAGAAAAACGAGAAAATCGTCGGACTTTGTGAGAAACAAATTAAATGAATAACAAGAAGAATAAAAGAAGAAAAGTCCGACCAATTTAAAACTATTGCTGTTCTTTGGTTGTTTGTTGTTCAACAAATTCCGGATATTGGGTACACAGTTCACCCCAAGTGACTGTACCAGTAGAAAGACCTTGAAGGATAGTTGCGATCTCATCAATCTATGAAAACAAGACAACGATGTAATTGATAATTGTAACGAACAAAAAGAACATTTTCTTGTTACCTTAACACGAATTTGTTTAAATGTATCACGTTCACGCAATGTCACTGAATACGGTTGTTTAAGTGTGTCAAAATCAATTGTAATTGCGAACGGTACAGCGATTTCATCGGAACGTGAGTACCGTCGGCCAATTGTACCGCTACTCGTATCGATTTTATGCGAAATGCCAGCTTGAATTAATATGGCAGCTAGAAACAATTCGATTATGAGGAAAATGTGCATCACAAGAGAAAACACATACAGATTTGCTTAACATATGGTTTAAATTCTTCGTTACCACTCAACGGTAAAATAACACACTTGTACGGAGTAATCAATGGCGGTAGAGTGAAATACTTAAGACAAACGGTAATTGTAAGAGAAAATTTTGCTGAAATAAACTTACTGTGCGTTGTTCGTCTTCGGGTCGGATGCGGAAGTTATGTTCCCACATAGCGTACATGATACGACCAATACCGAACGATGGTTCAATAACCGATGGAACAAATTCTTCCACTTAAAAAATCAATAGATTGAACAAACTTGTGGATAGCTCATAATTTGTACGTTACCTTGTACTGTCTTTTCGATGGATCGGAATGTAAACATCTTTCGTGTGATAGCAAATTCTTTGCCATCAATATTGATTTTTTCATCACTAGAACCAGAACACATTTACAAGTCAAAAATTCTCTTGTTTTATTTACCCTTGTTCAAGTTTGTCGTGTAATGCTCGTGCGTCATCATGCGAAAGTTGCTGTAGATGTTTTGTAATAGTTGCTGTGTCTTTACCGAACGATTTACCAATCACATTCGCATAAGCTTGAACTTCATTAACTTGAACCTTTTTCGGAGCTGGAAGTGGACGTTCGGCAACAAGACGTTCACCGCTGAATTTCATGTGCTGTGTTAGATCATAACATGATCGATCAGCACAACCAACGCATTCTACCCAACCGTAACTTGTTTTACATTCGGCATCCCAACAATCGCAGGCATAGTGAGCCATTTCATTGCTCATATGTTGACGGAAACGTAATTTACGCTTGTCGACACCAACTTTAGTCATGAATTGATAAATACGACCGATGAAATAACCGAGAGTTTCGTTGTTGATCAATTTAGAATTGACCGCATCGCCTAAACGAACTACTTGAGCTGATTCACCGCTCATTTGATTCGATGCTGAGTAGAGTTGAATTTGAAGATCAGCAACCGTTTCAAATTTCGGGTGACTCTTGTCAGTTGGATCAACGAAATGTTCGATTTCAGCCATAGTAAATTCACTAAAAATGAGAGGAATCGATAGATGTGTTTCTTGTCTTCAATAAGGAAACGGATTAACGTACCGAACTCGAATCAAACCTGATCGGGGCGAGATTTCATTTCGAAATGAGTTACCGATTTGCGCAGCAGCGAATGGTAAACGACCTTGATTAAATTCTAACAATCGTTTGAAATTCACGAATATGCCTTGAGCTGTTTCCGGGCGAAGGAAACTATACGAAACATCGCATACATATTCTCTCGAAAGATTACTATAAAGAAGAAACAAACCCTTTCACTTGACCGGTTGGACCGATCGAAGTTGCAAACATTAAATTGAACGTAACAGGCTCCGACAGATCGTTATTGGTAACCGGGGATTTCATTTTATATTGTTCAATGACTTTTTGCATATCTGGACCTTTCATATTATCAATCTAATAAAAATTGAATATATTCTAAATGTTTTCATTGTTCAAGATGATCTACCTGCGGTAATAAACGTTCGATTTCTGCCTTCTTTTCAGGATTAATATCCTTTGCCTTGAGTAGCCTTTCAAGCTGAGCTATTAAATGCAAATAATTATAAGAATGTGATCATTATTTGAGCTTACCCTCAATCAAATGATCCGCACGAAAGCATTCACCTGTTTTCACATCTTTCACCATAAAATCTGCGAATCGGTCAACATGACCAGACGCTCTAATAGAATATTATTGATTCATTTCATTAAAACATCATTCGTTTATCTCCGGTTTACTTTAAAACAATCTCCGGTGTTAACATTGAGCAATCAACTTCAAGCATTTGCTCCTCGAGAATAAAATGTCGTCGCCATTCAGCCAATACATTGGCTTTAATTGCACAACCCATCGGACCATAATCATAAAGACCGTTAACACCACCGTAGATTGAAAACGATTGATCATAAAAGAATCGTCGTTTGAGTAAATCTTCCATTTTCAAACGATCAATACTTTCTTCCTTGGGCATCCATTTCGTAATCTTTGAAAAAATCCAATCAGTCAATTCTTCTATCAAACCTAAGGACTTTTACCTGATCCTCTAAAGCTTTCTTACGTAATTTCAGTTCGCTGATAGCTTGTTTGAAATCGGGATCATCTTTGTTCACATTATTGTCTTTCATTTCTTTCACACGATCACCCTACAAACGAAAATCACTGAATACTTGCCGTTTTCATCTCGAATCTTACTTGAACTTTAACAGCTGTTCGAAATGGTTCGAGAATTTTCTCGACATTATCATCACTCATTGGTGTAGCCATGTATCGTTGTATTAATTGTTTGTATAGATTTGTTTCGCGTTTCGTCAAATATCGTTTATATCTATTGGTCGACGAAGATTTGTTGAAAAGAGAGGATGAAGTAGTAAATGATCTGAAGTGTGTGCATGGACGTTTAATAAACGAATTGAACAAAACTCTGACTGTAAATATCGTCATTCAATCTCTTACTTAGATGAGAAAAAAGTTCATTCAAAGCACCTACGCAATCTAGAAATAAACAATAAAAATAAAAATATCGATCATTCCTTTTTCTTCTTGTTAATGATTTTATTTCTTCTTGGAAAAAGTCTTTCTTTTTATCATCAGATGAGACGAAAAACTTGTCTTGATTGTTTTCAACTACTGGAATTAAGTTTTAAAAGTGCAAATTCTTCAGCTAATTGCACGCAATGATCTAACTGGTCATATTCACAATTCGTGCCTTGAGCTTGAGTGTCTTTACCACCGCCACGTCCACCAGCTTCAGCAATGACTTTCTTCACCCACTCATCAGCTTTTAAATGTTTGTCCTTCACTTGAGTCTATGAAAACGAAACTTAATGAATACAAATTCGTTTTGTTCGACATTTACATACATCAGGAACATTGGCAAGACAGACGAATTTCTTTGTTGCATGATCAACGCTGAATAACATGATAGCAACATCGGTGTTTTGTTTACGAACCTCGTTGACGACTGTACTTAGGTTCTTCGTGTCATTTCCCATTTCGAAATTGGCGATTAAACATTTACGATCTGGATATTTGGTGAGGACGCTTCGGCATTCTTCTGTGGCTTTATGAATTTGATTTTTGTTATCAGCCTTTTCGATTTCAACTAAGATAGTCTTCAATTCTTTCAAACGATTACGTTGACCTTCACGGCGCCATTGGGAAATATTTGCTTGGGAAATATCCTTGTCGAATTGAAAGATTTCTTTGTTGAATGTCAATCGTGATGACATTGTTGTGCTGTTGGATGATGAAGCATCATGAACACGACGAGTTAAATCTTCAAGTAAACTATCAAGTTGATCAGCTTTTTTCGAACACTGAAAGACGGAAGATATAACATATTGCATGGCTTATATCCAATCATCTTACCTTTTCTGCTTCAGGACCGGTGACAGCAACGACTCGTCGAATGCCTTTGGCAATGGCTTCTTCCGTGACCACAACAAGACGATCCACATGTTTGCTCGTTTTCAAATGAGTACCACCACAGAACTCCACTGAATATTCACGTCCGTCAGCTTTGGGTGGTTTCGTAAGTAAATCATCGATTGATACACCGATAGAAACCACACGAACTGGATCTGGATATGTTTCGTCAAAGACAGCACGTAAACCTTCGATTTGCTTGGCCTCGGCCAACGATGACTCCTTAGCGTAGACTTTCAACGATTGTTCGATTTGTTTATTACAGACAGTTTCGACGTGTTTAAGTTCATCAGGTGTCATCGCTCCTTTAGCACTGAAATCGAAACGTAAACGATCCGGTGCAACTAATGAACCACGTTGATCAACAGTATCACCAAGAACAGCACGTAATGCAAAGTTAAGTATGTGTGTGCCCGTATGGTTTTTCATGATCAAATTTCGTCGAAGATCATTGATTGTCAAACGAACTTTATCACCAACCGTGAGTTTACCTTCCACTTTGCCGACATGAAGAATATAACCACCGCGAACTTGAACATTACGGACCTAAAATTGATGAAAATGGAAGTGGATTGAAAATACAATAATTCGTTTGAAGACTCGATGGTCAAATTAATGTTCAACTAATGCTCGACTACATCACAATGCTTACTTGAAATTCCACGTTTTCATCATCTTCCTTGACGATGTAACCTTCATCGTACACTTGACCACCCGATTCAGCATAAAAGCATGTTCGATCGAGAACAAGTCCACATTCATCACCGGAATTGACCGAATCAACAAACGTCGTTGGACTGCGAATAGCCAAGATTGTGGCTTGAATCGTTGGAAAAACTAAACATTTTCAATTCAATCTTTCTGCATGAAAATCCCACTCCTTTTTACCATATTTGCCCTGTTCATCACAATCATAATCATACTTTGGTAAATCATCTGTAAGTTTCACGCCTTTCGATTGTTTCAATTCGTTGATAGCGTGCACGTCAAGTGTGCATTGAACTAAATCGAAAGAGACGTAATTCCTCGAATAAGAACTAAGATGTGATCATCGCTAACCTTGAGTTTGTTCACCACCGGTTTGCTGCGAAGCTATCAACGATTTCTGTTTTGCTTCTTCGAATAAATTCATATCAAAAGATAAGCCACGTTCCTCACACATCAATTGGGTTAAATCAGCTGGAAAACCGTATGTATCATATAAACGCCAAACAATATCACCTAGAAATTGAAATACTGTTCGCAAATGCACTCAGTATCAGCCATGATTACCTGGGAATGTTTTTGTATCTCCCAATGATGTGATTGTTTTGGTTAATAAGCGTTGACCGCGGGTTAATGTACGTAAAAATTGTTCTTCTTCGTCGTTAATCACATCTTTAACAATTTGAGGATCTTTACGTAGTTCGGTGAAGAATGAACCGAGGCTGTCAACAACGACGTCGACGAGAGATGCAAGAAAGCCAGGTTTTGCTTGTAAGTTCTCATTAGCATATCGAATAGCACGACGAAGAATGCGACGAAGAACATAACTAAATCATTCAAAAAGCTGTTCTAATATCTATACGAACGAAGCACTAGTTTCATTTCAAATAAGAGATACTAAATAGGCATTAAATAAAAAGGTAGAATTCTTCAACCGTCTTCACTAGTGACCTTCTCATCGTACGTTTGCAACTGAGGAAGAAAGTATGACCGTCACGCAAGAGAGCATCGTCAATGCATAGTTTACAATAGATGAAAAGAGCAAAATATGATGTTACTCACCCACGTCCTGTTTTATCTGGTCTTCCACCATCAGTGATTGCAATTGTTAATGTTCGAATATGATCAGCAACAACTCGATAGGCCATATCCATTTTGTCTCGATCATCAGTTCCCACTTTACCTGTGTATGGTCGTACGCCAGTCCCCTAGAAAAACGATAGTTTTGTTAAGCCTTGATTCACTCTTCTAGATTTAGTTGTTTTACTTGTTCAATTGCAGTGAAGATGGGTCGGAAAATGTCGGTGTCGTAATTCGAACGTCTATCTTGAATAACTGATGTCAATCGTTCAAAGCCCATGCCAGTATCGACATGCTTTGCCGGTAATTCACGCAATGAACCATCTTTTTCTCTAAACATAAACATCCTTGGATAATATCAGATCGAACTGGTTCATCTAACCTGTTAAATTGTATAAACACCAAATTCCAAATTTCTAAGACATCAGGATCATCATGATTGACAAGATGAGCTGCATTTCGACCACCACCAATTCGATCATAGTGAATTTCTGTACATGGACCGCATGGACCCGTATCACCCATTTCCCAAAAGTTGTCCTTCATGTTACCCGGAATAATATGATCATCCGGTAAACTAAATTCAGATAATGAAACGATTTCGATCATAAAATTAGAGAGAAAAAAGTCATCTACATACTATTTTCTCCAAAGGTTTTGTGTTTCAGCGTCAGCTTGAAGATTGCTCTTTGCACTTCCTTCGAAATAAGTGGCATACAAACGACTCGGATCTAGTTTGAATACATCAACAAGCAATTCCCATGCCATAGCAACTGCTTGTTCTTTAAAATAATCACCAAATGACCAGTTACCAAGCATTTCAAAGAATGTATGATGATAAACATCTTTGCCAACGTCGTCCAAATCGTTGTGTTTACCACCAGCACGAATACATTTTTGACTATTTGTTGTACGTTTATATTTTCCCATGTCGCTGTTTGGATCAGCTGTGCCAAGGAAACATGGTTTAAACTGAAAAATATCACAGAATTCCATGTTAGACAGACGCAAAACTAATGAACGTTACTTGATTCATTCCAGCATTGGCAAAAAGTAGTGTTGGGTCATCTAATGGAATCGTTGATGATGAATGAACATACAAATGACCGTGTTTTTTCGTAAAGAAATCAATAAATGTCCGACGAATTTCGGAAGCAGACATAGATGATGCCATGTTGTTTTTCTTCAAAGATATTCACCCGTTTAATATCAATGATCTATATATAGAAAGAGAAATGCGTGATGCAATATTAAGACATTTGAGTATTTCAGATAAAAAGATACGGAAAACGCTGTCATTTTTCTGTAAAATAGGTTTAAAAATAGTAAACAATACATGATGCAATGTAGACGACAATCACAATGGACGTGAAAATAGATTTTAAGACGACAGAATCGATAGAATCGATGGATGGATGGATATGATGACGAAAGCCAAACGAACTATAGAAAACAACGAATAGGATAATTTTTAGACTAGATGGCGTCTCTAGCCTGCCTTCTGGTAACATGATGCAATTCCTAACTACGTTCTTGCCATGTCAAAAGCAGATGACGTAATACATGTATTTATTTTACTAAAAAATGCATTTTGATTCCAATGTTATCTCACATGCGAATCGCCTTAATTGGAAAATAACATTTGAATATTGTTTTACGACCACGATAACTCAAACTATAACGCCAGAAGTCATCATTGTGTGTTACACTTCCTCTTTTATCACGATAAACTTGAATGAATAAGTAGGTTTCATTAGTTGCTACTAATCCTGAATGAAATACGCGGTGCGATTGATTATTAATCATATTACGGTCTTTGTCGTAGTTCCTTTACCTTTCAACAGTGATAATTAGAAAGTCGAAGTAATGAGAAAAGTTCTTAAAGAATATCATTATTTTTCGATGGCACTTCGGATGCAACTTAGCACAAAAGCAATGTGAGTCAACGAACATTCCCTCGTACGCTGTTCATCCGTTCACATTTAAAGAAGTAAATGTTCACCTGCAGCAAAACTTCTGTTTTATAAAAACGCCCGGATAAAGATAAAGAAGAAAACAAAAGATTTTTTATTCAGATTGTTGTTCGTTAACATAATGCAAAACAATCTATGGCACGTGTATCTCTTCTTTTCAAGATTGAACAATACGAATTGTTGTAACAAAAAAAATCGAGCATCGAATCCATGTATATACACGCAAATACATTGAAGTATCATCTGAGCACCGCTTCTTGTTCATCGGAAGATTTTGTTCGTGGCAATTCATTGATGAACGATTGAATATTTTCGAAATATTCCGGCATTATTGGTAGATCGTTGTGTTTGCCGAATGGATATTCAAACAAATGACGTTTACGAGCTGCACGTGTGTCATTATATAGTGTGCTTGACATCCATGTAGGAATAATTGGATCAAGTAGACCGGTTAGGTAAATACATGGACATTCAATTCGACGTACTTTAGGTAAAGAATCGAAGAGATAAATAAAACCGATTGATTTCGTCACACCTATGACACTTTTGGCGTATGTTAGAAAATATTTCGCTATTTCTGGCACAGAGATAAAAGCGTTTTCGAATATTGCTACTTGAGCACGATTCAATGGATCACTAACGAGTTGAATAGCAACAGATGCGCCAAGACTCGTACCGAAAACAATAATGTTATCTGGATTAATTTTTTGTTTATATATTAAATAGTCGTATCCTGTTTGAGCATCGATGTAAAGGCCAAGTTCAGTTGGTGAGCCGGTACTTTTTCCGAAACCTAGGCAATAGACAATTATAAATAAGCAATTACTAGTCAATAATGACGAGAAATTATCGTTTAATGCGGTTATTTGTACAACCTTGCGGAATCGATGAGCATAAAAGGCGATAATTAGAGCTCTGAGGGAAAGTTCATTTTCAAAAGTCAATACAAACCTCGATAATCGATAATAAGAACATTACAGTGTAGATTTTCATAGAATAATCGTACAACTTCCAATCGATGCGAAATATTTCCACCTGCTCCATGTAAATACAATAAAGTAGTCGTCGAAGAGATTTGTTCAATCGAATGATATATCCAGTAAGCATGAATAAATTCTCCATCAGGTGTTTGTAAATAAATCGATTGATAATCCATGTTGAAATCTTGAGGTGTGCGATCCAAAGTGTGAGTATTTTCAGGTTCATCATTGGAAAAAATGTGTTTACTCTGAAGGTTTTCTGTCATCATTCCTAGAAAGAATTCAGTTCATAGGTAAATAAAACGAATTTCGGGTAATTATATTTACCGAAAAGGCCTTTGTCTTTTCGTACGCATGATTGGATATAATCAAGTTGTTTCAATAGCCGATTTTCTCCTTCGTTATTTGTATTAGCTGTTGTTGATATTCCATCCTCGGAAGGATTTTCTGCTAGAGGCAATGCACAACGTAATGCACGAATATCGATTATTTCGGCGTCACTTGGCGCCATTGATCTTGGTCTCGATAATGAAATATTTCTTTTTATACTACTGTTTGTACTGCTATTCATCAACGATGCACTTCGTGTATAATCTCGTAGGCTACGAGATTTTTTCAATTTTGTTGGATGTGAAGCTCCATTTGTCGCCGTCGTCATCGTGGTTGCGGTCGTTGTTGTTGCCTCAGATCGAGTAGCATTTAATTGTGGCAGACTATTTCCCATGTTGGATTAAGATAAGAGAACAAAAGACAATATCTGAAAGAAAGAAATTTATAATCAAAATAGAAACTACGATCAACTGCCGCCTCAGCTATTGCAAATCACTGGGCTCCCATATGATTAATGAATAACTGTCACGTTCTCGTGTCCAATCAATTCAGTTTATTTGTGTGATTATCTCAACGAGCGAATGAAAGAAAGAAAGAAAACGATGAAAAAAAAAGCACACTTGGAGAAAAGATCATTCTGCATATTCCTTGGCATACAAATACACTTACATATCAGGAGCTATTAGTTTCTATCAGCAGCCGCATCTAAGTGCCAGATTTCATAAGTAGAAGGTTATAAATTGTACAATTAACGATAGGAGTATAAAAGAAGGGTAGATGGGCGACATTGATGAATTAGATCTGATTTCAGAATAGTGATCCTGCTGTTGGTAGAGTGATAGAATCATCTTTTTCTTTCTCTCTGTCTCTGTTTATTAACCAAACCGACATTACAAATTTCTTTGACTGTCTCTTTCTGTTACTCATCCACAAGCGCCGATTGCATAGAGTGCGTCAGTCTGCTGTTGTTTTCTCCTTTCTGCATTTTTCCTCCATTTTCTCCTTCTGCTTCTCTCGTTTTTCTTTACTCGTAGAGTCGACATGTTGCCTTATTTTATGGGTTCTTTTTTTGCTAACGGCATCCAACAAACGAACAAAAAAGCACGAGTGCTCGTCTCTCCTATTAGTTACAACGCAAAGCGTACAAAATACGTTTGATAATACAAATAATAGCTTCGAACAAAAAAGAAAGAAAAATGAAAGAAAATGTTTTCTTTCTTCTATCTTATAATTGCTTCCTTATGCATATGAGTTACGAAGTCAAAACTACATCCGGCGAATAAAAACTATGAAACAGAGATGTGAAAGTATATATTAGAAAAAAAGCACCCCTTTAGTTTTTGTGTCTATATACGGGAGTATTTGAAACTTGATCTGCTATCGACGTCCTCGGCGTTGACGAGTGAAAAAAGTGAGAGGAAAAAGAGAATCTTACCATCGTATGTATAAAATTTAATCAACGTCATAAAAAAAACCAGAGAGAAGAGAGAAACGAAACGATCGCTGTTGATTCTGCTCGTTTTAGTAAAATCGGCGAACGGCAAATGAGGAGTTCGCGTTTACGAGGAAGAAAGTCTCCATTGGATATAGTTGTACTTCGTTCGACCATAAATACGTCTGACACGTGCTATTGTCGTTGTGTAATGAAACGATGTTCATTTACCGTTCGATACAACAAGAAGGATCATACCCAAGTGTAATCGATAAATAATCATGATCAAAACAGCACGATGAAGTGACACATTCATTTCTTTCTCTCTCTCTCTTTCTCTTTTTCGTGTACTCATCGTGTTGCGACATCGAAGCGAGACACATGTATATTGTAAGATGATAGACAGACAAGATATAATTAGAGACTGGCCATATCTCACACGTCGATATTGTGTATCATTTGCATGCTTGATAGATTTTTCCATTGCGAAGTTTAACACTTTCAGTCCAATCTAATTTCATTCGATCGATAATTGTATCGAACTCGTCAGCAACGTGTTCATATCGGTAGGTACCAGTAACGTGTCCGTTGTCTTGCCGAATACTGCGAATCGATTCACTCATAGTTGCACTCGTTTCGTTTATCAGAGCAGTGATGTTGCGAGCTAAATGGGCAATCGATCTTTCTTTTCCGCTTGCTGTTTGAATGAATGCGGCTAATAGAGTCATATCTGTCTTTGTTTCATATTGCCCAAGAAAGTATCGAATTGCTTGACCTTTCGAGAGATTAATCGCCGCTTCGGTTATGGTTAAATTGGGTGCATCATTGAATACACGTCGTAATGGATGTAGAGAAAGGATGTACGCATTTTGAGGCAGAAATTTTCGCGTACGTCTAATAGCACATGCAAGGATTTGCGCTTCATGTATATGATCGATGTGAAATTGTTTCGAAATTGATTCATCATCCATTAGTGCGAAGTTCTTTTTTGTATATGGGTCAGTATGTGCATACCGTTGGACAATTGCACGAACATGTGATCGATTCGAACGTAGATCGTTTTCACGTAAATAAGATGTTAAATCGAATGGCACGTCATTACATTGATTTACTTCCGTTTCATCGATTTGATTTTCCAAGATAAATTTCATGTGATATTTACTGGAACAATGCTGACCATAGTTTCGTTTTTGTACGGTTTTTCCACAATCGCAAGTAATTAGGAGGCGAGAGTTGGCTGTCATGCGTTTTTCTTCTTCTTTTTCTTTTGCTTTATTTGAATACTTGAGTACAGCTTTCTTTTCTTCTTGTGTTGATAGCGAGCATTAATTGCGTTTGTTTGCCAAGTTCTTTTCGTTACGACGCAGACGGTAGTTTTTTCCTTTTCGTTCTGTGGATGCTTTTTTTGTTCTGAGGTGACGCTGCATGAATAAGACGCGTTAATATTCGATTATGTTTTGTAAATCAAATGTGTCATCGGTGAATATTAATGATCGATGGTGATTTTTCTCGGAATTGTTTTGATACGATCGTCGAATCTAAATTTACATAAAGAAGGATCGTTAGTTGTTCAAATGTGTGAATTTTTACTAGGAGAAAATGATGATTCAAGGTTCTTTTCTTGACGACAGTGTGATTTACAAAATTTGAGACTTTGTCGGAGTGAATATACAACAGTGTTTGTGTTCTTAAGAGCTTAGACATTTTGAATACAACAATTGAACACGATAACCTTTCTTCAGATGAATCGTTTTCATTGATGTTAAGTGTTTATCGTATTTGTTCAGAATGAAAGTTTTCTTTGTTGAATCAAATACAAACGATAATTGAGCTTTCGGCAAGAGAGAAATGATTCGCTTAGAATGAATTCAATTCTGTGCACATGAACGAAGATATAGGATATTAAACAGTTCGTATGCTTTGACTTTGATAAGAAAATTTCCGTTGACAAGAAACATAGTTTATGTTGCGATAGGCCGGGTTTTGACCCAATGTGTTCCTCTGACGTCCGATAGGATTAATGTTCATGTGGATTTGCATGCATGCTAAATAATACCGATAAATCAGCTGGTGCTATCGAAGATCTAAGTGAAAATAATAGATAAAGTTAGGATGTTTCTACGTTTATTACTGGATCATTGTTGTTCACAAATGGAGAAATGAGAAAATTCCAGAGCAAATATTCAGTTTTCTTTTGATTGATCATAAAAGCAAACTGGTGTGAATATCTCTTTCGAACAGAATGATAAATATTCTTATACTATGGATCATTAATGTTGATTAGAAGTAAAACGAATTAATGTGGGAGATGTAATTCATTTTGTAACGAAAATTGTGCATTAATATTTCACAAATTGATTGCATTATTAAGCAAACGACTGCCGAAATGTAATCAATGACGGACATGTGTTTACGTCTGTCAAACATCAAATGTTTCGTGTCGAACAACGTTATTAATTTGTAAAATTCCCTCGAAAATACTCCGTATCGCCTGCCGAATGCATTTGTGTTTTCAGTCATTCATTACAATCAACAAGATGTTTATGGTTTCTCTCGTCGTACAACGAAATTCGTAATAATACGTTTGTTAGAAGGATTGGTTTTAAGAAATGCCTTTCGGGAGAACTGAGAACAATCGAGTTTGATTCAGCTGTCACTGAATGGTATAAGTGATTTTCCGAGAAAAGTAAAGCACATGATGAAGAGTTGGTTGTATTAGCGTTTAGAATTGAGTTCTTAATGTGAAATAATTTGATTACATGTCAATATACACGGAAAAATACCGACAAACTCCTCAGTGATACAAAAAAATGTATTTTCTCATTACTAAAAGTACGACAAACAACTTTTTTTTCATTCAGAAAAGTGCGAGAAACGAACGTTATTGAAAAGCAGATATACTAAACTATGTTTCTTGTCATCTAGTACATTCACACGTTTAAGTAGTAAACTAAATTACACGAAAAGTGAAGCAAACGAATGATTAACAATATTCCAATAGTCGAAGAACTTGAACACAAAACTTTTATGATTTATCTCGACTATTGCTTAACTATGTTCATTCATCTATGTAGACATATGTATTCCAATTGAATTAATTTTGCTATTCACTATCTTTTTCTCCAAGACATACTGTGCGAATGATGATGTCTGTCACAGCATATGGATCACAATTCGATGCTGGACGACGATCTTCCAAATAACCACATTTATCTTCACCGACTTGACGAGGAATTCGAATTGATGCACCTCGGTTGGCAATACCAGCATTAAATTGATTGATCTAAACGAAGAACGATGAGTGTGAAGATGAAGGGATCGAGTTAGATGTGAAACTTACGCTAGCGGTTTCATGTCGACCAGTTAATCGACGTTCATTGTTTCGACCATAACATTTAATGTGAGCCGCATGACGACTTTCGAGTGCTTTAATAGCTTTATTAATAGCTCTAGATAAACACCCAGTGTATCATAACCGATAGTGTCATAATGAGCAGATACGTACTCAATACCGTTTGGTTCACGCATGACTTGCGTGGAAAAGTTAGTGTGACACCCAGCGCCGTTCCAGTCACCTGGAATTGGTTTGGGGTCAAAACTAACTTGTACACCGAATTCTTCGGCAATACGAAGTAATAAGTATCGTGAAAGCCATAATTGATCACCAGCTTCGATTCCTTCACACGGACCCACTTGGTATTCCCATTGAGCTGGCATCACTTCAGCATTGGTTCCGCTGATATTAATTCCAGCATATAAACAAGCCTTGTAGTGTGCTTCAACTATATCACGACCGAGAGCTTGTGATGCACCAACACCACAGTAATATGGACCTACAGTTTAACATCGCTATACACATGACAATGATAGGTAAGTGAACGAACCTTGTGGATGAGGAAATCCACCTTTTGGCCATCCAAATGGCCATCCATCACGATCGAGTAGTGTATATTCTTGTTCGAGACCGAACCATGGATGTTCACTATGTGCTGCGTTCATGGCTTCTTCGCAGCTCAATCGTTTATTCGTGGCTAAATTCAACGATCAGATGCATATCACTTGTAAGAAACGGTGCTGACTCACCAGTTGGTTCTTTATTGTATTTATAGGTTTCACACATAACTAGTTTGTTTCGACCAAGCATGAACGGATCTTTGTAGATGGCGACTGGTTTGAGATAGATATCAGAGTTTGATCCTTCGGCTTGTCCAGTCGACGATCCATCGAAGTTCCACCAGGAGAGTTCGTTTGGTGATCTTGGTTCTTGATCAACTGTTCGAGTTTTCGCTAAAAGGAGAAAAGAGAGAAAGAGAGAGAACATACAATCGAAGAAAGGTCAAATGGGGTCATGCAAAAAAATTACCTCGAAGATTTTCACCAGTACCATCAATCCAGATATAGGTTGCCATAACCTTGTTGTCTGGTTGTGGTAATTCCAAATATCGACGGAGAATGGCTTTATCCGTAGATCCAACATTATTCGATCGTGCGTCCATCGTTCAAAGTTAGTATGTTACTAAGTTAGTTTTTATCTCGAAATAAAAGAAAAGACATATTACAGTGACAAAGTTCCTCACTACATGAAGTAAAAATTATCAGGATTAGAAAAATGATTACGCATTGTTTTGCATGGTATGAAAAAATAGTTTAATTGCACAATTATGTATGTTTACAATATATTTTGTTGTCAGTAGTCGCGTGTTGTAGAAGAAATCGTATATAAGGCACAAGTACCCAGTTCTGTTTTTCCATTTCTTTCGCGTTCTCATTCGAGGTGGGTAGAACAGATCTGCGGTTGGTGTCAAGTTGCTCAGCGATCGACAAAAGAGGAGAAAAAAAAGAAAAAGGAAAAGAAAAGTGAAATCATAAACAATGATGTGTAGCTTCGTTAATGTACTGAATGCAAGGGAAGTAGTCGAAAAAAATCTGTTTTGACGCATATTGATGGAGATAATAAGTAGTGGATGATGGAAAAATGTATTAAAGCGACCGAACGTCTTAGAGAGAAACAAAAACAGAATAACGGAAAAATTAATCTTATTCTAGAGTAGTGTTGACAATAAAAACGCATGAAAAATGTCTTGTATGCCAAAACATATTCTCATGTCGTATGATTGACCGAACTTCAGGTTGCCTGGCGAGTACATTCATTTGACCTGGCAACCATTAAACAAAAGCAATCTGCTATAAAATACTCTTACTTGCTATCGATCAAAAACAGTATGTGTCGATGTATACTCATTAATGGAAAAAAGGCCATAAATAGAAAGAACAAAAACAAAAACAACTATGCGCTTTACATATGTATTAATTTTGTTCTGTTAAATTGATGTACGCAATCCCTCGAACAAAACAATGTCAAAAGGTCCAGTTAGTACATTGATGTTTTTCCTTCTTGGTCGTAATAAAAGCGCAAAATGAAACTACCTAGATACTTCGAATTTTCCAACGAGTACCGAAGCGAAAAAATGAAATAAAAATAATTCTACTAAACAGTGAAACCTTTTCAGGTGAGCACAGATGAGTAATAATCCATACACAACGACAAGCGACGTACGAAGAACAAGTTTTCATTCCTCGATAGATAATTTTTTCAAAATAGGCAATTGAAGAATTATTATTGTAGATAAAAAAAATACTACAATCTATACTTATAGTTAGGCAACATCTGTTGATTAATATCTACTGGCGGAGCAAAAAAGAAAAAAGAACAACATCACCAAAATTCGTGTGCTCATTCCACGGTTTCGCGATTTGGAACGACTTCTTTCAGATCATCTACATTCGCAGGAACTTCTTTGTGGGAAAGACATAACGTACGCACGAGAGCATCTGTGACATCGTATGGATCACAATTCGATGCTGGACGACGATCTTCCAAATAACCACATTTGTCCTCTGCAACTTGGCGAGGAACTCGTACTGATACATATCGATTAGCAATACCCGTAGTGCATATGTTGATCTAAATAGGATACATGTATGTCTATGAAACTCATTCTTTCCAATTAAATTCGACTCACATTCGCTGTTTCATGTCGACCAGTTAATCGACGTTCATTGTTTCGACCATACCGTTGGATATGTGCCGTGTGTTGTGTTTGAAGTACTTTAATTGCATGATTGATTGCTCTGTACGATAAAATGAAACTATCGATGGCGGGTATTATTAAAGAAACGGATACCTACACAATACCGTTTGGTTCACGCATAACTTGTGTGGAGAAATTGCAATGGCATCCAGCACCATTCCAGTCGCCTACAATTGGCTTGGGATCAAAACTAACTTGTACACCGAATTCTTCGGCAATACGAAGTAATAGATATCGCGAAACCCATAACTGATCACCAGCTTCAATTCCTTCACACGGACCCACTTGGTATTCCCATTGTGATGGCATCGATTCAGCATTGGTTCCGCTTACATTAATTCCAGCATATAAACAAGCCTTGTAGTGTGCTTCAACTATATCACGGCCAAGAGCTTGACATGCGCCAACCCCACAGTAGTATGGACCTACATTTTAACATCGCTATACACATGACAATGATAGGTAAGTGAACGAACCTTGTGGATGAGGAAATCCACCTTTCGGCCATCCAAATGGCCATCCATCACGATCGAGTAGTGTATATTCTTGTTCGAGACCGAACCATGGATGTTCACTATGTGCTGCGTTCATGGCTTCTTCGCAGCTCAATCGTTTGTTGGTGGCTAAATTCAACGATCAGATGCATATCACTTGTAAGAAACGGTGCTGACTCACCAGTTGGTTCTTTATTGTATTTATAGGTTTCACACATAACTAGTTTGTTTCGACCAAGCATGAATGGATCTTTGTAGATGGCGACTGGTTTGAGATAGATATCGGAGTTTGATCCATCGGCTTGTCCAGTCGATGATCCATCGAAGTTCCACCAGGAGAGTTCGTTTGGTGATCTTGGTTCTTGATCAACTGTTCGAGTTTTCGCTAAAAGGAGAAAAGAGAGAAAGAGAGAGAACATAAATTGGAAGAAAGGTCAAATGGGGTCATGCAAAGAAATTACCTCGAAGATTTTCACCAGTACCATCAATCCAGATATAGGTTGCCATAATTTTATTTTCTGGCTGAGGCAGTTCTAAATAACGTCGAAAAACGGCTTTGTCCAGAAGAGCCGTGTTCGGTACTGCTGTATTCATTTTTGTAATTGTTCCTAAAGACTGGATCGATCTAGAGCGAGCGGAAGAAATCAAGAACGTGTATATATATAAATATAAATATAGTGAGAACAGTCCTGTCAGTAGCGCCGCACTAAAAGTTATTTTCTCTCTCATCAACGATGTTTTTTCTCTTCTTTCTGACAATCGACAAGTAGTACCGGCAAGAAATCCGACATATTTTTTTATTTCCGTACGATTCGCTTTTTCTCTGCCTCTTATATAACGGATCTTGACGTCGTTTTTATCCTTTCTAAACTATGCATCGTTTGTCGTTGACGAAGGAGAAAACGAAAGAGACGCCAACAGAACGACAGTAGAGAAAAAGAATGTATTAAGGTGCAGTGAAAATATTAAAAATCCATCATAGCAACACGAGGATTATGTAGTAAAATATTTCTCTCGTTCTGACGGGAAAATGAGTAAAATCAATCGTTGGCGTACTGCACAGATAAGACAAATACTAGATGATGTGAGAGCGTTTTCGAATCTATTTCTTCGTACGTTTCAAGACACCCAGTGAGGGGTCGTTTCGACCAAAATATGAGTACCTTTCTCGTTCGTAACGTCGAGAAGCAAACCTGCACTTAAAGCACATATTGTGTGGAGGGTGTTACTTTTCTATTCGAAACAGCAAAGATATTGATTTGAATGCAAATAGTACACCCACCCTGTGCCTTGATAAAATTTCTATATAATTAAAAATTTAATTATTTTTCGCTCTATTAGTAATGCATATTAGTCCAGGAACACTTGCTCTGACCTCCACGTGTATATTTGAGCAACATCAACAAAGTTAATTACGCAGATCTATCGTGTACGTTTCAGCGACTTTGAAAAATACATATTTATTATCCACACTAATCTATTCCGAAAAAATATTGAAAGATCAATTATTTACTTGATATGTACGAATGTATTTTCGAACGTAGTTTTAAATTCGATTCAGCAGCCATAGGAGGCGTAAAAAAGCTTTTCAAATAGGTGCACTTGAGATCGTATTGACCGTCTTTCGAAAGTGAAAAAGTGATTTTGCGATTTTACGACAAATAGAATAGAACGGAAAACCAACACGAGGTCGAGCTTCGAATATCGATGAGTTTTTATTGATCAATATTGAATTATTAATCAATTCTTTTCTGTGACAAACGGTGTTTTTCGAGGATGTCATGCAAAACATGCCGAACGTATTCATTAATGAAAATATTCAACGAGCAATTGCTGTACTCAGAAAGAAAAATCAATTAAATGTTTTTCATGTGAAACAAAGACGCGACGACACGACAAGAATAATCATTCGTCTGAGGAGTAATCTTAGAATCTTTTCTTCTTATTTTTTGGTACACTAATCCATTCTGTTTCAAATATGATAGTTTATGTTCAATCTCCGATCAACGATTACCCTGGAATACTCTTGAAAAAGAATCGTCTAGGTCATTTTGGAATATCATACAGTCAATACTACCTTATGTTTGCTTTTCATCAGAATCCATAAGTTAATGTACCCAATAATAGTTTCAGTATGACATACTTTGTCCTAAATCAGTTCGACGGTTATATTAATGTTCCTCGAGCAAGTATTCATTGGAACGAGTGCCATATGGAGCATCGTCACATAACCACAGCATGCCGAAGGCAATTAGAGAAAAAAGAGTTTCAATTAAATATGCTACTAAAGTTTTATTAGTCGCAAAGATATACTGAAATCAGAAAAAATAAAATTTAAAATGAAATCTAATATATCGAACGAAGAAATCGAACCTATCGATACATGTAAACACATCCACATACATACAACAGATAGTTCAAATTATATAACTCTCCTACTGTCATATACAAAAAATGAGAAAGATGATTCGATGAATAATTTACATAAGTTCTCAATCTCGCTCCGAGATTGATTATTTTGCACTTTGTTCTTCGGTGTCTTTTTCTTTCAGACATATTGTGCGAACAATGATGTCCGTCACAGCATATGGATCACAATTCGATGCTGGACGACGATCTTCCAAATAACCACATTTATCTTCACCGACTTGACGAGGAATTCGAATTGATGCACCTCGGTTGGCAATACCAGCATTAAATTGATTGATCTAAACGAAGAACGATGAGTGTGAAGATGAAGGGATCGAGTTAGATGTGAAACTTACGCTAGCGGTTTCATGTCGACCAGTTAATCGACGTTCGTTGCCTTTACCATACATAGCAATGTGTGTCTTATGACGAGCCTTCAGTCTTGAAATAGCTTCATCAATAGCTCTACAAAAACGAAATTCATTGTGTACTGAACATTTTAGTATAGTGATTCAATACGTACTCAATGCCGTTTGGTTCACGCATAGCTAGCGTGGAAAAGTTAGTGTGACACCCAGCACCATTCCAGTCACCTGGGATTGGTTTCGGGTTGAAACTAACTTGTACACCGAATTCTTCGGCAATACGAAGTAATAAGTATCGTGAAAGCCATAATTGATCACCAGCTTCGATGCCTTCGCATGGGCCCACTTGGTATTCCCATTGAGCTGGCATCACTTCAGCATTAGTTCCGCTAATATTAATTCCAGCATATAAACAGGCCTTGTAGTGTGCTTCAACTATATCACGACCGAGAGCTTGACATGCGCCAACCCCACAGTAATATGGACCTACAGTTTAACATCGCTATACACATGACAATGAAAAGTAAGTGAACGAACCTTGTGGATGAGGAAATCCACCTTTCGGCCATCCAAATGGCCATCCATCACGATCGAGTAGTGTATATTCTTGTTCAAGACCGAACCATGGATGTTCACTATGTGCTGCGTTCATAGCTTCTTCGCAGCTCAATCGTTTGTTTGTGGCTAAAAACAAATGCCGAACATGACAATTCTGTAAAATGTGACATATGCGACCTACCGGTAGGTTCTTTGTTATATTTATAGGTTTCACACATAACTAGTTTGTTTCGACCAAGCATGAATGGATCTTTGTAGATGGCGACTGGTTTGAGATAGATATCGGAGTTTGATCCTTCGGCTTGTCCAGTCGAGGAACCGTCGAAGTTCCACCATGGTAATTCTTTTGGTGACTTGGGTTCTTGATCAAGTGTACGTGTTTTAGCTCGAAGATTTTCACCAGTACCATCAATCCAGATATAGGTTGCCATAACCTTGTCATCTGGTTGTGGTAAATCCAAATACCGACGGAGAACAGCTTTGTCCGTGGCAGCTGTGTTTGAGAATGCTGGATTCATCTTGTTTAATATAATCAGATGCACTACAACTGAAAAGAAATTGTTGGATGTATGTATGCAATTTCGTCTCTTGTCCTGGGTTTATATATGATGCAATTTAGGTTAAGCGGACGGCGATGCGGAGAGATGAAAATGATTTTTCTTTTTTTTCTTTTTCTTATTCTTCACGCCATCACACTACTTTGCTCGGATATAACTGATGTTATGCGTGTCTATATGCATCACGCGGTAGATGTTTGGTGTCATGTGCTTGTACTTCGATCATACATCTGAGAAATAAAAATGACGAAGGTTTTTTGCACGTCAAAAAACGAATTCACTCGGTTTCATCAAGATACCTTGATGTCTTTCAGATGCGCACTTTTCACGATCTCTTCAATTTGTAGGTGTGCGGGTTTTAGTGAAAGATAAGGATATCCGTATCATAATGCGCATTTTCATTGTTTGCCACAACGAGTTTTTTGCGTCATATGTGTTTAAAGAGCACTTTTTCTCTCTCTCTCTCTGTTGATATGCAGAGTCATATGACGCCAGATCCAACCATGACTTTGAAGCAGACTGCAAACACATCGAGTTGGTTGACAATATTTTGTTTTAATTCGTTTGTTCATTTTAAATATCGCGAAAAAAAAAGAATAAATCATGATAAAAGCCGCTGGGTGTGTATTAGAAGAGAAACGCCAAAATAGAATACGATGAGACATACATTCATGAATGCCTGTCAAAACACATGATCTATCTATTCATCTTTCTCACGTGAATCCGAGTAGGACTGTATTATTTATACCTCAAGCGTCAAAAAATATCGAAATACGCTCTTAGTCACCTGTTTTTTTTTGTCAAACTAAAAATGATCATGCGTATATATGCTTACGTCATTTTGAAAACAACTGCGTCAATGATATCTGCATGAAGACAAAGATAAGATCGTTAAAATCAAAGATATTTCACAAAGTTCGCGGTTATGTATGACAATTGTTGTTGTTTGATAAGAATATCCGAAGAAACATATCGAAAACTTAAAGTCCATAGTCAATAATCGTTTGAAAAGTTCGTTATGATACTGACTGATAAGTTCATTTTATTGAATATATCAGACCACAATAAAAACAAGAAGAAAAGAAAAGAAATAAATCATTCCAAAATGACAAAAACAAATGGTTTCTGTTTATCCTAATGGAGAACTTCGATAATACTATGAAGCCGCTAAGCGATGTGCATGAAGACCAGCTTCATATTGACTAAAAAATACGCCCATTCAAGTTGTTTTTTGTTAACCCGTAAAGATGATATTTGGTTGCACATGATTCTCTAGAAAACAGACACAAATTCAAATAAGATTTCATCTACATGAGGCACCATACGTACCCATAATACAGCGCGGTCGTTCCGATGGCATCCATCGTCCATGATTACAAGTCAGTCCTGATGGTCCATGAAGAATATAACCTTAATAAAACGAAAGATCGATAAACATGAAGAATAACATTGGAATTCTACCTGTGTTGCATTCGAATTCAATCGTTCGACTGTGACCAACATTGGGTATATACGAGCGAAATTCACTTCGAATTGGTATGGGTGATATACGTTCGTCTTTTAGGATTACATAAGTTCGGCCGTTGAATAATGGACCAGGATTGGGACAGAAAACTAAAGATAAATGTCACTTTTAATAAATCATATTCATCATAAAATATATTACGTTCATTTTATTTCCTATTTATGATCAGAGATGTATCTGTCAGGGTCAATGTACTCCCTTCTGAAAATAAAGATTTCTCATTTTTGTTATTTCAATATCAAATTTACGAGGTTTGTTATTTATCATTTTCAAATAATCATAAAGCATTGCCTTGAACTTTCATCATTCAGACATTTGTCATAAAAACTGCTATTTGATGTAGGTATCAAGTCGAAACTCAGGTTATTGAGTTCAAGATCGATTTTATTTCCTTACTTGGTAGACATCGTGGTGGCCGTTCAGGTAACCATTGTCCAAATTGGCATGTTAACTTAGCGATGTGATTATTTTCTATTCGAAAGCCAGGAAAACAACGATATTTCGCTATTGATCCGTGTTTTGTCGAGTGAAAGATGGTTCGACCGTTTGTTATCGTGGGTGGATGTTCTTGACATGATCTGGGTATACAATGTGCGTGATGAGATAATTTGCCATCTTCAAAACATTCCACGGTCGCTGGTTCAACTATTGGTTGATAATCATCTGCACACGAATATGAAAACGAAGAGCCTAGTTCGATCAACGTTCCAGATGGAATTGTTGTATTGATAATATTACGTAAGAAAAGCATGTGAGGGACAATACATTTAACTAAATTGGACAGAAACTGACGATCGATCTGCTGGACATCTAGACTTACTTGATTGACAAATTGGCTGTTCGGAAAGGTTTCCATTGATGCAACGAACCGTTTCGTTACTTATTGGTAAACTGTTATTACTTTTGCACGAGTAATAAACATGCTCACGATGACGGTAGAATGTTTTGGAAAATATAACGGTGTCGCTTTCGACACGGCAACCTGAGAGAGAAATGATGTTTTAAGTAATGAGAATTTCCGATAAATAACCATTTACCATTGTAACAACGTGGACTTTTCGGGAAAAGTTTTCCACGTCGACAAAGAATACGTTGACGTTGTTTCGAATTTTCGCATAGATACTCTAGATGACTTCCATCGGGGATCTTTTCCATAAACGGACGAAGTCGTATGTAACGAGCATCACGTGGAAGACTTGGTATTGAACAGGAAATAGGTTCTGGAGGAAAAAATAACAACATAGACACAGGAAATGAAGTAATAGCGAGGACAAACTTTCACAAACAGGAATTTTTGGTAACCAATTTCCGTTCGGTTGACATTTCGATATTCGTGCACCACGCAGTGTCATATTAGAGGGACATTGAAACGTTACGATTGAGTTGATTGAATATTTCAACGAATCATTGACGGATAATGTTTCAATATAACCATTGAAATCGATTTGAGGATCTTTACATGTGATTGCTAAATTATATCAGATGATTGTGAATAGAAAATATGGATGAAAGCAGTCAACGAACGTTCACATGTTGGCGGTGTTGGTTGCCAACCGGATGAAGTGCATCGCAAGATAGATGGACCTTGTAATTGATATCCATCCTGACAAACGTATTGAATAGTATCATTGGTTGTCCGGTCAGGTTGAATAACTTCACTATGACTAACAATCGGTGGTGTATCACATGATTTTTCTATATATTTAGAAACAAAAGCAGTTTTTCAATTAAGAAAAGTCGATTTTACTTTGACAAACAGGCATCGTTCCTGACCAAAGTCCATTTTCCTGGCAGGCTCGTGTTGTATCTTTTCCAACTAATTGAAATCCATCATTACAAAAAAATGCGATGATATTCGGATAATCGAATCGTTCTCCACTTAAGAATCCATCTCGTAATGTTCCCGGTGAGCCACAATCAATCGCTGATTAATTATTAATGAAAATAATAAATGTCTATTAATAAAACATGCAAACTACTTACGAGTACATTTCAACGTTGCAAACGTCCATTGGCCTAAGAATGCGCATTCCGATGTCGTCGTGCCAGTTCTACGCGATAGAGACATATGAACATTTCGATAGTAATCTTTGACTTCGAATTTTACCCAACATAACCAGTTAAACAAGTATATTTCACTGAATATCCCGCATGAAACGTCGTAATTGTTGTTGGAATATCATTTACAGCATTGATTATATCAGGTGGTCGATTACAAAACACTAATTTCGAAAGAAAATTAGAACTAATCAATTCATTCATAAGCTCAACTCGATTATACATTGCACTCCTAATCATGTCATAATTTTCTTCAATTCATTGAACAACAGGAGAACAAGTCTAGACTGTGATATATACATACGATGATCACAACAGTGTCTTATACTACTTATGATACTCTTATACGTACACGCAATCCTCTTGAACTTTAATAAACATCAAGAAACGAAAGACTACCGGTTGAATTCAATTCAACAATCGAGACGAGAGAAGAATAATTAGAAGGTCATTGACATGACTTTTGATGCATGTCATTCGTTAATTAATTATAGAGCTTCAGCACATCTTTTCAAGTTTACAATTCAATTAACACTACCTTCTTTCGCACAATATGGAACAGCGTCCGATGGTCCCCACCACATATCACCTTGGCAATGGCGATATTTTGAGCCTTCCAGTACAAAACCTGCATCACATTCATACGTAGCACGTGAACCGAATTTGTTTCCATTCGAGTAGATGATACGACCATGTTCCGGAGATGTTAAAAACGGGCAGCTAATGCCTTGAACAAACATCCTTAACTTCAAAAGGGTCAAATTCATTTCGAATAATAATTTACCTCGTTTAACACATGACATTCCACAGTCGTAATCGCAAACACATGACCGATATCGACTTCGACAATCACTGTCATCGAAGCACGATTTGAAACATTGTCGCTGACGTGCGGCATCGCGCTTTCGTGGACAATACGAAAGGTCACGGATCCAGTAACCTTAAATAATAATCATCAAGAATCATTCGCAGGTTTCAATCAATTTCATTTTCTTTCTTCTTCTTCTAAAATAACATTTGTTCAATTTTTTTCCCTCGGCTTAGTGTCATTGCTCTCCATTCGTTTTTGACCTTGTTTTATACACATTCGCTCAATGAAAACAAATGCTGATTGCCACTAAATCACTTCAATCTCAACACCGATGTCAAATGTAGTTAACACTTATTAGTTTTATTATTCTAACCTGAACTCCTTGAAAAGATAAGAAACGAACGGGAGGGAAGAAAATGAACACAAATTAAAGTGCGTACCATACCTTGACAATAACTTGACAATTCCCATAATAACAAAAGAATTATCAAACAAAATCGACGAGAATAACAATCGAAATATCTTGCTCGCATCTCCATCATAAAATCATCTAAAATATGAATGGTTTTCTCTTTACCTTCTTATTTTATTAACAGATCTAATCCCTGGTCCGATTTCTAATCTCTTTCCTTTCTTAAGACATACGATTCAACAATAAAACTTACACGATGACAAATAAATCTCCCATGTTTAGTCAGAGACTATGACATAACTAATATGAAACAAAACGAGAAGAAACAAGAGAAAAACCGGTGGTCAAATATTCTTCTGTTTGGCAAATTTGTCGGCATCTGTTATGTCCTTGCTAATTGATGTACACAATGTTATTGTGTTATGAAAGACATAAAAATGAACCCTATGTTGATAAAAAAAAAGAATGAGGAGGGTGGTGAGTCCACTGCTACTAGCTCCAAATAAAAACGACAAATGAATAATCAAGCTTGAGAAGTGAACATGATTACGAAAACAAAACATGAAATAAGAAACTTCTTATTTTTCAATTCATTTAATCTAAGTTTGTAATGAGAATAGATATATAATATACAAACTTACTTAACATTCAAACATCACCTGTCATAGTTCTATCGTGATTGATCGATACATTCACGCGTATGTACAAGTGAGCAAGGAAGGCAAGGAGAGCGAAAGAGAAAGAAAGAAGCAGAGAGAGAGAGAACAAGAGAGAAGTTGGTATGTTTAGTTACCAATATCAATCGAGATTAGTTCATATGAAATAGATTTATTGTCGACGAGGAGAAAAAGAAAACATTTATGATTATCAAGAGAATTTATTCGAAATCTTGTCTGTTTGAAGCTGAGATATCCAATAGTTATGAACACTCATTGATCATATTTAAACAAAAGATGAGTTGAAAAGTCAACGAATGTTTCTCGTGTTGAATTACAAACCGATAAGAAAGAAAACGTATCGCTGATGAACATGATCGAAACTTTGTGTGACTTGCATCATCAGCTATTCTTCGAGAAGAGAACAAGGAAATCAACGGTTTACTAGAATAGATATACAAAGAAGAAGAAGAAGAAGAAGAAGAAGAGAAGAAAGTCTTTGGGGACAAGCAAATGAACATCATTGATCATTGTTGAGGAACTTCCAAATGGATGCGACAACTGGTCAAAGGAGGAATTGTTCAATACAAGACAAACATATACAAGAATTTGTAGCTATTGGCACCATACATTCAAACATGTGTATGTATTGTATATGATGATGACAAGGGAGAAATTCCTTTTTTTCCACCAATACACAATTGAGTCCGGAAGCTTTTACGTGTTAAGTACAATCATAAGTATACTAAAACTACAAGTTTACTTGTATCAATGTTGTTCATTCAGATTACACAAGAATATTCTATTGTGATTACACCATAGTCAGTTCATAGATTAAATCAACATGCCGAAGAACAAGAAGAAGAAGAAGAAGAACTTGTCTTCTTGGTTTTTTTGTACGATAGTCACATCAATCTATTTCAAATCTTTTCTCCATTTATCAAGACATAAAAGACATGCACATACACACACACACACACCCATCCATGTATTGACGATGACATAGATGTAAGCGTCAACTGCTGAACATAAGTTTTCAAGGACAGTGTTATGAATACAAGAAGGAATAAAAAGGAATAACGAACAAACGAACTGTTTACATGGTCATCCTTTACTGACAAATTTGTGTAATGTATGTTGCAAGGACACATGTCGATCTATAATGATTGACATAGATTCAAGATAAACAAAGAGAAACACTAACACACCTTCTTTACAAACAGGTAACTGATCAGGTCTCCATAAACCTGAAAAACAAGTTGTACCACGATTACCAGCAAGCATGTAACCTAAAAACGAAAGACAAATAATCAATAATCGAATGAAATCCAGCGGAATCAAAATGTTAAATAAACCTGGGTCACATTCAAACTGTAATGAAGCGCCATGTCTCAATGTCACATTTGCTGACAGAATATAACGCGATGTACCGTAATTAACAACATACGTTTTTCCATGACGAATAAATCCAGGATGAAGGCAAGTATCTGAACGAGAATTGAGAAGAAGAACAAAAGAAAATATTTGCTCTGTTTACCTGCAAGACATTGAATCAGATTATTTCGATCGTAAGGCGATTCCCATTGACCGAATAAACATCGAATTGTTCGATAATTACTCAATTTGTACCCATTTCGACACTAAACAGAAAGCGTATAGACTTCACGAAGGATTTCATTAACAAACTAAAACTATACTGAATATTCAGCATGACCACCGTGCCGTCGATTTTGATATTTGACATAACCATTTTTAATCCAATAGGGATGCGTAGTACAATTTTCTAAAAAGAAAACAAAAATAATGTGTATCTTTTCAAAATTTTTCTTCTATTTTACTTGGTTCACATAATGGATCTGCTGTTAAATATCCTTGTATACATGTCACGTTCGTCATCTTTTTATAACCATCAATACATTCATAATCCAATGATTGACTTTCATTCAATACGTTATTGAGTTTGGTATTATTGTTTAATAAAATATGTGAAATGTTCAATGAAACGTGACATGTCTCCGATATTTCTGTTTTTTTATATGAGAAAAAAAGAAAACGAGTCAAAAATCAAAGGATATCAACAATACCTTCTCGACAATGGGGACCACCATTCGTCCATTGCCCATCAAGGCATTGTATAAACGATGGTTTTATCAGCGAACATTTTTCAGTGAATTTCGATGGACATTGACATTGATATTTGATCGTATAACCATGTCGAATATATGCTCCGGGTTGTAATTCTTTTCCATACCATTCATTGGCACTATCATCCATAAAATAGCCCACTACTTTCTTTCCCAATTCAGGCAAACGGCATTTCGCTACGAGCACAACTTTAGAAGTCTTGAGAAACAAAAGAATACACAAACTTTACCATAACATTTCGGTAAAATCGGTTTCCATGAACCGTGATTATCACAAATAACATAATTAACCATCGGAATGAGATCATAACGCGTACTACTATTACATGACAGACCTGTACTTTCACCCGAAAGAAATATCGAACGAGCATTCATAACATGTCCATTGAAACCTTCCATTGCCGGATGTCGACACATGGCTTCGATGCATTGTGGCCGACTGGTTTGCCATCGACCTTGTCTACATTCAATTTTGGATACGGAATCTTTTAGAATGTATCTCTCGATGCAAGCATAGTGTGCATAAGAGGATGTTGTATTCACAATATAGGCATTTGCAATCGATGGTGGTTCACCACATGGAGATTCTTTGAATTGCAAAGAAAACAAATCATTGGAGTTGCTCTTTTGATTCAATGAAAATTGACTTACTTAAACATCTCGGCATCTCTAACGGTGACCATGTGCCATTTTTCAAACAGGTTTGAACAGGAGACAAGCGATTCAGTTCATATCCAGGATTACATTCAATTCGTATTTGTTGATCAGGATAATAAACTTGTTGTTGTGGCATATGCTGACCATTTGTGATTAGATGATCAATTGTGCAAACTTCATCTAAAAACAAACTATCGTATCACAGCTCAACTCGCCGTTTACCTTTACGAATGCAGTAAACATCTATAACTGGTTCCCAAAATCCATCGCTAACGCAAATACGTTCTTTTGGTCCGACAACTGTGTATCCCGGATTACATTCATAAAATAACCGACTATAGAACGAATGGCCTTCGTATTGAATTCGACCATGTGCAGGATTGTTTAAGATTGGACAAAGATAGCGTTCAGTAATCAAAGCTAAATGGAAAATGACAAGAATTCGAAGTTCATTTTCGAAGAAAATCGATTGATTTACATCTTGAAAGACAAGAAAATCCGCAATTATGATCACAAACACAGATTTTTTGGTAACGGCAGTTCGTATTTTGATTCGTTCCTTGGCAAGATCGTTGACAGTTTCGATGAACATTCCTTTGTCTTGGACAAAGATTTTCCGTTCGATTTGATTGTGTAATTTCATTTGAAAACGTTGGTTTCGGCTGATAATAATTCCAATACGACGTCACCGTTTCTGGTCCAAAATTATCATGATTATTTATAGTTGCTAATGCGGTTGACGTTCGAGTAACTAAACGATGACGATATACATACGCTTCAGTTGTACTTGAACGACCTTGTTGTTCTAATGAAAGATAATTTATTTTCTTAATTCACTCTAGCGATGAAAACTTCTTTTCGTCTTCAGTCAATTAGATTATTCCGATCGAAATCCTAATTTTTAAACAATGATCAAGGCTCTTCGTCGATTAGCAACGCTTAGATATGCTAATCAACAACGTGCAATGAATAACGACAAAACTCCTTCAAGGAAAGGCAATTTTCTAAAATCACGACCATTTACCTGCAATATGAACCAGTAATGGATTTCTGATACTATTGACATGTTGAAAAAGAAAGAAACAGATCAGTTGGATTCGGTAATGCATATTGCATAGTGATACAAGACTTGATAAAACAAAGAAGAGAAGACAAATTGATGATGAGAGTAATGATGAAGACAGTTGCTTTCGCTTGCTCGAACAAGGAGAATTTGATTGTCTATGAGTTCTTCTCTATCTCTCAATCTATCTATCCTTTCCGACATCGAACAATAATGAATAAATTTCATGTTCTTCTCCTACGAATCGAAGAAACGTTCCATTCTCGTTTCTTTTCTTCTTCTTCTCCTTCTTCTTTTCCTCTCGTTTTTTTTCTTCATTGATTTGAAGATATTTGTTTTTATTAGAAAGACTAATAACAAATGCATATTCAATCATGTCAATAATGTCACAGAAATAAAATCGATTACCAGTAGAATAGTGGTTTGCCATCGCACTGAGAAATTAAATCAAGACTGTTGATAATTATCGATAAGTCTACATGATACTCTTTGGAAAGGAATTTCGAACAAAATGTTTTCATTTCATCGACGTTCGTGAAAAGATTTGATGAACTTTGCAACCATTGATAGTCAGGATAGATACCGTATTTGTTAATGAAATTGAATGTCAATATTGAATGATGATGAAGAGAAAAGTTTTCTTTGGATAGATACTTTTGAATATTGTCCAGACGTTTTTTATAGATCGAACGGTCATGCGCATTTGGCTCAGTATTGATAATTGATGGTACATAACGAAGGGAATAACCGTAGAGTTGCTTCGATTGAGAAAAGATCAAAACTAAGATTCGTCGTTCGAGCTGATAACAAATTTCTCCAAGTAAACGTTGATCTGTAATTAAACGTAAGAGATGCAATGGAAATGAATGTGAATCATATAGTCTACCTAGGATATCATTAGTTGAATTGACATTTTGATTGACTTGTAGTGATGATTGGAGTTGTTTAGTTATGAGTTTTACGTCATCGGTAATTCGTTGTAATCTGTTCAGATTTTGTTTGGTTTCCGAGCTGATTGGCAATATTGAGTTATCTTTCTGAAGATATTTGTCAATACGTTCGTGAAATGGTTGTTCAGTTAAAGGACAAGCACTTGGAGATCGTTCAATCACATCGATGATCGTTGTATTTATGTTCGTTTCTTGAATGAGCTTTCGACGAACAGCTTTCGATGTATTCGTGATCTGATGTCTAAAGAAAACATCGATAAACCAATCTATCACTCTGAATTATTATAACTTTCACGCGCTCTTTTTTTTTCTTATATATTAATCAAGCTGTACCTTGTTGCGTATCGTTGACAAACAAACGTTTTCTCATTAGATTGACTCTTGATGGAACTTCTGGTTGATTCGAAGTTAAATTTCATATTCGACTGTTTCTTCATCATGATCTCTCTCCTTAATGCGCTCATTTGTCATCGTATAGTGTCCTCTTTTTCTCTTCCATTAGCCTCTACTCGAATTTCCCATTGGTTGATTTATAAACAAATCGATTATGTAAGAACGAACGTTTAACAATCGATCGTTCGGGTCGTCGCACGAACGGGGTGATGCTACTAATTGTCCACCACGATGGTTTCTTTTTTCGAGAGTTTCGTTGCCATTACACAATATTAATTTACGTTCGTTCTCGATGTCATGTTATCGAACGCTTCGAATGTACCTGATATTTTAGAAATAAGCCTCACAGTAGACATTTTTTATAACCGGAAACTACGATGTGCTTATCGAAACCAATAGGGATGAAGAATGTTTAGTCTTTGGCAAGATATGTTTTTCTTTCTTTTCTTTATGCTTCAATTCTATTAATTGATCGTATAAGTTACAAAAAATACATTCTGCCGTCGATACAAACACGTTTTCTTCTATTCTAGATATGAGTTCTTTGATTTATTTACACAAATAATTCTTCTATAGAATGAATCTCGTATCAAAACCATCGGAAAATCAATTCAATTCTCGCGGTATGCACTTTCACCTCACTTTTTTTTCGACTTCTCTCACCCATTTCATTGTAGGTCAAGATGTTCTTCCACTAGACAACAACTATCCATCGTTCAAACTATTTCCTACACGTAGTGACTCAGTTGATAACAGTAATAATCGTGCGTCACCGCTGAATAACCCCGCGGGCACAACGCCAAAGAATCCCAGTCCGATCGAGCCCAATGAACACGAATTTCAACCAATAGCTGTATCGCCATTTCGTTTGTTTGGAACATCAACTACGACAGTATCAGCAACAAATCAGAACTCGCCCAAACCGTCGACAACAAGTTCGCTGAAGAAGTTCTCTTCGACGACCGATAAGCCGAGAAGAAAACGAACGCCGAAAATCGATGATAACAATGACATACAAAAAGTCAAACGACGTAAAAGTGAAATGAATATGCAACATAAACAATTAACCTTAATGGAATTACAGACCCCAATTACAACTGAGAAGAAAAGCAATTTAAATCCAGAAACATTCGCGACAAAAGTAACGATCTTCAAGGTTTTCTTTTGCTTTCAAACATTAGTCGTTTTAGAATCCGTCAAATTATCGCGAGATTGGCTTCTCGCCAGTTTCCTCCGCTCAAAGTGATTCAGGTTCAAATTCGAATCATACATCTGAATCATCCACTAATCCTGTAGGAAATTCAAAACTAATACAAGTAATTCTCGTCTTTATCTTCTCCCTCGATTCGATTTATTCGTTTGCATTAGACTGATATCAGTGGAGCAATAAATTCAACATCAAATGAACTTGAAGTCAAGAACAGTCAAATACAAACATTAACAAGAGTACGAAAAAGAAAAACAAAGCTAAGAAACGGAATTTTTATCGAGATGCTTTGTTTGTATTAGGAACGTGATGATCTACGACGACAACTATCGGAAGTAAAGAAAGATCTGGATAAACAAACAAACATATTGCAAAAATGCCTTGCTGTGAACAAAAAATTACTCGTCGAGAAGGTATGAGAGATGAATTTCTTGACTATAGCGTTGCCAAGACATGATCCTATTGAACGAATTGTTCAATCCTGAAATAAATATTCATCTTTAGTCGACACTCGAACGTAAACAAGCCCGACAAAAATGTATGGAAAATCGCTTACGACTTGGACAATTCGTCACTCAGCGCCAAGGCGCGACATTTGTTGAAAACTGGACTGATGGAACAGCGTTCACCGATATTACAAAGTGAGCCGATGTTTTACATTCAAAAATATTTAACTTACTTGTTCCTCCTTGCGTAGACAACAAGAAATGCTTCAACGTGCTCGCGAAGATCTCGATCGTGAACGTCGTAATCTTCTGCGTCGTCGGCCAAACTGTGAAGCGAAAGAAAAAGTGACCAAAACCGCATACACACGAGCAAAAAGCAAGGATCGCGGCAGTTCATTTGCTGTTCAAGATGAAAGTAGCAATGATGGAATAAAATCGAGCACTGATATAAACCGAGTGTAAGTGTAATCGAAACATGTTCATTGTAAGAGTGTTATTGTTCGTTGTTTTAGTATGACAGTTAGTGACTGGTACGAATCAGATGAAATTATACGTTTACGACAGGCGTCATTGAAAAAAGAAGAAGTTGATCTCCAGATTGAATACGAAAAGTTGGAACGCGAAAGGAATTTACATATTCGTGAATTAAAGCGAATCTATAATGAAGATCATTCCAGGTAAAGTGAAAATAAAACTCGACTGAATTGACTTCGATGAATATTTTCACCTTTTTTTATTCAGATTTCAAGATCATCCAATACTTAACAATCGATATTTACTTCTAACTTTGATTGGCAAAGGCGGTTTCAGCGAAGTGCATAAGGTAAAATTGAAATCAAATCAAACTCTAATCTTTCGCGTTGTCGTCTTAGGCCTTCTGTTTGAAAGAACAACGTTATGTAGCCGTTAAAGTCCATCAATTAAATAAAGAATGGAAGGAAGAAAAGAAGGCAAACTATATCAAGTAAAACTTTCCCATCTTCGTTCTTCTTTGTTTTACATGTCTTTCTCTTTCGTATTCATTTTAGACATGCCCTACGTGAATGTGACATTCTCAAAACATTAGATCATCCTCGTATTGTTCGTCTCTACGATGTCTTCGAAATCGATACTGATTCGTAAGTTATCAGCGCGACTTTCTTGCGAATCTCTATTCTACTTTTTTTTCCTCTTCATTTAGATTTTGTACTGTGTTGGAATATATCGAAGGAAATGACATCGACTTTTTCCTAAAACAACATAAAATTATTCCAGAGAAAGAAGCACGTTCTGTTGTCATGCAAACAGTCAGCGCATTACGTTATTTAAACAATGGTATCAAACCACCTGTGATTCACTTCGATCTTAAACCAGCAAACATCCTGCTGGGCTCTGGTACCAATAGTGGTGAAATCAAAATCACTGATTTCGGTTTAAGTAAACAAATGTGTGAAGATACCTATGATCCCGAACATGGCATGGATTTGACATCTCAAGGAGCAGGAACTTATTGGTTCGAGTTACTTTCTCTTCATTAATAGCATTTTATATCTTTGCGTGTGTTAGGTATTTGCCACCTGAAGTATTCGTTCAAGGGCCCAACCCACCAAAAATATCATCGAAAGTAGACGTTTGGAGTTTAGGTTGTATATTTTTTCAATGTCTATACGGCCGAAAGCCGTACGGACACAACCAATCTCAAGCTGCTATCCTCGAAAATCAAACCATCTTAAAAGCAAAAGAGGTGGAATTTCCAGCCAAACCAATCATATCAGATGGCGCTAAGGTAGGACTTCTTCTTTTTTTTTCGTTTCAGTCCACTATCATCAATTGCATCTTTAGACATTCATTAAGCGTTGTCTAGCCTATAATGTTCGAGATCGACCTGATGTGAATCAGTTAGCTGATGATGAATATTTACGTTCGTATCCGAAACGTACAACAACTAATGCATCTGCTCGAACAGCACAATTAACAATGAATGATGGTTCGAATTAAACAAGCAAGATACGAGAATAGTATCCTATATATACACTTATTTATTCAATAAGGAAACGTGTTCTTTCGATATACAAATATACATATATATATATATTTTTTTCTTTTCTGATTATTTTTTTTAAACACGCGTATATGCGCTTTAAACAGAAAAAAAAACAATTTGCGCGTGTTAATATTTCGTGAATTCATTAACATCGGCCGATTTGTCTCTTATAATCAGTTTTGTCATTGTTCTTAGAAACGTTTTTCTCTCTTTCTATATATATATATATGTATCAATGTATGTATTTTTGTTTGTTAGTGTGCGGATGTAAATAGTGGAGTAGACAATTTTTTCATCTTGTTTAAGAGCGAAAAAGGCAACCCACACATGGGATTCTACCGCATTGAAATCCTTGAGCAAACAATTTTGAAGAGGTTTTCTTGGTGCTGATGATTGAGGATATAAAACCAGACAGAGCAACATATGTAGGTTTTCTTTTTCGATTCTTTTCTCTAGTCTTTGACGACGATTTTCCTTTCTTGTTCAACAAAATGCACACGGTTGTCTCTGTTTCTTGCTTTCATCAGTCTTTGCTCTTTCTTTTCCTTTGTATTGTACGTGTGTATGTGTGTTTCATCTTCTCTAAATATGGACTCAATTTATGCGTTCTTTTCTGTTTGAAAATAAAGAAAAGGAGGAAAACGAAACAACTTCTGTTTGATTTCCGATTGAGATGAGAATCAAAGTTGTAGTTGAATGGTTTAATGAGATGAGTTATACAGATAAAGTGGTTCGAATCCCGGTCAATGCTGATATGATGTAAATACACTTAGTTATCCCTGTCTGAACAACCTGATGTGTAATCGGTTTAGAGAACTGATCAGCATATACCGACTGTGATTTTTAATCAGATTTCCCCCCTTCTGAGGAGAAGAAAAAAACATCAATTATAATCTCTCATGCATATTTATCTTTAGATTCTTTACGAAAATCATACTTGAAATCATGGACGAAATTTTTGCTCGTGCAAAGAGTATTCTGGTTATATGGGCTGACGATACTGACCCGGAAAATTTACCTGCTTTTCAAGAAATATTACAGACCAAAGCTAAACAAGCACACATTGCTTTCGAAAATGTTCAAATGCTTTTAGATTGTAAGTACTAATGACTATTTGATTTCTTCGCTGATCTAACGATCCTTCTTTGACGATCATAGCTCGACGTGCAACATCATCATTCGATGTTATTCTTCTTGGTCTTGTGAGCAAACGAGACACACCTACAAACGTTGACTTATTGAATGAATTCTTTCGTTTACTTCGTCCAAATGGTTATTTCATAACTCACATCGAACACGCTAAGCAATCGCAAGCCATTGACCATTTCAAAATGTGTGGTTTTACCAGTTGTAATCCATTGGATTCGAATTCATCATTTTTAATCGAGAACAAAGATGATGATGTGAAAAAACTCGGCTCGTTGTGGTTATGCCAGAAACCTTCGTTCGATATTGGATATTCCGTTCCATTACGTAACCGAGCGGATAGCAAGACTGGACAAGTTCTACCAACAGCTGAGACGAAAAAAACTTGGACTATGGATGATGATGACTTAATTGACACAGATGGCTTGTTGGACGAGAATGATCGCAAGAAACCCGATGTGAAAAGTGAGTTTCTACACTAAATTAAACTTGAAAACTTTTCCTTTTGTGTCAACAAGGTTACGATTGTGGAACATCATCAACTGGTGTTCGAAAAGCGTGTAAGAACTGCACTTGTGGGTTAGCACAAGAATTGGAACAAGAAGAACATGCCGCAGCTAAACAATCAGTGAAATCCTCCTGTGGAAGCGTATGCCCTCTAGAATTCAATCTTGAAAAAGCCTCTCTTTCGATTTTAGTGCTATCTTGGTGATGCTTTTCGATGTGCTGGTTGTCCAGCTCGTGGTTTACCACCATTCAAACCCGGAGAACGTGTTGCTCTTCCCACAATGTCCGATGTTTAAAAACATCATCGCAAAAGCCTGATTAAAACTACCATGTAATTTTCACGCGTTTAATTTTGCAATCATTTCTCATTCTTTCTTTCAACAACATCGACGTGTTTTTTTCTTGACAATCATTATTATCACTTTTTTCTTCTTTTTGCAAATCAAGAAAAGCAAAAAATATCACATTGACATGGTTGATTGACACACATCCTGTTGGCTTTCGAATATCGCGTTGCACTTTACACACTGTCGAGGCTAAAACTTTCGAATACATGATATGTATTCTTTTTAACCCGGGGCAAACAAAAAGTCGCACTTGTGTGGGACGGTTATTTCCATCGACTAATCTTCAACATGACTTTGACGTTTTATCATACTGCAAACCGAGGAAAAACAGGATTTAATTCAGTAATTGAATATGAAGCGAAAATATCTCGATTGATTTTGAAAGCAATGATTTGTGTGATCAAAAATTGAAATCGAGACTGTTTGGTTGCATTTTAAATCCAAGATCGTATTACGCCAGAAAAATCCAGCGGCAATAAAAATCACATGACTTCGCATTTGTTTTATTTCCTTTCAATCAATCTTCAAATCATAACCGCTCTCCCGACAAGATGAAACTATTCTTGTAAGTGCACGATTGAAACATACATACAGCGTTTCCATAACTTCCTTTGATATAATTCAGCTTTTTGTCTGCGTTGTTATGCTTCGCAGTGAATCAAGGTATTAGAATAAATTAGATGGATTTGAATACTAAGATGTGTATGCTGTAGGTTATGGGAAACGGGTGATGTGCTATTATACGAATTGGGCAGGGTATCGACCAGCTGAAGGAAGTTTTTCAGTAAAAGATATCGATCCGAACTTATGTACACATATCATTTATTCGTTCGCGCGCGTACAAGGCAATGATTTAGCAACTACAGAAGGAAATGATCCAGGTTTGTGATTGATGTTGCCGATTCCAAGTAGTTTTTATTCGATTTCTGTTGAAGAAATGTATAAGCGAATCATGGAATTGAAAAAAATCAACCCGGATCTGAAAGTTATGTTGGCAGTCGGTGGGTGGAATCATGGTGCAGCCCCATTTACGCAAATGGTCTCTACAGAAAAATCACGAGCTGAATTCGTGGAAAATTCTTATAATTTTCTTAAAAAGCATGGCTTTGATGGTCTTGATCTCGGTAAATATTCATCACCATTATTACTTACGATCATCTATTCTATTGATCAGATTGGGAATATCCAGCTGATCGTGGTAGTCCACCTGAAGATCGTCAACGGTTCACTCAGCTCGCCAAAGTATTTACTACTAATATCAAACGAGTTCTTTTTCAAAGTCTTCCTTATTATTATTATTATTAGCAATTGAGTGCAAAGTATAAGCCAGAAGGTCTTCTTGTATCAGCTGCAACACCAGCTTCTCCTTCCCGTTACGATGGTAGCTATGAACCCGAAGTTTGCGAGTACGGTTTCCAATCGCTTTATATATAGTCGAAACCAACGAATATTTTTAGGCATTTAGATTTTATCAATATAATGGCTTACGACTTTTCGGGTCAGTGGGAGCGTCAAGCTGGACACAACAGTCCATTAACAGCACAAAAACAAATTGTGCAACATATGTTACGAAAACCGGCTTGCACTCCAGATAAACTTAATTTAGGCATGGGTGCTTATGGGTAAACGACTTTCGAAAGATTAGCATGTTTTATTCGTTCACTCGTGTGACTAGACGAACCCATCAATTAGCTAATCCATCTTTACATGAAATCGGTAGGAGACGACGTCATAGTATAGTGTCTTGTTTCGACTGCTATCTGTTTTTCGATAGGATCTCCAACGGTAGGTAGCGGTGCTATTGCTGGTCCATACACACGAGAAAGCGGTTTCATGAGTTACTATGAAGTATGTGACAAACTCAACCAAGGTCTGTGATCGACTTATAAAAAGTCTATTCATTCTCCGAATATCTGTTTAGGATGGTCACAAGGATGGTCAGATCAGCACAAAGTTCCATATGCGCACTCCGGTTCGCAATGGGTTGGTTATGACAATCCAGAAAGTATTGCTATCAAAGTAAAACATACGTGATATGGTTCCTCTACAACTATAAACATATTATTCATATGAATAGGCTGAGTATGTCAATGAAATGGATTTGGGCGGTGCGATGTTTTGGGCTATGGATTTAGATGATTTTCGTGGTGATAAATGCAATCAAGGAAAATTTCCTTTGATTAACGCCGCAAAAGATGTCGTCAATGGAAAATCGCCATCAACAAGACCAAGCACGACACGTACAACTCCAACAACAACTCCAATTCCTACCGATCGAACTGATACTGCAACATTATATTGTCAAAATTGTAAGTAAACACAGATCAGAGATAATATCGATCGAAATATTGTTATTGATTAGCATTAGAGAAGCAAACATATGCAAATGTCTCTGCCAATTGTGAAAGTTATTATGAGTGTTTAACAACACCAAGTGGCAAACAAATTACTGTCTCTCGAACGTGTCCGAAACCATTGATTTACTCCGAAGATAAAAAGAAATGTGTCAAAGAGAGAGATTTAACTGACGTTTCCATCAAATGTTCTACAAAATGTAAGAAACAGTTTACCCAGTCGTCTTCAATCTCCTTCATATTCATCTTTATTTCATAGTGGGATTGTCTGCTCCATCGTCATCGTCAGCCAATTGTTGGGATCCATCCTCTTTTATACCAGATTCTCAATGTCGATTCTTTACTGATTGTTCAACCAAACGTCGGTACGAATGTCCCCCTGATTCGTCATTCGAGCGCAACTTAAAACGCTGTGTGCCGAAAAAACATGTTCAATGTTGGTGGTGATTTTCTTCTATCTTATAATAAAAATAAAATACGAGTTATAATAAATCATATGATAAAGTCAATATGTACGCATTTTTATTTCTGACATAATAGCAATGACGATCACTCTATGATTTGCGAACTTAGGGAAGAAAATCTTTCGATCGACGTGATACAGTCTATTAGATCTTGCGATCTGTTTGAATGAATAAAATACTCGATTCGACATCATTCAGTTCTATTTTCATATACATTCGGTTTTATCAATAAAAAATCCAGTGATTTTTACCCCGACAAGAACAAACACGAGAGAAAATGGACTTGGCATTGTTTTCTATCTCTTATTCTCGTTTTTCTTCTAATCATTTTTCTACTCCAAATCATCATATTCTGTCTGGCATTATTAATTCATTCGAAGTGTCTTTGCATACATACACAATTCCTTTCAATACAATCGCTTATTTTCAATCTTATCAGCATGTCAAATGTTACGAACAAACGTTTCAATTTATCGATTTATTTACTCTTCATTATTCTTCTTACTGATCATTTCCTGTGCGTTCAGTCATTTGTTATTTTTGATGATGATCAACTACAGGTAAAAACCGATTGAACAAGTTCTATGAGATCGAAGTTTGTGGAGAAGGAAGACGAGACATTGTCCTTGTATCTCGATATATTCTCTTGAATAAACTAACGAATCTTTGCATAGAAGTCGAGAACAGTACTATTGTTATCCTCTCAAGGTCGATATTGTCGACTGAAGAAAATATAAAACCATAATGCCTTCGATTGATCGTTTAGAAGCAGCTCGATAGTATTCGACAAGGTGTAATTCAACAGATAAATACTGATGCTTTGATAAATTCAGGTAAAACAGAGTCATCTTCTTCACACAAGTAAATTTCATTTTATTTCAAGAGTATTCGTCGTCAACAAATGTTGCTGAATTTCAAATAGCATTACAACGTAGGAATTTTGTCAAAACTCACTTTTCATACAGTCAATCTGTTGTTCATATTCTCCTAGGTCGCTTTTGTTGCATGAGTCCAATCAGTGGTCGGAAACGGTTTACTCGAGATCTGCCGAAGCAATCATTATTGGACTTTCTGATAAAATAAAAACAGTTACTTAAGACTGATATCCATATTGTACATTTTTTTTCGACAAATGGAAAAGTGAATACGAAGACTCAGTTGAAAGGAGGCAAATATACGAAAAAAAATCATATTAGGTTCGATTCTTTTATCGTAGAAAATTAGAAGGAATAAACAAATGATTGTATTCGGTAACAGTCAGACTTTCATCACTGTGTTGAATATAGAAAAATAGATATAGATTAAACATTTAACATAAATAAAAAACATCACAGATTAGCGTGCAAAAGTAAAGACCGGAATGCCACTGGATTATGTATATTACTGGTATTTGTAGAATAAAAGAAGTATCAGATGAAAACGTTCAGCCCCTTGTCGTTGTATATTCATATGAGTTAAAGGCTGGTTAATTCTATGAGAAGAGACAAGATGAATTCAGTTCAATGTCCGAATTGGCTTTAGTTAACTTACCCATGATATTCTTCTTTTTTCGATGAAATAGCTTATAAAAAAAGTTTCGTTTAAAACAACTCTCTTCTGTTGTATTCTGATCGGGTTGTTCGGATGTTTGATTTTCTTCTTGAATTCGCGCGAAGTTCACAAATACATCATCGAGTGTCACTTGTGTCACGGTATAATCTTCAATAATATTACGTAAATCCTCGCGCGCTTTTTCTAAGACACTAAACATCCGATGTAGGGGGACGTTTGTTGATACACGAAAATGTAGCATTTTATTGTGTTCTTCTTTAACCGTCGATTCGGGGATGTTCTCTTTTATGTAATCAACTACACGTTTCGTATCGGTATCGATATTTGCTCGAATGAGAATTGTATAACCGTCACCAAATCTAAAGAAACAAATTAAACCACGTAAATTGAATAGATCACTATCTACTTTGCTTTTAAATGTTGCACACTGCCCAAGCATTTGAATTTGCCATTAACCATAATGACCAAACCTATAGGTAATCATTTTATAGGGAAAATGATATTATATGAAGAACAGAATTACGTACGATTACATAATGTTTCACATTCTTCCATAGAATGCGAAGTGATAACAACAGATTTATGATCTTTACGTGTTAATGTCAATATACAGTTCCATAAAAATCTTTTTGCACGAACATCCATTCCTGTTGTTGGTTCCTACGATAAAATTTCAAATGTAAATGCGATCTTTCCGGTTTGAATCTACTCACATCCATGAATATAATCGATGGATTACCAATTAGTGAAATTGCTGTTGATAATTTCCGTTTGTTTCCGCCAGAATATTGTTTTACAGGTCGATCTGCCCAAAGAGTCAGACCGAGTCGTTTCAATAGACAGTCGACGATCTAAACATCGCACACCCTCACTCTCAGAATACTACGTTCTAGTTTGACTCACAAATGGCATATTCTTTCGTTTGATTCCGCGTAAACGAGCATACAGATACAAATGTTCTCTTGCTGTTAGTAGAGAATCCAATGCATCAAACTGTGGACAATAACTGGAAAGAAAAACCAGATCGTCATCGTTACCATCGACTCAGAAATTTTCGTATTTACCCTAGATTTTCATGAACTTTATTCAGTTCCTTGATAACACTGTAATTGTTAACAAATGCATTTCCATCTGTCATCGAAATTTCTCCTGTTAGCATTTTAAATGTTGTCGATTTGCCTGAACCATTGATACCCAATAAACCGAAACATTCGCCTTGTTTCACCCCAACACATGTACGTTTCACCGCTGTGAATTGTTTTCCAAATCTCCATCCGTAAACCTATTCAATTTATGTGAAACGTTGATCTTCAAAAGAAAAGTGATGCTTTTGTTGTCATACTTTAACTAAATCAATCATGCGTAGGATATCTCCACTTGTATTGTCACGATCGGAATAGATTCGTTGTCGTTCAGCAGCAACATCGTCATCATCATCCACTGCTGTTTTCGAATCTGCTGGCGTCCGAACACAACCACTAAAGGTTCAAACATTTTTTCGTAAGACTTAAATAGCACACCCTCAATATGTTACCGATCGGGAATGAAGAATCGATATTGAACGAGGATCGCAAATAGAAAAAAGAACACGCCTTCGATGAATAGAGCGAATAGATTTCGTCCAACAATATTAAATTCAAATGGTGACTTTGCTTGGTAGTTGGGAACTGAAACGAACATTTATCAAACGAAATTCTTACGATTACAATCGGACTAACTGTATTTAGCGCTGACTACATTGGTCGTATGTGTTTTACTCATATCGAACAGGCCGCGTCCAAGGCAATAATGTGGAAAGATCAGGAACACTTTGGTTAAAATTTGATTAATTCGTTGTAAATCTTCTTCATCGTTGAAAGTTTCTAACGTAATCGTAGAAATACTTGTCATCATACCAATAAATATGTTGATGCATGATATTAATACAAAACCAGTCGATGGCGTTTTGAATAGGTAATTGATTGGATACATTAATGGTATCGTCGCAAAACCATACAAGAATAATAACAATAATAAGCAGAGAAAGTTCATTTTGTACACGTAGGATTCAACACCGAAGGCAAGGAAGATGATGATACAACATGTGATCGATACACTGTAGTTTGTTAAATCCCATAGGAAAGTTGACCACCAATAAGTTATTCCTAGAGAGAAGAGTCTATCTGCTTTTTGAGAGAAACAGAGTTTTGAATTACCTTTGACTCCACTAACGAATTGTAAATGTTTTGACGTAGTTACTCGTTCATCAATGAGGAAAACGAGAAAACTGGCTGGAATGAATGCTAATGCGAAAATCACACATATAGCCGTAAACATTTCGATTGCAACACGAGTTTGTAATTCGCTATCGATCTGAATCGTTGTTTCCGGCAATGGATGATTGATAGCAGTAATACCGTAGTCATCAACTGATGCCGAGCTCGTTTGTTGACGAAGAATTCCACGTAGCAAAGCATTATTGAATATGTTTAGAAATGCAACACTGGATGGCCATCCTTTATTATTGTACCAAACCTGAAAGAGAGAAAACAAGGATATAGATATGTGAATAATCGTTCAACGATCGATGAGTTACCGAAGCTTGTGGCGGATGTATTCGAAATAGTGTGGCCAATTTTGTTGCGTTGATAGTTACGATTGTTTGATTGATTTGGCCGCTGATATTAACTAGCTGTTGGATGAGTGTTTCATCGAGAAGATCATATACTGTTAAATTGCTTCGAGATAAAAATTCAATGCCACCAAAACGTTTCATCAGATATTCTTCACGGAATTCTGTTTTTACAATCCTAGATCGAAACCAAAGTTCAGAATATTCTCGCGTAAAAATCATCATCTCTCTACAAACCAATCACTTATATTATAGCCAGACAACTGAAACAGTGTATCTTGTGTTTGAAGAGTATCATAACCTGGTGGCGGACCGCCTGCGCCCACAGGACACACTTGCATTTTTTCCCAGCAATCGCATCCAGGAGAAATATGTGTATAACTATAATTGACACTATTTAATGCATTGAGTACTTCTGAGCTTGGTGTTGCTGATGTATAACCACCGTAGGAGGAGCATGGATATAGTCGTGTATCGAGCATTGTGGATGCCATACAACGTGTACCTAATGATGGTGACTGAGTAAATGTTTGTTGAACGGATTTGGATAATGTTGAACTTTGGTTATTGGTCATTGATTGGAACATATAGTTAGGTTTACCCCAATACCAAGGATGAAGTATAAGCGGTGGCGGATCCGATTGATTTGGCGTTAGTGTTATAACTAACATAGCCAATAGAATGAAGATAATTGGAAGGAGAATTTCAGCGATCAATCCTTTTATGTTGCGTCTCGTACGATGAAAACGTTTGATGAGTAAGCCAAGTACTTGAACAAAGAGATGTTGAATACCAGTATAACGTTCAACAGTGTACGAACTCCATTCATCTAAAATAAGCTTTACAATTGAAACGAAGTACTGAAAATCGAGACGTACCACTTAGACACGTATTAAATAGTTCTTGATCATCCTTTTCGTCTTCTTCTTTGACTTCTGGTTGAACTTCCTCTTTGGGTTGACGTTTCTGAGTCCATCCTTTTATCCTTGTTGTCATTCGCTTCCAGCACGATGCACGTTCATAATCCTCTCGTCGCTTAACCTCATCGGCTACCCGAAGAAATACTTGCTCAAGACTACTATTTGACAATCCATAACTTTTGATGTGATACTGCGCTTGATTTTCATCGAGATCAGCCAACATTTTAGGAAAAACTCTTGTATGTTCAACATCATCTAATATAACGTAGGTAATTTGATCACCATGCCGTTCTTTCACTCGTATATCAGGCATATATTCCTTCAGAAATTCCGTTAGTCGTTCAAAATGCATTGACAAACTTATATCATTTAATTCGATATGCGCTGGGTCAAGCGCATCATCCGTCGAAGCCTAAACACAATTGGAAATGAGAATAAATCGATTCAAGAAAGTGTCCTTACTTCGTTTTGTCGGAGTTCTTTTTCATCCGACTTTGACGTTAATTCAACGATTAAATTATACCCTTCACCGTATTTATGTTTTAAGTACATCGACGTGCCAACACATTTCAATTCGCCCGAAGATATGATTGCTAGACGATCACTGAGTAAATCAGCTTCGTCGAGATGATGAGTTGACAGAACTATTGTGCGACCGGGTTTGTATTTCAGAATCAGATCCCATATAGCTCGACGAGCAAATGGATCAACACCTAAAGTCGAACACGACTGACTGCAATGAAATCAAGTTAGTTTAGAAATTATACCTGCTGTAGGTTCATCGAGAATGACTGTAGTTGAATTACCAATAAATGCAATTGCAATGGATAACTTTCTTTTCATTCCACCGGACAGTTGAGTTGAATAATTTTCGGACTTTTTCTCTAACGACAGATCTCCTAACATTTTCGTTGTTTCTTGTTCAATAGTTTCACTCGGTGCACCTTTCAATCTAAATACGTAAGAACATAATTTAAAGTATCGAATCGAATAGTTCTACGCACGCGGAGAAGAATTCTAAATGTTCTTTAACCGTCAATCGATCGAATAGAATATTATGTTGCGGTGCAAATCCTAATCGCTTTCGTATGACTTTAATATCAGTTAAAATATCATAACCATCGATATATGCTGTTCCACTAGTTGGTGGGATTAACCCGGTCAAAATCGACCATGTCGTACTTTTCCCCGCACCGTTTCTTCCAAGAAATGCTGTTATCATATTGCGATAGAATTTCACCGATAGATTCTTCAACGCGAGTTTATTGCGATAGTATTTCGAAAGATTCTGGATTTCAACACCGACTTCCGATTGCGGAAGGTCAACATCGTTTTCATCTGAAAAGAAGAATTTCGCATCTATTATCGTACAGAAATCAATCGAATTCGTACTATTCATATTTGTTTCTGTTTGTTTCAACTCTTCGGTACGTTGACGAATCTTATCAATATCATAACCAAACCAATACTTTTTCGTTAATGGATAATACCATGGCTGAGGAATACCGTATTCACCTAGAAACGAAGAACTATCATTTTCATCCATCTCCGTTCGTAAAGAATCTTACCGGGAAAAACATTTTCAATATAAACAGTTAGTAACATATAAATCACTGAATCTACAAGCATCATTATCAAACAGTAGAGAAAAGTAAAATTGTCATTTGGCTTGGCTCCTTTGTTGATATTGCTCCATTGGATACCTTGCGTCATACCTTCAAACCGAGCGATATAATCACAACTGAGTCCGAATGCTACAGTCGATGATAAACACTAAATACAAGTCACACTGAAGTCATAATGACATACTATTTGAAAACTCTTACAGCAATCACTTTGTGCCATGTACGTGTTTGACTATCATAGTTTATCAAAGCTGTATATGGTAAATACAAAAGAAAATAGATTATACCAGCACCTGAAATAAATCCAAGGAAAGTTTTTGAGGAATTCATAGGTTAGAACAGAACGTACCACATGCTGCCAGATTTGCTCGTTTGAAAAAGACACTTATGAGAAAACATTGATTGATTGTTGCAAGAGTATAACAAACGAATAAGATAAACAAGATGAGTAGATTAGAGAATTGAGTAATTTTTCCGAACTAAAATACAAAGTGGCATTTTCGAACATGTTCTCATCGATAGTAAGTTCACACGGATGTATAGCCGTCAGCAACATTTGTGCTTGAAAGATGTTAGTAACAGAATTTTTACATATACATAAGACATCACTATCGAATCGTTTTCAATGTCAAAGAAACACTTTTTGTATGAAGAGAATCACCTTGAACATGCTCTTCTCCAAGCAGTAACAAATGCTAATGTGTAACATAAGTTTACACTTCTACTGAACAACGTCGTAGGGAAGGTGTACATGAGCAAGAACAGGTAAATCTTTACTTTTTTTTTCTCGAACTACTTTCCAGTTAACATCGCGTTGAGTCATGCAAAAACTCTTTCCCTCTCTCATTAGGAAACGGAAGAACTTTCAGATCGCACTTTTCTCTCTCTCTCTCTAGCAATCTAAAATTTCCGTATATTTACTTTCAAAATCAACACCAGTAATAAACTAGTAACTAACATTACTACCACACATAAAACAAACCATGTAAACCAATGTACGGAATCGTATAAACCCATAATTCTCATAATTTCTTTCAGTCGTCTAAACACCCATTGTAAGAAGTTCATCGTAAACAAAATCTTGTCTTACTTTTCTTTTTCGTACACGATATCTTTAACATTCATTGACACAGTAAAGATCCAACTCAGAACCATAAATAATGGTAACATTTGCCTGATGGAATTAACAAATCTGAAACAAGAATGAAGAGTGATTTTCACAATTCACTTGGATTGTTCTAATCTCTCTTACCTATCGTTTACCCAACATGGATACGGCATTTGTTGCGTTTGAATTCCATAAGAAACATCCATTCCTGTTTGGGTATTGATAATCGCTCGATCCAAAGCATTTTGTAGATAAATAAATGTAAATGAATGATATTTTGTCGAAAATGGTGCACCATATCGAGGTGCATAATTGAAATATCTATTTTTCAAAATCTCAAGTCTTTTGTTTTCTTTTCTTCGAAAATCTCGATATCTTACCGATCTTCTGTTCGAGCTGTATTATCGACATAATCCAGAGCCATTCGTATTTTATATCTGATGTGTTTGGGTAAAGTAGCGTTATCCGGAATGGCATCAAGAAATTCGATTGCAGCTAGGAATGTATTCGTCACTGCGTTAGTTTGTCCATCAGTTACCATATCGCTCTCACTAGCCTTCGGAACAAAACGATTTCTCTCTGAACATGCAACAAATTCTGTTATGATCGTGAAGAAAGATATGGGTAATCTGTAGTCATTCAACTGATTACAAATCGACGTAGCATTCGGTAAGAAACCACATAATTTCGATACTGTATCATATGTCGGCTGAATGGCTTTGTGCACTTGTCGTAGAAGTTTAATAAACTCATCCAATGATTCGAATGTTTGATTGATTTGCTTAATCAGATTATCATATGGAACATTCGATGGGTGATAATAGATTTTCCCATAGAGTAACGGACGAATGATCACAGCAAATTGTTTAAGAAAGTCATAGGAGTTGAATAATTGATCGAATAGAACACAGCGACAAGTACGATTGACATAGATCGCTTGCTGGATGTTACCCGATCCGACTTGATATGATTGTCGGCACATAGCAGATTCATTGAATTCTAGTAGAGCAGTGGCAAACTCGTTCCAGTCGATACCGAGAACTTCTTGTACTTGTTCTGCCTGTGTAGAACGTTCTCCTCCAGATCGTGTTTCATTGGAAGTTGTGCCTGATCTGGTGCCACTGTTTGCAGATGTGCCCGTATTAAAAGAGAAATCATTACGGCCACCGCATAAAGTTGCCAGACTGAAATAGGAATAGGAGGGAAAATGAAAAGCGCATCAATGAACCGTACCTTAAACTATCATTTGTTCCTTGAAATGGGAAACTTATATTGAGATTATTCAGACGATTGCCGAGGCTTTGTATCGTTTGCATGGCCTAAAACCATTCAGTAGACAAAGCGAAGATAATCAATGCACTTACTTGCAAGCCATTCAAAGCTAAATTGAAAAATATTGGTCCGCTGGTAGTCTAAACGAAGGATTTCCGCTAAGAACAGCATTCATTCTAAATAGTTATTCTTTTTACCACAAATATCTCATCAAATTGTTCTTGTACATTGATTAAAAATGTTTTAAGTTCGATCGATGATAAGTTATTACATAGGTAGTTCATAGTTTGGATGGATTGCGTTTGATTTTTTATTAAAAATGTTCGATCAAACTGTCCATTGGTGCAAAACGATTGTTGGATGTCAATATCTGTACGGTATGTCTAAATTCAGGGAGATAGTTCCCTTTCAAAACTTTTCATTCCTTCGAAAACAAAACATACATATGTGTAATTTGTTTGTACTGACGCAAAGTAGACTTCTGCAGCAACGAATAAATTCGGGACGGATTCTGTTCGATTCATGAACCATTTTTGATGAAGATTAGAAAGATTAACCGAGTTTGAAAAGAGACTATTGATCATTGATAATGGTATTAATTGATTGAAATCACTGGGTGTTCGATTGGCCGATAGAGTACCTATTCATTATTAAATATTTACCCGAATTGTTTAACTTCCATTGCAACTTACCATTCCATATGTCACTATAGGCATTTAAGGAATCAACTTGAGATATAAGTTTATTTATATCATCGATTGTGCCAGTGTCATTTAAAACTATTGAAAGACTATCACCGAGTTCGGAAAATGTTCTCCATATTCTAAACAAAATCAATCAAAGAATAAGATCACGAACTGAACTGTTCGATTCACAAACCCGAGATTACTATCAAAAGAATTGAATTGATCATATGGATTAGTATAATTATGACATGTATTATTCCATCTACAGACATAACTTTGTAAAGCGGGAAAGAAACCGGTCGAGCCGAGATATTTCGCGTCATTATGACCTATTAGACAAAAACAGACAAATTTCAAAGATTTGCTGATATTTTCGATGAATAATCATGCTTACAAGAATCATAATAAAAGACTAAGTTCCGTGTTCGTACCCACATGAGAATGAGGAAGAGGAAAAGCGGCCAGATCAATTCGAAGATCACACGAGGCTACATTTTCAGACAGACAAAAATAAAATTTAACCTTGAGCATGTCAATAACTATGTTTACCCATCGTCGTCTTCGTATGGTAAAATTTTTCCATAAAACTAACCGAATTTGTCGAAAAACGCCCATGTTTCACCGTTGCTGCTGATTAATTCTTTTGCAAAATCACTAAAACAAAATAAATATATTCACATCAGTACTTTTGTCGACCATTAGGAGTGACAAGTTTCGATATAAATCAATCATTAGTTTCTTTCGTCACACATCAACAATGGTAACACACTGAAAAGTGCATCTTTCAGTCATGCACGGACTAATGCGAGAAAAAACTATGTTCACAGCACAGAAATAGTGGGATAATTGGAGACAAGGTCGCTCTGTATTTTTTACGCGACAAACACAAGATAGAAGGAAAAAAAATCAGCTTTCAGCTCGCAGTGTTTATTCTCTTTCTTGTTTACCTGATTGAATCGGATCGAGATGTAATGGAAGTTTTTCACCGTACTTTTTCTCTGACCCAAGAAACAAAGAAAAAAAAAGAGAAAATGTAAAAATCAGTGAAACATTTCACGATTGGCTGATTGGAACAAAATAAGGTATGGACATATTTTCTTTTGGATGTACAAAATCACATGAATTTCGACATCAGTACATACAGTCGTGTTGAAAGTTCGCGGACAACGTATTAAATACCAAAACATTGCATAGAGATTAGCTGCGATTTGATTCTAAATCCACTCAAAATAGAAGAACAAGGCGAAGGAATAACTTCTACAAAGAATATTTTCTTTCCTTGAATATATTAATGTTAGTCTAGATTACAAGAAACAATTTACTTGCTTATTCATCAACTTCTTCAAGTCTATTCCTAGTCGATTCGATTCCTTTCCTATACTTTATTCTTTCCTTATGCGCGCGAACAACTCAATTAAGCTTTCTCGATGGTAGAACAAGAAAGTTGAGAAATTTAAAGTAGAAAGTGCAGTTAAATGTAATGCTGTCAGAAAAACCAAGGCAACAAGCACGCAATTACTTTTCGAACAGATATACCTTTTAACTCCTTTTATGTGTAAAAAATATTGGATGTTATGTCATCATCAAAGCTTTCGTATATGCAATCGATGAGAAGAGAAAAAACAGAACACTCAATATCATGTATTACACGAAAAACGTGCACCAATCGAATCAAAATAGATGACAGTAGTTGTTGCAATAGCTATAAAACCTTTTTATATATTTCGTTCACGCAATTTTTCGTTTCTACGTACAGGTATTGCGCTTAATTTGAGTACATGATGTGTTTTATGTTTCGATGGCGATAACGTTGTTTACTGATGCGATTATGTTAAAATGTTTTTTTATATAAAAAAGAAGAAGCTCTTAGCCGCTTTCATTTTATTCTCTTTGTAGCTGTCACCTAAAGAATATCAGCAACGATGTCTAAGGAAGAAAAGGAATTCGGTGGTACACCTGGAGCTATTGGTTTAATGATATTCTCTCATTTTGTTCCGTTTTATTTCGCTCTGTCACTTCGGTATAGTTCAGGTGGTCTATATTGCCCGTCATCGTTTGATGGATTCATTGAAAATTTCAAAGAAACCTGTTCACCAACATGGTCCGCATTTTTTCTCTACACTGGATTTTGTTTTCTGCAACTTATTTTCGCTGCTACTCTACCTGGATTAGTTATCAAAGGTTTACCCGTACCAACGGAAAACAACCGACAATATACGTATAACTGTAATGCACTCTCGAGTTGGTATGTCACATTAGTACTTGTGGCTATACTTCATGCTACTGGCCTTGTTCCTTTGACGATTTTGGCTGATCAATTCGGTTCTGTCTTATGTGTAGCAGTGATTTGTAGTGACATACTCTCAATAATCATACATTTCTATGCTCTTCAAACGAAACAAACATGCCGAATGACTCATTCGCCAATCTATGACTTTTTTATGGGCGTCTGGTTGAATCCTCGAATAAGAATTCTCGGACAAGATGTTGATTTGAAAATGTTAGCTGAGGTTCGTCTCTCATGGCTCTTACTATTTCTTCTAATTGTTTCTGCAGCAGTCAAACAATACGAAGCATTTCATACTATCACCTGGCCAATGATGCTAATCTTAACAGCTCAATTGCTGTACATCAATGCTTGTATGAAAGGTGAAGAATGCATTCCAACAACATGGGATATATTCTATGAAAAATGGGGCTGGATGTTGATCTATTGGAACTTAGCTGGTGTTCCATTTGTGTACGCATTTCAAGCTTATTATATCTTGGTAAATTCATTGAGAACACAAAAGCCAACTGAGGGTGTATCGATGACACTGATAATCGTGTGTTTTACTGTTCTTTTCTTTGCGTATTATATATGGGATTCATCACAAGCACAGAAAAATCGTTTTCGTATGAAACAACGCGGAACATACGTACCACGAAAGGCCTTTCCACAGGTTCCTTGGAATACGTTAGAAAATCCGAAGTATCTGAAAACTGAATGTGGTTCGACTCTATTGATTGATGGCTGGTGGAAATACTGTCGGAAACCTCATTACACTGCTGATATTTGTATGGCAACATGTTGGGCACTGTCATGTCACCAATGGCCAGGTTTGTTACCGTATTTCTATCCCGCTTTCTTTACTGGCATGATCATTCATCGCTATACACGTGACATTGCTCGATGTAAAGCTAAGTACGGCAAAGACTGGACTATCTATTGCAAACACGTCCCGTACGCATTTATTCCTGGACTCATTTAGAAAGTTCTTCTGTGATACTTCTTTGTAGTTTTTTAGTCTTTATTTTGTGGAGTGAGTGAGTGAGAGAGAAGCATGCATTCTAGATGTATGTACTTAATTTGTGATCACGTCACTGATAACTAACACAAATAGAAAATAAAACTTATATCAACCTAAAACAACGAGAAAATGGTCCGATACACACGTCATACAAAGATTTCATATTATCTGTCATCGTCATTATCATCCGAGACAACGCACTCGACATACGAAAAGGACTTCTGTGCTGAATATTGCTGAGTTAGTTTATTATAATGTAATATTGCATAATTGGCGTTTTACAGATAGCTTTTGATGACTGTCTCATCAGGTTCTTCCTCTTGATCGACTGTATATGCAGCATTTTCAATACCAATATAGGGCATTTCAGCACCAGGGAGATACACAACTGAATCACGAGAAGCACGCTAAAAATTTACAAAAATATTTGTATGAGATTTATCAATGAATTGCTATTAAAAAGATAATGGTACGCTTACTGTTTTTAATGCATGCATTACTGCATCGTTGATTGTTACATGAATTGTTTCACGAGAAGCTACATCCATATAATTCATTCGTTTCAATTGTCGATAAACAATCGCTACAAAAAAGAAAATGGTTTGAAGTTTCGAAGTGAAAGCAAACGTACGTCGAACTTGACAGAGAAGAACGGTGACACCAATTTCCTTAAAATCTTTGAATATCTAGAGGAATTGTACATTATTACAGACGGACTACAAAGTGCTGTTGTCTTACTTGAATCAGAGCTCGAATTCCCATCATGTCCATGTAATTTACAGGTGAACAATCAATAATAATATGATCAAAACTGGGTCGATATTTTCTCTTGACTTCTTCGATCTACAATGGAAAACAAACATTTCAATTGAAAATAGGATATGATTTTTTTGTGTTACTTTTTCATTTTTCTCTTCCAATATTTTATTTTCATCTGTTTCGACATTTTCGTTTATTGTTATTTCCTCTTTCTTAAAATGTCGTTTGAGATTTGCCAATTGTTTATTTGGCTTCGCTAAACGTAATTTATATTCTCGTTCGATATTCGCGATTTCTTCGTTCATCGTTCTGATTTGATCATCGACACGTAAGCCAATTCGTTTCATAAACAATTTTTTGAACATCTCAACATTAGCATAGTAGATATTTTCTTCGAAACGAAAGATCTTTATATTCGGAACATCTGTTGCCGACGGATAAGCATTTTGATCTTCATAAATACCCGCCGATGATAAATAGCCCAATGATGTTGCATGTGGCCTGAAAAGTCAACAATTTTCTTTGGAAAGCAATTCTTTCGTTCGTCATACTTTTGTGTGCGAATGATTAATAGAAATATCATTGCAGCGACACCAATGTACAAGCCATAATCAACGTCGAGTAAAACCACACCCCAAAACGTGATGATCCAAGCGAGAAACTCCAATTTATTAATACGCCATAGGACAGGTAGCTGCTTAGTTTGTAGAAGCATATTTTTCATAGCTGTAACAATAATCGCTGCAAGACACGCATTGGGTAGTGTACGAAATAAAGGACCGACGGCGAGAATCACGATTAGTACCACAATAGATGCAAGGAGTCCGCCGATCTGAAAATGAGAAGAGTTACAAGTTTGCACATTGATGAGATAAGATTAGTTTATTTTACTTGACTTTTACCACCCGTGCTTTCTACAACTGCACAACGTGATAGGGCAACACATGCTGGAAAACCATGAAAAAATGATGTGACTACATTTCCAATTCCATAAGCAAACAGTTCCTGATTTGGACTTATTTGATATTTATATTTCGTAGCAAATAATTTTGCCATGCTGATATTTATTGCAAAACAGACGATAGCGATAGCAATTGCATCGCCTATCACATCAGATATAGCTGCCATGGGTGGAGCGGCTGGAGTCGGTATTCTATATTGAAAATGAGCTCATAAAATGTGTAAAAGTCTAATCAATCCGTCCTTACCCGAGTGGTAAACCTCCGACAATGCTGATCTTCCAACGCGCATTGAAATCGAATGCAGCAGAAAGTCCAGTACCGAGAACGACCTATGAATATTTGCCAATGGAGTTCTATGCGGTACAACGATCGTGTAAAGTATCTTACTATGATTAATTCAATTGGAACGGGTAAAGGCATTCGTCCTTTGAATCGTTCGTTGATATGATCACGTACACCGGCAAAAAGTGCGATACTTATAGCACTGCAAATACACGTTGCGCCATTGGAATATTTGATATTTTTGAAAATTTCAATCCAACTCTAATCCAAGGAAAGAATGCAAATGAAAACACTTTTTTCCTTCTTTACCTTAATCACTTTTGATTGACCTTGAACAGTTTGTATTTTAATTCCAAGTAGTGTTGGTATTTGACTTGTTATGATATGAATCGCACATCCTGTCGTAAATCCTTGAACGATGGAATCCGATAAATATACAGTTACATAACCGAAATGAAGTATAGCCATAGCTAGTTGGATCAAACCGGATAATAATGCGAGAGCAGCAGCTACCATAATCCGAGCTTCGTTCGGATCGTTGCTTAAAAACTTTTTCGCACTCGAAGAGTACGTTGCCGATGTAGGTAAAGCTGCAGAATAATCAGCAGTATAAACAAAATCTGTTGTATCCAAACTAGAATCACTGGCGACTGTTGTTGTTGTGCTCATTGTAGATTTAACTGAAGCTGGTGGAATTAATGTTCCTACTCTACTATTAATAGCAGCAAGAATCATTAAGGATGAAACAGCAAATGTACCTTAAAATATTTCCAAAACACAATTGTATTTCTTTTCTTATGAAAGTACAACAATCGATCCTACCAATACTCAAATGTCGCGATGATCCGAGGAAAGCGTAGAGAATCACCGGGAAGAATGAAACATAGAGTCCAGTTACCGGTGGAAGACCAGCCAGAATAGCATAACCAAGACCTAATTCCCAATATTATAATCTTCGATCATTTCTTTGAAATGCAAAATGTTTACCTTGAGGAATGTGTACAATTCCAATCGTTAAACCAGAAACAATATCTGGTACAAGCCATTCTTTAAGATTATATTGTCGAATCCAGTCGATAAAAGGAATACGTTTAAACAATTGTCTTTTGAAAAATTCTGGCGTTGGTTTGTAATACTTTTTAATATAACGCCATGTACCATCGATGGGACTATTGTTAAAATCTTGATTGAGATTGTAGCGTTCGTTGAATTTCTCGATGTAAAAGATGCTTTGTTTTCGGTTTGGGAGATCGTTTTCATTGATTGATATTTCTGTTGGTAATGCTTCATTGGAAACATATTTACTATCTTTGATTGAACTCAGGTGAGTCATGAGTCTGCCGAAAAAAGTAGAGATAGAAGAAATTTACAAGATGAAGGAAGCGTCGAATGGTTTCGTTTCAGTTCACGTAGTGAAAGATGAGAAATTTTTCATAGTGATAGAGAACCTGTCTTCCATGTATGACGTCACGTTTTCCTTCATTTAGAAACCGGTTCAGATCTCGTTTTTAATGTCGATACGATCACGAATAAAAATAGAAATCTCAATAGCCTGAAACAATTCACACGTTTTCTTGTTTTGCTCGTACGATGCAATCAATACTACTCATTACCTTGAGTAAATTCAGATATTTGCGGAATAAATCGAAGTTATCATGAGTTACGGGTTGCAAACGCATTCCTTGTGAGAAGCACTAATCTACACCTAGTTAGTATTTATACATAAAAAGTAATCATCAGATCCAGCTGAATATTTTTCTCATGTGATGACAATGTAAATTATTCGATTGATTTCTCTTTCTTTCACTCTTTTCTCGTGGGTCTGCAAGTACGAAACGATATTGTTGATAGTCAATTATCGCGAGTAGATCATTTTCTTGTGTGAATATATCGATTTGACAAGTTTTTCATATAATTTGTCCTTACACCGATACGTCGGTGACGTCAACCGAAATTTTAATAACAGTGTCAAAACATCTTGTCGAATGATCGAGATCGTGAGGATTAAATTCAAGGGGATTTACATGCGTAACTTGTCCTTTACTTATGTCATGTATCTATTTTTCGAGGGTAGACTATCGAAACAAGAGACGAACTGTTATACCTTGAGATGACAAGATGGATTGGATGAACACACTGGAAAAGGTTTCGAACGAACGCAATTCGAGTTGAATATCTTTGTACTAAGAACTATTTTCGATTCTCTTGACAAGCTCAAATAATCATGTAAAATCTGATTTACAACTTACCTGTCTTTTCAAAACTGAATTAACGTTATCCGATGTATCAGACGAACATTTGTTTTCAAATTGACAATATTGAATCAGATTGATTTAATCTTTTTTATTCTTCTTTTGTTATTTTATTTTCTGATCTTATTTCTTTTTCTTTACGTCCGCTGTTCTTTTCTTGCATTTTAACATGATCATGCATGAGCAAAACAAAAAAAAATAAAAAAGTCTCCAAGTTTATTTGAGTTTCTTCTTTGGTCGTAAATTGCTTGTATGACCACATTTACGTTTACGGCAGTTCACAGCACGTGGATGAAGTCGAGCATAACATCTAAATCATCAAATTCACAACCATGACTCTCCTATAAACTCTTTGTCTCACTTTCGGCAGATAACCTTGTCACAGTTGTATTTTTGTGCTAACATACGGAGTGTTGGCTCAATTGTACCACCACGAAGACCTTTCAAAATAGATAAAGAACAACAATCAAACGAAAATCCCATCCCACAAAAGACTTACGTAATACTAAGTGTAAGGTACTTTCTTTTTGAATGTTATAATCGGATAAAGTACGTCCATCTAGAAAACACAAGCAATGAAAGTGATGATAGAAAGTAGAAGAGATTTTCTCGGTACCTTCAAGTTGTTTCCCGGCGAAAATCAAACGTTGTTGATCAGGTGGGATACCTTCTTTGTCTTGGATTTTAGCCTTGACATTTTCAATTGTATCCGATGGCTCGACCTAGTATTTACTTAGTTTTATCAGGCAAATTAAAACAGACGATATCAACATACTTCGAGCGTAATTGTTTTACCCGTAAGAGTCTAAACGGAGCCGAAATCAAAATGATTTATTGAATTTCCAATGAAAGTGATTTATCGTATTCACAATGAATTGAATGACTTACCTTGACGAAGATCTGCATATTTGGGTATTACTTTCAAAATCTAAAAGAATCTCAAATGTTAGTTGTTTATGAAGAAGAAATAAATAAATGAACAGCATCGTTTGCCACCATATCGAATGTTGATTGTGGAAAGAAAACCCTCACGAGTAGGACAGATGGAATAGTCGAAAAAAAGATGATGAAAAATCGAACTAGCGATGAATTTCTTGGAATTGATGAGAGAAAAAAAACATTTTTTCAAATTTAACGATTGTAGCGCTCAACACTCACTGGATTGCTTGAGAATATTCCATGGATTTATCCAGATGACGTGACTGTCAGTACAGAAAAGTTCAAGAAAAGAGAATGAAAGGAAGAAAAGTCTTTCCTTTGTTTCCAGCAATAGCTATTTCACAAGCAGAAAGAATTTCAACGATTTTCATCGATATATTCATTTAATTACCGAAAGAATTTTCTTGTTTATAATATGAGATAATAGTTTTATCAAATGAAAGGATTGATTTACAGTTAACAGATCGCTGTTTGTTAGAAACCTTAGTTCTTAGTCAACATTTTCCTTTCGGGACATAAATAAGACCTACCGCTATTAAACGAAGAGAAAAACACTCTTTTTCTTTCTACCCATCTGGTGTGATTTATCAGCTGGAAACGATTTTTTCCAGGCTAAATACAGAGCGAATTGTTTCTTCGTCCTTTTCTTTCCCTCTCTCTCTTCGTTCCATGCCCTTTGTACTTGACATCAGTCATCTGTATGACAACAAAGATGATTCGTTAAAGAGAAACCTACGAATCTATCCATGAAAGTTGATTATAATACGTATTGATCTCGTCACTTTTGATGCTAGTCACGTCTCACAACATGAGACAGTTTAATCATCAAAAGAAAAGATGCTTTCTTTCTAATAATTCATTAATCGCGAGATGAAGATGTCGACTAAGCAGGTGCAGAAATAGATTGTGTTTATATCTTCAGCTCAGATAACGACTTAAGTCCTTGAAATATATCGAATCCTAAATCAACAAGAGCTTCGCCCGATCGATTTATCGTCTAATCAAAGAAAAAAAAAACACACACAGGAGACAAAGCGAAAGAGAGAAAAGAATATATAGAGAAAATATTTAGTGAGTATAATAAATACTGCTGTTTTTTTCCCGTTCGATACATTCGCTCTCTTTGTTTTGCTCGTGTATGTTCTCGGTCTAACTTCGGATAGATACTTCATTATCGAAAAAAGCACAGTATGGTAAGTACAATTGAAGGACAATTGAAGACTGTTTTGATAAACAATTAGTTGAAAAAGAAAACATCATCTATTTTTGGATATTAGATTGAAAACCAAGACGATTTCGCCAGTGAAATGAAACGCACTGATCATCCTCGAGAAACGCTTTCGTCGGATGCTGATATACGAGTGAAGTCCTTCGAAAAACTAGTGATTTTATGCTCTTTATGTACGTGTTTTTAGAAAAGAAACATGAAGACAAAACGTGAACCAGGCCATCGGTAATTGATCTGATTTGATTATCGAAAATCGAGTTATTCTTTTCTCTGACATCTTTCTAGAATATTTGTCAATCGAAGTTTACAATTGGATCGTATCAAGTTCTATGGATTCGATATGGATTATACATTAGCGCTGTATAAATCACCGGAATTCGAAGAGCTGACATTTCAACAAGTGCTGGAAACACTGATCGAATTGGGTTATCCAGAACAAATTCGACAATTCGTCTACGATCGAGCATTCCCATTAAGGTTCCTTCAAAACATTTCTTTTCCTTGCAAATTCAGTTTCTTAATAGGGGTCTTTGGTATGATAAATTCTATGGCAATCTACTCAAAGTTGATTCCTACGGAAATATTCTCACTGTTGTTCATGGCTTCAAATTTCTCAATGGGTAAGTTTGAAACTATACTTAGTACTCATAATGCTTTTCATTGCTTTGTAGACATGAAGTTCGACAAATATATCCAAATAAATATATTACACTTGATGATCGTATTTATGTTTTTTATACACTTTTTAATTTACCAGGTAATGTAAATTTGAATGACTTTCTAGAGTGAGGAAAATGTTTTTGTTTTCAGAGATTTATTTGATTGCATGTTTGATTGATTACTTTTCAAGCGTCGCAACTTATGTTGAGTAGGTTTTGATAAAGGAGATTTTCCGAATAATTGATTGTGATTTTTCTAGAGATCGAACAGGTGTGATCTATGGAGAGAATATTCTCTCATTTCGTGCAATTTTCAACGATGTTCGTAATTCTATTGATCGTGTTCATCAACGAGTAAAAATAAGTCTTGTTCATTATGTGAAATTACACTTCGGTGAATTGTTTAGGATAAATTAAAAGAAACTGTCTGTGAAAATATCGATAAATATGTGCATAAAAACGATCAATTACCTGTTCTATTAGATCGGTAATATTATTCAATTGAATTTACCTATCAAAACTTTCTTTCCATTTATTTATTTTCAGTATTCGATCGCATAATGCTAAAACATTTCTATTAACTAATAGTGAATATTGGTATACGGATAAATTGATGACTTATCTATTGACGATCTACGACGATGATTCCAAAACCATCAAGCGTGATTGGAAATCCTATTTTGATTATATTCTCGTCGACGCACAGAAACCACTGTTCTTTGCCGAAGGAACAACGTTGAGAATCATCGATCCCAATACTGGAAGCATGAAACTAGGTTCCTATGCAGGGCAATTACAGCAGAATGAGGTTTACAGCGGAGGTAAATGAAAAGAAAAACTCATGTTGGTTCTAAGCAATAAACTCTGTTCTTAGGCTCCTGCGAAGTGGTTTCGAAATTGATTGGTTCAATGGGTAAGGATGTTCTCTATGTTGGTGATCATATCTTCGGTGATATAATCAAATCGAAAAAGCAAAAAGCATGGCGAACGATGCTCGTTGTCCCGGAATTAAATCATGAATTGAAAGTCTTTCATGATAAACGAGAATTATTCAATACATTAGAAACATTAGATACATCAATTAGCGAATTACTTCGTTCATTTGATATGACTTCGAATCAAGGACCGGATGCAGTTAACAAAATTAAGCATAAAATACAAGTAACTATAAACAAAATTCTCTACAATTCTCTTCTCTGCTCAATGTAATTAATGTTTATCAAAGAGGAAAAGAAGAAAGAGTATTGCCCTAGGAGATTCTATAATATCTAATTAAAAATACATGCATTGAGGATTACTTTGCGATCAGAAAATGAACATTTTTCTATTGAATGTTTTTCTAGGAGTGCACTCATGAACTCGATATGAACTTTGGCCTATTGGGTTCACTATTTCGAACTGGTAACGTTATATTTCGTTATTATGATTGTTTTATGAATTACAATTTTTGTAAAAGGTTCACGACAAACACATTTTGCATCACAAGTAACAAGATATGCTGATATATATGCTTCCACAGTTGTGAATCTTGTTTATTATCCATTTTTCTACTTTTTTCGTGCGGTTCCACAGTTGGTACGCTAGAAGTTCGCTGTTCTTCAGCATTTTCTCATTGTCTCTTTTCTTCAGATGCCACACGAATCAACTGTTGATCCCGAAGAACCAATGGACTTCAAGTCATGGGGTGAAGATAATGAATCACTCCCGTTCGATCGTCGTCGTTCAACATTTGCTCAATCATCGTCGTCTAGCACACCCCATTTAGCTCATAAATTATCAATTCAAACGCATCCGGACCTGCCATTACATGTGACACACGATCACGATGATGATGGAGATGAAGATGAAGACAGTGCTGCTGCTGATCCGGATACAGATATCGAACTTCGATCACGTATAACTTATACTCCGCCAAAACGCAAAATCGAACAGATTGCCAATGGGAATGCCGAGAAAAAAGAAGAGAATACTTCAAAATGATCTGAACTTTGCTTTTTAGATTATCTTTTCCGATTTAGTCAATGTATAATCTGAATATCTTTCTATTCTTTTGCATAGGATCTAATCAAGAAAAGTGTATTGTTATCAGTTTTTGATAATGTACATTTTTGCTTTCTTTTATCTGCAATAAATACGTTTGTTTATTATATAAAAAATAGACAACCAGGAATCAATCAATTCATCATGAAAAACAAACAGGTCCGACCTGAATATCGAAGTCGTCCTTTGAATTGAATAAATTCAAGAATTCAATATCCACTATTGGCAAGCGCACAGATTTATTCGTTACGATGGATAGAATCGTTTGTCCATGATAGTTCTACAACAAAAACAATTCAATTGACAAGGCTAGGTCGATGTTTGAACATACTTTGCATTCATCTTTGATAATATTATATTGCAACGAATGATTGTTGCTCGAATGCATTTGATAGGTCATTCCATTTTTCGTTTGTAATTGAATTTCATGGTTCGATGTGTCAATCAATGAATTTCGACAGTTGAATGTGATATTCTGTGAACCTCGTTCAGACAACATTCGGAGAAAGCGTAATTGAATTGTTTCAATGTTATAATGGATCTACAATGAAAATGTTGCAAGCATCTTGAAAAGGATTGTGTTGGTTTTATTCTACTTCAATTTGTTGTAAGATGTCACGCATTAATTGCGTACGTTTTCCATAAACTATGGGTTTGTGTGAGAATATTTTCGAGGAGACAAACCCATTGGTTGAATTAATGCATGTTAAACGTTCAGTAAGTTTACAATAAACAAGTACAGCATCCGTTTTTGAACCTTCGTTAGGATCAATATAGTAAAGTCCTAGTCGAAAGAAAGGAATGAGTCGTCTGAGCGAGAATTAATGAAATACGTGAAGCGAAGTTTACCGTTAGGTTTTTCAGGATGATAATCAGCAATGTCTCGACAACTACGTGCGGGATGCATTTCACTACCATCAGGTTTCATTTTTAGAGTAATTCTGGTGGAGATCTGTTTGAGATCCTCGAGAAATTCCGATGCAGTTCTCAGAGGATCGTGACCGTCTTGATATCGATTAGGAGAATTAAAGTATTTGAATCGTTCGGAGGGTATATTGTATGATTGCCCTATTTGTGTGCTTGTTGAGAATAGATTCATCACACTACTAGCAGTTAGTTTTGAAGGTGATGCACTAGAAGGACCGGGTGGACCCGATGGGCCAGGTGCTCCACCATCACCTACGCGAAGAAATCGGTATTGACTGAAGAGACAGATGAATCTTTCGTCTTTAACATACCACGAGCTCCTCTCTGACCTGGATTGCCACGACTGCCTGGAGCTCCTATACACAAACGATTCGGTCGCATGATGCATTATGGTTTCCCAAAGTTTTCCTACCGTCTTCTCCTGGAGATCCAGTCTGGACAAATTTGAAAAGAACAAATACAATGAATGATTCTAGAAATTCGACCCTACATTTCCTGGTAAACCATCGTCACCCTTCAATCCAGTTTCACCTGTCAGCCCAGTTGGTCCTCTATGAAGCATATTATGTTGAAATAGACAATAGTTTTCGTTTACAAGCGTTACCGGCTTCCACGATTGCCACGGCTGCCTTTCTCACCGACAAGCCCGGAAGGACCTCGAGCTCCAGCCAATCCTGGTAAACCGATTGATCCGCTGTAACCCTGATAATAAAATGTGATCTTTGATCACTTGTTGGTAGCTGTGAATAGACGATTTACTTTTACACCTGTAGCACCTTGCTCACCAACGATACCTTTACTACCACCTTAAAAAGAAACAGACGACAAAAGTTGGGACATATTGTGTAATTCACTGTATCACATACGTGGACCTTTATTTCCTGTCGGACCCTTCGGACCAATTACGCCTTTTACCCCTACCGTACCCTACAAATCATTGTACAAACAATCATTTATTCAATAAAATATGTTTGTAATTGGTTCCTATTAACATACCTTAATTCCTTTGATTCCAATGTCCTACAAAAATATAACATAGAACACTAGTTGAAAACAATCATATCTATTATAGAAAACTTACGCCTTGAATACCAGCTATACCTTGAGGACCAACCGGACCTAGTAATCCTTTTTCACCGATAGGTCCGATATCTGCTATTATGCTTTGTTCCCCTTTAGGACCAATCGGTCCACGATTACCTTTCTGACCCTTCTGGCCAACTGGCCCAACAACACCTTTTTGCCCTAAATAGAAACAAAAAGAGCTTTGTATGACGCAATCAAATGTCCCAAACTGACCTTCAATGCCTTTCTCTCCTAATTCACCAACAACACCCTTATTTCCTTTGGATCCGTTGAAACCAACATTACCAAGTGATCCTTGCGGCCCGATAGCTCCTTGTAGTCCTACAGGCCCTTGAGGACCTTGACTGCCCATGTTTCCTTCATGAGAATACGTCAAATAATTATTTATTTGTCAAAAACAAGTCATTTACCTTTTGGACCTGTTCCACCAATATCACCTTGCGAGCCAATCTAATGTTCACGGTTTTAGTCATACATAAAAAACACATTTACAAAGCACTTACGTCGCCCTGAAAAACATGTAAATTACACGAAGTTATATGTGGCTTATTTTTCATCTTTTACCTTTGGTCCAATATCACCGGTAATTCCTTTTGAACCTTTTTCACCTTGGGGTCCTAGAATTCACACATAAAGTGGGGCAAACTTTTGTCATAATTTACCTAATAAGCCAATATCACCGACAACACCTCGATCACCTGTATTTCCTTTGATTCCCTATAATGAACATGTTAGCATTGTCTTTCGTAGGTCTCGTTGATAATAATACTTTTATGCCAATGTAACCAATAGGACCTCTAGAAAAAGTCATTTTACGATAGTTCAAGGTAATGTTTTTTCAAGAACAAAGAACTGACCTCTGTCCTCTATCGCCGGCGATACCCTTAACTCCTAAAAGGGTGAGAAAACTTTCTTATCTTGAAATCACTGCCTACTATTTGCATATACATACCTTGTGGGCCACGCACTCCCTATGGATATAAAGTAACGGATTTTATGAGACAATATTGACAGATTGTCGTGTTCTAACTTACTTGTATGCCTTTGATGCCTTTATCGCCGGTGATTCCTCGATCGCCATGTTCTCCTTTGTATCCACGGATACCTACAGCACCTTGTGCACCTTTGAGTCCAGTTGTTCCTATGGGTCCTTGAATACCCTGATTGACAAAAGCAAAAATGTTTCTCAGAGCAAAAGAAAACAAAAACTTCTCGCGAAACTTACTTTTGGTCCGATTTGTCCGATCATTCCTAATTCGCCTTTAATACCTTTGATACCTTCACGCCCCTAGATAGTACATCGTTAGAAAAATAACAACATCTTTAACAAATATTTACTCGATTTCCAACCGCTCCTTCGATACCTTGTTTACCCTCAAAACCGTCTGGTCCATAAAAACCTCTGTTACCTTTTTCACCAATCATTCCTTCGTTGCCTTTATCACCTACGCACAGAGACAGATATTCAGTTCTAGACCTGCAGTATGATCCAATGAAAATCGTATCAGACCTATTTCACCTTGTTCGCCTAACGGACCTTGTTTTCCATCATAACCACGTGGACCAGTAGGGCCACGTAATCCTTCTGGACCACGAAGACCTTTGTCCCCTCGATCACCCTATTTCAACGAAGACAAAAATTCGGCGAATAAGTTTTTCTCCTACAAACAAAGAACATTATATTTTTACCTTATTTCCTCGTGAACCCATTATTCCTTCAGCACCTCTACATAAAAGGATAAATTTGAACAATATGTAGGAATTTATTTGACAACTTACTGAACACCTGTGACACCTTTTCCCCCTATAGGTCCTTCACTACCTTTATCGCCTTTAACACCCTTCTTGCCCTAATTGAAAAAAATCACTTTTTCCAATAAAACTATCGCCACACAAAGAATAGCAATACTTTATTGCCGGGTGGACCAATGTCACCCTCATCACCTTTGTCACCTCTCGCACCTTTGAATCCTATAGGACCTTGGTTTCCTTTCGGACCTTGTTCTCCTTTCATACCAATCTAAAATTCTCACAAGAACGAATCGATTATTCAATATAACGTGCATTCTAAACAAAGTCTCGTACATCTCCTCGTGCTCCTTGCCATCCTTGAGAACCATTTAATCCTTTATTGCCATGTTCACCTTTTCGACCAATGGAACCAATGCTACCCTAGAACAATATATTTCATAGATCGTACGACGGGAATAGTCGACAACTGGATGTTACTCACTGGAAGGCCAATGTCACCTGGAAGACCTACTGGGCCTTGTACACCTGGTTTACCTCTTCGGCCCTAAATAATTATAATTAGCAGGCTTTTGGAAAAATTCCTTGTATACGTACCACTGGTCCTTGTTCTCCTTGTTCACCCTTCATGCCGCGTCCTCCTTTTCCACCTTTTCGACCTCTAGCAGCCACTTCACCGACTAAAATTGATTGTCAACAGTGGTTTTCCATTATCTAATCTACTGCAAAATGGTGGTCACTAACCTGAACCGGGTGGCCCTTGTTGACCTAAAAAAATGTTTAGATGAATGCGCTGTGTTCATCAATGCAAAAGACAAACTTACCTTTGACTCCTCGACCACCTTTGCTACCCATGGAACCAATTCTTCCGGGATGGCCAACGATTCCAGTTGGGCCATATTCTCCTTCTTCTCCGAGATCACCTTTTCGTCCCTGTTGACCTATCTGACCAATTTGTCCTTTTTCTCCAATTAGTCCCTACAAATATGTGTTTTACAACCATTTCTATAATTTGCATCAAAATTCTTACAGTTTCACCTGTAAACAAAAGAAAGGAAATTGAAAAAAAGTACATGTTTCAAAGCTTCTTATTGAAGAATCTACAAACCTTTGTTACCGACGCTGCCTGGCATACCAGTGGATCCAGTCTCACCCTGGTAATACATAAAGATAATTCGTTTTCTTTACACATCGTAGTCAAACTTACCTGCATTCCTTTAATACCCTTTTCACCTTTTTTTCCGAGTTGTCCAATAGATCCCTAATTAGAGTGAAGATTTCAAGTCAACGATTGGGCGATATTTATGAAGATAAATATACTTTTCTTCCGTGTCGTCCTCTTGGCCCTGGTAAACCTGGAACACCAATACCTCCCTATAACAGCAACTGACGGATAACTGTGAAGCTCATTCTATTCCAACATACCGGCACACCTCGATCTCCAGGCACGCCATTTTCACCTGCAAGACCGTGTAAACCCTGAGAATGGATATGAAAAGGCATTTCAAGAAATGTAATTGGAATCATTTACGCACCGCCACACCGGGTAAACCGTCTGGACCAGCTACGTTCAAGAAAAATGTTCTTATTCTGGAACAGTGTAATAGTCGATATTTTCTTACGTGGTCCTGGCATACCAGCTGGTAGTTGAGCATAGGAAATATAAGGTGATGAGGATATCATAGGATTTCGACCTCTAAAAAACTGTGATGGATTGTATACATGCGTAAGTAGGTGACGTTGAATCATTGTTCGAATATCTTCTTTTCGATATCTTTCGATGCCATCGGTAGTCTAAATACGACTGCATGAAAATCCTGAAAAGCGATGGAAAAAAATGATACTTCTGCGTCATTTGACTCTGAGACTAATCCCGCAGGTCCTGGTGCACCCGAAGCGCCAGGCATACCGTCAGCACCGGGCGGTCCTGGAAATAAAGATGAACGGTGCCTACTACAATCGCTCAGCGTAAACGCATGATACCTATAGGGCCAGGTAGCCAATACACCCGTGGTGTCGTTGAAATCGTGGATTTTGTAGTTGTAGAACTTTCCGCGCTGGAGGATGGGGCCTGTGAAGTTGGTGTCGTCACTGCTGTTATTTTCCTTGAAGTTTTTCTTCTAGAACTTTGAGTAGGAATATACTTTCTAGTTGACAACGATGGACGTTTTGATTTAAATTTTTTAGTAGTAGAGATAACCGTTGACGTCTTGGTACTAGTTATCGTAGACGTCAAAGTGACAATAGGTTCTATTGTCGCAGTAGTACTAATTGTAGTAGCAGTGGCAATAGTAATAGTTGTTGCTGTTGTCACTTTAGTCTTTGAAGTCGGAGTGGTGGTTGGAGTAGTCAGTGTAGAGACAGTTGATGTCGTTGTTGTAGTCCTTCTAGTACGTCTGGTACGTGGAGAAGTTGTTGTGGGAGTAGTTAGTTCCTCCGTCGTTAACGTTGTTGATTCTTCTGTGATAACGGTTGTCATTAATTCGGTAGTTGTCGTGGTTGGTTCTTCAGTAGTAGTTGTCATTGCAACTGTAGACGTTTCCGTGGTAGTAATCGTGGGCTCTTCGGTGGTAGTTATCAAAAGTTCCTCAGCAGCAGTAGTAGTAGTCGGCAATTCTGTAGTTATCGTGGTAGTGATTTCTTCTGTAGTTGTCATAGCAGGCATTTTTCTCGTAGCCTCAGTAGATATTTCTGGAATTACTGTTGTAGTTAACTCTAAAGGTGGTGTCGTGGTAGTTTCCACTGCTGACGTGGTGGATAGTTCGGGAATTGATGCGTTTGTTATTTCCAATGATACGGTAGTATCTATGACAGTAGTTGTTTCAGGTAAGTCTATTGTAATCGTGGTTGGTTCTGTTGTCATAGCCTCTTGAGTAGTAGAATATGTTGTTTCTGTAGTCATTGTGGATGAAGTGGTCGTATCGAAACTAAGTGGCAATAGATTAGCCCATCTTTGTTTCCAATAATCTAGTAAACGAAAGAGGATGAATGCCGATGTCATATCACGTCTATGTCTTCATATAAACAGAAAAGTTCGATTCACCTACCTTGTTGATCTGCACAGACAAAGCATGGGCAAGAACGATCATCACCTTGCACTCTTTCGACATCTGTGCAATTACTCACTAATGCAATAACCTCGCAGCGGCTTTCACAAACGAATTCTTGGTCACTTTCGCATCGACATACATCACAAGCATTCGTCGGTGATATATATTCTTGGTCGCCAACAGGTATCACTAAATATTTCATTAATGATTTCACAAAATTGAGGACAAACTCAGATGTTGACTACATACATCGTCCATCGTTGGATACACAACCAATTCTACTCTCCGATAGTTGAGCTAAGAAGGAAAAGCGTTGAACAATAAAATATTTACTATGAAGCTAAACATACATTCAACAATGGGCATATAAATAATAGAAAAACAAAGAAATAATATGACATAGCATTTGACGTGTACCATCTCGAATTTGAAATCTATGTACAGTTCATATCTAGAATAAGAACGGTAACAAAAACAAGGTTTCATATAAATGCCAATGGACATAACAATAACAATGATAAATGAGTATCGGCACTGTTTTCAAGAGAAGAAAGTAATCTCTTGTCTTACAAGTTGGAATATCACATTCTTCTTTCATTAACTCTAAATATTAGCTTACCGGTGAATATGTTAAACAAAAACAGGCGACCTTGAAAGAAATCCTTGATAGAATATTCTATTTTTCCAAAAAACAGAGCGAACTTGCACATACTCTTTGAGTATAATGACAGAAGATAATTCGAAGATGTTCACCGAAAACATGGATAGATCTCACACATTACAAAGCGATTCCAATAATACAAATAGCGAATTTTCCTCTCATATGTCTCTCAATCATCTCTTTCATAACGATATTCCTAGCAAGTAACAAACAATAATTTATTTAACCCACAATCTGTCGACAAAAGACAATTACATTATATCTTTCTTATTCCATATCCTTTTGCTTGAGTATATCATTCTTGTCCGTTCTTTTCTCTCGTTTAGCTTCCGAGCAAGTTATCTAACAGATTGACAGATGGATCGATCGAAGTGTACCAGTCGAATTAGATATGTTTTTGCATAAGGAAAAGAATGCAAATTAACATTTTGTATGAGAAAACAATTTCCTAATCATGTCATTAAGATTAAAGAATAACAAAATCGAAATGCGATCATGTTCGTCAATAACACAAAGACGAGAATCAACACATTTGATTAATTTTGCATCTCTTGAGATTTAGAAATAACAATATCGTATTGATTGAACAGAAGATACGATCTTGAACTGGCAAGACACAATGAAGATTTTGCATGAAATAAGAAAAAGAATAGAAAGAACCAGGATATACAAAGCTCGTTACCTACTCAAGGCTCGTCGAAAATGGCGTGTCTGTAATATATAAATAACTAGTGCGTGACAGTAGTAGAGAAGACTAACTTAAAGATCATTGCTCTTCTATTGTTTAGCGTTTATTTACGAGTAGTCAAATCATTGCCGGCAATGCTTAACTTTTTCAAACGAAAACTGAAATATCGAGAACCTTACGAGTCATTTAATCATGATGTGAATGAGAATCATAAAACAAGGTTCGATCTCATACGTTTGAGTGCCATCGTTTGTGGAATCGAGTTTTGCTATGCAGCAGAAACAGCATTCGTGTCTCCTATACTTCTGCAACTTGGTTTACCTGTTATATTCATGAGCTGGATATGGTGTTTACCCCCATTAATTGGCTTTTTTCTCGTACCTATCCTTGGTTCATTAAGTGACAAATGTCAAACGCGAATTGGACGACGACGGCCTTTTATTATTCTTTATTCAATCGGTATACTCACAGGTCTTCTGCTAGTTGCGAATGGTACAGAAACATTTGATTTTTCGAATAGTCTATTTGTTTTTAAAAATAGGTCGCCGAATTGGACAATGGTTTGGCGATAAGCAAAATTCACCATTCAATGTGGATAGAGCGTCTGCGAATACGACGATCGAATCTGGTTCATTGATATCATATAAATTTAGTACATTAATGACCGTAGTCGGAGTTGTTTTACTGGATCTTGACTGCGATGCGTGTCAAAGTCCAAGCCGTGCTTATTTACTTGATGTAACCAGTCCTGATCAACATTCAGCAGGCTTAACAACATTTACATCAATGGCCGGTCTCGGTGGTAGCTTAGGATACTTTCTTGGAGGTATTCCATGGGAGAAAACAATTCTAACACAAATTCTTGGAGATCATGTTCATGTTTTGTTTACATTGGTTTGGATTATCTATCTAATTTGTATGATACTAAGTGTTACAGCAGCAAAAGAGCCAAGTAGTACTGCTATTATGGCAACAAATCTTAGTCGATCAACATCACGACAGTTTCTCATTTCATCTTATTCGTCAATGATAAATATCAACGAAGAAAGCGATCAGTACGAACAAACAGCAATAAAACCCCGAGATCGTTATGCGTCTATATCCTCGAATAATATGAAAATTTCCTATGTAGATTATCTCAAATCGATTATCTATATGCCAACATCGTTGAGATGGCTTTGCGCGACGAATTTCTTCTGTTGGATGGCACTGGTCTCGTATTCGTTATACTTCACAGATTTCGTCGGACAAGCTGTTTATGGTGGAGATCCAGCGTATGAATCGAATCATCCATTAAGAATCTTGTACAATGATGGAGTTCGGTTTGGCTCATGGGGTATGTCAATCTATTCGATCTCATGTTCAATTTATTCTTTCAATATTCAAAAACTGAATCATCACTTCGGTAAGTTCGGAATATTCCATCTATCGTGTTCTTTATCATCATTTATGAAAATAATCGAAGGTATTAAACGAGTATACATCGGTTCACAATTGATCTATGCGATTGGAATGTTATTAATGGGATACTTACGACATCGAGTCGCAGTCATTGTTCTTTCTGCTGTATCGGGAATTCTTTATTCAACACTATTTACAATACCATTCTTACTGATTTCAAAATATTATACGTCGAATACGGTATGTAGTTACACTCTCTCGTTTTTTGATCTTTGAATATCGTTTATTAGTATGGACAAACGAATTTTGATGGGCAAATTCGTGGAATTGGTACGGATGTGGCAATTCTAAGTAGTATGGTATTTTTGGCCCAACTATGTTTGTCGTCAACGATGGGAACATTGATTCATTTAGCTGGTTCAACTGTTGTTGTTACTATTATAGCAAGTATTTTGAGCGTCTGTGGAGCCATCTCAGCTACTCAAGTACTCTATATTTAACTGAGAGCATTTAACTTAAGTAGAACTAATTAGATAAATGTTGTTTATTCAAAAACTTGTCATTCAATGTATTAACGTCAATTGTAATGATGATATGACATAATACAAGTCGCATATACTCATTTCATGTTTGATTAACAGCGATTATTCTCGCAAAATGACAGTTTCTAAAGATTGACATATATTCATATTTGAATAAACAAGAAGGTCATTCTCACTTTGTAAGACTACGGCACTGTGACGAAGGTATGAGCGATAATACGTTATTTTCTTTTTTTTCTCTCTCTCTCTCTTTCCCTTTCGTTTTATTTTGTTTTCATCCAAAGACAACATAGAAAAAAATAGAGAACAAAAAAGACAAGATAAAGACAACAGAGATGAGAGAAAACCAAAGCACAAGAAAATATTTACAAGCGAATCTTCACTTGTCGATCGATCCATTTGATTTCTTTTCTCAATTAAAAAAATTAACCGAGGAAAACTTTTCGTGAAAGAGATATTCATGTTACAAAGAAAAATCGAATAGACAGTTAAGTCACATACACACCAGTTGTTTCAATGAATATTTGAATCAAGAATTATCTCGATTTGACAGATGGTTTATCACCTTTCTTAGTGCGAACAGGCGATGGTGATCGCGAGTCACTTGACGAGCCACTATGCGCTGCTTGTGGTTCTAGAAAAATGCGAAATAGACGAGGATTTGTTTGATGAATTGAACGTACTTTTTCCGGCCTTTTTGTCATTATCAGATTCAGATTCCGACGATGAATCAGAAGATTCTGAACTTGATGACGAGGAGTCGGAACTTGATCCTGAGGATGATTTATTCGATGGTGAACGAGCAGCTTCTTTAGCTGTGGATGGTGCTTTTGTTGGGGAAGGAGCTGATTTGGGTTTATCGTTATTATTTGCTTTCTTTGTTGTTTGCGGCGATGGCGATGGGGAAGGTGAGGGCGAAGCTGTAGGTACTCTTCCTTTGGGTTTCGACAATGGTTGTTTATTTGAACTCTTAGGTCGTACTTCATCTCGGTGATCATCACTGAATGAATTATCACTTTTACGTCTCTTTTTTTCTTTATCGTCATCGGAGGAGTCATGCGACTTTTTACGCGCTACTTTATCATTGCGTTGCGCTGTACGACGACGTGATGGTGACGGTGAGCGACTTGAAGCTGAGCTTTTCGATGGCGATCGCTTCTTCGATTTGGAATCAATCGGTTTTTTTGTTTGCTTTGGCGATGTTTCCATCGACGACGATGATGAACTGGATTCGGATTCTGACGACGGTGTGCGTTTTTTTGCCGGTTCTGGTTTCTTAGGTTTTACAGGACTTCGACTCTGTTTTGGCGATGCTGATGATGAGCGTCGACGATCACGGCGGGTGGATGTTGAGTTATTTTTCGACTTGTCATAGCGAGACGAACTTTTTTTAGTATCACCGTCATCACTACTTTCTGATGCGGGTCGCACCGGTTTTCTATAGCCGTCTTTTCGCGAGCTGGATGAGGCAACTGGAGAAGATCTCTTGTCGTTACGTCTACAAGAAAGAATATATCTATAATGCACATATCCAATTCGTGAATCTGCATTTTACTAACCGTGAACGTGATTCAGGACTTCGCGAATATCGTCCGTGACGACCTTTAGGTGATGGTAGAGGTGATCGCCGTCTTTTCGAGGGTGGCGTGGGAGATCGACGTCTTCTGGTTGGTGGCGGTAGTGGCGAACGACGTTTTCTTGGTGGTGAACGTCGTCGATCGTTTCGTTCATCTGGACGTCTTCGATCACGGCGATCGTCATCATAATGTGACCGTGATTTGTAACCAGAACCATCGCCATTTTCATGTCGAGTTCGATTCGTGGACGAAGGCGGTCCTGCATTACGATCATTCGGTTTCTCATCGTCATGTTTCGCATCGTGACGACGGGATTCTTCTTCACGTTTACGTATTTCTTGTAAACGATCGTTGTCTTCCTAAAAGTAAATAAATGTTAAGTTTTCTCTCTCCTACAGATCGGATTATGATATTAACTAATGTAAGTAGACAACTGATTTACTTTTCGTTTTTGCAATTCTTTCTTTTTCAATTCAACTAATTCTGCTGGTATGCCATCAGGCGATGTTTGTGCATCGGCTAATAAATTCAACAACTCTCTTATAAATAATCGAGCTTTGCTTCCGCCAAGAAAACCAGTCAAACTAATTTGCATCATTTTCGGATCTGGATTCTAAAAAGATGTAAAATAAACTTTAATTCAACTCCAAGTTCATCGTACCTTCTCTTCAAGTTGATTGAACACATATTCAATCACCACATCATCTTCCACTCCCAATAATTCTTCCAAACGTTTTGTTATCCACGGCTTTAAGACATCTAGATTAACTTTCGCCATATCAATCTGAACGTTAGAAAATGAAAGAACAATTTGGACGTGAAAGTCCTTCAAATTGTATTTACTTTAATATCAATATTGTCTGGAAACTTCATCTGTTGGAGTAGTTTCTTTTGTTTATTGGCGAATCGACTATCTTGTTCAGCCGACGTACCTTTAAAAAATCCCGCATCGGCCATTTTGTCACTCGAAAATAATAATCTATAAAAGTAGAAAGATCAAATCATTCATTATTTGTCCGACTAGAAAACAAAAGCCAAAGATATTCGTCATGCTGTTACATCTTGTTCGTCTTTGAACTCTCTATATTTTGCTTCTATTATCATATCAGAAAACATATCGCCTATAAATATTAGTTGTTCGCTTCCAAAATGAAAACAAAAAAGAACAACAGATAAACAAAAACAAACTAGAGAAGGAAAACAGTCCAACAACGACAACAATCACAGGTTAACTACTACAGAAGAGAAAAACAGGACACGAAAGATCTCTCAAGTGAAAAAACAAGCGGACAGACACGAGAGAGATTAAGAAGCAGATCTTTTCATTGGATTTTTATTATGTATATTTTGTTTGATCTGATTGTTTTCTTCGTTTCGGAAAAGAAAACAGAAAAAAACTAACAAAAACAGAAAGAAGATCTTTAACCTATGAGTAAACCTATGCCAAAGCGATAAGCTGCTTTCGCATGATTTAGAGAACTACTTAACATGAATGTGAATGGCAATGGTGCAAGACGTTTTTCGATTACGCCCGTGACAAGTCCATTCGTATCAATCATACCTAGAAGAAAAATGACGATTGGAAACGAAAGATCAAACATGAGTGAACAGTACCTCTGAAGGTTGTATTGGCTTTTGCTAGATCATACTGATATGACAATGTTGCGGACGTTTCTTTGGTGCCAAGCGAACTCTCGAGTTCGACACCTAACTGTAGAGGACTGTTCTTTTGCTGATGAAAATAACCAATATTACAAATACCAGCTGGACTTAATTTAACACCGGTAAACCAATCTTTTCCTATAGGAAAAATAGAATGTCTTTGTTCCGAGTTCATTTACCTCCTCACGTACCTTGATATCTAGCAACGAAACTAGTAATACCGATATGTTTACCAGGCATCATTGGGCTTGCTTGGTAGAGTATTTCAGCACCAATATCTAGATTTCTTGTAACACGTGCCAAATGTTGTAAAACAAGAATTCCTTCAACAGAGCAAAACAACATTGACAGTCTCGGAAAATCTTTTCTTATATGAATAGTTCTTCTCTTACCTGAATTCGTTATCAAATCAACATTTGCTAATGTTATAGTCGACGATGTAAAACGTGTTCGATAATCGAGTGCGAATTGATAGCCAGCCATTTTAAACGATTGAACCTAAATTATCTTCAGACATGTTCGAAAAAGATGTCTAAGGACGAAAGCGATCGAATTTATACTTGAGCTACCGTACGTGTGCGTATCTTGTCATTCCATTGATGTATTATTTGAGCATTAGCATTTCCATTTGGATCCATGTCACCTAATATAACAGGAAAAACCTAAACAACAGCAATACAATGCCAGGCTTAGTGTTCGTAAATAAAGCTACTTCTGATGGTGAATAGAGTTGTCTACCGACATAATTTGCTGCAAATTTGTATCCACAATTCGATCCAGCACTCAACGTTAGAGAATGAGACACTTGAAAATGACTACTGAGCATTTTTGTTACTGATAATTTTGCACCTTCGAATGCTGGTGGCATGAGATCTAAAGGAAAGATTTTGGTCGACGTCAATTCTAGGACAACAAAATCATTTACACATACCTTTGATCTTCTTAAATACGTCGTCATATGTGCCTGGATTTCGTGATAAATCTGTTGGTGAGTTTACATAGATTGTATTTGGGAATGCAGGTGAGACTGGTTGCGAAATTTCCTGTTCGCTCTTGCCTGCTCCATGTCTGGCAAAGTCGCTTGGATCAAGTAAAGGTGTGTCTCCCGATGGATGTGCCATAGGTACTCTGAGATATTAAATCTAAATAAGTGATTAAACAAAATGTGTACGAAGTAGAAAAACAATTATTTGTTGCTTTCTTTCTTTTTTCAAATTTATGAACCAATTACATGATTTTTCAAATAAGATGGGATAAAAAACATATTTTGCCCATGATGGAAATCTTCTTGGAGAATTTTTTAGTGAATTTCTTAGGAAAATATCTGAAAGTTTCATTGGAAAAATAACGATAGATGTCGCTAACGAGATTCTAGTTTTCTTTTTATCAATGACTCACTTCGGTCGTTTTTATTGTTTATTGATCAACATTCGGTGGATGCTGAAAAACGTCTTGCTACTATTTGGGTTAACACGATCGTAAACATTCATCTGTTTGTCACTAGACTGATTTATATACAAAATCAGATTAAACCAATGATCCCTATCATTGTTTTCTTTTAGATTTATTTTTCTTGATAAACGATTCATCGAATCCAATAATGACCTCACAGAAGTTTATCAATAAGGGTAAATTCTTATGAATATGAATCTTATTTCTCACTGAATACGATCGTCTGTGCCATTTAGCCACCATCGAATTCGGTCGTCGTATATTCGGTGAACAAGTTCGTCGGGAGCCAGCTACATTGAAAGAACAGTATCGAAAATTTCAATATTACCAAACCGCTCATCATAAATTAGGTTTGATGGAACACGATCGATTATGGGGTGAACAACCAGCTGTTAAAGAAGCCATGCGTCGTTTACGTCTTAGTGAACCAGAAGTATGGGATGAACGCTCGTTCCGTATCTCACGGGCCATCAACTTCGATATCAAGAAAATGTATTTACCAAAAGACGAATGGGTTCAATATGAAACTGATGTACCGTATCTCCAACCGTTTTTAGCTGAAATCGAACGCGAACAAGCTGAAGACGAACATTGGAAGAAAGTTTTGGCCTAATCGATTAAAACATCAGAAAGACATATTTCCTTCTCCACAGACTCCCTGTACGCGTATATTTTCTTTCTCTCTGGTTTTCCGTAGAGTTTTAGTATGTGAAAATACGCGTTTAGATCCATCTGCTCTAACTTTTGTTGTAATTCTTCTCTTTTCTTTTCATTCACCTGGAAAATTTCTAGTTTATTTCAGATTGATTGTTCTCGAAGCGAAAAATGACAAATCAACTTGATGATAAAGACGATGATTTAGTCAATGTCGTCGAACCCGATGAAAATGAATGGAAAAAGTTTATTGATGAGTAAGATTATCTGTTATTCGTGTACAAATTTCAAACGATTGTTTTCTTTTAGAATGAAATATGTTCGAGCTTTGGAATATGTTCTTCAAAATGCACCTGTTCGCGCGAAAGATCCAGAGAAAAAAGTAAAGATTTCAAAACATTCTGATCAGTACGAGAAAACTTTCGATTTCACAGAAGAAAGCTGCGCATATGGCGTTGTCAACTATGATGAAAATCAAAGCAAGTGAAATTCCCGACGCTGTCAACGGAATACCTGCACCATTACGTGATACATTAATGAAGTATGTTTATAAAGGTTTTGAAAATCCAAAAGATTATTCAAGCAGCGCTCTGTTAACATGGCACGAAAAGGTTTTTCTATTTCGATCGAAAGCATCATTTCTTAATAAATTCGATAATGTGATTCGTTTTAGGTTCTTGCAGCGACAGGCCTTGGTTCTATCGTTCGTGTTCTTACTGATCGAAGAACTGTATGAATCCATTGACGCGCTCGTACATGAATGACATTCCAACAGTGATGAAAATTTTCCTTTGCTTTTTACGATTCTTGTGCAATAATGCATAGCGATGAAATCTTGTTTGTCTTTTTCATTTTCTGCTTGTGAAACTCTATTCTACATTGATTGCTTCCATTCTCCTTTCTGAACAAAACTATAAATAACGATTATTATCCTACGTGTGTAAGAGTGTGCCGTGAATGAGAACGTTCTCTTTTAGAAAAATTCTATACGTTTATCTTTGATTTGTAGATGACATGGTTTCAGAAGTTCATTACCTTATCGCCGAAGAAACGAGGCTTTCATTTGATCACCGAGGAAGTTCTACGCGAAGTTCCCGAAATCAAACAAATCGAAATAGGACTAATGAACGTTTTCATCCAACACACAAGTGCATCGTTAACAATCAATGAGAATGCCGCACCTGACGTACGCGTTGATATGGAAACAATCTTCAATAAACTTGTACCTGAAAGTAATTCTTACGAACATTTGGATGAAGGCAGTGATGATATGCCAGCTCATGCAAAATGTGCGCTGCTTGGCTCATCAGTTAATATACCGATTACAGCAGGACGTTTAGCATTTGGTACTTGGCAAGGAATTTATCTCTGTGAGCATCGAAATCGCGCAAGAAGTCGAAATCTTGTTGTTACCATCAATGGCCAGTTAAAAAAACAATAGAAATTGTTTGATGTCTATTTATTTATTTGTATACCAGCCATTTTTCATAATTTTAGATGGACATAGTAGAGAATAATTGTAATCATATAGATGATAAAGTTTCGAAAGACGAGAATGAACCGACAGAAGAAATTTATGATGACCATTTTCCGAAGAATGTACATATTATGAAAACCAACAATCAGTTACGAGAACTTCATACGCTTCTCCGCGATCGTACAACATGCCGAAGCGATTTTAAGTTTTATGCCGATCGACTCATACGATTGACTGTTGAAGCTGCGTTGGATCAACTACCGTACATTCCATGCAGTGTTATCACTCCAACAGGACACTGTTTCGAAGGTTTAAGACATGAAAAAGGAACTTTATGTGTCTCGTTGATGAGAAGCGGTGAAGCTATGGAAAAAGGTATTCGAGAATGTTGTAGGTAAGAATCGACCAATGAGTAGAAATCTGCTTTGAATTGCTAATAGTGAGAGCAGTCAGCCAATAGGTAGATTTCTAGACATAGTACAGACCAATCGAAATATAGCTTAATATGTAATTGAAAGCTCTTTCGCAAGTATTTCATCAATTCACTTTTATAGATCTATCCGCATCGGTAAGATTTTAATCAACGAAGGTCATGTAATCTATGCAAAATTACCATCGGATGTTCATCGACGTCGTCTTCTTGTTGCATACCCCGTGATTACCACTGGTTCGACAGTACTTACTGGTCTTGAAGTGCTCTTGAAAGAATACCAGTGTAGACAATCGAACATGATCTTGATAACATTATTTTCAACACCAGATGGTTTACAACGCATATGTGAACTTCATCCGGAACTGACAATTGTCGTTTCAGAAGTCAACACAGTAGCTCCAAATCATTTTGGTCAAAAATATTTCGGTAAGAAGTTATCAAATCAATCTTTTAATATTCACTGGTATTTCTTTGCTTTTAGGAACGGATTAAAATACGTGTTTGACGTTATTCTGTTTTTTTTGTTTTTCTACCTGTTAGTAAGCACCAAGAAATGATTGATTTGTTTTTCCCTTTCTAGATGGATAACTATCTTCCTAATTGGCCCAATCGAAACGAAAGTCAATCGTGGATTGATCAAGCATTTCTACCATACGATTATGTTGTACAAAATGTCGAAAAGGAACTTTCGAATAAGATATTGGATACGGCTTTGAATGGACAAGACCATGAAATCAACGATGACGAAGCGGATTACATGTTTCGAGAATTGAAAACATTTTCCATTGTTCAATTAGTCAACAAAATTCGTGATATCCATAATATGACATATGAATTAGGAGTGAACGAGAGTCTTGAAATGGCTCGAGCGAAAATATTGAATATTTTTGATAGTTCATAGAATGTAAATTAGAGTTCGATTTGTAATTTTGTCTACTTGCTATTTCAGATAAGATAAAATATGGCCGAAGTTGGATCACCATCGCGCGATTTGAAAAAACGACATCGAAGTACTAGTCGAGAAAGGTACGGTGAAACTTTTGCTAAATATTCTGACAAACTGCTTTTCTTTTCTAGAGAACACCACCACCATCATCGATCACACCGTGGTGAACACGAAACAAAGAATCGACGGGCATCACCAAAGCGCTCGCAATCACCCGAGTAAGTAACATTGTTGACATAAATTTCGAAATCATTCTCTCCACGATACTTTAGTTCGAAACGTCGAAAAGATGATGAGATGAAAGTCGACGAAAGCGATAAACGAACCAATGGAACTAGCACAACTAAACAAGTTCCATTATCGTTAGAAGAAATGCTTGAAAGAAATAAAAAAGAACAAGAAGCCGTTGCTAAAGTACGTAATGAGTGAAGGTTTAATTGATGTTTTCGAATAGTTCAGTAGGATATTAAGTGCACATTATTTTTGATTATCTTTTGTTTTGTAGCCGAAATTTTTAACAAAACAGGAACGTGAAGCTGAAGCATTACGACGACGACAAGAAGAAGCAGATGCTATTCGTAAGCGTAATGAAGAATTACGTAAAAAGCATGTTACATTTGAGAAGGCAGCTGAACAATCATCATTTAAAGACGAACGAGATCGCGACCGAGAACGACGGGATCGAGAACGTCGCCGACGCGACAAAGATGAACAACCAGCAGATCGAGGAAGTAAGACGTTCTTGACTATGATCTTTGTTAACGTTATTGACGATTTCTCTTCAGATGCTGATGAAGAACGCGAAGAAGCTGCTGTTAAAGAGCGATACCTTGGTATAGTCAAAGTAAGAAAGAAATGTTTTCCTTTGATAAAATCCATCAAAATGTTGACTTTTGTAGAAAAAACGGAAAATCCGTCGTTTGAATGATCGAAAATTTGTTTTCGATTGGGATGCTGGCGAAGATACTGCTGTCGATTACAATCCGATCTATAAGGAAAAACATGAAATACAATTTTTCGGCCGTGGTCATATAGCTGGTATTGATTTGAATAAGCAGAAGAAGGATCAATCGAAATTCTACGGTGATCTGCTGGAAGAACGACGTAGTGAAGGCGAAAAAGATCGAGAAAAGTGAGTTAGACGAAACAAAGTTCATCATATTTCGATTTCTGGGAAATCTTTTCTAGAGCTCGATTGAGATCAGATCGTGAAAAAGACGAGAGACGTCGTTTCGATGAACGACATTGGTCTGAGAAAGATTTGGACGAAATGATGGATCGAGATTGGCGTATTTTCAAAGAAGATTTCAACATAACAACAAGAGGTGGAAATATTCCACATCCATTAAGATCATGGGAGGAAGCTGGCTTAGAAAAAAGCATTCTAGATGTAATTAAACTTGCTGGATATAAAGTAAGAAGATGTTTGCCATCTCTACCAGTGAATGAAAATGTACGAACTTGTTTTTCTCTTCACAGGAACCAACACCTATTCAAAGACAAGCTATTCCAATTGGTTTACAAAATCGAGATGTAATTGGTATCGCAGAAACAGGTTCCGGTAAAACAGCAGGTAAAGGAATTAAACGATTCATTCATATCATTGTTCTATAATGGCAATATTTCATTGTAGCATTTCTTATTCCTCTATTGGCGTGGATTCGGTCATTGCCTAAAGTGGAAAGGTAGACTGATTAAAAAATTTACTAGGAAATTATCTGACTGTTTCTTTTTTTTAGATCAATTGATGCTGACAATGGACCATATGCACTTATTCTAGCACCAGCTCGTGAATTAGCACAACAAATTGAAGAAGAAGCAGTTAAATTTGGAAAAGTAAGTAGTCAGATTCCTGTACGAATTTTATCATAATCGGTGTCCTTTGTTTTCAGCACTTGGATATCAATGTAGTCTCCGTCATCGGTGGTTTATCTCGTGAAGAACAAGGATTTAAGCTTCGTCTTGGTTGCCACATTGTTATCGGTACGCCAGGTCGTCTTCTGGATGTTCTTCAAAATCGTTATTTAACATTACAGCAATGTACTTATGTTGTTATGGATGAAGCTGATCGTATGATTGGTAAGAAGAGAAACAAGCCGATCATCTTCTCTATTATGAACTTGTGTCTTCTTTCTTATAGATATGGGTTTCGAGGCTGATGTGAAAAGCATTTTGGAATACTTACCCGTAACGAATCAAAAGCCAGATAATGAAATAGCGGAAAATACAAAGTAAAACTTTCATTGATTTTCGTGTGACAGACTTTAGGTTATGTTCTTCTTTATTTATGTAGAGATTTCTATTCCAAAGATAAATATCGACAAACTGTTATGTTTACGGCTACAATGACGCCAACGATCGAACGACTTGCCCGAACATATCTTCGCCGGCCTGCTTCCGTTTACATTGGTTCAGTTGGCAAACCTACTGAGCGTGTCGAACAAATTATTATTATGTGCTCAGAAAATGATAAACGCAATAAATTACTCGATATTCTTGACCGTACCTTCGAACCGCCCATCATTATATTCGTCAATCAAAAGAAAGCTGTCGACATTCTGGCTAAGGGTCTAATCAAGAAAGGATACAATGCTTGCGCATTACACGTATGTATTACATTTGTAATTGTATCACAAATCAAGTTTTGTCCGTATTTAGGGTGGCAAAGGTCAAGATAGTCGTGACTTAGCTTTGCAACAATTGAAACAAGGTCAAAAGGATATTCTTGTTGCAACCGATGTCGCTGGTCGTGGTCTCGATATTAAAGATGTTTCACTTGTACTCAACTATGATATGGCCAAGACTATTCAAGGTAAAACAAATCGAACTGAAGTTTCCACAAAATCTAAGACGAATGAATTTGTTTTTTTTTGCATTATTTTTAGATTATACGCATCGTATTGGTCGTACGGGTCGTGCTGGTAAAGCAGGCAAAGCAATTACGTTCCTAACAAAAGAAGATTCTGCCGTGTTCTATGAATTGAAAGAAGTTCTACTAGAATCGCCTGTATCACAATGTCCTCAAGAGTTATTGAATCATCCAGATGCACAGAATAAACCTGGCACTGTGGTTACTAAACGTAATAAAACGGCTATTCTTTGTGCATAGATGAAATGGCTGCGTATACTTTTCGTAATGTGTTTGTGTTTTTCTCTGGCTTGTGAATAAAAATACATGAGAACCTAGAATCATAATGTGAATGACGTCTACCGTGACTTATCTGTCTTCAACCTACGGTTTCAAGTGGAAAACGATACCTAATCGAGAAGCCAATCGATCCCATTGATAGTATCTTTATCGACATAGGATTATACGGATTAGCAGGACTTGCAACACTGTCGAGATTTCGCATTGTCAAATGACAAAGAAACGATCAGGGTTACATCATTCCACTATGCGGTTTGTAGAAATTCTATTTATATGCGTCATTAATGATACATGAATGAGTTCCCTGAATCATCAGATCAAAAGAATATGTTAAAATGAAATAATGACGATAGGTTTATTTATTGAAAACTATGGAAGTTTTTGTCATTCTGTTCGATGACGTTTGTTATTGCAACAAGCCCATGTTCTTGCGCAATCGTTCGGTAAAAGACTGACTGTTTATTTCTACACGTAAACCACGCTCTTGACTGACTTGTCTTCTTTTATAAAATCTCGTAGTTTGTCTTCACTTTCCTAATACATGGAGTCTTCGTTGTACAATCGTGTGTATCAACGTGTTTCTACCGAAGTGAATAATGACGAACAATTGTGTACATATTTGGCTGAAATCTGTTCTGATTCTGATAGTCATTGTGATGATTTACGCGATGTTATTGATACGATGTTTAAAGCAAGTCATCCGAATGTTTCCGAAACCCGTCGTCAACACCTTATCTATTCTTTGCTCGACATGATTGAAGAAGATCGAGATAAAAAAAATAAACAAGATACAGATGAAACAAACGATGAAGAAGACGATATTGATCTGGCTGAAAAGACGGAACGAGACGGTGAATGTAAACTATGTGGATGTACTCAACGAATCACAAGTATGAGAAGCATCGAAGATTTGAATCTTTTTTTCTCAAGAATAAATCAAATTTTCTTTTTAGTTCATCATATGATTCCGAAATTGATTCTTAAACGTATGAGAAATTCGGGTAAAGAATCAGTTGATGTTGCGAAATACCTAGTAGAAGTTTGTCGGCCGTGTCACAATGAAATTCACCGTATATGGCCTCACAGTGAATTGGCACGAGAATATCAAACAGTTGATATGCTGTTAGAAGCACCAGCGATTCAACCATATCTAAATTGGAAACGAAAGCGAGAACGAACTGCATAATTCTTGACAAACATTTGTATTTTTCAATATTTTTCGTTATATCTTGAATAGAATTGCATGTGATTCCTATTTTCATATGTAAATTGTAAAACGTATCATTAATTTGACACAATCCCCTTCTTTTTTTCAATAAAAGTGTATGAAATTTCAAAAATAAGCATACAAGATATATGAACGAATTCACCGTCCAGATATACAATCAAATATCATCAAAACTATACTTTATCCTTTTATTGTCGGTTTTAATTTTTTTAAGAAAAAAAGGAAGGTTTGACCCCGACGTGACTTGAACACGCAACCTTCTGATCTGGAGTCAGACGCGCTACCGTTGCGCCACGGAGTCGACGTCAATAAAAGGATAGAACAGAAAGTTATTGCCAGAGTACAGCTAAAAAAAGCAGCGAGATCAGTTCTATCCAATAAGTTGTTTCTTTTATATTCACATCCGGTGTCGATTAAACAGATAGATATGTGTGTTAGAATATGGAACAATGACCGTTCATTCATCATAGTTCAATAGAGAGTGAAGAAGAAGAGAAAAAAAACTCCTTTTTCCCTTGCGTATAAGCTGGTTTGTTCGTTCGTTCTTCTTCTTTTTTTCTCTCTCTCTCCCTCGCTCGCTTGCTCTCTTCTTCATTCATCATCGACCGTACCCCGTACTGCATTCGCCACTACTGTCGACGTCGTTCGCCTTAAGCCAAAGAGAATTGTTTGTTGGTTGGCCGATGAAGAAGGAGATGGAATAGAACGAACACACGATGTGATTAGAATATATGCGCGTTGTCAGTGTTCCTTTTTCCTTTTTCTTTTGCCCTCTCCATGTCTGCGATAACCTCAGTCGATAGCATTTGTTTTTTTCTCTTCATAGATCGAAACTCTTCATTCTTTAGATAAATGTTCATTTATTGATTACAATGGATACTGAGCAACCCGAACCGATAGTTACAAATGGCCACTCTCATGTCACTGACAGTGAAGTTCCTCAACCAACAGTCGACAAACCAAACGTCGATTCGGTCTATACAAACACATTTTTTCTTTGCTAATATTTACTTGTTTATTTTGTTTACTTGATAGATGGCTGAAATAGGCGACGTTATCGATGGTCGAGAGATCCAAGTTTTGGAAACAGCTGAAGATATTCAAGCACGACGTGAACAAGTTCTCACTCGTTTTGCTCATTTCAAGGAAGCTGCTAAATATCGTCGTGATAAGCTTGAAGATTCACGCGAATATCAGTACTTCAAACGTGATGCTGACGAATTGGAAATGTGGATTAATGAAAAAATACAAATCTGTTCGCATGATGATACATATCGTGATTCAACTAGCGTTCAAGTAGAATAAATCGATTGATTGTTTTGTTGTCATATGTCGATGTTTTACTTTTGTAGGCGAAAATTCAAAAACATGAAGCGTTTGAAGAAGAAGTCGCAGCGCATCATAATGCTGTTGTTCGACTCGATGAAGAAGGTGCATTTAAGATAAGTCGAGGACATTTCGCCTCTACTGCTATTCAAGTAAATGATGACGAAAATATGATCTGATAGAATTTCTTCGGTGGTTTATTTCAGGCTCGGCTTGATGAAATTCATCGTCTATGGCAATTACTTTTAAAACGCTTACAAGAAAAATCGGCTCGTTTACAATTGGCACGCAAATTAGAACAATTCTTTCGAGATTGCGATGAATTTATCTTTTGGATGCGTGATAAGGTACCAGCAAAAGTGTGCATTTATAGGTCTCTAAAAAATTCGTTGATTTGTCTAGGAATCATTCGTTTTATCCGAAGATTTTGGCAAAGATCTTCAAAGTGTTCAAAATCTTCAACGTAAACACGATAGTGTCGAACGCGACATATCTGTTGTACAAGAAAAGGTCGAAAACTTACGCAAAGAAGGTGCACGTATCCAACAAGACGTACCCGAAGGTGCTGATCAAATCGAGAAGCGCTTAGCTGATATGATACAAGCTTGGGATGATTTACGTACAAAAGTATGTCACATTTTTGTTTAAATTTCGAAGAAAACTAATCGTATTTATTATTGTCATCTTAGTCTGATGAGCGCAAAACAGTTCTTAATGAATCCTTTCGTTTACATCACTTTCTATCCGAATTTCGCGATTTAATGTCATGGGCATTGGACATGGAAGCTCACTTATCATCGGATGAATTAGCAAAGGATGTCTCGGGCGCTGAGGCATTAGTCGAACGTCATTCGGAATTTAAAGGCGAAATCGATGCACGTAAAGATAGTTTTGCAAATGTTCAACGTATTGGCAACAATCTAATTCAACAAGATCATTATGCAAAGAACGACATCGAATTGAAATTGCAAGAATTACTAGGTCAACAGGCTAAACTCGATCAGTTATGGTCACAACGTTTGATGCTATTGCAAGATTGTATGCATTTACAACTCTTCTTACGAGATATCGATCAAGCATTAACATGGATACAAAAACAGGATCAATACTTGGTACAAAACAGTAATGATATCGATTCGTGTCAAACATTAGATGATTGCGAAGGTTTGATTAAAAAATATGATGATTTTGAGAAATTACTTCAAGCACAAGAAGAAAAAGGTAAGAGACAGACCGCGTGAAAACTCTTCTTCATGTCCTTCATCTAGGCAAAGCTCTCGATGAATTTGGTCGTGATCTTCTTAATGCGGGTCATTATAATTCGGATTTAATTCAAGAAAAACTTGATTTACTTTACCAATCTCGTATTAGTCTATTAGATAAAATTAATACCAAACGTCGCTTATTGCAAAACACACTCAACTATTACACATTCGAGCGCGATTGCGATGAATTGAAATTATGGGCGAAAGAAAAGCTGAAAATGGCATTAACACGTGATTATCTCGATACGGCAAACATCAATATCAAATGTCAAAAGCATCAGCAATTTCTCAATGAATTAGCGGCTTACCAACCGAAAATGGACACAGTTATCTTAACTGGTCAAAAACTCATCGATGAACAACATGGTCAAACACAAAATATCAATCAACATTTAACCGAATTAGAAGATATTTTGAACAGACTAGTTGAAGCAGCCAATGAGAAATCCGATCGATTGAAAGAAGCAACAGATGGTCAAACATATATGCGAGCACTAGAAGAAGTTGACATGTGGATCAACGATGTAGAAAATACATTGACAAATGACGACTACGGCAAAGATATGACATCAGTGCAAAACTTACAGAAAAAACAACAATTATTAGAAAATGAATTTTCATTGAAGAAGGATCGAATTGATCAATTGTCAAAAGATGCCGAACATTTTCAACAAATCGGCCACTTCGATTCGAATAATATTTTGAAAAAACAAATTCAACTTGTCACACGTTTTCAATCTTTACTTGAGCCTTTACAACACAAGAAAGAAAAATTGAGTGCATCAGCAGAATTTCAACGTTTATTGCATAATATTGAAGATGAAGAAGCATGGATTCGGTAAGAGAAAAAATCAAATCAATCGGTTTAGATTGAATCTTCTTTTGCAGAGAAAAAGAACCAAGTATCATGTCGACCAATCGAGGCCGAGATCTAATAGGTGTGCAAAATCTGCTAAGAAAGCACCAAGCGTTGATGGGAGAATTGCAAAATCATGAAGCACAAGTACGAACGGTTTGCAACGAAGGAGAAGATATGATTAATCAAGGTAAAATCTCACAGATTTTCCTTCAAAGAAGAATTCAGTCAATCGTTACTGTTCTTCTTCGATTTATTAGGTCATTTCGCATCGGCAGACATCAAGAAACATATTGTTAACTTACAATCGAAATGGCAGAATCTGAAAGAAGTTTCTGTTCAACGCAAACACGATTTGGAAGATTCATTACAAGCACAACAATATTTTAGTGATGCTAAAGAAGTCGAATCATGGATCCAGTAAGTCATACACTGATTCCTCCAGAACAGATTAGATGCGAAATCTCTTCTCTGAATTCGATCGGCTTTCTTACTTGTATTAATTTTGTTTTAGTGAAAAAGAGCCGATTGCTCAATCAGCAGATTACGGTCGCGATGAAGATTCATGCAATGCATTGTATAAAAAACATCAACAATTATTCAACGATATCAAGGCGTTTGAACAAACTGAATTAGAAGACCTTCGTCAAAAAGCACAGAAATGTCATCAACCAGAGAAACCACTTGTTTCCGATGATTTAACAGGTCAACGGCAAAAGGTTCTCAGTCTTTACGATTATGCCGAAAAAACACCACGAGAAATTTCAATGAGAAAGGGCGATACGCTCACGTTGCTCAATGCTTCGAACAAAGATTGGTGGAAAGTTGAATTAAACGATCGACAAGGTTTCGTTCCTGCAACATATTTGAAGAAAATCGAAAAAGAACCAATCTCAATGCACGAACAAGAACGCTTGGATGAATATACAGTCAGTTCACGTCAACAACAAATCGAAAAACAATACGCCAATCTCTTAACTATTTGTCAACAACGATTAGAAAAACTTGGTAAGATAATCTGCAAAATGTCATACATCTTTCTGGTCGAAGAGGTCAAAAGAAGGTTATCACATGTAATGAGGCTACTTTTCGAAATGAGAAGGTTTTGTCAACACGATTGGGATCAGATGTGTTTTCTTTCATCAAGGTCGTGATTAAAACTTTTCTCGTTTCACTTTAGCTGAAGCATCCGATGCTTATAAATTAATGCGTGAGGCTGCTGATCTTGTTGTTTGGATTAACGATAAAGAACGCATTGCATCCGAAGAATCACTTGGCAAAGGTCCTGATGATGTCGAAGAACTGCAACGTCGTTTCGATGAATTCCAAAAAGAATTACGCACGAATGAGTTGCGGCTCGTACGTTTGAATTCGATTGCCGAAAAACTTCTTCAGTTGGGTCGAACTGATGCTGCACTTAAAATTCAAATTGATATTAACAATCTCAATCGTAAATGGGACGATTTGAAAAAGAATGCCGAAGAACGTGAACAACAACTATTGTCTGCCTATGAAGTTCAACGTTTTACACGTGATGCTGAAGAAGCACAAGATTGGATTAGCGAAAAATTTGAACAATTGGATCCGGATGAACTTGGACAAGATTTACGCAGTGTAAAACGCTTACAGAAGAAACACGAAGCATATGAACGTGATCTCAATGCACTTGGAGACAAGATTCGTGAATTAGGTTTGTAATGATTAAGAGATGAGAAAAGTTTCGGAAGAAAATTCTACTTGATGTTTTTAGATGATTTAACAAAACGTTTGATTAATACTCATCCCGAACAAGCCGAAGTTATCATTCAAAAACAACAAGTTATTCAAAATCAATGGACAGATCTTACATCGAAAGCTGATTTACACAAAGTAATTCAATTCAAATAGTATTTGTCTTTTGTAACAAGTATTCTCCACTTTTGTATTCTAGGCTAAATTATTAGATGATTATGATTATCAGAAATTCCTAACTGATTTCCGAGATTTGGCCGCTGTTATTCAATCGATCATTCAACAAATCTCCTCGGATGAACTGGCAAAAGATGTTCCAGGCGCTGAAGCTCTACTCGAACGTCATCATGAACATCGATCAGAAATCGACGCACGATCTGGAGCATTTCAAGCATTCGAAGATTTTGGTAATGACTTAATCAATGCAGAACATTTCGCTAATGATGATATTAAACAACATTTACAAAAAATGGACGATATTCGACAACAGCTTGAAGCGTAAGTGGCTTTAGTCGGAAAGAAAGAAAGATATGAATCACGATATTGATTTTAGTGCTTGGAAGGAACGACAAGATAAATTAGATGAATGTCTTGGTAAGTTGGATGAAGATTGATCGAATGAGGTTTCTCTATGATGAAATGTTTAGAATTACAATTATTCTATCGTGACTGTGACACGGCTGAAACATGGATGGAAAGTCGAGAAAAGGCTTTGAAAGACGAAGCTGTGGAAGTTGTGGAAGCAGCGATTAAACGACATGAAGATTTTGATAAAGCTATCAAAGCTCAAGTAAGTTTCTTACCTTCATCAAACTTGATGTTCATTTGACATGCTGTTTGTAGGAAGATAAAATCAATAATTTGAAACAATTCGCTGGTCAATTGATCTCGCAAGATCACTATGAAAAGGCTGGCATTGAAGATCGTTTACAACGTGTTCTTGATCGTTGGACACGTTTACGTCAAGCGATGATGGAATATCGTTCGCGACTTGGCGAATCGCAAACATTGCAAGACTTTTCTCGTGATGCTGAAGAAATCGAAGCATGGATTGCAGACAAACTTGCTGCTGCTTCTGATGAACCCGTCAAAGAAACACAAAACTTACAGGTAAGCATATCTCACACACCCATAGAAATCCCTTAGCAAGCCTCGCGATCGTCTCGAACGTTAAACACCGTTGAAAATCCGTTTATATATATGTAGGCTAAAAAGATTCAAGTAAGTGATTCGTTCGTATGTGCCTGTTTTTTCTTGAATTGGATCAAAATTACTCCCGGAACTATTTGCCATTATGGATGAGCGTGGTTTTTTTTCGTGTGTGATAGCCATTTTTTTAAATGCATGATTTCATCAATCTCGCATGCGATCAAAGAAGTCTTTTTTGTCGATAGCCCAAAATCTATGAACCATTTGTTCTTTAGAGTAAGAGTCAAAAACATCAAGCCTTCGTTGCCGAATTAGCTGCGAACACGGATCGTATCCAATCAATTATTGGAATGGGCAAAGGTAAGTCGAGAGAGAAGAAGAGAAATCCGAACGACTGGATTTTAATCATTAAGGTTTAATCGATTCACGTAAATGTGCCGGTTTGGAATCAACTGTTGACAATCGCCTTCAACAGATTATTGAACAATGGGAATTTCTCGTACAAAAATCATCAGATAAAAGTTTAAAATTGAAAGAAGCTTCCCGACAACAAACATTCAACGCTGGAGTCAAAGATGTGGAATTCTGGCTTGGCGAAGTATGTTTCTTCGTAGGCAGAAAAGCATGGAAACCGAGTCATGTTTATTAATTTAGATTGAAAATCAATTGGCCAATGATGATGTTGGTCGAGATTTAACATCGGTTCAGAATATGTTGAAGAAACAACAATTGCTAGAAAATGATATCGCTAATCATGAAGTAAACAATGAAATTTTCTTTGAATTTACATTCGATTGCTTCTTTTTTAGAGTGCTGTTGTTGAATTAAACAAAACAGCTGACGAATTTATTGAAAATAATATGTTTGATGTTGAAAATATCAAAGAAACACGAAATACTATCAACGATCGTTTTGAAAAGTGAGTTTTTCATTTACGAATTTTTCTATTCTCTATCCCTACCTTCTCTGTAGAGTTCGTAATCAAGCAGATGTTCGTCGCAAACGCTTAGAAGAAGCTTCGACTGTTCATCAATTCATTCGCGATCTCGAAGATGAAGAAGCACAAATAAGGTATAAAGAACTTCCATTTGATTCGCTGTTACAAATCTTTGTCTTGTAGAGAAAAGAAACTACTGGTAACAAATGATGATTATGGTCGAGATTTCAATCAGAGTCAAAACTTACGTCGTAAACACAAACGCTTCGAAGTTGATCTTGCATCACACGAACCCAATGTACAAAATCTTCAACAATTAGGTTCACAGTTAACTCAAGAAGTCGGCAATTCTGACATCGAACGCAAATGCAAAGATCTAGTCAATCACTGGGAATCGTTAAAACAGGCTACAGATGATCGAACGAAGAAACTTGATGAGTCGTTAACATACCATAATTGGGCATCAAGTTTAGATGAAGAAAACGCTTGGATCAAGGAACGTTTACATATTATGAACAATCCTGATATTGGCACAACATTAGTGGCTGTTCAAGGTTTACAAAAGAAACATGAATCGTTCGAAGCCGATTTCATCATACAGAAAGAACGCTGTCAAGAAATTCTCCAACAAGGACAGAAACTAATCGAACAAGTTCGTTGAAACTTTCCTCATTTCACAAGTCGAATCATTCTCATTGCTTTTGTTTATTTTCTAGAACAACCATTTATCACCACAAGTTAAAGATCGAATGAATTATCTTGAAGAAGCGATGCAGCGTTTAGAAATCGATGCCAGTCGACATAAAGAACGCTTACAAGAAAATGCTGCACTTCTTCAATTCATGTGGAAGGCCGATGTCGTGGAAAGTTGGATTGGTAAGTAGATCGAATGCCTAATACACAAGAGAAATATGAGCTGAATCCATTCACTCGAGAGAATATGTCGAATTAATCTTTATTAATTTGCGTCTTAGCTGAAAAACTTCATCAACTGCGAACTGATGATTTGGGTCACAATCTTTTATCTGTGCAAAACCTTCTCACTCGTCATGAAACATTCGAAGCTGGATTGAGCAATTTCGAACATGAAGGCATTCGCTTAGTAACTGATTTAAAAGAAGAACTGTTATCGAATAACCGCAGCAGTACTCAACAAAACGAGAAGATTCAAGCACGTTATGATCTGGTTTTAAATAAGTAAGCTAGGAGAGAGGGAAGATAGTCGAAAATCTAATTCGATATGTTTTAGTTGGCAAAAATTATTACAAACCAGTGGACTACGACGAGAGAAATTGAAGAAAGCTGAAGATCGTTTTCGTAATATCGAAGAATTATTCTTACGATTTGCTAAGAAAGCATCAGCGTTTAATTCCTGGTTTGAAAATGCCGAGGAGGATCTCACAGATCCAGTGAAGTGCAATTCGCTCGAAGAAATACGTGTATGTTGACAAACTCCTTGGCTAAACAAGGATTTCATTCTTCCTGATGTTTTAGGCTCTAATCGATGCTCACGATCGATTTAAAACTGTTCTCGAAGAAGCTCGCTATGATTTCGATGAACTCAAGGCATCTGACGATAGTATTAAATCACTAAACATGGCTGCTAATCCCTACACATGGTTCACCATGGAGACGTTATTTGATACATGGAAAAGTTTAGAGAAACTCATCCGAGTATGTGGAAATTCATAGCATTCGATGATTTGATTTGATTATAATTGGTTTTCTTTAGGATCGTGATAATGATCTGCAATTAGAAAAGAAACGACAAGAAGAAAATGATAAACTAAGACAACATTTTGCTGAATATGCTAATGCTTTCCATACATGGTTACGTGGCATCGAGTATGTATTTCCATTCTTCAAGGATGTATTGTTAACTTCTTCGAATTTAGATCATCTATGATGAATGCTGATGGTAATCTCGAACAACAACTGCAAACGATCAGAGTAAGAGAAACGAATCTGAACGTTTTCTTTTTCATAATGAAACTGTTTTTGTAGCAAAAAGTTGATGAACTTCGTCAACAACGACAGAAATTGAAGAAACTAGAAGATCTCGCAACCGAACTTGAACGACGACTCATACTTGACAATCGTTACACTGAATACTCAGCATTGAATCTTGCGCAAGCATACGATCAACTAGATCAATTAGGCATGCGTATGCAGCATAATCTAGAACAACAGTTAGCAGCAATGAAACATAGTGGTGTTAGTGAAGATCAAGTGCGAGAATTCTCGATGATGTTCAAACACTTTGATAAAGACAAATTGGGTCGACTTAACCATCAAGACTTCAAATCATGTTTACGTGCATTAGGATACGATTTACCGACTGTAGATGACAATCAACGTGATGAACAATTTGAAAGTATTCTCGATATTGTTGATCCTAACAGGTTTGTCATTTTCACATCGTATGACCTATATCTAATTTTGTATGATTATAGATCTGGTTCAGTGGCTTTGACAGATTACATGACGTTCATGGTTAGTCGAGAAACAGAAAATGTTTCATCGATTGACGATGTCGTATTGGCATTCAAGAGTTTGACAGAAAACTCGGAACGACAGTACATAACACGTGACGAACTTTATGCTGTACGTATTATCTATGCTCGCTTGTTTAGAGATTTATTTCATTTTTCTGATTTGTCTAGAACTTGCCACCAGAGCAAGCTGAGTTCTGCTGTCGTAAGATGAAACCATATCGAGATCGTAATGGTCGAGAAATTAACAACGCTTATGATTATGATGATTTTACTCGTTGGTTATTCAATCAACAACCACATTCAACTTATAGTTATCAGACATCAGCTATTTCATCACCATCTACGTCCTGGATTCAAACTCCAGCTCATTAGTCAAGACAGACTCTACTTAATCTCAATCTTTCTCTTTCTCTCAATATGTGTTTGTGTGTGTGTTTGCACCTTTTTGTTTGTGGTTAATTGGTTCCGCTTTTTTTGCGTATTCTGTGTACTATTTTACTCAAACTCTTATCATTTTTTTTTCTCTTTATTGTTTACTTATTATTAGAATGAACGAGAAAAAGAAAGTAAAAGATTATATGTGCGTAGAATGCATTGGGAAAAAAGCATAAATATATGATTTTAATCTGATGTTTCGACTTCGATCGGATATAATACATGCTTTGGAAAAGTGCATTGAATCGCAAGATTTTTCTATTTCATGCTCGGTGTGAGGAAAGTATTCATGAATTTATAGACAGTGATGAGGCGACATCTATTGATTGAACTGATTTAGTTGATTGAAATTGCTTGTTTGAACTATGGTAACCTAAACGGTCATGACATCGATGGAACCAATGCGATGGATATGGAGGTTTATGACTGTTTTCTTTTATGAATAAGACGATTTGTCATCGAGTAGAAGATTTCATATACTTCTGATTCATTTTCTGATATTTATATATGTCAATTTATGTGTCGTGCATGGAAAGTTTTACGACAGGTAACCACAGTAACAGTAGGGAATCAGTCGAACTCATTTTTTGAAGAATGTGTTCAACGATTGATCATAGACGACTTCAAGAGACGATAGATTTTAGTAACAGACTATGAGTGAAGTTTTAGCAAAAGTTTTTCTCTATTTCAGATAAAAATGAAGCTTGAATTGATTATTGAAAAGAATGTTATTTTAAAACGTGATAAACCTTGGTCACAGTTTTATTCTCTGAACGATCAGGAACTTCTCTGTTATAATGAACAGAAAAAGTTCGAATCGGCTAATTCCTCGAACGGGAAAATCGAACATGTATCAAATAAAACAATAATTAATGTGTCGAAATCGTCTCTTGCTCATTGTTTATCCGCCAACGGTCAATTCTGCGCATTTCTCTCCCCAAATTATGATATAACGATTTGGAATAAAGAAAAATTAATTCGAACCACAACATCCTGTACATCCGCGATCAATGCAATTAAAACTACACCATATATTCACATTAGTAACACTGGTGATCAAGCTGTTCTCATTCTACGACAACCATGTCGAGTATTTCTTTGGCTGAGATCTCTTCATTCATTGTCAATTTCAACTAAGAGTCATCATAAAAGTCCTATCTGCTCCAGTATTGGACATCGTTCGACAGATGAAATCGGTACTTGGCATGAAGTGGTGCTAACAAATAAACAACTGGATGCGATGAATGATGCGAAATATCAGATATCATCGGATGTTTTCTTTCACTCAAAACATCCCTCGATTACTTGCGCTTTTACCTTTACCGATCCAGTAGGTTATGTTCAAATCAATCGTCTCGATATCGAATGGAAATCAACTATCTATGCTGAGCAATCCGTATCATATTCATTCGAAACTCTTCAAATTCCGTTAAATCCTTCGTGTACGGCAATACACTCTATTCGTTTTGCACATACATCACCGATTGTAGCAATTAGTTTAACAACAAATGTTCTATTCGTTTCATTGACAACTATCGCATTTTCGAAATTACTTCCTGTAAACTGTTTGTTTGTTACATCTCCCAGTCATCAACAGGTTCGTATCAACGATTTAGCATGGAGTTTCGATGATCAGTTTATAATTGGTTTAACAAATCGTGGTGCTCTGTTTTTTCTCAATCGTTTCGGCTCGCAAATCAAGCTAGTTACTCAAGGCGAATGTATTACTCAAGGACCATCCCCATTCGTTATTGTTCATCCATTAATTGGTCAAGATAGTGAAGCCACCAGTCACCTCGGTTTAGATTCGTTTATGAGATCAATCGTACCGTTTCCTAATGACGATAAAACCAAACAACAAACGTATTCTTTAACGATCAATCCAACAAAATCGATATTTTATTGCAGTGATGGTTATCGCCTAGCTCGTTTAACATATTCAAGTAAAATTCGGGATAGACGATTCTATGATCCGTTACTTTATTTATACTTAACCGATTTGAATCACCAGGATGATCAACATTCGATATTCATACACAAAACACGGTAAACTCTTCTGAGTAATTGTCGAAATGCCACTTTTCGTGTTTTTCTTCATTCAGGTCATTAGATGATCTTCCAAAGGCTATTGATCGTTTCGACACGGAAAGTCTTCGCAGTGGCGGAGCAGGATTATACATTTCGTCGAAGTACGGAAGTTTAACTTCGTTACCAATTGATGATTTACCTCAATTATCATTAGATGATATCTTTTCTGCCTATCATCTTCTTCTCACATCATCCGAACGTGTTCAACATGAAATATGTGCATGTCTTGAACGTACAACACAAAATCTATTGATCTCATCCGATAATCAAGATATTCTCACTTCAGTCCAACTATCTCATTGTTTAACAAATCTTCTTCTATCATCATCGTTTGGTTCGTTGACATTTTCGCATCTTTCATGTTTAACAAAATTTCTTCCACTATTCATTCACATCTTTCAACAACAGACGACAGTTGTGAACGATCCGGAATTGTTACAACTGTGTATTGTACGTATTGTTGAACAATGGTTACAATCAGTTCTGTTTATCCCAACACGTTTGAATACATTTGAGCTCTGCCGACGGCAGAAATTGGATAGCATTGCCGAAGAGGAAAGAAATTTTCGACTATGTAAAGGAATTAAACAACTCGAATTATTGCAAGGCACGAATATTAATCTAGATGAATTCTTAGCATCAAATTTACCCAATCAACATTTGAACGCACAGGTAAAAGGATCTTTTCAATAAACCGATTTTCTATGTTTTTTCCTCTGTTGAAGACCATCGATTCTCGATACAATCGAATAACGCTCCTTCGTTCATGGTATGCACTTTGGACTGCAATTGAAAGGAAATCTCGTCGTAATAAACAAAACCTGCCGAAATACCTAACGACAATGCGTCTCTTTCTTCAAACAATTCTTCATTCTTATCCATCATTGAACACAATTCATTTCGTACCGTATGGTCGTCCAATCGATTTAAATGATCTTTTCCCACCAGTGATCACCTCAGTTGATCATCCATTACATAAAAAAGGTTATTCAACAATGAATGAGCGACGGAAACAACGTCGTCGAACAGCAAATCCTGTCGAACAACCTAGTTCTGCACGTTCCTATCGTCGTGGAAAACCGCCAACCGAAGCACGTAAAGCTCTTGTTCTTCATCGTGTTCTCTACAGTTTACTTGAACAATACAACATACGCGATGCTGTTTGTATACTAAACGTTGCCCTACGACGAGAAACATCACTCGTATCATCGTGTTTACCACTGGATTTGTTTAGTGCGAATCTATTTCAATATATCGATACACGAACACATTTCGGTATGCCTGGTCATGCTCTACGATCTGTTCTACGTACTCTCGCACGTTTTATGGCTCGATCGATGATAATTAATGAGAAAAATCAAGAACAGCAAGAACTATTCATCTATTCGATTGATTCAGCATATCCTCTACCGAATTTGTTCAAAACCAAATATAAAACAAACGAACAATTAAAATATCGAAAGATTTCCATTGATCGAAATCGATTAAATATCGCAATCGAACAGCAAAAATTAAGTAAATTTTGGCAACCATTAAAGGTATTGGAACTGTTCATACTTGGTCAATCACCAAATGAAGCTGTGTAAGTCGAATATTTGTATCGATAACTTCTATGATAGTTGATTCTTTCTCTCAAGATTTTTCGCTAAACTAGTTGGTGACTGGCGAACAGCATTATGTTTAGCATCTGTCTTGCCACCTCACAATGGCTTGTACGCATCGCCGAAAACTCTCAATGGATCATCTCAATCGTATTCGCCTTTAAATACAATTACAGTCGATGCACTATTGTATACAAAACTTTGTGAATATCTTCAAATAGATAATCTGAAATCAATCTTGAAACGTTCGTATAAACAGGAAGAGATTATCTCATTTACTCAAAATTTATCATCAACATTAGAACAATTTCTTCTTTGTTCAACCCTATTACAAGTTCCATTAACTGAAATGCTATTAAAACGTCTCAATGCCATCATGATCTATTTATTCACTGTGATTCCAATACCAATCTCGCCCAAGTATTACCTTCCATGTCCACCAATTTACTCTTCAATTTTGAACACCTACGACGATGATAAATATGACATCACATGCAAATATGAAACACATGTTCGATTGATTTACTATCGAACGATTCACATTTTCATTCAAATTCTATCCGCAAGTCGAATACAATTATCCTGCTTAAAATGGTATTTAGATTATTTAACCATGACAAACAATCGACGCAAACAGTCGACAAACATCAACGATAGTTTTCATTCGCTTCGAACCCTGCTGAAATCGTTACGCTTTCATAAACTACCGAATATACCAGATCGAATCCTTGTATATTTTCGAGATTTCTGCATAGCGTTATTCTTACTGGATACACGCGATCGTTTATCATTGACGTTAAGAACGTATATTCGTCAGAAAACTGAATCGATTGTCTCATCCGATCAACTTGCATGGCAAATTATCAGTTATGCAACAATTCTCCTATCATTTCGTTGCTTATTATCTGATGAAATGAATCTTTTACGTATTGTACTAAATCTTTTCTTCGATTTACCACCAACTGAACAATTAATGCGAGCGTTAGCAACACTGATTGTTACAAGACAAGAAGTAGAGAGCGATCGAGCGAATAATGCAGAAATTGGATATATTATTGAGAAACTGAAAGCGAAATGGATGCAAATTAATCCAACTTTCATTCACATGTATGAAGATTTCTTGGAAAAGACAATGGTGCAAGATGTTCAAGGCGATATGGTCAAACATTACTTAAATGATGCGTAAGGAGCTCGTCGAAGTTTCTAAGTAATCTATTAAAAGAAACTTTTTCGTTTAGATCGGATCAACCAGCTCTATTTGACTTTAAACCAAAATGGTTCGAAACATGTGTTGAATATGGTGAATTTATGACGATGCTCATTCCACTTCTTCTCGATACATCATCACTAGCGAATATAAATAAGCAAGAATTAAATAATGATCATACGAAATTCGATAGTACGTCGATACCATTAGTACCAACGATGAGTGCGCAATTACGTGAATTAGAATTACCCTCTAGTCTTGACAAACGATATTTACTTAAACAAGCACCATTGTTCGTTCCACCAAATGACTATGTCGTTTTTCCTGTTCGTATTTTGCAGAATGATCCTCAGCAAACGATGTTTCAACAACCAGCAAATAATGTTAATCATGCGACTGTAGGAAGTTTCATTCAAACGCCATTGGCTCAACCACCACCAGGTGTCGTGCCTCTTGAACAGCAACATCGACATAGCTACCAGAGTTCAGAGGCAAATAATAACAATATGCATATGCACACCAATGGAAATCCATCGATAGAATGGGATGGTCGCTCAGATGATCCATCGCGATCATATGTACGACAATTTGATGCTCCATATGATGGTGCAGCACGGCATAGTATTTGGATGACTTCATGGGCCAATCGAGGATTTTCAACCACGACCGATCAAACCCAAACACCTGGTATGCGTATACCTGCAACTGCACAATTTCTAGCTGCGACTTCAGTGCTCAATGATCAACAGCATTATGAAACTCTTGTGAAACAGAACTCCCAACAGAACAAAGTTTATCATGATCAAATAGACAACGATACAGATCTAACAGATGTCACGAAAAACGAAGACGAAGATGGAGTTGGCACGCAAAGCGATCTACCGTCAAGTCCTCGTCGACGTGATGTTTCATTTCGAAAAAATTCCTTGGATGAAAGCATGTCATTACCTATTTTGAGTACTGATGGTGGAGGAGATTTCGGTCGCAGTTATGATTTTCGTGCACCCTCACGTGAGACGATACGGGATGAAACACCAACATATGATATACGTGACTTTCCTACAGAATACCGAGAACCAACTAATCTACAAGGAACAGATCCACCGTCACAAATCTCACCACCAACTTCGAATGGATTTCAACAGGATCAACAACACAGCCATCATTATCCAACTCGACAATCGCTTAGTGATAGACGATTCTTTGATGATTCGGATCCAAACTTGATACCGAGAATGGAAGAAGAAGAGAGAAACAAATATAATACTTTAGGTAATCCAGCAATCATGTTTTTTCCTCAGTAGCTGAATTCGATTGTAAACTAATACTCGAATATTTAGACACCAATCGAACAACAACACCGATACAATCTGCTAATGGACATTATCAGTCTTCTCGTGATTATCAACCGCCATTCAATGACTCACAAAGCCGTCGCTCACCTACGCGAGATCTATACAGTCGTCGTTCTCCAACGCGAGACTCTCACAGACGACGATCACCGACTCGAGATCAATATAGTCGCCGATCACCAACACGAGATCCATATCGTCAGCAGCAACAACCTCATCATTACCAACCATTTCCTGAAATTCCACCATATTCAATGTACGATCAAGTTCAAGCGCATGCGCCTGTTCAACGTAGTGTTTCACTACGTTTACCATTGCTTCGTTTGGGAGGTCCAGTTATGACTGCGACACCAATGTTGCCTCAAACTCGTTTCACACCAACAATGCCTCCAGTTGCTGTCTATCCTCCCAGGCCGATCTATGTTACAGTACCAACACCACCACGTTCTTCATATCCTATGCTTCATTTAGCTCCTCAAATGCCTCCACCGGTATCACTTTCTCCGCAAGCAACACGAGCGGATCAACAGAGATTAACCTATGTACAAAACATAATGCATCAATATGCCGAACACAATCGACCGCGTCTTCAATTATTACAGATGCGTCCACATCCGAGAACAACGACTACAACTACAGCTGATCTACAAATACCAATGCCTGCTCCAAACATCGTTAGTAAATCATCGGACACCAAGGTTGATGTTGATATACAGGCAGATCTACCTCGACAAGATGGATTTGTTCTTGAGCCGGGCCTGTTTCAAGTAAGATTACATGCTAATTTGACATAGCACAACAATAATCAATCATTCTATTTCTTTTTCAGTCGTTGTTACGTGAGACTACTGGTGTTAATTTTACGTCAGCGGAAGCACACTTCTCTGCTGCTCGGCAAATACAGCAGCAAGCACTTGAAGCACGTCGTCGCGAACGATCAACTATGACAGATCTACCAGCACATCAGGTTTTGTACGACTTACAGTACGCTCGTGGTGGGGCAGGAGATGAACGTAAATTCGTTAATGTTACCGATATTGCTGGCCCACATGCCGATGCCTTACTTGCTCAGATTGAACGAGATCAGAATGAACGAGAACAGGCTCGACTACGTCAACAACAAGAATATCAGCAGCAGCAGCCACCACCACCGTCGATACCTATGATCACCAACATGAATCAAATGCCACCAGCAAATTACCCTATTGGTTTTGGTCGACAACATGCGGAAGTAATGCAACAACAAGCACAATCTTATACAACTCAACCGTACTATCCGTTGGGCTTTAATCAGCAACAAGCTGAAGTTCTTGAAAAGCCTCCAAGTTTATATAACAACGATGATTTACAACGACAGAACGAACTTATCTTAGAACGTCGACGTCTACGAGAGCAAGAAGAGAGGCAAGCAGAACAGATTGCATTCGGCAATATTGAAACTAATCGTTCACCTCGAAAAGTGTCATACGAACCACACGTGCAAACTTATGAACTAGATGAAAAAGTATGCATTACGATCTGATATACTGTTTGCTTACATAGACTCTGTAATTTAGGATGTTCCTCTGGAATATTTGATACGCTCTCGACGACAAACAGAACCGACTCTAGATCCTAGTTCACATATTGTAGATCCAATTTCCGTCCGTTCAATCACACCTCGTTCGCCACGTAAACAGCCGTCTAGTGATCGTCCAATATCAATCAAAACAACAACACCTCGTGATCCGTTCTCTCCACGTAAAACCGTAAGTCATACGACATCTCATACTACCGCCACAACATCGACAACACCACGCAAAGCTGCTTCTCCTACTATCGCTGATCGACACCGCGAAGCTCGTCAGCGGCAACAACAAATGTTGGCACGTGCCCGTGAACAAAATGCTCTTCGTTTTGCCGACGCTGCTCTTCATGGTGAGCCGATACCGTCGACACGAGCCTTAGATGAATTCCAACTTGAAGCGTTAGAAACAAGCTTTACATCAACTGTAGTTGAAATGGCAGGTCCTGGAGGACTTATCAATCGTACCTATGATCTTGATTTAACTGATGATATAGATCAGATGATTAATGATTATTCACAACATATACCATCAAGACCAATGTCTGCAGGAACATCAAATTTTAATCAGAATGCTTCTCATCGTTCAATTTCGCCATCGCCATTACGTCGAACATCGTCTGCATCGTCAGTTCGGTCTCGACCAATGACACCAATGGGCAAAGCTATCGTTCAGGTAGAAATCTCTACATATACATTTCGATACACAAATATACTGCTGTATTATCATATGTTTAGGCGAAACACAAAGGTCCACCTCCTGCGCGTAGCAACATGGCTAGAAAGCGGCCGCTATCATCTCCTGCTAATCTAGGACATAAGCGAGGTTCACTGAACACGTCAATCAGGAGTAGTAGTAGCCAACCTCATCCAAAACTAGTGCGAACTATACGAAAAGCATCACCACCATCACATAAACCAACAACGTACAATGAACGGGTGCGTTCTCTGAATAAAACTCATAGCGAACCGCAAACAACAACGACGAAAGTGGATTCTATGGATCCAAAAGCACTTATGCGCTTGTATGGCACACGACGAGTACCTGGTCTCTATGTTCCATATGAAAAAGCTGATCCACGCATAACAAAAACATACGCCGAACGAATGCAAGAATTGCAACAGCCAATAACGACTGTTCAACCGAGAAGAACTCGACAGTCACAAAAACCACAGGAAATACAAGAACAAGAGCTCGAACCACGACCTTCGAGTGCTCCATCATCCAGGTAGAGTTCTGTCAGAATCCTTCTCTTCCCTTTGAACAATTTCTTTTTTAGTTCCATTAGTTTATCCGATTGGGAAGTTGACGATCGTGTTAAAAAGATGCTAGCAGATGACCAAGACCCATCATTGAACAAAAAACTAACTCGAACAATAACACCCTTAGAAAATCTTGATGAACTTGACGACGAAGAACTCAATATGGATGAAACAACATATAGTTTAACTCGTGTGACTGAACAGACAAACGACAATACGTATGGTGACGATCTTCGTTTACTTCAATACCGTCGATCAAGTGGTTTAAATACAAATACATACGGTGGAACCAGAGTTAGCGCACGTAGTAGCGCTGGTGGTGATATGACTGCGCGAGACGAAAGTGAAATATCCAAAGCTGAAAGTAGCATCGACAGTTATCTCGATTGGAGTAATATCGACAAAAATTATCCACTAGGGACATAATCAATTTTGAAGATATAATTTGTTCTTTTTTTCTTGTCTCTTTTATAAGCTTTCCTATTTCGTAGTATAATTAATAATAAGTAGATGGGATCTCCACTTCGGCTAAAGTACGAGTTGAGATGTGCATTAATTTATTCGGTTTATCATACGTTCACTTCGTTCGTCAGCAATGAACTGTTTTCATCCTTGCTTGTCAAAAGTCGACATAACTTAATAGAGTTTGACAGAGATCATTCTGATGTTATCCGTTTTTGTAGTCGCACCTTTGGTTGATCGAAAGACGATTCATACCAAAATGACGCAAGTGCAATTCTAAGAGCAACTTAAAAGTTTTTCATTGCTCTACAGTTTACTATTATTGTCGAAATCGTCGTTTATGAAATGTTTAAAAAGGTCATCGTCAGCACACCTGAGAAGTCAACACGTCTTACAAATTAAACAAGGCCATCCAAGACGATCATTATCAGTAAAAAAATAATTAATTACACAACGTCATTATTGAAACGATAAATTCAATGTACACAAACTGATTGCATACAATTAGAAATGAATGTTTATATTTCCAACGAAGCTATTTTAGTTTATTAAAATATCAGCTTTATTGTTTTATCAAATAAAAAGATAGAATCTATACTTAGAAGATTTGTCAGTGAGCAACCCCTCTCCTATTTGGGAAACATACAGAAGTATCAATTTGAAAAAAAGAAAATGAAAGCCATGAATCACAGAACAAACAGGAATGTACTACACATAGTGATACTATGTAGCAGATGGTTGACGTGTGCCGTTGAGATCAACAGTGAAGGCAACCGGGGTTTTAGCACGCCTTCGACGTCGAACGTTATAAAGCTCTTCAACAATAACTGTGTCACGGGGTCGCTGAGCACCAGATTGTGGTAAACTAGGTAAGCTGGGTTCTTCAAGTACAAATGTATCGTGCCGTTCTAAACTATTACTCAAAGTCGTTTGTTCTTGAATTGGTCCCATAGGAGGAAACCGGCTTCTTCCTCTGCCAACGAAATTATGTGCAACATTTCCGCTACCATTGCCACTACCACTACCACCAAATATCGGTCGATCATCACCTTCCAGTGACCGTGCTGCTGTGGTACTAGTGACAAAACTACGACGCGGAGATGGTTCTGGCGCTGTCACTGAAGATCGTCGAGTTGACCGTGCATTGTTACTAGCAAATGGATTAAAACCAGAAACTGATGATTGTTGTTCTCTTGAGGTAGTATTAGATGACGATGATCGTCGTCGAGCAGGTACCGGTAAATTATAGTTACTATCAGAAAGTGAATTCTGTGTAGAAGAATAACCGATGGTTTGAGAACCGTCCATGTGTCGATCTAAATCAATGATAATGATCAATATTTGATTCATTTTTGATCGTCTGACGACTTACGTTGATCGTTGACAGATCGTCCTCGAGAAACTGCTGAATTTCTCGATGTTGTCACATAGTGTGCTGATGTTTGCGGATGTGATGCAGCAGAGAATGTTGGATGATGCTGGCCAGTTGACGTATCGATCAATTGTCCATAATTTTGTATCGAAGACGACATGTTTACTTGATTATCAAACACAAGTCGTAGCTGAACAATTTTCATTGATGAAAGAGAGCAAAAGAATATGGTATCAAACCATGCTCACTATTACCTGCTCACCTTCTGCACATCCGTGGGCATTTGACTTTGCAGAGTTTCGATCTGCTGTGAATACCGATCACATTGTGCTCGCATATTTGCAACATCTTTATCGTTGATCAATCGTCCACTTGAGAAAATTTGACATGAGCCGTATAAAAACGAATTCCAATACCAACTTCTTTCTTACTTTGAAATTGATGCTCCAACTGAATCACAAAAGCTTGCAACACTAGCTAATTCCACTTCGGCTGTTTCCTGTTGTAAACGAAATGTTCTAAAACAGTATTCTCCTAAGTTCAATCGGTGAAGATGCGACATGTATAAAAAAAAACCTCAATTGAGATTGCATGTACACTTCCGTTTCAGTTAACAATGCTGCTTCTCGGTGCTTCAATTCTTCTATCAATGCGCCTATTGCTTGGACGATTTCTCGACGAATTTGATCGTGATTTGCTTTAACATTATGAACACGTTGTTCATACGAGGCAAGTTTTTCGCTTAGTTTCGGCAAAGATCGGCGCAGCTGACTAACAGATGAGTTAATGTTATAGATTGCATCACGTAAATGTGAATCACGACAATTTGTACAAAGAAATTTCGAACAGTCATTACATTCGATCAATGCTAAAGACAATCATCAATGACTGTACTCATGTAACAGATGAACCATTCGAATCTCACATACTTTGTTTCGGCTCTTTACAAATAAAACAACGGTCAGGAATATCGGTAAGCGTTGTTGGTGGTGGTAAATCAAGAAATCCGATCATTGTCAGATTTGATGGAAAAGCTTGAACACCACCTATTTAACGAAAAACAAAAACAATCGTGCTCGATTATCTAGAGAAGCTATTCTGTTTAAAATTAAACCTGGTGGAATCGGATGTTCACGGCGACATTCAGGACAGCGTATTGTACGCGCTCTTGGTTCGATCATATTTGTAAGACATGGAGTTAAACAAAACGTGTGCATACATGGTAAGACTTTAGGAAGACGGAATTTATCCAAACATATCGAGCACGTCGTTAAACGTTCCATTTGATTCGATCGATTTTCTCTCACCGTAGGCATTGTGGAGTATTCTTGAAAATGGTTGTTTTCGTTTTATTATTGACAAATCAACTCATTTGTTTTTCAATCAAAGAAATATGAGAATGTACAAAACCATATTTGATACTGAGCTGTATCCGTTAGCAATTACCTTCACTACGCTTCGAACAAGATGTCGCGATCGATTGGAATTTTTCAAGGATTTCTTCCAAAAACACACGTATATATATATGGATAGTGATTTCAGACGATCTGCTATATAAAATAAAGTAAACATGCGATATAATCGACAGAAACTTATAGAAAAAAAGAATAAAAGAAAAATATTTTGTTATGTAAAAACATAACAGTTGAGTTTTTTCATTCTTTTCCTTCAGAGAGGTTAGATGTTCCCTTGAAAAGTTTTCCACATGAAAATTTATTTGAAGCTTCACTTATCTAAATCATTTCCATTATGCAGAACGAGAAAAATGGGAAAAGACATGTAAAAAGTCTACTTTATCACATTGACACTCGGGTAAATAAATAGATGAACTCCAGAAACTCATGTTCCTTTGTTTCTCAAATTCTCGTCTAGCTACTCTACTACGAATAGTATTGACAATCGAGAAGGTTCTTCCCTACGGAAACATTTGTATATATAGCCACTCATCTTCGTTTCTCCTTTTATTCATTGCATACAGTCGCTCACGTAACCGTCTGAAAAGGCTCAAAGAAAGACAGACATCACCGAGACAAATAGGCATGTTATTAGTAAGTCTTGTTTCCAACATCTCTCTCTCTCTCTAGCTAATTACAATAGAATTCATATTGTCGTTTTATCGTACTGTAAGAAGATTCTGTTCAAATCGAGACTAATTAAAAAATTCCGGCCTAATGTCATCAGGTGGAATAAGTAGCGAACTTCGTGGCATTTATTCGAAACATTTGCACGACATGACAATCACATACTTTTATTTATAAATATACATAAGAACTGCCATGAGAAGTAAGTGATTCAATGTAGAGAGGGATTCTTCATCGAGACAATCAACATTAGCAAACACTCGTTCGACAGAAAGAGGCAATATTATATTGACATTTCTTGAACAAGTGCTGTTTCCTTGTATAATGATGTTGTCACATTAACAATTCTATTTCATTAACAACATTCCGAAAGATCAATGAGTTTTTATACGACTCAATCTAACTACTAACTGATGAACAGATTTTCGTTTAATCCTTCGTATCTACACGTTTTACATCATAGTTAGAGATTCCTATCGTATGAAGTTTTGTTCTGATCATCGCATGACACTAATCAGTGAGTAGATTATGTTTGCTGTTTTCGTGTATCTGGAATTAATTTTGATATTTAGCCGTTAGTTATTCTTGATCTACTCCATGTACGCACGCATGAAGATACGCGAACATGGACGAGAGTGAAGTAGAGGGAAAAGACGAAGAATGATCGTGACGAAAGAAGTATTTTCAATTACTGGAGTTATTGAATCATGATGCATTTATCAAGTATTCTCAAATGACAAGTGCGATCGGTTGAAATAACTTTACAATAATGTTAGAACTGGTTATTTGATCATTGAGAAACATTTTCTCAAATAGTATTAACAACTGCATAGTTCGTTATGTACGATAATCAATTTGTTCACATCTTATCGATGAGAAACAGTCATTTTCTCAGTACATGTTGGTAATTTTTAAATGTTGCCTTCTTGTCGAAAACCATTCATTTTCTTGATACAAAATAGCATGTATATTCTTTTATTGAATTTATGTGCGTGCATGCGTAGGTTTTGCTTTTCTACTGCTTTCCTATCTTTATGCTGAGTTTCCTGATCATACAGTGAACATAAAATGATGCTTGTTAAATCAGTGGTTCTTAAACGATTCAGTCGTACATCGTTTTCTTTTGCTTCTGCATGCATTTTTTCGCTAGTTTATCCGTCGAAGTTTTTTTTTGTTAGAATAATTTAATTTCTAACTGAGTTATCCAACGATTTGTGTCTGATAGATTACAGAATAAGAACGATGAACGGCGAGAGAGAGAGAGGAGAGGGAAGAGACAAGCATGGAATGTTCAAGATGTCGAACAAGAAGAGAAGAAGAACAAGTAGAAGTTAGAGAGTATTTTATTTATTATTTCTGTTTGTTACTAGATAGATAGTTCGATGTGAAGAGGAATGCACACTAGTGAATGAATAAATGACTGAATGAATTGATGATGATGGTAGTGATAGAAGAGACGCAGAAATCTAGCGTAGCAATAGAATGAAACAGAGAAGAAGAATAAGACGAAGAAGTTGATGGCGAAGTCGGAGAAGAAGATGACGTTGATGATGAAGACGACGAACATCAGGAAAAAAGAAAAAAAAAAGAACACATATACAAGAGAAAAACGCGACCGATTTCTGTGTTGTGCTTGCTGGTCTTTGTTGTTTGAAGGACACGGAAAAAAGAGAAATACAATGCGCATACTTCGATGACTACTGTTTTTCTCATTAAAAAGTTGCAATTTGTTTACTAACAAGCTTGCCAGGTGATAACTCGATGGCGACTATAAGTTTTTCATTACCCATTTCATGATTATACGAGTTTTTGAGAAATAGGCAATTGATTTCTTTTTCTCGCTTTTACAGGCTTCTATGACGATGACAAATACAAAAACGATCGTGTTTCCAGGCTTGTTACCACATTATCTCCATATCTTCACTCATTTTTTTTGTCGGATCGATCGGCATGTAGAATAAATATCCCCAAGGAATAGCTGTTGATGTTCTCATTGGCACAAGTATTATAGTTTTTTTTCCTCATAGCGTCTACAACAATTTAAAGCCAAGAGGCAGCAATATCTGGCAAGCATACATATATAGACGTAGATCGAGAGATTTGTCATCGTTTGTATGTGCATTCGAGTTTTTGTCTATACTTAAGCGTGCATAGTGACAAGCAACTATTCATAATTGATCCCTGAAAGTGCATGCGTGCGCACAGTCAACATCTTTTGACATAATGATGGGCTGCCGCATCGTTTCTCTTCTGCTTTTTCATCATCATCGTCATCGTATTCTTCTTCCTCCTCTTCTTCTTCTTCTTCTTCTTTTTTTACACATTCATAATCGATTAGAATGAGGTAAGTATTAGCAGCAAACGATCTCGACCATATCAAGATGAATCGACCGAGCACCATACTTGAGAATTTTGTAAACAATGTCATTGATTGTAAGATTTGCTGTTTAGGAACAATCAATCAAAATATTGACAGATCTCTTTTTCATACTCAGATTGTTGTAAGAAGATTGAGATGATAGGATAAAACATTTAAGAATCTTAGTATAGCATTCCTATCAAACAATATAACACTAGTTTCCCTGAATAGATAGGGTATGAAGAGGAAGAAGTATCGTAATGACTTTTTTTATAATTCATTTCCGACATAATATTTATTGAAAAAGAAACATCGAGGTTTTCTCCCTGAAATGGTTTCGAGAAATTAAAAAATGCTTCTATATACGTTCTTCTTCTATTTCCAGAAAGTGTTACCAAGGATCTCACTCATGCAGACATTGAAAACCGGCAGCTCTTGTTGCACTTTCTCTCACTCGTATTAACCAGACTAATTGTCTTGTAATCAACGGTGAAGTGAAGCTTACCAGTGAACACTTTCTTAGATGCATTTCTATCCTTTCGATATTACTAGAAAACTTTTTGTTTTTCTCTCTCCGTAACATGAGTACATAGTTGATTAACTTAACTTTTCAATTGTTCAATACTCATTTGAACAAAACATACTAGACAATGGGTTTGGAAATTTTTTGTAACATTTATCGAATCTATCGATGATAGTAGTGACGACGTGATGATGACACTATAAGGAGATAAAGAAAGAGAAAGAGATGGAGAGTGTAAAGAGAAAATGGAAAAAAACAAAATTTGCCCGTCGGCACTAAATCCGTTCTTATATGAATGTCAAAATCTTTTTTCTCTCCGTTCTTTTTTATTGTCGTTCATGTATCCAATCTAGATGATTGTATAAGTAAACAGTTTCTACATTCAATTATGTGATATGATTGAATTCTCCACGAATGATTTGTTGTCAATAACTTTGATCGAATGTTTATTTTTTTCCATTTTTCAGATTGAGTACTTGGTTTGATTCTTCAGAACATATCATTGTCTTATTGTGATCAAAGAACTAACAAATCATAGAACATGTGTCATTATTGTGCTTATTTAGCACATGTTAAATCATCTACTTCATCCAGTCAGAATTCTTATTCTTTAAATTATTATCAACAACGTCAAGCACGATCGTATAATTTAACTGTACCATTCTGTCTTGTTAGTTTAACATTATTTTTTGTCTTGCTCAATATTACTCTGGTTCTTTCACAATCTTCACAAATTCAGCAACAACGAGATCAATCGTCGAACAAAATTCTCGAGGGAAACTCACGAGGTATAACCATATATTTTCGTAAGAGAAGCGATTTATCTAAAGATTAACATACGCTCATATTCTTTTCAAGAACAATAGTTTGTCTGATCATCTTAGTGAAGATTACTGACTAATAAAAAAGAAATGACTGAATTCCATCATCTTCATTTTTTCCTTCGTAGATGTTTTCGGTGTGAATACAAATCTCGATGAAGATCAAACTCAAGCGAAGTATCGTCAATATTTAACGACCACGATGAAGAACAACAACAACAACACCAATGGAACTCTTCATCAACCGAAAACGAAACGTTTAACATTTGAAAAACGCCTTATTCGTGATCTACTCGATAATTATCCAACAATTTATGCACGACCAATTCGAAATGTTTCCGAAACATTAATTATTTCGTTTGGTTTAACTTTAACTCAATTATTTGATTTGGGTTCGACTGGTCAAAAGATGCAAACGAATACATGGAAAACGTTGAAATGGCAAGATATGAATCTCATGTGGGATCCAGAACGATATGGAGGCTTAAAGACGGTTTGTCTACCAGCAGATTCCATATGGACGCCGGTATGAATGAAAGTTTAGATGAAATGAACGAAACTGATGCTCTCGTTTTCCTTTAGGACGTTGTTTTAGATAATTATGCTGATGAACGATTGAAAGATTGGCGTGAAATTTCTGCTGTTATACAACATACAGGTGATATTCTCTATGTACCCGCAACAATGCAATTTAGTGTTTGTTTTCTTGATATAACGAACTTTCCTTACGATATGCATGAATGTCCATTGACATATCGTTCGTGGACATATGACTTATCAAAATTAGAGCTTGTGTTCAAAGATGATCTATTTGGCATCGACATGACGGCGTACGTTGACTCAAATGAATGGAGAGTTAAGCCACTGGAAGCGAAGAAAACTGTCACGAACGACACATTCTCATTATTAACGTTTACAATGAACATTCAACGGAAAGGCGGCCTGTATGGCTATATTTTGATATTACCGTGCTTATTATTGTCCGCAGCAACTATGGTCGTCTTTTGGATTCCACCCGAATCACCAGCAAAGATGATTTTAACTATTTCAATTTTCTCGGGATTGTTTCTTCTATTACTGCTGCTAGCTGAATCTATACCTGGTAAGTTATGCGTACTGTCGGCAAATTGCATGTTAAATAACAGTAAATAATGAGATGAAATGGAATAAATAAGGAAATTATCCGTTGAACACAAGTAATTGAACATTAAATTATGAAAATACTCTGCGGAATCGCAGCACCCCAATGAATCGATTCAGTTTGCATATCATAAATAATCACATTTGGTAACCGACGTCTCCGAAGACGTTAACGGATAGTATCCTAGTCGACATTTGAGAATCGCCTATTTCTCTTTAGGTTGATGAATTAAACTCTAAATAAATGTCTCATTTTTTTCGTTTCCGTTATCAATGAACGATTAGAAAAAGGCGATTAATGTCATCCACGATGATTTTATTACTCTGTAGAATTTAAAATTCCTATAAAGTGTGTTTTTTCCGCGTTTCTCATGTAATTAGAATGAAAGCCTGAGGGAAATATTTAGTTTAAGTACATGTCATGTGCCATTATCCATCATTATAAATATTGCAAACGGTGTCTTGAAGTGCTAGCATCTCTGAGAGCGTTCTTCATGAATTCGGAAGATTGATAAAAAAATAATCATCTCGTTTGTTTTATTTCAGGTGGTGGTGGTACACCTCAAATTGGCTATTATTATTGCATGAATATGGTTGTTGTTTCCGTAACAGCTGTTCTTGCGACTATTGTCATACATATCTACATACGAGGCGATCGCCGGCAATGTGTTCCTCCATATATACGTCGTCTATTCCTTCAAACATTAGCTCGAGCTTACTGGATGGTTCCGAAAACACCGCCAAATCCGCCTAGTACTATTACATCGCGATTCGGTTCGCCAACCCCTGGCGCTCTTCTCTTACCCGAGCAGATATTTCTAACGCCGCACTATCATGAAGAGGAGTTTTCGAAAAAACTTAAATTGTTAAAACAGCGTTTTCACGATTTTCATCGACAGCAACAGCAGAAAACACTGGCGTCATCTCCTACCAATGCTATGACGAACGAAACCATTGCCGCACTAACCGTCAATTTACGTTCGATTGAAAACGATCTAAAAGAAATTCGAGACTATCTCAGACACATGAAGAAGAAAGTTGAAGATAATGCTCAATCGAATAAAACCCATGATGATTGGAAACAAGTAGCATTAGTACTCGATCGAACATTCTTCTTTGCTTATTGTTTCTGGTTGATTCTTTCTCTAATCATCATGTTTCCAAAAACAAGTAGTATATCGAAAAATGTATGGTCATCGCCGACAACACCAGCTGTTACTAATGTTACAACTAATCTAAGCAACTACACATTACTGTAATTGTTCATACTCTTTTGCAGAAAATAATACGTATATCGGTGCTACTCTTCACTTTGTTTTCTTTCTCTACCTTTCTCTCTCTCTCTTTTCTCTTTTTATATTATTCATTCAACATAATGTCTCGTATTTTAAGTAGTAAATATTCGATTTTCATATTCAAACTTGTATGTATATGTACATTAGAAGAAAGATGTTCATCATTTGCTATGCAATAATCTTTCCATATAGGCAAATCAAAAATGTTCCTAAAGATCATCTCATGTTTTATTTATTCTGTCTGTCAATTCGAGTAGTTATTGATTGATCTTAAGAGATATATCAACAATTATGAAAATTGATGGCAAGCAATTCCAGTGCAGCTGATAAAGTGTCATTTCTCGTATTGAAGAAAGCATAGCTATCATGATTGGTTTTTTCAATGTACATATAATCATGATATTTTTGTTTGAAGAAATTAGGCGAAGGAATTTTCGTTAGAATACAGAACATTATGTGTTCCCAATTTGTTGCGTCCAGGTAAATCTGGTTTTATTTTACGGACTACCATAAACCTTGATGTTTTGTAATTACCCTACTTTATGAAATAAATCAGGAGAACTTTCTTTTGTGTTTGAGCTATGAACCTCTCGACATATTAAAAGACCCTCTCAAATTAGAAGCTCTGTTTTTCCAAAAAGTTCAAGAGATCTATTATAAGGTCCCTTTATCTATGTTACATGTTAAATATATTTCCGTTGAATGAAAGATGTGTAAAATGCTTTGTAGTATATAAATATTTAAAATCCAATAGTGCCACTCAAAACTTTGAAAACTGTTATGATTCAATGTAGCTGATAATTAGTCCGACACCGAGTCTTTCTACTCGCACTCTTCTGATTACACAACTACTTACTATGCAACACACAAATTCAATTACAATTAGTTCTAATCGAATATTCTTAATCCGTAGAAACAACACTTATTGCGATGAGTGGAATCTACTCAGTTGAAATAATATGTCACTGGTTTCATCGCTTCTCTCGTACTCTAACACTAATTCAAGTAGTGAGAGAGAAGTGTGTTGCTTTGTTGTCTTCATCGCTTTGAATTTCAGAGAAACAGACGACGAAATATCTGTTGATAAAAAGAATTAAGTTTCCAGAGTCAGTTTAACTATCCAGCATATTGCAACCAATTAATATATGAAGAATCTATTTGACGCAAAGATATATGTAACCAAGAAAAAGGGATGGCAACAAAATAGAAGAGTTTGGTAAATAGCAATGGAGTTGAACATTCGATTGTATCATGGCAGTGAAACCAAGTTATTACGATTTCGTCTTCTGTATAGTTACTTGTGAAAGAAAATTCGGTAGATGTCTCATTTTCTCGACGCTTTTAATTGAAATCGTAGCATCTTTTAAAGTTTTCTTAGGACAATAGCTGATAAAGTAGAAGCTAGCTGCAAATATTTCGTATATTGATTGATAATAAATTGCAACACGTGATATCGAATATGATCATAATTCAATGTTTTATTCGTCCGATTCTATGGTCATGAAGAAATGAACATCCTTCTTCTCAGACATTGCTGATTTTCAAAATATTCTTTTATAGGCATTCAGAATGCAGACAGCCTAATAGTATATGACAGAATGTCACTAAACGAATGTGTAACGCCTTTTCACATGTGTATCTTTACGAACCCATCGATATCATTTCGACAGATTGGGCACTTACGTAGAGAATGTCCACACGGTATACAAGTAGCTAGATGGCCACATGGCAAACATGCCAAACATTTCTCTTCCTCGAAACATAATACACAACAATTGTTAGTTGATATCATATCTTCTTCCACGTTTCCGTTGTCTACTTTGTGCTGCTGTTCACTTGCCGATAGAAAGTCTGAAGGAGATGTCGACGATTCTCTCGATTTACTTGGATCATGCTTCGCTAATCCCATGGATCCAAATGACTTGGGTGCACGATGTTGAATTTCTAGAAAACCATTCACAAACGTACACTCATATTGTTTCGATTCTCTTTCCAGTTACCGATATTTTCTTTGCTCCGAAGTTCGTACATTGCGATGTGTGGTACAATAATGTTTTCATTTTTTCCAGCAATACAGTCGATCTGTTTTTGTAGAATCATATACGCCATCATTAGATCGCATTCATCAATAAAATCGTCATCTATACAAAAATATACCGAGTCAGTCTGTGTTTCCATTTCTAGTCTTACGTTTTATTTGCAACTGGTCTTCCCAACATCGTTTGATGATAGACAACTTAAAACCTCGTTCAACTAGCCTCATAGATATAGGAAGATCCAGTCTGGCAGCCACACATCGCATTAATATACCGTTGTCGTTTGCTAATGATCGATCATCATCTAAAATCTCCTTCTTGTTAGTTGAGTCTCTCGTAACCATGCTCGAATTCGTTTGCTCTAAAAGTTACACAATCAAAATATCTTCTCTGCTATTAATCTCTTCGTTCGCAAACAAACTTTGTTCAGCTCGTAGTTTTGCATATTGAACTCTTTGATACGTCTCACTATCACACATTTGCTTCGCGTACGCACAGTGTGGAAAACAGCGAACGTGCTCGATCAACGGATCGTCGTTTGCGCTCCACTTTTCCACTGATCCGTTACAGTAAAAACATGTCACCATTGTTGTTTTACCCGTGTAGAAGAAGCCGCTCTTCACTAAATCATCTACCGATGGCAAATTGTCACCGGGCCATGTCGAAAAAGATAAATATCTCTGAGTTACTTCCATATACATTGGATTAATCGCAGTTGTAGGAACAATAACATCGAATCGATAGATCCTGTCATCAGAAGATGATGTTGCAACATTCGAAGTAAAATGATCATTGATAATGGCAATCGATGATGCAGCTGAGTTGATCGATGTCAGTCGAACATATGGACAGTTTGGCGATAACTTCCTGTGTACCTCACATGGATCATCATCATCAGTACAAGTCCATTGATGACAGATTATGTTGCAATAGATGCACATCACTCGATCACCAATATTACAATAGAAGAAACCAGCTTGAATCATTTGCGATGCGGAAGGGTACGATGACGAAGAGGATGAGGATGGCCAGTGTGAAAAAGTGCGCTTTCGTATGCGTCTAAGAGCGTCCACTTCGATTAGGAGAGGTGTGAGCGCACGAAACGATGTGTGATCAGTAGAGGTTGATCGTAGTGATGCCATAGTTGTAAGTAAAGAGGCAGTTGCATGATCGATGATTTTTTCTGAAGGTAAGATGGATAGGACAAAGGAACAGGTAGGGCTTTTGTCAGAATGAAGAGCAAATGGTGTTTTTCCTGACGTCCAATTCGAGATTTCGAGTTTACAGGCGCTACAACCCAGTCTATTTGTATCAGATATGCGGTTAAACCCAGCAGCTTCTACACAAACGATAGAGTGTGTTCCAAATTTAAGTTTTAAATCTCGGCAGCGTTGTAAGATTTCAAAGTGATCTTTTAATACCTTTCGGAGTAGCTCACATGGCACACTTTTTTTTTTGGGTATTGACACCATTTTGGGTAGGTTCTCTAGTTTTATAAAGTCTGATTAATAATGTTGTATAATATAAATCTTAGTATTCTACAACATATATATGCTTATGAGGGTGTATTAATATGATTTTAATTTTTGAGGGTGTGGTTGAGAAATGGGTGAATATGCTAATATTTGTTCTTATGACGATCTTCGTGGGAAAATATCATTCGATATAGGATTATTATGCGGACTTAGTGCCAGTGATTTAGGATCCTTGACAGTTTCTCGAGTTAATATGAACAAGACGCATTCAAATAGGGTGTTGCTTTGCTTATATGACAGCTATCTTCGTGCAGCAGAGTGAAGATTGCCTTAGTAGCGGCGCCAAGGGTGGGCTAGGGTGTTCTCAGCCCAACCTGAAATTGTTTGAGTCCACCCTGACTTTGAAAAATTACCACAGAAACCTAATATTTCTACTATAAAAATGTACGATTTCTATAATGAGCCCACCCTGAGTGAAAATTCTGGCGCCGTCGTTAGATTGCCTTCAGACATCTAACGTTAAATGGGCCGTCAGTTCGAACTCTTCGAAACAAATCGAAAAGAAAATGCCGGCGAGAATGTGGACTACCCCTGATTCTATGTTGGAAAAAGCCAAATTGTATTTATTTGCGTATAATGTCTTACGACATGAAGAAAAAGAATGAAAAAAATAGCTATTATTCAGCTATTGCTTGCTAAAGGTAAAATGGTTACATGCTGATAAATATTGAATTATCAAAATAGATTTTAAAACTGCATACTTTTGTGGAAATACACACACGGACTGCTGACGAAAGTTGGAGAGAAAAATTTCCAAATACGTAATATAAAAAATACAGTATTTGCAAAAGTCTCTTGTTATTATACAAACCGCAGTTGGTTTCATATAATTTTTCACACAAATCAAAAGCGATCCGGTTTTCTTCCGATGCGATTTACAACATTATCCTCTATTTATTCTCTTTTATAGTAGTGCTTCTTTCCATTATGTGAGAACAACCCTATGAAATTGGTGTGTACACTTTTCAGTCATGTCATCTATTCAACATATTCACCGACACCCACACCTAAGCTCACCCACATTCGCCTTGCCAGCAGACTAGTGATTAGAGAGAACATAATCTTAAGATTGATAAATTAACCTCGAATAACGATTAAAAAAACATCAGCATAGGTTCACATAGGCTGGAAAAGTCTACAACGGCTAATGTCATAAACAGAAGTTTCTGTCAGAGTCGTTAGTTTCCAGTATCACATCTTACGTTATTGCTTCGTTTGACGAAAACTAAATTTGATTCAAAGTAACGCCGTAGTCTCTCACTGATGGAATAAACATGATTTTTCTGCTCTATGTAGCTTATTTTGAATAATAAAATATCGAACCATACCATGACAATCCATTGACAACTTCAAATGTATCTCATTCTTGTCAGCTACTTTTTGCTCTTGAAATTATCAGCACATTGCTTATCAAGCTTTTTTGTCGGCTTATATGCAGCCTTCGTGGTCTGCCATCCCTCTTCGATCTGCATTCATAACTTTTTGAGTACACTATAAATCAGCCATTTCAAAATATTGATAATTACATGCACCGAACAAAACTATAACCACTCATCCCATTTTCGACGAGAAATTGCCATCGCTGAGAACCTCATCTTTGAAGTTTTAATTCATGTTCGTAGCGCTACGACTGAATTCTATACGCTCACACTATACTATTTCCATGTAGTATTATATGCATTCGATCCAAAATTACATATCTTCAGCTGCTCTGTCTATCTTGCATTTGTTAACATGTATCATTACCATCGGAAACGATAAACATAGGATAGATTCAATGTAATATCAGCAAAAACAAGTAATCTTTTTTTTCTTAACTCACACGTTAATGCCAAAAGTATACCAGCATGCAACGGATATTTAACCACAATAGCATTTAGGGAGAACGATTTATAATTAGTAATTAGGACCATCTCGGTGATCGTTAATTGTAAACTGTAGATAAATAACACACCAACCAATTTTATAACAACAAGTTCGGGCTTGTGTTAAATATGCAGTATTGAATCGATTTTTCAATGAGATCCAACGACTAATCGAATATATGTTTTTCCTTAGCTAATAGTACTGTACTTTTGAGATACGCAATAAAAAGTTCTCAAGTCAATTATATTTGATAAAATATAGTGCAACTATTCCACACTAGATATTGAACTAATAATCTGTATTGTTTGTTAGTCCTACATGTACTTTAAGAAACCGAATTGACTGTATCAGTTTAAAGACCGATTTGTATCTTATTGGTATTTTATTGGGCTTGAGTTAATATAAACATATGTTAAAACATCTAGGTCAGTTAAGCATGCTGTTTGCTGTGAAGACAATTCTTTTACACGGTTCAAAAACACACTCTTAAAAGGTAAGTCAATTAAAGGACGTAATTGTATCTAGGTAATATCTAATAGTATTTCACATTGTATTGAGAGAAAACCAACGCTAATAACATCTGACTGGAAGATGAGCACGTTTTTGTTTCCATATCTGACAACAACGTTGAGCGGAATGAAAGAGCAATAATTAGTAATGCACTTGTTTCACTACTGAGGTCGTATGGATTCCGCCTAAACAGCTGAAACAATGTTCTAAATTTTCTACACATTTGTCGATTCCTGCTTGATTAAATGTGCCGGCAAACACTCCTATTTGATGGATTTCAATATTACTCTTGGAATTATTTCCATATTGTTGCCTTCATCAGAAAAGGAGTATCGATAGCAATGCCGTTGGTTGATACTTGCTGTCTCAGTCCAAACACCGCAACTTTGACGCTCAGATAAAGATCCTGACGAATGCGTCAACCTCCCGTCGGCAGATCGGGCAGCATCGTAAGGAATGACCACATGGAACACACGCGACAAAATGCCCACAAGGAATACAAGCAAGACGTTTTTCTTCTTCCATACATACAACACATACATTCGCGAGTGGTGTATCATCTTTTTCCTTTCGTTGGCCAGCATTCGAGGCAGCCGGTTTGGGCGCTTTCTGCTCTTTCTCACTGTTTGCTTTACTTGCTGATGTTGGTAGCTCAGGTGTTGTCATTTCAACGTTGTTGTCAGATGATGGTGTAGTCATCGTTTCGGCACTGTTCTCGGCACTAGGAGTCTTTTGTTCTGCATTGGCTCTCTCACGTAGACTTGCTTCTATAAAAACGATTAAAAACAAATCATTACAATATTTTAGTTAAACTAAGAATAGGTCATACCTGTACGTGCTCTTTCGGCATCCTCTCGAATCTTTCTCATTCGAACATGTGGCACAATAATGTTTTCTTTTTTGCCATCTATAACTGTAATCTGTCTTTGAAGGATTGTGCATGCCATACGTAAATCGCAGTCGCTGACAAAATCATCAACTAGATATATCATTTAAACCGGTAAGAAAAAATTGAAGATTAGATCAATGAAATAATTACGTTTCAGACGGAGTTGATCTTCCCAACACCGTTTAATAATTGACAGTTTGAACTCTCCCAATAAACTTTGCGAAACGGGCAAGTCTAGCCGGGCAGCTACCAATCTTGAAAGAGTGCTTTCATCCGGTATGTGTAACATTCGACTATTAGGATTGGGGGTAGAACTAGAGCTAGTAGTATTTGAGTTGGCTGAACTTTGTGCGTTGTTTTTCGCTTCATTCATTCTAATGCGTTCTAAATGATAAAAATCATTGTATTTCAAAATAAAGCATTTTTTATAAAGGTACCTTGTTGTGCACGTTTCGATTCTTGGATTTTGCGATATAATTCATCGCCGCACAGTTGTCTGGCATAAGCACACTGCGGAAACCAACGCGCGTGCTCAATAGTTGGGTTGTCCTTAGGACCCCAGTTTTGTAAGGATCCGTTACAGTAAAAGCAGGTGACAACCGTATTGACACCTGTGTAGAAAAACCCTGCCCGTACAAGAGAATCGACGGACGGCATATTCTCTTCGTTCCAATTAACAAACGAATTAGCTCGTTTGGGTAATTCGATAAATGCGGAATGGCATGCAGCTGTGTGAACGAATTCGTTGCATCGATATTGATCAGAACTAGTACATGCTTCTACTTCAGCAGTCGCGGTACTAGCACCCGCCACGCTCTCATTAACAATCATTAATGGGCCAAAGTCGCGTCGAATTAATTTCGACTTAACATATACACAGTTGGGCGACAGAGTTTTATGAACTTCACAAGGATCCTCTGTGTTCGATGTCCATTCTTGACAGATTAAATTGCAATAAATGCAAATAACTCTGTCTCCGACGTTGCAATGGAAAAATCCTGCTTCAACCATTTGGGCCGCTGATACTGTATGCCTACTAGGCCAGTGTGAAAATGTTCGTTTACGTATTTGTTGTACTATATTGGCTTCGCTTAACCTAATCACAGAAATATTATTATTGTCAGCTTCCACTTTCTGTCGCTTCGATGGGCTTTCGTTACCCTCCAATAAGGTAATGGTTTTGGGAAGGCCTGTCGATATTGGCAAAGGCAAAGCTGATTGAGATGTAGTTGTTAACAATGTTGACGACTTGACTCTGCATACAAATGGGCAATTTGGTTGCATAGTTGTATGAATTTTAAGTAAGTCCATGTCACTAGTCCAATTCGATATCTCATATTTACAATCCTCACAACGAATAATTACAGGATTATCTGTGTGCTTAAAACCGGACTTCTTCATAATATTATCGGTCTGAGAGAATCGTTCGTTCAACGATTGACAGAATGACTTAATTCTTGTCAGGTTCCATTGCTGCTGTTGTTTTTTGTATGAATTATCGTTTATCGTCAAACCGCATGTTGTTTTAGGGTAGTCTCTAATATTGTTCAATGTAAAACGATCTTTGTCGTGTATCATTCTCAAAATCTATAAAACTTCAATTCAGGAATAAATAATCTATAAAATACAACATAGGAAATACACAATACAAAAGAAGATGTCTGATAATAAGAACTCTCCTACACTAGTATAGATCTTGGATGAGAACAAATGGGTGAACTACTTTTCGTACTATGCATGTCGAACACCTGGAGATGTGTCCGGTATGGAAAGTCACATTCGCTATCACACCCAAACTGGGTAAACTTAACCCTTAAAAGCCGAAACGTCCCTTCCAAGGGACATTGTATTAATGGCTATAGAACGAAGGAATTAAGTCGTACCCACGAGAGCTGCTGTTTTGTTGAATGAGAACAGCCAGAGTGATAGTATCATAAGAAAAAAATCGTGTCAAAATAGTGGTCAGACACCATAGTGTAGCTTTTAGAGTGTGTGACTTTTCAACCATAATTGGTTACTTGGATGTTTCTGTCTGATGATAAATCCAACGTGGATTTCGAGTGATATCATTAGAAATAATTCTGAACTGTAATATAAAACAACTTTGCGTTTTAAACTCTTCTACTAAGGTGTTTTCAAGGTATAAAAAAGTACCATTTTATGAGAACTTTTGGGCATAACCCTCAGGGTTAATCGCAAATTTTCGCTCTATAGATAATTAGAGATGTCTTAAAATTTCATCAGTGTGAACTTACAGTGATCCTGAACCATATAACAGGATCGCCCACGCAGGAATTTATAACGATCATACTTCACCCAGGTCATCTGGGTGGAAAAATTTTTTAGCCCCACCCAGCAGTTCCAACCACGGTTTGTGCATATTGGGGGTCTAAACTCTCTATTCATGTGATTAATTCTTTCTCCATTTCACAAAAACCCTCTTCGGCTTTTAAGGGTTAAGCGTCCCTACCTAATAAAAGCACTTATTTCACACTCACAATCATTCCGAGCATCCTAATTATTTATTTTAAATTTCCAGTTACGAACTCCCTGAAAAAATTCCTCTTATTTTTTGTTGCCGAGCTCGTAACGAACACCTATTCTAGAAGTTGGAAGAAACGAACTGATACGAGACGTGGTCGTCCGTACCGGGCAAACTTCTTTCATCTACCGTTTGTTTTACTACACTGTTTGTCGAAATAAGTTATATAGATTTACCTACTTACTTGAGCAACGGGAAAAAGTCGTTGCGTCCACAAAACTCCAAACTCAATACCTACCCTATTCGATTTGAAGTAGGTGAATGCTCCATTCTGTCTCATATGCAGAAGTGTGGCAACTAAGAAAAGCGATAAAACATACCAATTTATATCATGTACTCTGAGAAAACTCCGAGTTTAAACGGTTTCTTCCAACTTTACAACAAAAGTAGCCTAGAACCTCTAAAACATCAACGCGTATTATACTGCTATTCAATATACTTGGAAAAAACCAAGCTTTATTCATGGTGGGGTGACGAGAGGAAAGAAAGAAAAAAGGACATTCTTTTTTTCAACACGACCGATAAGAGCACAGAGTGTAGAAAGCAAAAATTGCATCGCCTTTACATTATTAACTCGTTTCTATTCCAAAGTACATAGATGCATTGGAAATAACCAGTCGTACATCCTAATAGTTTATCCTATGAAAACGATATCCCATATGCACTCGTTTTTAAGATTTATAAGATGGGTAGAATACGAATGCCGTTGGATATTTTCCGAAAAAGAAATACCTTGACAAACTGCCAGTAAGTTGTCGAGAAACAAATAGATATTCACATCTGTTGGGGGGAAACCCATAAAAAGTCAAAAGGAATATTCATACAAGATTCATTACTATATATATAGACCTTACTTTTTCCCTTCGCACATACTCATTGTAGATTCGAAAAAACACATCTGTTTTACGAAAGTACTTGCAGGTAAAACTGAAATATGCATTGTCACTATTTATATATAGATAATTTTCCCCCTTTATCACTACCCAACATCATGCTTTACGACTTTTTTTTGTGATGATGTAACTGATATAAGAGCGTCAACGGAAGAATGACTCTTTGTTTGGTCGCATTAGAAATATCATACCTATTAATCAACTCTATAGTCATATGAGAATTCATTATCTGCTGATAAATAAATATCACTACTTCCTATCAGCGTGAATTGCCTTGGAAAAAAAGTCAGAAAACGGAAGTTGAAATCAAAATCGTGTATGTGAATATTGACATTGGAAATTTCCAACAAACAAAAATACTCGAAATTAATCTATGTCTCATAAAGCGCATGACATTTACACGCAATACATGCATGAAATGCGCATGATTATTTGTTTGCCTCTTCCTTTTCTTGATGATCGTGTCATAAAGCATGAAGTGACTTATTCAATCGGAAAAATATAAATTTGTTACACATGGCCTATTCAAAAACATAAAAGTAATCATTATAGAATTTGCTGCTCGCATCACCTTTTAGATGAAATTTCTACTGTATAATTAATGTTACAGGCTTCCAACCTGTTTAATGACGCTAGTCATATTCATCCATTCGCATAACGTCAATAAACAAGCATGGAATAAAAAAAAAAACTTTCAAAAAAGCATGAATTTATCATTTGCTTGCAAAGTAGATGAATTGTTGAATAGCTTCAAGTATTTTGAAAGAATTCACAAAATTAAACATTACATTTCATCTACTTAGTGACTATAGCAATGTTATCATGCGGAGTTTCGTCATGTTTCATGACCTAGTTACGCATATTTCATGGGGAAAGAATCTTTTCTCAACGTTTAAGTAACGACAATGATTGTAAACATTTGGTATATTTTCTTATTAAATAAATCTATTGGGAAGAAAAGGATGAGAGATTTTCACCAGAAAGGTGTGCCTTCACAACTCGATAGTGTGTGGATGTTTCGAGAAATTGCTGACTCAAAAATTGTTTGATGCATTTCAAATGACGAAACATACAGCTGCAGAGTTTACTGAAGATACGATGAATAATCTCTATTTACCTGACTTTCATTGTATTCATAATATTGAAAAAAGATTCCTATGTTGACCTGTCGCTTCATGAGTCAGATAGAAATGAGTAAAAATGAGTAATCCTCTAAGTCGTTTGAATTTTCCAAGGCCTCGATAGTGTACTTGCGAAATAAGTAATTATTCGAGAAAGGACAATATAGTACAAGAACGAATATTCGTAAAATGGATTACGTTTACTCATCACAAGAAAATACCACATATATGTTCGTACGAAACATGACTTATTTTCTGATAATCGATTTCTACACAGAAAATAGCTGCTGATTACCTATGATAAATCATCGGTCGTGATATGAGTAATACCTTCCCATACACATATCACTGTAATTGTTCCCCTTATAAAGATGCAGATTATATATTTGCTTTTTCCAGCTGATCCAATACTGTAAGTACAATAATTACATCTTCATTTTCGATATAATAGAAAACTACTTCTAGTTTTAACTGTTAAGAACATAATCAGTTGTTACTCGAATATAAGGCTAAAATAGTGATTGTAAGAAAAAAATGGGCCAAAGATTGCATATTGTTTTGTAATTTCCTTTTACACTGCGTGTTTGATCATGACTTTTCTGCTCTGTATATTCCGTTGCCATAGGAACTGATGTTTGATGACATACGTCATCGGTGGGCTTTTTCCAATTTATATGTATATGTTGTAGGCAAAATCTCGATTTTGCCTACAACATATATATCCAATTAAAACATTTCAAGCGCGATGGATGATGAAGCGTATTAAAAACCACCTGACTGAGCAAATATTAGTATATCAATGTCAGAATCAGAACCGATAATTGCATCATAAATATCAATTTCATAGTTAACCCAGTTGCAAGGTATGAAACATATCTATCGACAGTCGCGCAAGGAGAAAACTGACAACCGCGCTCAATATTTTCAGAGAAAGATACGCGTAGATTGTGTATTTTGTAGTCAGTAATAGTACTAACTTTGATATTATCATTCGTTTAGAGCAGTAGTATAATGCCGTTTTCAAGCACGGCAAAGCCTTATGGCGATAGTTCGTACGGACAATTTCGGAGAAATAGCTCCGGGCAAAATCCAAAGATTGACATGGGTCATTTGAAAGAAAATATCGAACGTACTTGTCAATCGATGACAAAGACGTTAGGGAGCTTCTCACATTTTCAAATAGCTAGTGCTGGATTCGAATACACGGATCAGAATAATACGGCTGTCTGTCGCAAATGTGGGTTACAAGTATCAAATTGGACGTCAGGAAGAACACCATTTGCTCTTCATTCTGACAAAAGCCCTACCTGTTCCTTTGTCCTATCCATCTTACCTTCAGAAAAAATCATCGATCATGCAACTGCCTCTTTACTTACAACTATGGCATCACTACGATCAACCTCTACTGATCACACATCGTTTCGTGCGCTCACACCTCTCCTAATCGAAGTGGACACTCTTAGACGCATACGAAAGCGCACTTTTTCACACTGGCCATCCTCATCCTCTTCGTCATCGTACCCTTCCGCATCGCAAATGATTCAAGCTGGATTCTTCTCTTGTAATATTGGTGATCGAGTGATGTGCATCTATTGCAACATAATCTGTCATCAATGGACTTGTACTGATGATGATGATCCATGTGAGGTACACAGGAAGTTATCGCCAAACTGTCCATATGTTCGACTGACATCGATCAATTCAGCTGCATCATCGATTGCCATTATCAATGATCATTTAACTTCGAATGTTGCAACATCATCTTCTGATGACAGGATCTATCGATTCGATGTTATTGTTCCTACAACTGCGATTAATCCAATGTATATGGAAGTAACTCAGCGATATTTATCTTTTTCGACATGGTCCGGTGACAATTTGCCATCGGTAGATGATTTAGTGAAGAGCGGCTTCTTCTACACGGGTAAAACAACAAGGGTGACATGTTTTTACTGTAACGGATCAGTGGAAAAGTGGAGCGCAAACGACGATCCGTTGATCGAGCACGTTCGCTGTTTTCCACACTGTGCGTACGCGAAGCAAATGTGTGATAGTGAGACGTATCAAAGAGTTCAATATGCAAAACTACGAGCTGAACAAAGTTTGTTTGCGAACGAAGAGATTAATAGCAGAGAAGATATTTTGATTGTGTAACTTTTAGAGCAAACGAATTCGAGCATGGTTACGAGAGACTCAAGCAACAAGAAGGAGATTTTAGGTGATGATCGATCATTAGCAAACGACAACGGTATATTAATGCGATGTGTGGCTGCCAGACTAGATCTTCCTATATCTATGAGGCTAGTTGAACGAGGTTTTAAGTTGTCTATCATCAAACGATGTTGGGAAGACCAGTTGCAAATAAAACGTAAGACTAGAAAGGTTCACATATAGGGCTAGAAATGGAAACACAGATTGATTCGGTATATTTTTGAATAGGTGACGATTTTATTGATGAATGCGATCTAGTGATGGCGTATATGATTCTACAAAAACAGATCGACTGTATTGCTGGAAAAAATGAAAACATTATTGTACCACACATAACGATGGGAAAATCACAAGTTCCCGAGCACCTAGGTGAGCTGAGACTAAAGTTAATGGAAGTAAAACTTACATTGTAAGTAATATTGTAGAGTTTGGTGTCGTCGATCAGGCCATCGTACGATCGACAGCAACTGACTTATCTGGTGCTGACAATGATGAGAACGTAGAAATGATGATATCATCAAGACAATCAAGAGCAGCTACGTTCAAGATTGATTCTAGACATGGCAGAAATCCGAGAACATCGATATTTGATAGTTCAGAACCGCATCGTATAGCTTTACCGGATTGCTGCATGATAGCCTATGAAACTCTTACACCGTGCTATTATCATCGAGATAGCCAATAGTATCCGCGTCAGCAATAGCTTATACCTGCTCAGTGAGAAATTTTCTTAGATGCTTTTAGTTAGAAAATAGCAATCATTAATCAAGAATAAAATTCCGTTAACATACAGTTGTATGTAGAAGTCATTGATTTGAACAAATATATATTCAATATGCGTGTGAAATAATCTGTAAAACTAGAAATTCATTGTTTGTTTACCATTAAAGTTGATAAAAAAAACGAAATATCATCTATGGAGAGGAATCGATTTCTGCACCTGGCCTTACATATATCTACACTTTAGAAATACTAGCAACGACGTCATTGACGTATCACTTATCACCGCACTACTTCCATATGTTCACGTTCTCATAAACGATGACAAGACATACTGGAAAGGAAAACTATTCTTTTCAAAAAAAGCGAAGTTGCATCACATGATGAATAAAATATTTTTACTAGCTGTCTTTGTCTCGAGCGCATATGCATATGTAGAAGAAAGTGCTTTAACAAGCCTGCAATCTCTCGGTAGGAACAAAAAAACTCTGCGATGATGGGGTTGACTACACTCGTTCTCTTAATCTTATATAGATCATTGGAATACTTTTCGAATTGTCATATCACATACAACGGATGAATGTTTCTATCTCGAAGCCAAGTTACACGACACCATTCATGTTGTCTATCAAGTACTGAAAGGTGGTGATTCAAAGATTCGCGCGATCATAATCGATCCAGTGCATAATATCACATATTTCAACCCTAAAAATGAATTTGGATGGTATGACGAAGAGGCTGCAAAAGTTGCAGGTAAAGAATATATTTGTCGAAGAATTTCACACATGTTTCAACCAAAATGTTTACAAGGTACTTATCAAATATGCTTCAAAAATGAACAATATTTTGCTACTAAATATCTCTATATTGGTGTTCTTGCCGTGCACAAAGATCGTGTATATGAAGCGAGTGTTAACAGCGAAAAGGAGAAGAGAGCGAATGAAACAGCTGTTCTAGATGAATTTTCAACAACCATCATGGTAAATTTTCATTGAGTAATCAGGAATTTCTCCTTTTCATTCTCTTGTAGACATCATTAAACGATATCTCCGGTACTCTCTATCGTCTCACTGCTTATCAAACCGTTGCTCGTGTCCAGGATATCCATGATTTGTACTGGGTTGAAGCTAACGAAAGTTACGTACAAAGCTGGGCAATATGTCAAATTATAGCTATGATTCTTTGCTCAATCATTCAAGTCTTCAGCATTCGCCGATTGTTCAAATCAGTAACACCGAAGAAGAAATCATCCTATAATCAAAGTTTTCCTTCTACTACTTCACCACATTTCATAATAACGAGTTAATATTCTTTTGTAAAAAAACATACGAATAAACTCAAAATAGTACAATTCAAAACGTGAAACCATTTCTCTTCTTATTCAGCATATGATCAAGTGCGTTTTATCTCTAGTATTGTTGTTTTTGCAGCTACAGATCACATCAAACAAGCACGTGCTCATCGATACATAGTTTTTGTTAATCAGAATCTCGTTTGACTCGTCTCTTCTTTCTTTTATACCCTTGATCATATCATCCGTTTAGTATTAAAAGAAGAGAAAGAGAAGCTTCTCGTAGCATTTTTTGATATCATTTTCCTGTGTTCTGAAACAAACAGAATGATGAAACAGTGTTCGCCAAGGGTTTGGACTATGATACGAAAAAAGAATAAGATAATAAATGACAGCACGCATCAAAAACTAAGCACCATCATTTGTACTTATAAAAATCGTGCGAGGAGAAATGTTTCTTTCGTCTTCATATGGCACGCACACTTTAACTCCAGTATTTCGTATCCTCGATATTTGATTCTCCTTCTGAATTATTCTTTGAATATCAAAAACACAACTTGCACTTTTTTTTCTTCAACTGATTGATACACTCAACCGAAAAACGCCATCGATACTTCTTGATAAAAGCGAAAGCTTCCTAAGTAAGTCGACCGGACAAAAATAAGACATATCGCTTATCAACCGAACTGATCTACATTATTGATGAAGCACATCATTCAAAATTGAGATGAATGTTCACAGTCGATAGAGTTAGAATGTTGATTGGACAAGATTGAGTGAAAAGAAAGAAATGTCTGTTTGACTTTTGTTTAGATTTCGTTTGGATTCATAGAAGAATTTTGATCGACTAGTCAAAATTCATTCGTAATTCAGCTTGATTCATCGTTTTCGTGATGATGAATAGAGATTTGTTTGGTTTGAACCAATTCAAGCAACAACAGCATCTTCGCAGTCGTGTTTGTCGACTGATTATCTTAGTCTAATGTTGACTCAATCCATAGTGAATTTTACTCAACTTTTATATAAATTCTTCTTCAAACTGTCTTCGAAAATTTCGGCACTTATCTTCATTCCTATTCTTTTATTATATTTCTTTTCGCCAACTCATTCGGCTCCAGTATCATCAGCTCAATTTGAAATCATGTCGAATAGTTCATATCGAAATTTTATTCTTAGACAATATTTTATTGATTTGTTAAATATATCGCACACATCTCTTGTTCGTTCAATGGTTTATAATCATCGCTCAACAAATGGTAGGAAGAGAAAAAAGCTGTTTGTTTCTTCTCAAACTTCCTCGTTTTTAGAACACAATTCCCGACGTAAACGTTCCAATGATGATGTCTTATCTAGTCCTCTCTTTACATTACAATCAAGCGGTTGTACCATGATTGATAATCAAGTTCAATCAACATTTCATTGGTCTCATGCAACAGATTTATTAACTTCAATCGAACTTGTCTATCATATTGATTCGAGTGAAAGCAAACAATCAACAATTCCGTTACATCTGAAATTCAAACATTTACAAACATCGGTCGAACTCTTTACGATTGATACGTATTTACAATTCGATTCTGATCGAGATTTTTATTCGATTAATCTCATTGAATATATTCGTTCAGTGAAACAGGAGAATTTCCTTATTGAATCAAGCATCACAAGTGAAACATGTCAAACATCGCATGCATACATGATTCTATCATCGACCAATCTTCGTCTGAGACCCAATCAAACATTTAAACTCAATCCTACACTTTCCTTCGATCTTCGTCAATTAACCGATGTCCAACCAGAGTCAACGTGTAAACTTCGAACAATTCAAATCAAATTTGAAGATCTTGGTTTAGCTTATTTAATTATTCGACCCAAAGAATACACATTTACATATTGTGATGGCTCATGCTCGTCAACGTTTCATCAATCATCAATGCATGCTGTTTTACAATCGATTATCAATCGGAAAACAGGCAATGTTCCTCGTCCAATGTGTGCACCATCACAATTTGCTGACGATAATTTTCTTCTTCGACAAACCGATGGAAGTATTGCAATTTATCCGATTAAAGATGCTATTGTGAAACAATGTGCTTGCCTGTGATTCTTCTTTCCCTTCTAGTTTTTCTTTTCGTCTTCTCTTTCATTGTTACGTAGACTATTTGCGAAAAATGCTTTACGACTATTTTCCTTTTTTTGCAATTAAAAACAAAATTCAATAAGACGTCAAACGGGATTTTTTTGCTCTTCGTCGGCAGCAGCACGGAAAATTTCTTTTACGAATACACATATATTTATATGATATGTATGGATGTAAGTCTTCATGTTAGCAAAAAACAACGAGCATACGGAGTTCGACAAAATAAATATCTGCATGAGTTAAACTTCACTTGAACCTTGCACATAGTCCCAATCGACATTCAAATGATCGCGTTTGAAGAACAGTTTAAACTTATCAATACTATCAGTATCGCGTTCCAGTTGCCAGAGTAACTGACATGTACAGACGGGTTCAGGATTTGCTATTGTGGTTGTTGTCGGAAGAGAATTCAGTCCGATACCGTCGTTTGTCCATGCACTTGAAGATTCACTTTCGATATCAGCAAGTTTGGTTGTTAATGACATATCGTTGATAGAATTTGTCTGACTTCTGTTTCGTGTTGGTTTCTTAGGCCGTGACGATATCAAATCATTCGGTTGATTAGTTGCGAAAATGCAATCGGGTAAATGACTTGACGATGATTGTCGTTGTTGTAGATTACTCGATGACTTTTCACTGGTGTCTGAGTGAATGCGATCGGTCGGATGTTTTCCAGCTGCTGATGTTCTTCCTGATGATATGCGGTTACTCAGATCAGTTTCACATGTTTCTGGAATATTCTCGAATGTCTTCTTTGCCGATAGATTCGAATGCCGAGATGAATCATTCAGATTGTTTGCTGAGGAAATTAAGGAGCGACGATAATGTTGATAGGTCGAGATCGGCTGATTGGAGTCGTCTGTTGCGGTACGAGATGAACGTCGATCGTTCGACTGAGTATCATTGGCACGGGAAGGAGTCGTTGCGGCGGCGGCAGCGGCCGCTGCTGCTGCTGCGCTATCAAGTTCAGCTTTTAAACGAATTGTATTACCGAAACGAATTCGATGCAGAACTGATTTACGGAATAAAGCTGAACCATCGTTGAAATTGTAATTTGACATATCACTTTTCGATGTCGACGAGCCAAAATGACAACGAATATCTTTGTTTGTAGCAAATGCACTAAAAGTATCATAACTTTCATTTTTCGAATCATCCAGAAGAAAATAAAGTTTACCTTCGTTGATTTTTTTCAGGTTTGAAAATAATGAGGTAAAGTTTAGGAAAAAATAGAAAGATCAAAACAACGTATGCACTAGCATTGGTTGCAACGCATAATGAAAAAACTTTAACATCTGTGGCAAAATGAACGGCAGCAAATGCTAACCATATTACACATGTTGTATACATTGAAAATCCAATGAATTTCGCTTCTAAAAGAAAAAAAGAAAAAAGAAAATTTTGATCTTTTTGTAACTAGTCATTTACCATTGAAATTCTCTGGTAAATTTCTTGTTTTAATCTAGAATACAATATATGTTTTTTTATCTGAACGGGAAATTCTTTGCATTTACATACAGCATAGAGTGTACACAAGAATACTAAGAGTCCATCGAAGCCAAGTGGAGCTACAATACCCTCGAGTGATTGTCGACCTAAAGAATGTCAAACTCATCATTATTCAGAAATGTTCCCATGTACAGGAATGATCTTACAAGTTAGTAATAAGCGTCCACCTGTTGTAATCAAAACTGCTTTGGGTGGATCATGGTAAACAGTGACAGCTAAAAGCAGAAAGAGACAAGTAAACGATCGTACACAAGATCAGAATCAATTCTCATACCAACAATAATGACTTCTGTGATGAGAATAAGACAGGCTATCGCAAGTTGATGTTTTGCGCTCATAAATTTCAATCTTCGCGTGATAATTTTCTTCTTACTACGTGCTAAAATTCGTGCGATACGATTAGTTTTTGTTACTAATGAACCATATATCATTGAAAATGATATTCCAGGTAATAGACGCGTTAAAACACAGATGACAAACGATGGTTTTTGCAAAACAATGAATGCAGTCAAATGGCAAAATAGAATTCCTGTTAAGATTAAATAACTTAATTCCCGAGTCGTCGATTTGACTACTGGAGTTGCATTGAAACGTACGAAAATATAAACAACAAATATACTTAAAATAATACCAACACCGGCTATAAAACAAATTATAATCGATAACGGATGACGAAAATTAATCGTTGTAATCGGGAGAAGTCGACAAGCTGCGACAAGAATAAAGTTCATCAGACGTTTAGCTACATCGAAAGAGTAAATTGATCGAATTACCTGTTCGATTTTCGTTAGCAGCAAAGCCAATTGGACATGCAAAGCAAGTAACTTCATCAAGAACAATTTCATCGCCACATGAGTGACATTTCCAGCAACATTTCTCTTCATCAGTAAATTTCTAAACAACAAATTTCGATCATACTAACGACAAGCTATGAGAATGTTGAATTAACCTTGATATAACCCGTTGGACATGACTCGCTACAAAATCGTCGAACATCGACGTTCTCTAACGGGCGTTGATCCGAAAAAAGGCGAATAGCGGATGTATTCAGATTTAATTTTCCCGTGCTCCATGTTCCAACTTCCACATAATGTAGATGAGGTTCAAGCTCATTTGCATTGCCTTGCAGATTCAAGATATCATATCTAAACACGAATAGTTTCCACAGAAGAGATACAGACATTCATTTTACCTTCCAGGACCATCGCCATTCTCATCGAAAAAGACTTCTTCACCTAATAAAGCATGTTCTTTGAATATATCTACGAGTACAATTTTATTTCTTACCGGTTATTCCTGTAAATCGACTGCTCTTTAGAAAATGCATTAAAAGCGAGGAGTTCATTCTTGCCATATCTGCACATAAACCGGGTGAACCATGACACACTTGTTTATGCATTTTATCAAGGCCATGCACAACAGCTAGGATTGAATTGATTACAAATGCAAGTTTCGGATCTTCGTTATATGGAACTTTAGCTAGACTTTCTCGTTCAGGTGCACATGTTCGAGTATACTTTGTCGGTCGACTTGTCAGATACCTGTCATCTACGTCTAATGTACAAGCAAATTTTTGCTGCCAATATTCTCGAAACCAAACGTTTCTTGTGTTGTTGTGAACATGCAATCGACGAAAATATTGTTCAAAACCGGGTACACGCAATGAACGTGCTTTGATCTAGATCAATTGTTTTCTTTTCTTATAACTACTCTTTTCCTATTCTTACCGTAATCGCCCCGAGTGCAACATTCTCCGTATTGTTTGGTATTACATTAAGACGATCCGCCCAGGCATCACTAAAATAATACGACTTGAATCACTTTATCTATTGATCGAATCGAATAATCTAGGGAGAGATCTCGAATCTGTATGCGCTCGTAGTATTTTTCGTGAGATATTTCCTGTTCTTTCTTGTCAATAACCTGATTAGTATTCATCTTTGATCTATTCAATTTGTATGATTACCGAAAAATTGGACTTTCCATCGTTTCTATGTCTTATCTAATCGAATTACCTTCCAAGAATAATAAATCGTTGAGTATAATTTAATTCATTGACGGCTTGTAGAATAGCTCGAATCGAATGATCGAGACAAAAACATATTAGGACTTGCACACGCGGTGCGCGAGTAACGAGTTGTTTGATTAATTGAATGGCAACAGATCGATTTGCTCCAATTGGCTGAATAAGAAACAATTTCTACTATGAAAACATGATTTTGAACTTTACCATCGTCAGATCCGCACCAATACATGCATCTTTATTTAACAAACGACGAATTGCTTCGACACCACCACGACCATAATCACCTTCAGTGCCAATGGTCGCTACATAGCTCCATTGAAATTGTCGAATGATGTCAACAATGGCTTGCGCTTGTTGAGTGTCCGAAGCGATGACACGTGTGAAATATTTGAACTTCTCTTTATCGCTCAGTTGTTTGGCCGTAGATGAATAACCAATTTGAGGCATTTCGAACAATTGTAGAATGTTGTGTGTTTGCATAGTAATCGAACTATCACCTGGACCAATAATAGCTGCTAATCGTGATCGATTACCGTTCGAATTAGCTAATAGATCAGCAGCAGTCAAAACAGAGTTACCGATGAACTCAATTGTTTGTTCGAGAGCGACAGGTGCATACCAACAGGAATCACGAATTTGATAACCAACAGTTATGTTTGGCAATATCGATTGATTAGCATTTACTATGAATAGATACGATTTCCTGTCGTCGGCTCGAATTGCTTTTTCCCTCTTACTTTGATCAAGAATCCAAAAGGTACCTTCTACTCGGTGAATGCCATAATCTTCTCGAATGTCCCCGCTAAAACAATATTGAAGACAATACTGACGAGAGTAGACTATGGTTTTCTTACCATTCTCGCAGTCGACCACCGCCATGTAATGTCGGAGGATTGTGTAGGGAGAAGAAAGCGCCAATTGTAATTTGAGCTTTAGATGGTGGTGAAATAGCTTGAAAAAGAAGCAAAAGAAAAGTTAACTTTGAAATTGAGTAAAATTTCGAAAAACAATATATGCACATATAATTACTAATAATAATCAAATCAATTCATTTACTTCGACAACCTATATGTAATTTTCATTAGCATACTGCATTCAAATCAGTATCATCTCTTGAGATTCTTCATGTGCATAAGAAACTTCTTGATAAATATCAGACAAATGTCAAAACTCGAATCAACACAAGGAAATTGAATGTGTTTCCGACTCACCTGACAGACGATTAAAATAACACATAACAAACTGAGCGTGTGGAAGAAATGCCCATAGACAGATGAAGACGGTAACATGAATCAGACAACGAGTGGAACCGGATTGTAACAAACGAAAAATTTGTTCGAACATCGAAGTAATACTCGGAACAAAGCGAGAGAGTTGTTATGGTGAGACAGGAGATGACAAACGACTAGTTGAAGAATTAACGTTTCTCTGATGACATGATGTGAGGAGTTCATCAGTGTTGATAAAAGCGAAGTATTCTCGTCGATAAATATTGATAGAGCATCAGGAGCCATTGCAATGCAACATCATGTATGCGCTTTTTGATCAAAAAGAAAAACCTCGTAGCCTATGAAAACAGAAAAGAGAGAAGGAAATATTAGTAAATATGATGAGAAATTTTTTTTTATGTAATCATTTTTCAATTTGTTTTGTTTTCTTCTAATTCGTTCATAATCTCTCTCACATGTCATACTCACTATTCAATAATCGAGAAAATCAATGCAAAGATAATCAATCTCCAATCGATAGATTGATGGATGTATTGTCTTATTTTTCTTTACCGCTCCTTCTTCTGCTTCTGCTTCTTCTTCTGCTGCTATGTCTTTTTCTTTTCCTCTTTCGGTAAGAGTATTTATCTATCTATCAATCTTGATCTGAAACAGCAGATTACTACAACGATTTTCTTTCGTCGTCGTCGCTGTCGTGTGTGCTCTTCCTCTCTCCCTCTCTGTCATCATTATTGTCATACGATCACGTCCATCAGGCGATGCACATGAGAGTCATGTTCAAATTTTTATGATCTTTCTGCTTGCTTGCACAAACACAAAAGCATTTCAATTATGCTAAAATAAAATATCGGTCGAATTTCAGCCGATGATCATTTTTCAGGAACATTAATCATTCGATCGTCTATTGAAATCTGTATTTGCCAGGGAAATTAAAAGTACAACCGCGCCTCCCAAGCACATTTCAATATATTTTGTGATCAGTAATAACTTGATCCACTTGCTGTTTTAGCTGTCTTCTGTTTGGTTAATTTACAAGATATGGAGTCAAACAAATGTGTCTAATCGACATTTAGAAGTCATGCTTGATCACTCAATCACGATAGTTTAGGAGAGAAAAAAACACAGAGAGAAATTTGTTATGCTCTTTGTATTTCTCTTTTCTCAAGGATAAAGGGAACATTTCTATAACCCAATCCCTTCTCTTTTTTTCGTCAATATCGTTACTTGTTGTCGAACTCCTCGAAGACAAAAATGTCACCAATTTTCAGTAACGTCGCGTCAAAACACGAGTGCTCATCCGTTTCTTCTCAGCGCATCGTTCAACTCTTAATTCTATATCCGGTCGATGTTTGCAAGGCGAAAGAAATTTCTTTTCGAATGATTACACGAACATCATTTACTTCTCGAGTATCGACTTGTCGTATGCTACCCATTATTAGAGGCAATATTTTCAATCAGAAAAATCATACGAAATTATCGGTTTGTTTTCTTCTTCATCAGAGAAGAAAAATGCGTTCTCGACAATCGAAAATAATCATAATATTGAGTAAGGATTTCTTCATTACCCAGTTCATTCTGTTTATAATCTCCTTGATAGTATCCTGATTATCTGACATACATACATAGGGGAGAAAAAATACAGAATAACGGATGTATGAACGAGTAGACCGTTGGCAATGTTGATCGAACTGAGGGGAGATTTTGCATTTTTGATTGTCTCTTTCACACAATCATCAATAATCCTCCAAATCTCGAATGAATCTCTTTACACCCTGGAAGTATGCTTTTACTTACAAGGTTGATTTAGCAATTTATACCAAATCCGTGTGATCTTTCACATTCGTGACCTCTTTTGCCTGTATAAACACATTGGTAACTGATGCTTCTTGTAAACAGCAGTTGGTATTGCAAATCATCGCTGGATTAGTTTATAAATTGTCGTGATTTTGATGAAAAGAATTCATTCAAATAAACTCGGTGTTTTTGTATTTCTTTCATATTGAAAACTAAAGATGAAATACTTGTTTGTTTTACAAAGTTGTATAAACACATGACGAAAGGAACGAGAAAACTGTGAGTCAGTTCGGTATATTCTTCCTTGTACAATAAAAAAAAACATTTCAAAGCGATTTTCTCTACACACGGTTTCGCCACGCTCGCATTGATTATGTCAGAATTCGGTTGTATTGATCGATAAACGAGAAGGACGGAATGAACAACATTCAAAAGATTTATACTACCGCATAGAAAAAAAAACAATTCGAGAATAGAATATCAAAACAATCAAACAAACGCCAAGCATACAAATTCATTCTATCTGACCATAGAACAAAAGGAGAAGTGATCGCGCATTGAAAACAGAGTGTTCTCAGTTTTGATTCTGGAGACTTTTCTCTTTGATTTCTTTTAATAGTTGAGCATCTTCAAGTAATCGATCGAGATTCTGCTCACATTCGTTCACAGATTTGACATAATAATCACGATCAGCTAAAATCAAGTATAAATTCGCTTGAACGGCAAACACATTTTCCAGTTTGGGATAGAAATCAAATGAGCATGAATAACATTTATGTCGAACTTGATCCATAATGCGAATATCAACAATGGAATCATTGGGATGAATCACACGAAAGTTATCATCAAATAAAATATGATGTGTTGCGGGATTTCGATCGTCCGGATCAAACCAGATCGGCTTGGACGTAGTATAATGATAGTTCGTACGACACCATGCGCCAAAATCATCTTTGATTGCATGGATGCCGTGTGCATTTGCCAGTTTTTCTTCAATCAAGAATTCGTCTTCGAGCACTTGCATCTCATCGTCTTCTTCGAATTTCATTCGAAGAGATATGATGGTATCCGGTGTTCGACTGATAAGCCCAGGCTCGTGGTTAACGTCCAAGCTTTTATGGAATTGAAATGCGGGATGTTCATTAGAAAGAATACGTTGAGCATTGAGAAGAAAATTCTTCGAGTCATCCCCCATTGTTCGCAAGTATATCACAAAATCACGATCTGTATCTTGTAAATATTGAATTAAACGAAAGAAAGACGGTAAAACATAATGATACAGCGTACCATTACGTGAACGATAACCGTTGACAGGTACTAAATTTTTATGAAGAACTGATGGGCGTCGTGGACGTTCATTCTCATGTGAAACGGTATGGGATTGATTGGAAGGTTGTTCTCCCGCTTGATCCTGTTGACTTTCGGATGCTAATATTTCATCTTCGCGTTTTCGTTCCGGATGTGTCAATTCATAATATCGAAGTGATTCGATCAATTCATCGTAAAATCGACGAAAACGTGAGCCTTCGTTTTGTACGAAACTTCCCGTTTTTGCACGCAATTGTTTTCGATCAATAGCTTCTTTAACGATTTGATTTTCGAGATATTTAAAGTATGTTATACAATGAGGACAGTGCGCAGGCTTTTCGAGCGATGGAGATGTTGAAATCCATTCCCATTCTCCATTGTCTTTTTCATAGCCCCAAAGAACACCTGTCAAGAAGTTGTTTACACCTAAACAACAAAAAAGTGCACGTATATTTTGTTGTTCTCTGACTCATTTGTATTGTGACACGTCAAAACGGTCTTGAAAAAGAACAACACTCAAACAAACCTTGTTCAATCGTTGTCGCTGATACATTGTTAGCAACCTGAAAGTTTCAAACGTCAATCACGACAACGTTTCTTTTGAAACAGACTCACCTCCAATGTATTCCGGTTATCGAAATGTAAAATTAATTTTCGTCGTCTGGATGCTGCATTATGATTTGCAACTTTTGTGTACTCATCACCATTCGATAGCTTTTCAGTTGTTATCGATAAATCATGTTTGTCTAGTTTCAACGACTCCATCGGTAAATTGTCTACGTCCATATGTACTTTTTAGGAGAATTTCATAAACATCAATCTAAGAAAAAGAATAATGAAGAAATCGATTATATTTGAAAGCAACGCAGGCGACAAAACCTTATACCAAATCGAACGCGTCATGATGACGGATAGTGAGAAAGAAAAAGTATGAAAGAAAGAAAGAAAGAAAGAAGAAAAGCGAAGCAAAAAAGTGAGAGTACACAAGAAAATATTTTTCTACATCTGCGAAAAATAGAATTTTGATGTTGAGAGTAACCGCCTTACATTTAAATTCCACTACGTTTAATTCATAGGCATTCAAGCGACATCACAATATTTGCTGTTCTCTATTCGCTCAGATTGTTTTTCACTTACATGCAGCTCAAGAACGCTCTCCATTATTACTATTTTTTCCTCCTGCACCCTTTCTCTCTTCTTTTTTTTTTCCTTTCGCCTATTTCTTGTCATGAATGTCGATCGAAGAAACTGCAAAATGATGTGTATGAATATATTTTTGAGCTCAAATACGCCATGCATGTATGTGTATCAAAGAATGAAAGAACGTGAAGAAGAAAAAAAGAAGAACTAAATGAGAAAGAAAAATAAATGTGAAAAAACGATGAAATAAACAGTGGAATGTCGTTTCTATGATTAGTGCTCGTGAACATACGAAAGATTGATGACGCTGCAGGGAAGTTATTTTCGAATGTGAAACTGAACAGATGAATATCATAATGAATTGACAGATCGTAGACTAAAGATAAGAATCAGTGCTTTTATTCAAACATCGATATTGATCCATTCAAATGTGTTCTTTAACAAATACAACTATTGACATGGAATTTATACGTTACAGGTCGTAAAATGAAGGACTGTTTTCTTCTGTTCTTGCGCCATATTCTCAGAATAAAAGTCGAATTTCACCAAACTTGTTTTTATTTCGTCAGAACAAAACAAATAAGTGTATCTATAGTAAATCTCATCGAGACGATTTGAAGTGAACTGTCGTTTTGGTTTCTTGAATAAATATTGATACCTCGGAATTACACAAGAACAAGTTCACAACGATAAAGGCGGTACCGACTACGATTAAGTAGTGCCATGATGATTGAGTGTATCAAATAGTTGAAAAGTCTTGAATACTGAGACAATTATCCGAATAAAGTTTGCGGACACATGCTGATCATATGGTGATTTCTCACTCCAGAAAACTGCTCTGTTATGCGAATGAGTGCCTTTGGAGCTAACAAGTTTTCATTAGTTTAATGGCACCATTACATGAACGAATCCGTGCTGCTATAGCGACAAGAGTCCGCATATAGCTAACATATGAAATTCACTCTAAAATTGTAGACATTTGAAGATTGTAGTCTCTAGTTCATAAAAAAAGAGTGCTGTGAGAGTATTTAGATGTATCCCATAGCTGACTATGTACACATATATTTATAGAGTATGCAGATTTGTTTGTTCCTATGAGTGTTCAATAAAAATGAAGAAGTAATTAATGATAAAAATACCTAAGATAAGCGTTACATCTTTCCACTAGTTACTTTTTCACCTTACAGAATAACGAACAGTTTGCGAATAACGTCATACCCAGTATCTGTGTTTTACTATTGTATTTCTCATCATGTAACGTCAGATTCCTCTGTACGTATATAAAGTGATTGTTAACACACGTGTTGCTCAATTCAAACGAAGCTGTCATAGTGCTAGTCACAGCGAGTTGAAAGTATTAACAACAGCATTGACGAAAGGCACTATCTTCTGGAATTAAACACAAGTGTACATTGACACTCATTCTTGAAGTAGTTCCGTATGTGATCATCAGTGCCCATACATGATTTTGAAGAAAGTCAGGTAAAAAGCATATTATGTCGCTATATTCAAAATAGATTAAACTTTTGTTTTTAAGACTTTTCAATACAAAATACGCTTGATTAAAACCACCATCGAATTTCTTGAGATTTCTCCGCACTTGCTCCTTGTATATCGCCCGAAACTGATTTACAAATTCATTGACTTTCTCATGCGTTCTTTCCTCGCTGTTTTGCAAAGCTTGTCTCAATACTGTTTCACTCCAACGACGAAAAGAACCTGTATGTGCTTGAACAAATTCCTCAAGTGTCATCCTTCCCTCTCTAAACTTTTGATCGAATTCGGCATCAACACAATGAAAATCCGATGAAATCAATTGAAATGAATGTCACTTGCAAACTTCTTCATCAGCACATCCTTGGTACGAACGAAAATGACGGGGCAGTGTATAGTCAAGTAGTTACGGTGGTGATTTCTCATTCTATGAATCGGTCATCCCCAATATTGAATATGGCTTTCTGTCTGAAGTTTTACTTGAACCACTCATATTGTGTTTTGCATATAAAGAAGATATTACTCAACAGGAATGTTCGAACAGATTTATTTCTTGGCGTACCGTTTGTGGAACTCGAAAGATATGTTGCCGAGACAAAGAAAAATAAACAAGATAGGCAGCGTCATTATTTCATTTTCTTGCCCTTAACAATAAGTGATGTAAAGTGCAGCTTACACAGGTTCCAACACACGACAAAACATTTTATAGTCAAATAAATATTATCGTGATTATTAATGATTGCAATTTAGTCATACTTAGCGCCAAAATATTTTTCAGCTTCGTCGACACATATGCGCTATCAGAACATCTTTCTATCTTTAATGCAAACACAAGATTGTTTGTTTGCTATGGCCATAGCATGTTCCTCAATAAAAAAGTCATGACTATGGGCTGAAATAGGCTAGAATTGTTAATAAATTGAGGAAAATTAACTAAAGACTCTGTGGTTCCCTGAGGTACAGTGCATAACATCCAACTGAATATAGTCGTCGTCTTTTATTCTGAAAGTCGGACGTTGAATGATTATAGTGTCCTATGTTACAATAAACTCATATTGAACAGATTCAGTTCAGAAAGAAGTATTATTCGTTTAGTTTTCAATTTTTATTCATAAGCTAAAATAGAAGAGCATTGTTAAGAACATAAAAGTCTTTGCAAAAGATTATTGTTGTTTCATGTTTGGATCTTTAACAATATCCATTTTATAATCTGGCCGAATTGCTCGAGCAAAACTATCAGCATACAAATCTAAACGCTGTGTCATTCGAAAACCCCATTTATCTTTCATTTGTCGGCATAAGTTCAAATCGCATTCGCCAACTAAAAGACCATCACGGATTCGAGATAATCCCTAACGAGAAAATAAGTCCTCAGATTTCCTTTCGGCTCATAGTATCGTCACTTACAGGTGTTCGACTACCATCAGGTGCCGCTATGTAACTGCTTCCTACAAGAAACAAAGCAATAGAAATCTATCATTAAATCTTCGTTTTTACCGTAAAAATGTCCAAAACTTTTGTGCGCTGGTTTGCCGTCACCACTAGTAAATTCATTAGGAAACGTCTCAGTACCAACTCGATTGATGCCAACTGCAAAATAGCTGTTTGCAATAGCTGCATTGCGTGCTTCAATACTCCATAATGGTTCACTAAACGTTTTTAACAGATAACTTGAAACTGACAACAATCGATGGGCGAATACCTTAGTGCTCCAACAGTTGCACTTGGATTGAACACAACTACAAATACGAAGGAATAAACCAAAATGATTTCAGTATATCTCAAAGTAGATCTCACTTTCTGCGCCGTTGACACCATACATAAGCCAGTTTTGCGGATGATGACGTCCGTAACAAATATTGACGGCAATACGACCTCAAAGACAAAACTTCGGCGTATTTCAATCAATTGAAAGTATCAAAGCAATATACCGAAATCAGTCTCAAATACTTTATGACCCGTATTTCCCTCCATATAATAAGTAGACTACAACACAAAAAGGAATGACGAATCTGATTTGATTCAATCATAATTACTTCATTGAAATCACCAACTAAAAAGAAGAGATAGAAATGTTCAATACATTGAAGTCCATCGAATTTTACCTCGTGGAATATGATTTTTTCTCGTAATACCAATAACATTACCATGATTTGAAATAATCACTGCGGTATTCCAAATCACATCACCGTGTTGTTCGTCACGTTCTAAGATCGGACTAACAATGACCATATTATACTTCTTTGCTCTCTAAACACATTCGAAAACAGTACAACTAGATCATTTTTCTCTACAATAGACATCTTACTTCGGCAAGAAACTTTGTCGTTGGTCCATCATACGCTGACTCGGCAAATTCAACCCATGGATATTTTTCCCGTGTACAAAAGGCAAATGGCATAGCTAAAAACGAATCAATTCATCCTTTATATAAAAAAAAGTTCGCTCTCATCGTCTTCAAAACATACTCCACGCTTCTTGCATGCAAATCACATTCACTTGACATTCGTGAGCAACAGCAAGCATTCGATCGATACGTTGATGAATCGCATCTCTCTATTGCGATTACGAATCAAGTTTTTCGCACTGAGGGTGTGTCGACGAACTCAAACCTACCTGTTCTTGAACAGGAGTAGTTGTTGGTTTTGGAATTGCATTTTGGATGGCACCGATTCGAACCAATCGTTCTGGTCGTGTTTGCTCCTTCTGTGCTATTTTGATTTGATAACCTTGAAGATCAAAATTATTTTGTTTGGCTGTTTCTTTTGCACTAGCTGGTAATTCTAAATCTCTGAAGAAAAAAAAGCCGAAAATCAAGGCATCAATCAATGTGATTAGTGATCTTTTACACTGCACCAGGTCCACGAAGCGATAGACTGACTTTCTTCAAAGCATCTTCCGGTAGATATTCGGCAAGAACGGCTTCTAAACTTTCGAATTTGTCATCAAGACAAGCTGCCATTTTATCTGAAAAAAAAAGGAATGAAAAGAAACTCAACCATTCACTTTCGATTTCTCCGATGTTGGATTAATAAGTCAACAAGATTCAAATTAAAATAAACATTCGGTTGAAATATATTTTCCTTCGAACACACGCCCATCTATATGCGTAGCAGAAAGAAAAACACGCATGTTATATATGATCACCTTCACACGCGAACATGATATAGTTTGTAAATATGATAAATACTACTTTATTCCGTGCTTTTCGTATAGAACGTTTCAATTAATAGATAAGCTTTAACGAGCCGTTTGATGATAACAGCAAATAACAATCGCGTTTTTTCTCTAATGTCAGATGATTTGTGATTCAATCGAGTGCAATTTTTGCGTTTGGATACGTTCTATCTTTGATATGATAAAAAAATACTTGAAAAATTAAGAAAAGATGGCAAAATGATATTTGTTTAGCGTGTTTATTTTTATCGTTTATCTAGATGAAAGAAATGTGAATGGAAACAGCTGTCTGTGATCGATTCGATCGAGAAAACAAAATGGCGAACACAACATTTTCACAGAATGCTGGGCTATTTTTTTTTTCAATGAAAAACGAAAACATGTAGAAAATACTTAAAAAAGATCTCTTGACTGTCATTTTCAATGATAAACATATCTCCTAATCAAGCATTTCGAATAATTTGCCCTTTTTCCAGCCAACTAATGTTCGTTCTTGAGCCAAGCCACTCACAATAGTCGCTGGAAATTGTAAGCATGTATAATCATTACCGGTATCATCAGCTTTAAGTTCAAGTTTAACATAGAGTGACAGTGATGGATATGATGATAAGACTGGTAAAGTCATAACAGCGGTGTTAACGTCATTGGCATTGACTGGACATTTGACTTGCATTTTACAAGCGTCTGGATCGGGAAGTGGAAATGGAACTGGAATACCACCTATGACACCTGAACGAGAAAGGAAACAAGTCAGATAAGAATTTTGTTGAAAGATAAATAAATAAGCTGCTTACCATGAATGCTAACTGAAAGCGATTTCGATGCAGATTTGGCTTGAAATGCCAAATTCATTGTGTAATTGTTACCTTTGGCAAATTTGCATGGAGCTGTTGTGCAGCCAGTTACTTCGAATGATTGAATTGTACCTGCAGTTGAACCACAGTCTTTGTATGGTGTCGCTGCCCGCAGAAAATCAATGGAGCAAAATAGAACGGTAAGAAGAAATAATCGTAACATGATTCTATTGTCTAAAATGGAAATATAATACAGAAAGTCATGTTTATAAGCAGTTTATATTTTGAATGATAATAATGGCGTGATGGTCGAAACATAAATTTATACACAGGTGCGACTCAACCGTTCTCTCGTTTATCTTATTATCTCATCACATTATTTCGTACTTTCTTGTTGTTTGAAATTTATTTCACACACGATTTTGTATATTCCGATGATATACACAAAAAAAACGAAAGAAAAGTAGATCAATAAATACATAAATACACACATATAATATATGATTTGAATAGGAAATAGACTGTGTTGTATAAACAAGAGGCAAGAGAGACCTGGTGAGTGTTAAAGGAAATCGAAAAAACGTTTTCACAATAAAAAAAAGAAGAAAAACGGTATGAAAATTGAGTCAGTTGGGTGTTTAGTAGTTTTGCGCATTTCGCAATGTTAGTTATTTTAGCTAGAATATATAAGTTTCGGACTGTAACTTAGTATCACAATTGCCCCTGCTCACACAAACTGCATTAATGTTATACTTTCACACTCTTGTTTTTGTTCCTTCAAGAAAAAAAACCACAAGAAAACAAGCAAGCGCAGTACATCTGACAACCGATGATGAGTAATAAGAAACAAATCATGAACGAATCGATTCGCGTGACAAAGTAGAAAACTCGGTTTAATGAGAGACATAAAGAGCAAGTATTGGATTCGGGTGAAATCATCTAGCATATGCACACTACTATGTTTCATAGAAGAGAAAACAAACGAGGAAAAATCAAAGAATCAGATCAATAGAATATAAGCAAAACAAAAACAGTTGAGCATCAGATAAGAACATAACGAGAAAATGAGTCAGTAGGAAAATATAAAAAAAGAAAAAGAAAGGAAACGAAGAAATCGATCGACGTAAGAGAGAAGAAAAATGCAAAACACACGAAATGTACAAGATAATGATCAATTAGTTTGCTTTTTATTTTGCTATGTGCAATCTGCCGCATAGAATTCACTGTTCAAAGAAAAACAAAATAAAGAAAACCACCGGGCCATATAGACAACCAAATGAAGCACAGATCTTTCTATTTAAACTGCTGTCACTTGTTCATGTTCGTCGAAGTCGACAGTTGATTCTTCTAAACGAATAAAAGAAATGAAAACAAAAATTCTTCAAGACAGAACGAATTGGTGAGGTAAATAAACCAGAGGATAAAATAGTATAGGGGAAAATCAACCAACCGATCTTGCAAATACACTTGTGCTCTTTTTATTTTAGGGAAAAACGCAATGCTTACACAATATCTTTTCGAGAAAAATTTCCTTGAAATCAATGAAGTATATTTTTTTCAAAGTTGGTTTCTTGATTATTTACCTTGATTCGATACATCATTGGTAACCACTTCATTATGGGATTGAGAACGTTGTAACCACTGTCGTTTGGAGTTGGGCGTATGTATTACGTCATTTTGAGATCCTAAGGAAATAATACATCAGAAATGAATATATCGGTACGATGAATATCAGATTGTTAGCTACCAGATGTGACAGAAGTTGACTGGGGTAAAGGTGGCCGAGTTCGAATACGAACTGAAGAAAATCCATCACTAATTGTACTTGATGACTTTTCACTACCATCACCGACACCTATAACACAATTGGTTTTTATTAGAGGACTATGTGAAGTGTTATCATAGCATACAAGTGTCTGTCGAATTAAGGCTTCCACGTCCTGAATCTCCGCCTTCTTTTCCCAATTCATGACTGATTTGATTGGCTATTCAAAATAGATGATCTTAATTATCAAGTCATGTTCTATTTCGGTACTTACGAGTTTGAGTTCGAATGAGATGCAAATATGACGATGATGACGATGTCGGTTGTTTAAAATTCAAACTTGAACTTTCACTTGTTAGTTTATTAGTATCACGCATCTTCGTCAGATGATGATGTTGATGGTGATGATGTCGGTTATGACTTGGAAGGGAAAATTCGCTGAGAGAAGAAAGTCCGGTTGCGGTTGATATGGTTGAGTTGCTTAGAGACGGTGACCCAGGGTTAGTTAGTGATGTTGCGCTTGAAGGACTAGATGAAACTGATACATGATTCGTTCGTCGTTGAGCTCCAGATTTGATTTGATGACTACTGTCGGACAGACGGAGTAGTTTATTAACTGCATCGGGTGATTGTGTGCCTAAATGGCCAAAGAGAATAAAGTATAGTGTTTATAGTTCGAGAAAACGGGAAGACAATATGAACAAAACAAAAAACGTGCAGACAAAGAAATAATAGGATAACAACATGAAAATGTCCATCATTCTATTTTTACCTGAGTAACTTCCTAAACAGAGGACGAGAAATCTTCTTTTGTGAAAAAATCTTCTAAAACTCGATGCGACATTTGCCCTAGAGAAGTGACATACCGAATTTAGTTAAGTGTATTGTGCCACCAGTACTATTGTTGTTGTTACCATTACCAACGCCAGGACGGCGATCACATGATGAATTAGATGATAAACTGGAGGTAGATGGTGATGGACGACGTTTAAGTGTGCTTACTAAACGAAACAAAGAAAACAATCGATTACTTTCTCGTTCTAACAAACACGAATATGAGATCAATCGAGAGCAAGCGGTCAACTAATAGATGCATTGTGTGAACAGAAAAAAAAGTGGTTAGAGAGGCTGTTTTCCTTTTGCTTTTGCATTGACTGAAGTACCATTGAGAAGAACGGTTCTTAAAGCCCCGAGGGGCGTTGTCGTCGAAGCTTGTCGTGTTCGAAAAGAGGGAGGCGTTCGAGTTTCATCATCTTCTGTAATGACGCTCATTTTTTCGTCATCAAAACCAGTCGGATGTCCTTCCGTCCCTGTTGGACTATTCGGCGCGGTCAAAATGACAAAATCGTGTTCCTCACAGAACAATGTGAGACCAGTCAAGAGTGCGGACGGAGGTGCCGAAGAATTCGCTCCTCCAACTAAAGGAAATAAACGTGCGAATACTTTCAATAGATAACAAAACAAGCATGTATAATTATGTATCATAGAAGACATGCGTATAGATTCTAGTCTTATAATGAGAACATGCTTGGAAACTTTGGGTCAAACTCTCACCAAGCTCAGTGATTTTTTGGTTTGTTTGCTCAAGAAAATGAAAAACTACAAGAAAAATCTCATTTGAATGTGTTGCATTGATGCGTCTTCGTTCAGCTGAAATAGACTCCGTTCGTACCTGGTTCACATTGGTTGACTATATCAAGTAGGCGATTTTCATCCTCGATGATTTCAGCATTATTTAAATAAGTTTTCACTTTTTTAACCATTAATGCCTAGAGAACACCAAAGTCAAGAGTGTTTTTTGTTATGAAAATATCCATGGAGAATATCTTACTTCATCGTAAACTCGTTTAGCATTGGCCATAACAGATAATCGAGTAGCTGGTTGATGTCGACGGATCGTACTTGTTGAATCAATCGATGACTGATGTACGAAACCAGCAACAATGTGCGTATGAGATGTAAGTGAATCGAACATATTCGACATATCCTATAGAACACATGAATGTCTTACATTTTTGAAGAAATCTTTCTGATTTACATAAGGAGAAGAAGCCATGCTCGTTATATGACGAATTTCTTTTGCAATCATACGAAGTTTTTCGAAATTGATCTAAAGTTAAAAAAGAAATATAAAAGACAACATGTATTTTACATTCAATTTGTAGTTCAATTACAAGGCCATCCTCTTGTGTTGAGTTTCCCAAATGAATGAACGTTAAGTCTTTCATACACACTGGAATCATGGGAATCTAGAATGAAACAATCACTGTTCAATTAATCGGATCGACCGATTTTCTTTTCGCTACTTACAATAGGCGGAGTAACCAATTCGTTCTTCAGAAGATTTCGATATACCGACATATTTCGAGATAAATCAAGCAAAGATTTCAATTCCTTGAATAATATCCAAATACATATTTATGAATTTGCACATGTAAATAGGATATTCTCATCCTAACTCACTTCAAATAGTTTCTTGTATTTGTCCGGTACACGTTCCCATGTTGCCTGCAAGCGTTGAACTGCTTTATGATCCAATCCACTGACAATAGCAAACATTGAATTAAAATTCTTCATATCTTTACAACATTCTAAAACACAAAAAAGGATTTCATGTCTTTCGAATGATTTGTATCGTTAATACTTACTAGCAATTTTGATAAAATGCTTAATAACTTTCGATCGTTGTATCGCATTACTCTCGCGTATGATATCCGTTATGGTCCAATACATTTCTTTATTTGGCAATTTCAGGAATTTTTCTAAATGCGGAATGCCATAGGCAGATTTTAATTTAAATATATGATCAATATATTCAGTCGTTTGTATAGCTTTGAACATAGAGAAATCTCGTAGAGTTAATTGTGCACAAATTTCTAATGCATCCAATTGAAGGAAGTTTATACGTGCTTCACGCATTAGTTCATTCGATAGATGATCGGGTACGAGTGTTTCAGTCGAATGATTGTTTTTCAAATAATAACGAGCATTTACTGGAAGACGTTCAGGTAAGTTATCGGTATGGTCGGGAAGACGTTTTTGTTTGATAACACCATTTTCACTAGATACTTCACATAAGGAATAACACCTAAATGATACAAAAAAAAACAGATTCGTATCAATGAAGCACTTAGTAACAGATATGTAGTGTGTTAGCAGAATTATCATAACATGTTTGCGTGTTGATATAAGATGAAAGTTTAGTCTTTGAATAGGCTTAGACAAATGACATTAATTTTTGTCGTTTTCGTGTGTTAGAGATTAAAAATGATATATTACAACGAAGACAAAGCATTGACTTACACATCGTCGTAGAAGACGGTCTCCCTGAACAAGGAGAAAAACAAAAAATACGAGCTTAAGCTGTGTAACCCTTAGTTATCTCCGCAGCGTGCACTTTTCAAAAAATATTTATTCGATTAGTTCCAAAACACCCAGAAGAGAGCAATAGCACGAAAGCCTGTCCCATGTTGTAAGAATAACTTCTTACCGCAACAGATCAAACTCTACACGAGAAGATGTCTGACTACAAAAGATGATCATATTTGCCATTTAGCACTAATCTCGTTGAGAAAGATCATCATTGGGTACGTTTTTACCTGCTTTGCTCGCCCAGACCAAACTCCGTAATTGCCAACATAACAAGTTGTTTTGCTGTTGTATCCTACGAAGAACGTATGTTTTCGATGAAAGTAGTGAATGTAACGATGGTGATTTACCTTATGTACAGGAAAATATTTGAATGATTGATCACTTCGATAGACTTTAACGACAAATGTCGAATGATCTTCTTCATTTCCAGGTACACTCGATGATGATGAGATGGATTTATTTGAGACTCCGGCTGGCGAGAGATCTGGATTACTTGAACTTCGATTAATACTTTTATTACTGAAATTGGTCGATGAGGGTGCGAGAAAACTTGATTCACCATCGTTATCGAAACCAGCTGTGTCGAGTTCACTAAAGAAAAAAACAAAGATTTGTCGAATGGTCTGATTGATTCCTCGGCAAGTTTTAACGAAAAGGTCGTTATTTATCAATCGAAAATCCTTTTTGCCATTTATTTTTGACATGCTCGTGTATCATGAAGTAAGTATCGAATTCACATTCATTGAATCAAAATGATGACACAAGTAAGAAGCACTAATCAGATAGTTTTCAAGGGAAAGAAGAGATTGATAAACATTGATAGAGAAAGAGAGATGGTAGTCATGAAGGATAGTAAGAAGCATGTATATATAGTGCAGAGGCCTGATTCGTAGGTGACAGCCACAAACATTGAAAAGATATCGAGTTACGCTTACCTTGTGGATCTGAAATGAAGAAAAAGAGTTTATTTTCGAAAATGACATATTCATTCAATGATTCTCTCCTAGGTGGACGTTGAACAACAATCAATGAGATCATTAGCTACTCCCCTACCACCGATAGCTATCATCCCAATCAATGACACGTCATTAGAGCTAAGGGAGAAGACGAAACGGCCTGAAGATCTATCAACAATAACTATCTCGACCGTTGCTGATAACAATGATTCATCGAGAACGACAAAATCGTGTTTTTCGAAAATATTTATTTTCTTTCGACGATACATTACATTTTTAAAACTTGTATTTAAATCTATTTTACCTGATTTGAAATCTTTCAAATGGTGGCAGATATTGATTCTAACACTATTCGCTACATTCAATGTTGCCTTCTCTATTCTGGTAAATCTCTCAACTAATTTTCTTTCGAAGTAATTATTTATCCCTACGAAAAGGATTTCAATTCGTTCTTTGCTCGAGAACCAAAACGTGCACTTCTCAAATGGACGAATGATCTTAACGATGGCATTCCATTATGGCGTCGTATTCTTCTCTGTTTATCTGGTGTCGCGGCATTCACTAATGTTCTCAATGTTGTCTTAGTCATTCGCGGTAAACTTTCGTCATTTTTCTGGGGTATCATCGGAGCGATTTTGTATGGCACCTATGCATTTGCATACGGCTATGTTGGTGACGCCCAACTGTATGTTCTGTTTTTTCTGCCTATGCAGTTTGTCGGAATATATATCTGGTCAAAGCAGCTAAACAATCAATCGACCACCAGTGTGAAATCATTGAAACTATTCGGTTGGATATTGATTCTTGTACTGTGTGTTGGCCTAGGATTTTTATTCTATTACGAAATACCAGCATTTGCGAAACTATTGACATCACAATACTTTTTCGAAACGAACTTCGTTGCACATTTATTCGACGCTTCGACCAATGCAATCAGCGTAGTCGCTCAATTCCTACTTATTCTATGTTATTGGGAACAATACATTCTATGGGCAGTAGTGAATGTTATCGGAATCATTATGTATAGTGGTAAGTAACCACCAATCAGACAAGATTTTCTTCGTCATTCTCTGCTACCTATAAGGTCTTCTCAAGACTCAACTCGACATAAACGTGCTCATCGTGTGGATCATGTTCGCAATCAATTCTCTTGTTGGTCTATGCTTATGGTTTCGTCGATGGAAAAACTCGAATGTCGCCAAGAGAATTTGAATCTTATTTTTCTAGTACGAACGCGTTGTTTACCTATTATGTTTGGACATTTTCAGCTTTTGCATAACAGTTTGTCTAAAACCCTTGTGTTTGATCAATAGACGAGGTTTCTTTTTTTCTGCATATGCCGTCGATTGATTGCTTTTTATCGGAGTGATTGTTGATAATGGTGGACGTAAATGAGTCGATGAAGAAGGATCGGGAGAGTGAGGTTCGGATGGACTATTAATAATTACAGATGTTGTACTACTTGTGCTGGGAGTCATTGATATAGAACGAACGGGTGATGATGTGTAAAGCTTATTTCGAATTTCTTGTTCATAGAAGAGTGTATCATGACGTTTTTTACGATTGGGGGATTTGTCCGGATTGATGATATCATTCAAACCTACAGAAAGACGTTCGAAATGAGAGACTGAAGTGAATTTCACAATTGATGATCTACCCATTAGATTATTTTTTACAGTTAAACATAAATGAGTTGTACCGTGAAGAATTTCGAGTGCACGAACGTGAGTTATATAATCAAAACATTGACCATTAACGTTAAGGATCTATTGGAAAAACAGTCAATCAACGGATTTTCACAATAAGATCTAACTTACCTGGTCACCTCTTCTCAAACCAGCTTCATATGGTTTCGACTTTTTCTCGACTTTGGAAACAAATATTCCATTATTTGCCAACGTGTCACTTCCACCAAGTATATTAAAGTTCAATATATCGTCTCGCGTTGACCGCGTTATCGTTACATTTCGTCGACTAGCTTTCGTAAAACATGCTAAATCTATTAAATATCTCCACGATCGAATTTCCTAAATAGAAGAGTCCGGTCATCTCTGTGTTCTACACAAACTTTATTATTTACTTCTTTTTCATGATGCTGTAATCGATCATCGAATACTTCGAGAAACTCGTAGAGTTTTATATTTGTTTCGAAATCATTGTAATGATTGTTCACCCAGGAGAGGACAACACGAGCGATATGTTCAAGGGACGTTAAGTTCGAATGTTCATCGAAATAATTGAGAAGTTTATCGGCTATAACCATTGGATCGTTGATAAACGTTCGATAGGTTAAAAGGAAATCTTGAACAAAATATGGATCGTCAATTAGTTGATGGTCGTCCGTAAGTAAATCGAGTAATTTAGTAGTGGTAGCCTAAAAGAAAAACAGCTCGATGAATGTCAATTTGTCTCAGTTTTGCTGAGATGAACTCAAGAGAGAACTGAATGTGACTCTTGCTTGTATGTCAAAAGGTTATTATTTTACATTTCCCATCTGATTTTTCAATGGCTATATATACAATCCCAAAAGATTCACAACATGATGAAATCAAGCTTTCTAATTGTATACAGAAGTGTGATTATCTCGATTTTTTGTTCAAAGAGTATCGAATCGTAATATAGAGTACAACGCGATAGCTCCAGTTATTCTCGAATCTTACTTTGATAACGATTTCACGTGGTACATGGTATTCATCATCATCGATACGTATTTCTTTGACCATAACAATCTTTTCGTTTTCTTCAATTTTCCGGATATTTTTCTCTCCCTTAAAACAAGACACAAAACAGTTATTGAAATACTCTTCCGCCAAATGTAATTTACTTGATTTAAGATTGCATAGTAATCATTTTGAGCAACGACAACAAATTGACAATCATCAACACGCGTTTTCATGATTCCTGTGTGACAATATTGATCAAGTGTTGGTCCACAACCAAAACTTTCTCCCACGGTCAACGTTCGAAGGAGTTGACCGTCTGTTGTTTCATCGTCGACGATACCATTGATTATAACTGACCATGAATCATAACGTTCACCATCATTCATCACAACGGTTTGAGCTTTCTCAACTTGAGCATAAACAAGAACTTTACATAATTCACGTCGAACATGTAATGTTAAATTAGCAAATGCCTAAAATTACACCGAGAACGCGATGTGAACAAGTCAAAAGTATCGAGTTAAATAACATGCTTACAGGAAAATGAATAAGGAAATCGAGAATAGTTTCGATATCATCATCCGTACGCTCATTTGCGTCTTTCATGAGAGGTTCTCGGACATGATCATGAGGATGGAACAAATGCTAAAAACGAATTTCAATTTAATTTTCTAAACAAAATCTCTGTTTTACCTCAGATGATGTTTCAGATTCATCATCACTTTCATGAACACTTATACAACGACTTAATCCTCCATCTTCGCTTTGTCCCAAACAGTTGTCTCCATTATTGTTTATCAAGCAATCTTCGCCGTTAGTTGACGACTGCATTACATCGGATCCGGAATAAGCACTGGATGTATCACTTGCCCGCGAATGTGAACTGCGTATCATTGATGAGTGAATCTCATTGATATTTGCCACAGTAACAGATCGCTAAAGAAACAACAAAAATAACGAAATGTTATTCAATAGATTTACGTCATTGATATATATATGTATATACTTGTCTATTTTGTGCAGTTTTCTTTCGATGAAGCGACGATATCGTGCCAGAATCCATCGAAGTAGTTTGTTGTTCGACTGTAGGAGTTATCGTTTGTTCTTGGTGACGATTATGTTTACTACCGATACGCTTCACTGATTCGTTATTTTGTACAGCATGATCGAGCTCGGGATAATCAATCTAAGTAGAGAACGACGAAATAAAGGTAAGATAGAAGAAAAAACGAGAAACAGAACAGTATATATATATAAATATATTTCTATCAAGGTGTGACTAAAAGTAATTTTTTCTTTCTCCGTCTTTTTATTTTCAATAGTGAAAGAAATTACATATATACACGATGTCTACTTACAACAAGCATTTCCGATGGTTCGAGTACGACACATTCATTGATCCGATATTGATTACTAGGAGTTCGTTTACCAAAACTGTTAAAATAGAAGAAAAAAAAAGACGAACGATTATGTCATGTGCATACACATAAATGTCGCTCGATCTGTTCAAGGACAACACTAGATGTGCAATGATGAGAGAGAGAGAGAGACGGAGAAAGGGACTGAGTAAGATGGTGTTAGTGTAGTAGAAGTAATAGTAGTATGTGCATAGTAAAAAAAAAGAACGAACAAGGTTAACAAATAAACATGAAAAGATGAAGAGAGAAAAAATGATCTGGTCCCTTTCGTTTTCTCTCTTTCCCTCCTTCTGCATCCCAAAAGGATACATAAAAATGTCGAAGATCATGATTAAGCACAATGGAAAAAGAAAGTCAAATTCTTCTGCTTTTTTTTCGTACTTACCTAGCTCGTGGTAAATACATTGTGGATTCAATAAAAATTGAACCGGATAAAAGAATGTACCAACAGGTATTCAGTTCACCACGGCTAGAAAAATTAAAAATATAAATTGATAACAATGTGTGCTAAACGTGAGAGTTCTATCGTCACTCGCATCTTCATATACATGTGTATGTATTTACATACACCTCAGTCTCCTTTGCATCGCTTTTTCTCTCTGGTGAACGTTTGCGCACACGCGCCTGTATACATACTTACACTCTAACAAACAATCACATTTCATTTTGTTCTCATATCTTTTTTTTGTTCTATTGTAAGTAAGCATAACCATGAGCGCAACAGACCAAATGTCAAAGTATCAATGACGAAGAAAACAAACGAACGGTTCTGTTCAACTTAAAAGCTCATAGCAGTAATCTAATTTCTTGATATAATCATATATTTTATCTCTAATATATGTGATGCAACATCTCTCTTTAGACATGAAGTATATGATGGCACATCTATCATCAAAGATAGATAGATAATTGACCGTGACCGTATTCTAACAATGAGTTGTAGCTATCTAAGTGTACAATCATCAAGATAAATGCCTATCTCTCCATAGTATCATCGGGAAATAGTAGACATAACAATCTAATCTGTGCAGAAGAAGCATAGTGTCATCTAGCGTGTGAAAAGATGAACAGAAAACAAACAAACAGCAAAGAAAGCCAAACAGATTGAGTGATTGACAAGGTTAAGAACAAACCTGAATAAAACATGATGGGCATCATGTGTTTCGTAACGAATTGTTTTACACAAATTGCGAATATGCGATTCACGAAGCGATGATAATGCTTCTAAATGCTTCAAATAAGTATTGATTGTTGTTAAATCCTAAATCAAAGAAATACATAGAAATGACATTGTCCGTGTCCATTACTTCTCCTTCCTGTTTAACACATTCTAGTTAAAAGAAAGGTGAAAGTGGCTTTCTCTTTCTATTTCCTTCTCTGTTTAAGACTATATTTTTTCAAAATTGAACATTTTGGAGCCAGACAATAGATGTCTGACCTCTAAGAAAAGAGAAAAAAAGGAAAAAAGCGGAGAATGAAATCTGTACCTATATAAACGTAGTTGTATGGACAACGGATGAAAGAATATGTATGTACATAAACTCGTATATGTATGCTTATAGCAAGCCGATTTCACCCCCTCATCTCGTCCCTTTTCTTTCTTTCTTTTTCTCTGCCCTTAATATGTACGTGTCCTAACTTCGATGATTAACCATATAGTTCCCTATACTCAATAAAAGTTGGCAATCATCTCGGATGGTAGTAGTGGCCATGTCAGCAGACAGAACGGAAGAGAACAAGAAGGAACAGCCAACGGCCTGTATTCTTTCATTCTTATCTTCCGTACATTTTTCTTCTCTTTCTCTCTATTTGCCTCGTTTTTTGTGTCTTTTCTACAAATCATGAATGAACAACAGTTGTTGCATTCGTTTCTATCTTCATGTTCAACGATGTGTTGCTTTCCTTTTTCGTCAAGAAACAAGAGAAGCACATCAAGTAGTTCTTCTCTCATTCATCCGTTGTCATCTATATAATGAAGAAATAATCTAGACGATAGTAGTTCTAAGACTTCAGATCATGATCGACAATGATGATATATTACGTCAGATTTCTCTACACATGTCAGGACAGAGTTGAAAAGGGTGAGCATGTCTGTTTAATCAGATCTAACAGCTTCCAGCTGAGAATAATAACATGTATATAAAAGAGAGACCTGACGTATGAATTAATCATTAGTCTGAAAAGAAAGATACTATGACTAACGGCCAACCATTCATGATTGTCTAGTTATCAATACAAAGAAAAAGAAAAGATTTCAATCGAAATCATACTAATTATTTCATGAATAGGTCAATTGAATTTATCGTGAGAATCGGAAGAATAAAACGCACTTCTATTTATTGATTCTACCAAAGAAAGAAAAAAAACTCATATCCTGCGATTAATTCATAAAATAAATGTATATGGAAGATATTTCACTCGTGCAAGGTACGTCTACAATCATAAGAGAAAGCAAACATCTGGAAAGCGCGTATTTTAATCTCTGTCGAGGATATCAACATCAAGAAACATGGACTGTTGTTCGAAAGAATCACAATCAATTCCTTGTTGGCATAGACAGATAAGTTCATATTATCGCCCCGGGTTGATGAGATGTTGTGGAAATCATTGAATAGATCTATTGTTTATGTTTTACTTGGAAATAATCACAAACGATTTCCATTCGAGACGTATTATTGCAACCGTAGGAAGCTCAACTGAATCTTTTGCTCGTTCTTGATATGTCTCACGAGAGACGTTAAAAGCACGATGTATATTCTTTGAAAGCTATCAAATCAACTAACCTGAGTCGTTCGTTCTGATGGACTTTTCGACACACTCTGTCGAAATGTCAATTCATTTCCATAACTTGTCAATGGCATCTTATTTGAATACTTTATTTGAAAAATTTCACGCGAGAAGATCTTCGGTTCACCGGAATGTCATTCCCAGTTGTGTCGTCTACTCATCCAATAAACAAACAAAATTTTCAAATCTAGAAGAAGTAAAAAAAAATGACATGTATATATGTATAAAGTTTTAAGGATTCTCATATCAACAATCAAGAATAACAATAAATGCAGGAATTTTTTCAACATGAAGGACATTTGAAAGAGAAAAGAGGGTGATATATGTGTGACGGTTTGATATTAAAATTTCTAAAAAGAAAATCTTCGAATACACCTTGATACGGGCTGACAAAGTGCAAAAGAAATTGATCTGATCAAACTCGAAAGAAACGAACAGATAAATAATGACGAAAGCGTATCTTATAAAAGTAATTCGATCTCAAATATGCAATAAAGTGTCGATGAGATCATCTATTCATCTTTTTCTTTCTCTCGCAGTATATGCAAATGTAAGTACGTTAAATAAAACGACATCAATTCTCTTTTAATTCATTAGAGCTCAACTGTCTCTCTCATGCTGAAATTATGTGTCCGATGTACATTAGCGTGTCCATAAACAAAACAATAAAATGTATTTGTATGTTTTTTTTTGTTCTCTTTCGAACTAACATTCGTTCGTTTGGGTTTCCTTTCTTTCTCTCTGTCCATCTCGAAAGAAAAAAGATTAAACTTCTTTTGTCTTACATATTTCATGCCCCTCGAGATCGAATCGTCATCAAAGAAGAAGAGAAAAAAAACGAAGAAAAAAAAAGAATGTCTCACAAGTAACTTTACTTTATTATGGCCAATAACAATCACGCATTTTTTCTCTACGTACGCATATCTGTAAACGAATATCTTATATACAATGTATAAAAAAGAATTGATCGAAACGAACGGATGCATTTGTTAGCTCTAATCAAGTTGGCTGATATGGAAAGTTGCCGAGTGTTAAAACAAGGGGTGAATTGGACGGATTCGATGATTCGGTTGTTGTCGGAGTAAAAATAATATTCATACCGGTCGTTTTCAAAGTATTTAAATCAATCGAATAAGATGAGGGAATAGAAGACGATGTTACTTGTTGAGAATCTGAGTGCACGTAGTATGGAAGTGTGAGTGTTGTTGGTTGAGGTATAGTTGGAAAATGATGTGAACTTGTACTTTCTGATGCTTTAGGTTGAGTAGGTAAGGATGACACGTCATCAACCGGTTTTAGCCTAGCACGTTTTATCGGACGATGAATAGTGGATGAGTTCGTAGATTGTGCTATTTGATGAACTGAGAATAAGTGACATTATTCGATTGAATCGTCTGAACTTACGATCTATTGAAATATTTGTTCGCCTTTTTCGTTGATTTTCATCAATGAATATCACATCATTATCATTTAGAGTGGTAGTTGCTGCTACTGCTGCTGCTGCTGCTGTTGTTGTTGTTGGTATATCAACAATCGGTTCAGCTGGTTGTTCGTCCTTCGCCAAACATGTTTGAATCAATGCTTTACCTGCTTCACTCGTAATCATCGGCTGTAATTTCGCAGTTGCATATGTATACACATGACCTGAATATGAATCATAATTCGTTTTTGATCATAGTTATTACTATGCGATCTTACCGGTTTCCGAAGCAACTAACAACATGACTTCAGTTCCGGTTAATGTGGCCAGTTCATAGGCTTTTTTCATAATGCCTGTTTTTCGTTTGGAAAATGTTGTATATCGCCGAATTTTATTATCGATATAAGCCATTTTGATCTTAACGCGGCCTAGAGTTTTCTTGTTTTTTTTCCGTGCAGCCGGCGTCTTCTCCGTGGATTCAAGGCAAGGATCGTTGGAATCATCATCGTTAATGAATTCGTCTTCTTCATCGTCAGATTCATTCGAACTCATAGATTGACGACGAACTTCACTGTTGGATTCTTGGAAATGCGAACAAGATGAAGACATCACTGTTTGTTTCTTCCAAGGAATTTCCTCTTGTTCTAAACAAGCAAATTCAAAATCAATTTCGTTGCAGGGTTAATCTGTTGTTTTGGCATAATGAATCATGAATGTACATGAGAACACAAAGAAAAGGGGCGGACATTCCCTGATTGGTCAGACGGTATTTCTCAATAGATGATTCTCATTAGTATGATAACGACATCTTTGGATTACAATATGTTTCTTTTGTCATGGAAATTCATTCTACGAGTCAGTTTGCGACACTTGTTTTTCTCTTTACACGAAATCACATGGCGTTCATAACGTTCGTGTTTCAGTTAATCAAGTAAGAAAATCAATGGTATAATTGGCAATCAGCAATGTGAATGAGATAGAAAAAAGTAATTGGACTAGTCTAAAAGGTTAACAACGAAAAATTGCTTTTTGATCAATAAATGAAATTAATCAATCGGACGTAAGAGAACAACAATCACGCATATTTACTTTCGACACTCAGTTCTCTCGAGGTCTAGACGATGATTTTGCCCTCTCTTTCACACGTGATTCCTGTCCAAAATTGATTTGAAAAGAATTGCAAATACCGAAAAGACAGTTCAACGGAACGAATACTATTTCCAATAAAAAGTTCTAATCATTCATGAAAATGATTTCGATAAAATACAGAGGGCAGAAGATTGTTGTTAACTTTTAATGCATAAGAATTTGATTGATATTCGCATGGACCAATAGCTTTATTTTCCTTTTTAAAATATATTGCAATTCGGTGTAGTATGTTTTTCTTTTTCGAAAATCAAACTACGGGATATGTTGAGTCCAAGTCGTTCATCTGCACAAGCAATTCTGAAAACAGTGGTCACTACTGCATCAACAGTAATTCAAGAAAATGCGAGTACGAGTGTCGAGCATAAAGAAGAATTGAATGATGCTGATGACAGTGAACCATTGAAGAAAAAATTCAAAGATGATTCAGAAACTGAAGTAAGAGGTCATTTTGAAGCAATACGATCTTTCATATTGACTTTAAATCTAAGGTGGAGAGTTCATTAGCAACGACAACTACCACTCACGTTCGACAACGGCTACCGAAGAAACGGAAAGCGTGTGTTTCATTTGGATACTGTGGTATGCTTCACATTTGATGGATAACTATTCAGATTTGGTTTACACTTTTGATTAGGTGCTGGTTATTTCGGGCTTCAACGGTAAATCAGCATGGAATTTGATTAAACTTATCGTGTTCAGAACTTTTGCTTTCGTAGAAATGCAAAAGATAAAGTCCATCGAACTATTGAAGATGAATTGGTCGAAGCTTTCGTCAAAGTTGGTGCCATTCCACAAGCTCATGCTGATGATATGTCCAAGGTATTTTTCTCCTTATGAAGTGTCCAAATTTGATTGAATTCGCGATTGAATTTAGATGGCATTTCAACGAGCAGCTCGAACCGATAAAGGTGTATCTGCTGTTGCTAATCTCGTCTCATTGAAACTAGTTCCTATGGACAATCTCACCAAATTAGTCAATGAACAATTACCCAAACAAATCCGAATGTTCGGTACGGTGAAAACGATGATTTTCTTTGAAATAATGTTTAGTTTAGGTGTGAAACGTGTTGCTGCTAGTTTCAATAGCAAAAATAGTTGTGATGCACGGACATATATCTATATTCTACCAACATATGCGTTTTGTCCAGTTGAAGAGGTTCGAAGTCGTCTTGGAAAGAACTATATTTTCATTTTTGCTATTCTATTTTTTAGATTACAAAAGAATCGTACCGAGTGACACGTATGTAAAGGGAATCGTGTGAAGATATCTTTGGTCTTTCGGTTGAATGCTTTCAGAGAAATTTCTTGTGCTAAATATTAAAATGAAACAAGCAAGAGGGAACTGATGAATAAGGATGAGAACTTGAGCGATCGAAAAGACAACAGCTATATAATCATAATAAGAACCAAAGTTTGATTGATGAGAAACATGTTGAATCCGACGAAGAGTAAAGAAAGTTCTCACCAGGAAAAAAGAAAAGTAGATGAATAATTGACATATTTTTCATAATTTCCATGACGTAAATATCAAAGAAGCAAAACAATTAACAAGATAAAATAACTGTATCCTAAAAGTAGATATGGAAGAGCAGATTTATTCGAACATTTATTCAAGCATAGTATAGAGAAAATGCATGTTAATAAGGCAATAATTATCAGAATCGACCACCAAAGACAATGACTGACATGTTTTTTGTTGTTGACTATGTTTGGCGCTATGAAATGATTTTCTTTCTATCTTCTAGCTGAAGTACTACAGTTGGCTAAAGATGTAGCAAGTGAATATCTTGGCTCTCATAATTTTCATAATTTCACATCGGGCAAAAAGTTCACCGATCCATCAGCTCGAAGACATATCTTGACCATCAATGTAAATCTATTTGAATGATGTTCGAAGAAGAAAGGAATCGCTTGTTTTCTTGTATTCAGATAGCTGATCCCTACATAAGAGAAGATGTGGAGTTTACAACGATTACTATCAAAGGACAAAGCTTCATGTTGCATCAAATTCGAAAAATGATCAGTAAGTGAATATGAAAGACGAATGTAATCAGACCAATTCATTTCTTTGTAGGTCTTATTATCGCTATTGTTCGTGGCATCGCCAGTCGAGATACAATTCAACGAGCGTATAACGCTGATAAAGTATGACAGTGAGGATTGCTGGAGATGATGAATAAAAAAATAAAACATCGTTTGTAGATCGATATTCCTAAAGCACCACCACTTGGACTTGTGCTTCAAAAAGTGAGTGTAGTTTTATTCGTGTCGTGTTCATATGTACAATGGTCGTTATTGCCTTCTAGCTTCATTACGATCGATATGATAAGAAATTTGGAAGTGATGGTCAACATGATGCACTAACTTGGAATGAAGTTGAAGTAAATCGATTTGACTCGAATATGTGATCAGTAGTTGCTTGTTTTTAGAATGAAGTTAACAATTTCAAAGAAGAAACCATCATTCCACACATTGTGAAAAGAGAAATCGCCGACAAATCGTATCCTTTTTTTCATATATGAAAAGTTTGGTGCAAAAGAGAGGGAGAAGGGTTTCATATTTCTGCTTATAGCTCAGTTTTTATATTTCCTTGACTTTGACTTCACTTCCTGTTGACCAGTATGTTGGCATATTTGGAGCGATTGATTGTTCATTCATTCTCTCCGATGGATAGCGAGACCGACTGGCGTTTTTCACTTCCCTATCAGATCATTTTTCAAAAAGTGAGAACAAAACTAAATTCTATGGTAAGATTCATTTATTAATATTTGAAACTTCTACACTCGACACACAGCTTTTCCCCACCGTTTACATATCCATATTTCTTGTTCGTCTTTGTTTCTCCTTAACTTTCATGTTTTCATCAGTATGTTTTCATGGCTTTTTTTCGGGCCGATGCTTTCACGTTACGAACATAGCAGTCCATATTTCTCCATCGTGACTTATATTATTCCCACATTACTCGGACGTCTGCGTCACTTGCCTTTCGTTGAAAAGATGCTTGAAAACGCTTTGATATATGAGGTATGTATATTCTTTTTCGCCCATCTTCCTATTGTATGTGTGTGAGAGAATCAGTTCTATTCGTGAATATGTTTTTCCTTGACTCTCGAAAATCTCAGTATGTTCAAATGGCTTGCATTTTTACCATGCCATCATTTCGATCAACTTTTACCGTTTTATCCTCCCGGAGCATACACTGGTGTCGGTCGAGGATTGTATCTCTTACAGCAGCAACAGGGAAAGTCCGCGAAGGTATATGTTTGTCACGATACGTTTTGAAATCAATCAATCAATCGAATCATTGACACTAACACATATCTATAAATTTGCTTTTTTCCTTTAGTTGGACGAAGAAGAAGACGAGGACAATGGTGTTGAAGAATAGACTTAACGTTATGTTTTTGTTATATTGTTTCTCTGTTTTTTTTGATAATGATTATGTTGGATGATAAAAGAAGAATATGAAGTGATGTGACTAATATTTGATCTTCAAACTTGAGAAGAGAAGAATATTTGACAAACGTTGTTTTTTTTTCGTTAGATAAACAATCGTTTATATTCTTCGGTAGCAGTATAAGTACAACATGGATCTGGTCTTGAATATCTATGATCAGTGGCTATTAACTCCATATGTATATCCGAAAGAAGGTTGGCCGGAAGACAGTCTTCTTCGACAAATCGTTTCGTTGGCCATTTTGATCAATATTCATGGAATTCTGCTCTATTTCTTTTTGGGAACGTTTAGTTATTTGTTTTTATTTGACAAAAAACAAATGGAACATCCTCTGTTTCTCAAAGTACGTCTCATTGATAAAGAATGCAGTTTATGTCGTTATGCAACAAAAAATTGTATGCTTCTCTAGAATCAAATTCGGCAAGAAATCAAAGTTTCATTACAAAACATTCCATTTATGAGTATTCCAACGATCATTGTTTTCCTATTTGAAATACGTGGATATTCCCGATTGTACGACAGTTCACAGCGTTCATACGGTATGTAGATAATGATTCATTCTCTTGTTACCATTAAGTCTCTTCTTTACACATAGGTTTGATTCCATTTCTGAAAGAATTCGGCAGTTTTCTATTCTTCACCGATATGTTGATCTATTTCATTCATCGCGGTTTACATCATCCTCTTGTTTATAAACATTGTCATAAACTTCATCACAAATGGATCGTTCCAACACCTTTCGCCAGTCATGCATTTCAATGGCTCGATGGTTTTCTTCAAAGTTTACCATACCATCTTTATGTTTTCTTATTTCCGCTACATAAAATATCGTATTTATTCTTTTTCATTTTCGTTAATTTTTGGACAGTTAGCATTCATGATGGAAACTATGCAGTACCAAAACTATTTCAACCGTTCGTTAATGGCGCAGCTCACCATTCCGATCACCATCAATATTATAATTATAATTATGGCCAGTTTTTCACGTTTTGGGATCGACTCATGTGCTCGTTTCGCCAACCGTCCGTGTACGATGATGAGAAGAAAAACATTGACTAAATCCTGTGAAATCAAAATTATCTATTTACCAAAAATTTTGAACCATTTCCCAATCTTATAAATCCTATGTATTTCAAATTATTTTTACACAAATAAAAGATGGAAATGAAACCGTACGCTGATGATTTGACCCTCCCAAAGGACATAGACGTGGAGATGTTTTTTCCTTCCCAAAGCAAAATGACATTCAAACTGATGTGATCTCACACATTACCTATCTGTTTCTATGCATACGTTCTTTGCCTTAATTGACTTTTTAATATTGAAGGTTCTTGTCTGTTGAATATGCGAGGTAGAAAAAACGAATGGCATTGACATTGTCATGGGTATGCATCAGTGAAATGATGCATGTCGTTCAGCGATGTAGACAAGAAAAAATATTTCTTTGATCGATTTGACGACCAACAGAACGACATACTTTTCAAAAGAAATCGAATTATGCTATCGTCGAGAATTAAACCGGATGATGATGACGATGACAGAGAATCATCGATGCCCGGAGATTATGAACCGATGGGCAGAAGTGCAGAACGCATTGCACCACCACGGAAGCCTTTACCAGTTCGTCCAACCGCCGCTCCAACGTCTCGATCGCGACCGAGACCTCCATCTCTTTCACCGACGAGACCTGCAGCAAGACGACAACCTACGGAACGAGCGCGTTCGCCAATAAGAGCTCGTCGAGCAAGACGACGTTCGTTAACTCCACAAATTGTCATTGATCGACGAAATCGTCGTCACGGGTCGTCGCGACGAGGTCGAGTCATACGGATTCCGTTAGACGATCGGCCAACACTTGGTTTACGTGGACCACCGACGCAAATATTAGAGCTCGAACGTGTTCGATGCCGGCGACGTCGTCGCCGTCGTCGAAAGAAACATCGTTCGCATTGCCACGAACCTAAACACAATGATCTTCTTCTTCAACAGCCACCATCAAACATTATAATGCCTAATCCAATGCTGAATCCATCTCTGCCATTAAATAACAATCAAAATTCATTCATAAGCTTCTTGTCAAATTTAACACCGCAAGCAATAGAACGTTTACCAAAACAAACCGTTCACTTACCACCTATACATTTACCAGGCAGCCAAGCGAATACTGACACTGAACTCAATACAGTCATATTTCCTGCTGAACTAATCAATCCTATCGATGGAACTTTGTCTGTTATTCAAGCAAATCCAACAGCAAACGCAATCAATCCAGTATTAATAAATAGTTCAGTGCCAATTGCAGCTCCGACACAACAACAAATAATTAATGTTCCAGCGCCTGCTACAACACTACAAAACTATGTCGCGACAGCATCAGACCCATTTCTAAGACAACTTGAAGATCTCGTACAACGAGTAACTCTTTCTCAAGCCCAATCAACATTGCCATCTTCTGTACCACAATCAAGTTCACCACCGACTTTCCGTATGGATCCAGCTGCTATTCGCCCAGCTACTATACCAAATCATCCGCCCACATATCCATCCGTGTACACACCAGCCAGTCGAGGTAATACTGTACCATATCGTTTACCAACTAACACATCGTTTCAATCATCTTCAAATATGCTAAACAGACGTGCAGGCATGACACCTAGTCGTCCAAACAATCCTCCAATCTTTCAACCGAGACATGAAGCTCCTTCGCCTACATCAGACATTGGTCCATATCGTCCAGCAAATATTACACCGTATAATGCTGCACCTAATCGTTCTGTTACAAACTCATCGTTATTTTCCTCGGCTCCTCCGGGCATGGCTCCTCGTCATCCGCCTTCTTCTGAAGGTTCCTATTCACATAGTCCAGGAACTAATACAGTCAACACGCCAACTCCTTATCGACTACCGGACAATTTCATGCCGAGATCAATTCTTCGCAACGGAACATCCAATACTCAAGTGAACACGACTTATACCCGTTTAAATCCAGCGAGTGTTTCATCTACTCAAAACAATGCTCGTAAAAAAACAACATTCGCCTAAAGTTCTCTTCTTCTACTTGCAAATTTGATCAGCATTGACGTCAGCACGCAATGTTTTGACAGAAATCAGAAGCCGTTACCGATTGCACGTTTTTTTACTTGTTCTCATTCATATCACGCTTCTACTTTACCTTTGTATTATAAAACGTGTAGCCCTTACATTCCTCCACTCATATATATATATATGCAGTTAAGCTAGTGGAAGAGAACGTTTTCATGAATGACTTTATTTGCCCTGTTGTTGCGACGTTTTCTCTGCTCGGGGTACGAGCGTGGGAATAATAAAAAAACAGAAGAAGAAAAGTATAAAAGATTGGAGGAGAAGTATGAAACACATTTCGATCACAATCAACAATTCTGAAGGTCTTCTGTTATGAGATTTGAAATAATTTTTTCAAACAGTTCTACTTATCAAAGACGCTAATCTATATGACAGACACTTCGGAACTTCCATCGACTCCAACGAGTCGAACACGACCTCTAGGTACAACATCTATGACAAGTACTACCAAACACAAATTTCACATACAAAGCGCACCTCCACTTTCATTGCAACAGTACATACGTTCTACGGTTCACCCTCCTAACACAAAAAGATGGCAAACATCTGGTAAATATCGTCCGCCCATATTCACTGCATATTTATCACCTGCAGTTCGTCCTAAACCAAAACCGGAAATTCCTGTTTGGCGTCCGCCAAGTCCATATCGAGAACCACGACCAACAGCATTTAGTCCAGAAAATAAACCTCAACCATCGATTCATGAACCCCCTTGGAAACCGGCAGGCAAAACAATATACGAACCCATACCTTATTTCGATCAACCTAATCTAAGATGGTCAGTTCAAGAACTTCGTCGATCCTTATCTGAAATGACACCACGAACAGTTCGTTCTTCCAGCAGCCTGTCAAGATCAAGAAAAACTGACGTAACTGAAGAGACATAAAGGGTGAAATTCAACCTCATCATAGTTTATTTTCGCATTCTGACTTTTCTAACACGGTGCTGATGATATTAGTGATTTATCTTCAATAATACTGATTCTTGTCCAACGATATTAGTATATTTTTCATAAAATCATTCCATTTTCTGTGTTTTATATTTTAATATGAATAAATCTCATGGCATGTAGTTAATCAATGCTCAATATCAATTTATCTTCTTCTCGATAATCTCCATTGCGAGTAGATAACGACGAAGTCCTTCTATACTCATATGAAATTCTCTGTTACACTGAGCAACAATCATTCGAACTAATTTGACTATATTAAACGGATGTTTATCTCAAGGTGATGTAGTCCGCCGAGATGAATACCATGAACAATGTAACAAATATACAACTGTATATTGCATTCAGCGGAAATTATCAATGCTCTCTCATGGGAAATATTCATTGTTACGGAAAGGTACGTTTAACAAAAGGCGTGTTGCTATTCAACGTATGACAATAGACAGAAAAGAAAGATCGTACTAATAAGTTTTTTTTTCTCATCAATGCATTTCATTTGCTTCTTCGTCACAAATCTTCAAAAGAGAATGAAATCCCGTCTTTTATCTGTCCGAAGAAAGAAAATAAGCCCTATAGTATTCGTGTAAAACGAACATTCTCAAGTAGAAAATTAATCATAAAAAAACAACATCAATATTCTCTTTCCACTTGTATTTCATCTTCAAATCAGATTAATGCATCTCTTTTATATAAAAACACTTGATGAATATCTGTCAAGATATTTCCATTTTGAACAGGACACTCGATTTTACACGTTCAGACATTGAAATCAAATTGAAGGGCTCGAGCAGGTGTTAATTGTACACCACTACCTGTTTGCGAACGAACAAGAAGATCAATGCAACACCTTCTGTTTTACACATTGCATTCGAATCATCGATTGCCGTAACTGGCATATGACATAGTGCAGATAGATTCAAACATTTCGCAGACTTTACCTTTCTTGCTTAGATAACTTTGCCATTTTATCTATTCACTTGACTTACAATCGTCCTGCGGCAGCGACGATTTGTGCCAATATTTTTCTTCTTCAATGTCTAGAAGCGTGTGTATGTTATTGTAGAGAATTAATTTAATCTTTAAATCGATTCGATTTTCCATAATTTCGCTTTGTCAATAATCATTTGTTCACTTTCTCAATTCTTTTCATGTTTTATACACAGTAGAAAAACAAACTTGTGACGATGCCGAAAGACTTTAACTGTCGTAATTATTTTCACACAGTAAATTAGCGCTATAATCATAATATTGTTCGTTTCATTTCCTTTTTTTCGCCCGCCTTCCGACTCGTTCCCTTCAGATACATAAAAGACATTTGTCTGTTGATATCACCGCAGGACAAGCCGAGTGAAAGAGCAAATGATATCTCTGTTCAATTGATATTGATTGTTATTTTGTATTCTCACATAAACAATTTGCGCTTGAATTCTCCTCGCTATCGATAGACTATCGATGTCATCTGGTGTCNCGTGTATGAACATTCATTGTCGTTGAATTGTCTATCCATATAATTAACTTTGACTACTGTCCCTTATTTCTTTCTTTTTTCTCATTTTACAGCAGAATGGAAACGGTCGACATTCATTCACCTGTCGCACACCTTTTCATCCGCCCTCATTCAGTGATATACATGCATACACATGGTCTAACGAGCTTGTCAACTCATACATACACCATCTGTGAGAAACAGACAGAAGAAAAAGTATCCATTTTGACCGTAATCATTGCAACATTAGACATGTAGGAGAACAGAGAGGGAAAAGAAGAATAGACGTCTATTTATGAGTATACAGCCACTTCAACGAAAGAAATCAAAAGAAACAACAGATGGTATCCATCTATCTAAAAACAAATTCTCACTTTGTTTTTTTAAGCTTGTTCAATTGGAACGTATAAATCGACCATTAGCAATAATCAACGATGTGAGCCATGTCCATTAAATAGTTATACAAAAGATAAAGGTGCATCATCTTGCCTATGCAATGATGGATTTTTCCGTCTCAATACTTCTTTGTCGAAGTCTGCTTGTATTGGTAAAAAATTGTTGTCTTTTTCTGAGTATTCTTGTTCGACTGACAATTCGTTTCGTAGGAAGTCCAATTGAACCACAGAATGTCACTGTCGATGACATCGATCAAGCATCAGTCAAGATCTCTTGGAAACAACCGATCGAAACTTCGAATGATATTGTTTATCGGATTGAATGCAATCATTTAATTGAAGGACGCTCTGTTCCATGTGAATCTTACATTTCATACTATCCAAATCGAACATTTATCAACAGTACAAGGTACTTGAATGCAATCGGACAATTTCGTGATTGACACTTATTTGATCGTTTTAGTGTGCAAATCTTGGGACTTGATGCCGATACGAACTACAATGTTGAAGTGTATGCCGAACAACTATCTACACATTTGCTAAGTAAATCTGTCGATCTCTCGTTTACAACCAAACGGCCAAGTATGAAGAAAACTCTAAGGTTTCAGTCCGTTCATTTGACTTCGTTTAGTACCGAAACTAATTCGTGATATCAACGTTCGACGTATTTCATTGAATACCATTTTAATCACTTGGTCATCGAATGATTTTGATCTGTATCAAATTCGTTATTGGCCGTTCATTGACGAACATCATAAATCTCTTGTAACGTTATTGCACAATAATTTCACTCTGATAACTACGTCAGATAATTATAAATTTCAACTACGCGGCCGGACACGTTTCGGTTGGAGTTTATACACCCATGAGAAAGTTCTTTCGCTCAGTTCGATTTTATCTGATGAGCATTTTTTGACAAGTGCAAAATTAACGAATATGTCAGCAAAGATTACAGAAAATAAGAATATTCTGCTCGTTGGCCCATTGATTATTTTGATATTATTAGTCACTGTTATTATCTTAGCAATTGTGTATTCGAAAAAGTAAGATATCTATTCTTTGAGTAAAATTTGACATGTTTACACTCTTGCAGGAAACGTTCATGCCGTCTGAAAACTGCCAGTGATTGCGAATCATTAGATTATCAAAAACGACAAGGTTAGTGTTGAGTTTTCTTGTATTTTCCCTTTCGTGTGTGTAATTATTGGGTAAGCGGGCTCATAGTAATTACAGGTGGCTATCGGCCAATGCTGTTACGCTATTCAAGTAATCCAGCAAACAAATCTATAACTCAATGTAAAATCTCATCGACCTCTGTAGTTTGCATCTCTCATTTTTCTGCTTATCTAAACATAACGACATATGTATCTTGCTTTGTAGACATTGCATTTCCTTCTAAACACACTGCTGATCATCATCTTCTTCTTTCTAGTGAGTGGTCATTATGGGCCTGATGCATTCTTCAATTCTGGCTGTAAGTGTATGCTTGTATTCTTAAACTATTCGATTAATCACCGGAAATCTATCTTGCTTATTACCCTTGACATTTTAACTAGAAGGCAAAGAAAAAAAAATGTGAATGATTTTTTTTTCATTTCCTCTATTACGAAGATAATCAAGATAAATATTTTAGCTTTCTATAATGAATGCGCGTCTTTTCAGGGTCAGCACCATTATGGCCTCCAATTCCGACAACAGCAAAGACATATATTGATCCTCATACGGTTTGTTTGACTTTGTGATGATCAAAGAAAACTCATCTCGGAGTTGCATGTTTATTTAGTATGAAGATCCCACGAAAGCGGTGAAAGATTTTTCACGAGAACTAGATCCAAATTTGATTGTTATTGAATCAGTTATTGGTGGAGGTAAGTCTATCTCGAATTGCAATTCTTGTATATATGCGTGTTAGTTAGTAATCATCAAATTCAGATTGCGTCATCATCAAATGTGTGCGTGTCTGTCTTTTCTTCTATGATTTAATTTTCATTATTCGCATGTGAGAGAAGAAGGGATGACCCGGAACTGAGAAAAGGGAAAAGAAAGGAAGCCTCTTTCTTATTGATGTGCATTCGATCAATCAAGAAGAAATGCTTCTATGTCTATTACTAGATAGATGTACATATGCCTTACGTAAATTCATTTAACTGATGAGAAAAAACGTCTGTCGAGAGACTATCATCACATCATAGATCATTGGGAATTCAACGAGAGAGAGAGAGAAGATTATTGTTGAACATAATTTTCCCTCGAAGATAATATGTATCACTTGCATTATAAATTTTTGTTCTTGTTTTTATCACAGGCGAATTCGGCGATGTCTGTCGCGGTCGACTACGTAAACCTAACTTACTAAAAGATGTACCCGTTGCTATCAAAACACTGAAACAAGGTGCAACAGAGAAGACACGCTTAGATTTTCTATCTGAAGCGAGCATCATGGGGCAATTCGATGACGAAAACGTTATCTATCTGGAAGGTGTTGTTACCAAACATCATCCGATCATGATTGTTACAGAATACATGGAAAATGGTTCGTTAGATGCATACCTTCGAGTAAGTAATAAATATTCGAATGCTAATCAATGATTTGATTGCTGTTCTTAGACGAATGAAGGAAATAAGCTACTTGATGCCTTACAATTAACTCGGATGTTACGTGGTATCGCATCGGGAATGAGATATTTATCAGATATGAAATATGTACATCGAGTAAGTCGAAGAAAATGATGATATAAGTTTGAACATTGGAATTCTTTGCAGGATTTGGCTGCACGAAATATTCTTGTAAATAAAGACCTTGTATGTAAAGTGGCTGATTTTGGTTTAAGTCGCGAAATTGACGAAGGTGATAGTTATACTACTAAAGGTGGAAAAATTCCAATCAGATGGACAGCTATAGAAGCCATTGATTATCGAAAGTTTACATCGGCATCAGATGTATGGAGTTTCGGTGTACTGTCGTGGGAAGTGCTTTCATTTGGTGAAAGACCATTTTGGAATTGGTCGAATCAAGATGTAATCAAAGCAATTAAGAATTACTATCGACTTCCACCTCCTATGGTTTGTATTGTAGAACCAAAAATAGGATTACTAATCAGTAAGAATGTTTCAGGGTTGTCCCGACGTACTATATCGTCTGATGCTCGCGTGTTGGAATGAAGATTATCTACAGAGACCAAAATTCGCAGAAATCGTTCAACAGTTAACGCAATTTATTCAAATACCTAGTCGTCTTGTTCCATTAGCAAAGCAAAGGTAATTATTAATGATATAGTCTAGTTTGTATCTACGAAAGTCTTTATTTCCTTCAATAGATTCCTTATCGATCATCCTGATCATCCCGATTTTACTCAGATGGCATCTATCAATAACAGTGTGACCATTGTCTAACTAAACCTGAACGTGTCAATTAGCGGCAGAGATCAGAACACATCTTGTTGTATTAAACTAACTTATTTTTTGAGAATATGTCAAAAGGTGATAAAAAAATAAATCAAACTAGATTTGTTTTAACAAATTCACGCATATGTCGCATACACTAAATGGTACCTAACGTTGAAAAGTTCTATTGTCCTTCCTCGTCCTCTTACAGAGCATAGTCTTCTAACAGTGATTCGTGGTGACTGTTGGTTAATGTACTTTTCTATCGACTCGATCGATACGGGTTATTAATGGTATTTGTTCATGTGTATTCTAGTGATAACGTCTGTAAAAAAAATTGTTTTTATCCATGTCCACATTTTTTCTACACTTTTCTGCTCGACATCGCTCGAAGGGAAAAAAGTCATTTCTGTGTTAAATAAATTGCACTAAATTAACCAACGAGAAAGTTTTTGAACAGAGTTGGAATGACTTAAATTTGGTAATGATGCAATACAGGACGCGAGTGCACTCCTCGAAGCAATGCCAGGGTGTGTAGTTCATTGCGTCATTATGAAGAAAAATCGACTGGGAATTCAGCTTCACACTTTCAAACAACGCATGCAATATGGCTAATGTTTATCATTGCTAGATGTTCCACTCCAGTCAAATTGATTCAAACTTCATCTTCGAATTCTTCTAGGAATGTGTAAAAGATTTTGATTAGTTAGGATGTACAGTCGTGTTACATGGAATAATGTGAATGAGAAGAAAATTGTATAGTTTCCAGTTCGAAGTTATGTGTATATTTGAAGGATCAGACAATAAGTACGGGCTTAGTCTTGATTTTCGAAGGATTAAATTCACTAATGATTATTTTAATCTTTATTCATATGTCTGGAGTTGAAGAAAAGTGACATTCTTTCATAATAAACATGTCTAATGTACTCTCAGTTGATTCGCTATCATTGTTTCTATTCTTACGACTTAAGAGGAATTAGGATTAAAAATAATCACGACTGGAAGATATGAGCAGTGGCAGAAAAGGATTGACACGTATTATCTTCAAGTACGTGAGAATATGTACAATGTAGTTCATAAAAAAAATAATAATTACATGAAAGAGTCATACAGTGAATGGTTTCATAAAAAACTTCGTTCTTTTATCATCATTCTCTACCAGTGTTGATTACAGAATGTGAACATTTCATAGGAAAATACGTCTTTTATCAATTATTCCACTCTGATCTAGTCATCGACTCGAGAGCAGGTATACATTAGATGAACTTTCCTCATTCCCGATGGTATATATTCATCATTGCCATCTATCATTTTGACAGAAGACCTTGATTATAAAAGACTAATCACATGCGCAATCTTGATCTTTTTAAAGAATACAGAAAAATGGATTTGAATATAAAGCCGTGGAAATTTCTAATATGGGCAAAGTAATATACAGCTCTTCTTCAACAACTTTTCTTCATACTTGGATCATTTCTTTCCGTGAAATCTGAGCCAGCTTGTAAAACAGTTACACTTGGAATATCATCCGTATAAGAAGCATGTTGTGTTAAATTACAATACCATGAATAAGGTCCATGTTCTCTAACCAAACAACCTTTTAACCAATGCGAATCGCACGAGACTCGTGTTATTTGTTCTAATTGCGCACATGTTGTCCACATTAGACGATTTTCTCTTGTGTATATGAGTATATTTCCATCGTTCAAGTCCGGTGGTATAGTCAGTTGTTTAACTCTACTATCCCGTACACCGATTTCCATTAAACGTTGACGGTGACCGTAGAATACCATTTCCGTCCTCGAAGTGCTTGTCGTTGGCGGAAAAATGAAACAACAATGATTGATAAAGCGAATCTTTTTGAATGTTGGCAACGGTGTTGCTGATTGTATGTAGGTACGAAAGTCAACGCGCAGATCGCTTTTGATTGGATCGAGATTAACCAGGAGAAGTTTATTGGTCGCTTCATGACCGAAATATTCTCGACATGTGCTAGCTCGCCGTCTACCACTTGTAAACCAGCTACTGGATAAAGTTGCAAAGATCAACAGATTCACAATAAAGAGAAATAATCTCATTGTTATGTTTTCTTTTTCTTGGTAAAATGAATTTATGCGGATACAAACACAAAATAGGCGATATGATAAAGAAAAAAAACGTTAAAAAAGAGAACGCGAGAGAAAGTGAAAAATGATCCGAACAGTTGCTGCTAATTAAAGCAGCAACCGAACAGAGAAAAAGTTTTATGCAAGTAAACATCAGCAGTATATATGAGTTGTCCTTCTTCTCAGTTACACAATTTCGAGTTTAGATGATAGCACCCTTTCGATTACGAGCGATTGCTTCGCCGAGATAAATTACAGCGCCAATGAATGCAATCACTGCAGCAACGACTGCGTCTAAAAGATGAGTAGTGTTTATTTGTATTGGAAAATAGTTCAAAAATGAGCATCCTTACTATGATAGTGAGACTGGTAGCGATAATCATTACTCAAACGATTAGCAGTAATTGCAGCTCCAATACCGAAAACGATCAATGCAATAGCAGCTGCAAATGCATAGATGATACGAAGACGATTGAGAGGTACTATAGTTCCGTCGGTAATCAACAATTGTTCAATGAGAAGAAAGCCAGTAACACTTAATACTAAACGTATTTCGAAAAAATAGGTTTCGTTCTAAATAACAGTTGAATTCAATTGAACTCACATATTGGGAAAATGATCGTATAGCTTGTATGATATCCATACCAACTTACAAACGACCAACCGTTAACATGGCAGTGAATAACACCTATAACGGTCGTTACACAAGCTAATGCCATTAAAATAATAATAATGCGTCTAAGATCAGCCATACTAGATAAGTCATTCACATATAATTCTATCAGTTCATTTCGATTGTACTCACTTGAACTGTTTCGAATCTCAACTAAGAAAAACTTGTATCTGCAACTGTATGGTTATAAATATCTGTTAAGAAAATGTTTCCTTTTTTGTTCGAGGCTGATACGTATATGTATATATATATAGCGGCCTATTCTCTTATGCCAACTTATTTATTATTCACCGTACAACTCGGCACTGAGAGAGCAATATTAATGGAAGAAAGATAGAACCAACTATTTTTCCTCTCAAGAGATATAAACATATACGAAGAGAAAAATGTTCGATGCCTGACGTAACTCTTTCCTTGTGTCTCTCTCTTTCTCGGCTTTTTGGCTTCCGTCGTCAAGAATAGATTTACATTTGACCATGGATTAACTAAACATACTAAAAGATAGTGGTACACTCCTTCGCAAAAATACAAAGATAGGGTGGGCGAACATTCTAGCATTGGCACACGAGCTATATGGACTAAAATAGCACGACAAATATCAGCGTAATATTTGTTTACGGTTATCCTCCTTTCAGCTCATTAGAAAACTTTCATAGACGTCGTTGTTAATCAAATAAATAACCACTAATACAATTTCCTGAACGAGGAGCAAGGAAATGTTGATATACGCTAATCGACAAATTCGAGTTAATTAGATGATAGTTCATTGACTGTATTTATTGCTTTTAAATGAACAGACATAAACGTTCATTGATGATGTAAACAAAATGAAGACAAAAAAATGCGAGATTTTCAAAGTGTACCAGTTCAAATATCTTAGAAACACAATTCTCTTGTTATTAGCAATTATCCGACTTAGAATATCCACATACTGCTTTAACTGATTAGATTCATAATCGCATGGACAAATATTAAGACATTATTGGCTATATATCTTGTCAATAGATTACCCGCATGGCTTCTGCTTCAAGGTTTGTCAAGAATCATTAATGCTATTTGGAAGAAATTAGTGGAATGGCCTATTGAAAGACTTTCGGCCTTGCCTGATTCAAGGTATTTGTCGCTACCTAAGATGTTTTCCATCAATAAAACTAAATCGAAAATAACATCTGAAGGAAAAGGTCTGGCTCTAGTATCTAATGTTGACATATTATCTTTATATATGTATATACATATGCCCTTGAAAGATGTTAACGAGCGTCTGTTGCATTTTGTTGTAACTGATACAAAACAAATGTTTTTGTGGTGTAAAATTCTTTTAGATTTGTTTCGAAAACAACCATGAAAACGTGCCTTTTCTTAGTTGTGCTTGTTTTTCTTGTTTCAATTGAAGCAAAGAATCTATGTCGGTTCCCGAAAACTTGGAAAGCGTATGTTTGTTATCGGATCGTTCCTTTTCTTTACGGATTTATTATATTTTAGCAAATACGATTTCGATTATAAGAAACGTCCAAGTGAATGGGCAACTACGAATGCTAAAACAGATTATTATAAATTGGTGCTGTCATGGACACCTTCGTTTTGTAAAGATTTACCAGCAGCACAACGAAACCGTACGTTTCAATGTCAGTACGATGATTTCGGTTTGATTGTGTAAGGAAAAGGAATTAACTGACAATCTTTGGTTGAAAGAATGGATTTTTCAGTCATGGTTTCTGGGCTCAATCAAAAACTGCGAGAACAATGAAAAATCATCCACGGAATTGTCGCGATGATAAACAATTACCTCTATTGACAGTAAATCTCGCTTGATTTCAACTCTTTATCTTATTCAATATTTCTTCTAGATCAAACGGCACTTTTGTATGATGCCGGGTGAATCGTTAATTCAAGCTGAATGGGAAAAACATGGTAAACATTATTGTCATAAATTCATTTTCTCAAAATATTCTTTCAGGTACATGTTCATTTCGTACTGGTGAAGAATATTTAAATACAATCGAGCGACTATACTCTCAATTAATAATTCCGGATATCAAACAACTCTTACGTGATCCACGTGTTGATCAATACAAGATTAAGAAAGCTTTCTTAGACAAAAATCCCAAATTAGGTGTTAAACAAATGATTGTTTATATGAAAGGCAAGGAACTAATAGATATTAAAATATGCTATGATCTAAAATTAAATTTTACAAATTGTTACCGATAAATAGGAAAGACGTTTATTTCATTATTCAACCGTGCTTAGGGCTCCTTTTTCAGTCTAATTAGTTTAGAAAAGATTTCGGCTTTATGCCATCTAGTTTAGAAAATAAACAATGGTAAAAACAAACAAAACATGTCTGGTTATCTCTCAGTTACTATCATCACCGTCGTCGTTATCATCGCCCTCATCGATGATATAATCAGTCGAGTCGATCTGTTGTTGGATAGTTGTGTCATAATTCTGCAAAATGTCGACCAAATAGGAAGGTGTGGGATGATTTGCTGATAATAATTGCGATTGTTGCTGAGCAGTTTGGGTTTGCATGTTGAGGAAGGTAAATTTTATTAAATAATTATTACTATGATTGGGATCACGAACTAAACCGAATGCTTGATCAAATATTCCAACACATGTTCCATGCTGATGTATGGTCCCGTGAATTTGAACGAGTACAAGACCATGTTTAGACTCTTCTGCTTTATTCGATGGAATATTTGGACAAAACCGTAGATTTTGGGTAGCAACATACGAACGAAGGATATCACAGACATAATACGAACCTAAAACTCGATGTTGATTTTCATGTACAAGTGTTAATTCACAATCGGGAAAGAAATGTTCAGGTGAGAAAGTGGTCAGTGTGTTCCAAGAAGTATAGAACCATTCAGTGAATTGATGAGATAACTGATAAATCGTGGGTAATATCGTAGGTACAGCTTGATTCGCTGTTATCGCTGGTGACGATCCACTATTCCAAAATTCGATAATCTGTTTGATCAATCGAACCTAAACAAGAACGAAAACAATCGATTTGTTGATAGTTCGATCGTTGTATATTTACCTTGTCGGTACCAGCAACCACCGGTATGGATTTTCTCGCGAGATACTGCATGAGAATGTCTCTTCGAATTTTCTTCCGTCGTAACAGTTGCATAGCTGATTGAGAACATTTCAGACAAGCATCGATTGTTTCTGCTTTCTAGAAGAATAAATTTCGTTCGCAAATCCAAAAACCAATCACGAATTCTACCGTATTCGTTTTAATTATCGATTTCGTCACTGTTTCTTTAACTGACATCAATTCATCATCACCTAACAGTGAGAGAAGTTCTTGCGCTCCTAATTGTTCGAACTCATTCATATCTAAAAGAAAGTATTACCTAATTAAAAGCTAAAATCATACACACACGCGTATATTATTGCTGTTCTCTTCGAAAGAAAGACAAATAAACGTCAGTACTAAGTTCGTATGTTCGTGTTTTAGTTTTCTTTGCACCAAAAAAACAAATAAATTAAGGAGATAAAACCGTCATCCAACGAAAAAAACTGTTCCGAGTTTCTTTTCATACTGTAAAATAACAAAAAATCCTATGAATGCAAGTTTGAAAAAGAGAATTTTTTAAGAAATCGAATATAGAATCACAATTAAAGACGAACGTTAAACATTAAATGAACAGAAATCAAAGCAAAACTGAACGAAGAAAAACGGATTCGTTTAAAATTTAGTTGCTTTTTATCTTGAATAATAAACACGGTAATAGAGAGTTTTCGAACGCCATAAAGAATAGCTATTATCAAATTTAAGCAAATAAACGCCATGACCAGGGTATTGATGACTACCAGCGTAGATTTCTTCATGAGATTCACGACGAAAGATTGGAACGATTTCATCTTGATACGGTTTCGGAGGTTTATTACTACTCGAAGAACCTTTTTCGATATCTTTCTTTTCAGCTAAATACGAAAAATCATGTCTTTTGGAAAATGAGTTTCGTCAGATGAATACATACGATTAGTTCCATCTTCACCTTCTTCGTCTTCTTCTTCACTTGAATCACTGACATGAACAGTGACAGTATTCGACTGAACTTTACTCCATTCAAAATAAACGCCAAAACCTATATCGTAATAATCAGTAGCGAATTCCCAAAATATACAACGGCCATCCTCATGGGTTGGTACACGAACCTAAAAAATGAGATCGTTACCATTGAGATTTAAGAACGCAGTGTTCTCCTACAGTAACTGTTTCTCCACTGCCAATTTTGATGACAGCATCTTTTTCTTTACGAACAGCATCTTTGAATTCTTTCATGTCCTTACGTGTCCACATATTCGCAGGTACAATTGCCGGATATTCTATACAAAATCACATTTGAAATGAAAGTCACAACTGTTTTGTTTTAAGCAAACTTGAACGTACCACGTGTACCATCATCATTAATCATTGCTAATTCAGCTGCTGCGTTTATATCCGTATCATTATCATCAGTGGATTCTTGAGTTCCATTTAAATCATTATTAGAGGGTTGTTGTAATGGTGTGTTGAGAGAAAGAGATTCGAATTGAGTTTGTAATGGTGCGGACGAGTCATGTTTAGTTTCATCGATTTTATTGTTACCATTCGTTGCTGATGCAGAAGTTGATTGTTGTTCCATCGTTGGCTTCTAAATGCAAATTAGAATTGCTCCTGTGTTGTTGAACAATCTTACAGTTTGTTGTTGTTGAATTAATTGTTGGTGATAAACTTGTTGCATGTACTGCTGAAAGTGTTGCTCTTGTAGTTGACGAATTAATTCGTCTTGCTGTAGAGATTGAAAGAAAAACAATACGAATTTGAATTATCTGAAACTAAAATATATAGAAAGTCTTTTGTATACCGCTTGTCGATTATCTCTATATTGTTGCTCAGCGTAAGCTTTAAATTGTGGATAAGTTTGCTGGTTGAGAGCGTCTTGAATTTGTTTTCTAAATCAGCAATAAAGAAGGAACTTTTTTCTTCGATGTGACGTTGTTATTCTTCTTGCGCTTACCGTTGAAATTCTTCTCGTTTCTTTCTTTGTTCTTCTAAACGTGAAACTTGTTCAAGTTCGTGTTGTCGGGCTTGTTGAGCTTCTTGTTCTAATGAACGACGAATTTCATCTTCCTTTCTACAAGAAAATAAACACACATTCATTTCTATACAAACATCCCGACATTCATAAGTAGCAGACGATAATTCTCCACAGCATAGTTCGATTGTCAATTTACTCATTCTCAAAAGAGGAAAAAACATGTTAGCCTACGGTACATTACATGCATTCTTTTGTTTCTTTCGTCATTAATATTGTTAGCGTAAATGTAGAAGAAAACTACACGAAATGAAGTTGATCAACGTTCATTTGTTTCTTTCTTTCAAAGAAAACCTTGATGAAGATGAACCGGACTGTCATCTTGGAAGAAAGTCAAGTACAAATGCTAAATCTATGTTTGACGAATAGGAAAGATTTTGCTAGACTTAGGGTTATTTTATAGGGAAAAAGCAATTGACATTAGGATGGAGATAGGAAAAAAGAGGCAGAAGAAAAGAGAAAAAAATGCAAGGGACCTTCATTCTCCATCGTGTCTCGTGCCTATTTCTTCCACAGATCAAATCTGAGTATGCATATACAACATTGGGTTCTTTCTTCATCGTTCTATATAGTTTTTTTTCTTCTTTTTCTCCAGTTCTTTTTTCTTCTTCTCCTTCCCCGTTTGTGTTCACTGCTAGGGAGAAAAAAGTAACCGAACAGCAAATAATGGGAGAAACAACAATCATCAATAGGGATATAACGTCATTTATTAGTTGATAGGGGAGAGAAAAAAAGAGAATGGAGTAGAACACAGTTAAGTAGAAACTCAGAGACTAGTGTTGTACGATCACGCAGAAGAAGAAATGGAAGGAGGAGAAGAAGAAGAGAAAATGATCGCGCTATAACGACTGATAGGTGTCGGAATAAGATAAAATAGCCAAAGGAATCATTTCGAAGTTGATTTCGGAGTGTAAATAGTCTTTCTCGCTTCCTTTTCTTGCAGATATCTCTAGTACAGCTTTGCCTGGAGTGAAAGCGAATATTTGCATGTTGGAAACATACACAAATTGTCCTTCTTTTCTTTCGGTAAGAATTCTACCAGATTGATAGTGTCAAACTACATGTCGAAATCACGCAATAGTATAACTCGTCTCTTCTTTTTTCTTGAGTTTCTTGTTTCATCGGATTATTTTACATCGGCGACATGCGAGTTTTCATAATAATGTCGAAATGTTTACCTTAATCGATCTTTTTCTTCGTTTTCAACATGATGTGCTTCTAAATGAAGTCGAAACGTCGGACATCGTTCGAATAAAAATTTAATAAATTCTTCTTTTGCTCGATCTTGCGACATATCTCCTAATGCAATCCATGCTTGTCTACAACAGAAAGTTTTCCCATTGAAATTTTCCACTTGCTCGCGATTTACTTTCGATCATTTCCAACAACATCAAGCAGGCCAACATTTTGCGTATATGATGCGTCCCATTTACCGATCGTTGCTTGTTTGGTTAAAGCAGCAAATCGAATGTTATCAGCATATTTCAATTGAATTGCTTTACTACCTTGCTTCTCTAGAAACAACGAATGAGAAGCCTTATGACATGATTTTAGCTGATCAATTTACCTTTGAGAAAATGTCGTGCCATGTTGAATAAGTCATCCATGGGAAATCCGAACTCTTCAACGAGAGTCGGCGAATGATTTTCATCTGTGATTGTATCACTATTCTTGGTCGGAGTAGAAGACATAATTTGATTTGAATTGGGTGCTGCAACGATTACTTGTCCAAAGAAATTATCGGTAAAGATTTCATCATTAGCCTTGTTCATGAACAGATGTATCTTTGGTGTTTTCTCACTTCGCTTCCAATTTGTCAGAAATCGATTGTTCGGTTTTTATGTATTCAAGGTACTTGATACAAAAATTTGATTACGACAGCATTTGAGAGATACACAAATGGACAACGTAATGAACCAATGGGAGCCTCGAACGACAGAGGTGAAATGTGGATTGTCATGTCAATACGTAGATTCTGATTGGAGGTTTTTCAGTTTCAACAATGAGTTCGATAAAACGAAATCTTGACTGACACTTGCGTTGCGTTTTTTTTCTCTTTTCGATTTTTATCCATTTGAAGGACGTGAAAACAATGGCGCAACTACTATCAAATGAAGATGAAGTTTTAGAAGCCTTCGATCCATCGATCGCGGCTTCGCGACGATTTAAGTACGTATTTATTCTGATAATTTCATCACCGCTAATGTGATAAGCCATAATAGTGATATATCTGACGAATTTCTTATCTAGACATCCAATAGCTGTCTTTTTCCATATGGCTTTTCGTTCATTGGCAATTGTTGCTTATTTCGTTTGTTCATGGGCGAAAGCAAGTTTTGTTACATCGTTTGTGATTATCATCATTTTACTTTCAATGGACTTTTGGACAGTGAAAAATATAACCGGTCGTTTACTAGCTGGTCTTCGTTACTGGAATTATGTAGACGATGCGGGAAATAATCATTGGATTTTCGAATCGAAAAAAGTGAGATGCACCTATGAAAATGTATATAGCATTGAAATTGATATCTTCTAGGGAAATGACAAAAATACTGTTTCACAGATTGAATCGAATATCTTTTGGCTTTCATTAATATTTACAATACTTCTCTGGGTGATTCTGACTATTACAACTCTATTTTCTCCATCATATATTGTGAGTAATCTACTGGATTTGCAATGAAATCATGCTATTAGTTGCTTTGAACTGTTTAGATTATTACAGGTGTTGCACTAGCATTGAATATTACAAATTTATACGGTTTTGTTCGCTGCAAATTTGGTTCAAATGAAAAAATCTCTGATGAAATGAAGAAAAGCGTCTTTAAGTCATTCTTATCACGTGTAACGACTGGTGGTGGTCTTTTTCCGACTTCCTCTACTACCCCAACTGCCGATGCTCAACCGTCTACAACTGGTCGAACAATGTTCGGTCCGTAACACAGTTACATTACGAAGGAAGAACATCTATTTTATGTATGCGTTGTTTTCTTTTATTTATATGTAATATATACTGTTTTCAACAATAACTATGTACCGATAGAAAAATAACAAAGACGTTCAAGGTTTATTGTTTAGCAAAATATTATTGATAATGCTTATAACCTTGATTTCGTCAAAGAAACTGAATAGAAAAACGATACGCACTCTCACGTTAAAAATTGTCTTCGAGAGTTGTATTTTATTAAATTTTGCATTCAAACTCTTTCTCTCTCGAGTTATCCATAAGAATAAAATTTATGACAAAGAGCAACATATTTTTCTCGAATAGCAAACTTAGTGCGATAAATTTATGTTTTGCATACACATGAGTCGATGGCTATGATCGAGTGCTACACAACCTTGGAAATCTACGTTAAACATGTGATGTTTTTGTGTGTACAGAAATCTAACAGAGTATAAACTCCGATCGATCGTAAATTTAACAGTGCATTTGGACAGGAGTAGCGTAAGGAACGATGTTGTGCCACATCTTCATCTTAGTTTTAATACAGTATTTATGTATTTTTGAACGTTGTGATGGTCATGGTTATTTAGCTGATCCACCAGCTAGAAGTTCAGCCTGGCTGTTCGACAGTGATTTTGCATCTTGTTGCTCGTATTATGATCATGCCCAAATGTTTTGCGGTGGAGTTTATAATCAATGGATGCGACAAAGTAAAGCTATGTTTATTGAATCAATAGGAATTTTCTTAGATCAATCGATGATTTCTAGACGGAAAATGTTCGATATGTGGTGAAGCTTATGATACTAAGACAACGTTATTTGGTAAAGGTGGTGCGATGTATCTGGGAAAAATTGTTCGTCAATACGTGAAGGACTCATTTATTCCCGTTACTGTTGTTGTAAGTTTGCCATCGCTTGATTTGTATCCTTCGATTTTTCGTTTCGCTGCTAGCTAACTGCAAATCATCGCGGTACATTTGAGTTTCGTGTTTGCAATATTGATGATAATGATGGCAAAGATGCCACACAAAGTTGTCTGGATCTAACTCCATTATCCGTTGTCAATGGTTCAACGAAATACTATGTGGAGTCAACAACTACGACAATACATTTAAATCTTTCGTTACCTGCGAATCTAACATGCAAACATTGTGTCTTCCAATGGAAATATATCACTGGGAATAGTTGGGGAAAATCACAAGGGAAAGCTTGTGTTGGGTGTGGGGATAAGAATGAAGAGTTTTATGGTTGTTCAGATATTGCCATTGTGGAAGAACCGACTATCAATGTTACAAAAGCTATAAGTGGTCCTCGAAAATGTTACACAGCTGTAGCGTTCAGTCGATCGTTCGACTTGACTGGTCTTATGAGTCAATATTGTCAACGAATTTGTTCAACTGATTGTTCGTTAGAAAAAGAAAAGAACAGTACCAATCTTTACAAAGCTTGTGTACGATCTTGCAATGTGCTCTGCGTTTGTGAATAGGAAATACTTTTATTGTTGCTTTTCATTCGAATTAATCTTGCAAAAATAAAAATTCATTTCAGAATCGATAGATTTATCTTCGAATAGACTTTCGATTGCTTTTACAGCAAATACATTCATGCTACACTTTTGACTAAATAGTCATTTCAAGTTTAGCAATCAATTAAGGAACTTTGCTATAAAATCAATACGAACAAGCGATGATCGAAAATAAATCAAATCGATTTTGTTGGATTAGTTTTGTCGATTTACAGCCTGTTCAAGAAAGTGTATGTAACGTTTCGTTGGAAGATCTGTTCCATCAGAAATTCTAGAAAGATATGAACGAAATCCAATTCCATGAAGCAATTGAAACTTTTCAAGATTTACATGTTAAGAAACTGTTCTGATGTGGATTCGAAATTTAATAAATCATTAGCATTGATTTTGGCAATGACTGTACCGTCCGGTTGTTGAATTATTGATTCGACCGGAAAAGCATAATTATCAAGGGCTTGTTTGGCACGTTGGGAATCTTGGATGGTTTCATTGGTTTGATTGGAGATAATAGCCTATACAGACGATAAAAGAAATGTATGAGAGAAAATGGATTAGATAGAAAATGTTCAAGTGACTTTTAAATCGACTACTAATGCCCATGTTGATACGAAATGTTCACGCAACAAATGTAGAACGGCCGAACTTTCGAGAACTAAATAAAGCAAAAATCAGTTGATACCGTTGGATTTTTTCATGGAAAATTGCGAAATAACCTGTTTCTCGTAAAGTCCGGCCAGAACCTCAGCATGATTGATCATCCAATGCACCCCAAAGAATGATCGCATGAATTAATTTATTTGTTTCTTCAGCTTTTTTGAATGCTTGACAGTATTCATAATAAGGAATCTGGAAGAGATCAAGATAATCGTAAAAACTTTCCGAAATGACATACGTCCCTACCTCTTTGAATGGATAAAAAAATCGTTCGAGTAAATCGTATGTACTTTTTTCATCGAGGAACTCGTCAGTCATCCAATTGAAGGATTTCAACAGTTTTTCATACATTTCATCAGTTACAGCAGAAACAAAATGTTCAGACGATGTTTTAGTTTCATTCATATCGATCGATGGTGCAGCTGAACGCAATTCCATTTGAGGCATATATCCGATATCTACTTCCATCGAAGGTGCTGAACCACCGACATTTGTCAACCATTCCATATCTGATTTGAAATCGAACTAGAAAGAATATGATGACTAAATCTGGTATTTACCGATGTTTAATCGTTTTTCAGTCGGCAGGTACATGTGAAAGTAGGTCAATTCCGAAGCATCTTCACGAATAATCAGACGACCTTGAAGCTGACCCGGAGTGAACCAAAATGGATGATAAGGCGGAGTATTCAGTTGATATTCCGCATGAATTCTACATAAGAATATATATTCAACATGTTTCTGATTAAAATAATAAGAAACAAACCGAAAATAGATGTCAAGGAAAGGTCCATATCGAGCACGAACTACTGCAGCTGTGCCTTGTGGTGGAAATCGTGAGAGAATAAATGGACGTACATGAAACATGCTTAATAGACGATGGAAAATCACCTGATCATCTTCAACATCTGGTGGGTAATATCTGTAACAAGAACCATTGATGATGCATGATTCTTTTATTCGAATATTTCTTACCGATTCGCTGAAATATGTTCTTCTCGTTGTTGTTTAGTTGCTTCTATAATCCAGTAGGGTTTACCGATTTCAATCCGTTTCGGTATAAACGATTTGAAATGTCGGGCAGCAAAATTTAATCGCGGTATGAATGGTTGTGTCCATAATTTCAATGAATATAGTTCATCTAGATTACCCTGAAGATTTGCTTTTCAAAATTACAAATCAAACGTGTATATAAACATACGAGATATGCATGGCGTACATTTTGCGACATTGTCGAGAAATTTAATGGTTGAAAAAACGCATTGATAGTAACTAATTGATCCGAGCCCAATATGGGTTGAATGTAATCTGTGGATTGCTTTTTATTGTTGAACTGAGAAGCAAGAGCTTCGAATTCATCTAAGGACAAGTGACCATCATAATTTCGATCGTATTTTCGGAATAAATGGATGGTTTCCGATGGGTAATATTGCTCATCAAATGAATTCTCATTATTAAAATAAAATTTGAATTTATTTAGAACTGTAAATAGCGCCACCGATGAAATTAGAACGAGACTAAATATGAGAACATATCGTGCAGATATGTAAAAAGTTGATGTTTTGGAAGCTCTTGCTTGTTGTTCAGTTGATTTAAATGATTGATCTTCTTTTCGCCGTTGTCGAAGATCGTTCATTGTTACTCTAGTTGTTGGGTACTTTCTACATGTTTTTACACATGTAAAGTCTAAAGTTAATGATTCGAAAGATATGCTGGGTAAAATATCAAGACGATCAAGATTAATCGATGCGAAGATTCACATCTGTTCGATTTTGTAAGTCATTTCGAATCAGATTGCTGTTTTAACGACAGCAATTCATTCCGAAAACTTCAGCTTATAGAAAAATCGGTATTAGGACTTGAAATTAATTTGATTAAAGTTGATAATTGAATTTTCATCATGTAGAACATATTTAGGTTGATTGTTTCTTTATGTGATAGATTTGTATGTTAATGGGATCATTCATCACTGCCATCTGTCGGTACCTCTCGAGTTACTTTGATGATCGTCGCTAATCACAGCTGTTTCGAATGCAAACAAATAAATAAACAACTAGTAGTGTCCACAAAAAAGACGCGTACATGTTTATTACTTTACTTATCGGACGTAGATAGAGGTTATTTATCGGTAATTTTCTTTTACGTTATGGCTTCGCACGAGGTACAGTTGTTCTACTGCGAACTGATTCGATAATACTAAAATATTCGATTAATATCAATTGATCAGTAGTCCGAACGTATAGGATCATATGAAAAGGTGAATTTACCGTATTAAAGTAACGGTTTGATGATCTACTACTTATATTTTTTCTTGATAAATATTTTTTCTTTGTAGAAGTATAGAAATTACGTCGACGTATCCGTTTGTTATTGGCAAATACATAAACTAGGTCAACAATTGTAGGCATATGTTTTCTTAGAAAATCAACAATGGGTGAGCCAGCTGAGAATGGTTAGCAAGGAATTTTTTCATGCAACATAGAATTGGTTATTTGAATGCTCAGATACCCTTCGTGAGAAACGCTTTTTCACCTCGAGTAACGCTTTCTTCTAATGTTTAAGTGTACATCAACACACTTTGTTTTTCTTCCGAGTCAGTACCAGAAGCAACGGTTGAATAACTAAAGTTTCGATGTGTAAGGTTAAAAATACGGACGATTTTCTCAAGCACGCATTTTCCGTGTGCAATGGTTGAGGTACAAGCTTTGATTTTGGATGAGTCACCAGTTCTTATCAAAACATAAAGCAATATCACCTCAAGCCAGAAATGTTCTTCATTGTTCTATTTATCTTTCAGATGAAATATTTTAATATGTATTCTCTAGTTTATGATGAGAAAACCTACAAGCGATAATGGCAATGAATCTATTCATTCTCTCTTTTAGATCGCCTCTTTAGTAGGAAGTGTGGAGGAGTTAGTTATATATTTTAGTTAGAGCATACAAGTAAGTGAACTGTGCTTGGAATAATGATTGATATTTGGTTATTTTCGAAGAGATTTTTAGAATATAGGAATGGCTTCATCATCCGTTGATAACGTAGAGTCTCCCTCATCAATAGAACGTCCTTCTGGTGAAGATGAAAAATCTCCAACAACAAATAATAATCATGATGAACAACATCGAAAATTATTTATTGGTGGATTGAGTTATACCACTGCTGATGATAAATTAAAGTAGTTTGATTTAATACGGAAATATCTTTTTGAATTCAAAGTCGATATTTTTAGAGAATATTGTTTAAAATACGGTGAAATAACTGAATGTACTATTATGCGGGATCGCGAAGGTCGATCGCGTGGCTTTGCATTTGTTAGTTTTAAAGGTTTGTTGCTTTTTCCGAAGTCCGGCACGGTTAACGGTTTACATATGAATAGATCGTGCAATGGTTGATAATTTTATGACGCAACGACCTCATACCATCGATGGTAGACAAACCGAACCGAAACGTGCCATGCCCCGAGATGAAGCATCAAGACCAGAAGGACAATTAACAGTTAAGAAACTTTTTATTGGAGGTGTCAAAGAAGAAGTAATCGAAGATGATCTGAAGTAAGATGAGAAACGAAAACTTTGCGAGAAAAAAACAAATTTCATGTTTGCCCTTGCTTTTAGAACTTATTTTCAAAAGTTTGGCCCCATAGTTGAGTGTAAGATTATGAAGGATAAAGAAGGTTTGTAACAAAAGAAGTCCGGAGAAGACAATGGAAGTATTATATTCACTCGTTTCTAGATAAACCTCGCGGTTTTGCATTTATAACATACGACGATTATGACTCGGTCGATTGTTGTATACTGGAGAAACCTCATGTAATCAATGGTAAAGAACTAGATGTGCGTAAAGCAATTCCACGCGACCAAACTTCACGTCCAAATGCTTTTCTATTCAATACAAATATTGATTTTTATCAACCACCAAATCGTTATCAACCTCAATTAATGGTCAATCATCCTGCACTGCCTCCTCCTCCATTTTCGCCCTATGCATTTTTTCCTCCATCACATTATCTCTCCAAACCCATGCCGCTAATGAGTACAACGAATTCATGTTCCCAACCAGGTTCAATGCCACCGCCGCCAACATTTCTCCTACCACCGGAAATGGCAACGAATACCCTTTTTCGTAACCAAACATTTCCTTCGCCACCACCGTCAACTTCATCCACAGCACGAACAAATAATACCACGAATAACAATAATAATACCAATCCTAATGCACAAAATCAAAATGGCAACAAAACGAGACTGAATAATGATGTGCAGTCACCACCAAACGATGTATCAAAGAACCCTCAAGTTACTACAAACAATCCTGATCTGGTCAATTATTCAACACCGATGAAATCAAAACCACGGTAAATATCTTCATTTCCTAATCTGAATAATACATTACAGCGCGCCATAGATTACAACGTTACCTTGGTTCGACATATGATGTTAAATCTGAGCAACACCGCAAATTGTTTATTGGGGGATTATCGTTCAAGTAAGAGATTTCACTTAACGAGCCACATAGAATTGATCGGATGATTTCTAGAACTACCGATGAAACATTGAAAGAATATGTGACGAAATATGGCGAAGTCAGTGATTCACTAGTAATGAAAGATCAAAATGGTCAATCACGTTGTTTTGGTTTTGTCACTTTTACTGACCCACAAGTCATTGATGAATTTATGAAACAACGACCACATATTCTCGACGGCCGTCAGATTGATCCAAAACGAGCAAGTAGGAGAATTTTTAACTATTGACATGAGAAATCTATTTCATTCTCGACTTATGTCAAGTGCCACGTGAAGAAGCAAATAACGATGAAGTTCATTTAACAGTTAAAAAGATCTTTATCGGTGGTATACGCGATGGATTGGATGAAGATGCGTTAAGAAAATATTTCGAAAAGTATGGCCGTGTGAACGACTGCTTTCTAATGCATGATAAAGATGGTAAAACACGTGGCTTTGCATTTTTGGAATTCGATGGTAAGTTCGACAAGAACATTCACGATTCGGGAGATCTAATAAGCATAGAAAATATCTTGTTCTATCGTTCATATTAATATGAATTCAGAGCATATCTTTCCTTTCCTTTCAATTTATCGAGATGGATGATAAAGAGTAATTTACAGTCAAGTATTGATAGGAGGTGAAACGAGTTATTTGATTAATTGTAGACTTTGATTCTGTTGACAAAGTTATCTTAAATCGCCCACATATCATTGGTGAATATCGCGTGGACGTTAAAAAAGCCGTGCCCAAAGATCAACGCCAATTACAAACTCAACAGCAACAACTTCAATTACAACAACAGCAACAACAATACGCTCTCCAAATGCAAGCGGCAGCTGCCTATCAATATTATTATAATCATTCACCGTACAATCTGTTGACTAATACTGCTTGTACGCTTCCAATATCATCTGCTCCGTCGTTGATGACGCATAATGGTAATACTGGTGCTGGTCTAGATGATATTTTTTCTCATCTGCGAACATCGAACAATACAACTAATATCTCGAATTCTCTTCGTTATATTCCTACACGCAATAATCGTCGACAATCATCACGTGGTAGTCAATAATACAATTGATTATTATTTTTTTACTTTGTTTATGCTTTTTTTCTTACAATTTACTCATCTATATACATGTTATACATATATATATATATTTCTACACATATCAGCGTGTGTGTATGTGTGTTTAAAAGCAAAACTCAATCTCCCACTCAATGTCTGAAGTGAAAATGGTGAAATAAGAAAAAAAGACAAACAAATAAAGAAAAAAAGCCGCAGTGCGTTGGTTTTGTTTGATGTTACTTTTCTTTTTCTAGTATTAGTGCTATTTATATTCTTCTTGTTATTCTTCATTTCTGTTTTCTTTTTTATTTTAATCATTCACAAAGCGTGCTTTCCCATACTTATGCATCTACATTTCGATATACATACATTTATATCTAAACTGTGTTCTTCAGTTTAAAAAAAAACATAGTTATGGATAGTTGGGGAAGTAAAGATCCGATTGTTATTTTCACTTGTTTTTTTAAAGAAAACAAAATACTCATTTTTTAAAATAAAAACCATTGATAATAGGTTTTTCTTTCAGATTTTGTTTTTGACATGTACAATTCGTTCTATTGACGATAACCGGTAAGCAAAAGCTAGGCAGATAATTATCGAGTTTCTCATGTGTTTGATAAATGAGATGTTTCTTTACGTTAATGATTATACGACGAGTGTATGTGCTAAAGGAGTTGTTATTATAAATGAGCATCACTGTGATGTAGACTGGGTGATCATTACCGTTGTTTGTCATGGATTGAATTTGAAATGATGCTGTTTGTTTTAATCACTAGAACAAGATGGTATCTGTGGTCCGTGCCCAACAAGTCTTGTTCAAAACTCAACGTTTTAATAATATTTCATGGTTGATTCGTCGTACGACTTCTTCTGCTCCTACTCCAACAACAACTGAACTAGCTCAAAAGGTTGGTCATCAAGTTGCAGCTGAGATTGTCGATCCAGCGAAGAAGGTCATCGCAGGTGCACCATACAAATCACTCTCAATCGGTGTACCCAAAGAAACGTTTACGAATGAAAAACGTGTCGCACTAACACCGACTGTCGTTTCGGCACTTGTCAAAAAAGGTTTGAGGGCATTCTATTCTTTGCAATGGTGCTAAACCTTCTGTAAATAGGTTTTACTCTAAATGTCGAAGAAAATGCTGGTATAGGTGCATCATTTCATAACGAAGACTACCAAAACGCAGGCGCAAAGATTGTTTCAAGAAATGCGGCATATTCATCAAACATTATTCTTAAAGTTCGACAACCAAGTTTTGAAGTATGTTTACTTTTAAAATGAATTGCTTTGTCTTTCTGCGTTTTCGTCTTTAGGATGTCAGTGTTTTTCAAGAGAAATCAACACTGATTTCATTCATATATCCAGTGCAAAGCAAAGCGATCGTTGATGAACTTGCAAAGAAACAAGCAAATGTTTTTGCTATGGGTAGATTTTTTCGGAAAATTATAATTCATTTCATTGGTTTTCTTTTCTTTCGAATAGATTGTATTCCTCGTATATCTCGAGCTCAAGTATTTGTCCTCTTTGGATATTAAACTGATCCTAATTTTATTTCTGATAAAAGGTGTTCGATGCTCTCAGTTCAATGGCAAACATCGCTGGATATAAAGCTGTTATCGAAGCAGCAAATAACTTCGGTCGATTTTTTACTGGTACATTTTTTTTCGAATTCTTTCGATTTCATATTTATCTGTTCGATTAGGTCAAATTACTGCGGCTGGAAAATCGCCACCAGCAAAAATTTTGGTTATCGGTGGTGGAGTTGCAGGTCTAAGTGCCATTGGTACAGCTCGTAACATGGTATGAGTAACTGTCTTTCCTCGTCATTTCCACATTATCACGAAACAGCCATCATAGTCATAAAAAGAAATCGTTCTACTGTAGTGTAAGATTTATTTGCTTGCCATTTTGCCATTTTAAACATTTCTTTGCGGTTAACCATGTGTATATGTTCACAGTAGAAAATAATGTTTGACAACGAAATAGATCTCTTATTGATTACTTCTTTTTTTTGGTTTGATTTCAGGGTGCAGTAGTTCGAGCGTTTGATACACGTCCAACAGTCAAGGAACAAGTACAGTCAATGGGTGCAGAATTTCTTGAACTTCATTTTAAAGTATGACTAATAGTGAGAGGATCAATATCAGTGAATGATGATTTTCTTCTAGGGAAGCGAAAGTGGAGAAGGTTCTGGTGGTTACGCAAAAGTACATCACCTTGTTGTTGTTTGATAAGAAGAATTTTCATTGGGATTTTCAGGAAATGTCGCCAGAATTTATCGAAGCTGAAATGGCGTTGTTTGCGAAACAAGCGAAAGAAGTTGACATTATTATTACAACAGCTTTGATTCCAGGTACGCAAATACAATGAACTTTTGATTGTAGTCATCCCATTGATCTATTTGATAGGCAAACCGGCTCCAAAATTGATTACAAAAGTTCGTTTTTAATCAAACGAAAAGCAACAAATATGAAGTCGATAATTTTAGGAAATGATTGAGAGTATGAAGCCTGGTTCAGTTGTCGTAGACTTAGCTGCCGAAGCTGGTGGAAACATCGAAACGACACGTCCAGGAGAAAAATATATTTATAAGGATGTAGTTCATATTGGTTATTCCGATCTTCCATCACGTTTACCTGGACAATCATCGAATTTATATGCAAATAACATTTCGAAATTTCTTTTATCGATTGGTAGTCAAGATCATTTTTACATTGATTTAAATGACGAAGTTGTACGCGGTTCGTTGATTTTACGCGAAGGTGAATTGATGTGGCCACCACCAAAACCAGCCGCTATTGAAAATCCTCTTTCGAAAGCTGCGAAGAAAGAAGTTAAACAAGAAGCCAAAGTTGCCGCAGAAGTTTTACCACCAAACTACTTTGCTCAATACTTGAAAGATTCATTATTATATACATCAGGTCTCGGTGTACTTCTTGGCTTGGGTATTGCTTCACCAAATCCCCAATTTGCCAATATGATTACAACGTTTGCTCTGTCGGGTATTGTTGGTTACCATACAGTTTGGGGTGTTCAGCCAGCTTTACATAGTCCTCTGATGAGTGTAACCAATGCTATCAGTGGTATTACTGCTGTCGGTGGTCTTCTATTGATGGGTGGTGGATACTATCCACAGACTATTCCTCAAGGTTTGCCAAATAAGTTCGCTGTGTAATTCATTGATCTGTTTATGTTATTAGGATTGGCCACTGCTGCTGCATTTATATCTAGTATTAACATCGGTGGTGGATTTATTATTACACAACGAATGTTGAATATGTTCAAACGGCCAAGTATGTCTTGCACAGAATTTTATTCACTTACACATTCAATTCTGTCGGTCTATGTTTATAGCTGATCCGCCTGAATACAATTATTTGTATTTAATTCCGGGTGCATCGTCAATTGGTCTATATGCATGGGCTAGTCAACAAGGATACCATGATATCAATCATTTAGCATATTTAGCAGCATCACTCTGTTGTGTCGGTGCTCTTGGTGGCTTAAGCAATCAAACAACAGCTCGTCTTGGTAATTCACTTGGCATGATTGGTGTTTCATTAGGTAAGCCGACTTTTAGAATTTTCATATAATTTTACCAATCAACTTATCAATCAAAACTAGGTTTGGCTGCAACACTCGGTTCAATTCATCTCGACATGCCATTGATCACACAGATTGGTACAACTATGGGTACGGGTGGTTTGATTGGTGCACTCGTTGCTCGTCGTATCGCAATTACAGATTTACCACAATTAGTTGCCGCTTTTCACTCACTTGTCGGTATGGCTGCTGTACTTACATGTATTTCGCATTATATTGCTGAATGCGAGCATTTTGTCCATGATCCAGCCGCATCAGTCATCAAAACGGCTCTATTCTTGGGTACATACATTGGTGGTATTACATTTTCTGGCTCATTGATTGCCTATGCCAAATTACAAGGTCTCATGAGCGGTGCACCCATCATGTTACCAGGTCGTCATGTATTGAACACAGGTTTAGCAGCAGCCAACGTTGCTGCACTAGCTTACTATATGATGAGCGCTGATCCACTCGTTGGTATTTCAATGTTAGGCTTAACATCAGCTTTATCAATGACCATGGGTTTAACATTGACTGTTGCCATTGGTGGTGCTGACATGCCTGTAGTTATTACAGTACTTAACTCATATTCGGGTTGGGCATTATGTGCAGAGTAAGAAACGAATGAGTGATTCTATGGACAATGTGATCATTATCTTATTATTCATTATAGAGGTTTTATGCTCAACAATTCATTAATGACAATCGTTGGTGCTCTTATTGGAAGCAGTGGTGCTATTTTATCGTACATTATGTGCAAAGCCATGAATCGTTCATTACCTAATGTCATCCTTGGTGGTTACGGGTATGTTGTGTGTATGACACGAAAGAATAATTGCTTATCTTTCTGAAATTTAGTACGGATTCAACAGGTACTGGCAAAGCCATGCAAATCACCGGCACACACACTGAAGTTAATGTTGACCAAACAATCGATCTTATCAAAGAATCATCATCAATTATCATCACACCAGGCTATGGTCTATGCGTTGCTAAAGTAAGATTTCCATCTACAGAATAATTAAACTTGGAAAAACAACGCATTATTTGTTCTTGTAGGCACAATATCCAATTGCTGAAATGGTTGATATCTTACGTAAACATGGTAAAACAGTACGTTTTGCTATTCATCCAGTAGCTGGTCGTATGCCTGGTCAATTGAACGTTCTATTGGCTGAAGCAGGTGTTAGTTATGATATTGTTCACGAAATGGAAGAAGTCAATCATGAATTTCCCAATACTGATCTTGTTCTCGTCATTGGTGCTAATGATACCGTTAACTCAGCTGCTGAAGAAGATCCAAATAGTATTATTGCTGGTATGCCTGTTCTTAAAGTCTGGCTTGCTAAACAAGTAAACTCGCTGCTTCATTGTTATGATGATCGAATCTCTTTTTCGTGAATTCATAGGTTGTCGTCATGAAACGATCACTTGGTGTTGGTTATGCCGGTAAATACGAAATCAGTTGCGTTTTTTCTCTCATCAAATCGATTCTTTCCTTTAGCTGTCGACAATCCAGTCTTCTTCAAACCTAATACTTCAATGTTATTAGGCGATGCCAAGAAAACGTGTGACAAATTATTAGCGAAGCTCAAGGCTGACTATGACGAAGGAGGAGCCAGCGGTTCCGCCTCTGAACCCTCATCACCGTCCGGCAAAGCGCATTAAAATAGATAAAAGAAGCCACACAATTCTCTCTCTGTCTAGTTTATGTAGTGTCTCACACATCGGAACCTTTTCTTTTCTACTTTTTCTTGCTGTCCCTACATTCCAAAGTAGTTTACTGATGTCGAGAAATATCGTAGTCTTTATTTTAAGAAATAAAATCTCCTCCTGATTATAAAACAATGTCAATATTTAAAACCAGTCTTCCAACGTGTTTGGGAACTGACTACATAATCCATACGAGCAACTGAATGTATCAATTCACATGTAGAATTATAGAAATCGTAATTGTAAGCGAAGCATTCTTCGAATACATATTGATTGTAGTTTCTTGTAAAATCAACACATTGGCGAACGCAATCGTCAAGAACTAAGGCAGCAGCGACATGAATACGATCATTTGCCATATTTGAAATACGACCATATTCCACAGTGACAGTTCCGTCGGGTATCGATGACATTCCACAAAGCGAATTTTCAAAAAGAATAAACAGAAAGATCAAATGTCTACAAAACACGAGCAAATGTTTATCCTGAACAATTATTCCTTTTACCTGATTGATAGCATTTTGTTTTGTTTGAAAAATTCACTGGTTTTGTTGAAATATTATTTTAGCAAAATATTGTCGCACTTTTTCTCCCAAGTGGAACATTAGAAAAATGTCGAAAGAAAGCTTTTCCGCTTTCAAATCTAACTCTTAAGTACACTTATACAATAAATAGAAGAAAATCTTTTATGTAGTTGAGAAAAACAAGGCATCGTCGTCACTGAAAATACATAAAAGACTTGCCAATGAACGCGCTTAGAATAAATCTATTTCTATACCTAAGAAAACAACTCCATGAATTAATTTTTCAGTTTTTGCTTCTGTAATTTTCGTTTTCTTTCTAAATGTTAACTCATGTGACTCAAGAATATTTAATATGTTCAACAATTTTCTTCACTATTGTTTCCCATCAGCAATTGATTCACTGAATGAACCGCTCGTAACGACCGATGCGCAGATAGAAGTCGAATGTAAAGAATTTCTACCTGAAGTCTATGACACATGGATATATTTGCAGAAACTCTCCACTGATTCCACACATTTCCGAGAAATTCACGATCTTTATAAATACGAACGTTCGGAAAATGAGCGACGATCTTATTTCGAGCAATTGAAAGTGCTCGATGATAATATTTATAAACTATCACTCACTATTCATCAACGCATTCAAACATTAGAGAAGATTGCTCAACCAACATTAGATGAATTTCGTCGGAGTTCATCAATGGATCAACCCACTAATGAATACATTCCAGCGTATATTCGTATCGCTCGGAATCAACTAAATAGTGTCAAATCATCGTTTCAACGTTTGATATCTCAATATAACATCGATGCAATCGAATTTCAAAACGAATTGAAAGAATCGCTGCGTCATTCCAAAACCATGATCGATTCCTATCAACAAATCTCACGAGCAACGGTTGATAAAATTAAATCTCTATTCAACTCCGATGATGAACACATCCAATTAGTTCAAGAACATATCCCATCGGAACAGCCAAGTCTATCCGCACAAGAAGAACAAATCACTGACTTAGAAGCCCGACTAGAGAGCATACGAATATTAAAAGAACGCATTCGTCAAATGAAGTAACTCCTATCGAAATTCAATATTGGTTGACGATGTTTTCTTTCTTTTTTCAGTGAAATGACAATGGCATTGTATTTCTCTGTTCAAGAACAAAATGAACTGGCGGATAATATTTGGCTAAACACCAGTGCCGGATCAGATTACATCGCTCAAAGTTTTGATGAAATTCAGTTAGTAAAAAGAATCAAACAGTCAAAGAGAAACCTGTGGATCAAACTGTTTTCTATAATGTTTTGTTTTTTCCTAATTCTTGTTCTCATTCTTATTCTCGCACTGATTTTCAATCAGAAATAGAAATTCCAATTGTTCATTACTTATATGTATTCAAAAAGCTGCCCCGATAAAAGATGTGAAGCATAACCCAATGAAATTTCAAAGTTTACAAAGAACAAAAAACAGAAAAAAATCTTGTGCGGCTTCTATACAGATGAGTATGAATTATAAATCGATGGGATTTGAATCAAATTAGCTATTAATCGATCAATACATGAGTCCGATTCATAATCTATCATTGATATCGATGGATAATAGAATGACAGTTGAGGAAGTAACATTCGTAGTAATGTCCACACGTTCGTGCGTAATGAAATGAGATGCGTTTGATGTATACACGGACTACAATTGGATTCCTCGGTTGAATAACTACTTGTGGACTGTAACGAACGTAGATTATGTATTTCACTAGAAAAAGTAATTTTTTAAAAGAATTTTAAGGTAAATATGCATGTTAATTTACTCGGATTTGTCCATTTTCTTATTATCAGGCATTAATAATTTATCCGTAAGAAAACATGAGGAAAATTCAGATGGTTGTTCACGTATTGTTTTCATGGATTCATCTTTGATTTCTGTATTGACGTACAATGCCGTTGACCAGTTCGTATGTGGTGATGGATTGAGACTTTCATATCGTGCACGTTTTGCTTCACGATTCGGATGATCATTGGATGATGATGTCGTTATTGTAGAATTTGATACGCTATGTTGTCGTTCGTGTTTCGACATATGTCTAAAAATACCAAATGGCATGAAAGGATTTTTATGCTAGACAAAGTTTTGATGCGATAGGTTATAAATAGATGTTTTAATGAAGTTTTCTTTAGGAAGATTTCATTAAAACTAAGCTTTTTTCATTCGAACCTGATATTAATCGTTGAATAACTGCATTTTTGGCATCGAAGAACACGATTATTTAAATGACATCTCTATAAAAAAGAAAAGAACCATTATAAAGAAATCTTGTCAGAGGGTTGGTGAGCGTTTACGATGTGGCAATCATATTTTGACTTTAAGAGAGTTGCATAGGAACACAAATGACATTGTCGAACATTTACACCTAGTTCTCCATGTTCTTGAAAGAGATGTTCACGGAAATTGTTGATATCTTTGAATGTTCGTGTACATTGACTACATATGTGTAGTACTTTGTTCGATTCAATGGAATTTGTTCTAAATTAGATAAAGAATAATGAAGTTTTAGTCAGATCAATCGCATTTGAACATACGGAAGTTGTTTATCGATGATAAAGGAATTCATGAATGAAATCAATACGTCGACTGAAGGATGAAAAGACCGCTTAGAACTTGCTACATTCTTCGATCAGCTTGCATGTACTAGAAAAAGGAAAAGGAAGGAGTGTATATACAATACATCCCAACGAACCTGGTTTCTGGCATTTTGTGCACAAACATCCGCCTCTTTCTTTCGTTGTCTTCTTCTTCTTCTTCTTTTTCGTTAGTTTGATTAGCTTCGGCGAGTGTGGCCAGACTAACCAATGTATTTATGCGTCCGAAGACGACGACGACGACATCGGCGACCATTTTTACATAATTTCTTGCGTATTGTTTTATGTCAATAGACATGAGGACGACAGGTAGTGCAAGTGTATGTATATGTGTGTGTGTGTAAGCATTTACGTAACCTATTAAGGAAGAACGATGGATTGTGGCAATATTGAGAGTAGATAGATATGTGTATACATATGTATGTGTGTGTCATCGTTGTCTTTCGATTCTTCTTTACTTTCGCCTATAATTGTGTATAATTTGACCAATAGATATGACAATGATCAATAAGAACAATGTATGAAATGCATAGACAGAGATATATGCAAAAAAAGTAATTTGAGTTCATCTTTGATGACGTGAGTTTTCTAATTAGAAGCAAAAAAGAAAACTGCTGCATATCATGAAAAGCTGATTAGATTTTTCAATGTCGTTTACAATTAAATTATCAGTAATTTCTGTTGAAGTGCTCAACACCTGCTCACTATGAATATTTGTTCGTCAATTTGACACAAAAGTAGACAGGCTACATTTGAGCTAACAAAGAGAAAACGAACACTTGAATGAAATGAATTTTCTTTCGATATTCTGATGGTGACATATGTTACACAAGATTTCAAAGAATTCTTTTTCTTCATTAAGAAAATAATGAGATGAGGAAATAGATCTTTCTTTCCACACTTGTTATTCTTTGTCACTGATGTATTTTGTAACATAAGGAGAAGAGAAAAAGAAATCTCTCGATCCATAGTCGAATCTTCTAGGACTGTGTTCATTCGATCTTTTCTGTCATACAATAGAACTTCCGTTTAGAGTCAGAAGAAGCGATCCTGATGTGTAAATGATCTAATAAAAATGATGTTGATATTGAAGGTAAATATTTACATTCCAATCTGATTGAAATTGATGACGAATTTCATTACGTCGTTTACTTTTTTTCCCGCTTGTCACTGTTGGCACAGTGATGAGTGTGAGAAACGTCTTCATCTTCTTTTTTTTTGCCTACAATTCATTTAGTTTTCTGTTATTTATGCCGAACTAAACATCAAACACAATATTAAAAAAAAACGAGTAAAGAGATATCTTTTTTCCAAGCAATATATTAATTTTTTAGCATAGAAAAACTTTGCGTAGGTATTTGTTGTTTTCTCGTTTGTGGATTGGAAGATTCAATTTATTAGTGTCTCTTTTCTGAATCATCTATCCAATTTTTTTCATTTCCTTCTTTCCTTCGGTACAACCAGTAAACAAACAGAAAAGTCAATAATAAATTGTAGAATTTCTATTTATAATTGATTAGATCTACAATCGCTTACCGCCCACGTCGAAACCAAAAGAAGAGAGAGAGAGAGAGACATAAAAAAGATTGAACATTTCCTCATTATCGTCTGCTAGGCGGATGTTAGCATCTGAAACAGAAAAGAAAGACTACATCTACATTTCCCGTTATCTCGTGCAATTCTTATTTAGATCTTCTCTTCTGTCTATTCTGTTCAATTACCATCATTAAATTTTTTTTCTCTTCATTCATTCCTACTAATCTCTATGACTAGCATTACTTACTATTGAACTTTCGAATCACTCCTTTACTTCAACTTTTCTTAGTCTATCATGTGGCTCCTGATCATCTCTTGTACAATAATTCTCGTTTCGAAATTCTCCTTGGCAACAATTGATATTCAAGCATACAATAGTTTTCATTTGGAAGATCAATGTCAAACTTTGGGTGATACATGTCAACAAACGACTGACTGTTGTTCAGATTTAACTTGTTATCCTGTTGAAAGTAGGAGACGGTTTGTCTTTTGAAAGAAAATCTTTCAATTGATGATTTAGATCAAAAGCTTTGTTTGCCATTTAACAAACGAATGAAACGTTATGCAGAGGATTTCATTATTCCACCGTATTACAATCCGAGAAATCATCTCTATCCGTATGGAATCAACATGCCACCATTTCCGTTTTACAATGCCTACGGAACAAAACCATCGAAAACCTATCACAGAAGTAAATTAGGTACGGATTGCGTGCGTTCACATCGCGAAGCTGACGTCATCGTTGTTCTTTTAGAATGGGATCATTGTCAATTTCATGAAGATTGTGGCGAAAGCAATTGTTGTTATGTTCATTTCCGATTTCGTAGTTTACCAAAATCATTCTGTCGGCCGAATCGAAATCCGAAGAGTCAACTTTGCGAGCCGCTTACGAAATATCGTTCATTGAAAGATATTCCAGCTTGGAAACAAGAGCAACAGCAGATTCAAAACGCTCAGCAACAACAGCCAACATTTCCATTACGTACTTCGTATTTAGGGCGATAGATGTTATTGAATATCTGATGAGATGATTACATTGGACAAAGGGAGGAGGAAAATGTCATCGAATAAAGAAAAAAAAGGAGGCATCGATCAATATCAAACAATCAATTGTATCTTTATCAATGTTTTCTTCTCACATATATAGAATATTCATTTATACGTGTAGATTCGTTTCATCATATTCTTATTTATGTAAAGCTCGTATTTTCCGCTAAAAGCCAAATTAATCTAGATTGCGCTGGATTTCGATTGAGATGAAATATATATATATATTTAAAAAAAGAAGAAAAAATGAGGAGATACTTCCTATCTATCATCTTTTATTTATGTCATCATCGTCAATGATCGAATAAGTTATGTGCGCACGGGCGATTAGCGCCCAAAAAGTGATTGATCGAGGGATGGTAAACTAAGCGTATTCACGGAGAAATTCATGTGCACACGTTCACTCGCTTACTTCATTGTAAAAATAGGTCAAGCACGACGAAAGTGAACAAGATAGTCGAAGAATAAAAGAAAATACCTACGTAGTAATCGTGACCGATGACACTCGAGTTGCGCATCAGTAATCACGCAAAATGTATTGAATAGAGAAGTATTCTCTCGTCTCTCTTTCCTTCCTTTTTATGACGGCCATTCTTTTATCTTTCGTTTTATTAAACGAGTAATACAAAACAGGTCTGAACGTACAAATATACGTATTAAATTGATCACTAAATCGGTGAGAAGAAGAAACTACCTAAATTTAAACTAAACATGGCCGATACCGTACCTCAATCTTATCCAACATCAACATCACCAGGAAATATCGATCAGCAGTATAGTCAGCATCAATATGCTTACCAGGCACGCGTCAGCAGTCCAGCCGGACAGTACTATAATGGTGCTAACGGTGGCGAACAACAAGTTCAAGAAAATATTGAACAACAGCCATCAGTAAATCAGGGTCAAGATGGTAACTATGGACAACCAGGATTCAATGAACAGAACAATGCTGGTCTTATTCAACAGTATAATGGCGCTGCTGGTCAACTTGCGCAACAACAAGGACCCAATGGTTACAAGATTAACTTTGATCCGAATCCTCAAATTATTCGCAAGCATGCCAATGATGCCGTTACATATAAACAAGAAGTTGCTGTACGATATTTACGTCCGCCAACACCTCCCCCACCAGGCCCTTTGATTATTAAAGAGGTAAAATGAAGTAAAAAATTTCGTGATACAGAGAAAATAAAAACTATTTGAATTCTTAAGGTGCGAAATCCAGCTTTACCTGCAGCTCCGCCTATTGTTATTCGACAACGTCCACCTCGACCTGCAACACCTCCTCCTCTTATCATTCGAGAAAAACCACCCCAGCCACCCGTTCAACTTGCTCCAAAATTAATTACGAAACCATTACCACCACCCCCGCCGCCACCACGACGTGTTATCATCGAACGAATGCCACCATTGCCGCCTAAACCTCAAAGGTTTGTGGCTCTTCTTGAAAAGTGCTCTATTCCTATATAATCAATTTTTCTTTTTTTAGTATTATTGTCGAACGTTGGCTACCATACAAACAACAAAAACGACGCGTTATTTATCAAAAGGCACCACCAGTGCAACCGCCAGCACCTCAAAAAAATCTCATTATTCAATGGGAAGGCACTCAGGCTCGTGTCGTCAAAGAATTCCGCAACTTGGGCATCATCAAAGCAGACCCAAGTACTTACATACAACAGTACGGCGCACAACTACGACCTACGCAAGGCTTACCAGATTTCATTAAAGGATTACCTACACCAAATCTTGGTCCAGAATACGTATGAAATAGGAATTCATTTCATGCATTTTATATTTTCCCATGCTCTTTTCTAGACCGCTAATCCTGATCAAATCGATCCTGCATTATTAGCTGGTACTAATGCCCAAGTCAATGGTTTCGAAGTTGCCGGCGGCCAAGGCCTTCTTGCCAGTGCTTCGGACGGTTCATTGCCCGCTGGTGGACACCCAGGCTTCGCCCAAGAAAATGTTCAGTATGCAAACTATCCCAATGCAGGTGGTCAAGTACTTAATGATCAACAGTATGCATATCAACAACAAGCCTATTCTCATGAAAGTACGGTTGAAGGCCAACAATTTGCCGGTAAGTAATGATTATTTAATCAATGACATAAAAAGTATATGTATCTATTGCACAAATAGATCAGCAAGGTTTTGAACAACAAGGTCAACAAGGTAATGGTTTTGTTCAAAATGTACAATACCAAACAATACCGCAATACACTAATTAATCGAGCAAACAAAATACTAGAATCATATTACAGATATTGAACACGTATTACGTTTAATGATGAAGAAAATAATATTCTACTTTTCTTTTCTTTTTTTTTCGAAACTCTTACTCAACAGTTTTGCTTTCTTTGTTTTTCGTTATATCCAGTTTTTTTTTGCTTTTTACAACACTAGTATGTCTTTCATTCTATTAATATAATTAAAATAAAGATTGAATATATACTTGTGACACTGCACTATAAACAAACTTCTCCATGATACATCTCGCTTCGTTCTTATTCTTCTTTATATATATATATCAAAACACACATTCGATTAAAACAAAAATCTTTGCAAACAGCTAGAAATCATAGAAACAATACAAGTTCCATCACCGTCAAATGAACAATTTCTATTTCATTCTCTCGAATTCTTCCATATGCCATAGAACATTATAATACGTATGCAAATATTGCATATAGATCGTCCAGATGTAATGAAAAACTAATGATGTCTGCGTTTTACGTATTTGATTCAAGTAATTATGAACTAATTCAGCATTCGTATCGAATTCTTGTGTTAAATGCATCCGAATAGTTTCGATTTTTAGTTGTTTGTTGCTTATCGATAGTTCATTGCATAATTGCTGATGGAGATTCAACAGGCTCGTTTCATTGAGATGAAATTCGGATTGCTTTTGATGAAATGTTCGATATAGTCGGTCGACAAAATGGAAGAAAAATTCGATGACTATCGGACGATTTGATGGAGAAACGATGGACGAAGTTGTAAGATAAATCCGATTAACTAAACATTGATCGATATGATCAAACCATTGAGCATAATCCTCCGTTGGATCAAACATATTTATCTCATGATTAAAATAATTCGAAAGAAATTTTTGCTTGATTTGTTCGGATAATTCTTTTAGAAAACTTGTTATGATATTTGAAAGATTATTTTCATTACTAAAAAACGATGAATAGAGATGATTCGATGAGACAGAAGACGCTTTACTTTGAAAATGGCAGGCCGTATTTTTCACAATAATTGAAAAATGTATGTTTGATCAAACACCGTTTGTTATACGTCAGAGCAAACAATTGTTGACAAAGAATGTAAACATATAACGCGAATTCATTCATAAACTTCCAAAGATGTTCTTCGATTAAATCAAAATTTATTTTCCATGCATGATCAGAACCAGTTGGTGTCAATAACAATGGTTTATTGATTAAGATCTCCATTTGTGCTTGCGATGGCCATTGCCGTTGAGCGTTTCGTATTGGATGGGTATAGTAGATGTCGACGAGATGTTTTGGCCAACGCGAAAGACGGAAAGCACATGAATATTGTTCGTAATCGACATGAATAGTATTCTTAGAAGTTTTCGTGCTGTTCGAAAGAAATGTGGGAGAGAATGCATCGGTCAGATGATCTGATTTGTCATCGTTACCATTGAAAAGCAGTGATTGAGTTAAACTAGCACGTGACGAAAGACGAAACGAAGCAAATATTAAATTATTTTGAGAAGAGAACGTCCTAAAACGAAAAAAAGATCAATATTCATACTGTCAGTCATATCTGAAGAGCCTTGATCTATAACTTCTACTGTTGATTATCATGCGCATAACATTTCCGACTTACTTGTCAGTCTGCTGCATAGATTCTTTAAACAGGCATGTTACATGATTTGTATTTCCTAGTTGAAATCGTTTAACAATCGCACACGTTTGGTTGACGAGTATCAATGTATTAAACCATTGTTGAATGAAGCTTGATGATAAGTATGAAACATTGTCGTCTTTACAAACGTAAATAAATGCTGAAAGTTCTTTGGTGATTGTTTGCGGATTAATACGAATCAGTCCTGTTTGAAAGTAATCATCGGAAGTGAAAATGAGTAACGAATCGATTTCGGACGATGTTGTTTTAGGCGTCCTGGTGGTTTGATTGTTTTCTAATGTGATTACAACGTGAGTTCGATCTAATGGAAATGATTTTTGTTTGTATTCGTCATCGTTTGGCTCAATTTGATGAGTGACTAATGGAAGAAAATAGCATTTTGAACGTAGTTGCTCGTGAATCTGATGACAATTGGTTGCATTGGATGATAAATTAGGTAAAATTGATTCGGATGGCGAAGTGAAAATAAGATCGAAATCGTTAATAGTATTTTGATAAGTATCGTTGGAAGGAAAGATAATTTTTGTGGAAGAAAAATGACCTTGGAACGTTCTTTTTACGGACGATGATTTCAATCGAGTTTGAAAGTCTTTCAAATAAAATTTCAAATGAAAATTTTTTGTTAAATGCACAAATTCACGATTCGAGCTTATCTTGAAGAGGTATTCCAATTGTTCAATGTTATTCTCGTCATCAAACTGACATTTAACTTGTTTGTCAGTCAGTTGACAGATCGTTCTCGTATCGAGAATCGGTAATGAATCGATCCATTGATTAATACTGATGGTATTTTGTACTTTTCGCTGTAAATCATTGACTGACTGACCGGAATAAGTTTTCTGTTGACTGTTTGTTCGAATTCGATCAAATGTTGGATAATAATATTTCTCATCGGTGGAACATGACGAAACTGAAGCAGATGAATTGATACCGCCGCAGCAAGACAGATGACGCGAATGTTTGGTCGGGTGAGTTAATTTATTCTTGGAAGATTTTATCGACTTGTTTCCCATTTGATGTGCATCTAGAAAAGAAGAAAGACATGTCATTGCTCGGCCAGATTTTTTTTCATTTGAGATCAAATTTCTTCGCGCGTGATGATGATGATGATGACGGAAAAGGGTCATTCAGCTGTCGAAGATGGACAGCGACGGAAATAAACGTTTCAATATTCTCATTGAATGGGTAGAAAAAGGAGGAGGAGAAAAAGACATTCAGAATCAGCTTTTATCGTGGAATCTAATTCACTCTGACATTGACAAGTTACGATTGAACGAAAGTCATGCCAAAGATAAACATACAAAACAGAATAATAAAGACAAAAGAATCGACGCTCAGATGTTATACCTCCCTATTCCGTCTGCGCACTTCAAATATGGTGCTCGACTGTTTAGTTCTAACAAATGAACTTTAGACATGAGAGAAGAATCAGCTGAATGTCGATTCATTTAAATCTATCCGATCGACCAACCAGACATCGTTCGTTCTCTTCTTCTCTCGCAAAGAAAAAGATCGAATTGCAATGAATTAAATCGGATACAATAAAGATCTTTCTAAATGACGATGTGAGTCGAACGAAGAAGTAATAAGAGATAGTTAGATCATCACTCATTCCCCAGTGTTGAAAAAGTATTATTATCGATGAGACGAGTATTGCAGCAGATGATTACCTCATGATGAAGATAATAAAAAAAAGAAGAAGAAGAAGAAGAGGAGAAGATGTACGAGAGAGTGAGAGTGATCGATCGTCGACAAGATGTCTAGAATACTAATCAGTGGGTGAAAGATTTGATTCTATTTCATAGAGTGAAAAGAAAAGACAAGTGTCACTCGCACTAATCTATCAAACAAATAAACAAACAATGATGGTGATGAGATGTTAAGAGGAAGAGTAAAGGCTTCCCTCATTTCGAATCATCGATTAGACATAGACGTACGAAGTAATTGAACAAAATGATTACACATTAACTGACTGCGTGTGTCTATGGTAGAATGGATGTTTACATAGAGTAGAATTAAGAATCCAAACAAACAGAAATTGAATAGCCAGTGCAATTGCTCGATAAATCAAAAGCATCTTAATACGATCTATTTAAAGTGTGTCTAGTCTGAACATTTCGAAAGGTTTCTTCTTTATGTGTCTAGGAAACATAACTAGTTAACATTTGTTTTGTTCTTTATCACTTCTGTTCATATAGAAATAATTGACTACAGCTGTTTGGCTTGCCGAGAATGATTTTCTCGCAAATACATGTCTTGTGTTCAATCTTCAATGAAAGATGACACTAGAGATTGGTGAGAGTTGCAAATAACGGAAGAAAACACACGTCTTCCTTCTTGTCGGAAACGATGCCATGTTTGATGTTCTCGTGTAGACATCAAGAATATCTGAACATATGCTAAACGTATTTGTGATCGTTTATTCTATTCACGAGTATGTGCCAATATGTTGGCGGTTAAGTGATCATCAGCTATATATGGATGGAAATGTAAAGAAAGAGAATGTACTCTGCCACTAGTCTTCCTCGTGTTGAACGGCTACTAATACACACACTAATTGAATCGGCAATAATATTGCTGACCGACTTCTATGAATGGATAGAAGAGATAGAGGAAAAAGAGAGCGAGAGAAAAGAGAATGATAAGGCACGTTCCAACAACTAACTGGACAGAAGAGTGTCTCGACATCGACCAACAGACAAATATATTCTGAGCTTGCGTGAGAAGGCCAACTTGACCTTCATTTATCTCTTTCGTCTACTGTATAAAGCTGCTCATTCGACATATTATTCGCAATTTGCAGGTTAGACGCAATGATGACAATCGATCTAACCAAGCGACATTCTCATTCTTATTATTACTATCTCATTACTTTCTGCTATCTATTTTCCTTAATTATTGTTGCTGCTGGTACCAGCTATATGGAGGATCATTCCAATGAGACAGTCATTGAAATTAATACAACTGTTTTTAGTGTAACAACACTACCTGCAAATGTTTCGATCGAAGAAACCTTTCCGAGTAATAGTACAAACGTTTCAACACCTGTACTATTGATCGATTCGACTATGGCACCAACAATAACGTCAACGGTAGTGCCGAAGAAGACAACTGAAAGTAGTACAGAAAACATGCAGACAACTTTTGAAGAACATTCGAATTCAACTACAGTACCAGTAGAAGTATCATCGGAAAAATCTGAAGAACCAACAACGGTAGCAGCAACAGCACCAACATCAACATCAACAACGGCAACATCACCAGTAGTAACATCGACGGTAACGATGATGACGACGGCGACGACAGTTGTTTCATTATCATCGTGTGAATCATCGAAATATGGTTGTTGTTCAGACAACGTTACAGAAAGAACGGGTAAATGTTCAGAAATACAAAAGTATTCTCTCTATAATTAGTTCTGTGCTCGTTTAGGTCCAAATAATGAAGGATGTGAGGATGATAATGTCAATATTACAGTTTTGAACAGTACCGTTGGATACGTTAATGAAACTGATTTTGTTACTACAGTTGAATCCGAAAATGTGACTGTAATTACCGATAAAAATGATGTGTCTATCTACACATCGACGGAAAACTTTAGCACTGACATGACAGTTGAAGCCGATTCTACTCAGTTTGAACTAGAAAACACAACAAGTGCACATTCTGAAAGTACTACAATGGAGGTAGTTGACGAAAGTACTACGGTGGAGATAGTTGACGAAAGTACGACAGAACCTACTGTGGGCACCACAGAATTCACTGAAACAACAACTGTCACTGAAGCCGAAACAGAAGAAACCACTACAAAATCGACTCTTTGTGTTGACAGCGAATTTGAATGTTGTCCCGATGGGGAAACACCAGCACAAGTAAGCTAAAGTGCAGTTCTTATCAGTTCATTTGCATGTGTGTCGAATTTTCTAGGGACCTGAATTCAAAGGATGTAATACAACAGAGAAGCCACGAATACCATCAACAACAGTTTCTTTCACGAGTAAATCAAACTGTTTTAGTCAGACCAACGTGAGAGAAAGTTGTTCTTCTTTCTGACTTTTAGATGTTTGTGAATTGGAAAAAGATGCGGGTAGTTGCAGTAAATATGTTAATATGTGGGCGTATGATCGCCAACAAGGTAAATGTGTTCGATTTTGGTATGGAAGTTGTGAAGGAAATGGTAATCGATTTGAAACTGAACAACAATGTCAAGAAACATGTATTAGTCCAAAAGGAATTGGTAAAATCTTTCTTAATACTCAAACGTTCACTCATTGTATCGTTTTCTCTCGAATGAATAGAAGTCTGTTTGTTGTCGAAAGTAGCCGGACCATGTCACTCATCTAGCACTCGTTATTATTATGATCGAGATAAGAAGAAATGTGAACAATTTCGCTATGGTGGATGCAACGGTAATTCAAATAATTATGTAACAATGGATCAATGTCAATCAACGTGTGTAAAAGAAACGATTGGTAAGGTGTTCACTCACGGAACAAACAAAACAACTACATTGTCTTCTAGATCAATGTACGCAACCCGTTGAAGTTGGACCGTGTAAAGGAGAGTTCCCTCGGTTTTATTACGATACAGTAACAGGACAATGTCGATCATTCATGTATGGCGGTTGTCAAAAGAATCAAAACAATTTTGCCACGTTAAAAGATTGCTCGAAATCATGTGTAGAAGTACGGCAAAAAGGTAGAAAAAAAACTCGAATGAATCTGCTCTTAAAACAAATCTCGTACTTTTACAGATATCTGTTTACAACCAAAAGTCATTGGTACATGCCAAGAACGACATCCATCTTGGTATTTCGATATCAAGGAACATGAATGTAAACCGTTTCAATATTCAGGTGAGAGAATTACATTTGATGTCAGAAATGATTGTGTAAAACATCTTTCTTCGCTTTCCATTAGGCTGTAAAGGAAATCACAATCGATTTTCGACGAAAGAAGAATGTGATCACTCGTGCTCATCTTTGAAAGCATCGAAAACGTGTATGTAAACATATTTAAATGACTTTTTCGTCTTTAAATTTGTATTCTTATAAAAAAAACTAGTTGTTAACGACACGAAAGCTATTTGCAACCTGCCAATGATACGTGGTAATTGTGATCAACAAATATCTCGTTGGTATTTCAATCCATCAGATCGGTACTGTTACCCATTTCAATATACCGGCTGTCGTAAGTCGAGATTTTGACTATTGGTTTCAATCGATTGTCGCTATTTATTCTATCAGACGGCAATGCAAATGCATTTGAAAACGAACAAGATTGCCGGGATATATGTCATGCAAAGGAAAAAGGTTTCGTATGACTAAAAACGAGATAAGAACTTCATTAAATTTTGATTTGCTGTTTTATAGACATTTGTACATTGGACAAAGATTCAGGTTCGTGTGATCAATATAAAATTATGTGGTACTATGATTCTGTGAGTCAACAATGTAAGAATTTCTACTATGGTTCATGTGGTGGAAATGCCAGTCGTTTCGGAACGGAACAAGAATGTCAATTGCGTTGTTTGATCAAAGCTGGTTCGTTGAAAAGCGCGGTTTAAGAGAATTTTTCGTATAGAGATTACCTTTCTCAATAGGTAATTCGACTTGTTCTCAACAAGTTGATCAGGGCTATGTTTGTAATAATACAAAATCAAATCAAAATGAAACAACGAGCTCCGTTATGAAATTCTTCTATGATCAACAATTGAAACAATGTTCATCATTTCTGTATCGAGGCTGTGGTGGCAATGACAATCGTTTCGACGAAGAAAGTCAATGTATCGATAAATGTCTCATGGAGAAACCAGTTGTTGATCAAGGTAAACAGTTGTTTTTGTATCTAACATATCCGAAATGAAAATCTTAAGGTTGTGGATCAAATATGATTCGTTGTAATATTCAATGTCGATTTGGTTTCGAAAGAGATGGAAATGGCTGTGAAATATGCCGTTGTTTTGAGCCTTGCCAAGTAACGTCAGAATTTATAAAAATCGAGCGGAAAGTATGAAATTTTGTTGTTTCTGTTCCTCATTCTAGCGTCAACAGTGTCCATCGGGTTATGAATGTGTTATCATCCCAGAACAAACTCCATGTGTTCAAGCGCCATGTCCAGTGCCCAGAGTTGAATGTCAACCAAGTAAGAACAACAAAAATCAGTGACTATCAGCAATGTTAAAATGATTCTTGTTTTAGTCGGTCCTGATCAATTACCAGATGCGAATGGAAGTTAGTAAAGATCTTGCAAATAAACCGTTTTCTATATGTAAATTTGATTAGGTATTAAACCATTAATTGAAAATTCGATCACAAATATCTTTTCACAATTCGATGCTAATGTTACAATTCCATGTGTTCTACGACAAGGTCATCCAACACCGGTCATTTACTGGTATATCAATTCCTTGTTGTGGCTTCCTAATTCTAAATATGCTTTTGTAGGTATAAAGAACGGCAGCAATTACAAGTACACGATGCAATGAATAATGGTGGAATTGTTCGAAAAATTGAACGATTACCAGATCAATCGTTATTAATCAGAAGAGTGAAACTTGAAGATCAAGGTCTCTATACATGTCGAGCGATAAATGATGTTGGACAAGATATCAAAGATGTACAATTGGAATTGTTCGGTAGATATCCTATGATTTGAAAAAGACTTCTTTCTCTAGAATTATTCTTGTTGCCGCTTTAGATTCAATTAAAGTAGATATCTATCCAATTAATCGAATCTATCAACTTGGTTTCACAGCTAAACTTCAATGTCGTGCTACAGGTAATTGAAAACTTCCATTGGTATTACGAAACATCTTCTGCTAATCCATGTAGGTTATCCATTACCACGTATTACATGGATGCGTGACAATGTGCCGTTAGCCAACACCACTCGAATCAGACTTCAAAACGATGGATCTTTGATTATTCATCCGTATAAACGAGAAGATGCCGGTAAAGAAAATCGAGACAAAATAGAATTTTCAATACATCTTTATTATCCTTTCAGGTCCTTATGTATGCAATGCTACAAATAAGAAAGAAAGTGTAACACAAGTGGCATATCTAGAAGTAAAAGGTAAGTCCATTCGAAAGCGAATTAATCTGCTTGTTTGATGAATGCATTTCGATTCAGACACTCGTATCGAACCAACATGCGAAGATCAGCCAACATTTGCAAATTGTGAACTTGTTCTTCGACACAATTTTTGTGATGTTTACCTTGATTATTGCTGTCGAACATGTTCTCAACATGCTCAACAATCTCCACCAACCGACAAACCTCCTAATCCTCGTACGCGTCGACATCAATTATTTTAAACAAGTGTACATTTCAACAATGCATGTTTGCTTTTCTCTCTGAATATTGTTTAGTGTTTTTCTTAATCATTACCTTTTAGAAATTAATCTCGTCCTCATTTTTTTTCTATTTCATGTCATTAGTTTTCTCGCTTTCTTCCTCTCGTTTTAAAACAAGTCAGACATATAAAAAAACAAAAACAAACAAATAAAAGAAAGTGTTGGTGGTTTAGACATTAATTAATTATTTTCTTCGTCAATCTTTTCGAGATAACATGTTTCCGTAGAACCTGTCATCACATCGCTGATGCATTGATCACTCATTTGTTCATATTGATACCGCTTTCTTGGATAGCCCCATAGTAATTCAAACTGATCGGGAACGTTCGAATCGGTCCAGGCGAATTCGAATAAAAGTCTAGCAGGATCGGAACGACGAAAACGACGACGTATTGGTTCGGTATCCGGTAAACGGATTGATACTTGAACTGTATCAGTTTCTGTTGCTGACGGTTCTTCAGGAAATGACTGTTTGATACGATCACGAAATTCCATAAATTTCTAAAGAGAAGAGGCACTTTGGTGGAATTTGTTGGCTTTGGGTTAACCGTACTCGAAGTTTTTTCTCCTGTTCTTCTTGCATTCGTCGTTGAGCTTCCTCCAATTTACGTCGTTCATTTTCTTCTTGCAAGCGTTGTTCAGCCTAACAAGACGTACGAAATGATAAGATCCTTTTTTTCGGGCTATGTAAACTAACCTTTTCTTGATCTGCACGCATAGAATCCATGTAAGCAGCGTTTTGCTCTTCTAAAAGACGATCTCTTGATGTTCGTGTATCTCGTCGATCACTAAACTCATCCCATTAAAAGAAATCATTCGAAATTACTGTTTCGCTCACCGATTGTATTGTAAAGTTTGATCGGCGTTCTGAACACCATTGATTAATTCTGCTAGAAACTCACTCGCATCTAAAATACGTGAAGTTCATGTTTTCACATCGATTTCTCATAATGAATTTCAATTTACCAGTATATCGATCAAGTTTAAGTTGTACAGTTTGTTGTGAGCCATGATGGGCAACAATACAAACGCATGGAAATGAATTTGTATGTAGTAAACGACTAGCTAGAAGAAAGCAGAAGATGAAATGAACAGAAAAACTTACAAAAAAAAGAATAGATTACCTTGTGCTCCTTCTTGAGTATCTCGACTAGCACTCCATAGTATATTATCACCGATAATGGTACGCAAAGCGTCCTCGCAAAGAACTTCCCTGAAAGAGAAAAAAAACACTGGTAATTCTTTGAGCATTTGTGCAGTTGTTAGTTTACCGGCAAAATCGATCACATAATGGCGAATTTTTCTCATGAAGATAAATAAACAATAGACGAACTTCACGTTGTGCATCACGCAGTGCCTAAAAGCTTGTGCTGGTGCAAGTATTCAAATGATGAATGAAAATTTACCTGAGAAAGTTTGCCTCGATAAAAAGCCGGATGTTCTGTACCATATTGATTATCAAAATACGTACAGTAATCATCAATTTCTACGAGAGGATCTGTAGGTGCAGGACTCCATAATAATGATTGAACTAAATTTAAGAACAAGTCAAAGTATAGTTTGATGTCTCTGTAAATGTTTTACCGAAGGATCCGAGAATACGAAGAATACTCCAAGGTATATACGGTTCAATTTGTAAATAAAATGCATACAAAAATGCTAATGGTAAACGTAATAATCGTCTAAAAACAATACTTGAATAAGACAAACCAGATTGAATATTTTTCTCTTAATCATACAAAATTGGATTTTCTGTGTTTTGATTGGTAGGTACTGTATCAGATACAGGCCTTCGAGGAGTTGACTGATGTAAGAAAGGACTCGGCATAGGTGGTGCTGACGGTATTGGATCGGTCGTTATTCTCTCATTATCATCATGTGTAGTTAATGGTAGATCAGAATTCGATATTAATGCAGTTTCAATGGCACGTTCAACATCCCATTCATGCGCAGCTAAGTATTGACGACATGTTTCAACAGAGTCAATATGAGTGAATTCCTACGGACAGAAAGACAATTGAAATATCTACTCATTTATTTGTTTTACTCGAAAACGAGATAAAGCATTGCTTTGCTCTTCTGTGAGATCACCAACTTCCATGATAGAGTAACGCAAATTATTAAGGTAACAATAAAGTTCTACGTAGTGCTGCTGATGATGATCTAAACAAATGTCCTAATCATAATCATCATCATTATTCAATACCAACGAGATGATAGTCCAATCATAAGGTGCATCAATCAGGTAAACTTTTGTTTAAAACAGTTAAAAAGCAGTAATAGAATCGAAGTTTCCTGAATTAATTTTTTTTTCTTTTTTCGTTGGGAATTATACTGATGAATAGATGTCGCTAGGTGCGAGACCAAGCTGCTCAGATACTTCACTGTGTTTTACCTGAGTAAATTTGATACACGACGAAAAAAGGTCATGTAAACACCCTTCTATTCGAAAAGAATCCCGGATCGTCTATTACATTCACTACATTAAGTTCGAATTTTGCCAAAAATTCTCGCCAAAACATACATCATTTGTATACAAAATCTCTTTAAAAAGACCTTCTATGATAGAGGTGGGTGTATTTTATTTCATATAGTCAATGTTGAAGAAAATGAAAACATTTATCTTCTTCACTTCGTAAAAATTAATGATGACAAACAAGTCCGAGAATGGTAAGTAAAGAAATGAAAATTGATCGAGTGCTTTCGATCGCTAATCGTGAAAAAAGAGAATTTTATACTTTTTCGATCGTGTATACATACCATCGATTATTACTAATCGAACGAACGAAAGAACGGGGAAAAACTATGATTCATTAGGCACTTTCTTCCCTTTCTTTCATTCATTCGTTCTTCTACATCTATGAAATGTAACACGTTCGTTGCATACGTCGTTAATAAACGGTATAAGAAGTTTGCCGTTCAAATGACAATGCACATATGGTTAATGGGCTGCTTTGCCTTTCAGACATTCTTTCCTTAATTTTATTCAACTTGAGACATATAGTTCTCTCATCTTTCTGTCTTTGTTTTTTCACCATCCCAATTCACTGGAGTATTCATTCATTCAATAGATAGATAGTTCTAGTCTTATTCTTCTCGTCTTCTTTTCTTTCGCATAAACACCCACACACTCTCATCCGATGTCGATGAACTATGCGTGCCGACCAAGGCAATCGAACGTGTTATTCATTCATCTTATTCTTATTTTTTCTCTCTCTCTCTCTTTATTTTATACACACATTCACTTGCTCTGAAGTCATGTCATCAGTTTTTGTGTCAATATTGGCGCAGTTTGATTCTAAGTTAGCAGCTTATCATTAGCCGCAAATGTTCATTGACAGAAGATAAGGTCGTTTTACAAAAAAAAGAGTAGCAAGCACGATAAGCAGGGAATATAGACATTAAAAACATTGAAGAATAGGCATAGTTATTCTGTATACACACACAACGAAACCCATATAACCGATCGATTCTTCACAATAAAAAGAAAGCACTCGATATGAATTTTGATCCCTCTTTCCCCTTTCTTTTTTCCTATTCATTGATATTCGTGTCATCGTATAAAAAAAGGGATTAAGTTTGACACATTTCATTCCTCAACGATACTCAGAGAGCGAGTAGATGTGATCAAAAAGAAAAACGCAAGTCGTATCGAATACGAAATGACTGTAAAAGTAACATCCCTAGTTTGAAGACAAATTGTCTAGTACACTTAGATTACTTTTCATATGTATATTTGTCCTCTTTTAATTTCATTCAAATGTTCACTTATTTAGATCTATCATCATCAATCGAACATTTACCTGATCTTATTACTACAACTGCTGGTCAACATGAATCGTCGAGATCAATAGATAACATAAGAAGAATGGCGTGTTCATCACCATTACAACAGCAATATTCGAGTTTAACCGTACTCGATGTTTACGATGAAGCCGCTTTGATTGGCAAAGATTTTGAACGTATTATTGAAGGTTAGTCCATTGTTGCTGTTCTTCTTCTTCTTTTTCGTATCGAAAGGTTTTGTTTGTTTAGCCTATGGCACAGAAACTATTCGTGATCTTGTGCCAAAAGTGATTCGTATACTTGAGTTACTCGAGTTACAGGCGGCGAAGAATGAAAAAGACGAAGATGAATTTGTGAAGATGAAAACTCGCATTGAACGTTTGGAGACTGAAAAATGTGAAACAAGAGAATTACGTGAAAAATTCGATCGTGAACTTGATCTTGTCGAAGAACAGTGGAGAAAAGAAGCCGATAATCTGATGACATTAGTTTCTAAATTACAAGATGAAAATCGACGATTACGTGATGAACTCGAACGAAATAATGATTTCCATAATAAATCCGATTTAGCCAGTCCATCCGAATCGATCAGTATGATTATTCTACATGCGATATACTTATCGGGAACATTTCATTTCATTAGGTATTACTCGTGAAGAACTTGAATGTATAAAAAACTTAACCGAAGAAAACATTCGATTGAAACGAGTTTTGAAATCGAAAGATAAAGACTTAATACAGAAGACGTTGAATATCGAAGCGGTAAGTTGCCGAACAAAGTTTTTCTTAATAGCACGTTCGGACGAACGATTCATTTAGGTTCAAGCCCAGCTCGAACGCGTCTGTAAAGCAAACTGTACATTACGTCAAAAGAATACGTTTTCCGCGAATCAAACTCAACGGTTATTGGTGGAAAAGTTTGATTTAGAAGTACAACTGAAAGAAAAGGAAAATTATATCAATCAAATGAAAGATCGAATTGGTGATGATTTAGCAAGTCCAAGTTCACCGACGGTAAGTTAGACAAAAGACAAGCAAGATAAATATTTAAATTGATTTATTTGTTTTTCAAAGAAACCAATTAATGATTTCACAACACTCGAAGTCAATCAGCCAAGATTTACACTTGAAGAACTGCGTCAAGTGTTATGGGAGCGAAATGATTTGAAAACAAAATTAATGGAAGTCGAAGAAGAATTACGATTATTCAAAGAACAGTAAATTCAATTAACTTAATCAGCTATTTTATCTCATTACGATAATTTGTGCATAGAGAAGAAGATGAAGACGGAAATGCAGCAGTTGAAGGTCCAATTCCATTAGAACCCGACGAAAAGTTATATGGTTATAAACGTGATGAATCCAAAGTCCGACAATTGTAAGTTACTGTCACGTATAAAGATGTGTAGTCTCTAGTCCTAGTGTCATATTTACATCTATATATATATATATATAAATAATCAATAGCATTTACCCCATTGAGTTTGTATGGTGTATGTGTGGGAGTGTGTGTGTGCTTTTCTTTCAGTATGAAGATTTGTTTGTTCTTCCCTACTATTGCTTGCTTCGCAGTTGCCTCATTTTGGTAAGCGGTTGGCATGACTGAAAATCGAGTGATATGTGCATGTTCATATATTTTTCATTTCGTTCGTTATGCATGACTTTCGCATGTTTTCATTTCGTTACAGACTATCCTCAGTTAGCCTGCAGCCAGCAATCGATATGTAAGGAGTCGATTTGACATACTAACAATTTCCGTTTTCTTGATCTCTAACTTTGTTGAATAACCCTTTGGGCATCGCTATGCTTTTGTATTCGTTTGTTCAGTTGTTGTGATATTTGTTTGTTTTCAGCTTACGATCTTTATTTTCATCATCGAAAACTTCATCTTCACCAGAAGAAAGATCAACCGTTGATTCTTTAACCAATCCGTCCACCCCTGTATCGACAAATCATAGCGTTACCCAATCTCAACCGACATTTTCCACTCCATCCACGCAAACGAATGGTTCAGGATCGAAACGACTTTCCATGGAAAGTCTATTTGGTAGCCAACGAAAGACAGCGAAACCTCCGATTTCATTACTATCTCCGCCACCCTCCGAATAAAAAAGTTCATGTTCATACAAATCATGTTTTTTTTTCTACTATTTTTCTAAAATTAATTTATTATTTTGTTGTAATTCATGTGCTTATACCTCTGTTGTAATGTTGCCGTTGTAAATTCGTTTCATTTCAGTGGCACATTTGTAAAAAATTTTCTTCATGTCAATATTCCTCCTTGTTCATTTAGCTTTCGATTTGTCTTTGGTGAGTACCCAACAAAAACAACAACGTCGTCACCTGAAATACTTTCAACCGCACCCGGCAGTCCCCATCAATTTCCCTTCAATATTGACATTCTCAGATAAAAGATACTCAGCGAAATATCCATGTTTTTCCTTGTTCGTATTATTTCATCGTATACATATATAGTTATATTTATACTAACGTACAATCAATATCCACCCCTTGTATTCTGCTGTTGAACAGTGTACAAATCCCCATTGAATCAATGATAAGAACGAGTGTTTCTTTTGCATGTGTGTCTTTCCGTTAGAAGAAAAACAGGTCCTATGAGTGTGAATGTTGAAAATTCAAGTTTAGAACGAATAAATAAGATCGTTTTTCTCCGTGTATGTGTTGATGCATGTCTCTTTCTCTGTCTATCGCTACTAGTCATACGTTTCTGGTTTATTATTCTTATTATTTTTCGGTTCCTAGCTTTGCGTTATTTTTGTTCCCGTTTACTGCAACTTTACGAATAAATACATACAATATATTGTTGTCGAGCTGAAGAAATGGTACAATTGATTGGTGAGAATGCCGAAGATATATGAGGTAAGTTGTATGCGACATTGTGTTATGGGTGATCAGAAAACAAACGTGTGAATTGTATTTTTCGCGTCAAGATAAAGAAAACTATGAAAATGAGATAAATTCACTCTTCTTACAAAATGAAAGGGAATAATAAATCGAAATGTTCTCCACTGTTTCGTTGAATGAGATAATCACTGTAAACAAACGTTTCTCGTATAAATAATAATCACTCGGAATAATAAGAAAAAGCAAAGAAACAGACAGAAAAATTAACATGAATGGATAAAATCGGACTGAACCTGCAGTCAAATGAGACCAAGATAGAGAAAGAAAACAAACATATTTCATATGTGAAAAGATAGTACTGTGAGCAAATCATTGAAGTGAACTTATCACGAGTTACGCAAAAACTAAAATTAAAAAAGCACAAGTTTGTATAAAATTTTCTCTTTCTTAATTTTAACATACGGGAGGCTTCGAAGAAGTAACTGTTTCTGTTTGTGTCCTTGGTATACTTAAATATGGATTATATGCTTCAATGAATTCATCTGGAAGATCATCATCTTTTGTCATATCTTCTAGCATATCGGTGATGAATTCTGTTTCATCCAAATCATTCGAATCCAAAAATGCACCAACTGGTGTTTCAATTCGATCACGTGGAAAACTGTTCAATGTTCCTGTCATTCCCATCATCTGTCTTGGTGGTATTGTTGTTCGCGCTTCTAGATTATCAAATAGAGTAAAATCAGCGTTCTCTAGACCTTCGTCGATGCGATATGTTGGATTGTAAGTTGTTGAAGAACTCGATGGATACGTATCGGATGTTTCATTATGTCGAGCATTGTTTGTATCAAGAGTAAAACCATCCCAGTTCATGATATCTTGACCATGAGTACCCATCGTTGGGACATGCGCTCGAGGTATATAGTACGTTGTGTTACCTATTGACTGTCTTGTTGTTCTAGATAAAATAATTTATAAAAAAAACTGTTTTTCTTTTTTTTTTCGGAGAGGAATGATCAGTTACTTTGGTGATATAGTTCGAAAATTGGATACAATACGAATTATGCACATAAAACATGCCAGAATTAAAAGAAGACCGGCTATCGCACTGATCAAGCCGACAATAATAATCCATTTTCGAGCTTCCGATACTCGTAGAAGGGGTTCTGTCGTCGAGGATTCAGTTCGACAAAGATATCCTTCGTAGCCTGAATAACATTTGCACTGATCCTCGAAATCTGATAAGCAGTCGCCACGGCCCAAAAGGTCACATTCTCGGCAACGTCTCACTGCACTGGAGAAACTTTCTATAAATAGAACAAGAACAGATTATACAATGAGATTGGTTAAAATAAATATTTACCAAGTTTCTTTGTCTGATCATTAATAATTATACGTATTGTGACGCCACTCTTCACATTATTACTATTACTAAACAATTGATTGATGAGTTGTAAACGTTCCGGTGCATTCAATAAAACATCTAAGGCAATAAAGTGTCCACCAATTGTGTTGTATCTATGAAGAAATATCCAAATGAAAACGAAATAGATTTTATAACTAGACAAATAATTACCCGATCTCTTTAATTTGTATACACAATTCATTACATGTCTGGTTCATTCCAGCTATTATATCTGATATCTATTGAATGACAATGAATGATTTACTTCTAGGATTTTTCATCGAACGCATTACTTCAGTGCTCAAATTTGATGTGGAAGATGATTTACTTGCTGCAATTCTCGTAGAGGGTATCTGAGACTCCAATACAAGCCATGTTTGGGCAGTAGCTGATTGGCAAAACAGAGTATATTAAGATTTCAAATTCCATTCAACTTACCGATCGGTGAATCGCAAATATTTTTTGTATAGTTTACAAATGGACTGCCAGGACATTCGCATGTTTGTTTAGTAGTATTTGTACTCGAGATAATGTTCAAGATAGAGTTTGGACATGTACAGCCACCAGTTGATGCACTACAAATACCAGGAGGACTGCATGTGTTCACACAAGTTATCGACTTGTTTGTTGGTAAACATCGATTGTTTGTATTTAGAATATTTAAATATTCATGTCCAACATCGCCTAGAAGAAATTCATTGCATTGACGTCTTGTTTGTTCGACATATGAAAAAAAACAAGCATACCTTCGATGGAAAATCCCTGACTACATCGACATTCATAAGATCCTTGAATATTGGCACAGTACGTATTTGCATAATTCTCACAGCTTTGTGCTGATACTTCGCATTCATTGATATCAAAGCACGATCCATTCAGTGTCTAATAAATAAATTGTCAGTTCAATGCCCTCCACTTAGACCAACCATTATCTTTCAGTTCTTCTTCTCCTACCTGATATCCTTCTTTGCAATCACATCGATAACCTCCGACTTCATTCACACATATAGAACTTCTCCTTTCACACAAAGATGCATTTTGTGCACACTCATCAACATCTACAAATATACACATCATACATCTATTCATAGACACACCACACCTTCACTTCGCATCACT